TAACTTAAATTTTATTAAAAACTTAAAATGTTATTAAAACTTTAATTTATATAATTATTGACCTACTAGCCTATATTTTATTTTAAAATAAATTTTTAAAAACTTTATTATTAAATATATTTATATAAAGCTTTATAATAAAAGTAAAAACTAATACTTTTAAATATTATTTATATATATAAAAGTGTTTTTTAAATTAAATAACTTTTATAAAAGCTATATATAAAAATAAGTATTTATTATATACCTTAAAATATAGAGTATTATTCCTTTTATTACTAGTAATAATAATAATAATTAACTTATATAATTTTATAGTTTTAAGCTAATTAATGCTACCTTTATTATAATAGTTAATATTAGCTTATTATTAACTTAATTATTCTATTAGTTATTCTTTTAACTATAAGAATTATAAATATTACTTTTATTTAAATACTTTAGCTTTATTTATAATTAAAATAAAAATATAATATTTACTAATAAATAAATTATAATATTAACTTTTAAAAATAGGTTTATATAAAAGCTAAAAAATTAAAATATAAAATATAGTTTAAAAATTAAATAAAACTTATAAAAATAATAATATATTTTATAGCTTTTAGTATATTAATTTTATTTTTAGGACCTAACTTTATTTATTTTTATATTTATATTATAATATTTTTAATACTTTTTAATATTTTTATTTATATAAATATTAAACTTATATTATTATTTATATATTTAAATATATATATGCTAGTAGAGATATAAGTTAGTAAGGGCCTTTATACTTATAAATACCTTATATAAAAATACTTATTTACCCTTTTTTTAGGTAGTTAAAAAAATTTAATTTTTTTTTATTTTTTTTTTAAATATATTTAAATTAAGAGATTTTTATTATCTTCCTTTATTCTATATAGGTACTTCCTTGGGCCTATAGTTAAGCGCTTAACTAGCCTATTTACACTCTAATTTAGTATAATATATATTTAAAGATTAAATATAATACTAAAATAAATAAAATAAATAATAATTTATATAATTATAATATATTAAAGAGAATATATAGTAATATAGTTAATTCTTTTAAAAATATTTATAATAATTATAAATATTATATATTATTTTAAATAAAAGATTAAATACCTATATATAAACCTATTAAAGTTTAAAACTAAATATTAAAATCTTTTAATAAATATAAAATATAATAAAAATAAAATAAATAAAAAATAAAAGAATTTAATAATAATAATAATATTAAATATATTAATAAAAATTTAAAATAATATTAAATAATAATAATATTATATATAATAATACCCTCTTATATAAAAGAACCTAATAATTTTATAAAAAAGGAATTTAATAATACTAAATAAAATAAAATACTTATTATTATAAATTAATTTACTATATAAATTATAAAAAAGCTATTATATTTAATATATATTTATATAATATTATACTCTAAAAGATTTAAAATAAAAACTCTATATAATCTATTATATAATTATAATCTACTTATAAATTATATTAAATTATAAAGATTTATAATATATTATAATAATAATAAAAATAAAAATAAACTAAACTTTAAAATAAAAAAGTATTAATTAACTTTAATAAAATAATAAAATATATAAAATATATACTAATAATAAAATAATATAAATTAGAAATATAAATATTTTAAAAGGTAAATATATTATAAATAAAAATAATAATTCTATATTTAAAAATAAAGAAATAAAATTATATAAAAATAATAATAATAATAATAATAATAATAATAATAATAATAATAATAATAATAATAATAATAATAATAATAATAATAATAATAATAATAATAATAATAATAATAATAATAATAATAATAATAATAATAATAATAATAATAATAATAATAATAATAATAATAATAATAATAATAATAATAATAATAATAATAATAATAATAATAATAATATAATAAAATATAATAAAAATTCTATATAAATTACTATCCTATATTAAAAGAAAAGGATTTTATAAAATATAAAGCTTTATATATTATAAAGGATATACTATTAAATAATTAAATAATAATATTAAAAATAATATAAAACCTTATATATATTAACTATAAGTAGAATAAATAACCCTTTAATTTAAAGAAAAGTACCTTATTAAATAAAAGTTATAAAAATAAAATTAATTTATTTACAAGTTAAAATATATATAATATAATAAATATAAATAATATACTTAATATTTATAAACCTTAGGGAGAAATAAATATTTAAAAGAAATTTATAAATAACTTTAATATAATAAAGCCCTATTAAGTAACTAATAAATTAAATAATATAAGGTTTTAATTAAAAATTAAGAGTAAATTATTTAAAACCTTTACTATAATCTATAAATTAAAATATAAATATTATTATTAATAATAATAATAAATAAAAACTATTATATATATAATTATAATATAAAAATATATTTTATATTTTAATATTAATAAAGAAATATATATAAAATTACTTTTATATATATAAAAGATAATATAAAATTATTAAATAAAACCTTATATAGTTTAAAATAAAGCTCTAATTTATAATATAAATATTTAAAAAGAATTAAATAAATTAAAATTTAAATTCTACCTTTATAATAAAAATATTTATAAATAATAAAGAAAATATTATATTAATATACTATATTAATAATATAATAATAATAAATAGTAATAATAATAAAGTTAATAATATAATAAATAAAATAAAAGAAATTATAAATATAGATTATTAAAGAAAATTAACTTTTTTAGGAAATAATATAATAATAAATAAAAGAAAAACTTTAACTATAAATTAAAATAAATATATTAATAAAATATTTAAAAATTTAATATAAATAATAATAAGAATATAAAACCTAAATTAACTCCTTTTATATTAAGAAAGAAATTAATAAAAATATAAATTAAACCTTAAAAATAAAATAAATAATTATTAAAAATAAAATAAATATTATACTATTTTTAAATCTAAAAGTTATATAAATATAATATATACTATATATAATTTAATTAGATATATATCTAATTTTAATAAAAATATTTTAAAGAATTAAATAAACTATAAAGTTATTTATTAAAATTCTTTAAATTATTTAAAATATATAAATATAATAAAAATTAAATTTATATAAATATTTAAATTCTAATTAAAATAATAATCTAAATAATAAATAATCTATATTTAATTATATATTTATATTATTTAAAAATAATAAAATAATTAACTCTATAAATTATAACTTTTAATTATAAAAATATCTATATTAAGTAATTATAAAACTAAATATATAGCCTTAAAAACTTTTAAAAGCTATATATTTATATAATTTATTAGAATATTTTAATATAAATTTAAATTTAAATTTAAAATTAAATAAACCTATTATATATATAAATAATAATATTACTATTAATTTAACTAAAATTAAGTTTTTTATAAAAATTAAATATATAAATATAATATATTATTATACCTAAAACTTAATAAAAAAGAGTTAATAACTATAAAATATATACCTTTAAAGAAAAATATAGCTAATTAATATATTAAACTAATTAAAAATCATTATTTATTAAATTTAAAGAATTATATAATTTAAAAGAAATTTAATAATAAGTTTAATACCTTTATTTATTAATATATTATAAAATAAAATTAAAATAAAAATTATAATACTCTAAATAATAACTTATAAAATAATATAAAACTAATAAAAGTTTAAATAAATAAATTTTTATCTTAATAACTTATATAGTATATAAATTATATACACTATATACATTATATATAAAATATATAGAAGTTAAGTATATAGTTTAATAAAATTATTATATAAATATAGTTTTATAAATATTATAATATAAATATAAACTTCTTAACTTAAATTATAAAAATAACCCTATAAACTATAAACCTATAAAATAATATAATAATAATATAAATAACCTATATAAAATAAATACTAAATAAAAATAAAATATTTAAATTATAAAACTTAAGTTTAAATTATGCCTAAAGTAAATTTTTAAGATTTTTACCTATATAATAGTATATTTTTCCTATAATAAAAGTTTTTATTACTAATAAAAGTACTATTTTCCTTTATATAAAAGGTTTTAATATAATAAATAGTATATTTTTCTTATATATTAGTTTTATTATTATATAAAATAAATTAATTTTTTCCTTTATAAAGGTTTATAACTTAATAAAAGTAGTCTTTTCCTTAAAAATTAAGGTTTTTAACTACTAAATATTTTTATATATTTAATTATATATATATATATAAATAAATATATATATATAACTTATAAAGGGTTATAAAAATATATTTCTAAATAGTTAATAAAGAAACACTATTTTTATATATATAATTACTAAAAACAATTAGACTATAAAGGGCTTTATTAAACAAAAGTATTTAAATATTAAATAAAGGATATTTAATATATAAATAAAGGGGTAGAAAGCCTATTAGTTAATAGTTAGAATTTAATACTATTCACACTCAAATTCTTAGAGGGTAGAAGCCAAAGATAGCATGAATAAAGGAGAGCAAATACCAGATCACACCGGAAAACCCGCCTCCGAGCTGGACAGTGAGCTCGCACAGCCCCAGTGGTCAATTCGAGTACACAGCAGGAGGCCGGCAAAAGCACTGAAACCTGCAGGGCCAGACGGGCGCTCCAAGCTGACTACCAAGACTGATTGGCCTGCTCGTCTTACACGGCCGGGCCGGCCACTCAGCGAGGGATCAAACGTCGCCCCGCGTTGATTGGCTATGAAGGTCTGGATTTTGCCCTCGAACCCCTGGCCACGGCGAATGTGGGCCAAACAACAGCATGGCGCACCCAAGGTCGAAACCATCATCAATTGAGCCGGCCCCTCGCCCCCCTCGGCCGTTGTGCGACTAATCCTCCACCAGCCCGCAGCTACTCCTTTGTTTCATTGGGGGCACAAATCCAACAATGGCAACAATGAGGCCGAGGGCTTGTCTGGTTTATGTAAATAATGCATCAATAGCTGCACTTTGCCACCTCCTTTCTCTCAAGGTGCCTAGATGCTCATCTCATCTCACGTTTGGCATCGGGCTCATATAACTAAGCCTGCCTGACTTACACTCACTAGCTCGCTCGCCCACTCACTTCAAACAGTCAAATCCACCGACAGCGCAGGCGCCGACTTCACAATCCTTCCATCCACGCATCTTCCCGCACCTCGGCAATTCATACGCTTGTCAAGCATTCACACTCATTTCTGCACGCTCTTTTCGACCAACTCAGCAAACATTACCTACCCCAGCTATCCCTCCTTCGCAAGATGGCCGCTACACACCGGCTACACTTCGCACTGGCCCTCCTGGCCCTGCTGTTCGCACGGCTCTCGATCGCAGGCGAGCTCGTTGCCCGCCATATCGAGCTGGTCTCGCCGCAGCCTTTCGTCTTCAACGAGTTTGGCCCCACCAACCCCCTCAGCCCGGACGGCTCCGACTACCCTTGCAAGAACCCCCAGGGCCAGGACCTGAAGGTGGCTGGCGGCGCCCCCACCGAGATGGCCATCGGCCAGGACCAGACCATCTCCTTCAACGGGACCGCTGTGCATGGAGGGGGCAGCTGCCAATTTGCCCTGGCTGAGGGGCTGGCGCCGACCAAGGATTCTGTCTGGAAGGTGATCCAATCGATTGAAGGAGGAGTGAGTAACTGCACAGTCCCTACCTGTGTTGGAAGCCGTTTGTGGCAGAAGAGATGGGCCCCACAGAGTTGTTTGTTGTTGACTAACTTGCTTTCTTTCCAGTGCCCGAAATCTAACATCGAGGGAAACCTAGAAGACGGCCAGTCGCCAGATGAGTACACCTTTTCCATCCCGGACGACTTCGCCCCAGGTGATTACACCTTCGCCTGGACCTGGGTCAACCGGATCGGAGGACAGCCAGAATTCTGTAAGCCATCAATCCCTCCCTGCCTTTTGCCCCAGATCAACAGAAAGCTAACGCCCCAGCAGACATGAACTGCGCCCCCATCACAGCCACAGGAGGATCATCCGGCTCGCGGCGCATAGTCAAGGACCGTCGCCTGGCACACGACCGCCGGCAGCAGCAGCAGCAGCAGTCCAGCTACCCAGACCTCTTCCTCGCCAACATCGGCGAGGCCAGCAACGGCTGCGACACGGCCGAGGCCCTGGCCCAGCAGGTCGCCATCGAGTACCCGTCCCCGGGGGCCAACGTGCTCACCCCGAACGGCGCCGAGGGCCTCTTCAAGCAGCCCTGCGACGGGAACCCGCGCAATAGCGGCAGCGGCGGCTCTGCCACCGGCGCTGCTGCCGCTGCCGCGCCGTCTGCGACTGGTGCCTCTGGACAGACGGGATCGGGCGGCGTGTCAGGAAGCAAACCCTAGGAGGGGGCGTGTACTGATGGGCACCTGATCTGTGTGGGAGGTACGCGGTTTAGCATCTGTACGGGAGGGCGGTGGACGCCGTCCCAGGCACTGGCGTCCAATAGCCGGTGCAAGGTTGGGCCGGCGGGTGCTGGATTAGATGTCACTGTTGATTAGATAGTTCTTGGCGGTGTTTGTGCACCTAGGCTGAGCCTAAGACTTTAAGTCGAACATAGAGACTAGAGAGGTATGTTGTCTCTAGCACAGATATGAGACCCGGTGGATATCACCTAGGTATCGTTCTTCTTTTGATGAGGTTTCCCAGGGTTTCCAATGCTGCATGTGAAACAGTCATGGAAATTCTCCTCTATTACTGGCATAAGTCAGGCCACAGTGGTATAACATTTTGAGCAGCTATGTTGTCCGTTGACCTGCAAGGCTCTGTCTTAGAGGCGACGGCTGCAAACCAGTCCGCCCCGGCCGTAGGCTACTGAGTAGTTGGCACGAAACAGCAAGAATTGCTCGAAATTGCGGCTTATTCAAACACGAATATATAAAAGGCGTCCCTAATTCGTGTGAATTCGAAGCAAATTGCGCTAACAACTTAAACTTTCAAAATATCAGACCCAATCAATTCAGACATACCGACGTCCTCAAAACAACCTCATCTCTCATAATAGGAACCCTTCGCCTATTCCAACATTAAAACCTACAAAAACACTCACATCAAATATACCAGTGAAAGGACACAAACATGTCAGAGTTCACAAAATTCCCAGCGCTATGCCAAGAGCTACAGGACATGATCTGGGACCAGGCCATCCGAGACGATGAGCCAGCCGCCCAGTTCTTCACCCTCCACGACGTCTACGAAGCAGACTGGATACTCCCGATAGGCCTCACGGTGCCCAACAGGTCGTGGGGATCCGGCAACAAGTCAGCCTACACGATCGACTCGGGCCTCTGGACCGCCTGCTGGGGGTCCCGCCTCCGCATGCTGCACCGCTTCAGGCCGGCCGAGACCAGCGCGATCATGGCGAGGCGCGGGCCGGCGGGGCCCCAGGCGGCGCGCGAGGTCTCCCGGCGGCCGACGGCGTCCGTGACGATGCCCTTCCGGCGCGACGACACCGGGGGGCAGTGCTACCTCACCATCAGGCCCACGCAGGACCTGCTGTACTTTGACTTCGCCCCGGGGGGCCCGTGGTTGGCTGACCCCTGGAGTAGCAGCCTCGTGTATAGCAGCCCGATGTTGAAGTGGCTCCCCTACCTGCGGGCGTTCAGGTGGGAGCAGCCCAACGCGATTTGGGGCTGGGCCTCGCCTCCCCACGTGCGCCATGTCGCCGTCAAGTACGATCCAGACTGGTGGTCCCAGCGGGAAAGCCGCCATTATCTCGACATCGACTTCCAAGAAGAACGTGGGGCTGCGGCCGGGTTCGAGGTGCTCTGGTTCGTCAACTACTCGCTGCGGCGCAGGTACCGCGCCGACGGCCGCGGCGACCGCCAGACCTTCCGGGCCGGCGACGACCATGAGTTTGTGGAGGTCCTGGAAGGAGACGACGAGTGGTGGGGACCAGCGTCATCTGGAAGCGGTGCTCAGCCGAGCTGTCCCGAGGTGCACAAGATGGCACTGGAGATGGAAGAGCAAATGTCTATCGACTCGATGATCGATGAAATGAATGCCATTGACCTAGAGAGGCAAGCGCAACAGGACGGCATCGCGAATGATTTCGTGAACAACCTCAGGACGGACCGTCCTGCACGACAGAAGCCGCATCGGGTCGGAGTCCTTGCCTATGTCAAACGGGGTTCTGAACGAGATTTGCCCACAAAGAGCGAGCACATGCGTCTTACACGGGTCAGAAGAAACGCCGTAATGGATGATTGGAGCTCCCCGGACTATGATTAACTGACAGTGAGTGTTCTGGGAGAACAAGACGCACTGGCATATATCACACGCATGCACACGGGTTGAATTTCGTCATTCCAGCAGTGTCTTCAGTGCCTCTTCGACCCACAAGTGGTTTCCTAAATAGTCGCTGGAGACGCATCGAATTCTAAGGTTTAGTCGAGGGAGGAAATTGTTCGGTCCAGAGACGTGCAAAAGGACATCGAAGCCATCTCGATCAGATAGAACCATAATAAACAAACTATTAACAGAATTGCACTCCACGTTAGGCCAATGTTGCTCCCTCGCCCCCTCGCGATCGCACCCAATTCTTTCACGGTCCTTGGGCAGCCCCTGTGAGACGGATGCGCACACAATTCACGGAGTCTTGAAGGAGGCCCCCTGAGAGCCATGAGGAAGAATCATTACACAGAGCAGCTTTGCCGGCTACTCGTGTCCACGATTCTAGCTACCTAGGTAGTCACCTGGGCAGCGGCGCCGTCGGGAGCGATGCCCAGGTGCCTTCCCACCTAGCCTTGTCTCTGCGGCGCGAACCTGAGGCCACGTGCTCGCACATTTCATTCTCTCTGCAAAATCATTGGCACTGTGTTTTTTAAACGTTAGGTCTTGAGCATTTAGCACTGCATGAAGGGGCCAAGTATGTCTCCGGACTTATAAAGGCAGTTACATTTTACATAATGGGGAGTAGAAACAAAACCCAACTACATGTAGCAGTCGTCCTTCAGGATCGATCGATGCCATTTGTGATCTTCTTTTTGGATCACATTCGCCTGTCCAATCTGTCCAACCTCGGTGTGTATGTAGATGCTGTCATTACTGCTCGTTTTAAAAGGTTTTGTTTTAAATAACGCTGGAAATTCTGTCCGATACATGCCCACTGCTAGATCATCAAAGAAGGGTTGCGTGATGTTACAATAGAGCCCATATGGGTTATCGCACAAGATATCAACCCAAGGGTGTTTGGCCGCTGGGAAACCTATAGAGTAGTGTCATACAAGAGATGTTTGGGGGCTATATTATAAGAGATGAACCCAACGCAGTATATATCAATTGATCTTGGCCAACTTACAAGAGAAGCCCACTATCAATCAACAGCTATGGTGAACCGGCAGACTTCCGCCTATAAATACCATCAATAGTATAATCCTTCTGCGGCCCACTAACAGCATACCCAATCCGCCACTCCCTGAGGTTCACAGCATTGAACACAAACTCATACTTGACGTCGTAAAAGTCCTCGACGCAGAGGTGGTCCGACCGCGCCTGCCACCCCTCGCCGCCTTCGCCGCCGCCAGAGTAGTCGCCACGGGCGTGGCCCTCGGGCACGAGGAACTCGATCTCGTGGAACAGGTAGTCGGCCCTCGCCTGCTCCTCCCCGCGCCGCGGGTCGTCCCGCGCGAACCCGTCGCCGGTGCGCGCGAACCACACGCTCAGCTTGTCGGCGGCCTCGTCGTACCGCCAGACGTACCGCCTCGTCGCGCGGAAGGCCATCCCGTTGGTCGCGGTGAACGTGCCCTCCTCGACGTAGAGGTACTCCATCCCGGGGTCGTCGTCGTCGTCGTCGTCTTTATCAACCTCGTCGTCGTCGTTGTGCGCAGGGGCTTGGTCACCACCATTGGTGGCGGCTGCGCACTTCCTCCCGTCCGCGGTGCCCCGCCGGAGGAGGAACCGCGCCGTCCCGCTCCAGTGGCCGCTCGGGTGCGACGGCAGCCTGGAGACGAGGTCGCGCTCAAGCTGCCACTCGCCCAGGAGCGACCTGAACACGGCCCTGGCGACAAATTTGCCTTTAGCCAGCCCCGAGACCGCGGTGTCGTTCGTCTGCCGCAAGCTCCTATCCACCTCAGCGTGCTGCGCGGGCGTCAGACCCTTGTTAGCGTAGCGCGCGGGCGTCAGGATGTCCATCGGCAAGCCCGCCGGCGGCAGCGGCGGCGTCTCGCCGGCCGTCATGAAGATGCCGAGGTCCAGCGCCGAGGCGAAGTCGTGCATCAGGAAGGGGTAGTCGCCCATCGGGAACTGGGAGGCCCGGCCGTCGCCGCGGAGGGCGGCGAAGCGCTGGATGGAGGTGTCGGACGCGAGGGCGTGCTGCATCGAGGGGCTGAGCCGCCCGCCTGGTTGCTGCTGCTGCTGCGCCCAGAGCTCGGTGAGGAAGCGCGCCTGCATCTCCATGACGCCCCAGTACGGGCTGCGGTAGAAGCCGACGAAGCCCAGGTTGGGGACATCGGGGTGGTGGGTGCCGTGGAATGCGAGGAGGACAGTATTGTCGAGGTTTGAGGGGTCGACTGCCAGCTTCTGTTGGATTTCTGGAGGGAGGAATGCGAGTGAAGGAGCTGCCTCGAAGCCGGTGGCCAGGACGATGGCGGCGACATCGGTGAGATGTGTGCTGTCGCTCTCGGACGACGTTGGAGAAATAGTGGCAGTGTTCCCAGAGATCGAGGACAGCTTTCCCTTGGAAAGCTCAATCAAACCGGAGCGGACAAAGTCCATGTACCAGTCGCTGACGGTGAGGTAGGGTGGGCTGGCAAGGTCTTCATCTGTGTGAGCAAGGAGCGGCGAGAATTCAGACTGGTCAGTGCCAAGCACGCTCTTGTAGATGCCATTGAACGTCTGAGCCGCTTCCACACCGATATGGCCCTGGGTGTTTGTGATGGGCTGCGCTCGGTTCGCCAGGTTGTATGAAGAGAGGTCGAGGGGTAGGAATGGCGCCGCAGGGCTGGTGACAACAGGGGTTGTGTAGAGCGGGAAAACCCAGACCGGCCGTTGGATAACGTGATGTATCTTGTACTTCTCGATCCCGGGGATGCGCCTTGGGCCTGCAGAGTTGACCGCAGAAGAGAGATGTGAGCCGATGGTGCCTGCGATCTCAACGCCAGACATCTGCCCACCGACCACGAGGATCTTGCCGCCGTCCCCGGACGCACCCGGCAGCAGGGTCTCGAGGTCGCGATACTGGCTGCTGTGAACCACGGGGATCCCATGCGCTTCTCTCAGCCCTGAGACCTGAGGCGTAGCGGGTTTCCCGAAGAAGCCAGAGGCGATGAGGAGGTAGTCGTACTCGTTCTCATCAACGACCCCGTCCTCCGACCTCGCAGTCACGCGCCATCTCCTCCCAGGCTCCTGGTCCAGGGGCAGCGCCTTCTCCACCTTCCACCCCAGCCTCAGCCGGAAACGATCCTCCTCAAAGGCGCAGTACCTCCTCAGGTACCTCTGCAGGTACCTCCCGACCTGCCACGCCCTCGGGAGCTGCGGCGCCCTGCTGTCCCAGGCTAGATCGCTGAACTGCACGGTGTTGCGGCTCTGGTTGAGCACCATGAGCGGGTGCACGAGACCTGCGCCATCGGCCTTGTCGACGGGCCAGAGACCGCCGATCCGGGGCTGGGCGTCGTAGACGGTGACGGAGAAGCCGGGGTCGGAGCCGGGGGCGTGGTGGAGAAGGGTCTTGGCGGCCACAAGACCCGAGGGGCCTGCGCCGACGATACACACTGTCTTGGGTGCCATGAGACGATTCAGCAATGAGGAGGCAGGGCGGGATGCTCGCAGGTTGAGCCGGGGAGCCAGAACCACGACGCTCAACGAGAGGCTCAGAGACCGGGAGATATGCGGCTCAATGATCAAAGCTCTCGATCCAGCAGAGTTTCACACGAGGCCCGTCAGCACAGCGTCATGACTGGAGCAACACGACAGAATGGGTCTTGGAATCGCCAGTCGGTGTGAGCAGCATGGAGACACCGGCGGGTGATCTCACGTAAGGTTGTTAGCGCTGTGCGATCCTGGCACGGGAGAGACGACGACAGAGATCTTGAGGTGAAGTTGACCAAGACGTCAACAGCTGATGATTACATAAGCGACAATTGACTCATCCAAGTCATGTCTCCCTGACGGTCCCTTTACGAACTGGACCACATCCCAGCACACCCTTTATCGATATCTTTTTGACGCAGAGCCTTACCTTCCTCACTTACATGATACTCCGAGACGTGTGTGCGCGGCAACATGTTTATCCTATAGTGTCACCAGGAGGGGAGGATCAAGAACTAAGAGCCGCTGGGAAGCCACGCCGTTTATTTAACTCGAACGAGCCATCACGGCCAGTGGGTACCGTGACATATAGCGCCATCAATGAATAGCTGATTCCACTTGACGCGAGCACGGATGTCTTAGCCCTAAGCGATGGCACCTGGGGCTTTGAACACAAAATCCCAAGCGAATTGGTGCACATGTACCTACCTGCATGTGGGTATGTAAGAGGCCAAGATACACGCCGAGGCCTACATCGACCAGCTTGTTTCCTCCTAAAGGAGCTGTCAGGACTTCTCAGTCTGCTCCGAGCCAGAAGGGGGCGGGGGCCGTCCCCTCTGGCACAGACAAACCCAGCGAGCATATCTTCCGACGATGCCGTCGACTAAGAACCTACCTCTGCCCCGAAGTTCCGGGCCCAAGTATGCGACCTGCGACAGGCGTAGTAGGACTAGGACGCGGAAGGCCAGCTACGAGTAAGTCCGCAGCCCCAAAGAGCACGAAGCCAACGATCAGGTACAGTCCGGGCCCGTAGGTCGCCAGGAGGAGCAAATCCTCAAGCCCGAGATGGCCCTCTGTCTAATCCCCGGTACTTCTTCGTACATGTCGGGGCCGCAAGCTGTGCAGCCCGGTACTTACTTGCCTGCTTGCTTGCCTGCGCTGCACAACAAACATGCCGGGCAGCTTTCAGTCGGATCGAGAAGAGCCAGTGAAGTCCGCTCGTTAACTCCGAGCCGCCCGACCACCGCCCCAGGCACGGGAAACACAAAACCGCCGCGAGTCTGAGACACAGACACGACCACCATGTCTTGACTTGAGGGGTCCACCATGACATGACGTCCGACTCACCTGACAAATAGCTGCTGGCGGGGGGGCCCAGGGACATAGATCCCCCAGGACCAGGCCGAACGTATTCGGACCCCCTGTCAACCCTGACTGACCTATTCCGATCCTTCCATGAACGTATCGTTCATTCGGCTTCCACCGCCCGTCTCAATTCTCGGCGCGGTATTCATTGATGTGAGCAGCCATCCTCCTCCGATGGCAGATTGCGAGGTAGCACAAGAAAAATGCGCGAGCACAGGCAGTCAAGAAAAGACCACATGTACCGATCCACCTAAACGGACCAGATTCCCGGGGGCTGCAGCGCCAGAGAGAGGGAGACCGCAGGCATGCATACTGACCCTTACTGCCCCGGCGGTAGTGAGTTAGCAGCCCACCTACCCACCACGTAGTCGCCCGAGGACAGACAGACAAGAAACAAAGAGAAGAAGAAATAAAAAAAAAGGCCATGCCGGCGAATAAGGGGGACTTCGGTCAGCTCCAGGCCACCTCGACGGTCCGCGGCCGAAAAAAGCGATTGGCCCACCGTTATCCCTGCCACCCCTACTCCTGCACGGCAGCATGCCGTGTACCTCTCCTTACCTGACCATACCATGCGAGGGGGGAGAGAGCCTCCCTCCCTCCACCTTAGGAAAGGTCCCCAAGTTGCCAGCCGCGCAATTTGAGGTCTGACGACCACGTGCCTGCTGCAGCACCCGTCCAACCAGCCAACCCAACCTGGGCTACGAGGTCCGCTGAGCCCACCACCCCCTGCTTCCGCAAAACCAGCCAGCCAGCCAGCCAGTGGGAGCGAGGCGCCGGCCGCCATCCTAGCCGGGCCCTCTCTCTTTCTCTCGGCCACTGCATACGCTTGCGTGAGGATGCTGTCTTCGATTACGAGCCGCTTCGGGTAACCCTCCTCCAGACCTGTTGTTTGAGAACCGAGTCCGAGTCTTGCGTGGGGAGCGTCGATGGCGAGAGCTCGCTCAAGAGGATGGAACAGACGCGACGTTCTTTTTCCATCCATACCGGAGCCAGATAGCACAGTGGCGCAGCTGACTGACCGACCCTGTAGCTGCCCAGACGCTGTGCGCTACTCAGTCGGTCATGCACCACATGGGGGCCATGAACGTCGCAGAACAGACAACGAGACACATGAACAAAAACATCCCGACCAAACGACAGCAGTGACAGAACGGGCCGCTTGGATTGATTATGCACGGCAACTGGGACCTTCCTTCCTCCCCCAAGACCGGTGAGGTGAATCGACGCCATGGAAGCTTCGTTCCGTCCCCATTACCGTGGGCGCCGAGCCTCCGCAATATGGGAAAAAGAATTGGCGCAGGCCCGCACACGGGGAGCCGCAGCTGGCCCCATGCCTTCTTGTGTCGCACACGGCGGGTACGTGCCTCGTCGGGTCTTCCTGGGCGTGTTCTAAAGCCGCCGGCGGATGATGGTGCCAGTCAGTCAGCCAGTCCGTCCCATCACTTGAGAAATCCTCTCCTTGTCTCCATCGGGAATGTCCGTGTTGCCAACCGTTGGTTTTGTCTGGATCGGTGATCATGTATCTTGCCGCGGGCCGATGCAACGCGGTTGGCGGGCGGACTCGTCGGTTTCTCGTTCTTGTGCCCATACGATCGGCCACGCGGGCCCGGGTCAAGGTGGGCCCAGGCGGGCGAGGCACTTTGCTAATACCTTCCGATGGCTTCGAGACCGACCTGAGCGAATTGCCGTGGATGCGAACAGCCAACAGCCAACAAGTGGAACTGTTGCAAACTGCAGCAGCACATTTCGAAGCACCCGCCGAGTTTGCCAGCGGGCCACCACCGCCCCAAGAACTGCATCGTTCTACAAGCTGAAAAATCCCCCCCCCCCCCCAACACCAAGGCCAGCCAGCCCTGATGGCACAGCATCAGGCTAGCTGACACACAAACCACATGAAGGCCCTGTCGTGTCGTTATCAACCACGCCCGGCACCCAGCACCTCGTAACGTAGCGCCGAGCCACGTGTGGACGGTGTTGGATCCCGCTGTCACTGCTGCAGTCCTGTCCTGCCTCTCCCAGACTCCGCCGAACCGGTTGCTGCGGGGTTGTCGAGCAGACAGATACAGCAGAGCCAGTTGTTCGCGGCCTGGCTCGCGGGTCTTGGTCCGCTCACCAGCCGGAAAGCCAGCCAGCAGTTGGATTAAGCTTCCCCGTAGCTAGCTCGACGGCCTCGGCTCTTGTGAGGAGCTTGGAGCGAATGCTTGGCCTTCGGAGGGTAGTTGCTGGCGGCGCGCTCTGGGCGAAAAGAAAAGCTTCAACCGATTAAGTAGCCTTGCCGAGCGGCGCGGCGCGGCGTGCGGGGCACCCACAGCAACTTCGCCTGTGCCAAGCTCTTGATCCTGCCCACGACGACTTTCAACTCCCGAGTGACGGGTGACTTTTGTTAGGGGGACAGTTTGGTTATTATTAGCGACGGTTTATTATCGTCGTCGGGTAGGGTATTCGATCAATCTTTCTGCGCCTCTGCGTTCTCCTCGCCCGGGCAATTGTAGGCCGGCCAGCCGAGCCCACTCTTCCATCCTCCAGGCAACGTATGTATGTGCTCCGTGGCATTCCAGCACATTCCCATCAACCAGAGCATGGGTGCCTGATTAGTTCTGGCGGTGACGGAGGGAGAGTGGGCGCACAGGGACGATTGTCAACCCAGCTCGCGTCGGTCGCACCCCGCCGATGCGCCCTGCCTGTGTGACGGTTGGATCTCAGACATGCCGCATTCGTGTCGAGCGGCGTCAGATCCCAGGCCCAAAAGGGGGTTTCGGTGATCGCAGATGTGTGCCACGACGTGCCTCGCTGAAGTGTCTGTCGGCTTTGTGGAAGTAACTTGACATCGCATACAGACTTGCGCACATTCGACGCTGCCAGGGGGGGTTCGGTCAGTCACTCCAAGCAAGCCAGGCAGGAAAAGAGCTGGCGATGCGATGGACAAGACAAGACGCCCCGTAGGCACCATCAGCCAAGGAAGTGGGCGTCATCTTGCTGCGATTGTCTCAGATCTGGGTGCCATCCTGATGCCACGCTGCACGAGGAGATAGCCATGTTGCCGGATGTGGTTTGCCTGGCACAGGTGGGTGCCGTGTGTGGATGTGGTGTGGTGCATGTGGTATGAGGGCAACTGAAGGGAGAGGCGAACTGGCAGTGGTTGGGATACGGTGCGACGGATGACCTGCATTTGCATTGGGTTGGGGGCCAGCGATTGGGGAGGGCGAACTGTCGCTTCCCAGCAGCCGGGACATAAGTGCTGCATGGCCCACGGGGCATCTCAGACAGTAATCTAGGCGAAGTGTACAGACACAGGCACAGGCACAAATTAATAAAGGGACGCAACGCAAGTACAAGCTGACACTGACAGGCAGGCCATGGCAGACTCGTGGCCATTGGGAGACGGCGATACAACGCACAAGACATGTTATGCCATGCAGAGCTATTTCGTAGAAATCGTAGAAATTCAAATAATGGTGCGATGTCGGCACGCAACGCGGCTGGGTGGTGGAAAGGTGCAGAAACAGCATGCAGGGACATGACACAGGATGCCAAGATGCCCAATCGAGGTGGATGCCCCGATGCTGTGTCCCGGAAGTCGAATCCAACCGTCGTCCCCTTCGCAGTCTTGCCAACATATTGATACATCAATGCTCGCCCGCGGCGTCTCTTGGGGGCCCCATCCGATGCGCCGAGGGCCTTGGGGTGGTGGGGACGAAGCTGCATGACGTGCGATACTGCCTGGTCGATATCTGACAACTCGGGGTTATCTGTCGGGAGGGAATTCGTGAGAAAAGCAGGCAAGCAGGCTGGCGATGATGCCAAGGTAAAGAGGAGAAGAGGGTCCCAGGTCATTCATCACTCGAATAAAATCGAATCGAACCAACCCCAGCAGCCCCAGGTAGGTGCTCCCCCACCCTCCTGCCCCCACCGAGGCGCTAAGCAATCCACCTCCGCATCTGGGCATTTTAGCAAGTCTGGGGCAGGTCAAGGATCACCCCAGGCTTGTTTTTTGCGGCTTCCAAGCTTTACTCCGTACTGCCGTTCTCCACTGCTTGCCGGTCCCTCTGCCGTTCATCTCTTGTGTGGTTTGTGCTGTTCGTAATCTGGGGGAGCCCCGCGTGATGTGGGATTTTGGAGGAGGCTCTCAGTGAGTGACACGGAGAACCCCAAGTTTGCACGAGTTCAGGTGTACTCCGTAACTGGTAGTAGCCGTATCTCGAGTACCTTTGTACCCTCGTACCCCCGTACCCTCGTACTCCCGTACCTCCCTCGGTAGTCTCGCTCCCTAATACGTGCTCTGTGTCCTTCCAGCCCGCTGCCAGCCATGCGTACCTGCCATTCTAGCCCGTCTGCCCGTCAGATCTGAGCTTCCAAATTGGTGGCCCAGATCCTGCCGGCAGTGTTGTGTAAAGTGACCCCCTTCCTACCACATCCATCCCCTCCCCGCCGTTGCAGAGCAAGGTACAAGGTAGGTGCGGGTCGACGGCCATCCTGGGCGTGCCAATCCCCCACACCCACCCAGACCCAGGCTTGCCAGGCCCGACTGACTGATGAACGGATTGTAACTCTGGTCCCCTTCAGAGCCCACACGCATCACCCCTTCTCGACTCTTTTCTTCCAATCAGTCGACCAGCCGACAATCCTTGGATACCCACACTCTCTCTTTTGGTCTGCCCCCTCCGTGTCGCCGAGACCACCAAACACTCGCTCACTCGCTCCTCATCACTCACATACCCGTCCTTTTCCGCCCCTGCGCTACCTACCACATGCGGGCACACAATTTGTCACCACCAAACGGCATCGCCTGCGCCTGGAGTTCATGCTGACGACACCATCTGGTCTTTTCAAATACAGCCAGCCTCTCGTCCCCGATTCCTTCGAGAATTGTTGATCATACAAATCAGGTCAACAACGCCAAAAAAAAAGGCCAATTCACTGATCAGGACTACGCAAGGGTAAGTACATCAGCAACATCGTTTGCACACATGCAGTCAGTCACTCACAGCTCCATCCCAATCCCCACCCTTCACTCTCTACAACACAGTATATTCACTTCTGTTTTATTATGGGCCCCCGCCATGGGAATATTTATCTCCTCCCTCCCATGCCCCAGCTCCCCTTCTCGTCACACTCCCAGGTCCCAACTAGCCTTCTCCAAACCCGACTCTCTGGGCACCTCTGCGACCTGCGACTGCAGATCCCCTTCGTCCATCCCACTACCACCCCAGTCACCCGAGTCTATTCGCTCATCCTCGTTTGCCTTCCCCTCACTGACTTCATGACGATCATCCAGCGGCGGCATTCTTCTCTTTCTTTCTAGACTTTTACTCAAGTAGGCCACCACCTTGTGTATCTCGTGAACAATCGAGACGCAGCTGCCAGGAGACTGTGAGTATTTTCCGAAGCTACCTGCATCTTATTTATCCCTCGATAGCACTTGGACCATGGGGATCTTGCACAGTATACCGGCAGCTCTCATTTGGGGGCTCCATCCAATCCTTTGCTCGCCTGGTCTTGCAGCTCTCGTGTGAATCAACCCTAGAACTTGCGCACTGACAGACCGCAGCCTCATTTCGCTCTGGTTTAGCCCACGCGGCCGCGAGGACCAACCGACTTGCTGTCCTGTTCTTGACGTCAACGGCCGACAAGATGGCCACCAACGGAAACAACGTCAACCTGTCCGACAATGACACGGAGAAGGCCACAGCAGTGCAGCAGAACTATGTCGGCACTCTGCGGGATCTGCCCCCGGACCCCGACGCTCACCTGTCCGAGGCGGAGCGGGCCAGCATCGACAGGAAGCTGGTCTGGAAGCTGGACCTGGTCATGATCCCGTGGCTGAGTCTGCTGTACCTGCTGGCGTTCCTGGACCGCACAAACATTGGAAACGCCAAGATCGCCGGCCTGGGCGAGGACCTGAAGATGAACACCCAGCAGTACAACGATACCCTGACCATCTTCTTCATCTCCTACGCGTTGTTCGAGCCTCTCACCAACATTCTCCTGAAGCGCCTGCGCCCGTCCATATTTATCCCCATCATCATGTACGTTGCCAATGATACCTCCTTCATAACACCTGCTGCCTGCCGAGGACATATTCTAACCATGGCGTAGGGTTCTGTGGGGTGCTTGCATGGTTGGCATGGGATTTGTCAAAAACTGGTCTGGGCTCATGGCTGCCCGGTGGTTTCTGGGTCTCACCGAGGCCGGTCTGTTTCCCGGAATCAACTACTACTTGTCCTGCTGGTACAAGAGATCTGAGTTCGGCGTGCGAGCGGTTAGTATCTACCCTGTGCGCTTCCGATCACAAAAGATTGCTCTGGCTGACCAGACTTGCAGGCTATCTTCTTCTCGGCTGCTGCTCTTTCAGGATCCTTTGGTGGCCTCCTCGCTGCCGCCATTGAACAGATGGGAGGTGTGGGAGGCAGGCCCGGTTGGGCATGGATCTTTATCCTCGAAGGCCTGGCAACGGTCATCATCGGCGCCATCTCCTTCTGGCTGGTCCACGACTTCCCCGACGAGGCCAAGTTCCTCTCTGACGTCGACAGGGTCCGGGTCATCCGCCGCCTGAAGCTCGACCAGCAATCCTCAGCGGAGCACGAGGACTTCTCCATGACGTACTTCTGGCAAGCGTTGAAGGATTGGAAGATGTGGCTCGGAATGGCGATATACATGGGCTGCGACATGCCCCTCTACGGATTCAGCCTGTTCTTGCCCACCATTATCAAGAATGCAGGCGTGGCTGCTCCAACCGACGTCGTCCGGCAACAGTTGTACAGCGTTGCGCCCTACGCCTCCGCCGCCGTCCTGACCGTCGTCGTCGGATTTGTAGCCGACCGCACACAAGCCCGTGGGCTCTGCAACATCTGCGTGTCGTCCGTGGGCATCGTCGGGTTCGCCATGCTCATCGCGACCAACGACCCGTGGGTCCAGTACGCGGGCACCTTCCTCGGCGCGGCGGGCATCTACCCCTGCATCGCCAACACCATCACGTGGATGGCCAACAACACCGAGGGCGTCTACAAGCGCGGCGTGGTGCTCGGCTTCGTCATAGGCTGGGGCAACCTCAACGGCGTGGTGTCGTCCAACATCTACTTCCGCGGCCCCCGGTTCTTGGAGGGCCACGGCGTCGTCCTCGCGTACATGATCCTCTTCTTGCTCGGGGGCTCTGTCCTCATGACGCTAGGCCTGCGGGCGGAGAACAAGAAGCGCCGCAGCGGGGGCCGCGACGACTGGGCTGCTGGCAAGACGGAGGTTGAGATCGAGAAGATGGGCGATCGCCGGCCTGACTTTTTTTACACGACTTAGTGGTCCTTCGTGCACCGCCTCGCCGCTCCACATACAGATGTGACGGCGCACGGGGAGGGGAATGGTCGGTCGAGCAGGAGATTTTGGATTGGGTTGTGACTTTTTGCGATGCGTGGGTTGTGCTGGGAAATGACTTCTTTCCGCCATAGTCGAGCGGACGCTGCCGCTGTAGATGCTCCTTGCTCCGGAGCGGTGCAGGGGGGCGTCCATCCCGACGACTAGGTGTTGGTGGCGTCCTCTGATTCGAGGGGGGCTCAAGGTCTCCTTTACTGCGATGTGCTTTACAGACCGTTGCGTGTCACCACCAACCATCCTACCACATGGGAGCGGAGCTATCACCCACCGATGGAAAGTGGCTAGGGGCTCGACCTTTTTGCTTTGCAGGCATATGATTCCCCAACCTCGTGCAAGTGCGAGTGCGATTTGGATTGGACTTTCCAGGGTTTTCTTTTTTTTTGCTAGGGGGTGTATCTTGGGAGGCGCCCACGGGCGGGATTGTACATAGGTGCTGCTGCAGTGTGTCCATCTCCACCAATTGAAGATATGTGAAAGGATTGTGTTGTGCCCCAGTTGCTCTTGGGGTTTATTATTGCTGTCATGTACTTGTGATTGTAAATGATTTTGGGCACCATTTTGTCGTGTCGACACTTTTATGGTCGGTCCAGCTAGCATCATCGCATGCGGTCAGTCTATTTAACGTGTGTGTGCCCAGCTGGGGGCGAGGTTGCCTACGGCGTGGATGATGCATGTGCCTCATCTCGGAGAAGAGACGTGAGTGATAATGGATACAGGGCGTGCTGTCTCGGGACATCTAGAGGACCCAGCCAGCTAGCCAGCCAGCTAGCCAGCCCTCCCTCTAACAATCAGAGGGTACAGTGGTGGTTATTTGTAGTCGGGCCCGAAGCACTCACTCGTCTTGGAACCAATCGACCGACTGGCCCACTCGCAGTTGGAAACCCTGGCTTAGTCTACCAACAATCGTTCATATTAGTATAATATAAAATATAATTAGGATTATACAATTTTAATTATTTTAATAATTAAAAGTATATAAATTTTAAACTCACTTTATTTATAATTTTTATTAAATTATTTTAAACTTTTATTATTATTTATAAATTATAAATTTATATTATAAACTTAAAACTTTATAATAAAATAATATTATATATTAATACTTTTTATATATTATAATATTATAAAAAACTATTTACTTTATTAAAGTAACTTAAGTAAATTAATTACTCTTTTTAATAATTAGGCCTCCTATAAGAGTGTGTAATAGCTGTAGATACATAAAGCCTCACCGAGTCTGCTTATAGTTCTATTAAAGACCTTGCTAGGGGCTTGTGGGAGTATCGTGGGACTTGGAATGGTAGTCTCTTGGCCGGGGGTCTGTTGTGTAAGCAGTTAAAAGATGGATTAGCTGAGATGCAAGGTTGAATGAAGGGACGTGACGGGCTAATTTGACCAGGAAGAACAGAATTATCACACTGGAATACCCGCCGTGGCTGCCGCGAAACAGGTTTTGATTCGAGACAGGGAGGGGAGTGGCTTTAAGGTGCATCCTGTGTGACCTCATTTGCAGCGCCAGCGAGAGGAAAATGAATTATCATATGTTGTGAGACACCTGACACCCCACTCCCCGCAGACCGGTCACCTAATTGCGTTCTTTTGATGTACATGGGCTCTTTACTGCCCTAAAATCCATTTATTTCCTATCTCCCCCAAAACCTTTCATGTCCTACCTCCCCTGTTTTTATCACAGGCTATAAACGTGAGATGAAGTATACCTGACAACTCAATCTTTCGAGATCCTCAAATATCAAAAGCCACAAATCATCCACCAATCAGAATGGAACTCACGAAGAAGCTCAAGGGAAAATTTCGCCTTCTCACTTCCAGGGCCAAACATGATCAAAAACATCAAAAAGTCGACCAGCCTCCACGCGAGCAGCAGCCCAAGAGCCAGAAGGCTACCAGCAGCCAGCCAGGTCCTTCAGGCCTGCCGGAACGGTCCAATAGGCCATCCCGACCTGAGCCCACAATCGCCGACGTACCGATCAAGGACCTTTGGGATCTGGCCTACGAGAATCTGCACAAAAGCGATAAAGAATCCATAGACGAATACGAAGCCAAACTCCGCAAGAACTTCTCTGCTACTCTAGTCTCAACCGTCGGCATGACTCCTCGGGCTGCCAGGAGAGACCGGATGCACAAAATTCTTGAGCGCAAGATGGAGGAAATAAACAGAGACACGTGGAAGCTGAAGTTCGGAAGCTCGGAGGTCCAAGTCAAGGATTTGGTACAGCCCGTTCTCGGGGTCGTCAATTGGGCCAATGAGTACGTCACTGGTGCTGTGAGTGCAAACCCGACTGCCTCACTCGCCTGGGGAGGTGTCAGTCTCTTGCTGCCGGTGAGTAAATTAGCGCGTGTCCCGATTGTGTCTGCCCTTCGGAAGCTAAATATGGAATCATCCCTGAAGCTCTTCTTGAACCCTTCCAAGCAAGCCTCAGCACTCGCTCAGGGTTTGGAACACATCTCATTCCTCATTGATCAGAGCCGAATGTGGGAGAGTCTCTATCTGCGACGCTACGAGTCACACACTAGTGAAAACCAACAGGGCTCACAGCCCGGGGACGAACTCACTATATTCAAGGATTCTTTACAGAAGCTCTATCAGGAGATCCTCAAATTCCTCATTGAGAGTTACTGCTACTATGATAGCAATGGTGTGACTCGCCTCGGTCAGGATATGATCAAATGGAATGAGTGGGATACGATGCTGGCATCGATACAAGACCGTCAGAAAAAGTTTTCTGACACGTTGTCTGCCGTCAACACTCTTTGGGGGGATTCGCAATTTGACGAGGAACAACTAGCAGCAACAAAGCGACATCAAGAGGCTCTTCTCCACTGGCAGAGCATAGGCACCGATGTCTCGGGGTTACTAGACGCTGTCAAGCAGTCTAAGGCGGATGAGGCACGTGATGGCCTCCTCAACTGGCTGTGTCAAGTGGATGCCTCTGTGCTGTATAATCGCGCCCACGGCAAGCACACAAACGGAACAAGCAACTGGCTGGTGCAGGGTAACAAGGAATTCGAGGCTTGGAAGAAATCACCAAGTTCGCTGCTTTGGCTCCATGGCAAGCGTAAGTTCACGCATCGCTACTCGCTCCGAACCACCTTTCATTAATCATCAATAGCTGGATGTGGCAAATCGGTCCTGAGTTCGTCTGCTATTAAACACCTTAAGGACCGAGTTGAATTGGACCCTCAGACCGCGTTGGCATACTTCTTCTTCGACTTCCGCGGTGAACAGACAAAGAAAGTCGACATAATGCTCTCATCCCTTATCAGGCAATTGTATGCCGAGAGGCCTGATAAAACGGAGCCCGTTGAGAGGCTTGGCCATCTCAAGGCGAGGGGTGAACGTCCAGACACCGAAAAACTCGAGGCCGCACTTTTATCCACCACTATCGGATTTTCAGCAGCTTTCATTGTCATTGACGCTCTAGACGAATGTCCAACTCTGGATGGTGAGCGGCATAAACTCATAAACACCCTTGCTCACATCATACAAGACATGCCAGCCAATGTTCATGTTATGTGTACCAGTCGACCAGAGCCAGACATCGCTGCAGGGATGGAATGCATGCTCTCCCCATCTTCAAAAAGCGTGATCGACCTAAGCAATCAATCGCATAGCATCAATCACGACATTGAGCTATATATTGACTCAATGTTCTCATCTCCTGACTACCACTCATGGACCGGTGATCTCAAGCAAGAGGCAAAAGCCGCACTAACGGGTAAAGCAGACGGGATGTAAGTGCCCACGTGCTCAAAAAGAAGCATGATCATGAGGTCGTCTAATGGCCGAATCAGGTTCCAATATGTCCAGTGCCAGTTCGATGCCCTCCAAAAGCTTCCATATCCGACTGAGAAAATTATTCGGGGGCAACTGCGTCACCTCCCACAAGGCCTCGACGAAACATACGAGAGGATGCTAGAGAAAGCAGATCCACGTATTTTAAGCGTTCTCAAGTGGCTGGCTTCGTCGACTAGGGACCTCAGTCTTGGGGAGTTGGCGGAGATCTCGGTTTTCGACCCCGAAACGAAAGAACCTTTGGGCAAGAACTCCCGGCTCCCCGCGCCCGAAGCCTGCATCAAGCCAATATCCGGTCTCATCATTACGGAGGAGTCGCGAGGACGCTATCCCGGTGTCCATGTGCGACTAGCCCATTTCACGGTAAAGGAGTATCTCATGTCTGAACGCATTGTCAAGGGAAAGGCAGCTTACTTCAGTTTCACGGAAATCGAGGCCAACCTACACATTGCCCACATGTCGCTGAGCTACCAGTATGTTCACCTTCAGAATGTGCGCGACAACAGCATCGCCTGGGAAGTCGAGTTTGACTTCCCGCTCGCACGATATGCATTACACAGCTGGGCGCCCCATCTCGAAATTGTACCGCGTGATAAGTGGCCGGCTGACGTCGCTCGCCTCGCCAAACTTGCCCTGACCATGCGCAGCGACTGCGTGCGCACAACAACTTGGAACGGATTTGAAGACCCGATTTACGAGGACATTGACTTCCTCTTGGTACGAAACCTTTTTTCCGGTGATTTCGAAAGGCCATTCTTTTATCCCGCTCGGAGTGGATTCACCAAGATCACCGAGATGCTCCTCGAAGGAGGCTTCGGCACGAATTGGTACTTGACGCAGCAGGACATCGACAAAACTCTTGCTGAGGCAGCACGAGGAGGAAACATTGACACCGTAAAAATGCTCATAGGCAAGGGCGCAGACCCAAAAGCACAGATCGGCACACTGGGAGGTGCCTTACAAGCGGCAGCATTTGAGGGGCACGATGCGATTGTGAATCTCCTCCTCGATCATGGCGCCAGTGTCGATGCACAAAATGGTAAAATGGGCTCAGCTCTACAGGCTGCTATATTGGGTCGACATCTTACAGTTGCGCAATTGCTCGTAAGACGCGGCGCCGATGTCAATGCATATTCAGTTGCAGCCGGATGTCCCTTGATGTCAGCAGCAGAGGGTCTTCTCCCACACGCCGCTCCATCAGGCGAATGTTTGGAATTTCTCCTTGATAATGGCGCCGACATGAACATGCAATGCATCAATCGTGGGACAGCACTGCAACTTGCGGCTGCGAATATGGGTACATGGGGCTACAGGGAGTGTTACGACTTGCTCCTGAAGAATCGCGCCGACGTCAATATTCCGGGTGGTCAGTACGGTGGTGTACTACAGGCGCTATGCCAGAATGAATACGCGAAAGTATCGGACATCCAGTTGCTATTGGACAGAGGCGTCAATGTCAACGCAGAAGGTGGCAAGTACGGCAGTGCCCTACAGGCTGTGTTCGCCAGCAGTGCTTCATTGGAGGAAAAGACGGGAATTGTGTCGCTCTTGCTTGAAAAAGGCGCAAAGGTTAATATGGAGCGGGCCCCGGGAGGCTACTACGGGACAGCGCTACAGTCGGCGTCAGCAAGCTATTATTCATTTCCTCTTGTGGAATTACTTCTACAGAAGGGGGCTGATGTGAAAGTAGAGGGAGGATACTACGGGAGTGCCTTACAGGCAGCTTGCGCACGGGACCCAAGAGTAGACTTTGACACAGTTGAGCTTCTGCTCGACTGGGGCGCCAACGTCAACTCGACGGGAGGCGAGTTTGGTTGTCCGCTGCAGGCCGCGGCTTTGGAAAGATACGGAGACACTGACGTCTTGGAGCTACTGCTTGACAATGATGCTGATGTCAACAAGGCGTGTGGGCGCTATGGCAACGCTTTGCAGGCAAGTTGTGTGAGTGCGGATGTGGACAACGTGCGATTTTTGCTTGACCGCGACGCCGAGATCAACGCGTCGGGCGGAGAATATGGAACCGCCCTCCAAGCGGCGTGCGCGGTAGGAAGCAGGGGAATAACGAGTCTGCTGGTGGAGCGTGGTGCTCATATTCACGTACAAGGCGGTAAGTTTGGCAGTGCCTGGCACGCCGCCGCGGCCAACATCCGGGCTGACAATGAAATATTACAATTACTGCTGAAACATGGAGCAAAGGTCAACGACAAACAGGGATCTCAATACGCCACCGCCCTTCAGGCAGCACTTGAGCTTGAGTGCAATGACTACCGCGACTTGCCGATCAAAAGGATTCAATTCTTGCTCGACCACGGTGCCGATGTCAACATCGGAGGCGGAGTATACGGCTTCCCGCTACAATCGGCTTGTGCCAACGTCTACGGTATGAAGCTTACAATCTTTCTGCTCGACAAATGCAACAGGATTGAAGTCAACGCAGCAGGGGGTATCTTCGGCTCGGCTCTCCAAGCAGCGGCGCATTCGGGTCAGATAGAGTCTGTTCGTGAGCTGCTAAAAAGGGGGGCTAAAATCAACGCACGAGGGGGTAAATATGGCAGCGCACTAAACGCGGCTGTGCTCAAAGGGTTCTGGGATATCGTTGAATTGCTGCTTGAGAAAGGTGCAGACCCGGACAGCCGGCAGCTACCCCAGCCCGACGAGGAGTGGCTTTCAAATGTTCGCTCCACATTTTTCGATGACCAGGAGCCATGGTGGAGCGAAATTGAGCTCCAAGAAGGTGTCAGGGATGAGAGACTGCGTGAGCGTGCCTGGGACGAGGCTGGTCGGGGTGCTGTGGAGCGTTATAGGAAGTTCTGGGTAGAGACCGCAACTCGATAAGGCGGCGGGCGATACGTGTGCCCCAAGATCTCTTTCTTAATTTTCACGGACTTATAGTACTCATATAATGATTTATCATGTGATGGTTTGCAACCACCGACTTACAACCACATAGGCTAGAAGAACTACAATAAACGACAGCCCAGGTGTCCACCTGTCATCAACAGTGCCTATATCTGTGCCATCACAACTAGATGCAGCCTGCCCCGCAGAAAAGCATATCCAGACTCCAAGGCAGCAGTCCCCTTTGCGGTGTCTCTAGAGGTGCATATTCTTCCATGAGGTATGCGTAAGCCTTCAAAATCGACATTTTTATTCAACAGATACAAGCAGCTGTCATCATCCTGAACATTGTTTCTGCCTATTTGTAGCACAAAGCTGCTGCCTTGAGAGACAGGCATGTAACAGACACTGCGATGCTATGAATTCAGATATTAAGAGGGCGTTGTGCGATTGTTTCCGGATTTTGTACGCTGGGGCGATAGAAGGTCAGAGGCCGGGATGAAGGTCGACATTCTACTGGAGAAGAATCACAAGGAGGACCCCGATGCTGAGCTGCCGGGCTTCTTTGCATCCAGGGGCATCCGTTCGGCATCGGCACCACCGCCATGTGAGGACCGGCCACCACGCTCGTGGGAACCTTGAAATCTCACCGCCGTGACGCATTCTGCGGGCTGCAGCCCTGCACATAGCCCTACCACCCACCCGGGACGATGGAAGGACCTCGACTTGGACTCGGGTCACCACACGACTTGGAGTTCTCTACAAGTGAGCCACACGAACCCAAGCCATGCGGCGACCGGCGCTCACAGGCCAACCAAGGGCACAGGGAAGGGTTGCAAAGAGAAGGAATGGCGTTGGTGATAGACGGGGACTGGGGAGGACAACTGATCAGAGGCGGGTACTGTTTTGTTTTGCTCTGGTTGTTTGGCTGTGGTATGGGTGGGCACAGTATCAGCGTTGATATTGGGAGATTTGGACAACATACGGAGCAGACGGCGGTGGAAAGCATCTTGGTATCTTGGTTGGTCTTGACATAGCACGGGGCGAATGTGATGGCGGCGTTTGCTTTTGTTAGTTCAAATCTTGCATCTCACTTTTCCACGCCGCGGCGTGCCCGTCTAAATGACTGCACTGTGCATCACATCGCCTGTCCGTCCCACAACAAACATGCTCAGGCGGGGGGAAACGCTACTTACTGAAGATACTCCAACGATCGGGCCCTTGTCCATGCCGCCCACCCCCACAACCTGTGGTGCTGCGAATGCCAAAGCTGACTGGCTAACAACAGCGGAGCAAAGTACCGAGGCAGGGAGGGAGCGCCCCGCGTCCCGGGCCGGATGCGCAGCGAGACTCGAGATAGGCGAGATCCACACCAGACGTCATGTCACATCACCCGATTCGGTGCGACATGCCTGCGGCGCAAACAAAAATCCCTGTAAGAGCCACTGCGTGAGACAGACTGCTGCACCTTTGACAGCTTCAACCGTGCGTTCTTTTATCTCTGTGGTGTGTGTATCTATCTCTACGAGAACAACCAAGTTGAGGGATATCTGGACCGAACCCACGATGGCATCACAACAACACGCCGGCCCGGGCACCACCGCCGCCGACAATGATTTCCTCCCGGTGCTGACCCCCGAGACAACAACACAGGACGCCGGTGCAAGTGCAGGGGCCGAAGGGGAGGCGGAGGCGGACCAGATCTCGGCCGGGTTCTCCGCCGGCAGCCTGGCCCGGACCATCGGGCTGCCGACGCCCAGGCTCGAGCGCGACTTTCGCATGCAGGCGAGCCTCGAGGGCAAGGTCGCGCTCGGGAGGAGCTGCTGGGGCGAGAGGAACTGGATTGGGATCTGCGGCGGGGAGTGGAGCGCGACGTGGGGGAAGGGCACGGTGGTGGTGAGTTTTTTTCTTCATATACTTACTTGATCTATATTATCCTCCCGGGAAGACGGGGAGTCCTGTTCTGGCCAGCCCTGGCCTGAGTCTCTCTCACCCAGTCTCATGAACTATCTGCTTCACTCAAACTCATACCTAGGTACTGACTTTAAAACACCCCCAGCCCGGCGGCCAGGACGCCCAGCTCCTCACCGAGAAAAAGTCCACCTTCGTGGACACACGGTACCTCCTCGCCACGGCCGACGCGCCGCCCGCGCACATCATGGTGCGCACCGAGGGGTGGCGCACCGGCCCGCCCGACGTACTGACGCGGCTGCTCGACCCCGTCGAGGGCGACAAAGTATCGCCCGACGAGTACCGCTTCCGGATCTTCATCCGGCTCGAGACGGGCGACGACAGGTACCGGTGGCTGAACGAGGGCATGTGGATCGGGAGTGGTGTGCGCAGGGGGTTGGAGGGTGAGTGTAGTTGCTGCTGCTGCTGCTGCTATTCTGGCCGTTCATCGTGTCATGTCTCATGTCCTTCTGATAACTGATTGTCTGGCTGACTTTTGCTGTCAGTGATTTACGATGGCTACCGGCTTCTTTGAGCGCTGGCCACGTCAGGGCTGGGCAGTGACAGACCGGGCACGCGCCGCTGCATTGTAGCTTATTTATTAGGCTCCGGTGGTGACCGGCGTCTCCTCCGTCAGGGACGGAGGTGACACCAGTGGCCCTTCGATGCCGCTTTGCTGAGACCGGCCTGGAGGCCGGGCTGGAAGTTATAATGGCATTGTGAACAACCAAGAACGCTTTCTGTGCCCCCAAAACACAATCTACCACTGATCTTTGTGTACATGTTTACCGCCTTTGTCATAGCATCACTCAGCTCATAAGTTCCATCCATCCATTCATTGTTCAACCACAGCACGCGGGCGGTCAGTCGCCAAGACAAAGGCATTTAAAACGGAGCTTTCCCACACCTCTGGGACCAACAGGCCCTTGCCATGTGAGAGGAGCGCAACCAGGCCCGCCACTATTCACACTGTCCTCCCCCCCCCCCTTTTCGTTCGGCTTCCCACACGCACGAAAATCCCCTTTAATAATTAATAAAGCGCACAACATGGAGGCCGAAGGCTACACGCCCAAAACCCTCGAGATCGTCGCCCGGCGCGCCGACCCGGACGTCGCGATATCCCCCTACCAGGACTCGTGGCCCAAGACCTTCACCCGGGTCGCGGCCCGCATGCGCGCGGCCCTGGGGCCCCAGGTGGCGAGGCTCGAGCACGTGGGGTCCACGTCGGTCCCCGGGCTCGCGGCGAAGCCCATCGTCGACGTGCTCCTCGAGGTAAGTAACCCGGCGGACGAGGCGTCCTACCTGCCGGCGCTGGAGGCGCTGGGGTTCACGCTGCTGTTCCGGCAGCCCAAGTGGCACGGGCACCGGTTCCTGTTTGTCGACGAGAAGGACGTCGAGGTTAATGTCCATGTGCACCGGGAGGGGTGCCGGATCGCGGCGGATTTCCTGACGTTCCGGGAGTTCCTGCGGGATAATGCGTGGGCGCGGGACGAGTATGTTGAGGCTAAGCGGAGGGCTGCGGAGACGTCTAATGGGGAGAAGGGCGGGCGGCTGCGATACCAGATGGAGAAGGCTGAGGTGCTCAACCGTTTGAAGGGGTGGGCGCTTGGGGAGAAGCCGTCGCCTGCTTGTGCTGCTTGTTGTGTTGGGTAGGGTGGGTTGTTTGGACTGTACTCTAGCTGTGGTTGTTGATTGGCACATACTGTGTAATTCAGTAATTGTTAGATTGTTCTTTGATTGCTGTGTGAAAACACGGATATTTTAAGAGTCATGAAATGTGACGCAGCTGTTGATATCTTAAGCGGTATATATAGATGGCAGGTCACTTAGGTATCCAGGTGATAGCTTGTCATCCTTTCTCACCCTTCTAAAGTTTCACATATAAGCTGCAAGCCCCAATTACACTACAGCTTCATGTCTTTTAGTTGTCAGGGCCATGGGCTGATCACCCGCAGGACCAACCAGTAGTCCATACATACACCCTGCTTAAGTATCTTATCAGCCTGAGTGGCCTCCATACCTCTCACGACGTGGGATTGCAGCTTCACTGGTTCCTCCCTACTATTCCTTAGGCAACCATAGCTTTAAATCAACAATTCCTCTCAGACAATTTGAGCCTCTTTTGCCATCGGTCGTGAGGACCGTCTTCAGGCAGTGCGTCTGGCGCTGGTTCACCACCCACCAGCCAGGCCCTTTCAACTACATCTCTGACATTGACTTTGCCAGGGACGGATTCACTAATGTGATTAGCCACATGCCGCGCTGCGTTCACAAAAGCGCGGACGGTCTGATTGAGCTGCAGACCTCCGTGTGTCATTTTAATGGATACACTGTAGGCGTACGCAGGGCAGACCTCTACGTCAACCTATAAAGATCATTGCTTCTCAGAAACCCTTGTTACAAGGCATCCAAGGCAACGGAGAGTGTTCTTGAGCTTAGAGACCACCTGTATCAGGTCGGGATGCAGCAAAATAGTTGAAGATGGCACCTACCAGGCTCTCGAGTAACCAAGAGATTTCGATTTAATGGCAACCCTTTCGCAGAGGACAGTGGCTGTAACAAGGCCATGGCCAATGTGGGCATCATGGTCATGCATACCTGTCTGTGTTGCAAGCCAGGCCACCACAGCTCAGAAGAGATTGCTTGTCACAAAAGGTGAGTTGATCCAATCAAAAGCTCGTCAGGACCTGTGACGAGCTTTCCTCTCCAATAACATCAAGGTTGCCAATGAGCTTGTGAAGCAGTGCAGCAACAAAGCTCTCTAGCTCCCGAGGTGGACAGGCAGAGGCTGGAAGTGAATACTAAGACGCCCAGAACAGACTCCGTTGGGATAACAAACAACAACACCGGACTTTACCTTTTCCATGGACCTCTCCAAGCACCATTCACTGGCACCTTGGGACATGGGCCGGCTCCCAACTCCCAGACCGCCTGGCAGCCAGACCTGCTCCAGGTTCAGGTCGGTCAACAACTCAATCACGACATCCACTGCATCGCCCACATTTTGAATCTGCTCAACCCATTTCAAATCCGCGAAAAAAACCAAAACAAGATGGATGCCACCCAGCCGATTGAGGTTTCTAACACCGGTATGTACCTATCTGTCCCAAAAGCCCTTGATTCCAATGTCAGCGGTACTAATGGTCCCCGTCCTTCACCAACAACAGCCGACTGCGACGTCTGCCGCGATGCACCCGCCACCAAGTTCATACCCTGTGGCCACGCCTACTGCACGGACTGCCTACACCAAATGATCCGCACAGCTTGCGAGAACGGGGAGCGCTGGCCGCCCAGGTGCTGCACCTGGAGGATCAACCTCGACAACCCCGCGGTCATGGCGTCGCTGCCCCCCGAGCTCGCGCAGCTGGTGGTGCAGCGCAGGGAGTACCACGCCACCCCAGGCAAGCTATTCTGCTGCGACAGGCGCTGCAGGACATACATTGCCCCAGACAAAATCAACGAGAAGACAAACATCGGCTTCTGCGGGGCCTGCTGGGGAGGGACCTGCGCCTCGTGCCGGCGACACCCCCACGTCGGCAGGTGTAAGGAGGACTTCCAGCAGAAGGCTATGGAGAGGTACTTCCTTTACAAAGGGTGGAAGAAGTGTGAGGTATGCGGGAGTATTGTGGAGAAGAGAGTTGGCTGCAACCACATGACGTGAGTATTCCTAAATTCATCCCCCTCGGGCACCTGAGTATAATTAGAATCGTGCCCTTCGCCCTCTCTTCCCTAGACAGAGAGAGACCTTCACGCTGACACAATAATTTCCTGATTAGCTGTACCTGCGGAGAACAATTCTGCTATGTATGCGGCCAACACTGGCGAAGCTGCAACTGCCCCCAGCACACCAACCCCGAACACAACAACGACCTCACGACGGATCCAGTCAGCGCCTGGTTCCGGTTCCCCCAACAGCCCCGCTGCTACGGACAAGAATTCCGCATCAACACCATCCTGCCCCAGACGTTCTCCTGCGCAAAGTGTGAACACAGGTGCGGGAGCTCAGGGGACCCCTCGTACCAGTGCCAGGACTGCGGCAGGCACCTCTGCAAGGGCTGTGCCCTCCGCTGCATCGCCGATGGCCGGTATCACAGCCCTGACTGTAATGCGGTGCCGGCGGAGGCGAGGGGGTCCGTTGGGGAGGGAGCAAGTGACGAGGACGTTGGGGGTATGTTGCCTACGGCTCGTGCCGGCGTGGGGGAGGACTGAGATACTCGTCGCCTGCCGCTCGCTATACATAGGACTTGGGATTCACGACCAGGGCTCGACTGTAGGCGAAAAAGGACAAAGGGGGCCAAGGAGGCAATAGCCCGGGGGCAAAAGGATTACCGGATGGATTATCAGGAACATTCTCGGACGGAATGGCTCGAGAGGCTGCCTGAAGCCTGTCAGCCTATTGTAAAGTTCCCGGCCAGCGGGCTGTTCATCAGTCGAGCAGATGCCCTCGAGCTACAAGTTCATAATTCTACGAGACCCGACGTGGTGGAACATGACTTCCCCCTTAGCATGGCTAGATCAGTCGCCGTAATTGACATAGTTGCTAGCTTGTGCCTACCCCGTGGCCTCCGTGCTCCATATATATGCATGCGTGCAATCGGCAAGCCTCACGGGGCCTTGAACAGACCCTCATGCACAACCGACCAGGTGCCATCCTTCGGAAAGCCAGGGGCGTCCCCTTCCGAGCCCTGCCACCCAGCAGCCATGTACGCCACTATTTCAACTGTGTCAGCCAATAATGATCCCCACAAGCCAGAGTGGATCCGCCGTCTACTCACCAGCATAAAGAAAGAACGCGTTCCCGTCAAGAAACGGCGGCGGCGTGCCCCCATTGCCCCCCCGCTCCGCAAACCCGGCATCATCAAACACCCACCAGTCAAACGCCGTGAGGTACCCCACCGCCCTCTCGCGCTCCCCGAGCCGCGCGGCGCTGATGGCGAGCACCGGCCGCCCCCACCCAAACACCCTCTCGTCGACGGACCCCCACACCTCGTGGACCTTGTCGGCCGTCCTCCTCGCGACGTCCTCGTCCACGGCCGGCGTGTCGGGGAGGATCCCCCGCAGCATGGCCAGGCTGCGCGGGTCGGAGCTCAGCTCGGCGTCGCCCCACCAGGTGCTGTCGGGCCCCTCGTAGGGCGTGTAGAGGCCGTCGCCGGCCGCGACGGGGAGCGGCGCCAGCTGTGTGGCCACCGTGGCCCAGTGCTCCGGGGCCGTGGTGTTGAGGCGCTGCTTCCAGGCTGCGGCGAGGTCGAGGCCGTACTGCCAGTAGGCGAGCTCGTAGGCTAGGTTGCGGGTCTCGAGGGGCGGGGTGTTTTCCGTCACGCCGTAGGATCTGGCGACGTGTGTGTCAGTCTGCTTTGTTCTTGGGTGTGTGTGTGTTTTCCGGGCACACCGGCAAGGCAGGGGAGGCTGGTCTGTCTGTCTGGAGGGAGGGTTGGCTTACGGCGGGCCGAGGTCGTAATACCCCGTGGACTGGTTGTACCATGCATACGAGGCCATGTAGTCAGCAGAGGCCGTCAGGACGCTGTCCCAGCGCCTCAGGGTCTCCTCCGACGGGTCGGCTATGTAGGCGAGCTCCGCCAGGTACATCGGATGGGGCTGGGTGGGAGGATCGCTGTCAGCCAGCCTGCGCATGCATATATGCACCAAAGCATGTAAAGCCGCCAAGGCCGAGGGCGGACGCGCTCACCTGCTGCCACAAGAGGAGGGCGTTGATGGCGCCGGGGGCGCTGCTCCCCGTGCTGAGCTGAGTCATTTTGGGCCACCTTGCGCCAGGTCAGTCAGCCGTCGTCGTCGTCGCGGGCGGGTGAGGGTTCTGTGATCCGGCACTGATGGCTTACCTGGCCCCTTCCCAGCCCATGCTCTTCGCCCGGGCCAGGGACGACGGGAGCAGGGCCTCGTACAGCGCCGGGAAGATGTTGTCGAAGTACTTCTTGCGGCCCCATGTCACCCAGTGAGCGTTGTGCAGCACCACGACTTCCATGTGGAACTTGCCGCTGTGTTTCGGCGCGCATCACGTCAGTTGCGAGATGTCCGCGGGTTGCAGGTTGTGTTTGAGAGCACGCCTCGTGGGAACTTGGAACACTTACTACCACCCGTTGTTCATCAGGCCCGACTCCTGCGGGGACTGCCCGTCAGCGGCGCTGTTGACTCGGACGTGGTACTGGGACAGCACGATCCGCCGCTGGAGCTCGGTTGCGTTCGGGTTGGTCGACCCCGTCAGGTCGATGAAGCCGCCCTCCTCCCAGTAGTCGTTCCATGCCGAGGGGTTGCGCTCTTGGATTTCTGATGGCTGGTCCGGGACGTGCCTGTCGGGCGAGAAATTCGCCGTGAACGATATTGTCGAGCTTGAGCTGTTCGAAGTCGCCGTGGGTGAGAGTGTGTAGCGGTGTGCTGTGATTGCGGATGAGTTCTGCGGCTCATTCCTCTTCAAGCCCAACGGGGTGTCTGTGGGCCAGCGCAGGTTGACAAAGTAGCTCGTCTCTTGCATCTCGTGGTAGATGTGGGCCGAACCGGGTCCCTCGGGCTGATCAAGTGTTGTCGAATGGTTCAGCGGGAAGTCATAGGTTCCCACGAATACCTCATACTTGTACTTCGTCGTGTGGACCGGTGGGTATGGGAAGTCAAGCTCAACCTCCAGGTCTCCCGAGGACAGGAGTGGCGACTCGATCTGGAAGGCCACGCTGTCTGACTCGAAATCGCCTTGGGTGATGACCTTGACGGCGGTCCCATCTATCTGGAATGACGACGTGATAATCCCGTTCCACAACTCGAGCTCCTGCGTGGGCTCAGTGATCAGTGATGCCGACAGGCTGGCATTCTTGTATCTGAGGCCGATGCGGCCAAGATTGATGCGGTTGGGATTGGCAATCAGCCACTGCGAGACCAGCGGAAGGTTGGGGTCGGGATAGTCGTAGGACACATTTCGCCCGTGGGTCTCGAGAGGTCGGCCGTGATAGTCACTCAATTTCTCTCTGCAGCCATCTCAGCCTGCGGCCCACGGTTGAGACTAAGGAGTCTCCGACTCACCCATTGTTTGGCAGAGAGTCGTTGTGCCATCCCCAACTCGAGAGAGTATTGAAAGGCAGGAAGCTCTGAGATTTAGATTAGTCTGCCGATCTTGTGAATTGACAGACATGATGCCAGAAGACACACCTGCATTCCCGTGTTGTCTACATTAAATGCGAAGTTTCCATTTCCTACTTGCAGAGGAGTGGTAGTGTTGTCTATGAGGCTGGTCCGCACGACGTTGAACTGGGAAAGAATTCCATGTCTGTCTGGAATTAATCTTTCTGCCCTTGGATGTTCTGAAATCCTCGAATATCATACCTGTCTATCAGAGCAGATACTGCCAGTGGCAGCATCGCGGTCGCCAAAAGGATCATCTTCGTTACCTTCGACGAATCTCACACACTGGCTGGGTAAAGACTGTGAGATAATCATCTGCTCGAACGACAGCCGTCCTATATTGGATGATGCTGCCCATCTCCGCACTCAGTGTCGTGAAAATAATGCTGCATGTTGATCATGCCTGCTTGCATGCACCCCGGATGCCAAGCCGGTTGTATTCCGAACGAGGTTCGTCCGTGACGGCGGAAACGCGGCGAGATGACCCGAAGCCGAGCACTGCACTGCTGAGTTTTGCCTCCAATTCCGGGGCGGCCCCAGGAAGGCCGATGGCGAGTGCATGTACCAGGGGGGAAACTAGGCAAGAATTACCGACGGGAGGTATGCTCGCAGCAAAAGCATTGGATATCAGGGCGGGCATTTTGATCCTGGCAATCCAGATGTCCAGATACCCACGACCAGCAGATCTCGTACAACTCGTTCGCCATGTCGTTGGACCCTGATCTACTCGAGCGCCAAGCCCAGAGCTCAAGCTCCACAGCATGGCACGGAGGTCATGCCTCACTTACATCGCCCGGAACGCCCACTTGTGCATAGAAGAAGGTGCCCGAGAAGATGACACGGCATGCGGCGACGTCGGTGCCCAAGCCACAGCGTGAGCCCGTCCGACCCCATGATGTGCGCACGCGGGCCAGGCTCGCCGATTGTGTCTCGATCACTGAGGACATCCGCATGCATGGCCGCTCACCGAGAGCGCCTCAATGTGGGATACCAAATCTGTCAGGCCGGGAAGGGGTTAGCACCGACGCCACGGCGCCCGTCCAGCCCGTTGGGTGGCTGCCGTTCCACCACACCACCATTGGCTTAGATAGAGGACGGGCCGATCCTGCATGGGATGGGGTGTTTCTGGTGGGTGGTTCCCGGCGGCAGGCAGGTGTCATCACTTTCGAGCTTTAAGAGATGAGGGAGCCGATGGTGTCATGCAAAATGTGAACGACAAAACCAGTGGGGTCTGGATCATTTTGACGTGTAGCGTCGTTCTTGTTGATTTTGGAGAGTACCTGTTTGAAGCGGCCCAGATGCTCACACACGGATGGGCGAGATCCGCTGTGCTGTGACCAAGGCCTGTGTTGGTTGACGTATGGGCCGACGAGGTCACTCCACAATCTCACCCCTACCCACCAACAGTGCCGTCAGCCGTTAGTGGTAGCCGGGAACCAGCTTGCGAAGCTCTAATAAGAGCTATAGACTCAATCGAGCTATCTTGGGCAGCTCAATCCTACTCTGGGCGCCTTGGTAAACCCGCTTATTATGCTGCGGCAAGATTCGCTTATCGCCAACATGCATGGGTTTCTCTCTCTCTCTCCACCCGAGTCGTTTTCTTTTTCCTTTTTCTCTTTGCCAAGCAGGAAGCGGCCACTCGTCTCCTGTAGGACTACTGCTCTCACTGAGGGTGCAGGCGGTTGAGAGGAAACTTAGAACGAGTGATACTAGCGTGCACTTACACGCATGCATGTGATATATGATGACAGCTCTTACACTCTAGGATTTGGAGGCAACCTGATGATCATCATCCTTTTACATGCTAATGTGGGAAATGCTATCCACTTGTTGACTTAAGTCACCACTTGAACTTGGAGTTTGGATATTATGGTTGAGTTTTACCAGGACGCTACATATACTGAACTCATGATGCACTACCTTGCCATAGCAATAGACCGTGTCAGTCGGTGACCGAATATCAGTTCTGGCCATCAACTTGCCATGTATGCCAAGCTTCTGACTGCTGTAGGTACGGCTGGCCTCTGCCTGCCCAATATCGACTTCCTATTTCCCGTGGTCATCACTGCATCGTAGTGATGCATTGGGCTCTTCCCAACCCCATTGCAACCCTTCTTACTGGTATCGCATTGGTGACCAACGCCCATTCCAAGCAAAGACATGTCATCTGTCTAAAAAAGGTATGGTTACACAGCCGCTCTTATCCCCGTTGGGGGCCACTTCCCACAGTCAGCCTAATCCTGAATCCTTTGGTCCCCCTACCAGTGACTTCCAAGCTCGACAAGAAGGGTGACGGTTGGTGTCAGCGATATCTGAGGGAAGGCCCAAGGAAGACCTCGGGACCTGCCCACCTGCACGCCACCCACCCTTGTGCACTTTCGCCCCTGTCTGACACGTTGGGCAGGACTGGATGAACGGGCGGTACGTGCCTGCCCGGATGTGCATTCTGCCTTATCACTTGCAGCTCATTCTATATCCGTCTGTCTACCTCAGCATGCAATCGACCCAAATCGTCTGCGCCTCGCTGGTGAACAGGCAGCACTTTCACTCACTCATAGTATATTAACGCAACTACTTGCCACATCGCTGAGTACCCTGGAGCCGGCTGGTTCTTTTTGTCTCCACACTCGGTCGTATATCCTACCATAACATGGGTTCACCTGCATTCCTTGGGTATCAGCCCGGGCCCATCGCCCACAAGCTCATCAAAAGACCCTCTAGGCGTCTAGTCCTGTACGGAGTCCTGTTCGTCGTGTTAGTCTTTGTTCTCTACCACGCCCGACTGCAGAGCTCCAGCGATCAGGTTCGGGAGAGCCTCAGGGACGCGTCACTGTATATCCTGGGGTACACGCGGTACGACTTCAAGCCAACCCTGATCGAGCAGCAATGTTTCGACGGTGCGGCGGACCGCATCAACGCCAACAACCTGACTGACGCGATCCCAGAGACAATACACTTCATCTGGACTGGGAACAGTGAGATCACGTTCAAGCTGTACCTCGCCGTCCGCGCCGCCCTGGTCTCGGCCGGGATCCCCGACATACGCCTGCACCACGACACGCCCCTCAACAGCGCCAACGCCTGGCTCCGCCTCCTACGGCCAGACCTGACGCTCGTCCCCTTCGAGACCAGGGACTACCTGGCCGGGGTGGCCCAGCACCACCCGGAGGCGTGGACCCCGTCGCACCAGACGGACGCGATGCGGCTGCACGTGATGCTCGCGCACGGCGGCGTCTACCTCGACTCGGACGCGTACGTCCTCAGGCCGCTGGCGAGCCTCCTGCGGGGCGCGCGCGACGTCTACATGGGCTACGAGGGCGGGAACCGGATGGGGCTCTGCGACGGCGTGATACTGGCCAAGGCGGGCGCGCCCTTCATCGCGCGCCGGCTGGGCGAGTACGCCACCTTTGACGACGGCAACTGGAACTACCACTCCGTGGTCCTGCCCGCGAAAGCTCGCCGCGCGCCACCCCGATGAGATCTGCACGCTGAGCCCGAGCGCCTTCTTCTGGCCGCTCTGGGACCGCGCCGCGGTGGACTGGATGCACGCGCCGCTGGGCGGGGGGGGAGGCTGCGGCGGTGGAGGCGGTGATTGCGGTGAACGAGGGCGGGTTGTTTGCGGACCAGCTGGTGTATCATGCTTGGGGCCATCCGGCGGGGAGGTACTTGGAGGACCTGACGCCGGAGAGGGTCCGGGACGAGGATACGAGGTTTAACCTGTTGATGAGGAGGTTCCTGCAGGACTGACGCCATCGTGGCGGCCCTACCAGATTCATTGTTACCTAGGTAATATTACAATATTGGTCGTTTTCGGTGTCCTGCTGGCCCTTCATCTGAGTGGCAGCGATCTTATGGCAATAGCCGCCGCGGTAACTGAGCCTGCTCTAAAATGAATAGCTCGTGGGAAAGCCCCCTAATTGATAATGTCCTGTGGGACAGCCAGTATGTGGCAATTTCCTGTAGGACAAGAATTATGGGATGTTCTCTTAAGGGCTATTCTAGTCTCGCCGTATGACTCTTTGCCGGCTATTAGCCCTTGGGCTACTTGTGTCGACGATTCTAGTGCGGCGCCGTCGGGAGCGATGCCTTCCAGCCTTGTCTGTGCGGTACTAGGCCTTGAGCCACGTGCCCACAGACGTACTGTATTCTCTTTCCACTGTTATTGGCACTGTATTTCTTCAAATGCTGGGTCTTGAGTTTTTATCTCTGTATGAAGGCGCCACGTACATTTTATATGTATGGGGATTAAAAACGAAACCACTCTCTTAAGGGCTAGTCTCATGTGCCACCTGGCAGTGGGTTGTAACCATGGTACAGCTTCAGAGAAGGTTGATCACAAGCAAAAAGAGCGGCCCTATGTCATCAGGCCAACTCGTTCATGCCCACGGAAGCCCTCCAATGTTATTGCTAGTAGTGATCAATGGAATTATTGGATTGAATGGTAATATTTTGAAGTCAACAAGCAGGAAAGAGCCCCTGACGCTCTTGATAGATCACCACAGTCATCGATGAGCTAGAAAATAGCGGGGTGGGTGCAAGCTGTGCAAAATGTTGGAAGGCACGGTCGGGTCTGGCTGACTAGGCCAACTAACACTTATATCCGCTCCTTCTGAGCGCCGGGAGAGATCTTGGACTTCTCCCTAACATCAATCAATGAACTATCGTTTGCTCAAATAACTCATCACAAAAGACAGCCCTCCGATCTCACCGAGCGCTTGAGCTTCGTCGACGGTTACCTTCAGGCCCGGGGCTTGGAAAGGCGAAAATCCCCCCTTTGCACAAGGCCTGGACAAGAGCAACACCATCACCATGGAGCAGCCGAGCATGGCACCTACCGTCAGCAACAACGACGCCAACGACGCGACCGCCACAGGCAACGGGCCTGAGCCAAAGTCCAAGGGCCATGGAGCAGGCAGGTCAGAGGCAAGCACAACGTTTACACCCTCTCACCATCGACACCCAGTAAAGTCTCTTCATGCGGAGGCAAGGCAGAAACTGACAACGAAAAAAAAACAAAAAACAGGTGACCGCCCAGCCCGTCGAGCCAACAATCACCCTCCAAGTCCAGCGCACATACACGGCCCAGGCAGATCTCACCCAAGAGGCCATCGTCCTGCTGGAGACCATCAGGGACACCCTGGCCAACTACAAGACCCTGGTGGGCTACCTCTCCGGCAACAGCCCCGATGTCCTCGGCCCCTTTGGGTCCCAGGTGGCCAGGCTGGCCGCCACCACGACCTACCTCATCAGCATCCTGGGCCCTAGCATCCTCGCCGCCAGGGCGGTCCCCACCGCCAGCGGGGAGTACGCCCTCCTCCGCCGTCTTAAGATACAGGCCGGGCAGGATGAGGCTGTCGCGCAGCTGCGCCATCTTCTGGCGCTGAGGGCGGAGGGCGGGGGTGCCACGCGTGAGTCCCAGCCGGGGGAGGAGAGGGCTGAGCTGGAGGCGGATGATTCTGGTCTGGACCGGGCGTGGGTGTGAGTGCTGGGTCTATGATCAGCAGAGGACTTGTCCGTAAACACCTGCATGGAAGGGCACCAAGCTTGCTGAGCAGCGACAAGAACGATCAATCGGAAAAGACGGTAAGCTGCTGCGAGTGGGAGGGGCGTTGTGCAAGATACACATTCACATAGGGCTAGGTGAGCAGCGCATAGAACAATCAGCTTTGTTTGCCATTGACCTACTGTCTGGACCAAGCCTTGGCTTTCGAGCCGTCCGTTGACTTCGATCCCATTCCGTGCCCGAGACAAAGCCACTATCAAAATGTGGCCAACGTCAACACCGATTTTCGTTAAACAGGTTCTCCCTTTGAAATTCGCCAGTCTTCCTTCCGAGACCTGTAAAAAAATAGCGAGGAAGCTTTCTCCCGCCAGAAACTTTTGAAATTCAAATCAAGTCCCCCCTGGACCAAACGTGCTGCATGGTGCGTCCTCGGAGGGCTCACGATGGCCCCTCCGACACGAGAGCACCACCCCAAAATCCCAAAGCTCCGCTCCACAACCCCCCTCAGGCCGTCAGCTTCAGCTTCAGCTTGAGGCTCTCCCTCTCCATGACAGAGTCCAGGTCGGCCAGGTCGCGGCCGTTCCAGGAGTGGTCGCAAAAGGTAAACAGGCAGTACAGCTTGATGAAGGAGTGGGCGTACGCAAAGGCCAGGTAGCCAGGCAGCCAGACGACGTCGGCGGGGTGCCTGACAAAGTGCATTGCGATCTTGACCATCTTGGAGAAGAGGATCCACGATACCATAACCGCGAGCAGGACGGACTGCCTCCCCTCATCCGCGGCGACGTAGACGCTGGTGCGGCGCAGCGCCCACACGAGCAGCGGGTCCCACAGCGCGGCGGCGCTGACGAGCTGCGAGAGGTAGATGGCGTACACGCTCCACGGGTAGGTGCGCCAGGTGTGCAGCGACCGCAGGCTGGCCGGGCTGCTGCGCCAGGTGGACCGGGTCTAGCGGCGGACCTGGGCGTAGAAGGTGGCCGGGCTGCCCAAGGGGGTGAGGATCTCGGTGTCGGGGGTGTACTGGATGGCGACGCGCCAGTTGTTGCGCAGCATCCAGCGCGTGATGCAGTTGTCCTCGTCGACGTTGAGGGGGCCCCGCAGGCCGAACAGGTAGCGCTCGCCCAGGTACTTGCGGCGGAACGCCTCGCTGCGCAGGATCGCCGTGCGGATCGCGTAGGTGCGCCCCGACACGACGAAGACGGCGCCGTCGAGGTAGGGCTCCGAGCGGATCTGGAAGTTGTGCCGCGCCAGGTAGGTGCAGGCCAGGAAGTTGGTGTAGGACGCCCAGGGCCCGCCGCGGGTGTCGCGGATGACGCGCTTGTTGGTGCCGGCGAAGCCGACGGAGGGGTCCTCGAAGGCCGGGACGAGGCGGGCCAGGAAGGTGGGCTTCCAGTAGACGTGGTCGTCGGCGTTGATGCAGATGGCGGCGCGGGAGGGGTCGACCTCGAGGCTGGAGCGGGCGACCTGCTGCCGCTTGTTGGGCCTGCTGGTGCGCACGACCCTGATCTCCGTGTCGGGGAAGCGCTCGCGGAGCCGGTGGGCGCCGACGACGTCGCTGATGTAGTCGCGCATCTTGTCGCCCACGCCGCAGATGACCACGTACAGCGGCCGGTTGGCCAGCACCGTCTCGCAGCAGCGGATGAACTCCTTGGTGTAGGGCGCCACCGTCGGGATGATGACGGCCACGTCGCGGTTGGTGTAGCGCGGCTTGTCCCTCTGCGGGGCGGGCTTGTAGAGGAAGCAGCCCGTGACGAAGTGCACCACGAAGCGGAGGTAGCGGAAGACGAAGAGGAAGAGGAACAGCTTGTCGGCGGACGAGAGGGTGATAGTGGGGAGGCTGATGAGGCCCGAGGCCGGGAAGATGGACGCGTAGGGCATCTTGTTGTCGTTCTGGCACGGGGAAAGGAAGGCGTCAGAGCAGGTGTGGAAAAGCTGTGGGGAGAGAACACTTACCCGAGGATTGTCTATCGGGGATACTGGTTGGTCTGGGGAAGTTGCGCAACTGACCGTGTGGAGACAATGTGGTAATCTCCCAAGGTTGGAAGGCGTGCTGGCTTGAAGCGCCGAGACAAGTCGCGTTGCTTCTGAAAAGAAGCGACCTGGGCCGGTTGAAGTGTCAACTCGCACAAGACATCCAGTGAGACGATGCTGAATTGCTTGCGATGTGACGAAGTGAAAGTTTTGTGTTGCGGTGACCAGATGGCAAAAGAACTTGTCGAAACTACAAAGCTTGTGGTTGGGGGGGGACGCGTTAACCAGTCGACCTACTTAGGAAGGTAGGTACCTAGGTAGGTAGGTAGTTTCCTGAGTCTGGTTGCTGTCGATGGTGCTGAGGGACGGGGGGCCGAGAGCTTCCAATGTTCTAAACCTCTTGACTGGTCTGGATTGATCAGGCTCAACTTGTGGTTTAGAGAGACCACGATAAGTCGGAGCCACAACGGGATGTCTTCGATGAGGGCAGGAGCATCTGAGACCCAACTACAAATTGCTCTTTAGGTCGGTGGCGGCAAAGACTTTCAAAGCTCTCAGTGAAGACTATAGTCCCAGGACTTTACCTAGGTAGGTACTTCAAATGTGCCCTGCGCGCAAGACTTCTTGTCACGACCAGCCCTCCCAATTGTTGATGTCATGATCCAAACCTTCCTTCCTCTTAACATCTTTGACGAATGGAGTGAAGAGACATAAAACCTTTTGCCGCCAAGAGCATACCCCATGCAGGTGACATCAGCTCAGTGTGTGCCTCGCAAGCATGCGGCTCTGTGTCTGCTCTTGCAGCCGCGGTGGCTTGAAGGCATAGCCAAAACCACCTCGGTAAGGCGGGCGGTTGGTGGCCAGTATTCCAATGTGGCCTCACAATCGTCCAAGCAGCCAGCTACCGAGGGCTTGACCACTTGGTCCAACGCCACCGAGTCAAAGACCATTTACCAACTGTCCCTCCACAAAATCCAAGTGGTACATACTTAGTATAGTGATGACGGCACTGACGGGAAGAAAGGGAGGGCATTATTAAGCATACCACAGCCTCACCGGCTCGCACGCCAAAGAGATTAACCACCATTGATCATGTCCACCTATCCCTCACCCGACTCATGCCTCCCGAGGGTAGCAGATGTGGCCACAAACCAAGCTAGGCTCGAATGAGGACTGTTGCCATCGGCTCATTTGGCTGCAAGGCCGCACACTCTAAATGAGACACTGCTTTTGGATGTCACGCCCGTTGGGCCAAATGACAGCATCTGCCGTATTACTTGTTTGGTGTCACGTCTCGCGTCCTTTCAATGTTGCTTCTGTTTATTTCTCGCGTCGGGTGTGTCCCAGAAGACTGACTTCCTCCCCCGCAATATAAGCCGCAGGACAGACACACGGAAGCAAGCCTTGCTCACAACCACAGCCATTGACGCCAAGCCCACAGCGTCCCACGGTGACGTGCCCGAAGCTCAGGTATATCACCAGGGGAGGGTCGGTCCGACGATGGGGACTCCGGATCGCCGCTCAGAAAGGGGGAGGGGGCCATTGGTCAGCCTTGCTCCACCGCCGCGGCACCTGTGCGTAAACAGGGCAGTATATTCCGCATCTGGCACAGACTTGCACCCAATAAACAGTCTATTTTTCCGGTCCGGGAAAATTCCGCCCAATGAGACCCTCTGGTGCGCGAGCAGAAGTTTACTTAAATGTGTGGCTCTCCCAGGGGCAGTGTTGGGGGCGGCCCCAGGTGATCGGCCCATGTCGTCGAAACAAAGTTGATAGTCGTCCCCCGGGGGCCCTTGCCAGAACAGACGTCGGCGATCCCCTGTGCATCCTGGACGGGCTGACAGTGGCATTACCTATTTAAAATGATGAACTCCACTGGCCAGACTTTTGGACTCAAGTCGAAACCCACAAACTCCTCGGAAGCCTACAGACACCCGTTGGCTGTGCAGGGTGTCCCGCAACGTTTAAATCCGGCCGGGAACATCATTTCCAGGAGGTGCTGGCGTTGGCCGGACCGTCGGGTGTTTTGGCGACTCGCCAACCAACCTCGCTTGGAGATTGTACAGTGCTGGAATGCTTACGTACAACTGGATGGTGTGCCGTGAGCCGTCAGGTGGTGGACACCTCCAACAGAGGCGGGGCCGACGCAAAGAAGCTCGCGGGAGTCGGTCTGGGCCTCGGGGAGTATCCAGGTGTCCATGTCGTGAGGCCCAACTCAAAAATAGACCTTCTGTGCCCTGGCTGGCAGGGCTGTGGAGGAGCACTCGAGGACCTCCCGTGCAGGCAAAATACGAGCCTTGGGGGGCATGATCTCGTCAGAGCGAGAGAGGCCCGGGGACTGTGGAAATTCGCAGGCGTCTAATTGAAACACTGAGGTGGAAACAAGTTTCCCCGCCAAGTTCGTTTGCCAGCGCAAATAAGATTAAACAAGGTTGAGCCGGGGGGCACCCTAACAGGTGACGATGCCCCTTTGGGCCAGACTCAGGGGTTCCAGGCCCCTGGGACCACCGCCGCAATAACCCCCGTCTGAGCCAGCTCCAACGCCGACGACCAGCATGGGCCCAGCATGGCCCATGTAGTACGCAATCCATCTCAGACGAGGGATGAGGGGGGGGGGCCAGAAATCGCCAGATCGAACTGCAAGGTGATGGATGGGTGTTTTCTCCGCGAAACTGGGGCTCTCTGGCTTCTGGCCCTGGCCATCGATCCCTGGAGCCGGCCCAGGCAGAGCATACAAAACATGATGCTGCCCGTCGTCGAAAGTGCTGTGAGCCACTTGAAAGGCCTCACTTTTTCCCATCATGAGCCAGGCGTCTTGTTGACAATCGACGACACATTCACTCACGGCAGTTGATCTGCATCCACTCTTTACAGCCACCCCTACATTCATTTCCCAACACATCTGTTGACCACACTCACTTTTCGTTTCCCGCAGCATCCTCGCAGCCTTCATCATCATGAGACAGTCACTGCTGTCTCTCGTGCCCGGCGTGCTCTCGCTCGCCGGAGCCGCAGCGGCCCAGGGCCTGACCGAGTCGTCGCTCGAGACGTACGTCGACTCGGTGACGCTGTCGAGCAGCTTCAACCCCATCAAGGAGGCCTACTGGACCGGCTACGTGCACCACCGCCGCACGCCGCTCGCCGTGTCGCCCGACGGCAAGACGGCCTACCTGGCCTACCTCGACGCCTCCGACACGGGCGTCCACGTCCAGCCCATCGACCCCACCACCTTCAAGGCCAAGGGGGCCGCCGTGACCGTCGCCGGCGGCAAGGAGGCCGGCGGCCTGGTCGCCCAGGACGACGGCTTCGCGCTGCTGACCAACGAGGCGATGCCCTCGGGCACGGCCAACGCGCCGCCCGACAGCACGCCCGTGCCCGTGCTGTACCGGTTCGACGCGGCCGGCACGCAGAAGTGGAAGACGTGGCTGGGCGGGCCCGACGTCGCCAGCGGCCAGGGCAACATGGCGGCGCCCGACCTCAACGGCGACCTCGTCTACTCGGCCAAGACGGGCCGCTACGCCGCCTACACGGTGGTGACGGCCTACAGCGGCGCGGCGCAGGGCCACTTCGGCGACGCCATCAACTACGTCGAGGAGAGCTCGGGCGAACGTGTCACCATCCAGGGCGCCACGTCGGCGTGGGGCTGCAGCCACAACACGGGCATCGCGCTCGAGGCCGCCGACGAGGCCCCCTACGCCAGCGTGTGCGCCGAGGACCAGGGCGCCATCTGGCTCAACTCGCGCGGCCAGGGCATGAGCACGGCCGGCGTCAAGATCTCCAACGAGAACGTCACCAACGGCGGCGGCGGCGAGTCGCTGGGCGGCATGTCGGGCTCGTACAGCAACCTGGCCCGCTTCCAGGGCGGCGACGGCTACATCTTTGCCTGGGTCTCGCGCGGCGCAAAGGACGTCACCACCAACGACTGGATGGGCGACGGCTACACCCACGTCACCAACCGCACCAACGGCCGCAACGTCGCCATCGCCACCTTCTCCGACAAGTACACCATGGACGGCCAGCAGGCCACCAGCCAGGTCGGCGCCGCCGACGGCGACTCCCAGGTCAACTGGCTGACCACGGGCACCAAGGCCGACCAGAGCAACGCCCACGTCGCCACCTTCGACGCCACCTCCGCCCTCGTCACCTGGGAGGAGATCGCCGACCCCTTCTGCGAGTACGTCGCCATGGGCTGCCGCGGCAAGTTCACCGGCTCCAAGTTCCAGCTCGTCGAGGCCGGCAAGCCCGTCGGCGAGCCCCTGACCTCCCAGGACGTCACCGTCGCCGGCGACCTCGTCACCATGCCCGACGGCCGCATCTGCTGGCCCTACGTCAACATGGCCTGGGACATGTCCTCCCCCGTCGGCTGGGGCGGCTCAACGGCCTCCACCACCAAGATGTCCTTCGCCTGCATGACCAACGGCGCCGCCTCCGGCTCCGGCGCTGCCCCTGCTGCCCCGGCCTCCTCCAGCGCTGCTGCTGCTCCCGCCTCGTCGAGCGCCGCCGCCGCCCCCGTAGCCACCCCCAGCAGCACATCCGCAGCCGCCCCGGCGACGACCTCGGTCCCCACCAACGCCAACGCCGCCCCCGCCCCCGAGCAGCCCGCCCCCGAGGCCCCCGAGACCCCGCTGCCCGCCGCCACCACCACCTCCTCCTCCACCCGGGCCCACAGGCCCCGCCCCACCAGGCGCCCCTACAGCAACGACGGCCCCTCCGCCCCGCTGCCCACCTCCTCCGCCGCCGCCGCCGCTGGCGAGCAGCAGCCCCCTGTCGCCGAGGCCCCCGCCGCCGAGACCCCGCTGCCCACCACCGCTGCTGAGGCCACCGCGCCCCGCCCCTCTAAGCGCCCCTGCCCCAAGCAGAGGCGCGCTGCTCTCCTGGCTGCCCGGGCTGCTCGGGCCTAAGGGCCTGGCTCGCGTTGTGCCACTGGGAGAAGAAGATGGTGGTGGTGGTGGTGGTGTGGAGGGAGCGTGACTACTTTTCATGTACATAGTTCGGCCTTTTTGCTGCATTTTGAAAGACTTCCTGGGCGCGATCTGCGTGTTGTTTGTAGCATCCAATATCAAAACTGAGCGTGTGACCTATTGGTCAAGATTGTCCTGCGTCTTACCGCACTGTGAACTTCGGATATGTGAAATCGCGATTATACTGGAAAGCACCGTGCCCAATGAATTCTGCGAGCCCTTTATTTCGGAGATGCTTGGCGGGCCTTGGATTGATAGCGTGACGTTCAATTCTTTGTAGACGTAGTGAGGCGACAAGCACCCATCGTATTTTAACCATGGTTATCGACACCGTATCTTTTTCAAGCGCTGTCTTCAGAAGTTTAACACCGTATGACGGCGCCATGTATGTCCTCGGATGTATACGGAATAGAAGCGAAACCAAGCAGCCACTAGAGACACAACCTGTCCGCCTGTGAGAGATCATCCTCTAACTCGTCACAACCCACTCCCGCCCAGCTAAGTGTGGTTTCGCCCCTAATACCCATACATATAAAACGTATGCTGCGCCTTCATACAGTGGTAAATGCTCCAGACCCAGCGTTTAAAAAAAGACACAGTCCCAATAACACTACAGAGAGAAAACAGCACCGCCCAGCCAGCCAACCAACCGTCTTTGATTTCTCCGGTGAAGCATCACCGGCCCCGTCCCATCGACAAACGACACCCACCCGACGCGTGCGTCCCGCAAGACGCATCTGCCGCCTGGAACGATTCGCCCTCCTCCCCGGGTCATACGCGCCGGCGTGCACAGGACATACATGGCGCCTTCATACAGTGGACATGTTGTATCCCAATTCAGCCCTGAATTATCTACTTATTGCCCTGCGAATATCAGTTCTCTTATTCTTTTTCTCCATTTTGTCTTGGTCTTCTTTTTACCCCCTTTCCCAGAGCTATGGCATGGACGAGTGTCTCAGGGTCACCCAGGCCCGGACAACGGCCCTAACTCGGCGAAGGTCTCTGCGCGGCTGCTTCAAATGCCGACTATCGCTGCTTGGAAATCACCCAGGACGAGGGAAGGACAGACGTGATGATGGCTGGATGAGGTTTCCTAGAAGATGGTGCAGACGCCAGAGGTCGTGCATTATTGGGCACGGCACCATTGCTTCGTGCCCAGGTGGTGCTTCGTCTCCGCGTGCGAGTGGGCGGAGGAACACCTTTCTTTCCCCCCTCCCCCGGGACGTCATCGTTTGTGGGCCTAGCTGCTCTAACATCGCATACAGCCCACTATGCATTTCGTATATTCCTGCAATTCCTGGTTGTCCTCCAGTTCCTGAACGTGCTCCTGGAACCTTCCGGCTCGCGGGTGCTGGATCCGCGCGAACTTGATAGCGACTCCAAGACCAACCCGCCTGGCCCTCCGCGGCTATTCGGGCTCCTGGAAACTTCCGTACCGTACGGTCGGCCGGGCCGGTCCCACCCCTGGTTGTCCCGGGAGCTGCTGCCCGTGGTGTAGATGTTGAGGGGCGGGAACTGCACCTCGGAGCCCCGGAGGTGCCCCGACGAGTCCACGTGCTGCAGGGGGATGGCCGTCGCGTGGACGCCGAACCCGCCGCCGGTGCGGGTGAGGTGGTAGGGTGCCTGTATCGCGCCGGCGGTGGTCGACACGAGGATGCTGTCGATGACGCCCCTCAGGCTCGGTACACAAGCGATGAAGAGCGACATGTTGACGGATATCTGGAGCCATATCATCGGCGCCACGGCCTTCCACGTCCGGTCTTTGTAGAAGTGTAGGAACCCCCCGCCGGTCATCAGGGAGGGCAGCACTAAGACAGGGACACTGCGAAACGTTAGGCTTGTGTTTTATTTGTCGAATCCAGTACAAACGCCAATGTCAGGGCTGTCGAAGGAACCGCAACCTACAGTATCCGGCTTCCGAACAGCACCACGATACGCATCCTGATGCGATGGCATGTCTGGACACGCCAGAGCATGACTATTGGCAGCAAGGCAAGGCCCGTATCTGTCAGCATGTTGCTGATGCCGTTTTACAGGTAGGCAGTCTTGTACGCCCTGCACGTGGCATTGATGGTCCATGGCGCGGGTAAAGCGCACTGAAAGGCAACAGCAAATACCGCCACCCCCGCACATGCGACAACCACTGCGAACAGAACTCGATTGGCGAATCGCAATCTTCCGAAGCAGTAAATGTCGTCGATAAGTAGGCATGTTGAGGCTTTGCTGCATGTTGTGGTGATGATGTTGAGAAGTAGCGACGCGTATTGGAACTGGACGAGTCACGGCCCAGAGATGTCAGAATGGGCTTCAAAGAGGCAGAAGTTCAGAGGAGGAAGCCATGTATGTCGGAATAGAAGCGATACCAGTCAGAGGAGGAAAGGAAGAGAACAATAAACAATATACCCGATCAAATTGCTCCAGTCGCTTCGGTGTAAGCGTGTCTTGATGCTTTCCAAGCCCTAATTGACATGACAAGACCACGCAGACGGTTTGAACAAATAGAACAAGGAGGCCTAGGGCGAGTGCTGTGTCGTTTGGTCGCCAACCCGATGCCTTGTACCGTACATAGAGCTTAGCTGCGACTGCTCCGAGGGTGTAGATGAAGAAAGTGATTGTGGTGACAACAACCCATGCGGCGTGGTCGTCCTCGGTGAACGGGAAGAAGGCAGGAGACACCTCTTCCATTACAAGGCAGGAGGGTCTGGGTGACTCGGTGGCTCAGACGATGATGTGGCATGATCCTGCGCCGGCTTGAGACTGGCAATGTCTGCGGCTTCCAAAGTATAAACATCTGAAATCTGTAGCAGAATGGCATTATCAACAACTCGGCGTTTGCGACGACCGCCGGCGACCATAATGCCGTACGGCCGGCCAGACGGGGTTCCGGATGAGTCAATGAGCCCCAATGGGAAGTGCCCCGGGAATTTCAGCACCTGCAGCCCTATAATATGACCGGGATAAATTCAGGGGTCCACACCTTGACAGCCCTATGAGTTTGCCCAGCTGCTTGCAGTGAAAGCAAGACATGGTGCCAAGCTTTCCACAAAAGCAAAGAGCTGAGCTTCACGGTCTAGACCCACGAAGATCCGGTTCATGCATCCGTTCTCAACTCGAAAATGTCTCAGAGATCTCTCACCATACGTGGGAACTCCAGCTTTATACAATAGAAGAAGGTTCTAAAATGAGTCAATAATTTTATCTTCAATTTGATTTAAAGTCTATCTAAGAACCTTAGGAATAAAAAGGCTGATATAAGTGTTTATAGTTAAGGTTAAAAGGAGGGTTATAAAATTATACTTTAATTTCTTAATTTAATTAAGTTAGATTATAATTAATTTTTTTTTATTAAATTATATAATAAAATATAACATTTAAAGAATTAAAAAATTAAAAAATTAAAAAATTAAAAAATTAAAAAATTAAAAAATTAAAAAATTAAAAATTAAAGAATTAAGGAATTAAAGAATTAAAGAATTAAAGAATTAAAGAATTAAAGAATTAAAGAATTAAAGAATTAAAGAATTAAAGAATTAAAGAATTAAAGAATTAAAGAATTAAAGAATTAAAGAATTAAAGAATTAAAGAATTAAAGAATTAAAGAATTAAAGAATTAAAGAATTAAAGAATTAAAGAATTAAAGAATTAAAAATTAAAGAATTAAGGAATTAAAGAATTAGAATTAAAGAATTAAAATTAAAGAATTAAAGAATTAAAGAATTAAAGAATTAAAGAATTAAAGAATTAAAGAATTAAAGAATTAAAGAATTAAAGAATTAAAGAATTAAAGAATTAAAGAATTAAAGAATTAAAGAATTAAAGAATTAAAGAATTAAAGAATTAAAGAATTAAAGAATTAAAGAATTAAAGAATTAAAGAATTAAAGAATTAAAGAATTAAAGAATTAAAGAATTAAAGAATTAAAAGTTTAAAATTAATTATTTAATATTATTAAAGTATAACTTATATAATATAAATTTATAAAATTATTATTAAAAATATATTTAATTTTTAATATTTTATTTTATTATAATAAATATATTTAATATAATTTTATCTTTTAATATAAATTCATTTTATATTAATTAATTTAAAGTTTTTATTATTAAACTAAATTAAATATATTATATTCTTTTTTTTATTTAATTTAAAATATTTTATTATTTTATTTTTATTTTTATTAAAATCAATTTTATATATTTTCTTTATAATCTTATACTTAAAAAATAAATAAACTCTTATTAATATAAGTTATAATTTCCCTAGCTTATTTTAATATAAATTTGTAAATCCTTTAGATAGACCTAGTCCTGGCCGGTAAAGAGAGTGTCTGGATTGGGACAGTCGGTTTAGTAATTGAGTGGAGCCAGGAAAGGAATGCCAAGGTTGCGATTCATCAATAATTCAATGTCCCCAGGGTCTCCATCCGAATAATCATATGATATTGTCCTCTGCCGACGCAGCAGTTGCGGAGTGGCGGTAATTTTAGGTGTGGTATCAAACCTTAACGTGGATTCAAAGCACGGCACGGGCCCCAAAAGGTCTGGCCACGTCGCGATTTTGTTCATCTGAACCATGTTTTATCTAACAAGCAAAGTCACATACGCTGGAATGCTGTAGCGATCTTTCATGAGAATTTATCCTCTTTCTGACTAGCCAAGATGTGACGATATGTGCATGTTAGAAGTCATGAAGGATCAGCCACACGAGGTCAGGGAGAGGGAGAGTGCAGGACTGTTAAAATACCCTATTTATTGACGGCTTTATGTCCGTCTATAGCCTAATATAACTACTATTTTAGTCCTCTAAATACGAGGCACTAACTTATACGAGGAATGCTTATTTCTCTTGATTTCTATGGTATTCTAGTGGGTGTTTAGAGGACTTACTTTTGTCTATAAAAGGGACCGTCCTCTCCCTCCTAAATAGGTCTATAGTTGAGAGAAATCTATCCCTTCATTCTTACAAGGACACAGACCGCCAAGGCTTGGCTTCAAAGGATCATGAATACGAGATCAATGAATTATAAACTTCTTAAGTTTCAAAGGCCTGACAATCACGTACCTTGGTCGGCGGTACACTCGCGTACAAGCAGGGATGCACCGAGAACCTTCTATGTAAACGTGAAGTGATGGTTGTCAACTAGACCGGTACTGATTGCTGGCAATTATCTGTAAGGGTTCTTGAGCACAAGTAGAGTGAATAAAGACACAAAGCGTAGGCACGACATAAAAGCCGCATAATAGTAGTATAGAACTAAGAATATATCGTTATCGGCATCGTATTCTTTCCAAGCGCTGGGTCTTGAGTGGTTACCACCGTTCGAAGGCGCCATGTATGTCCTCGGACGTATACGGAATAGAAGCGAAACCACATACGGAATAGAAGCGAAACCACATAACTACATTAACTTCTCCCTTCCTTCTTTCCTAACCGAAACCCCCTCTTAAATATTCTTATAGATTAACTATATTCCCACAGCGCGGACACCGCAACGCAGCCGTTCCGTAATCCCACACTCCCTTTCCGATAACTTTCCGCTAGGTTCCGGTTACCTACCTACTATCGGTCCCTCGGGTAATAAGGGGCCTGACATTATCTCCCAATCTGCATCGTGCTATTCGACTCCAGGCCCCCCCGCAAACTCCTAGAAACCTGTCACGACCAACGCTGAGGAAGCATAGAACAGTCATTGCTTCCCCGGCTCGAACTATGGATCGAACACATGACAGCGTTACCGACTTGCGACCTACCCAATGCAATATCGACAACATCCAAGAGCCGCCCGATGTTTCCTTTAAGCGCCAAGTCGCCGAGGAGGAGGGGGTCCTGGATCGAACCACCCGGGTGAGGAGGGTATTCTCCTCCGCTCAATTCTTTGCCTTTTCGCTGGCTTACATGGGAGCTTGGGAGGGAGTCTGCCTGTAAGCCCGCGGCTTTGGAACCACGACTCGGCAACGATTCACCTGACAAGCAATACAGCAATCTCGTATTTGCTCTCATGAACGGCGGGCCGCGCACGCTGTTCTTCGGCATGGTAATCGCCGTCGTCGGGGCTCTTGCCCAAGCGGCTTGCCTGGGAGAGATGGCGTCCATGATACCCGTCGCGGGCGCCCAATACCACTGGACCTTCCACATGGCGCCAAAGCGCATCAGGATGTTCGCGACCTGGATCCAGGGATGGACCACATGGTTCGGCTATGTCGCGCTCCAGGCCGCCCTCGCCAACATCCTCGTCGTGCAGCTGGAGACGCTGATTTCGCTCAACTCCACGACGTATATTGCTGGCGGGTGGAAAACATCTGTCCTGGTCATCGCATCCGCCGTCGTCCAGGGCCTCATCAATGCCTATGCCTTTAGGCTGGTGCCGTGGCTTGAGACGATCTCCAAAATATTGCACGTTGCGCTATTCATTCTCGTTCTCGTCGTGTTTGTGGTCATGGCGCCGAAGCACAGCGCGAGTTTCTTGCTAAAGCCAATGATCGCCTCGGGATGGGACCAAAATCCATACGTGTCTTGGCATCTAGGCATGCTGACATGCGTATTCAGTATAACAGGTAATAACACTTTTCCTGGAATGAAAGTTTTCGGTCTCTTCGCTAATGCGTTTCCTCGTAAGGAGTCGATGGGGTGATTCACATGTCCGAAGAAACTCGGCAGGACGAGTCTGCGGTACCTCGGGCAATGGTGTGGTCCATTGCAATCAACGGCTCGCTTGCTATAATTATGGCCGCTGTCATACTCATCCACATGGGTGATGTTGAAGTAGCCTTGGGATCGCCCAATATATTTGCCACAATCTTGCTCAACATCACGGGGTCCAGAGCAGCCACCACGGCGATCATAAGCGGCTTCTTCCTGCTCGGATTCAACAGCAGCTTGACCACCCTCAGCTCCGTGTCTCGGCTTACCTGGGCCTGGTCTCGCGATGGCGGCCTCCCCGCCTACTTCATCTATCTTGACCCGAAGCACCGTACACCCGTTCGGTGCGTCTGGCTGAGTGTCGTCTTGGTTTCTCTCATTTGCCTGTTGAATCTTGGCTCCCCGGGCACTATCGCGTTTCATGCCATCACCTCCCTATCGGCATTTGCATTCTTCTTCAGCTACTCAGTCGCCATCGCCTGTCTCCTGTATGCTCGTTTGGCAGGGAACATCACCTTGGGCGAGTGGAATATGGGAAAATGGGGAATCCCGGTGAGCCTGTATGCTCTGGTGTACAGTCTCTACATCATGGTGTTCCTACCATTCCCTTCGGTGCTTCCTGTCAATGCTAACTCCATGAACTATATGGGACCGGTGTTTGGATTCGTTCTATTCGTGGTTGTTATGTGGTGGTTCCTCCATGGAAGGAGGCATTGGCCAGGGCCGAACTTGACAATTATGGAATATGTAGTAATCCATTCGTAGACTTTTTCCTACGTTCACCAGTAAATGCCGAGCCAGATATATAAAGTAGAGCTCTGAAATACCCCTAATATTATCATACACGTTTTGTCTGTGGGATCCGCACCGAAAAGGAAACACGAAGTCCTGACTTGCAATATAGCAGACAAAGACATGGTATATTTTCAGTGATCTTGTCCAACGGAATCATACCTATGTGTCAGTACGCGCTTGAACTTCCTGTAAGGATTTGCCGGCTATCACAGTGGTGTCGTCTGCTGTAGGCAGGCGTCTCACCTCTACAATGCTTTACTCAGGTACCTCAGCTTCACCTGAGTGAAAGCTCCAGCACTAGAGATGCAAGCTACTGGCACATTTCAGGACTAGACTGTACTCCACTACGACCATTCCTAGGTCTACATCCTATGACACTTACTGAGAGTCCGCCTTATTAATGGAGAAAACAGAAGAGTACAAACAAGCAATACAATTCGGTGCTGATAAGGTCGTTACTTGTCTCTATGCTAGTCCGTCATAGTGTTCGGGTGCCACCTGGGCAGTGCACATGTGGTTTCAGCACAAGTCATGGTACCCCCGCCCGCCCTCCGATCCGGGACCGACGCCGCCAAAATACCGGAGGCTGGATGTTTCTAATTATTCAGGCACTCAAGATAGGATCCGTGTGCTTGTGCCAGTACAAAATTAGTAGACCTTAGGTCCCATTAGACCCGAGTGCAAGTTCTACCCCCGACGAGATATCCAATATATTTCAAGGAATGAATTCGGTAGTAGTATTCTGTGATCAAAGGGAACTAGAACGCTGCGATGCCTTCTATGCTCACGTACCGAGGCACAGGGCGTTCCCTTAATTCTCAGCCTTCTCGCACAGGCACTTCTAACCTCTGATGTAACCGCCTTCCCACTAACCAATTATCCCTCTTTCACATTTCTAAGGTTTTCGAAATACAACGCTACAAAACAGCTACCTACATTCTAAACCAAATTTGCTGCGTCTAATGGTATTTTTCTGTACATACACACAGACTTCAAATCTAGTACTCTAGGGATCCTTTCCGAGCCTGTTAGAAGTTGCTCTACGACGAGAAGGAACCATTACAGCGCTTATCTTACGTACCAACGCTCTTACTATATGCGACGCTAGAGCCCGCGCTATCTGATTCCAACCCACGGTTCTGGAAGCCATGGGCCCGCCTACTAATCTGCGGTTGTCAATCAATTCAAAGTGCTAGATCAGACGATTGTGCAAGGTGTCAGCTGTGGTGGGTATACTGATAGTTTTGTGGAACCCACCCTAAAATCGAGCACAGTGCTTGTTTTCTGCCACGAATAATCAAGATGGAGGAGAAGTCCTTCCAGAAGTGTGACCTATGTAGCTACGGTGTGGACTGTTCGACTGGGTGGTCCTCGGAAGCTGTGTCTTGTCTTTCGGATGGACATGTGACGAGAGCGATGGTTTTTTGTTACGGAGACTGACCTCCGCCCATTGTATGTCCTGATGGAGACTTTACACGCTCCTGACTCTCGGAAATCTACATTTAAGTAGGCAACAGACAATGGAGGTACCGGGTATAAGACCCTGATTACGCTTTTAAAATCCCCATTAGCTGGAAAGTTGATATAGGCCTTTCTTATATCCTCTACTACCTACTTTTCCTATAACCCTAATAAGGGGCCCTTAATTAACTATACTCCCTTAAATAAAATATATAGTACTTACTATAATACTAAGTTTACTCTAATATTCTCTTTAATAACTATTATTAGGGATTAATTATAGTTAAAAAGAGATTATATTAAATATAATTTTAAATATATTATTAAGTTTATATATAATCTCTTTATTTATTAATAAAAGGAAGTAAATTAATATTATTATTATTAAGTTAATTTATAGATAATTAATAGTTTATAATATAAAAATAAAGATATAGTTATTATATTAAAGATATATTTAATTTATATATTTTAATTATTATTAATTAATTAGTTATTAAAAGAGTATTAAAATTAATTTATTTTTAAAAGAGTATTATAAATATTATTTATATTATTTACTTTTAAAGGTTAATAAAGTAGTTTATTAAATTATTAATTACTTATAAAGTATAAATATAGAAGGTATTATAATTAATTAATTATAAAATATTAATAGTAAGAATTTTAAAGTATAAAGTTATAAATTAATTAATTATATATATATAATTATATTTAATTTAATAATAAATATAATAGTTAGTATATTAATTATAATAATTTTATAAATCTTTATCTTTATTAATTTTATTAAAAGGGTCTTTATAAATAAACTTTTATTATTATAGACTTTTAATATATATAAAAATATTATAAAATACTTTTATAATTATTTAAAGTAGTTAAATTAATTATTTTATAAATTAATTTAATAAAAATTAATAAAAAGTACTCTTAAAAGATCTATTTAATTTAATATTAATTATTAAAGTTAATAATTAATAATTTACTTATTATTACTTTTATTAAAGGAAATCTTTAATAATAAAACCTTTATTAATTAAAAATCTTTTCAAGTTATTATAAAGCTATTTAACCTTTTTTAAAGATTTTAATAAATAATTATATAACTTATAAAGAAATTAACTCACTTTTAAAGTTATACTTTTATTAAAAGTTTATATAAATAGTTTTATAGAATATTATTTTATATAAAAGTATTTAAAAATTTAAATATTAACTTTATAAAAATAAATTTCTTATAATTTTTTATTACTTTACTTTATTAATTTATTTAATAATTTATTATTAAAGATTTAATAATAGATATTTTAAAACTTTAAAATAAAAGGTAATAATATATAATTTTAAATAATATTTAAGCTTTTAATATCATTTAACCTTCTTTTATTAATAATATATTATATAAAAATATTATTAAATTATTTTTATAAAGATTAAATAATAAAATATTACTTTAAAGTTTTAACTTTTAAATATTTATAAAAGCCTTTAAAAGAAATTATATATATATAAATAAAAATAATAAATTAAAAATAAGTTAACTTTTATTTTATTAATTAAAAGGTAAATTAATTTTATTTATAAGGTTTATTAATTATAATTATTTAATAATTTATTTTTAACTATTTATATATATAATTGAATCTTACTTTATTTAGGATTATTTTAACTACCTTTTAGTATTTTTAGATACTTTTTTATTAATTATAATATATAGTACCTTTTAAAGTATAAATAGTTTTTAATAGTTTTAATAAAATAAAATAATAATAAATTAATAATTTTAATATTTTTAATAAAGAAATATATTAATAAATAAAAAACTTTTAAATAAAAGAATTAATAAATTATTTTTATTTAATTATTAAATTATTTATTATTATTTAATATAATTATTAATTAAATATTAACTTATATATAATATTTAATAAAACTTTAATTAAATATACCTATTAATTTTAAATTAAAAAATACTTTAAAGTATTATTTACTATTATTATTAATTATTAAAAATTAAATAAATATTAAAATAATTTATTAATTTAATAAATTATATTTATAATTATAAGGTTATTATATTACTTTAAAGTATATTTAAATAGATTTATATTTTTATTAAAAGAAAATAAATAATTAACTTATAGAGCTTTTATTACTTAAAAAATAAACTTATTAAATAAATTAAGGTTTATTAAAAACTTTTAAGTATTTTAGACTTTAATATTTAATTAAATATTAAATTTTTAATAAATAAAAGAACTTATTAATCCTTTTAATAAGTTTATTATATAATAAAAATTTCTATTATATAATTTATACTTTCTTATTATTTTTATAATATAATTTTTAATTATTTTAATTTTAATTATTAATAATATAATTTTTAAAAATATTAAATTATTAAAGGAAATACTTTAATTTTTATTTACTTTAAAGTTTTTATTAATTTTCTTTTATTTAAATTATAAACTAACTTAAAATAATAATAGTTAACTTCTTATATATTATTATTAAAACTTAAAGAATTATAAAATTAATATTATAATTATTATTATAAAACTTATAAAATTAAAAAATTTATTAAGTTAATTAATTAGTTAACCTTTTACTAACTTTATTAAATTAACTTTATTAAAAGATTTTAACTAATTAAATTAATTTTTTAATAACCTATTAATAATAAATATTATTTTTATCTTTTAATTTTTTATAATATAATTCTTTTATATTAAAATTATATAAATATATAAATTAATATTTATAATATATTAATTATAATTATTAATTCTTTTATTTTATAATAAATATAAAAATAATATTTAAATTAAAAATATAAGAAAAACTTTTATTATTAAAGCTTTTATATTTATTAATATATTAAATATTATTAATATATAAAAATAAAAATTTATATTTTATATTTAAAAGAATAAAATTATATAAATTATTAAATTTATTAAAATAATAATAATATCCTTTAATATTAAAGATTAAGTTAAAGTTATATAAAATATAAAACTTATATTATTATAACTTAAAGTTAAATAATTAAATTAATTAAAATAAATTAAATAATAAAATTATTATATTAATAAGTTTTTATAAATTTTAAAAATAAAAGAATAGGTAAGGATATTATTTAAAAGAAGAGAGGTTTAAGAGAAACACTTTTATTTTATTATATAAATATATTTTTAATTATTTTTTTAAATTTAATATATTAATAAACTAAATTAATAAATAAATAAATATTTAAAAGTTAATAATAATACTTAAAATAGTAATATTAAGAACTTTATCTTTAATTAGTTAGGTATTAAAACTTTTAATTTTATTATTAAATTTTTATTATATTTATTTAATATAGGTAGTTATTTGGAAGTAAGGAGGTTTTAGTTATATTAGGGGATACTGGTGGTAGAGGATATAAGAGTACCTGTTGATATGAATGCCTAGCCCTCCTATTGGGTCCACCCATGAATGTGGAGCTGTTACCCCATGCCGAATATGGGAACCCATCCATATAAGTCGGGAGGGTTATATACAAGGGTGCAACGGCCGGAGCATTATTGATTGGCTTAAACTTGGCATGTGGATCGGCACCCAGGACACGATCAACTTTTTGCGCTCCCGAACGTACAGGCCGACATCAAGTTCTACCCGAACGCCGCGCTATAAGATCTCCGAGCCGACAATGTTCTCTCTGATTTTATGTACCCATCACAGGATTCCCAGATGCACACTCCTTCCCACAAGCTTGATCTCAAAAGACCGAAGATGCGTTCCCTAACCTTTGCAAGTCTGCTGCTCGGCGCGGCAGTGGCACAAAAGACTCAAGTCAGCACTACTGTCTACGACCAGCTCACTCGTTATGCGCGCTTTGCCTCGGCCGCGTACAGCTCAAACTGCGCGAATCCGCCTTTCGGCTCGTCAGTGGAGAAGATGTTCGATGAGGCGACCACCGATACGCAGGCCACACTCTTCCGCGATCAGAGTGCCCAGGAGTATATCCTGTCGTTCCGAGGGACTTCCAGCATCCAAGACTTCGTGACAGATTCGCAGCAAGACTTGGTTCCCTGCTCGGCCGCCCACGGTATATCTTGCGCCGGGTGCACCGTGAGTCTGCCCCATATCAGACAACCTGACTATTTCCACTAACAGAGACGGTAGTGCTTTCAAGGCTATCTTGGGCAATATGTCTCCGTCCAAGACGACATTGTCACCACTTTGACATCAAGCCTCGCTGCGAACCCTGGGTACAAGCTCGTCGTGACCGGTCACAGTATGGGAGGGGGTCTTGCCTCCCTGGCCGCCGCATCTCTTCAGGGCCAGAACTTCACGCTCACCGCATACACCTACGGTCAGCCGCGCACAGGAAACCCAGCCTATGCGGACTATATTGACTCAGTGTTCACCGGATCGAACAAGATGATCCGCGCAACGCACTCCAACGACGGAGTCCCGCAGATCCCGGCCCAGTCGGACGGGTACCGCCACCACACGACCGAGTACTGGGAGAGCGACGACAACGCGTCGGCCGAGGGGACCTACCAGTGCACAGGACAGGAGCCCCAGGACTGCAACCAGAGCGAGCCGGGCTATGGCATCGGCAACGATGGAATTGGCATCAACCTTGCCCACCTCTGGTACTTCGGGGTCAGTATTGGCAACCCGCTCAGCCCGAACGCAGCTTGCTGAGAGAGTGCATGGGTGGGTGGGCCCGGGCCGGGTCTGTGGCTTTCGTGTTTGTGGGGACGTAATGAAAATCTGGGGGAACCGACTGCGCCAAGAGCTCAAAAGGGTGGGCCGACCCTCAGAGTCGAGTGAAGCAGTGAGTAGCAGGGCAAGCGCCACACCAAAACCCACGGCCCCCTACCATCCGGGTCTGTTTTCCTTTCTTGTGATGTGACAGTATATAATCACACTACATGAACGTATGCTAGTAAATGTACATACTCTTGTACTACGTGCCGAGGCAATGGTACCAGTTTTGACATATGCGGTGTCCAAGTAGTTGGAAAAGACTTGGCTGGTTAGCGGGGCTTAGCCTGACTTGCTGCTTCGATGTAACCTCAAACAACTGACAACGATTCGGATAACGGGTACCCGGGGGTCAGACCTTCGGTTGCCCCCTACGCCTGCCGGCGTAGGGGGTGCCAAAACCCCCGCACGGCCAAAACCCCCACACATTTAAGAAAAATAAAACACTATACTTAACTTAGTCTAAGTTACTTAAAGAAAATAGTATAAAGTAAAAGAAAGTAGTTTTATAAACCTTATTTTTTAAGGAATTTAAATAAAATAAGTATAAAATTCTAGGGTTAGGGTTTAACTAGATTTTATTATTATTTTATATTTATATAATTATAAATATAAATTTTATATAATTTTATATTAATATAAAAAATATATTATTATAATCCTTATAATATAATAAATATTTATAAAATATAAAAGAAGTCTAGAGTTAGGGTTTTATAGTAAACTTTTAAAAGAATACTTTATATTATTTTTATATATTTTCTTACTTATTATTTAATATTAAATTAAAATAAATATTTTAAAAATAAATTAAATTAAAAATAAATTTATTTAAATTTAATTTTATTATATAATTTATAAAATAACTTTAATAAATAAATATATTAATTTTAAATATATTTATTAATTAACTTATTATATTTTATAATTTTAATTAATAAAATAAATATAAAATAATTAATATAAATATAAAAATAATATTATATTTATAAAAATATATATATATATATATATATATATATAACTTTATTTAATTAATTATAAATATTTATTTAATAAATAAATTAATAAATAATAATTTTAAATTAAAATATTAAAATAAAATATTAAAATAAAATATTAAAATAAAATATTAAAATAAAATATTAAAATAAAATATTAAAATAAAATATTAAAATAAAATATTAAAATAAAATATTAAAATAAAATATTAAAATAAAATATTAATATTTAAATTATTAAATAAAATTATTAAATAGAATTAATAAATAGAATTAATAAATAGAATTAATAAATAAAATTAATAAATAGAATTAATAAATAGAATTAATAAATAGAATTAATAAATAGAATTAATAAATAGAATTAATAAATAGAATTAATACTTTATTTATTTTATTTATTTTATTTACTTTATATATTTTATATAAATTATAAAACCCTAACCCTAAATTTTTATATTATTTTATAAATACTTTTATTTTATAAGGATTATAATAATATATTTTTTTTAATAATATAAAATTATTTAAAGTTAAAACTTATAATAATATAAATATAAAAAAGTAATAAAATCTAGTTAAACCCTAACCCTAGAATTTTTTACTTATTTTATTTAAATTCTTTAAAAAATAAGGTTTATAAAACTACTTTTTTTACTTTATACTATTTTTATTTAAATAAGTTAGACTAAGTTAAGTATAGTGTTTTATTTTTTTTAAGTGTGTGGGGGTTTTGGCCGTGTGGGGGTTTTGGCACCTACTGCGCCAGCAGTGGGTTCCTCGGAGCGAGAGCGAACCCACGGGTACCAAGGTACGCCCTTCCCCTCTCCCGCTACCCATGTCTCTGTTGGAGAATCTCGGGAATACTCGACTCCCTTCGATGGAAGTTGTCAGTGGTCGACGGCCCACCAAGTATCGATTCACTGTTGAACTGGGTATGTTCGTCCGGAGTTATAAAAGAAATCAGCCCTGCTAGGTCGAGGAGCTGGCTTCTCGGTCTCCGATCATTTGTCTGAACATCCAAGTGATATCGTTCCGTCCTTGGAAGCCGCACATGGGATGCATTTTGTTCCGGAGTTTTATGGATGACACTTGACACCCAACCCGGAAGTGATCGACGCTTTCCTTGATCCTGGCCCACCGCAGATTCTGGGGTCGCGAGATGCGATTGGCCCTCCCGTTTGACAGCTGCTGGAAATGCGATGTTGGCATGGACCCACAATGGGATGAAAGCTGGAAATTCTTGCGAACATAGTCCTTGCTGTCGAGTCGGCGAACCTCCGCTTGGGAAGTGCTGGAGACACCCTGTTGAGTCAGGTGAGGTGACGTCGACCAGATCTGGGTGAGCTTGTCGAAAAATGAAGCCTGTGCCGGGATATCGCCGGGCACCAGTCACGGTCAAAGTACCGTGTACAGCTAACTGCCACTACCGACACTAACATTTTCAACCACGTGGTTGCAATGTCCGGTGCCCAAACGGCTGGACCACCCCAACACTAAACTTTATTTCGCAGCATTCTACCATGCCTCCTGACATGCTTACCTAGGTACTTAGAGTTGTCGAGGCTATTGCGACAGCGTGCGCCCATTGTTATTCCTCGGCTATAATGAGCCAAGATAGGACGCGTCATGGGTGCTCCGCTTAGGGCTCCTCATATGGCCAGATTCAGGCTCTTGTCTTACCCCTTGTACACACTAATAGTTCTTCCACAAGGAAAGTTTAAACCCTATTTTATTGGAAGTATATCGTAGGAACATTACCCTAGATGGCTGGTCTCGCTTCTATTCCGTATACTTCCATTACGTATACTTCCATTACGTATACTTCCATTACGTATACTTCCATTCCGTATACTTCCATTCCGTATACTTCCAAAGACATACATAGCGCCTTCATACGGTAGTGAATGCTCAAGACCCCAGGTGCCAGCGCTTAAAAAGAAAATATGATGTCGATAAGTATAGTTAAAATGCGATAGGTGCTTGTGGTCTCAGCCTTGAGGATAGGAAGTGAAATGCGGTTGGAGCTTTGTAGCCGCTGACAGTCGTCCGTCTCGTCTTCTTGTGGTTGTGAGGCATATTGTTGTCCCAAGTTATTATGGCGGCTACATTACGGTGGCTTGTTGCTGCCATCTTCCAGGTGCTCCTACTTCCTATCCGTGCTACCGTCGCATGTTAGACATGCACGAAATAGGAAAAGTATACAGCGCGAACGCATAAACCTCAACGTAGCATGGCGCTGTCAACGCGGGGAGACGGCTGAACGTACGATGTTCGCCCTTCTCAGGCCAATGAAATGCCGCGTGTCCTTAAGCCGTGGACACTTCCGCCCGGCAGCGACTATGCCTCAACCCCGAGCGATGGGCATTAGCCACCGAATTTTGAGCCTCCAGGGAAAGACGTTGTCTTGTTGGAAATAGAGTTCGATGATGGTGCATGGGAGACTGCGACGCTGCCCCACGATTGGGCCATAGCGGGCCTGTTCTAGACCGATGGGAATACCCCGGTTTTGGGCAGTGGCATGGGCTGTTTTCCGGTACAAGGAGTCTGGTGGTACAGACAAAATGTTTCATGGACGGAGTCAAAGACCGTTCTCGACATGCAGGCATATCTCGTTTCCGGCGGCGGGGACATGTTGCATGCTATTGTATGGCTCGATGGAAAATGGTTCGAGGGTAGCCTTACCAATCCACCTCCTTCGGTCTGGACCTCATGCCGTATCATGAGCCGAGAGACGACAACTTGATCGCCGTCTGCCTGGACAACCCGAATGATTCGGCTCACTGGTCCCCCGGTGGTGGGATCTACAGATACGCCTGGCTGATGAAGACAATGGGTATCTATTACACGGCGAGCAGTGTATCTCCAGAGTCTCCATATGTTGGGGTCAGCACACATATCACAAAGAATTTAAAAGGGTCCGTGGCCAGCAAGATTTTGATAGACACAAGGGTCCATTCTGTCGACCCACGGATTGACAATGGAGAGATAAGGTTGCTGAGTTCACAGACTTGAAGGTAACCCTGGAGGGCCCAAGCGAGCCACTCAGTCAGGTCAGTCATGGCTTCGCCCAGATTGGTGAAGCTTAATCGTTTGGGCCCAGCGAGTCCCAGCCTCTGTACTACCATCACTGGTATGAAATCCAATGCAATTAAGGTGGACACATATGAAACCCGAATTGTAATCTGCAACGACACGTATGAGGATAACAAAGGCTTGCTTGTTAAAGGTGAACACATCCAGATTCAAGGGGTGGACAATCGCCATGATCTCGGTGCCCTTGATGCCACTTTAACGCAAGAGAAGCTGAGAAAGAACTCGAGACAATGCAAGAGATGGGAGTACACGCGATCCGTTTCTCCCACAACCTTGGAGCCTCCAAGCACCTGAGCTGCTTGACCTGACTGACCGCTGGGCTTTCCTGGTGATAAGCGAGGTCTTCGACTGATGGCAGCTCAACAAGACGGGAAAAGCATGCAAATAACCTTTGAGGACTGGAACCAACCAATCTGCGGGCCATGGCTCGCCGTGACCACAACCACACGTCCATTTTCCTCTGGAGCCATAGCAACGAGGTTGGTGAGGGGGCATACAAACGAGATCGGCGCTGCGCTCTGTGCATGGCTTCTAGACAATCTCCGCGAGGAATGCCTGACTCGCCTGTATTGGGCCGGGCCTACCATGGAGCCAGGCCTTGTACACGTTCTACCTGAACTTGCAGGGTGCCGGGGTCAGAAACACAGAGGCGTATGGAAACATGAGCGACGTCCACACGGAATCTGTAGATCCATAGTAATATGTAGAGTATGCCAAGAAGATGATGTTGAGTTCTGAGACAACCTCAACTCAGCAGGAAGCGGAACCTTCACCTTCCCCGTGATGATCACAACTCCGCCCCAATCAATGACACGTTAGGCAGATCGTCTGCGACTGAGGGCTGTGCACAGCAAACTTCCGCTACCCCCCAGACGAGGTCTTCTCAGCGCAGGACGGCAGCCGCTTCGTGTCAGGCGAGTCCGTCTGGACAGGCTTCGACTACATCGGCGAGCCCAAGTCACACCGCACCGCTCTCAGCTCCTACAGCGGCGTTGTAGGCATGGCCGGGTTCAGGAAGGACTACTTCTACCAGTGACAGTCGAGGTGACGGCCGGACTTGCGCATAGTGCACATCCATGCGCACTGATCGTGGCCGCGCCGACAGCGTCGGCCTGGTCTTGCCGGGCCACGTCCTCCACGAGGCGGACAGCGCCAAGCTGTTTGTGAATTGGTGGCGTGGGGGGGGGGGGGGGCGGTCGCAGGGCAAGACGGCGCGGAGGGAGGGTGAGTATGGGTTGAGCTGGGACGACGTTGTCCAGAAGACGGGCGAGGTGAGTGTCGTGAGGTGCCAGGGCGACGAGGCTGTGGCAGATGCCGCAGTCCACACGGCTGGGGATGCCGCCGGGGCTGCAGCTGAGTGCTGACAGGACCGCTATTAAGGCCGATGGGTTTGAATTTTTCTTCGTCGTGGCTTGTGTCATGGATTCAAGGGGTGACGTTATGTCGTTTGCCAACAATGCCATCAGGTTTATCGTCGAAGGGCCTGGCGATATCGTGGCGGCGATGACTGGAGCTCCGGGTGATCTCAATGCGTTCGCAACCCAAGATCCCTTGAGCGCAGGGCGTGCAGCGGTCTTATCCTGGCGATCGTGCGCTCGAGGGGTCTGGGAAATATCACTGTGGGCCTTGGTGAGCGAAGGCCTTGCGGGCGGCGAGGGAGTGTTGCCAGCTGGGTAGTGTAGACTAATCAAACATCATTTGGGCAATGCAGCCTGTTCATGATTTGGGGGCAGCGACATTGAGCTCGGTATGGTGCAAGTCTTGATGAAGATATGAAGAAATCAGTAATGCCTGTCATTGCCTGAGGTCGAGGAGGGTGACGTGAAATTTCAGGTTTATGGGATGGATTGATGCTGGAGGCGGGGGTGAGGTACGGGGCCAGGGAGGTTGGAGGGATCTGCAGTGGTGAATGGGAGTGAGGCTTGAAACTAATTAGGCAGAGAGGCGAGGGCCAATGATGGCAACGTTCAAATACATCTCGATCAGTGGCTAGCAGCGAAACTCCAAATCTGACTGTGGATACCAGACGAGGCAGGGGAGGAGGACTGGTCGTGGGCTGCCCCACTCGCGACGTTGGCGTTAGCACAGGGCTGAAGGAGGACCCCTGCGCCCGAGGTGAAGGAAGACGGCAACCACCTACATAAGGGAGCCAATGCCCCCGACTTCAACACAAATACAAAGGTCACGTAGTCTAATGGTTAGGGCGTCAGACTCCAGGATCGACACGCTTCCACAAAGGCGGATCATACACCAATCCCGATCGGTCGCCGACACCGCGACCACACGACAATCTGCTGAGTCCTGCGGCGTGTCCTCGCTGGAGAACGAAGGTCCCAGTTCGACTCTGGGCGTGGCCAATTTTTTTTAATCTTTTAGGTAGCTCGCCCTCTTCGCAGTGAAGCCAATTCGCAGGAATTTGATGGATACTCAGTTGGCACGTTAGTCGACCCCTTCCCCGAAGTCAGATCTACACCAATTACCGTCGCACTAGGATATGCCTGAGGCCTTGTTGGGGTCGCAACCTCTTGAGTTGGGAGGTCCCGGTTCGAGTCTGGGGTGGTCTGTTCTTTTTGCTCTTCTTCCCATCATCCCTGCTGGTTTCTTCTATCAGCAAAGCGGTCCTCACTCGGACTTTGAGTCCTGCTGAGGAAGGTAAGCTATCTAGGTAAGATCCAAAGTCACCGGCGCCCAAGCCAGACTCCCTAAAACCAGGTGTTGTGCCAAAGTCAACTGCCCAAGTCAGCCACCCAATCCATTCAAAGGACCACCGGGCCATAGCAGCAACGACGCCACGCTTGTGAAAGCCCTCTGGTGAGAACAGATCTGACGCCCCTTCACTTCGAAACTGTTCGCTGAAGTTAATCTGCAAAACAAGAGTTCTCGTTGCAGCCAGAGGTCTGGTAAAATGACGGTCATCAAACCCCAATCTTGTCGTATCTTCACATGTGCAAGCATTCGCCGTGAAGCCACCTTGCCAGTGTCACACTCGTTGCCCAACGTCAGCGTCACATGCCACATGAGTTTCACGATGAGCATGAGGATTACGTGTCTCAGAGATCCAATGGTAAATTTGCGCCGAGGAATTGAGGCGTTCATACTTACAGAATGCTAATTGTCTTGATGCACGACGACCAGCCTCGATTCCTGCCGCACATTGCTCTAGAACATGCTCATGGCACACAGCCTGGACAAGGTCTCAGACCAATGGTGATTCATTAGATCGCTTGCCAAATCTCGAATTTTCACACCGTTGGATAGGGTGGAGCTCCTCGCAGCTCAAATCACGACACGAGGACAGCAATGTGGATCGGGCAAATACAGATACTACCTCTTGGGATTCAGCACATCTATGTAGGATCATTTCTCTCACCGGAAAACTACAGACTGCCAATTCAGACCATCCTCCTATCAATTACAACGGTGTTGGTGGGGCACAACTTGCTGTGCAGGCTTTTGTGGGTGTCAACCCAGCCTCGCCTCCCCATGTCGTTGAAGGTGGGGCGCAGGGTGTTAGCTGATTGGGCTGCTGCCACGCCCCACCAAGCCGACTAGCCCAACGCTTCCCGCCAACCCCGCAAACATACCACGAGCTAAGGTACCTAGGTACCTTGACACCTTGCGGCTCAAATCGACGTCCCTTCCAACGACCACGTCGTCATCAGCACCCCCAGGGCGTTACAAACGTGGGCGTCCGCGAGCCCAGTTCCACAAAGCGCGGACGCGGCTGGGGCGCCTCACTCGGACTCCATCTCCGTCTCCAGGCACAGCGAGCTCAACTTCCGCATCGTCGCCGTCCTCGCGGTCTGCGGGCTCTTGCGCATCGTAGAATTCATCCTCGTCCTCATGGTCTGCGGTCTCCTGCGCGTCGTAGAATTTGTCCTCTTCCTCGTTGGGAGAGCCTTCGCGGCTGTGCTGGCCCTCAGGGGGGACAGATTGATCCTCAAGCTTGTATCCTTGACACGCCGCGCGCAGCAAATTCTCGATCTCCTGCAACTTGATTCCCTCGAGCGTCTTCTCCCTCTCCGAGGCTGCGCGGTGACGTGCAGCTGAGCGGAACATATTGTAGTAGTAGGCGGTGTCAGGGATAGGTGTGGACATGTCGATGCTCTGGTTTACCTTGCTCTGTTCGGCCTCAATCTGGGCATCCTCGATCTGGCCGTCCTCGATCTGGCCGTCCTCGATCTGGCCGTCCTCAATCTGGTCCAAATCTTCCGAAGGCTTGCGTGCTTGGGCAAGCGCTGAAAGAATGGCTCTGTGAGACACGGCGTGGAGCAGGCGCAGCGCATTGGACTGTGTGCCGCTGCGGCCGTTCATTCTGACATTCTTGGACAGGTCGTCAGCTGCCGCGTGTGGCTCAACGCATTCCTGGGGGCACCAGAAGAACCGAACAGACACGTTCGTCCTCCAACCCTGTATCTCAAGAATCTTGAGCTCAATGATGTCGAGGATGTGTAGGAGCCTCTTCGTCATCATAGGACCTTGGCCACGCTTTCTCAGCGCCTTCAGTAGATTCTGGCAATCTGACCCTACGATGTGTTGGTTATCAACTTCTAAAACCCAATAGCTACTTAAGTATGCTTCCTGGTAACTGCAGCACGCCTCAGGCTGGGCAAGGGGGTTGGCAAAGGGAAGGACTTACAGAGGACAACCTCGATTTTGTCAGTAGGGCCGATGACGAACGCCTCTTCCAGCTTTGCTATCTGGTCAATGGCAATAAAGGCTCCCTCGACGAGGGCCAACCCCTCGCCAGTGACGCTGTTGTCGTCAGGGTGATCGCAGGGAATGAAGCAACCCTTCGAGGTGCGCTGGCTCTCGATGGCTCCAGGCTGCCAAACGTTGACGACAACAGCTAGTGCGGCCGCTGGTCGTCTCCTTCGAATGCGACTGCCTTCCTTGTACGCGGCATCGCAGAAAAGGTGCAGAGTCAGAACATCAGACGGCACCTTGACGCGGGCCGTGGCCGCGCGAGCTGCCACTACTGCATCGGGCTTGGGCAGAATCAAAACGTTGAGAGGCATGTTGGTGAGAATATGAAGACTACTTGTAGTAGTATGAGATTAGGTAGGATAAAGTCGTTCGACTGGAGGTGGTTCGGTGGGAGGTTGTGACGGTGGGAGGTTGTGACGGTGGGAGGTTGTGACGGTGGGAGGTTGTGACGGTGGGAGGTTGTGAGGTGGGAGGTTGTGAGGTGGGAGGTTGTGAGGTGGGAGGTTGTGAGGTGGGAGGTTGTGAGGTGGGAGGTTGTGAGGTGGGAGGTTGTGAGGTGGGAGGTTGTGAGGTGGGGGATGGTGAGGTGGGAGGTGGGAGGTGGGGGTTGGGTTGTCAGGTTTAGAAATTGAATCATTACAAGTGCAAGGTTGAGACCAAGCACGGCAAACGGAGTGAAGCTGAGAGCTTGGAAAGAAGGACAGGTCAAGCTGGTAGCTCCCTTCAGCAAACAGGCTACAGTTCACCTTGGTACGGTCGGTCCTTCGTTTTCTTGTCTTATTCTGTATTCTCATCTTCAGTTTTCTAACGTTTGTAGTCTCTCCAAACGGGTCGACACCAACCCATCATGGCGACAGGTTGCCACACTCATCGCACGATTGGAATTGCACCCGATACATTTCAAATGGACAGCGTGCCCCGTAGATGAAATAAATTGCTTAGTTGGTGCGCAGATAGCCCATACGGCTGTTCGATGGTTGTAACTTCGGCGGTGGGAGATGTGACGTAGGGCAGGTTTCAATTACTGAAAGGTGTAAGCTCCACATCCAGAAACCTGCTGCACTGATTGATCAAAGAGGACGAGGAACACATGTGGGCTGGTCACAAGATGGTCATGTCCAGGCACATACCGTTGTATCATGATGATGAATCCATTTCCAACATTCTCACCAAGTTTAAGAAGCAAGCCAAACTGAAGGCCCATTTTGAACTAAAACCAGAGGCGAAGGCAGGGAGAGGTAGATAGAGTCAAAGGTAGGGGTGGGCAGAGTTGAAGACAGAGGGGAAGGGTGTCACCACAGGTGGCAGGGAGCAATAAGAAATATAAAAAGAAAAAAAAAAAGGACTGACCGCACCCAGAGTCGAACTGGGACCTCCCAACCCCAGGAGAGGGACACACAACATTACTCAGCAGATTGTCGTGTGGTCGCGGTGTTGGCGACCGATCGGGATTGGTGTAGATCCACCTTTGTGTAAGCATGGCCATCACTGGAGTCAGACGCCCTAACCATTAGACTACACGGCCGTTGGATTTGTTGTTGAGGCTCGGTCTTAGCTCTCTTATAAAGGTGGTGAATCAGTAACGAGGGCCAGGGTTCAAGTCCTGGGACTACCATTCTTTTCATCCCTTCTTCCTTCCTCCTCCCTGCCACCTCTCCCTTGTTTGTCATATTTCAACGCTACTGTTTTCCCTGATAGCATTACAACTAACACTCACACAGATCAAGATCAACTCTGCATTAGTCGGTTGAATCAAGAGAAGCCTGCTACCTCATTCCTGATTGGCCATACTCCACTCCCTCTGGCCCAAGCTTGATGGATTGCTATTGAATCGCAGGGACAAGGTGTTACGGAAGCCACTCTGTGACGAATTCATGTAATATGGTGTCCCTGTGAGGGAATGGCCAGTTGAACAAAGTCCTAATGAAGAACTGTTGTGAAATGATGCGTTGTGGGCTAAAGTCAGCTCGAGAATCCCCACATCGGCACGTATTTTGTGGGTTACTACCTTTCCAAGATTTGTAGACTGCCTTTAACTGGTAGACCTGCTCGCACTTACCTCTGAACCACCTTGGCAACAATAAAGGAAACCCGCGTATTTAAACATATACCGATGGATCGAGGAATCAAACAAAAGAGCAGACTTGTTGCCGTGCACATTTAAAGCCCAAGTTTTGGAAATCAGTGAAAGCTCAGCGTTGAGATAAGGAACTACTTTATACCCGATTTTGGGATGAGGTTGAGGAATGGACTTTCGGGTTCCAAGGCACTTAGACGAGTGGGTCCCACGGTCCGCGAGCATGAAGACTACCTACGTGGATGGGTCAGTTGTAATGAATGTTCCTACACTGTACGCTTTGGCGATTTACCATATCATGATACTCTTTAGGTTTCAGTGACGAAAAGTAGATGGAGTAAGGCCAGGCAAGACTGCCACAACACACAATGTCTATGCGTCGAGCAGGGTCAGGCTGCCAACATTGTAGATAGATACAGAGAGAAATCCGGGCGGGGGTGCTTCCTTTGATAGGCGAACAGACCGAGTCCCATTCCCTTGTGACCGTCGCTGTGGGCTTATTGCTCCTCACACACACGGAAGAAAAGACCCACCCTGCCAGTCCCCACACTGATAATGCCATCTAGCCAAGCCACCTACCTGTATTGTATTCTCTCTGCGCTGTCATTGGAATTGTTTCTCTTTTTTCAAAAGAAAACTGCTTGGTCTTGATGGTTTGCCATTGTATGAAGTCACCACATACGCTTCATATGCTGGGGATTGGAAACAACAGCACTAACCACTACCGTCCCGTCGGTCTATGAACTTTGCAAACACTTATTTGCAGAACTAACGGTTACAAGTGGCAACAGTTCCTCCTTCGGCCAGGGAAAATTCCTTGTTTCTAATTGGCCCTCTAGTTGTATGGAATGAGGTGACGGGGGAGAGAGGGAGAGGAAGGCGTACCACGGGGTCCTTCAATCCTCATCTATTGAGGGAAGGAGATGAGGAATGTAGGATGAGACCGTAGCTACTTCTTAAGAGAGTCATTCTTCTAGTACTAGTCATCAAAGAAGAAGGTTTTATAGAGCAATTTCTTGTCGGCCAGTCTTAATCCTGCAGGTGTTTCGCCTCCTAGGCCGACCAATTACGAGCCAGAGATTGTTCGATGCAATTACGAGCCAGAGATTGTTCGATGCTGAAGGAGGAAGGTTTCCCACTTGTATAACAGTCGATTCTGTAAATAGGTGCTTCCATACCCTATAGTTTCCCGGTACGGTTGCCAAGCCACCATTGCAAAGTCCTCGCCAATTCAGCTTCGCTGGCCTCAACATCAGTGCCATCTCTGGCAACCCATGCCACTCGAAGGTCAGGTCGAATCAGCACCGCATTTACTTGCCTCCACTTCTCATCCAGGGCCGTCAGCGGCGCTGCCAGCACGGATACGCGCCCAGCGTACCTGTCTGTGTTGGCCAAGTCCTTGAACTTCTCGTACTCGTTGGCTTCAGAGCCGGACCCGCCCACCGCAGCTAGGATGAACCTTCCTTTCAGAGTAGCCTCCAGGAGGGCAGGGTCGTTATCATCCGCGATGTGCGTAAGACGGGTCCCAACGAGGCTGTCCGCCGTGCCGCGACCAGACGGCTGCTGGTACGGCTCGACCGGATCTCCGAACCCCGTCATACGCTGGGCCCATCTTTTTTGAAGAGCTGGCTCGGCCAGCGCCTCGGTTATGAACGCGGACACGGCCTTCTCATCCTCGGTGTATTCGAACAGGACCTGCATCTGCATGCGGACGTTCTGGACCACGGCCTTGGATGATGCCAGCCGCTCCGTCGTGTAGCTGTCCAGGACGCGCTCAACGACGCCCTTGTCCGGCCCGACCTCCCCCGTGACCACTGCTGCAAGCTTCCAGGCGAGGTTGGTCGCGTCGACAAGCCCAGTGTTCATCCCCAGTCCGCCGGATGGGTAGAGCTGGCGGGCAGCATCGCCCGCCAGGAACACGCGGCCGGAGCGGAAGGTACCCGCGACCTGCATCGCGTTCCCGACCACCGACGACCAGGTCATGTTGTGGAAGTTGTAGTGGCTTCCGAATTCCTTCGCCGCCCACTCGCGGACCTCGCTCTCGCTCGGGGCCTTGGGTCGCTCGCCGCCGGGGTTCACGGCCATGGGGGCGTTCCCGATGAAGCGGCGCCCAGTCGGCCCGTCCCCCGAGGCTATTATTAATGATTTGCCGTCTTTGCCTCGCACAGTGAGCATCGCCGGGGTGTTCTCGTCGCAGAACCCGTCGGCGAGCCAGCTATATCGCGTCGTCGCGGTCCCCTCGAACGGGATCCCCGCGGCCTCCCGGACGGCGCTGTGAGTGCTGTCGCACCCGATCAACCAGGATGCTTCTATCGTCTCCACCATGCCATCCGCGGTACCCTCGGGGGTGTCTGTGTTCTTGATCCTGGCCGAGACGGCCGACTCGGTCTGGCTGAGCGAGATCAGCCGCCGGCCCCAGATGACTTCTATGCCGAGTTCTTCACATCGTTGCAATAGGATGGCCTCTGTGCGGGTTTGAAGGAGGCCCATGTTGAACGGATATTTGGTGCCGATGACATCGTAGTTCAGGTGAAGTAGCTGCAAGCCGCCTCCGAAGTGCTGTGTATGCAGCGGCCTGCCGATCTTGACGAAGCGCTCGGCGATCCCCAAGATGCGAAAGATCTCGAGAGTGCTTGCGCTCATGCTGATAGCTTTGGACCATTTTCTTGATGGATCATGGGCCGGCTTTTGGTCGACAACGAGGATGTCCTGAGGTGGGACACCACTCCGGTGGAGACTAAGGGCCATTGTCAGGCCGACGGGGCCGGCGCCGACGATTAGTATCGTTCGTGATGGCATGTTCTGGTATTCTGAGGATGATGCTGCACGGTGACCGATGTATTGTTGGATTTTTGGGACCTGGTGAGAACATGAGTCAATTGGGTCGAGATGTAATGGCGTATATGAGGACCTTTCCATTTCACCCTACCCCTCCCTTCACGAAACCGCCAGTCGAACGCAATCGTGATCGTGTCAGACCTAGTTAAGTGTATCCGCTGGAACGCAATTGTGATAGTGCAAGACCTAGTGAAGTAAGTGTATCCGCCTTGGGGCACTCGGCGGAGATATAATCCCCGAGCGGAGCCATGGTGTGGAGCCATCGAGAACTTTCAAATGTTGGCTGCTGTCATCCGCGGCGATGAAAACAACAGGGCAGCCAATGCCGCCGTTCTCTCATGGTTTACCTTTTGGAGGAAGCGTGAAAACAATTTATCCGGAAGTCAAGAATAGCAACTAGTGCAGAAAACGCGTTTTCATTGAACTGTGAGTCTGTGACTGGTCGTTTTGAGTTTTCCGGTCCAAAGTTCAAAGACCCTAGACCCCTGTGCTCCAGAGCGTAATTTCCGGCAACCCAAGCACTGGAGCCCAGGCGGCCCGTCAAGGCTTGACGGTCAAGCCAAGCAGACGATCATTTCCACTACCATGACGCGCATTGCGGATCCTCGGATCAGTTGCATGCACACTACCGCCAAGTCCGAGGTTCAATGTGCAGCGCCGCCGTGTCATCCCGCAGTGGCTGGACGGCAGTGCTTACAAGGTTGGGTTGCATTTGCGCTTTCACGGACTGGTGTCGTGATGGAATAATTGGTTCAATGCATATGTACCTAGGTCGTTATTGTAGACTCCAGAAAGTATAGGCCTGGACTGCCGCAAGTCGATCGCAGAATAAAAGGACGACGGATTGAAAAAATTGAAAGAGCATATAAGATAGTGGACGAATGAAGGAGAGAGACAAAAAGAACAGACAAATTCCGGCCAGAATCCTGTGCAGATCATCAAGCTTGGAACCGTATACGGCGAGCGATGGGCCTTGTCTCTCCGTCCACCTCCCGTTTGGCCGCGCTGGGGGCAGAAGCTGCCTGTCCCTTCCAGTAATTGTCCAGAGCATCATTGACATCCTGGACATGGCTGTACGGATCCTCCTCGGCCAGCTCCTTCACCGCTGCCTCGATGGCTTCATCGCTGAACAAGCCTGTTCTCGCTTGGAAGTCCCCGGCACCGAAGGGTTTGGCCCTGAACTTGGGCTCCATGGGGTCCAGGAACAGTGTCGTGTCGTTGTAGCCCCAATTGGTCAGAGCAGTGACGTTGAAGGCGGCCATCATGTCATGGTCTTCATGGATGAGATTGTGACAATGGAACATGTAGAGTCCATCCCACGGCGCATAATGGGCTTCCACGATCACCGTCTCTCCCGTGCCGAGCCACACCACATCTTTGAGACCGGCTGCCTCGTACGGCATCACAGCTCGGTTACCATCCGTCCTTGCGAGTACTCGGAAGTCAACTAGATGAACATGGATAGGGTGGGACCAGCCACCGCTGGAGTTTTCGAGCTCCCAGATCTCAGTGGTGCCCCTGGGCACCTTGGCCAGGACCCGGTGGTCGACGTCGGCAAACACAACATTGTTGATCTGCCACTCGCCGTTTGATCGGTGGAAACGGAAGTGGTGGTCGATGACATTTGGGGTAGTGGAGGTGGGGAAGGGAACAGATCGCAATGTGTCCGGCACAGACGAGGTGTCCGTAACCGGTGTGGACGATACCATGAAGCGCATGACCTTATCTGTGTTGAGGTAGTCGTCATCTACTCCTACTCCTCCCGCCTTCGGGAGGTTTCGGAGCTCGACGGCCTGGCCAGCATAGGCCGAGAAATCAAAGACGATCTCATAACGCTCAGCCATTGAGATGTACTGATGCAAGGTCAGTCCTGCATACTTCAATGGGTAAATCAAGCGCTTAGACTCACCATGTCGGAGACTTGAACTGGACTTCCGAGCAGACCCGCGTCACTCGCAATCACCTTGAAGGGCAACTTTCCATTTACGTTGGAGCTCAAGGCAAAGTAAAGCGCGAATGACCGAGAGACAGCTGCGTTTAGGAAGCGAAAACGGTACTTCCTCGGCTCGACGTTGAGGAATGGCCACGGTTGCCCATTCACGTGGATTATGTCACCCCAGAGGCTGTCTGTCTCGCCATCTGTTGTTTTTAATGTCCCGTCGTCATTGTACTGTTTGGCCGACAAGATAAGAGGAATATCGTATTTCCCGTATCCCGAAGGGAGATTGAGTGCGTCATCCGCTGGGTCGGTTAGGATGTAGGCACCAGCCTGGCCAAAATAAGCGTTCTTCGCCGTCTGGTAAAACACTTCATTAGCAAGGATACTGATTTTGAGTCGAATTTGCAGTGGAGGACTGGCTAACCTCATGAACTGCATGATCGTGGTACCAGAGAAGTCTGGCACTTTGTTGGTTGGGGTAGTAGTAATCCTTGAACTCGCCAGGTTGTGTCACATCTTCTGCCCAGCCGTCGAATGCCGCTCGGGAGTAAGATCCGTGCAGATGGACAGAGTTTGCGATTGCCGCATTGTTGATAAATCTAACGATAGTCTCAGTCCCACGAGGTATCATGAAAGTTGGCCCTAATGGTAACGTTAGTCCTGCTATGGGTCCGAAATAAGTGTATTCGAGAACACTCTCAACCACCAAAGATAGGGATATGTGACATGTGAAAAGCAAAGCATACCAGGAGATATTCCGTCGTATCCGACTAGGTTTGCAAGACGCAGATTGGGGTACACCTGCTGAGTAAAGGGCTTGATCTCCACTTCATAGTATTGGATGTCCTTCCCCGTGACCGGATTGGTCAGGATCCTTCAAGTTCCCAAATTGTCAGTATCTGCCTTGAAGTGCAGTGAGAGGAGGGACGGGTAACTTACTTGGTCGGTTGCTTGATTGGGGGAATTGGTAAAGGCACTTTGTAGATCAAGGCATATTCGGGGCTCAGCCAGTCTTTGGCTTGTATTGAAATGACATCTCCAGGATCATCCTCAACAATACTAGCGAGCGCCGCTGCCTCCTCTGGAGGTATGTCATAAATCCATTGCGTCTCCTGAGAGACGACCAGTCCTGCCAGAAAGGACAAGCACACCGTCACCATCTGGAAAGATATGGTCGACAACATGATCGCAAGTGCTCGTGAAGCCAAACGAAAAGGTGATCATCAATTGACCGAAAATGAAGACCGCTTGGCGGATGAGACTTGTGTGATGTGGGTTGCTCTGACTGAAGACCAGAACTTTGGTCCTAAGGGGGGAAGATGAGGGGATTTATAGACATATTGAGAGACGGTCTCTTGTTTGCGCGGATTCTCATGAGAAAGGGCTCGGGGAAGAGGAGCTCACCTCTCCAGCTCGTGGTTGGGGCAAGACTCCCTCGACGAGTCCTCGCCACTGACCTCGAACGCGAGGTCAACCGGTTCCACCAACCACGAGTCACGAATAGATCTTGCACCATTATGGTCTCCTGCTCACACAAGAGACCATCGTGTATGGTAACATTGCCAGGAAGAGAGGATCATTATCTTCAGGGAAATCCTTCCACCTGGGCATGCGACTCGGAGTACTAGTAGGTAATAGTCTGTGCCACATACATATGCAGGTCGAGGTAGTAGTTCTGGTGGACATCTCGGCCATCCTAAAGATCGGCGATCAAGGTTGTGATGATTCAGGAAATATGGACCGACGGAAAGATAGTCTGGACCAACGCCACAAGCTCACACGCTGAAGTGGGACTTGAAGTCGGATCGAATGTGGAGAGCAACGCTCGACCACCACCATGTGTTCATCCCGATATCAAACCAAGCAACAGCAGTGGGTGGGGCGCCATGGTGGTTCGATAACGCAATGCCCGAAAGCAACCTTGGACCGTACATAGGCATAGTCCATGCCGACCGACTTCGGCTGGGCAAGCCCTTGACGATGGGGCCATCGGCAAGTGAATCACACCGGTCGTGCGGATGTATTGTAAGTCCCCAGACCAATCTCCTCATCATTTGTAAGAGCACAGTCATCTCGACATCACAATCAAAGAGGATATGGTGAGGAGCCAGTGTGCAGAGTCCAGAATATCTCGAATTCCTACAGGATCTAGGAACTCCCACGGGAAGATCTTGCACATGATATCTTCCCCTGGCAGCCAAGCCTTTGCCAATGTGGATCTTGAAAGTCAACAAACTATCGCCTCTTGAGTCGTTCTTACTATGTCGCTTGGCTTGATCATAGAGCCCAGCCGCACCCGTACTCCGACCTACCGCAAGGTAGCTATTACATTTCGCGCATACCAAGACCAACACTGCACAAGAGACATTGGACCCATGACCTTGCAAGGGGGCGGAAGCCATGGTAGAGAGTTACATCCGGGAGCGGCTCCGGAGCCTCCTCCCTGTAAACAACTGGCCAGAAAGACTTACCTGCCGTGGTCGAGTCCGAGCTGCTCCGGATGTTACCGTGGGGCCATTGATGGCTGGATGCCGGCTGTCCTTTCTTCCAGTCACCCACCCATTACCCACCAACTATCACCTTCGGTCGCATCTTCCACACCCTCACAAGATCATCAGAAGACCTGGAAGAGGGTGCGGTCCACTGCTCCCATAGGATGACCACCCTGGAACATGCGAGGTACTAAGTAGTGATCTGTAAGACGCAAAAAACGTGGCGCACCACCTTGAATCCTTATTTTGTCAGCAATCACTAATCCTGTAGGTGTCTGAGGTCGAATGACTCCTTTGTTCTCGGCAGTGTGCGAGATGCCTATAAACTATCTGTATCATGTAGTGCTTCCTAGGATCTCGGGCAGGAGGTTACACACATTGCGGCTCGAGTCAAATTCAAACAATCACACTGACTGCCAAGTGTTCATAGCGATTTACTGATTCAGTACAACAAGATATCTGGGGATTGGGGGTTGCAAAAAAGTGGTAGCGGTTACCCCGGCCTTAACCTTATTTCCACGACACGAGGTAGCCTTGGAAGCGATCTCTTGGCGCGCGTGCACCCGTTCCCTTGGTGGGTAGGCTACCATCGCCAAAAGTTGCCTTTCCGAACCAGCTCGCTTCCTTTATTCCCATAAGTGCCCCTTATCCCGCAACCTATATGCCGAAAAGCGAATATGGTGTACCCGACATTGGGTATCGTCACATTACAAATGCTTCACTGACGCCTGGCGCATAACAACCGTTGTAGACCAGGATGGCTACCGTGATGGAAAAATTCACCACAGCTCTCGTGATCAGAATGGAATTCTGCTGCATCTTAGTGGCATCAGCTTTCCGTAATTGCAACCCTGATCAGTTCAGAATTGACTTCCGGGAGCAATTAACAACACGCACTGACAGAGTTGATCTGCGCTAGAACGAGTCCTACTGTCGTATTTTTAGATATCGAGACTAAGTGAATGTTCCGCATCTCTCCCCATCTATTCACCGCTGATCATGTGCAGCGGCATGCTCAACCGATTAGTTCATCATAACGACATCGCCTGAGAGGGGCAAGACCGGCGTGGCGAGCCAATTTCACGGGGTGAACAGGAACATCAGCCCCACAATGGAGGGGGGAGGAAAGCTGCACAAGTCCGGACCAGGAACGAACGGGACCTAGCTTGCAAGCTGAAAATTGGTGCTTCCTTCCAGTGTCTTCGGGAAATGCCAGGATTGCTCCAGGCCGCTCGATAACCCCCACACTGGGCTTGGCCTGATCAGCCCAACTCGACAAGGGCTTCACCGGCCTGTCAGTGAACACCCAATAGCTATTACGAGCAGCCTCAGCTATGGAGCCGCTCCCGGGCATTAAGGAGCTTCTTCACCATGCCCAGTGTTCTGCGCTGGCATCCCTTGGAAATTCTACGCGAGCCAAGATTGCCAAGGCTGGAACACCATTGCTTGGCTCGCAGCGTAGTCAGTGCCTTACATACAAAATAACAAGGCCAGCATTTGGGGTAGCCTTCGCTCTCGGGAAGACCAGGATGTTCCAATGGTAAACCGCGGTGCATGCTGCGATGCAGCAGGGACGAAAGCCCTCGACGGTGGAGCAAAGAATACGCATGGCCGGGGGCCAAGCCGCACACCGGACGCGGGCAATGATCCTTAATACTGTGGTGTTTTGACTCGGTGTCTGGAGAGTCCCGGAGTGCGAATCCTGACCAGCATGTGAACGGAAATTTGCAATGGTCTCATGATCTTGGCTCAACATGTAATGCTACGGAGTAGAGGGGTGAACAACAAAAGACGACAGTGCGATGTCTTGGCTTTCGGAGAAAATGGCTCATCTAGGTTCCCAGAGGATTGGAAAGTTCGATAGTCTGGCTCGCAAGCGAAGGGTGATAGCATCGTCTCGAGATGGTGAGGAATTATGGCGCAGCGCAGCGCAATGGCACCTAGGTAGATGATTCTCTAGATATGAAAGACCTTGAGATGATAAAAGCAGCCTGGGGAGCCTCGTTGAAAATAGAAGTTGGAATCATTCACCGCACTTCTCAGCTTCATCTGCTCATACAGTCTTGCTCTTTTCCCAACCCGTGGCGAAAGGGTACTGACTCTTCTTTGAAGCTTACACTCCCTTCTACTTCACCCTGATTACTATACCTGCGCTTCTTCAAAATGTTGCCGTACCTGTCTCTGGTCATAACGGCCTTGGCCTTCCTCACCCAAATTTCACATGTGCAAGCTCAAGATGCGCCGTTATGGGTCCAAGGATCTTTTGAAGACGGCATTGCCACAGATGAGACATTCAACAGTGGCGGGTCCATCACTGTAAATGGATTTACCATGAATGTGCCCAAGAACCTCCTTGTGCAGTTTCCTGCAGCCTGGGTTCCATGGAGAGACTTCGTCGCAAGCAAGAGTGAATTCATCGGCTACGAGACACTGGTAAGTCGAGCTGGCGTACTTGAATACGCATTGTTTTACACTGGTCTGGTAACTAAGTGAAACCGCTAGGTAATCGGAAACACTGTCAACGGAGAAGCTCGGGTAGCTCAGATCCAGCTCTACGAATTCTTTGAAGGCCTCGCCAGTGGATTCATCGAGTCTATGGATTATGCAGATGGAAGCATGAAGATCCAGAACGGACCGACTGTTCGCATTGCTGACCGCAACTCGGTATTCTCGGTCGGATACACCGCCGCCCCTTTCATGAACGCAGATGATTCCAGTCCTAGCATCTCGTCCTTCTCAGGGTTTCCCATGTGCATTCCAAGGAACACTACGGATCCGCTTTGTCCATTGACTAACCGTCCATTTGCTGGGCCTGGGACCTTGTCAGTATTCCTACCCCAACAGTACCTAGGTACCTAGGTACCTTTAGACACACATACACTAACACTGCTTCCCCTTTAGCACTGCACCTGACCCACTCGCAATGGCACCCTTCCAGGTTGGGGACTTTGTAACCTTTAGTGGTTTCCGACGTGGAAGCGAAGTGGTTGCGTTCAGCATTGTTGCACAAAACGTTCAGATCAACACTCTTGGAGACATCGTCTATATCAGAATGGAATTAGGTCTCCTGGGCGTCGACAACCCAAGCGCGAATGCTGAAATTGCAGAATCAAGGGTCAGTCAAGTCTTCCATCTGTCCACTATGTCTTACCCCCTCATTGGCTCCAACGCGGATTATTGATACTTGCACAGTTCATCGGCTTCACTTCCAACAACCGAGCCACAGTCACCTTGTACGCAATGGATGTCAACCCATGCACGGGTGCTGTCACCAACCGCATCATCGCAGCTATTGGCTTGCGCGGCGGCAGGAATGCCCAGAATAAGTTTGAGTACCGCAGCGAGATTCTGTCGCGCTACACACGCGAGTTCTATGTCGTCGCAGAGATTGACGGGATAGAAAAGACCATCCTGACCAAGAACAACATCACTGCCGGCACGTACGTGCAGCCTGTGAACGTTTGGGTTCAGGGCGAGCAAGATGTCCCCGGAGTCCCCCCAGTCCCGCACGACTTTTCTCAGATGGCCTTCTTGACACAGGGCGTTGGCGCAGATGATAACGGCAATGTCTGGGGGCCGCTGCAGCCCTTCCCCCAGACTGGTGTTGTCGTCAACCCTCCCCAGTGCGCCACTGTCGCTCGAAGTGCGGCTTCCGATACCGGTACGTGAGAAAAAGATGAATGTCTGGTCCTCTTGTATGTATTTGTGGCTGATATACCGAGTCTTCCAGCCCCTGTGCAGAAGAGAGGCACCGTCGGACGTTGGTACGGTCGTGCCCGTGATGAGGCGGTCGCGGATGCTGACAATAAGGGAACTACTGACTCCGTTCTCTTCGTTGCTCCAGATCAGTTGGTAGGATCGAAGTAATGACTCCAAAGGGTGATACGAGGGTAACGCAAGATGCTTCATATATTGCGTTCTTGCCGAACTGTAACTGTTCATTCTTACATGCAACGATATGTAAATATCTTCTTCATAATTCTACAGACCTTGCGTGGGCGCGCAAGCAAGGGCACCTTCTATTCTGTGGCAAAACGAGAAGTTCTTCTCCTAGGTTAATTATTACGAGATAGGCCAAAATCTTCCCCATTCCTTCTCCTTCGTGAAAGTTTCTCGGTTCTTCCATTTCCCCGCGATGCTCATGCGTTTGGCTGTTGAGGTACCTCATATGGCATACTCATGATAGTCTGGAACTCTTCATCACCATCATAGCCCTCTTCATGACAAATCTCTCTGAGATGCGTGATCAGTTCCTGGTTGTCTCGAACAGTGTGTCTTATTTGGTCCCTTATCCGGGCCAATTGCTGGTCCTTGGCGGCCTGGCCTGCCTCTGCCGCTCCCGCTGGCTGAATTTCGTCTCGCTTGGCCTGGAACAGAGTAATCTTCAGCGACATGAGGTCTACCTTTCCTCTTGCTACCTCAACCTGTGTCTGGATGCCCATAATGCGGTCATTGAATCCGAGGTAGACCCTCAGAATTCGCAACCATTGTTGAACAAGATCGTCTATGCCTCGATTGCCTGCCAAGCCTATGATCTCCTGGACTGCGGCTGCCTCCAGAGCTTTGGACATCTCCATCATTGACCTGGCGATTGGCACACCGGGAAGAGGCGGTCCTTGCGAAGTGGTGATCGGGCGGTCAATGTACTCATTACCGAGAATTCGACGAACACTATCCACTTGGCCTAGATTTCCAGCCAAATCATTACAAGTCTGCTGCGTCTCTTTTCTGAGATTCGCGAATGCATCAGTAGCGACTTCAATATCACGCCGCAGCGGAGGGTCGATGACGCGATTGTTTGACGCAACTATGAACGTCAACCGTGCCTCCCACGGCGCGAAGATTGTCCGCCATTCAATATGGCCATCTGCTTCATGGTCGCGTCCAATTTGATCTAGTACATCGGTGATCATGTCGGTCATTGTCCCAAGGTTTTGCCGAAGATACCACATATATCTTCGATGTATTTTCCTGCGTTCTTCGGGTGTCTTCAAGATGTATTGGGATGCGATGGCTTGCGCATACTGTATCTCTACACCTATGAGTCCTGAAAAGGCGGTTCAGTGTCTTTAGTTCACTTCGAAAGATTTGACAAACACTCACGCTTCAGCTCTGTTAGATTTCTTAACATTTGACGCATGTCGTGGCTGATTCGCCCAATGATATCGACCAAGGTGTCCGGAGACGGATTGCCTTGCAAATTATAATTGAAAGAATTCCAGACCGTGTCGAAGCTTTGCGTAGATCGATCGCACAAGTCGCGTATTCCACGCAGTCTGTTGGACCATGTTCTCTTCTCATAATATAGTCTGTTGCGCAAAATGCTGGCCGATGCGGCTTCGCGGGTAAGTAGCATCAAATACCGCAATATGGCCGGGTAGTCATACTCGTACATAATTTTGATGGCATATTTAATGAACTGTAGCGCTGTTTGGCTGCGAATCACCATCGCCAGCATGGGTACAAACTCGACAACGCTCTCGCTGGACTTCGCGGCAGCTTTTAATGGTGTGTTGGAACCTCTGGAATGGACAGGTATCTTGAATCCTTGATGTCCAAATTTCACAAAGTCTGTGTCCCACCATGATTCTTGCATGAATTTGGCAACGTAACTGACGGGAAGGGGAGTAATGAGCTCATATGCCGAAGCAGGTGGGTCAAGAAGCCAAGTTCTGTAGCTACGCTGTATAAACTCAGCATATAGTCCAGCATCGACGGATTCTTTGTTCTGCATATGGATCTTTGGGTGGGCCCACGGCCAAGACCTGGTTACTATGACCGGGCGATAGGCATCAGTATACCTCCCTTCAGCTGCTTCGGGAAGATGGACTATTTCCGAGCCCCATAGCTAATTGAGTCAATGCCGGAGGCGTCAGCCATGTATACCAGTGTGAAAGCGATGAGCTTGGAAGGCCATACCTGCTGTTCAAAACATTTCCCCTCTTCAACTTGCGGAACCTCTTGAAACCTGATTGTCGAAAATGTCAGTATTGCAATTGGCCTTGGACTGTGCCTACCTGCACACTGATGTGACTCGGTTGAGTGCCCATGTGTGCATGCCCTCTAAGAGATCCAAGGGAGTCCAGATGTCGTCCCTGTGCCGCCACTTCAAGACGAATGGAGAGGCTTCCGAATATGATAGCAAACGGCAACCAGAAAACTTACACATATTCAGCGAAGAATCCGGAATTTACCTCATTCAACATATCCTTTAGAAGATTGCAAATATGCTCGTTGAAGTGGGTATTCCGAGGTGGAATCCACGGCTCATCCCTCATCACATCGATCAAAAATTCTGTCCGTCTCAATGTGAACAGTTGCGCACCTAGGCATTGAGACCATCAGTATTGATTCCTCTCGGTGTAAGTTAGGTCTGGCCGCCTTTGGCTTGTGGCAAAGCAAAAACCGTCTCCCAAGAGAAAGGTCAAATTGCAAAGCAGACTGGTGGCCTCACTTACATCGAGCTGCATGCTGTTGCGTTAGTTGGTCAGCAGGGAAGCATAGTGACCGGTCATCGAGCGCTGACTCACTGCAAATTCATGAAGAATCACCTTGGCCAAGATGAAGGCGACAGCCGATTTTTCGGATACCGAGAATTGTGGAGCAAGCAATGGCCAAATGTATATGGCGTTGATCTCTATTCGGATTTTGCAATCTTCCGGGTTCGGGGCGTCTTTATTCTCAAAAATTGGTCGAGTGAATGCTTGTGCTGTTCCGTTGAAATATACAATGGAAAACCTCAATACTGTTTATAGGATCTGTTAGCTAGAACCGATTCAGTGACAAAAGGTAGGGTTTGCCAACATATTCTCAGCATTTCGAGTGCAGCCGCCTCTGAGTCAAACCCGGCATCCATCAGCCGCCTTGCGGAAGGATACATCTGACTTGCATCCACGTCGTACCATACCGAGGTATATGGTCTGTATTCCGGTCTTGCCTTTTCCTCATCAGTCCGGCCATCCTTTTCCTCGGGGACTGGACGCAGGTGGTATAAGCTCAGCATGGCCTTCCAGAACGGATGTTCGCTCTCCAGCACCCTGCTGACAAGTCGAAGGGTGGGCTGCAATGCAGTCCATAATTCTTCATTTTCCTGGTACATCGTATTAGTCGTGTTGACAATAAAATCAAATGCCTCCAGCTGCGTACTTCAGCGGCCCAACTCTTCCTTTCGCCCCTCAAGTTGTACCAGAAGTCGTCACTAATTTCTGGGTGGAAATTCTCTAGCTTGGACCATCGTTCCCTTCTCAAGAGACTGATTTGAGTGAGTATAACTATTCATCGGCAGGTAAATTATCAAGAGTGCTAACTGGTGTAGATTCCCCCCCAAGTCTGGTTTCCGCATTACTTCACGTTGAGCTGGGTCCAAGGCTCCCAAGTCGGATAGCTACTTAAGTACGCAGTGTTAGTAACGCAAGTTCTAGATACCAAATCTACATTTGATCTGACCTCTTGGGTTGTGAATGACTGAAAGATCGTGGCTTGGAAACTTTGCTCAACCCCCCACTGTATATTGTTGCCACCGGAGGGGGGCACTGGAGTTAACAATGATCGTGCCTCGAAACGCTCATTCAATCTTCGATCGGGGAATATCCCAAACCGCCTACAATAAAGTTTCAATTAAGTATCCATGTATTCTCGAGAGCCTGCTACTTACCGTGCATATTCACTAGCTGCAGGGTCGGCTCGCAGCAGTGCCGGCCTCATTAAATCCCACCACCCTCCCTGTCTCGGTCTTTGCCTTAATCCTACCTTTTCATCCCATTGAGCCTGTACTTTATCGTCATATCCCGGACGGGTGAAGTCAGGTATATAGTATTCGAAATCGGACTCGTCCAGTTTCACCCAGGTGTTCCGCACCAGTGCTGGATCTGGTTCAAACTTCGCCTCTTTGTCGTAAATGTCAGGGGGTTCGAAGGGCTCAATTCCAGGAATACTAGTTCTGTCTTCGTCCTCGGATCGATACCCGTCATTTCCCGTGCCCCAACTTGAAGCGGGCGGCCCTGCCATGACTCTCTCAGCCTTTGATGGTATATAACAACTATTTGGTCCTCGTCGGAGATCTTAGTGCATATCTAGGTAGCCGCTCACATGGAATAATCAGCGTAGAAAAGTCTGAGTTAATGATGCTACGCTCCACATCCGCGTCATGAGGACAATTCCAAAACTCAATCTCGCTGCTTTGTCTTTCAAAGGCTCTCACCCAGTCTTTGTGTCAAGGGTGCAACTAGTATGGTGGGCTTTTATCAGTGGGGAATGTTACCCTGCTGGCCGTTTCCGGTGCAGTCAACGCGACATGGTAATAATGATAGCTTTGAACAACTTCCCCGCGCGGCACAATTGGCCACGCTGGGATTATTGCCTACGACTTCTTGAGCGACACATTTATTGGGTTGAGTGAGGCAAAGGATCTCATTCCATCGGACGAACACCACGTCGGGAATATGCCAAAATGGTGCTCCTCACGAACTGATAACACGTCGCACTGTTGTCGATCACTTGTTGGGTGCCCAGGAGAGCTTCTTTTGACAAGCTACCAGTGGACTCGCTTATATTATTCCGTACACATCCGGAGCCATAAACAGTCCTTCGACAAAACATAGCTCAGCAATGATGGCTGTTTATTACGGGTTCCCCTTACAAATGCAATCAAGGAAGCTTGGATAAGCACAATAAGCATACAGCTCTGAACCATCATATCAGTGGACGTCGATTTAATTGCCGGCTGACGATTGTGCGTCGTCAGCTTACGCACCCCTCTCCTTGTTCAGTCCAAAACCTGGAACTCCCCGTCTACTCAAAAGCATCCATGGCACTACAACTCATCATTTCTTGATCCAAGCAAAACTACTTCTACGAATTTACCTCAGTCGGATATTTCATGGATAGGCTCGACAGCTCGCAATATGACGCTCTCGTGTCGGAGTACGAGAGCTCCCTCGATCTGCCCTCCCGCCGCTGCACCGCGGTGAATTTCTTCGCGAACCTGGGGGATGTCAAAGGCCTCAGGATACTCGACTTGTCAACTGGGACTGGTGTTGTTGCTCGCATGGTGGCCAAACTTGGCGCAAGCAAAGTCGTTGGCGTGGACATCAACAAAGGGATGCTGGGGAAAGCCAAGGAGATCATCGCGGCCGACGCATCCGTCCCGAAAGATGTCATTGAGCTCGAGCTGGGGGACGTCTTCGCCCCGCTCAGCCTGACAAGCGCTGATCCTGGCTCTTTCGATGTCGTCGCAGGGATCTGGAGTCTCAACTACGCTGGCAATCAAGCCATGATGTGCCACGCGTTCAACAACATCGCCAAGTATCTGAAGCACGGTGGAAGATTTGTTAGCATCATACCCAGCAAGGCGTCTCATGGTAGCCGTGATTCGTGGCCTGGGCTTGATGAGCACAATGGGTGGTACGGCGTTGGGAAGAAGATCATCGAAGAAGTACAGGATGGTTACCGGGTCCGGACAATCTTCCTGACGAACCCGCCTCTCGAATTCGACAATTTCGACCTTGATCACAGGGTCTATTTCAAGGCCGCGGAAGGCGCTGGCCTGAAGAATGTGAAGACAGATGCCAAGGAGAAGATTGCTCCTCCATCCAAGGATGGCGAGGACCAGGCGTACTGGGATAAATATCTGGAACGACCGCTGTTCGATGTAATCACCGCCAACAAGTAATTGTAAAGCGGTATAGCAATATTCACAGAATGCAAAGTTGTTGACTTAGATGCATTTTATGCTGCCACTGCTTCTTTGGAGACTCTGGTTGACAGATTTTAAAATGTACATAGATAACAATGATCATTGATATGGGTGAATCGCTGTATGACACACGTAGTGGGCTCTATGTCCTTTCCGCGTGTGGCTTAGTGACATTGGAAGGAAAAGGAGAATAAGTGAGAAACCGAACAAGGTACGAGCAATTTAATTGTCGAGGTGAGTTCGACACGAGATCCGAGGAAGGGCATGACAGAAAGACAATCTACCTAGGTACGTAGCGACACTTCCCGCCGAGTTGAAAGGTTCTCCGTAACTATTACCTCAAGTGCTTGTGGACAACGCCGCTGTTTTGCGAGGAAAACAATCATTTTGTCAGTGCAGAACCGATGCAAGCTCCTGCTTTCATCTGCCGTTCACCTCCACTTGACTTGACTCGCCATCGAGCAGTCTGTATGAGCTGGCGCCAGACCGACGGTGGCCGCTCGAGGAGTGGTGTGCCGCTAGGTATGCATGCTACCTATCTAGGCCCAATGAGGGGTTCCCGGTTGTTGTTGGTCTGGTTGCACACCACCAGGTCTCTAATATATTTCTGCTTTTTCTCGACCGAAGACAATAGAGACTAGACCTCATCTGTCACGTCCAGAGAACAACGGCCTGAAGTATCCATTCGGGGCGTGTCTCGGCTGCCTGCACTTGCGCCTTATTGTAGCCGGGCGAGTATCGTCACACGCAATACGAGTGACGGCCCGAGTCCGGTCTGTTCTCGGGACCCCGCGCCAATCGATCTGCTACAACGTCGTCCGACCGAGCTCCCCAGGCATAAAGCGAGGTATGTATCCGCTTCTGGACTCGATATTAAGTGGCGGGCCGGATTCGAGCAAATGCAGCCTTCCTTGAGCTCCGAAGTAGATGCACTCTCATTGCCAGTAATTCGGGATCGTCGCTTCCCACATCCCAAACGAACTGTAGGTTTCTCTGTCTGCTCTTGCTTGCCCAGACCGAGCGTTCCGGCCGGGCGATAATCAGCCCGGCCACCATTTGACCACTTGGCACTGAAGCAAGCAAGGACCTTCATAGAGTTGAAATGCACGCGCATCGCTTGTGTCTGTCACTCATTTCCTAAACCGTTCAAAGTCTGAATATGTAACTCGTGTACATAGTTTGATTTGATCTACGAGCTGCTGGACATGGATTAGCTCGATGCACATGTTAGATCATGATTGCAGCTTTGCCGGAAATGTCTAGGGTGAATGTGTTGGTGCTGGTCCAGACTGCGAGCTGGCGGTACCAAGTGCCCAATCAAACAGGGCTTCTGCTGGCCCAGATGGCTTTCTCTAGCCAAGGGCTTCCACAGTAGTCACAATGATGACAAGACGTCGTACTAAAGCTTTTGGCACCGTCGATGGGAGGTGCCGAGAGCGGTCTTAGTGTGACGGCCAGCGGGCCGATGTTGGTGCGCACGCCTCCGGCTTCTCCTCGAGCTGCTCGCGATGCATTTGACGTCTTCTCTGCAGAGCCGCCATTTCTTGCTTAACCAGACGGTATTGAACGCCTGTCCTCGTCTCGGCCAGGCTGGAAAGGTTGCTGAGAGTTGCGGCCACGAACGGACGAGCGGCCTATCTTATACGAGCTGAGTGCAGCGCACCATGACAATAGCAAGGTCACCTGAGGCGACGACCACCGGTAATGCAACTCAAGTGCTGCTATCAGTCAAGCGTCGCTCCCAGGTATGTAGCTCCTACTTGTGCTCCGGCGGGGACAAGTTATCATTTCACGCACTTCCGCAGATCAAGCACTTGAGGAGGCATCTACGATCCATTGAACTAGACTCGGGATTAACAGAAACAGGTCTTGAGAGCCGCCCAACTGTGACATATCCTATGGAATGTTCATATAAATGCGACATCAAGACGGCACCAAACACAAGATCTGAGACCATCAACGGCCGAGACTCTGAACTCATTTGATCGCCCAAATACTTTGTACCCTTTTAACCACCTCTTGGCGACTTCTTCCCTCGGTCTCGTACTCTACAATCTCATTCGAAGGGCAGTGCTTGGGGCAGGGCCTGACGGTAAGTCATATGGGGACTGAATAGTCCATGATTCCCACTACACCTCCAGAGCTGCCCATTGAGATGCGAGTGCATGTAACATCCCCTCCATCGCGCGACGCCTTCGCTTTGCCATGCTGCCAAGTCACCGTGGCGTCTCCTTCATCCATCTTATTTCATTTGTCTCACACGTGTCAACGAGGTTGCGAGGAGAGGAGTGTTGGTAATCGGTTGGGCAAGACAAGCAGGCCCGGCTGTTTTGGCCATTGCTTGACCGGCGAATGCCGTCTGACAAAGTCTACAGAAGCGTTGCCTGTGACGCCGTGGTCGCTTGCGTCCTTGATTTCTGATCCAACCAGTGTCGAGCACCGACCTCGGTTGTCGCACGAACAAATCACCGTCGAGACAGTGGCATATCCTGAGGGCTCCAGCTCCCTGCACCCAGTCGCCTGCCCGTTCCCGCCATCGGCTCGCAGGTTATTGGGCGTCCCGGTGGCAGACAGGCCAACTTTGTTCTGCGCACTGCGCGACACAACATATGTGTGCCGCCGCGCTTGGCCACAGGTTCTCTGCCGAGTGACCACCCGGCTCCGACTTGTGATATATTCGTTTTCGACTTCCGATACCTCATCCTGCGCCTTCCACCACCGCGTCGCGGAACATACAATTATCGATCGCCCTGGTCTGCCCCACGCGGCGTGGTGCTCATTGGCAGGCTGTACGCACAGCTAAGCGCCCTTCTTGAACGCGTGATAGTAACAAAATTTATGCAAGGCACTCGTTTCACCCAAGCCAAAGACAAAGTCTCGATCCCGGCGGAGTTTCTGTAACACCGGGATTTGAGGGCGCTGCCATCGAGCTGGACTCTGTCTGAGTCCTGTATGTCGTCTCTCGCTGCGGGTCGCCATTGCAGCGCCAAGGGGGTCTCCCCTTACACTTGTGTGGCACCTGTATCCAGCGTTCCGGTCGCGACCGTCTGGCCTCTGATTCACCCACGATCACGGTTGCGGGCCCAGGCCCTTGCTGCTCACTCCCACAAGGTCCCATGTCCCAAGGTCCGCATCGCAGATGTCAATTGGGGCGAGATTAGTCAGTAGCATCCAAACCGCATTCGATATTCATTTGTATGATCAAACAATCCATTGACCTGGCCGTTTCATGTTCTATAGACGCCGTGTGATCTATGGTTGTCCTCCATCTACGACTCGATCTTAGGAAAGTAGTGTTATCCAGACGCCATGATCAAGGGTCCTCCCGATATACTACGACGGCAACCATCGCTACCCGACAACTGCTACTAATTGCCTGCACACCCTCTTCCCATCGCGCATGGTGTGGCTTGGCCGCGCGGGATTTGACAGCAAACAATTGACGTCTGAAGTCCTTGAGCTACCAGGAAACATTGATCAGTGTGCCCTACCTTGCCACTCACGACCAGACCAAATCAACGGCCACACCATCATCAAACGCGAAATACCACCATTCCACCCGCACCAACCAACCCTTCCACACGAGGCGCAACGCCATCCTTGTTCGTTATTTGCGGTTCCTGGGCCCGATTTCCGGAATACACTACTTATCTACAATCACCTGCCTCTGCCTCGTAGGTCACCGGGCAGCCGTTATGGACGTACCGCTGGCCGAGGATCGCGAGTTCGCAATGTTGGACTCAGCCCAGATCAATACCCTCAACGCAGTCGAGCGCATGGGCGCCACGCTTTCTCTGTTTGGGATCATTCTAATCTTCATCACATTTGCTGTCTTTAGGAGACTACGGACAATTCCCAATACCTTCATATTCTTTGCCTCTGTCGCAAACATAGGCGCCTGCGTCGCCTGCTTGATTGCGTACGATGGGATTCAGGCTATGCACCGAGATCGCCAGTCTGCTCTCTGCCAGGCCCAGGGCTTCATGTTTGAATGGTTCGTTGTCTTTCTACAAGTTGAGGTTAAGCGGGGCATTTGCAAATCACCGCGGCTAACTGGTGATCTACAGGTTCATGCAGTCTGACCCCTGGTGGTCGTTTGCCATGGCCATCAATGTTTATATGGTCTTCTTCATGTCGTTCAATCCCACGACGTTCCGCCAGTATTTGTGGCTCTACTGTGTGATATGTTTTGGACTCCCGGCAATCCCATCCTTTGTCTTCCTCTTTCTTCGCGAGAAAAGGGGTTTGGTGTATGGGGACGCAGCGGTGAGTGACACGGTCCCGCGTTGTGCATACCGTCAGCAAGCCGTCATTTGAGCTCCTGTGACTGACAAGCATGTTTGTCTGACCTAGTTGTGGTGCTGGATCAGCTCTGACTGGAATGCACTCCGGATTTATTCCTACTACCTCCCAATATGGGTTTGCACAGTCTTGTCTGCCGTCATCTACTTCGCTGTTGGGTATCATGTCTTCCACCAGCGGAATCAGTTGCGCAATCTCTCCCTGAGCAACCAGGCCAAAGATGTCGAAATGGATGTTGAGGTAACGTGTGACTCCTCTGATGTAAGGGATTCGGCGGAAAAGGTGTGTCACCCCGGCGTCCTTGCGTATCGTCGTTCATGACTGCCGAATTCCGGCTCGTCACCTGAAATTTCCTATGTCTTGTTGTTGTTTGCGTCCCAACAGCCGTTCCTATAGGACGAGCTCTGGCCGGCCTGCCATCCGATGGGCAACATGAAAGTTCATGACCCTATGAGCGCCTTGGGATTAAATTGCTCAGTATGTTACACCGACGCGGAATGCACACCACCAGGCTGGAAACTCTCGCAAAGTTCTAGATTTACTGCATCCGGGCACGCCGTGACTTGAGACAAAGTTGGCGTCCCGTTTCAGCTCGCTGTGTTGCGGAAAGCCGAGGAGTGGCGCGTGATGGCTAACGACTCTTGTTGTCTCACCAGAATCTGACATCTCACGCCGGACCGGGCTTCTACGGCACCGTCACTACCGAAGTCCAGGTCACCAGTGCTACCATACCGACAACCCCAAACCCTGCTTTCACAAGCCCATTCATCGAGCCATCAGAGACAACTCAACTCAACAACGCCACCAAGGGATCCATCGACAAAACGCACTTGCGAGTCGACACGTCGCTTGGCCAAGAAAGACCCCAGAGGCTTGCCACTCCTGCGCCGAATGCGCCGGGCGGATTCTCGCCGATCCAGACGCACTACTACCCGTGGTCGCGAGAGCCGAGCTCTGTCTCGCCCACCACAGCCGATGTCATCTCGCCCTCTGTGACGCTAGTCAATAGTAATGATTCCAGCGCCTTGGGGTATTCCAAGACCCGCGGCCAGGGGCGCAACTTCGAGAACGTAAGCTTCAACGGCACGCAGTTCACCTCAACCATATCCGCCGGCTCGGCATCGAAAGATGACTACGACCGCGACCACTCCCCGATACGGGCCCTACCGCCGCTCTCCGCCAACGTCAGCCCCTGCAGCGGGGCCAGGCGCAGACCGCACATGTCAGCACCCGTCGTGAAGATACGGAGGCGGCTGAACTTCTTCCAGCGCACGGCACGGGGCGTGCGGCGCTTCGGCGCCAAGCTGCGCAACATGGATCCGGTGAAGCTCGCGTACCTGCGGACGTCGTTCGTATTCGCCATCTCGGTGCTGGTGACGTGGACCCCGTCGTCCATCAACAGGGTCTACACGCTCGTGTACCCAGACCAGGCGTCATACGGGCTCAACATCGCCGCGGCCGTGGTCCTCCCGCTGCAGGGCGTCTGGAACGCCGTCATATACTTCACGACGTCGTGGAAGATCTTCCGCGAGGAGATGGAGGCCACAAGGGTCGGGCTGCGCATGCTCGAGTTCCTGCACCTGGACAGCGGCCCCGACAGGACCCGACAGGGCAGCGGTGCCGCGGGCGGCAGCTTTGCCCTCGGGTCGAGTGTTATGACGCCGCGGAGCGAGATGGGCAGGAGGCGCAGACTCGATGGCGAGAGCCAGGACGGGAACGAGATGGAGCTTGTTACTACCGCCGGCGCTGGGCCGCAGAGGCCGAGACCAGCACAGCGGACTAGCACAATGAGGGTGACGAGAAGAGGGTTGGACGACTTCTCTTGATGATCAGGTTGGTTTCCTCAACTCTTCGATGTGTTTGGTCGAAGTCTCACCGCGAAGTGTAGATCAACTTAGTCATTTCAACCAGGGGCAGTTGGAATTAGCAGGCGTTGACCGCCGTTTTTGTACACCGGGCGGGTGCAAAGCCACGAGTACCTCACTCTTTGGCTCATGCTTCCAACACATAAGTATCGATTGGGGAGTACATACATGCATCTTGGGAGTTTGATTCTGATTGGAAAGGAAGGCGAATTTCGCTTGTTGAGTATGACGGGACACACCTGCGTGATATATTGAACCGTCATCAACTGCGCGAGCGATCATAGCCATCTGGTCGTTGACAGGCCGTTGCATTCGAAATCTATGTCAGCATCTTTTGTTCCTATTCCAGATGCCCGCATCGTCCTTCAGACATCCTCTCGGTCATGTTGACAAAGTAATGGTGATTTGTTGATTCACGTGAGTGGTTTCGTCCTTGATCTTTATACATACCGAAGGCGTATGGTCCCTTTACCTAGGTACCTACACAGTGGTAAGCGCGTAAAGTCCTAGTGTTTGAAAGAAACACAATGTCAACAACGGTATAGGAAGAGGGCATGTAGCCTCAGGTGCCGCACAGACAACGCTGGTAGGCATCGCCCCCGACGGCGCCGTTATCTAGAATCGACGACATCAATTGACAGCTTGAGATAGTCAAAGGGCTATTCTGAAACGGCGAAGCAGTCGTACAGCGAGGCCAGAATAGCACCAAGGCTTAACAAGCGGCGTGCTGCTTCTGGGCAGCATTGGAAGCTGCCAGAATGTATTGCAAGTCTTAGGATACCATGAAGGGACGTGACTGTCTTACCCTAAAGCCACGCCGAATGCCATGCCTATTCCAGGAATAACCGTGGCTCGCTTTGTTCTTTCGAATGATTGAGATGACACGTTCCAGATTTGGACTCACTGAATCTGTTCGCGCTGCGGTCTAGAAGAGAGAGAAGTTGTGAGAGAGGTCACCACGATACTCTGAGCGGCAGTTACCAGAACGCATGGTTTCGATAGTTTTTGCAGTGTATGTGGATCAGTACATGTCTTCGGGACTGTGAACAGTACTTTCTGCGACAGATATGTTGACTTCGATGCGGCGTCAACCAAAGTTCGCGAGGCTCGTGAGTCGCGCTCTGTCTGTGATTGTCGCTCCTGTCTGTGATTCTCTCAGGGCCGTGACTGGCACAGCGTGGCAATGGGTACCTGGGCAAGATGAATGTATTCGCTTGGCCAAATTCGTCGCAGCAACTCGGGAGCTCGTGACATTGTCCAAATCGGTGATCTTCGAGTTTGCATTGGGAAGTTCCCCGGGTCTGTATCTGAGAGGAACAATCTAAATCCGGGTCTCGGAAAGATGTGGTGCTCTGGGGCAAAGCCCTACGATGCGACGTAGCCGGAGAGCTAATAATTAAGGTCTTGGTTTCATTGCACGAGACCGCTGGCCCGAACTCAATTGTAGGTTGCGCCACATGCAGGTTCGAGGTTGACCCGCGCGCTGTGGCTCTGGCAAGCTCTCAGTCCCAAACGGTGCTGGGGAGGCGCGCGCTCCCCCCGTGATTCAAGCATTGATCAGCGGCCTCGGGTGGGAGGAACCGGGATGAACCCTTGAACGCGGGTGCTGAGGCTCGTTGTTTCAAGGTCGAGCTGCGCTAGAAACTTGCTCGACCCTCAATCAGCAACCTTTCCGTGATATCAGCGTAAGCTTGCTCTCTCCTTTGATGTGTCGCCCTCGTTTCGTTCTCGAAGCAACAGATTGAAGGTTTATACACTACATCTGGAGACCGTCGAAAGCGTGCTGTTCTGGCGTGCTCGGGCTTTGCTCACATGTTGCCCAATGCCTTTTACTGGCTCGTTTCATTTCCCGAAGAATCAGACCTCCGCGTGCCTGACAAGAGGAGTAGAGCTTCGCCAGATGGATGAGAAAATACTGTCTCGGAGCAACACACGAGCCTTTGGTCTCGGCAGTTTGGTAATGATGACTGGATCTATGTAATCCTCGGCGTCGGGTGCGTTGATAACATACAACCCGATGAAAGACACGCGTGCTCGGAATACCACTAGCACAACGGGGCCGTATCCAATAAGGGACGACCAAGCCACCACTCCGAGTCTGTCTGCAGCTGCCATCTGATGTGGAGGTATGCTAAGAACAAGGAGCCAGAAGGGCATGTCACAATGCTGTACCATGGGTGACATCGGCGGAGGCTACCTTCCCGCACCCACACGATACTTTTGCTCGGAACACCATACAGAGCAGTTCTCCAGGTGCCCCTTGCCTAGTCCAAGCCCTCAGCATGCAACCGCCGAGACGCCAAGATTTACTACGGCATTTTGCCTGTTCGAGCGTGGTGAGCTTGGCAGCCCTGCCGAGATCTAACCACCGCGGGTCCTATTACTGATTCATCCCGCGCGCGGTCCTGTCGAAGCGAGCGCCCGGGCCCACTCGATCTACTCCCGTTGATTGTGTTCTCTAGATGATGCTCCCGATACTATTTCCATGTTGAGTAGATTCAGGGACTCTGCTGCAGATAGTTGATTATATATATTGAGCCTCATGGTCGCTCTACAAAGTCTATGTTCGATCAACAACAGTCTACAACCCAACATTTGAACACCACCATCGTCTTTCAACACACCAAAATACAAAATGTGGACCAAATCAGTCGTTCCATTCCTGGCAGCCCTTGCTTTGCCAGTGTCCGCGTTGCCTGAGCCACCTACGAAAGTGCTATCAGCAAGGCAATCCTGCGTTACACCTCAGCCATGCCAGGCGATGAACCCACCACCAACGGCCGCTGAGACCGAGCAGCGATTCAACAGATTCGCGGACGAGTTCCTGGTCAAGAAGAACCTGACCGCTGCTTTCGAGTTCATCTCCTCAACATACATCGTAGGTCACCCGTCTCTCGCCCTCAGTCAAGGGCTGCGCTAACTGCCTGCAGAACCACAACCCGTTTGCCGACGATGGGCCCAACGCCGCGCTGACCTTCCTATGCCCTGTCTGGCCAACAACCCAGATCGATGTCCTGCGGACCACGTACATCGACCCCCAGGGCTTCCTGAACTACAATGCTAGCGGCGGCATCGGGACGGTGGTCGACAGATTCAGGTGGGAAGCGGGTTGTATTGTGGAGCACGTAAGTATTAGATGCCCAACCTTCAGCACTTTTATTCCCGAGCATTTTGACAACGTCTACTGAGTGAAGCTCAAAAATGGCTAATCTAATTCATTGCTAGTGGGATCAAGGCGAGGTTTTCCCAGGCGACGCACCAAATGCGACCACGTCACCCGCTGCCAGCTCGAATGGGACAGCTACGCCGTCGGTTCCAGTGACGAGCGGTGCCGTGCGAAGGCGTTCAATTCTGCGATAGAGACGGACAAAGCCCTCATCGCATGTATGCATGAAAGCCTTTTTTTCGTCCCAGGGGAAAGATAGGGACTTGTTTCCAGATCCTGTCAATAACGTCACACCTGTATCTATTTCGCCGCGCGTTTTTTGAATTAGCCTACGTCATGTCTATAGCCTCGCTCTCAGATATATACGCTTTGATTCCCAATAATTCTGCTCGGACTGACGTGATCATTGAAGAGAAATTGAGACCACTGCGGACGCGGAGTATGTGATACAAGTCTCAGTGTCTGCTATGACCTTCTGCGGCGAACCCGAAGAACAGTTGAACCTTTTTGGTTACAGTGAACACGCAGAGCAGGACATGACACTGCAAAACAAAGTATCACGTTGCATTCCAGACTTGAACTGCATGTGAACTCGCTTTGCACCTGACTCGCCTTCTTCCACTGGTTTGGACTGGGATTTGGCTGGCATCAACTAACAATTTGATTCTGTGTTTTGGTATCGCAATTCTGCATGGGGAAATGTAGAGCTCATGCGTCGCGTGTACTGCGTTGAGACCGAAACCGCCATATATCACTTTATTGGAATCGAGATATAGGTCTACGGTGCACCGTTGCTTGATATTTATTGGTCGCCCGTGATCTCTTCACCTGTCGCGCCGCCGTGTGTAATCAACTCATGGTCAATCAAATGGCATGGATGTAAACGTGACATTTCAACACACTGCCCTGGGCTCACCAATCATTCCCTGGATAATTTTTAATCCATCTACAGTACTAGTAGCCGGACTGCTCCTGCTGGCATTTCAACAAGCAGACGCGCCACAGAAATGGTGGTGTGCGGCACAGTCTTGTAAGTTACCAGCTCGCATGTGTACCATCATCTTCCCTGACGTTGCTAATGGTCTCAAGCAGAAGTCTCCTCCATCAGCTTACTGGAGCACTTTCCAAGTGGTAGCAAGGTGGTATAAGAATATGGAGCTTTTACATAACTATAGTTGTGAGACATCAAGCACGACACTGCCACACCCCAGCTCATATTGGAGCACAGCAATCCTCGCAACAGCTTGCAACCCGTGGACTACTATTATCAGCATCTTTAACGTAAACTGACCAGTAGTGCGATGCATGAGCTACGGTATTACCAGAGAGGGAGCTTCAAAATTGTAATATTACGTGATTGCCAGTACTATTGTAAGTAACGCTGAATCGATTCCGCCTTTGCAAGACAAACATACCAACCCGCCTCTAGGTCAAAGTCAGGCTTTATCCAAGTCTATAACGTACTTCCCTTGGACCTGGATCAACACCGTTAGCATTTCAACCGCCAATACCCCGTCGTGCGATGGGATGATCTCTTCTGGGGAAACGTACCTTTCCTTTGCCAACTTCCTCCATGAGCTCGGCTAACCGATCCAACTCGGCCCACTGCACCTTGGGCTTAACCAGGCCTCTTTTGATGAACTCCAGCGCTTCAAGCGTATCTCGTCGTGTGCCGACGGAAGAGCCCATAATCCTCCACCCAGATGCAATGAACATCAAGGGGTGTATATTGAAGACTCCTTCAGGGGGTGTTATTCCAATGCACATCAGCGTACCAAAAGGCGCCAGCATATCCAAGGCGGACTGATACGCTTGCGGCGCGCCGGCGCACACGATGACCGCAGGTGCTCCCACCCCCCCGGTCAGGCCCTTGACCACCTCGCCCACGCCGGCGGCGACGACCTCTGGCGAAGTAATGTCGACGTAGTGCTCGGCACCCTCCTCGAGCGCGTAGCTCCCCTTGGCAGCGCCTGCATCAGTCGCAATAACCCGATAACCCATCGCCTTGCCAAAGGCCACGGCAAAAGCGCCCACACCACCTCCGCCGCCGCTCACGGCGATCCACTGGCCTGGTGTCAAGCCAGGGATGGACTTGATGGCCTTGTACGCCGTGACACCGCCACAGAGCACGGGGGCGACAGTCTCGTCCGCCACGTCGCCGAACTGGTCGTCCGGGATCCTCAGCAGGTACCGCGCGGGGACGAGCGTGTACTGCGCAAAGGTGCCATTCACGGCGGTCCCGGAGTGTGGCTTCAGGGCGCACCGCGTCTCGCCGTCCTGGGCGAGGTTCGTGCAGAACGCGCAGCTGCCGCAGAAGTCCCGCGTCCACGCCACGCCCACCCGCTGGCCGATCTTGATGGTCGGGTCGTAGGACGAGACGTTGCTGCCGAGCTCCTCGACGCGGCCGATGCCCTCGTGGCCCAGGATGGGCTGCGTCGGGCCGAGGTGGCCTGCGGCCTGCCCGCAGTCCGTGCCGCAGAGGGAGGTGAGGTTCAGCCGGACGAGGACATCGTTGGGTCCGGGTTTCGGCTTGGGCAGCGTTTGGACCTCGATCTTGGGAGGCGTGCCATGTTGCTGCGGTCAAGTGTCAGCCGGTGGCTCGTTATCAGCGTAGCGTAGCGACGCATATTGGGCCGCAAAGCCCTTCACTGTGCTGGCAACTACACGGAATCCACCGTGACGTCTACTCACTATGACCACGGCCGCCCTATGCGTTTCTACCTTGCCGTTCATCTTTGTATGTTCCCTTCAACGAGTCAACAACACTAGTCAGGGTCACCACAAGCTCCTTCACGAGATGCGAGGGATTTATGAGTTGATGACTTTTGGGCAGAGGTCGGCAGATGTGGGTCCCGACAAATAGTACAGAGTATAGACTAGCATCCTGATGCTACACGGGGTCGCGCGGCTCCCTGCAACAGCCGCGGGACTCGAAACGGCGTCTCGTTTTAAGCGGGGGAAGGATTTCCCAGGTGCATCCGGCGCCCAGGCCCGGCTGGGACTGGCTAGATCGCGAAACCCACCTGGGCACCCCAGCCAGGATTTCGCCGACAAGGGCAGTCAGGCTCAAGCAGCGTGCCCATTTGAGCCAGGTTGACAGGGCAGCCACACAGTAGAGTTGTTTACGGCCGAGCTATCATTAAACTTACGCCACGGAATCCCCCCTCGCGTGCGTCCGTATGCGGTGAGCCGCCATGCCCGCGTGGGTATGCGTGGGATTATCCATGCTCCACCGCCCGTGAGCCGAGGTGAGGGGTGCCCCTGAATCAGGACCCCCCTGGTTCCGCGGTCCCATCGGATGAACTCGCATTCCGTGATGAATTCAGTCTCTTTGTTGCTTTTTGGCCCCCAGCTAGATGGAAATGATAATGCGGAAGCCTTTGGCAATGCAATATCGGAATTGACTGTCACACTGACAACCAGAGTTGAGGAGCATTGCTATACGGCGATCAATCCGGAGCCGGAGGGATTCATGCGCTTATGCGACACATAGGCGTTACTTGTACGGAATACTCCGTCAAATATGTGACGACGAAATTGGGCGTGCGCAACACGCCAAATTCTAGGGTTGCGCTCAAAACCATCACTCTGGCAAATGATGCTCCTCAGCTTGTTTGATCCATGAAAGGCACGCAACATCTCCTAAGCTGCTTTCCGACCACCCGTATTCTTGGCAACAAATGATACGCGCGCGCGCGCACACACACACACACGCCTCCGGGAGCCTCTTATGCTCAAATCATACCGAGCAGGCTTCTGCAATGTATTTCCGGGGTTGCAGTCACGCCAACCCTGAGACTTCTTAACATAAAACCGAAGATGCAGACTGCGGCACGTGATCAAAATATATTTATGCCATAAATACCAACCTTTACGGCTGCTTGTCTGAATCACTTATCATATATCCGATTCCGGATCCAAGGTCTCTGCTCACCTGATAGGCGCACTCAATGCCCAGGTGATTTGACCACGGAAATTAACACAAGTCGACATGAGAGGGACTCATAGCCAGCAAAAGCATCTGATATCGCCATCATTTCGACTTGGACTGCATTACCCCATTTATTACTCAGGTAGGTAGGATGATCCGAGGTCTTCTAATCCGTACTCCCTTGTGTCTCCTTCCCTCGATTCCTAACTTTATTAAAAGCCGGAAAGTACCTAGCTATATTATTTAACGCTCCGGCTTATCCGAACTGCAACCTAAGTTCGAAAAGACACCATCAGACCCCGGCCGTGATGCCAATTCTATCCGTGAATCTATTATTGAAAATCCCATTCACATTCGCCTCCCGATAAACACCCAACCACCTATCCAAGTTTGCCCCATACCAGTCACGAGCATCCTGCGCAGTGACGGTGTCCAAATCCAAGCCCCAGTGCACCCTAATTGACCTGTCCGCTGTAGACATGGCACTCTTCACCTCCTGCAGCAGCTCCTCTCCCTTCTGGATCCCAACAATATTGCTCATCTCCGCCGTGGCCGTCAGCCGCCCAGTCTGTGGCGCAAGCAGCGCATCCGAAGCCGCGACGAATCTGATACCGACAGGCCCCGCGACATAAAGGTTCTTCCAGTCCGCGATGCTCTGGAACGTGGCCATCAGCTTGTCGACCGTCGCAACGAGGTTCTCGGCCGGGAAGTGCAGCTCGATCGCGTGCGCCCTGAGCTCGAGCTCCGAGTCGAGCACCTTGAAGACGGTGTAGCTGCTGTCGACGTACGGCGCGTCGTCTGTGGTGAGCTGCTCCATTGCTGTGTTGATCGAGGAGGGCGCCAGGCGTGGGAACAAGTTGAGGATGTCGTCCAGCACGGTTGTGGACAGGATGATGCCGACGTCCTCGAGTATGCGGCCCCAGAAGTCCTGCCGCGAGCCGCGCTTCGCTGTGCTGCCGACCCGGGCTCGCTCGATCCAGACGCAGGGGTGCTTGCCGTCGTCATCGCTCGCATATGGACTCACGACTAATTCGAAGTGGTCCCAGTCGGCCAAAGGAGCAGGCAACGGGTTGAAGGTCTCGGGCGCAAAGTGGCCCTTGATGTCCTCCCACCGAACCGCGGTGCGGTTTTCGGATACGTGGAACGCGGCTGTCACCTCCATCGTGTAAGAGTAGATGACTCCCAGGCAACCCATGGAAACCTGCGCCGCCTGGAACCAGGTGTCGTCTTGCAGTAAGACAACAGGCACACCTGGAGCTTCGGGCAACGTGCCGGGGAACTTGGTCGGGTCGGTGATGGCGGCACTGGCTGGCTCAATCTGGAAGACGGTGCCATTCCCGATTACCATCACGATGGACCGCAGCATCGCGGGCATTGGTCCCCATTTTGCCCCGGACCCATGACTCCCGGTGCTCATGGCCCCGGATATGGTCTGGCCATCGTAGGCGGGCATGTGCATTAGAGCCTGGCCGCGGTCATCGAGCTGCTGATTCAGGTCTTTGATGAGGATTCCGCTCTGGACGCGAATGAGGTTCAAACCGCTGCCGGTCTGGTTAAGAGCTGTAGTGTCAACGTCAAGGATACTATCCATTTGATGTGGGTCGATCAGGATACCGCCATCAGTTCGAGTGATGTCCGACGTCGAGTGGCCGGACCCCACAGCCCGCACACGTTGCCTCTTGCCACCCGCATCGTTGATGATAGAAACAAGCTGCTCGAGAGAAGTTGGCGATTCTTTAGCAATCGGCGTGCATGTTTGTTCTCCAAGCCAGTCCGACCACTGGCCAGGGTTTGCCATCTTTGTGAGAGATCTGCCCAGGTGGTTTGAGGGACCAGACGAGTCCCCGTCACTCCGCGAGCTTGTGGCTCGTAGGCCAAAATCAGCCTCTAAATTGGCGATGCCTTGGGTTGTTCGATCGTGAACGGTATTCCATTTGGCATGGCCTGGCGAAGCTGCTGTGACGACATGATCCCGCATAACGCAAGTGCTAAGCAGCGCGTAAAGAATAAGACCCATGACTGCCATGTTGGATGATGCGGTGTGCCGATAATAATAAAGACTTGGGTCAATTGATCTGTTGAGCCAGCTGGATATCAATGGCACAATGAGGCGACCTGGAAGATATTGAGCTGTTCAGCCTCCGACGGCGAGCTTCGATTGATTTTACAGACCCAAGTTTTCGTGCTCTTCAACCCTTTGCCCGAAAAGGTGATCCAGATAGCTTTATGTCGTGCACATATGAGGGTTCGAGTTTAATATCAGTGTACCTAAAGATCAGCTGCTAGATGAAGAAACTCGCTTTGTTTTGATGCTTTTCGTATTCATCAAATAGGGTTTAGTGCTTGGCCGAGTGATGAAGCCCGCAGCAAGTGCAAATGCAGCGAAATACAACTTCTACTACCATCAATGATTTGAGTTCGCCGGCGTGTCCGGACGAACATGCTGATCGCCGAGGCATGTACAAAGGCTCTGTCAAGCAATTACGACGAAAGGGGGTTGCAAAATGTCCGCCGCACGCATTGCAGTAATCTGCAAAATCCCAGGAAACAGCAGTTTAATTCGGTTGAGTCCCTCTGTTCGAAGCAGCCGGGCATCAAGAACCTCACTCTGCCTTGCAGCAACTGCCGGACGCTTCCCATACATGGATGCTTGGCAAACTTCGATTGATTAGCGATACCTAGCTATCCTTCCCGGGATGGCATTCGCAGTGGTTGACGGGAAGACATCCCCACCCCTTTCAATTTTACCGGCTTTTCAGTTTTAGGAAAGCAGGACAGTCACCAACAACCCTGGATTCCATAAAGATTGATGCCGCCCGAGGTCTTGGCGCAGGAACAAGCTTTACGCACGCTGCGATCGCCTCTAGTGCCCGTAATACCACGCAGGCGCAAAATTCGGGGCTCAATGTACGGACTTAGAGTCATTCAAACGGGGGGCAGGTCGTGGACTTCATTCATAATCAATCAGTAGCGATTAAATAGTTGTGCCAAGTAGTAGCAAACGCTAGAACATCATTGTTTGTCGTTCCTGGCTATAGCTATATGTAGAATGTGCGTAGACAGCACTCGCTCGAGGGACCATTGCAAGACTGGCCGAGTCCTACAATCCGAACACCCTGAAGAAGCGTACATATTCCCATCAGGCACTACTGCGCTTCATCGTGACCAAGCCATCCTTCCGACCGTAGGCACAGAGGTACATCCAAGCGTCCGCCGAGGTGGTGTCGCAAACAATGTAGCGAGGAGGGTTGCAGGTCGTCTGTCCAACGTTGGGGCACCACTCGCACGAGTGGTCGCCGGGGGCGCATTGGAGCCTGGGACATCCCGTGGAGGGGAAGTAGGCCGCGCGCTGGTAAGGAGTGAAGGGCTGTCCGTCGACGATGGAGAGGTCGAGCCAGGACTGGCCGGAGGGGTGGACGGTCAACTCCATCTGGTATTGGTTGGTGTTGGGGACGTTGCGGTCGGGGGAGCACTTCACGACGGCGCCGATGTTGTCCTGCCGAAGGGCAGTCAGTGGCTGGCAAGGGTGGTTATAGGAATACGTTTGGTTTGGTAACTTACATTGCGGGCCGCGAGAGGGGACCTCCAGCTGGCTCCCGGAGCAATGGTGGTGATGGGAGTGAAGGTTCCTTGGAGGGGTCAGCGAGGTCAAACGCGATATGTATGGCGGTCTCAACTTACCGTAAGGAGGGTCGCTGCGGGCAGCCGAGCAGTACACGGGGAAGCCGCACTTGTTGGCGACGTTGAGGAACGATCCCATGACGCCAGTAAGCAGCAGCAGCAGTGCTGCGAACATGATGGTAGATGGTGCCCGCATCGTGAGGGAATGAATGGTCAACAGGTTAAGGTAGTGAGACAGGGCTTTGTGGAATGCAAGGTAGACAGCAGAGATGCTTGGTAGGGCACCTCAGAGATCAGAGTTGTCTGTCTGTTGTTGATGTTCAGAAGAATGGAAGGTTGCTGAAAATCCCTAGAGCCAGTCTGGGTTTAAATATTCAAATGTTGCTGAGATTCTGGCGCAGCCAAGATGGATGAATGGTTGAAGGGTGAATGGATGAGGTTATAGATCGTTTTCACCGGCAGAGTCTACCCAGGCATCCTAAACCAAAGGGCCAGTCACTGGAGACTTCAGCAGAGCCCAGCTGGCTCAAACCACATTTATCCAACACTGGCAAAGTAAATCCTCTGACAACGCACATCCATATCCCAAACGGACCGCTTCCATGGCCTTTCTGAGGCCCAACACCAGTGTTGTCCCCTGGGTAATGGGGAGGCCAATATCCATGTCCGTAAAATCACACACGGCATGGTAGGGGTTGGAGTGCCAAAGCGCGTGAGAGCCAGCCCTCGACACATGGGGTCATCTATTGCAGTTCAAATAGCATATATCGAAATTCTCTGTGTCATGCTATAATTGCGTAATGGAGTCGATATCAACAGACTTCAATTGTATTTGATGGGCGGCTACAACCACTGAAGTCTTGTTCGGCCGCATTGATAACGGCGTGAGCTTTAGAAGTCCACCCTGGGTCAAATAGCTTGGTCTGTCTAAATTCTCAGATGTACTTGCGTGAACTGCTTGGTAGATGTTGACGGAATCCTTAGACTGCCAACCCTCGGATGTGTGTGTGGGTTGCTACCGGAGATCATCCAATCCATCATAGTACTTCAGCACTGCTTGTCGTATGTGTCTGTGACCAAAGTACCAGTATTTCGCAAGACGACATTGAGCCTAGCATGTCGACCAAGGCTCATCCTCCTCTCCCCGAATGTTTCGCCACCACTCACTCTGTCTCACGAGCTCGCCGTCTTCGCCTCCAAGGAGAGCCCAGTACTTCTGCAGGAACCATGGTCTCGCCTCCCAGCTGCGGTTGTCCCACGGCGTGCCAGTGGATACCCGACCTGTCGACGCATCCCTGTCCTTTTTGCCAACCCCTACGCCTCCCCAGCATATTAAACCATTCAGCAGGTCGTGGAACAACTCCTCCTCGCGGATGGCATCACCACTCTCTATAAGGTTCTTCCGGAACGTGGGAAACGGCAGGACATCAATCATGGGCCTGTGCATCATGATGATCTGCTCTCTGATAGGCCTCACGTCTGGTTTGAGGGTCCTGAAGATGCGCTGAACCGTCGTGACCGTTCCATCTCCGCTGGGGCTGTCGATGGCCTTGTTGGCACCCGACCGGAAGAATGGCGAGATGGCATGTGGGCCGCAAAACATTTCTTCCGTAACCCCGATCTGCAAGCAGTTGGCCATGAACGCCTCGAGTATGCAGATGCGCTCGACCCGGAGCGCGTTCATGTGGGGGTCCGGCGTGCAGAAGCTCGGCCCAACGCTCAGGAGCTTCATGTCTCCCCAGTCTCTCGCGGTCTCGCAGCTGACTTTCACGTGAGGCCGGACACAGCCGCAGTCGACCATTCCGACCCAGTAGTGAGATCTAGATGCCGAGTCCTTATTGTGAACCAGATGAGGGAGGCCTACGGATGTGGCAGGATCCCAAAGCGCAGTATCGGGAGAGGCCGTAGACTGGGAAGACGCCCTGGCAGGGCTAAAGAAATCTACAGATGAGAAGTCGAAGAAGTCGATAGAATCAAAGGTGATATTCTCTTGCGAGTCATGATACATGCAACCCTGAGTGGAATTTGTGCCCGTTGATGGACTGCTCTGAGACAAGAGAGCCACACCAGTGTTGGTTGCAGGTGTGGATGCCGGACCTTCTGCCGGACTCTGACTGATAGAAGCGGCGAGAGTCTCAAGATGGCCAAGGCGTTTCTTGAGTTTCTCCCCTGAGATTGCGTGTTAGGGGCGTCATATCACAAGGAACGTATTGCTATGCAAGTACTCGAGGTGATGAGCACTCACTGTACTTTTGCTGAGCCTTGATGTTCTGCAGGCGTCTCTTCTCGGGGTCTCGTCGCACTGGCTTCCTCTTGGCAGCAGTTGCCGTGTCACCGCTGCCGGGGCCTTGAGGCCGAGTCGGCGCAACTGAGGGCTCCGCTTCCGCATATTCAGGGTCCATCGTTCTCGCTTGGATGTGGCTGACTTGAATCGGAGGTCTTGTCGATCCGGGCTGTGTGATACGGGGAACAAAGATGTGGTCAAATTAAGCTCGCTGGAGTGGCTGACGTGATCCACCGGCATCGAACTGAAAAGGCTCCGGAGGGATTTTGAGCCGACGAGCTAGCGGCCGCCTCGCCTTTATCTGATGATAGGTCGAGAGACTGGGCGTCGAAGATTAGGCTCCTTGCAGCCGTTACAGCTAAAACATTTCAATCACTGCCGGATTATTTGCGACTAACTTGTGGTCATGTGGAAGAATCGTCTTCTGGAGCATGCATCTATGTGAAGCCTGATAATCGTCACGTAGCGCCACAAGCTATGTGAGCGATGTCTTGCGAAAGCTGCCGCACATATTAAAAAGTCTTGCTTTGATGTTATATATTAAATGGCACACACGTGCACAAATATCATGCCGTATTTATCGATCCATATGTAAATCTAGTGGATGTTGTCTGGGCGCGGATGAAGAAGGTCTGATGTGCGACACGGCGGTTACCTAGCTCCGCGTACAGCAAGCGAACAAGTAGACGTGGTGGGGAGAAACCTGAAGGAGAGCTAATTATATGTGAGGCTATTTTACCCAGGGAAATTTTTGATTTGTCAACTGGTGGGCCTAGAACGGCAGATCCAAATTCCCCTCGGCACGAACTCTGAAAATCGTATCTAGGTATGTTCCTGATCAGATTCCCGGATGCTCTGTAATTCCCAGACAATTCGTTCAGACTTTCATGCATTTAAGTAGGTGAGATGTTATATAACAAAGAAGCAAAGACTATTCGGCTAGTGTAACGCCTGTCGTGGCTTCAACTAGGCGCAGAGTGTTGTCCACTTGAGGATAGGTGTAAGAAGCTGTCCATGCCGCATTTACACTCCATGTTCATCGGCTTAATCCAAGCACGCATAGCATAGAGGACGGCCATTGATATCCATGTACTCTAAGGGTAAGGCAGTCAATGATCATAGCAAGGCTACAGCGGCAGTCTCACCCTACCTACACACTGTGAGTGCTAGAGATAACATGCAAGGCTCATAAGTGTGTGCACTTTCCTCATTCAAAAGTTGGTATTCGATTGACATTCGATGACCGAGACGAAAGGTATCAACACACGTGGATACACTAATATGTACAAGAAATGTATGAGGTAGGGTAGCTAGTAGCTCACGACCCACCCACCCCCCCTTTTCTCCGAAGTAAACATGATAAGATGGTCAGATCTTGACGTTTGAAATCTCAAACGTCTGGACCTGGTTGGTGTTGAAGTACGACCAGAACTTGGTGCCGCTCTGCGTAGTATCAGCCGGCACAGAGACATACTGCTGGCCACCGCTGGAAACCACAGTCGACCACCTCGGGATAGTCTGGCCGTCCTTGCCGGGAGTAGCGAACTTTGACAGGTCGAAGTTGATGTACTGCGCGGCGCCCCAGTTCACAGCCACGATGATGAGCTTCGACTTGGCGGCATCATAAGCAGCAACGACGTGGTCGGAGCCGCCGTCGAGGATGCGCATGCCATCGCGGATGTGGCGGGAGAACTGGGCGAGGGCGTAGTACTTCTGCTCGACGTTGCTGAGCGTCACGGCGTCGTTGTCGCCGTTGACGAGGCCCCAGCCGCCGCCGTCGATCGCCTGCCAGTAGACCCAGGCGGTGGGGTGCAGCCAGCGGAAGTCGAGGATGAGGTTCGAGACGAGCTGCGCGCCGGTGGCGTCGTTCTCGCCGTACTCGCTGTTCCAGATCTTCTTGCCCGCGTTGGTGGCGAGCGTGTACAGGCCGCTCCGGTCACCGCTGCCCTTCTGGTAGCCGTGGACGTTGACTCGGCCCAGCTTGCCGACTGCGGTCGAGCCGAGACCCTTGAAGGTCGAGACGGCGCCGTCGTAGCTGTTCTCGTCTGATGCGGCGACCAGGGCGGATGTCAGGCCGACGGCGTCGAGCTGCGAGCGCATCAGGGGGATGGTGGCGGCCTGGGCGGCGACGCTGAAGTGGCAACCTTCTTGGGTGCCTGTCTTGCCGTTCCACCAGTTTGAGATGGGCTCGTTGAACGGCTCGACGCTCTCGAAGGTGATGCCCCAGCTGCTCTTTGCGCGTGCGGCGACCTGTGCGAGGTAGAGGGCGTGGTCCTGTTGGTTCCAGGTCTGAAGGTTGTCGGAGGAGCCATCGTCGCTCCCGGCAGGGTTCTTGTTGTACAACATCCACCACATGGGTGCGTTGCTGAAGAGCTCGAAGCGGTTGGCTCCGTTGGCCTTGGCCTTGGTGAGAGCTGTCCTCTGGTTTGCATCGACATCCCAGTGCTGTGAAGTCGTTCATGTCAGTAATGGTTCGACACTATGTTCCTGACTATTTACTAGCACTGGCAGCTAGTATCTTGGCGTTAAGATTGAGACACCTTGACGCCGGGAGCCTAATAAGTTATTCGGGACAAATATTTAAATGGAGATTTCCTTACCCAGCTAGATGAGGCCGGGTCCTTGGACGCCCAGTCCCACCAGAAGCCGTCAATTTGACGTGACTTCTTCATGGTGGACGGGGTGACCATCTTGGTACCGTTGTATGTGTTGCTGCTGCACGCTCCAGCATTGTAGCGAGCAATGTTGAAACCCAACCCGGGCACGCTTTTCGAGCTGAAGGTCGTGTTGTCCAGGCTGAAGAACATATCCGAGAGGTCATCACGGTTGCCAAAGGCCTTTGCCCACCAAGCCAAGGACACACCCCAGCCCTCCCATGTCCCCCAGTTGGAGCTGGCGTTGATGGTCCATGTCTCGTCTGCAGAGGCAAGGCCGCCCAGTGCGGCGGCAATGAGTAGTCCCTTGTGCATGGTGATCTTGGGTATACACAGCCTGAATGACCAGAAGACAGTGGTTGTTCGGCCGATACAAGGGTCAGATTGTACAAGCACTTGCTGTCTTATACAAGTGCTGCCCTCCAAATCTGGGGAAGCCGGCTCCGAGCCCCTTGTCGGACGGGAGCAGATTCGGCGGCTAGTGAGCGGGAGTATGCAACGACCTCGGGACGTTAGCCTCAAACGAGAGGGAAGCCGGTCGGTAGTGGTCTGGTGGGAACGAATGCGACGCTAACAAGTAAGCCGCTCGAATAAACAAGAGTTCCCCCTCTTGGACAAGAGCTGTCATGTGAGCGTGCTCTCCTCTACACTAAATAATGGCCAGTCGTGGGCAGGCGTGGGTGTGCTCAAGTGGGCCACGCCCCATGGGTGGCGGAGCATTTGCTCGGGGCCACATCCTCCTTTTGATCTTGGGCTCATCTAAATTGCTGTTTTTGCGGGGAAGCGTCGACGACAGCCTCACGCGCGCACGGGTACGACCCCACTTACCACACCGCGACGTTGCTCTCGGGGTATTTGGTCGCGTTGTCTGGGTCCCGCGAATCAACGTGATCCCCCCCTTTCGAACCACCATTGTGACCATTCTTTCACTCTAGATGTCACCTCACGTACCTTGCAGCATTTCGCCTTGCACGTGTGCTGACTAGATTGATTGGAGAGTTGCCAAATTGAAAATGAAAACATCCACAATGCCAGCGATCAGCACACTGCGAGTCATGGCCAACCCGCTTCCTTCTCGTGTTTAGCGATCAATCTTGAAAGCGTTCTTTTCCCCCATCCTAAGTGGAGAGCAGGGTCATTGAATAAGCTAGCGTGATGACCGACTCATTTGACTACACGTGTAGGCGTTGACGACGAGTTGTGGATGTCTGTCAACCTTGGAACCCTGACAGTGAAGGCAAATAACCATGAATAATCAGACACAAGATACCATGGAGGAGTTGAAGTACACTACATGGGCACTGAAGAAATAAATCGAAACCACATGAAATGATAAAAGTCTCAGGCCAATATGCTGGCCTCTCATATAGCAAGTATCGGACCACTTTTGACAACTGCCTACCTAGGTATCGCAGTACGTGGTGATCGAGGTCACAATGGGGCGGGAAATGCTGAGGCAAGAGTGGGTCTATTGCCATGCGGTTCCAAGAAAAGGAACCCATTCCACGGATAGTACTGCTCCACATGTGATCGCAGATCTGAACCTTAATACTAGGTATGCCTGCAGGGCCAACTCGAAATCCGATAACAGAATTCCGAAGGAATTTCGGCGCCGGATGAATCTGATCTACGATAACCGAGTATTATTCCTGACATGCCATGCTGCTCTGTATTTGCCTCATCTCTATGTATCCCGAGATCCCCCGTCTAATATCTATCCCAATAACTTCCTTCCCTTACTATTCAAGTTATCCACCACGTCGTCACCAGTAAGCTATCTACGCGGTAGCCACACGTACACTAATTCGGCGTCCTGAGCTTCGTCGGGAAGTTGGACATCTCCTGATACACCGCAAACATACCCGTGCTGGGCTCATCATTCGTCGCCGGCGTCATGATGGGCGTGTCGGGGGACGCCGCGTCACACACGGGCTGCAGCTGCGGCGGCGGCGGCGGAGGAGGGGCCACCATCGCGGGACGCCTCAGCGCCGCCCTCCTCTCCTGGTTGTCCCTGGCCATCTGCTCGGAGCGGCGGCGCTCCCACGCCTGGTCCGCCTCCCTCTTCTTGTACCGGTCCCTGTACCTGTCCCTCAGGGCCGAGAGCGTGAGGTCCCTCGGGGCAAAGATCTGGTACATGCCGCACTTCATGTAGACCCAGCGGAAGATGTCGCGCGACACTCGCCAGGGGTTGCCGAAGGCTAGGTAGTAGGTTACTGCCACGATGCCGAGGGAAATCGGCACTGCGGCTGTCAGTGAGGGCTTTGGTGAGTTCTGGGTTTGTTTGCGTGCTTCATACTCATCCATTTGAATTGGTCGGCTAGTGTCATCGGGGAGTCTCTCCCTGCGATCTCCTTGTTGTTCATTCCGAACACGCTGGATATAAAAGACATTGGCAACTTGAAGCAATTTCGGTGTTAGCGAGAGCAAAGCGTGCCTGCATACATGTGGGCAGTCTACTCACGAAGACAACAGTCACCACCGTGAAGACCAGGAGGGTGACATTTTGTTTTCGGGTATCTTCTGCCTCCTTCATGGACTGCCAGGCTTGCACGACAGTAACTTGCTGCTGTTTCAATGAGATGAGGTAGTCCAACTTGGTTTGTTAGCTCACTCCGTAAAGACCAATGGGGCAGACACGACCGAATGTGGACGCACGCTGGTTGATATTCCTTCCGCGGTATTGGCCATATCTTCCAGGTCCTGAATACAATTGCGGAGATCAGCGAGTAGTGGCTCCATCTTTGCAATGCTTGTTCCCGGAGAGAACTGCTGCATACATTTCTCGAACTTTTTAAACACCTCCAGCTGCTCTTTGGTGATGTGAAGCATGATCTGAAGGTCCCTGAGAACGCTCTTGATCTGGCCTTGGAGCTCGCCTTCCTTTCCGATGTCGAGAAATGGTACGATGAGATCACTCAGACCGTTATCGACGTCTGTATGTGCCAACCGGGAGAATATTCTAGCCCATTCCCAGTACTGCTCGGCGCCGAAGGAATGCTTGGTTGCCTGGAAGAAGAATACGTCAGCAGGTGGACCTATACCTCTCATCAGACCACACATACCACGTCGCGAATCGCTTGCCTGAACAGTGACATAACAAGAATCGTACCATCCTGAGGCTAAGGTGAAGTCAGTACATCGAATTCTGGTATTTGTGATACGAGAGTCCAAGGGGATAAAGAGGGCGTGCCTTGATCCCACCCATGGAGGCTTTGGACGTTTGCACTTCAGTAAGAATAATAATGGCCAGGTCAAAAACTGTGCGAACGGTTCCTCTGCCGCTCTTCAGAACAGCATCCCGGATCCGGCTGTGGATCCCTGGAAGATGATTGTGATGGCTGAGATCCCCATGGTCCGGGAAACAGGTGATGATCGTCTGGTCATCAAGTATCCACATCCAGAGCTGATCAATCATCATCACACGAGGAAGCTTCCGTATTCTTTCTCTCCATTCTTTTGTGGACGGGTCGACCGAGTGGAAGTCCAGTTGTTTGGGCCGGGTTGCGCGGTGGATGACCTGGTCCCTCGCACTTGCGTGCCAAGACAAGCTGAGCGTCCACTCGTTGGTCTGCTCGAGGGTCCTGCGCGGGTGAAGGGGTGGATCGGCGTTGAGATACTTCCTGATCAGGCTCTTCTCCCTGTGCGTCGACATTGCCTCGTACAACGCGGCAGCATCGAACAGCACCTGACCAATTTCTGTCCCAGCCATGACCCTGCCGCCCCCGTCCGTGCTAAAGACCGACCACAGAGGGAGCCTGCGGAACCGGCCTTGCCGTTTCATGATGTTCGCAAACGCACTCGTGGCTGTTCTCCTGGGTGGACCAGACGATACCACCCGGGGCTTCTCCGGGTCTCGGTTCTCGAGGCGGAATTCCGAGCCGGGCTGGCGGCTGTGGGCGTTGAGGAGCTGCAGTCCTCTCTGTCTTACTCTCCGCATGCCCCTCAGCCTCTGCTCGTTCAGGATCTTGTCTCTTTTGAATTTTTCCTCCTCCTTCTGGACTGCTTCCGATATCTTGGCCTGGTGCCGGGCTGTGTCCCAGTGAGGATATGGCATCTGTGCAATAGTCTTAGCTCCCGGGCTCAATGCGTCGCCAGACAAGGTTTCCTACAAACAAGGCAATACTCTCCCGGTTATCATCTGCGATCATACATGTCAGCACTGTACAGGGCGTCCGTTCTCAAGTTGTTTTAGAGCATATGAACAAACCTGTGGGTCCATGGATTGCCTCGCACATTGGCCCAAGGAACTTCCCAGTAACTGAGGTTGACTGCTGCTGGCTTTTCCAATGTCTTGGTGCGAGGAGCCCCTGATCTAAAGGGAGTGCATTTCCTCCATGACCGCTTAATGTTCCACTCTGGGGGGTGATATTCGGCTGGGCGGGCGGCTGGGCGGGCTTCTGGTTGAAGTAACGTTTTATTGCCCGCTGCAGATATGTCAGCGTCCTTATCATCAGGCCAGTGACCGCTCGACTATTCGGCGACCAGATACCTATAGATGACATACTTCAGCCCACTGCGAATAGTCAATATGAGTGTCGGAATACGTGGGAGCCCCTTTTGCATTTCTATGCGCCACTTACAAGCATATTATTTGCAGGGAAATGGAAATGATTGATGGTCCCCTTTGGCGGGGTCAAGGCGCTGTCCTCCTCATCCCCGTATATTAGGTCTTTCACTGACACCCTGTAGCATGGGAACTGCTCGTGGAATCTGTCGTCCGTGATTTCGCGAACTAATCTCCCATCTTTGAAACGAATGAGGTAGGCGTTGGTGTCAACGTCGGGATCATACTGCTGGAGGCGTCCGGCTCCGCCGACTACTCTTTGCGACTTGTGGTTGTCTGCGAAATGCAACGTCCGTAATTCTCTGACCCTTCCTATACCTTCTTGGAAATCCCTGCCTTTTCTCCAGTTGGTTAAGCTGTTGCTGAGGTTTTGGACCAGTTGCCGACCTTCACCGGGGTCATTCTCGAGCACTGAACGCAGATATTGGATACGTTGCAGCCTCGTGTCGACCTGCCTGGCCTGCTCGGCGGGTAGCGATGCCAAATACTCCTCCCGCTGGAAAAACTGTTCGCACCCCAGATAGTGGAGGAGGAAGTCGCGCGGCCTGTGGCGCTCGGCACTTAGACATGTTGGGATTATGTCGTGGTCTTCCATACGCAGAAGGAGATCAGCGAATTCCACCGACATGGCATCGAGGAGCCGGCCTTCCACGCCGCTTTAATTGAACCGAGTGACATGAGAGCGTTGACCGCTACAAGGCGGGGATTGAATCAACCGGTGCGCATTGCGGTCTCGGACGACCTTTTCAATGGCTATCAATGCTTGAGCAAGCGGTGTTTGTTCTCGGTGTTCTACCTGTCGTGCTTGAGACAGATGTCAGCTCCAGGTCGCGCTACACAGGCGGCTGAACCATCCAAGGTCATTTTCACGCATCATGGGACCGTCATTCACGCGGCCACATAGACAGAATCCACTGATTTGGCATCGAAATTAGAAGAGGGAGATCTAAAGGAGCAAGCTAGCATTTCTTTTTTTCCCCATTTTATCTTCTACGAGTCCTTCTAGACGCAAGCAAATGAGCTGATGTTGTCGTGAGGCGTCCAAGACAATTGGGCAAAAATGTGGTCTTGCTCCCTGTGACAGTCTTGGCATTGAATATTCAACACCGATTGCTATTCATCATTGACTTGGCGAAACAACCACTCTCTGTCCTTCAATCTCGATCAGGAGTATTTCAAATCCAGTAATGCCGCATCTGGCCCAAGCCCGGGCGTTGACGGGGAGCACTGGAGAGGCTTGATGGGACCTGCAGTGACGTGTACATGCTATTGTTTCGATGCGAGACATGGGCGTCACGTCTACGCCGTGTGCAATCTCAAAATCACACTGTCACACGGTCCGAATTAAGATGCCTCTAGCTGCCCGGTGCCTGCCTGCGATCACCGGGTTTTCGTCGACGTTCCTGGCAGGGGAAGTCTTGTCTCACCCGAATCGCGCCCGCGGCCACGTCTGGACCATCGTCCTGCCAATGCAGATTCGGGGTACGCGAGGCGTCGTTGCGATGGCGTTCGGCCTTTCTGAGGATCAAAGTCAATAATGTCGCACAGGTAGCACCGCCATAAGATGTGGCCCTACCAAGGTGGTCGCACGGGACTCAGGGGTGTCTTGGCCGAATTGTCTCGCGGGAATTCGGAGCCGAGCCCCACGGCGATGGCAACGTTGACCGGATTCTCGTTTCTCTACGAAGCACAAATGCGTACCTTGTAGAGCCTTCACCCGCGGTGGCCCCCGGTCCAACGGAATACCTGAATAGTATATTCTCATCATCAATGGTCATGATCTAAGAACCGGGATGCCTTATGGAGTTTTTATCGAATCTCGACCTGAAACTTTCATTCTTCTTGTTTTTGCCAAGAGGGCGCTGGCTCACTACCTAGGGTAGGTACCTACCTAGGTACTTAAGTAGGTACCTGGGTATTTCTAAGTACTTAGTTAGGTCCTGTGTTTCCACAAGTTGCTGTATCGCCATTGCAACGACAAGGAACCAGCCAGCCCGGTCTACCCTAATCGTCGAAATTGTGTGCCCCTAAAAAGAACCCAGCGAGCACATTTATGGCCATGCAATACCGTTCCAATTCCGTAATGCTTAGCCATCGTGCTTCTGCCTACCAAGCTGCGCACGCGCGTTCAGCTCTGGCTGATGCCACGAAATATCTTCTTGCCTTCTCGCAGCTTCTCGGTCTGGTCCGTCAGATAGTCCCTCTTCCGCTTCGCCACCGAAGGCTCAGCGACCATGCTCTCGATCTTCGAGCTCGGAATGTTGAGGGTGACCATGGGCGAGAATATGTTGTGTAGGCCGCGGACGATGTGCCGCTCAATCACCTGCGTGGTGATGTTGGCAATGAAGGTCTTTTGCTGAACCTATTCGGGATACATTTCAGAAATAGCACAGAGTAGAGAGTATTTCAGGGTGGTTCATACCTGGTAGATGGCAAGCAGGCAGTCCAAGGCTTCCTCGCAGCTGAAATCCTCCATGTCGGCGGTGGTCGCATTGCCCCAATTGTTCACAGCAGTCTTGATGACGTCCTTGGCGCTGGCATTCCATATGGGGCAGTTCGTGTCATCCGGAACAAAGTCTCCCAGCTGCTCGAGCATCCGCTGTTGCCGTTTCGTGTGAACAGTGTCCGTGTAGTAATGGTTGTAGTTGATTGGAAAGTCCCTGACATCAGTCAAAAGCTTGTCGAGCTCCTTCAGGGCGTCTTGGGAACGCTGCTGGAGGGCTGGGGCAACCAGGGACGACCTATGAGTAGAGAACGTTAGCCACGGAAGGATGAGTTTAAAACATGGATGCGACTGACCAAACACGAGCTTTGATGTTCGTTGGAGCAATGGATGTCAAAATAGCAGAGACGAACTGCTCGCACATGTTGGCGACGCTCTCGATGTGTGCAACTGAGAGCTTCTCCCAGGCCTCGGACTGCTCCCAGAAAAGTTCCGCAACCATGTTGGGGTTGAAAGTTCCGAGCAGCTCTGTGCCACGCGCACGCTGGAGGACACTCTTGACCCATTTCAAGGCGTCTTTCTTGCAGAGCGCTTTGGGGTTCTTCGACGACGTCGACTTGGACTCGCTCAGCTGAATTTCATACTTGTGGCCCTTCAGTCGAAACTCGTCGGCAAACTTGGTGTTGGCCCACTGAATGATAGCCCGGATTCGACGGATCGGGATGTCGCAGTCCTTCACGATGGATTTGCCCTTCTTGAACCAGGCGTTCTCATAGTGGCCACTCACCCCGGCCCGGCACAACTCGAAAGATTTCAAGTTCAGGTCCGCGAAGAACTCGCGGCACTCGGACTCGGTTGAACGCGGCATTCCAAGCAGCTGCAGCTCGTCTTCCGCAGTCTTGAGAGCTTCCTCGATATCCTTCTCAAGGCGAGGCAGCTCGTTCTTGACATGCTCGAACAGCAGCTGGCTGAGTTTCACCCGAAGAGTGTCGATGCCGACGTTCTCTTTAGGAAGAGATTTGAAATTGGACGTAGTGAAGAACATCTTCTCAGATAGGTTGCGCTCGTCGATGGAAAAGTTGGACTCTTCAAACTTTCGGTTTTTGATTACGTGCCAGCCGAGGTTGAAAATAACGTCCTCATTGCGAGCGAGCTCGAGGAACTTGGACTCCGAGCCCGAGCCAGCACTTAGAAGATCAGGCTTCGTGATGACACCAAGGGTTCGCTTTTTTGCATGTCAGAATGAATTACCATATCTCTTATTGTTGAAGACAAGGGCAACTTACCTCGCCGCGCGGATCGAACTTGCGGACATGCTGGAGGATCGGCTGATTAGCGGCGTCATTGGTTGCAGAGACAACGGCCAGACAAATGGTCCTATGCTGTTCAATGTAGCGCTCCGTGATACCCGCGACCATGGCGACATCGGCATCGGATACACCCCTGGTTGAAGACTGAATGATACCTGGGATGTCCACAAGAGTAAGCTGTGGGCGGTCAGGCCCCTGAATCTTGATGCTGAGGGTGTCCTCTGCAAAGGCGCTCTGGCCGTCAGAGATGCCCAGGATACTCATGGCCTTGTCCATGATGCGTGGAAGCTCTTTGAGGTCCGTGATGGACTCTGAAAAGTTCTTCATTTTCTCTTGCTCAGACTTGGTGCGCTTCATGCCTGGAATGATCTTCAAGTCCAGGCTGTTGGTGGGCTCTCGGCGAAGACTGATCTCCGTAGCGAAGCGAGTGCAAAGATTGTCGTTCCTAACGATCAATGGTGAGAATACTTTCTGGAATAAAATTCGTGATGAAGACTGACCTTGGAAATGGAATCTCCGTCAAAGCCTCAAGGACCGAGCTCTTTCCGGAGGACTGGTCGCCGCAGACTACGATCTGAGGCAAGTCAAGAACACTGTCTAGTCCGCACTTACGGACCTTGGAGACCGTGTCGAGAACCCGGCGCTGCTCATCGGTTTGCAAGTCGTCGAGGGACGAGTTGGCGTTGATGCCGTTGGCCACGGTGCTTCCCATGTTGGAGGATGTGTCTGACTGAGAAGACTTCATGAGACAGCAAGGTAAAAGGTTCCAAATCAGCAGAATCTGAATGTGGGCCTTTTGACTGCCCAGTAGATGGAGGCAATGTTGTGAAGTGAGAAGGCGAGGGGAACTGAGTCGAAGTGGTTGTTAGCTAAAGTTGGTGGCTTAACCAACGTTGAGTCTCTATGAGAGCAAGCAACTTCGTCAAATCAACCTGGGCCACCAAGAAGCTTGCGAGATTTACCTCAAACTTTGGCCAATTAGTCGCACGGAAGAGCGAGCAGGCTGACAGCGAGTGGGCTGTGTTTGGTGCAGGGGCCAAACTGACCGTTGAATCAAGAGGCCTCGTGATTTTCGACGGGGCTCACTCAGAAGGTTGGGCAAAGAGTTGTGTAAAATCTCGCAGAGAATACTGATGCCAAGTTGAGCGAGCTCTGGTTCCTTAGAGAGAGAAGCAGGGTGGAGGAGACGGAAGAAGAGTGGAGGCCTGCGAAGCGAATGTTTTCAGCCTGTTGTTAGAAGTTGGACGATAGAGAGTAAGTGAAAGTTTCCGTTCAGAATACCGGAGCTCTCCTTTGCAAACTTGGCGAAGCAGACGAAAGCAAGTTAGGCCAGTGGCCAATTTTGGTTTCGCTCTGTGTCCAGGAAGGGAAGAAAGATGCTGCTAGTGACTTCTCCTTTAGCTGCAACAGGCTGAAGCCAGACTTCAAGTACTAAGTCGGGGGATTGGAAGCGGACTGCAAGCAACCGTTAGTGCCTCAAGGTCACCTGCACATGTGGGAAACGCCTTGCCACTTCTGATTTCAGCAGTTGTGTATTTTCATGGCGAGTGGCCATCCACCAAACCTTCAAATTGTCGGGGTCTATGAAGAGCTGTCTATGAAGCCGCAGCTTTTGCTGGGATGCCAGTCCAGGTATCATCGAGCAGCCACGTCCCCGCGGGAGAATACTTCAAGACCGCCCCGTCCATGACATAGCCGAACCGAATATAATCCACAAAAGCCTGAGGCCCCCTCTTCCAAAAGAAGCTGTCCTTCCCATGCGCATCGCCGAAATACACACGGTCCCGCTCCACGTCATCCACCAGCATACTGATGCCTTCCACCCCAGGGTGAGGCGTGGCCCACTTGAATGTGATGTTGGAAACAGAATTATCGAGGGTCTGCCCGTAGACCTCAGGCTCCAACATGGTCGGTATAGGTGCCGAGTCCGAGACCGCCTTCTCGACAGGCGCCGCCACCACCTCTGCCGGCTCCGAGCTGGACCTCCACCGGAACAGATGGGCCGAAGCGACCGAGGCGATCCAGACAGCCCTGGCACCCGCCGAAGGCGTGATCTGGAAGAACAAGACCGTGTGCCCAACCGTGACCCACGGCAGGGCCCAGCTGCGGTCGTTGACCTCGGGGCACGCGCCGAGGACCTCCTCGTTGGTGGTGGGGAAGTTGAACGCGAGCGGGAAGTACGTCTTGACAGACAGCGACGCGACGCCGTACATGTCGGTGCCCGCGAACGAGTTGGTCTGCCCCGTGCGCTTGACCACGCCGCAGCCGCCCCTGGAGTCCTCCAGCACGCCGGCGTGCACGGCCGCGGCGCACATCTCCGAGTCGCCGCGGTAGATGGGCCCGCCGATGACGACGGGCCGCGCCGTGACGTCCTGGTCGCCGGCGAGGTGCGGCGCGCCGCCGCGGGGCGCGTCCCGCACGCAGTTGGCCGGGCAGCGGAAGCCCATCGTCTTGGACTCGAACACCCCGCTCGTGTCGGGCACGCACCTCTCGCCGCCCATGCCGCACGCCTCCGGGGAGGGGAAGAAGGCCTCGCCGCACGCGAAGTGGCGCACCGGGAGGTTTCTGCGGGTGGAGGGTTCCAGGAGTGGCGGGTTTGCGCTGCCGGAGAAGCTGATGAAGATCAGGGCCCATGAGACGAACAGGATTGAGCATATGACGACCTTGTTGCGGGTGGACAGTCTCGTCTGCGGCTTTGGTCTGAGGTGGTGGTGGTCCTGCTTTGCGAAGCTGGCGGCTTCCGATGTGTTTGGCGTGAGATGATCCATATTGGCAGGTGATGTATCAAGCGATGGCGGAGGGAGAATATGCTAGCGAAGACTGTCGTTGTCGACGCCGACACGGCCGGGAGATCAAGACAGCTGGTGTTTTCCAGATTCTGGGGCGCAGTCATCGAGTTTGGGGACGATCGAGCATATATGGCTTCGTTCGTCCAATGTTCATGACGCCCAGGAGCACTCGAGTCTCGTCTCGGAAACAGCTTGAAACGCGTGGCTGACCCTGGCCTAGTCGCCAGGAGGCTTGCGCTTGGTCCCTCACTGTCCTCGGCGCCAGATGCTGAGGGATCTAGGCCGGGTGCAGGCGCCGGCTTTCGACCTTGGGGGCCTCATATTGGTCCAACAGCCTGCACCGCCGTCGGAGTGTTGATGTGCAACATCGCTTCGGTCTGAGGTCCTTCGTCGGTGGTCGACTCAGGCCGCCTGGCTGAGTCCTAACACGCAACGAAGGCGACAGAGGAAATTGTTGAGGTTGTAGAGGTTGAATTCAAGCGTAAGGGAGACCTTAGGGTTCACCAAGACAACTGCACTATACAGGTGTTGCAACTGATGGCGTCAACACCAGCCGAGCGAGGATGACCCAAAAAGCAGACGTCAAGTTCGGAGCTTCCAGAGTTGTTAGGTCGAGGGGGGGGCTTCCCAGGTCCAGGTGTTCGAAGGGTTGGGGTTAAGCTTTCCTTGGCACATACATTACAGGTTGTTGATGAGAGAACTCGGATGTGTGGGCACCCGCGCCATCAACGAGGATGCCATCTCAAATCAAAGTCCTGCTGTCCAGCCCACGAATGCACCAACGATCCGCTTCTTGAATGCTCAAAATTCGACGGAACGCCTGCGATCGCGGCAAAGGGGTGGCAGCATGGGCCTTGTCAAGCTGCCCAACGAGCTGATCCTGATGCTCGACGATTGGGCCGATGTCCCGACTCTCGCTGCTCTTGCACGCACCTCTCGGCGGCTACATGACCTCATGAACCCCGTGCTTTACCGCCGCAGTGCCAAAGAACAACACTCGAGCGCTCTGCTGTGGGCTGCTGAGAATGGGTTGGTCGAGACGGTGAAATTATGTCTCTCCCACGGAGCTGACATCAACTTGCCCTTGTCCCTGCAGGAAGACGCTCAAGTGGTAAGAAATGACCCCTCGGTATTCCACTGGGCGCTGTCTCGCTGACAGGTGCGGCACTCAGGGGGATGTTCCGGCGTCAGGGACACCACTTCACTACGCAGTACGGCGAGGGCATGACGATCTCGTCGAGTACCTTCTCGACAATGGCGCAGACCACCAGTGCTGGTGCACGCACCTGTGCGAGTGTGAAATTCCAGTGAGCGCGGACATCTTGCACGGGGTTAAGACTTGGACTTTCCACTGGTCTCCACTACACCTGGCGCTGTGTAAAGACCACACGTCGACCGCCAAAATGCTCCTAGAACGGGGCGTCTCCTGCAAGAGGACACTCCAGGTGTCCTGGGGCCATGGGCCGACGGCGAAGGAGCCATACTCTACTACCTTTAATGTGGTACATGAGATCGCCATCCACAAGAGCGCGGAAGTTCTCGACTACATGATCGCCACGAACTACCCCTTGGGACCCCTGAGCGGCGTTCAGACTCTGAATGGTAACACACCGCTTCACTATCTCGCGATCAAGCATTCGCAGCATTCGTTCACAATTTTATCCCAGCTTCTAAACACAGTAAGCCCTCGCCTCGACACAAATAACGACAGCTTTCTCAGACCCATCGAGTGCTTTATCCAGGCGGGAGATATCGAAGCGGCACGCCTCCTTTTCTCGCTTGGCGCTCGCCCCTATCAAATAGACTCGTGCATCCAGTCAGCGGCTCGGATAAACATCCGAGAGTCCGGCCAGCTGGGCCGCGACCGCATGGAAAGGCGTAATGAGCTTTTCCTTTGGCTCTTGGATCATGCTATGGCTAATTGTTTCCTCTTACGTGATGTCAGCGAGAACTATATCATCGCCGGTAGATGGCATCGTGTTTTCTTCGCCGCTTCCAAGCAGCCGGCCTTGCTACAAAGGCTCCTGGATGAGGGGTTCAAGCCCTCCCTCTTGACTCGCGGTCACGGCTTGCTCACGGCATTGGTTCAATTCTTGACAAGGGTCAAAGGCCTGGATAGCGATCTGGCGCGCTCTTGCTGCGGGTCCATAAGGCTGCTCACCCGGGCGGGCGAGCGGTGGGACGAGCGGACAACGACCACCAATTCCATTTCCACGACCCCTTTGGAGTATCTTGTCAAGCACTGTGGCCACGTGGCTCGTGAGGTGCGAGAAACCTTGATCGGTTGTCTCTTGGACACCCGGCCACCGGAAGAGACAGGGGCGGAGCGGGCGCACCTCGACAGCTTATGCCAGTATGCCTTGGGGCAGGGCGACACACAGACATGTGAGGCCTTGATCCGGCATGTAGCTAAAAGCTCAAATTCCTACAGGCGCTCGAAACCGGGACTTCAGGCCGAGACAAGTGCGACACGTACCTCTCCTATCCGTACACGTTCGAGATGTAAACGGACCAAGGAGACCACTTGACTGGAATACAATTGTACCTAGGGCTGTCCTCATGGAAGATATATACACCCATTAACCTTCTTCCTTTCAAATACCTTACATGCGTGCAATAACTTCTCGCCGCCTTGTTTCTCTGTTTACCTGCGATGTATCCTCCATTGCGTACGGTTTGCTCCTAGTCTTCCCTACTTCACAAGCTGTGGGTCGAGGCATGCAAACTGAATGACCATTTCGGAATGTCTCATTAATGGAACTTCTATGGAAGCAGAGTTTGAGAACCCTCAGGCATTCGCAATGGCTTTTGCAAAGTCGTTCCAGTGCGTACCTGAGCCAGATATTTTCCTCGCAATAACACAAGGATCATCTGGGACTCTGTGGACTGGATCCATGGATGCTGTACTCGGTACACACCATCCAAAACACATCCCAAGACAGCCTGCACGACTGTTGGTCTCGGAAAGGAATGCAATCGCACTCCGTAAGTACTTTGCCACAAGTCTTGGTTGTGGACCGAGGTGTTCCAATGCTTACCTAGGTACCTTAGACCCCCCTCCCGAGGTCTCCAAACCCCCGCCCTCCCTCAAGCGTTCTATCCCCCTAAGTTCGGCTACTCAACTGGTCGTCCCCACCCTGTGTGACCATCTCCAAAATCGAACTCCCTACAGGCCGTTAATTACCTAGGTATATTACACGGCTCAGATCTACCGGCACCCATCATCAAACCCACAACACCACGCACTAACCTATCCCAAAATGGACCTCCCCTTCAAGCTCACAGACCCCACCCTCTTCAAGCCCAGGTGCTACGTCCACGGCCAATGGGTAGGGACCAAGTCCAACAAGACCTTCGACATAGAAGACCCAGGCACGGGGAAGGTATGGGCGTCCTGCCCCGACAGCGAGGCCGCCGACGTCGACGCGGCGGTGCAGTCGGCCCACGCGGCCTTCGGGCCCTACAGCCGCCTCACGCCCCGCCGGCGCGCGGAGCTGCTCATGGCGTGGCACCAGCAGGTCGTGGCGCACCGCGACGACATCGCGCGCATCCTCGTCTACGAGACGGGCAAGCCCCTGGCCGAGGCGCAAGGGGAGCTCGACTACAGCCTCGGGTTCACGTGGTGGTTCTCGGGCGAGGCGGACCGCGTGCAGGGCAGCGTGTTCAACAGCGCCGCGGCCGGGCGCCGCACCTTTGTGATAAAGCAGCCGGTCGGCGTCGCCGCCGCGCTGTGCCCGTGGAACTTCCCCATCGCCATGGTCCTGCGCAAGGCGGGCGCCGCCCTCGCCGCGGGCTGCACGATGGTCGTCAAGCCGAGCCCCGAGACGCCCGCCACGACGCTGGTGCTCGCGGAGCTCGCCACGCGCGCCGGGTTCCCGCCGGGCGCGCTCAACGTGCTCACGACGGGCCTGGGCAACACGCCCGCCGTGGCGGAGGCGCTGTGCCTGCACCCGCTGGTGAGGAAGGTCACGTTCACGGGGAGCACGCGGGTGGGCAAGATCATCTCGGGCCTGTGCGCGCGGAACCTGAAGAAGGTGACGCTCGAGCTGGGCGGGAACTGCCCCTTCATCGTGTTCGACGACGCGGACCTGGACCAGGCGCTCGGGCAGCTCATGGCGCTGAAGTGGAGGCACGCCGGGCAGGCGTGCATCTCCGCGAACCGGGTGTTTGTGCAGGCGGGCATCCACGACAGGTTCGTCGGGGCGCTGGCGGCGCGGACGAGGGGGCTGAGGGTCGGGCACGGGATCGAGGAGGGGACCACGATGGGGCCCGTCACGACGCCGCGGGGGCTGGACAAGGCGGAGCAGCTGCACGCCGACGCCGTGGCGAAGGGGGCGGAGGTCGTCATTGGCACGGGGAGGAGGGAGGGCGGCGCGGGGGGTTACTTCATGGCGCCGACCATCCTCACGGGCGTGACGGACGAGATGGGGCTGGCGAGGGAGGAGATGTTTGCGCCGGTCCTCGGCGTCTTCAGGTTCGACTCGGAGGAGGATGTGGTGCGGAGGGCCAACGACACGAGCATGGGCCTGGCGAGCTACGTCTTCACCAAGGATGTCGACCGCCTGTGGCGCATGTTTGAGAATCTGGAGGCCGGGATGATCGGTCTGGTAGGTTGATGATGCTCCCCCCCCCCCCCCACCAATGCTGAGCAGCTGGGATCTTTTGGCTGACCGCATGTTACGCAACGCCCAGAACACCGGGAACCAGTCCGCGGCTGAGTCCCCATTTGGAGGCATCAAGGAGAGCGGCATGGGCAAGGAGAGTGGCAAGGACGTCGCCATCAATGAGTTCTTGATCCAGAAGACGGGGACGCTGACGTTGCAGGATCACTACTGAGATGTCTTGTTGAAGGCCTGCATCAAATATCAGATTGATGGGGCACGGGGCCCAACAGATTGCGGAGGACCCTCTTCATATTTACTATGTGAAATCTGTATCTGTATTTCTTCCTTCTTGGTCGGACCGGACCCTAAATTGTAGCTTTACATTGCCACGTATTTCAACACTAGGCAATATACCCACCAAGGTCTATGTCACAGCTGAAGTTGGGCCTTGGTTCTACAATGTATCCAACATAGCCACACTTCCAAGTATTGGCTCGAAACTGCCAGCGGAGCCCGAATAACAACCGCGCTGGATCATTGCCATCCCGTCGGCGGCGATCAAGACGTCGACCTCTCCCACCTGCACATATCTGTCAGCCACGTTCAGAAACAAGAGGTCACCCCTTACGTACAAGTCAAGGAAGAGCTTCCAAAGTATGGAGAAGAGGATGCCCTGCAGTCCGTTGGCGATGATACGCGTCTTGAGGCCGCGGCCAAAAAGACCCAGGACGCCGTCCTGCAGGATAACCAGCCTGGCCGCCTCGGCTGCACGCCACACAAACAACCGTCAGCCTAATCCGCACGACCGACAAGTGGGGCAGGCGCAGGCGCAGACTCACTGTACGAGACCTGGGTGTCGTTGACCTGGCGGTAGGTCTTGATCACCCTCAGGGAGTTGGAGACGCTGTCGGAGATGATGGAGGCGCAGAAGCCGATGAAGGCGAGGCGGGCCAGCCAGATGATCAGGGGGTGCTTGGGCGGCTCCTCGATGTTCTCGGACAGGAAGTTGTACTGTCGTGGACCAACCAGCCAAGCGTCAGCCATCATCAGTCCTGGTCAGATTGCGGTCCTGATTGGATGTGCACTCACCGTCGCGAACCAGGGGTAGTGCCCGACAAAGGTGGCGGCGGCCGTGGCGAAGGCGCCCCACCACAGGCTGCCGACGCCGTTCTCCTTGACGCGCCGGCGGAGCAGGGCCGTGCCGCGCGAGCCCTGGGCCTGCATCGTGGTCTTGAAGGTGTCGATGGGGGTCAGGATCATGCGGAACGCCGCGGCGCTGGGCAGGTGGCGGAGGACGAGTCAGCCCGCCAGAACGGTAGCTATGGGGAACACGGGACAAGGGGGGGGGAGGGCTCCTCACCAGACAGAAGCAAAGATGGTCTGGATGAGGCTGGGCAGCTGGCTGAGGTAGCCGTTGGACTGGAGCAGGGCGAGGATGCCGGCGTTGGCGGCCGTGTCGCCGAACCTCGAGACGGGGCCCTGGATGAGGGCCCAGCCGGCGCCCTGGTAGAAGCGCGGGATGCCGCCCTCGGCGTAGAGGGTCTTTGTGGCCGTGGTGAGGGACGAGCCATGCCGATACTGGTAGTTCATGATGGTCCGGATCCACTGCGACCCGTCAGTTCCTGTGGTCTCGTCCGGGGGGTTCACGATGAGACGGGCAAAGACAAACCATCAGCAACAAGACCTGAAGCACCATGGCCGCAGCACCGCTCAGCCCGCCGCCGAGGGCGCGCTTCAGGGCGCCCCTGAGGTCGAACTGCAAGCGTGGTCAGCCCGTTGTATCGATACGCATCTTGTCTCGCGAGGGGGGGGGGGAGTTCTCACGTCAACATCGTCGGCGTCGATCCAGCCCTTGATGAAGACAGCAAGCACCAGCGCGCCGAGCACGGCCCACAGGACCCGCCAGAACCACCAGCTCCTGGTGCGCTTCTTGGGCCCGGGCGGCTCGAGCAGCGCGGCCTGCTCGTGCTCGTCGCGGCCCTCGTCGTGCGCGGCGGCCAGCAGGGGCGTCTCCTCCGAGGCGGCGGGCCGGGTCGGCGATCGCTCAGGCGATTTTGGGGGCGGTGTTGTGGACGACATGGCTGGCTGGCTGTGTGGGGATGGGCCGGGTAGGGTAAGGTAAGCCAAGCTTTGCCAGGCCTGCTAGGGAGAAATTTGCTAAAATATATGAGCCTTTCTTATCAGGGCATGTTGTTTCGATCTTGTGGTTGAGCGAGCGAGTGAGTGAGTGACGCTTAGAAATCCATCCGCCGGCGGGACGGGCAAGTCGTCATCCAAATCCGAAACCGCGCAAGGCGGGATAAACGGTGTGGGTCCCGTTTTCTTATCTCCGTCCCGCGATAAGCTTTTATGTCTGCTTCCCCACGCTTCGCCATCGGCCGTGTAAGTGGCGTGTATTTCAATGCCTAGGTACGTGCAGTGCATTTCTCAAGTGCGTCGTCTACTAGCAAGAAAATTCGATTTCAGGGGCAACACCGTCAGCTGTACTGATACCAGCCTGTCGTATGCCCAACTGCAACCGCACGAAGCAACTCCCTGTCCAACGCCCCTAACCCTGCCATACCGGCCGTCTTCCTCACAAGGAAATATAGAAAAGCACGAGTCTTCCGGGACGTAGGACATAAGATGATGCTCTACTTTTACCGTGGCTCTCAATCATCTCAATTCATTTATACAAAATCTTGATAACTCTCAGGCCTGAGGCTCTTCAGTTGTTCCGGCCTTTCCAAGCCCCTCCGAGTCATGAATAATACGGAATGGCGGTAGACGAGGTCACAACATTTAAAGCCATGGTAGAGAAGACGACAAAATTACAGACCTGCCGTGACACTGTGGAACAACAACTAGAAAAGAACTTCGGATTATCACGGCTTACACGCATCGTCCGCCATCCACCTGCGAGGTCCGCGTCAGCAAAGTCATAAAAGGATACGAGGATGGGTCCGGGACTAACTAACCTCCAAGTTGACACCCGTGATGAAATCGGCCTCATCACTCGCAAGATAACAGCAGGCATTCGCCACATCAGCTGCAGTTGAGCCGCGCCCCAGCGGCACAGTCGCCACGAACCCGGCCCGGTTCTCTTCGGTATCCGGCTTGCCCAGGAAAGACGAAGACCTGTAGTTGAAACCAAATGTCACCAAGATCAGCCACATATTATCTGGATGAAAGAACGGACACAGGGCTGCTGCCATGGACTCACAGGCCCGTGCCGCTGCCAAACACAGGCGACACAGAGTTGAACCTGATCTTCCTGGGCCCGTACTCGACAGCCATCGACTTGGTGGCGTTGATGACCGCCGCCTTGGACGCGTTATACCACGCCAGCCCGGGCCGCGGCCTGACCCCCGCCGTCGACGCCAGCGAGATGAAGACACCAGGGCGCCCGCCGCCCTCGAGGAAGTAAGGGAGGAGGACGCTGGTCGACAGATAGATGGACCGGACGTTAACATTAAAGGTGACGTCAAAGTCCGCGTCCGTCACCTGCTCCGTCGGCTTGTTCGGGTACGTCGTCCCCGCGTTGTTGACCACAACGTCCAGCCCGCCGAACTTCTCCGTCACCGCCCGCAGCAGCTGCTCCCAGTCCTCGCGCCTGGTGACGTCGGCCCGCTGGAACGCCGCCGAGGCGCCGCCCAGTGAGTCGGCCACCGCCTGCCCGGCCTCGGCGGACAGGTCTGCCACGATCACCTTGCCGCCCTCCGCGACGAACTTGGCGGCGATGCCCTTGCCGAACCCGGACGCTGCCCCCGTGACGATGGCGACCTTTCCTTCGAGGCGGCGGGACATGGCTGTGCTGTGGTGTTGTTCTTCTGTGATATGATGACGGGTTGTAATATGGTCTTTTTCAGGTAACGTCGGGGTCTTTCGCTGCCTGGTTTCCTAGCAGAATGGACGGTGCCTATCCCCGGGTGTGGGCCTTTGCCTCTTTGCTCCAAGTCCGCGGATGTGTGTGCTACACTGACTCCTGTAAGTAGGCTACTAGGCGCTGCTGCGTGTCCATGGAGACAACCGAGCCGACCCCGCACGCAAGATCGGCAACCACGGCCATGTGCGTTGCTGCTTGGTGCAACCGGGACCGTTGCACTCAAACCAAGCCATGAGAATCACTGCATTGTCATCCCGAGGTAATAAGTGGATGCGAGTGGGCAAAGGGCCACGATGGTGGAGCTGGATTGGCACAAATTCAAGTTGCATGGCATGCGCCCCCCCTCAATTATCCTGATCAAGCGAGCCAGTCGAATTCCACCGGGATGCATGCTACTCACACCTGAGGGGCTCATGTCGTGATAACGGGGAAAATGTGGACTGTAAAATTTTCAAAAGTCCGAGTGAGCCAATAATGTAAGTGAAGCTCGTGAAGTTTAAGTTGAAAGACGAGTGAGACGACTCCAAAGGCTTGAGGGGTACATAAACACATCAAAGCTCTGTTCACAACTGAACGTCTGTCACAGTACGAATCCACCGTTTTTGTTGCAAAGAGCTACTTCTCCAGTGATATCACAATCGTGACATCGAATTATTGACTGTTGGCAATAACTTCCTGCCGAAGACCAAGATTTCTAGTCGAGGGACTGGAGCTTCCCGGCAGTCTATGAGCTCATACAATCACGGCCGTATTTGTAAATTGACGCGCAACAACTGCGACAGGATCATGGAATCTCATGGATTTATTCGAGTTTGTGATATACTCGGTCGTCTGCCTAGATGGGTTGATTTCAATAACTAGTCCCCATCGTCTGGCCCCCAATCGCCCATACAAGTTGTATGATACAACAGTCAATGGCGGAGTATGTTTCCAGCATAGCCGTCTGAATGTGTAGTTTCGTTTTCATTAATATACATCCCGAATGTATACAGTCCCTTCATGTAATGGTCAACGAGCAAAGACCCGGCTTTTACTTAAGTAAAGAAAAGGCAATCTCGATAAGAGTGTAGAAAAGGTACACTACTTATGTACCTACTTAGTAGGTACATGATACGAGGCCTAAGTCTAATGACATCTGCACAGACAAAACTAGCGAGCATCGCCCCCAACGGCGCCATCCATCATCAAGACACGTAGCCCCAGGGCCAGTAGTAGGTGACGTGGAAGTCATAAGGCGGGGACCAAAGTGGTCTTGTAAAATGGTCCTTATATCAGAAGGACCATAAAGACAGCCCCAGTCAAATTCCAATTTTTCTATTTACTACAACAGCGCAGTAACGCGTCTTGAGTACTGTCGTCAATTTCAATCTCATATCGGAAAGAATAATTATCATGGGCACAATTCAGGGCTCGAAGTCTACCAGAGACAGCGCACAGCCGCACAATGACGAAGAAAATCCACGGCCGGCATGCACACAGACGACAAGAGAAACGACAAGAGAGACTACAAGAGAGACGACACCACGACTTGAGCAAGGCAACCTCGAACGACCTACCGCACCATCTTCCATCTGCAGCTTTGAGACAAAAGATGAACCTGCAGTGACACCCACATCTAAGTCAGATGAAGATGAGTTGTTTAAGCAGATGTCAGAAACGCTCCAGCTGATTGAGGCCAACATCCATGATTTACAAGCGCTGGCGAATAAAGCGCGCTCGATATTATCGGAAGCGACCGCGGCCCAGCAGAGATGGCCAAGCCCCGAAGCTCAACTCATGTTAGCGGAGTTGAGGGAGGAAGTGAAGAATCAACCGAGAGAACTAAAGGAGGAACTTAACCGGATGAGAGCAAGGTTTGAAGATATGCTGCATGTTCTAGGGTTCTGGGGTTGAATGGATGAGGTGAGCAATAGACGATCTGCCCCAGGAGTTGAATCACTATGGCTAACATTTGAATTCAGCAGGCATTCACATTTAACCGATGGCCCTAGGAAGCTTATGGAAAGGAGCAACTCCGGTCCGGCTCGACTCTAAGACAGTTCCTTGCTATGTATATTCCTTGAGGCTTCAGCCAAACTATATTTTAGTACCCTATGTATCCTACATGTTTCAAAGTAACTCATTGGTCATTGAGAACTTGTCGGTGTTAGTTAGAGCCAACATCTTCATCCTCACTCTCAAAATACTCGAAAACAGGCACCTCCTCAAATGGGCCCTCTTCCCCTGGATTATCCATCCCGAACATTGCGCCGTCCGTCACATCGGCCGACTTCTTGATCCGTTTCTTGCGCCGCGAATACTGGAACTCTCGTACCCGATATGCAAAGTCACACTCCTCAGTCACCTCCCGCTCCGTCTCCGCAGATCTGCCCCTCTCTCTAGAGACACCTATCCCAGCCTCGACCCCTCCGACGGCGAGGCCCGCGTCAAGACTCACGGACCCCGACCTTGTCCTGCTGGAAGAGTCGCCCACGGTTAATCGCCGGCATGTCGCGACCCCAACAATCATGTACAATGGCTCCGCAAAGATGCCCCTCCTGACATACTCCACGACGCCCGGTGCCTGCAGGGCCTTTTCCATGTAGTCCTTGGCAGTATGCGGCAACACGGCCTTTGCCCTGACGCCCGAGGCCTCGACGGTGGCATCCACGCTCCTCGATGATTTTGCATCCACCCCTCCGCCGGCACTGACGATGGGCGTGACTGGCAAGAGGGCCTTGATCCTTGCCCCATCCGTCCTGGTGAGTTCAGAGCGCATGAAGAGGCGGACGGCTGGCGTCTGGTCCTCGATCTTGTCCGGCGGGAATGCATCGATGCCGCTCGCGTAGTTTAGCGAGGACTCCAGATCGTCCGGCTTGGTGAGGATGCTGCCGAGGACCATGAGGGTGTTTGGCTTCTGCGAATAGCGGTAGACATGCCAGAGCTTGTCCCCCCGGACGCCGGAAGAATTTGTCATTTCGGCGTGGGAGGCGGCCAGCGTCACTAATGGTCATCAGTGAAGTAAATACTTAATGAAAGGGGATTATTGAGCAAGAGAATATTACTAGATGATGTTCTGGGGATAACAGCGGAGTTCTCGTCCAGAGCAAGAAGGTCTTTGGTAGGGTTACACTGAGCCTGCATAGATGGCGCAGCCATTCCCAGTTCAACGAATAACATCGCAGCTGACGAGGTCTGCATCCTGCGCTAATAGACATTATTGTGAACAGCGGGGCTTAGATATTGCTGGTTGACTGCGGCTGACGGCACCTTTCGTAAGCAGATAGATATGAGAGGGCATCCGCACACTGTATCTTTCGTGCTCATCGCCTCTGAGAGCGTAGTCTAAACACCTTTCAGCCCTTGCCACGCACGCAACATGGGGAGCCCGAACGAAACCCTCAAACCTGACACCCCAGGCACACCCGCCCGACGGTCGCCAAGTCCCATGGCGCCGAGCCCCCGGGCCCCGGAGAACACCGACGATGCCAGCGCAGCCGGGAAGCGGACACCCGACATTGCGTATAGGATCAAGACGCCAGGCCAGGCGCTGCACGACGCCATCACGCGCAAGGACCTCAACGGCGTCACGCGGATCCTCCGCGCCTCGCCAGACATCGTCGACGCGAAGAACGAGCGGGGCCGGACGGCCCTGCACGTCGCCGCGCAGCTCGGCCACAACGAGATCGTGAGGCTGCTCGTCGCCAAGGGGGCGGTGGTCGACGCCCGCTCGTGGTGGAAGTACACGCCGCTGCACTTCGCCACGGAGGCGGCGCGCCGCGACGTCGTGGTGACGCTCCTGGACGCCGGGGCGGACGTGCACGCCGCGACGAAGGACGGGCTGACGCCGCTCCACATGGCTGCCGCGAAGGAGGGCGGCAGCAGCACGGATCTGCTCATCACGCTGCTGACGCGCGGTGCGTACTGCAACACCATGGACAACGGGGCCTCCACGCCCTTGCAGATTGCCGTGGCGATGGGGCATCCCTCGAACGCGCGGGTGCTGTGTGCTTTTCGTGCGGATCCGCATTTCAAGAACAAGAACGGCAATGATGCGTTTGATTATGCTACACGGCTGGGAGATTTAGGGGGTCGCGGGGGAGAAATGGCTCGCGTCATGGACGAGTGGAAGGGCTGCGGGAAGCAGACGCGCAACTTGAAGATCCTGCCGCGCTTGGCAAAGTTCATCACGAATGAAGGCCGGGTGGATGCATCGGAGATGTTATCGTGGGTCTCGGGGAACGGATACGCGATGCTCGTGCGGTTCGTTCTGGAACATATCGCCAAGGATTCTCCAGAAATCGTCGACTCCCGGGGCTCCAAGACGGGCTGGAGGCCTATTCACCACGCGGCATGGGCAGGTCAAAGTGATGTCTGCGAGGTGCTCCTTGCCCACGGAGCGACCGTCGACGCCGAAACTGTTACGAGCAAATGGACACCGTTGCACCTGGCTGCATGGAAAGGCAGGCAGAGGACCTTGAGAGTCCTCCTAGACCACGGGGCGGACATTCTTGCTACTGCTGAGCTCACACCGCCTTGGAGGGTTGAAATTGACTCCGAGTCCCCCATATTGCTCACGAGCGTCACTTCTTTTTGGCTTGCAGCTGGTGGACGACACCCAAAGAGTTTGGACGTCTTGCAGGAATTCGCTCTCCAAATCCCAAATGGTAAGAGGCACATTGCGGCTATGGACGACTATACCAAGGCTCGGCATCACCTTGCTACTCTCCTCGGACAAGCAGACGACAGCCATTCCGGTAAGAGCAACAATAATAGCAAAGGATCTGAGCCCCAGGCTCAAGCAGTTCGATCTTCACCATCTCCCCCCTCAGAAGTTGATGTGCCTGGCACGAGTGGCTCATTCGATGGCGCCTTATTTTCTGTTTCGTCCACTAGGTGAGCAATGAGTGAAATCCAGCCAACAGCTTGCATTCATTTAACACAGTAGCATTAGTTCCCAGCTGTCACATTCACCCACCTACCAAATTCTCCTCAAGGTCTGGGATAACTTCGACTTCAAGAAAGGCCGCGACGAGCCGATCAAGATAGCTGTCCTGGATACTGGACTTGATGTAAAACACCCGAACTTTTTAAACCCAAGGCTGACTGGCTTCGAAGGTGGAAAGCCAGTGTGGGCGAAGAAGCCAGAGCCATCTCAGTATGAAAGGATCAAGGCCTGTGCGGACTTTACAGGCGACGGCCTGGTAGAGAGCAAGGACGATATGATTGATCTCAACGGGCATGGCACTCAGGTGACCGAGCTGATCCTAAGGCTTGCCCCAAGGTCGGACCTATACATAGCTCGCATATGCACAGGTGAGGTCGGTAGCGGGACACACACGCCAACAAACAGTACGATCAAGCACCCCCGACCGGACATAGTCGCGAGGGCCATCGACTGGGCCATAGCGCAGGAAGTGGACATAATCAACATGTCGTTCGGCTTCCGAGAAATCAACGAGACACTAAAGGCAGCGCTGATAAGGGCGACCAACTCGAAGATACTCGTGTTCGCGGCCATGTCCAACGACGGCAACAACAGCGAGCGCGCCGCCTGGCCGGCGCGGGACCAGGATCGTGCGATTGGGGTGCACTCCTGCGACAAGTACGGGAAGAGGGCGTCAGGCTTCACGCCGCCGTCCGTGGACGGCTCCCACAACTTCATGTTTGTCGGCGAGGAGGTCATCACCCTGCGGCCGCAGGCGCAGGGCGGCGAGTACGGGCTGAACGAGGGCACGTCCTTTGCGTCCCCGGCCGTCGCGGCCATGGCGGCTTTGATACTGGGGTATGCGCTGCAGCACATTTTCAAGCAGGAGAGGATGGATGCCAAGAATATCTATGGGGTTAATCTCGACGACCTGCGGGAGCTTGGTGGGATGAAGAAGGTGCTGAATCGTATCAGTAAAAAAGACGAGGCGAGGAACTACTCATATATACACCCTAAACTTCTTTGGAATGGCATTAGTCCGAAGCTTGAGGAGGACGCCGGCAGGGTTCGGCAGTATGCCTGGGATATTCTGGTAGAGTCTCTTCTGTGAGGCCCTAAGCTGGTACAAGTTCGCAGCCAGAAGCTCATCTTAATTAATGTCGGATAAAATTAATATAGAATGCCTAGGTACCTAGGTAGGCTGCAGCAAGACCCCCTATTAAGCCTACAGATATCCTCTTCCGCACCCTAGGCTAAAATTCTGAACTCAAGGACAGTCCACAGCCCTGGACGGCTTGGGCAAGCGACGAAGGAGTAAGGTTCCGGAAGTGTGCACAGTGTCAAGGTGCATATGGTGTGGGTGCACCACGCTAAAAGCAGGGCCGCATTTTGTGGAGCGGGGGGGAAGAGACACCTATCTGCTTGCTGACTCACGCAGAGCCTCAAAATTTCGGGGTTCTCGGACGAGCCCACCCACCTTCAAATCGAGTCTGGTCCTCCATCTCCGTTCAATTGTGTGGCTCTTGCGGACATCTGATTTCCTCGGCCAATGCCGTGGGTCACTTCCTCGAATGGTAGTTGTCTCGCTCTGGGGGTTCACTTTCTCTTATACACATTAGGTACCCCTCATCTCAAGATTCGTCGACCGTTCCATCTTCCTCCTCATTCTCGATTTGTTGGCCACAATCACACCGTGTCTGTGTCCCATCTCTAATCATCTACCTCGGACTCTCAAATACAGCACTCGAGCACAGCATTCGACGTCTCTGGCGCTCTTCAAGTTGCATCCTGTCCGTCATCAATGGTATGTGTGCAATGCCTCCTCTCAGGTTTCAATGTGGCTAATGACTGTTGACGCGCTGGAGGGCAAGACTCTCAACAGTGTCCCGCCAAATCTTGACCTCATCAACCGGCTACGAGGACAGTGCTTCCTTTAGGAGCATGTGGTCCACCCAGCGGCCAGCCTGAAGCCCCAACAAGGCGATCCCTCTCCAGACTCAGCATCAACACCGGTCTCGAACTCGAAGAACTCGTATTCGATCGTGAACGCATACATCCGTTCCTTGATTTCAGACATCCTCCTTCAACATCTCCGAGAGACCGTCTCTTCACGCTCTCGGCATTCACCTGTTATTAGGTGCCGCGTTGCCCATCCCCGGTTTATTTACCGCTTTCACGAGATGGCCACACAGTTACAGTTGTCATCCGGCGTTCCGTGTTGGTCATTTCTCCCAGAGCTCAACTACATTGTTTTCTCCTCGAACTCAGCTATCCGTCTGCCTCATGTCTTCCAACACCTCTGCCCCATAATCGACGTCTCTCACCTGTCTTCATCCGACCCCACCTTTTGCGACACATTTTCGATCTCTTTGCCTCCCAATACTTGGTAAATTCTCATTAGTCCTTGAACATGCCATTGCAGAGGAACTCAAACTATTACTAATGGTGACTACCCTAGGCATTTGACGGCACACTTGATCGACCTACTTGGAGGCCAAATCGAACACACCTGAAGAATCTCCTTGGGGGCCGAATCACACTGGAAGGCCGGAACTTCAGTTCCTCCGGTGCCTTTCCTTTGTCAGCAGCTTCGCAACATCATATTCACAATGACGTGTGCCGTCTTCATCTACCTTGAGGCACCATACCAGGCTAGAACGCACAGCAGAAGCACCTAGTCGCCGACAAGTCTCCGCACTGCGCTTCTACCTGGCCCTCTTGCCTGGTTCGCAAGACTGCCTGGTTCGCAAGATTGCCTGGTTGCCTTGCTGCCTCGTCTTGGCGCACCACAAGGCTTTCTCCCCGAGGAGCCGTATTGGTTGCCTCGGCATGGCGATCCATGGATGCTGATAGGCAACGTCTCAAGCGAGGCGCTCCTGGGCACCGCAGCCTGCATAATACGGGCTGCCATCACACTGTGGTCGGGCGACGTCCGCCTCACTCTTCTGACCGCCATTTCAATGTGCATTTATTCATGCAATCCCCCGGCCCCATTTCATGTCTACCCCAGGAGCTCGGGGGTCTTTTCTCATTGGTTTCGTGCGTCATCGTTTGGCGAGCAATACTAGCGGACACGGGAGCGTCTACTATGTATGCGCAATCGCTTCGAAGCAGAAGCTGTCGACGAGTGTAGCAGCATACAAGGCAATAGTTGCTGAGTCTCGGAAGAAGTCTTCTGCAAATATCTTCTCGATTGTGCACTATGTCACAACCCTAGGTGGATGCTTGCCTCATAGAGACAGCGATGCGTGGGCAGAGCCCTTTATCGTATTCATTGTCGTGCTTAGAAGGAGCCTCGGACGCGCGTGCGGCGGTTAGGATACAGGCCACCTGGGAATATGTCTCGACTCCGCGCCTCCTTTGCTTCGAGCAATTCAGGGGGACTTGGGTCACTGGCGCCAAGTAGCGGCCTTTCAATTCGCATATAGACCTAGGTGAAGAGCAACGTGACCTCATCAATCATTGATGGTTATGGGCAATGGACATGCCAGACCAGCTGTGTCCCGTGCCCGGAAGCATGGTCACCGAGCAACGCCCTCGCTTACCTAGGTACCTCGCAGGTCGAATGCCGTCAATCACGCCCCGATATTACACCAACACCATACCAACATCTCCATAGATGTAACGATTCTCGTCTTCTTGATCACATACAATACGAAGTTCGACGCCCTGGAATCAACTCAAACATCGTGGACTGGTGAGCTCAAGGGGGGCTGAGGATAGTGGGCTAAGCTACCACACCGAGATAGATGGTCAGCAGCGGGGTGCATACGGAGCAACGCGACCTCGGAGCCTCTGTACACATTCGCCCAACTCAACGAATCAGAGGGAACTCGGGATACCTTCCAAACGGGAAAATCTGAGGGAAAATGGTCACGGGCCTGCAGGAAATGAACCGCATACCCAGGCCCGAGACGGGCAAGGCAAATTGGCTCGCGCGCCGCTGTTGCGCAACTCTGCCCGCCGTCTTCATGTCCAGCATGGTCATTTTGGTATTCACCTTCTGTACATTTAAAAGGGGGTTGTGTCAAAAGTCGGAGAGTCACCGTGCTCGCCGGTCACGCTTTAAACTCAACTCGTTTTGCGAAGTGCCAGAGCGTTTCACGCCGTCTTGAATTGTATTTATAAAAAAAGAAAAGTGTTACCACCTTGAGACCAGGCCCGCAAAACTGGTCATATTTTCCCCAGAACGATCGTTCCAACGACCAGGCTCTTCTTGCCTTGCATTTGCTCTCTCCCTTGCTCCCCGGGCCCGACTTGAGCCTCAAGGGCCCCATTGGGACCCTCTAGCCAGATTTAGTCGATCAATACTCAACTTTGAGTGACTGCGGCGGATTCAACCAGGATCATGAGTCTCAGATCTCCCCAGACTGCCAGCAGGTAAGTTCATGCCGCCGCCGTCCATTCCTCTCCTCATAAAAGCTGGATGGCATGCACTAATAACGTCGCTCTCTGCAGATCGTCTGCCGGCAGCCGACCCTCCGCGAACCAAAACCTCGAGCAGCGCAGCTACCTCCAGCAGCAACGGCTCGATGCTTATATGGCCGAGCCCCTGAGGAGTGGAAACCGCCTGGTGGGCCTGTCGTATGGAACCGTCCCCACGGAAGCCTCAAGGCTGTACCAGGGCCCGTCGCTCGTTGAACAACCCCAGGACCTCAGGGGTGTCGGGTCTTGGACTTCCTCGCATGGAAGCAGGTGATCACTGTGGATCCTCTATCACTGTCATGTCTGAAGTCGTTCTGAAAGCTGGTTGAGGGTTTTCAAAGAACCACATACGCTCGTACCAACGACGTTGGTGTTGCGGAGCGGAAAGATTTGGGCGACGAAGGGGCTATCGTGACCGCCGGTGGTGGACGGATGTGTTCCCAAGGGTTCTTTCCTATTGTGCAAAATGCCCATTCTTCTTGTTTTCACTTACCTTTATATTGCTTGTCGGCTGGGTCGATCTCACATTTCTTTGTCTCGATGACTTCACCATCAATGGCTCTCTCACTATTTTGTGCTGGCAGCATGGTATTATTTCGTTTTGGACCTAAGTTGTTCCTGAAATTTATTCTCCCACATAAGTCTCAAGTCATCCACTTTTCACAATACAGTTCCTTCATCCACTTGGCATTATTCTGCTTCCATGCTTGCCTGCTTAACCTAGGTATTGCATAGAGGAAGACCAAACGCCCTCCACGAAACAAGTCGATGCTCGGAGTCTGATCCACGTCAATCCAGTCTCCAGCATGACGCCCTTTATTTTGGAGGGTCTGTCCAATATCAACCACACGCTTGTGGCCTTTACCTGGCTTGAGTGCTGTCCACTCTTCTATGCACTCGGAGTGAATACAAGGCAAAGCGTCAAACTCGTCTGAGGTACGCCATGACGCCATGCGCTCAGGATCTCTGCCGAATGGCGTCACTGACATCTTCCGAGCTATACCCAACCGAAGTCACAACCGGGAGTAACGGTATGGTACTTATATACTACTAGAATAGCTCATCTACTAGATTAGTTATTATAGTCTTTTCACTATATAATCTAAGGTGTGTACCTAGTAGTCACACCTTCTATTATAATAACTAATTTAATTATAAATATATAGTTTTATTTCTATTTTATATATATTTAAAGATATATATAATAGTAAGTATTTAAGATTTAATATTTAAAAATATAATATTAATAATAATAGTTATAATATAATAAATATTTATAGTTTTAATTTTATAATATATAAATAAAGTTAAGAGATATTATTTTAATAATAATATTAATTATAAATAAAAGTAGTTCATAATTTAATTATTATAAAAGTTATATAATAAAATTAAATTTAAAATAATTATTATATAAATAAATTATATTAAAGAAAGTTTAATTAAAATTATTTTTAAATATATATATATATATATATATATATTATAATAAAACCTTTATTAAATAAATACTATAACTTTTATTTAAATATATAATTAACTTTAAAAGAACTTAAAATAAAAATTATTTATAATATATTATTCTTAAAATATTTATAATTAAGTATTAAAACTCTTAAAAGAGTTTTAAAAGTAATTTATAAGAAGATAAAAGAAGAATATAATAAGTTTATTCTCCATTAAGTTTATATTTTTATTATTAATAACTATTAATTCCTTAATAATATAAAGAAATATAATAAAAATAAAGAAAAGAATAAATTTAAAGTTATTAAAGATTTTATATATAAGCTTTAAACTATTAGAGAAGAAATAAGTAGTTAAATTAAAAATAATTATATAATATAAAGGAAAAATATAATATAGTTAAAGTTTAATTATAAATATAAGTTTAAACTTATATATTTAAGTTTTATTTAACTTTTAATATTAAGTTTTTATTTTTAATTATATTATTAAAAGAATTATTTATAAATAATATTTTAATTTAATTATATAAAAATATTATTTATAATTTAATATTTATATTATATTATTTAAAAATTTTAAACTTTTATAAAAATATAATTTAATTTAATAAAAGTTATTTAATAATATTACTTTTTAAAAATATTTAAATATTTTAAAAAGTCTTAAAAAGTAATAATAATATAAAGTTTATATAATATTAAAATAATTAATTTACTTATTTAATTATTATAATAATTTAGAAAGACTAAGCTTATAAACTACTAAAATAGCTAATTACTTTAAATTAATTATTATAGTCTTTTAACTGAGCGGTCTATTATATTAGTAGTTAGTAGAATTCCTACTGTCTTAATAACTAATTCTAGGGTTGTGGGTTTGAGCCCTTATAATTTAAAAAGATCTTATTTAGGGTGTTAGTAGGTTGGTAGGTGTGGTGTTTATAGTCTATAGTTGTGGTGTTAAGATGGGCTGTTTACTCTAATAAAGTAGCTTAAGTATACTATAGATATCTATTCTATTTAAGAGATTTTTAGGCCTCTTATAGGTACCTAATTTATCTTTAAGCTATTTAAGTACTCTATAAGGCCTTAGGGGGGATTGTAATAATTTAGAGAGATTAAGCCTATAAACTACTAGAATAGCTAATTACTTTAAATTAATTATTATAGTCTTTTAGTCGAGCGGTCTATTGCGCTAGTAGTTAGTAGAATTCCTACTATCTTAATTATTATAATCTTTTAATTAAATAATCTAAGGTATATAATTAATAATAACACTTTTTATTATATTAAGAATTAGTAATCTTTTAAGTATTATAAAAGTTTTAAAGTATAAATAAAGTTTATAAAAGTAGAAAGCTTAAATATAATATAAAAAATATATAATAATAATTATAATAGTATAAGTTAATAAGTATTAAATTCTAAGTTTAGATAACTTAAAATTATAATCTTTTAGCTAGGATGCCTATTACGTAACACTTAATAGATCCGTCTTAATTCTAAATTAAAGGGTATAAATTCAAACCCCTACATTTAAAAATTTCAATTAATCCTAATTACTCTAAAATAAATCCCTATAGTACTTAAAGTGAAGGGTAAAGCCTCCATTTAATAAATAGCTAAGAAGTAAATATCTATAAGCCTTAAAAACTAATACCATATTATAGATTTTTAAGCCTCCTATTAGCTACATACCAAACAGAAATAGGTATAATTAGCCCCCTATTCATCTAAAACTCTAAAAGGCCTTAGAGGGGGGTTATAACGGTATAAGTTAATAAGTATTAAATTCCAAATCTAGGTAACTTAGAATTATAGTCTTTTAGCCGGAACGTCTATCACACAACACTCAATAGATCTATCTTAATAATAAAAAATTAAAAATATAATGAAACTTACTCTCCCTCTTCTTTTCTTCTTAATTTTAATTTTTTAAGTACTTTTATAGATTTAATACACTTATACCGGAATGCCCTGTATGCTAACTTTGTTGTTAGAATGGCGCTAACAGCCGCTGTCGCCTTCCATGTCGTCCTCCATGTTCTCACCATGCGGAGGCACGGCTCAGGTCGGCATGGCGTGTATGGATGAAGGGAGCCAGCACTTCGATCTCCTTCCCGTCAACGCCAACCCGACGAGCTGTTGTTGCTCGTTGCTGTCTGAACATTTCCCGGCGAGCAGCTTGGTCAGGAAGCCACTGTGCTGAGGCACGGCTCGCGGCGGCGCCTCGTGGGTGGATGAGGGGAGCCACTTGTGACCGCTGACTGTTGGCCGCGCAAGACCCTTTACTTCCAGGATGCCTTGTAGTAGGTGGTCAATGGTAAGACAAAACAATTCATCCCAACCAAGAGACCCCAGATGATGGGCCCCCGGCTCTTCCATGACGAGGACTTATCGACGCTGATGTGGGGCTGCGGGCTTTCATGGCGACGGCGCAGCGAGGCTAGCACGGAGGGCTGCCGCGGCGTCATGAAATGATTGGCGGGACATATGTTGGCAACCATGGTTGAGTGCATGTTGCGCAGGGTCGTTGGCGGTGGCAGCTTCAAGTCCCACTCTGGCGGCGCGAAGTGGCTGAAGCACAGGCTGGCAACCATGGCTGAGTGCATTTTCCGCGGGGTAGGCAGCGGCAAGAGGTCTGCGAGCATGTCGATGTCACTGATGATTTGGTTGTCGAGCGTGTGTAGGTGAATGCTGAGGTCAAGGTTGGACTCGTGGATGAATCTAGGAGTTGTGACCAGAGTCTTCTGGGAATTTATGCTTGCCAACCCTGCACTCACCTGCAGACACATCGCTTGCTGGGATTCCCAAGCATCCGTTCAAGTCGCATCGATGGACTCGGAGAAGGCCGAGAGACCGAGGCTGAAGCCAGTGTCGCCGCGGTAGATCGAGTCGGACATCATCAAATCGTGCGCGTAGTGCAGGGTGTATCGCCGGCATGACCAAACCGACGGTGTTGGCTCAAAGAGAGCCAATGGATTGGCCTTTTTTTTTTATCCCGGAACGGGATGTTTTTTTTAATAAAAAGAAAAACTAAAAGAATGTTCTAAAAAGAACGAAAAAAAGACGAACGACCATAAAAATGGTGATAATAATAACGAGTAACCCAAAAGGGGTTACCCGCCGGCGCAGGGTAAGACTCCCGATGGCGTGGAAGACCACGGCAAGGAAGACGACGACGACGAAGAGGAGGACGAAGAGGGGGCAGAAAAGAAAAAGGCCACTTCAGCCTCGTGGTGCTGGTCGGGTTTGTATGTAGCGCGGCACGGTGGTGGTATTGGCACTTGGATGCAACAAAGCACTTTCACTTGTTAAGATGATGACCAGACATCAGACTGTACTAATTACGGCAACCCCAACATTTGGAATCTTCAGTTTGGGAAATTGTATCAAGTGTAATCATGTGATCTCAAATGCAGATTGAATCCTAACTTTTCGCATTTGAGCAAAGCTTGGCCAACTAAGAAAGAGAATCAAGGAAATAATAGTCCAGCCATCAGTAATTGAGCATGGCAGCCAATATTCCTTGACCGACGAAACCCACTGTGTATGCTGGCATATGACTGATCTTTTTCCACGAATGCCAGATCTTTCCTGCTGTGATCATTTCATCGGCACATGCCTATCCACCTGTGTGTGTCTTTGACCGAAGGCCACCACATTGTCCAAGACCTCAATGCAGCTTTTGCAGGCAAAATCCTGGCAGTGCAAACACTCATGGTAAAACATGATCTCACCGTCGCTGTCCATCTCCATTACCACGAACAAATCTTGATCTTGGTCCTCGAAAACGGAAACGAGATGGTCGCCTGGTGCGACACGGACCCGTCCGGAAGGACTCTTCTCTTGGCCAGCGGCAAGCACGTGATAGGCCGAAAGTGCAACATGCCGTCTCCTCCACTGCGTATAAATCTCAGCGATAGAAGTAGCGGCAAGGATCAGGTTTCCGTGGGGTGTCGGGTACGGTGATAGGCGCGTCAGTAGCCACCCGTCGTTATCAAAAAGGATCATTCGTGTGGCGCCGGGCAGTAGTCGCGCCGGGTCACGACACCACGCTGTGTGGCTAGGTGCCCGGATGTGCTTGGCATATAAGTATGCCACGAAACGGGTCACCTGGTCCCAGAGACTGGGCGCATTACCGAACTTTGTGTCGTCAGAGATCTCTGGCAGCTGGTACAGCGACTGTGAATCACTATACTTGTACAAGATGAGACCATCAGACTTGAGGCCGGACGCGTGTTTGCCGTCAGGGGTCATGGTAGGAGGCAATGAGTTCTTGGCCAAGGTCTCCATGGCTGGAACAGAACCGGCGTCAAAAGGCTGCTCTATTCAACTCGAAAGGATGGTTCTTACTCACAGCTTGAGATCCAGCAGAAGCAACTGGGTAATTTGTTGATCCTCGCGATGGACCTGAATCCCGGAATTATCAAAAAGTGTTCTGGATGGTATCGCCGAATCGTGTTGAGCAACAAAGACGGGTATGTTCGGTTCTCAAGATGAGTGTTTGGTGAGTAGCTTGTCAATCTCGAAATCGTCCGTCTCGAAAATGAATTGGGGGAGAGGAGGGTCACATATAATGCTAGCCATTTCAATTAATACTTAAAAGCTCATGTATTGTAATTAGCGTAGATTACCCTAAATTATAATGATAACACTATGGCCCTTCTTCCGGAAAGGGCTTTTGCTAGAGAACCTCTTGGCAACATATCTGTATCTATTTTTCTACTTGCCCGGTGTTAGCAAATGCATTTGTGGCACGGCAGTGCTGCCGACTAATGCACTGGATCAGCTTCGGTCGTGGCTGGAGAACGAGACGATCCTGTTCCTAAGTACACGCCACGAGCCTATATGTAGCTCGTTACCCTAAGTGAAGACTGGATCATATATATTTCAGATTTTAGTTCCGGTTTACTCGTACTGAAATATCACTAGCAGTATGGAGTTTGAGTCACGCTTAGCGGGACTAACTTACGGTCCGAGTCGTTCCTAGGCTTGGGTCCGGAAAGCAAATATAGGGCCAAACTAAGTACCTAGGTTCACATCGGCTCCGACTAAGCAAATTAATATGTACTAATTACACACCTAGGCACTCGGTCAAGTTCATTTTAATACCCTATTAAAACTCCACAGCTTTATTAACACTACCTTAGGTTCTAAATCTCCTAATATAATATACTTTAGCACTACTAAGCGCGGTAGGTGCGGCATGAGGCTGAGGCCACGTGCCTAGGCACAGCCTTCTAGCACTGTTGTTGGCATTGTGCTTTAGTTCCCTGACTGTGACGGTACGGGCTTATAAGTGTTGAATTCCAAGTCTGGGCAACTTGGAATTGTGGTCTTTTGGCCGGGACGCCTATCGCGTAACACTCGACGGGTCCGTCTCACTGACCCGGACCCGGACGTAAAGACGGACCAACCCCCCGGTCCTCTCGGGAAGCGTTGTCCTCACAACAGGATGTTAAATAAGTGTAAATCTTTTTAAAAGCCGAATCTTTGACAATTTACGACCGTGTGAAGGGACCCTGTGCCTTCACGGTGTACACTACACCTATGGATTAAGAACGAAATTAGTATCTAGGTCCGGTAGTGGCCGACCACCACCTTGTGTGATTAGATCGCACTGGACACCAGTCGCAAAAATCGTAGAATTCGTCCAATTGTTACTACTCGAGCTCAAATTTTTGGATAACAAAAAAATGCGAGGGCTTCTTTCTCGTAAATCGCTTTCCTTGACTTCAGAGCACATCATCCTGCAAGGCACGACGAGGGCATCTCACCGAATGCCAGCATTGCAATCTTGCTTCCTCCAAACTCGGCTCGATTAATTTGGCGTCCTTCTTCAGGCCTTTCCACTTCCAGTTGCTTCCGTCTTCCATAGTGCTGTGAGGACTAGGGCAGGACGAGATCCTCAGCATGGCCGACCAGGTTCAACCGCCCGAAGACTGGGCACGGAAACCCGGGGAACAGCTCACGAATCCTCGTCCCTGCTTGACTACGCTTCCTGCAGAGCTTCACTTCCGGATTGTCAGTCTTGCTCTTGCGGCAGGACAAGAGCGTGACGTTTCTGCTCTCGCAAGAACAAGCAAATTGATGCATTGCATGATCAACTACGAGCTGCACAGACTTGTTGTCAAGCACAAGATGTTTTTCCTTCTCCACTGGGCCGCACGATGGAACCAGCTGGGAACTTTGAAGCTTGCACTTGAATACGGCGCGAACCCAAATCAAATGCGGACGTCGGACTTTAGTCGTCTTTCCAAACGTTCAGGTTGGGGCTTCCGCCCGCTTGGTTGGAACCTCACCGCTTCCACTGATCATGAGCTCAACGCGGCTATGCGGCGGAAGTATGGCTTCATGGCGAATCAGGGGCAAGTCTGGTTTACTAGCACTACCAGCCTTTCGACAACAACCAGTGCCCAGTTTCGTCTTCTCATGAACCACTACGTGCAGTACCGCACACCTATACCGAGGCTACCTCTTGATAATAAAAGCGCGAAGCTGCTCGAACTGTCAGAACCGCTCGACGAAGACTTTGCGTTTCCTCAAAACATGTCTCCGGTGGACATGAACGGACGAGATGTCAAGATCAGGTTCGTGCGATTGTTCCAGTATTGGGACACGCCGCTTCACGTCGCAGCCGCGCTTGATCGGGCCTCAGTTGCAGAGACTCTGCTTGCCAACGGAGGTGATATGGACTGCACAGCTACCGAGGTTTGCAGTTGTCTCAGGCGCGCTGCAACATCCAGTGCGGGATATGCACTGGGAGGAAACTCTCAAGATATCTTTACCTACACGCCTTTGCACGTTGCGATATGCGTGGGAAGCTACGGAGTAGCCAAGGTGCTCGTAGCCTCTGGGGCGGAAAGGATGGCAAGGATATTGCGGAGCAACGGCGCCAGAGAATGGCTTGAGGAGAATGCGCTTCACACAGCGCTCTCCTGGCGCCCTGGCGTCCTCTTCGATTACGATTTTGTCGAGTTCCTGCTCAAACAAGGATACGCAGCCCGCATCGAAGAACGAAATTTCGAAGGCATGACACCACTGCAAATTGCTTGTCAGGGTGTCTATGAACCAGAACGAGAACCATCACGAAGGGATGTTTTGGGGCTCCTTATCCGCTATGGTGCGGATCCCAATAGCCAATGTTTAATGCCACCGGCCGGTCGCGTCTTAATGATATCCCGTCATCCCAGCATTAGACGCGATGATATGGCCACTATCGGTCTGTGGGCAACTCGGCTAGGTAACTTCAGGGGTGCTAAATTACTTCTGGACCACGGTGCGGATGCAAGCGCGAGATCTTCAACCATGCATGAGACCATGCTATTTGCTCTGTGCAAAGCATCGGACGTGTGGCCTTCACCAAATGACACACATGATCGATATTGGCGAAGCAGGTTGTTGGATGACCTGCTGGCCCGCGGTACAGCAAAAGACCTGAACACTTTCTACGGAAAGGACCAGAACCTCTTAATGAGGGTTATCGGAGTCAGAATGTTCGAAACTATTCCGCAGAGCCATACCGGCGAGTGGGAATCAAAAGTCTTTACTGCAGGGGCCGACATCATGGCAGGGGCCGACATGGGGCAAACCACACCCTTCGAGCTCATGATCACCGCAGCGCTCAGCCAGCCCTTTAATTGGATTGTAGACTCAACGCCTGGTCGGACGTACATCCCTAACTTGTGCAGCAAGATCCTGGTCATCTTGCGAGCATCCGGAATCAAAAACCATCGCTTTAGGCCAGGAGCGATGCTCAATCGGTTCTGGGGACTCCTGAAAAGGCACTCTCAGCATATTGGCATAGCCATTTTTGTGCTGCCCGCTCTTCTCGGGGCCGGTTTCAGCCCAGCAGAAGTCGACAGTCACGGCGACACAGCCATGACCTCGTTCCTGCAGCACCTTCTCGACAACCCTTTGTGGGCGACAACTGACAGCAATACTTTCTTTTACCAAGGCTGGATCCTCCCCACGATCATGGCCATGTTACAGGAGCATGACGCCGCACTTGACAACAGGAATAACAAGGGATTTACGGCTTCCGACTATGTACGCCAGATAATTGACTACAAAGGCAGTGAGGAAGGCTTGATCCTGCTGCGTAATTTCATGCGTCGCTCAGTGAGAATTTCCCAGGACGGCCATCGCGACAGCTTCAAATTCCATCCCACAGCAGTCGTCGGCCTGATTGATGGATATGACACCGTTGCGAGGCTTTTGAATGACCAGTCAAGGTGGTTGACTTGTAAGCATCTCTGTGAGAGAGGCTACTGTAGTATTCCAGGCGGTAGGAATTGGAGGAGCGGATGTACAACACACCCCACTCCGCCAACTGCGATGTGTGAAGGCGATTGCTGCCCGCTCCGAGCTCGCGACAGCCTGAGCCGGCAGGATTTCTTTTAAGCAAATGACATTGGAAGAATCTAGCAATGACTTCAATTGACTGCGTCAAGACTTTCGCGTTTTGGGAATTGGAAGTTCAGACGTAACCGCAACAAAGCAGGGGGTGAAAGCAACTAAAGGGAGTCCCTGCGGCTAGTATAACAAAAGAGTAATTCATGTACTATAGTTGAGTAGTTAATTAGTTCAACATTACGGTATTCCATGGTGTTAATCCTTTTACCTGGGTCTGTCATCAAATCTGTTATTACTTGAAATCCTCCCTTTACTAACGGCCGTGTTGATAAACACCTGCCACCCTTGGCCAACATTATGGCCGCCATCCTAGTTCAAAGAAACACGGCATCATCCGCGATACCTCCGGGCTCTGGTTATCTATTTACACTTGTCCCATCAAGTTCGGATATATGATGCGCTTCTTGGCCGCCGAGCTCATTCCCCCGACTCCCATGTCTCCCCCACTCGTCAAGTAGCTGTGGTCTCTCCTGAGGCGACAGCTCAGTTGGCAATTGCTTATCGCCGCCATTGCTATCATTCAGTATTTTCAAATCATCCTCTTTCTTGTGCTCTCCTCTCCCCTGCGCTGTTGATTGTCCAAGCCGTTCCCGAGTTTGACTGTTGAACTTGTCCATAAAGCGGGAGATCCGGATCAGATGCCGCACGAGCAGCCAGCCCAGTGCTACCAGGAGCAAGAAGCCCACCACGGCGCCTGCGCTGATGCCTCCAATTTGACCGGCTGTTAGTCTCTCTCCGGTGACACTGGATCCCGTATCCCCCCCTGATGAACTGCTCCCAGTACTTGTGGCCGCCGCCTGACTTTCCCGGCTGCCCGTGGAGGCGTCGTTGCCGAACAGGGTTCTTGATAATTGGGGAACTGTCTCCGTTCCTGAAATTACGGTTGAAATGATAGCGGTCAGATTCGGGTCTATCTGGTTCGTCACAGCGGCCGAAATAAAAGTGCTGATAGCCACAGTCGTGTGGCCGTCAGGTGCAGAAGAAGTGGATGTCGTCGTCACCGACGCATAGGAGGTACAGTCTCCGGAGCCGCACACCTGTCCGTTCAGGCAACATCCTCCTGGTCTCGTTGTGAGCTTCTGTTTTGGCCTTCCAAGGGCCGGATCAACTCACCTCCCTGGCCTGATGAGCAGCCGAACCAGCCTTTGTCGCAGACCACCGTCGATGTGGTGGAGGTAGTAATGCCAGCGACACAGTAGCCATCGGCTTGACACGCCAGTCCCTGAGGACAGCATCCACTGCCTTGGAAGGGCGCGCATCCATTGTAGTCTGTGTGGCCTGCGCATATGAGCCAACTCGACGCCCAAGGAGGGGGTCCCTGGCCGGGGCCCCATGGACGGCTACCAGGGGAGCCTGTTTGCCTGGGCACAAGACTGGTCAAAAACTGGCCGGAGACGGCTGTGAACTGGCACAGTGACCAAGCTATAGCCCAGTACAGTGGCCTTATTTGCGAGAGACTCAGGCCTGCCATTCTTATCCACGACGGGAAGTAATTCAAGTGCGCAGTAAAGACATTTATTAACAGAGAAAAGAAAGAAGGCCAAATCACTCATATCCAAGGAGAAGCCTGGCCCGACTTTGCTTCCAATACATAGTACTTTGTACCCCGCCGCGGCACGCGCATGTGTGACATGAACTGCAAGTCAATCCTACCTGATATAGGGGCACGACAAGACCCAATTGCAAAGTGCATGAGCGAAATTTTCAAAGACAGGGTCACCTCGGGCGGCGAGCCTGCATGCCCTTGGCCCCAAAAGTAATGATCTGACGCCTCGGCTACCCTTTAAGGGCATTGCTCGTTCCTAAACGTAACGCACACCTCGAGCTGGCCGGTCGGGACAACGTTGGAACATGCCACAACATCATGCAGGTCACTGACAACTGGCCCTTGGGATCCAGGCGACATCAAAAGGGATAAAAGCAGGCTGCGATCCCAACTCTTGGGTCCGTTTCTTGGCTGCATCCTCGGACTTGAAGCTCTGCATCCGCGTCAATATTCGCTCTGCTCCTTGTTAGACAACAGCAGGAGCATACGCAAGTACTTAATGTGATATTGAGAGGCTGTAGGATCTCACCGCAAATCCGTCCCAAATATTGGCAGTCAGTACCACAGTCTTTTGGAATCTTTCTGCGAATTCACGAGAAGCTTGGAACAAAGAATCTGATTTTTTTCTTAGCAAAACTGTATCTGTTTCGACAACATTGAAGTTATGGAGACTTTGATATCCGTGCCGACTTTTGAGATCTACTGATCGTAGACTAGTACTATGGAATCCTCCAGGGCTAATTGACGAGCTAGTCTCAACAATTGCCGCTCTTCATTGGCTCCCTCTCTCCTCCAACTTGACGACATCCTACTGCTGTGGGCAGGAGTGTCTGCGTGGATCTGCTCTCAGTGAGGTACCTGTAGACGTATAAGCTGCTAGGACAACGTCCGAAATGCAGTAGGTGCAGCCCCCGGTTCCACTGACTTCAGCGTTATACAATGGCTTCATGACAAGGCTTATTCTGACCACTCAACCAGCGAGCGATGGTATCAATGGGCGTTCGGCCCAGCCCCCGACGTCGCACCGACATTCATCAAGTCCTACAGCTGTGGCCCATCCCTGCGTGTACGGCAGGAATCCTGCAGGAGGCTCTGCTCCACATACGGAGCCCGAAATAAACCCAGAGGACAGTGTAGCTGACCCAGACCCAGCATATTCTGTCCCAGCACCTGGGACCACACCTGATCCCAGCACCTCCCATGCTACTTCAACATCCACGGGGGCGGCTTCTGCCTCGGCGTGCCCGAGGATGACGACAGGTGGAACCGCACCTTCGCCGACAGGCACAGCATCCTCGTGGCAGAGCTGGACTACCGCAAGGCCCCCCACACACACGTTCCCCACCGCCATCCACGACGTCGAGGCCCTCATGCTAGCCGTGCACGGGGACGAGAGCGTCCCGCTGGACATAAATCGCACAGCCGTGGGCGGATTCTCGTCCCAGCTGCAACGCATCCGGGACGCCGTCCTGCCCGCGGCGGTGTGCCAGGTCTACCCGCTGGTCGACCTCGCTACCAAGGCTGAGGAGAAGGGCGCGACGCGGTACTATAAACCCGAGCTCGGCTCCGGCGTCAGTGCCAGTGCCGCCGACATACTGTTGCCTGTGTCGCGTTTCTTCGGGTGGGGCTACGTGCCACATGGGCAGCATCTTCGGGACCCTCTGCTGTCCCCAATGTATGCGCCGCGCGAGCACCTGCCCAAGAAGGTCTTCACCGTCGCGGCGGAGCTCGACCGGCTGGCCCACGAGGCGTGGCGCATGGCCAGCGTGCTCGCTCACCAGCCGGAGGCATCTCCTAGTGTCAAGATTGGCCAGCAAGTCCCCAGAACGCCCGAGGAGCTAATCCTCGACGATGAACGCTTCGCCTTTGAGCATGTCAACGATATCAACAGCGAGCGGGTGCGGTGGTTGCTCGTCCCCGATCAGATCCACGAGTTCGACTCAATCATACACCCGCCCTAGTTGACCGTGCTGACGTGCGTCCGGGGCAATGCGCCGCCAGGGCCCAGGCCAACACGCCGCCGATGTCGTGGTCCAACTATGAAAGTGGGCCCCTTTTATTTTCCGTTGCCGTGATCAATGCCCAGTACATCGAGGAGCAGGATCGTCTCCTCTCTCTGCCACCAATGGCGGATGTATCCCATGGCTGGTTTCGAGGAGCGGTCTGCGCCTTTATAGTTAGGTATGTAGTAATGACAAGGTATGTTTTGTACGATAGCATGGTGTTAACTGCTTTCTCTTTTCTCTTGTACGCATTGCACGGGTAACTAGTCACATGAAAGTCCCTCGCCCGTGCCCTGCCAAATGGCCATCCCATAATACGACATGGGCCAGGCGGAAACTGATACGCGCTCTCTGAGGGGGGGGGGCCTATTATACCTAGATACTATACTACTATGAAGCAGGACAGTGACACCGCGCGCAGGGTTCGTTTGCTTGTGTATATATGTATGGCTGCTCAATATCCATCCATCATCCAGCGAGAAGCCGTGGCCTGTCGCGAGGCGATCGATGCTGGGTGACTGGTCATCACCGGTGTCTGTCTGTATTTGCTAGTTATTACTTGTTAAGAATACACTAACAGCTACAACGATATCTAATTTTCTACCTAGGTATAGTCAGCAGGCAGCCCAAGCCAAACCAAGGAACTCTCCGTGTCTACAACCAAGTGTATCGCGTTCGGTGCGCCTTGCCTTGCCTTGCCTTGCCTTGCCTTGCCTTGCCTTGACTTGCCTTGCCTTGACTTGCCATGCCATGCCATGCCATGCCCCACCCCCCCCCCCCCCCAAAAAAAAAGGACATGCCACGAGAAGTCGAATGAACAGTACTACCGCTGCATAATACCACCGAGGGCGATACTCCAGGAGACGCCCAAGACACAGGATCCAAGCAGACAGACAACACGGGCCAACACACACATTGACACATCACACATCACCCCCCCCCCCCCTCAACAACCTTCACCACAGCCAGGCAGCATAGGCCACCACCCACAAGTTCCCAAGTCGGGAGGAAGGCGAAGAATACATCCATCCATCCATCCACCCACCCAGCCAGCCAGCCAGCCACTCAGCCAGCGTCTCCCACCCCAAGACAACAGAACACATCACATCAACCCCAATGCCCATCCATGATGGATCTCAGGCCGGTAACAAGGGGGAAAAAACAAGTCAGGTCCAGGCTTTTCTGTCCCCGGTGGTCGAAACCCCCACCCCCCTCCCCCTCCGGGCCCCACCAAGCTCTGGATTCCTCGGGGCAGTGGGGGGGAGGGACTCATGGCATGCATAATTACACGGCGCGCAACCTCGAACAAGCTCGCGAGGGCTGTGCAAGGTGCTGTGGGTTTTTTCGTCGAGGCCTCCCTCCCTCCCCGCGTAAACGGGGCAAGCCCACCCAACTACCTACCAATACCTTCCGGAGATGGTCCGGTTCAGACAAGCTGCCCCGGGGCCGTTGCAACATGGGTGGTCAAACGGTCTCTCCCCTACCAACCCCAACCCCCCCCACCCCCGACTCAACGGAACGGACGGACGGACGGACACGAAAGAAACCACTACAGTCCAGCCAAGGCCCACACCCTCACAGACAAACAGACAGGTGAGCCTCTCAATTCTCACTCTCTTTTTCTCTCTCGGGTATAAGTGATGATAAATACACAGACAGCAGACCAGACCAAGAGGGGAGCCAAGCCAGACCTTCCTAGCCCACCCTCGCCCACCCCCCCCTACTTTGCATCAGCCTGTCCGTCTGTCCATAATGCTCTCCCTCTCTGTGCACTCATACCCATATCCATGCCATGCCATGCCATGCCATGTTCCAAGGTGTCCGTCCCCCCTTATCCACCCCCAATGGTCTAATGCATCAACCAACCACGTCTTTTTTATGCACGTGTCGCCGCCCTGTAGGCAAGTTGTAGGTACTCAGGTAGGTCCCTGTGTTCCCTCCCGGTCCCAGCTCTCTCTCAATCTCAAGACGAGCCTGCCATCCCTTATGCACCGCCCGACGTACCTACTACCGCCAAAGTCTTTCCCCGTAAACCCTATGCATTTTCGTCACTGGTCTTCCCCTCCTCAGGAATTTTCATCGCTGGTCCCCCCTCCAAGCTCTCCCAGCGTTGGTGTCGATTTTTATTCCTCAGACAATAGGGTCTTCTCCACCACGACGCCGTCCGTCATTCCCACATGCTGCGGCCTCGCTACTCTCACATGACATCCTCCTCGTCATCAAGCGGCTCGACCCGCACGAGTATCTCCTCCAGCAGGCCCTCGAGGAACGTGCCGACGTCCTTGCCCATGCCCACCGGCTCCGCCTTGTCGAAGTGGTCAATCTCCTTGCACACGTGCGCCAGCTTGTACACCAGCTTGCGGATCTTCTCGTGCGACGCCTCGGCCCTCTGCTGCTTCGGCGTCGCCGGCGCCCCGCCGCCGTTGGCACTGGCGGAATTGCTCGCCCGCCCCGGGTACAGCTGCTGCAGGTGGATCTGTCGCCTCTTGAGGCTCTCCTCCAGGGCGGGGAAGATGACGTCGTTCAGCGCGTCGAGCTCGCCGTTCGGGTTGGCTGGCGCGGGCGGGGGGAAGGCCAGTGGGGTGGGTGTCTGGGGCTCGGGTGTGAAGGACTGGGTCGACGAGGGTGTGCCGCGGCTACCCTCCTTGGAGGCCAGCGGGTTGATATTCTGGGTCTGGATGGCTCGGGGGGCTTGTGGGTGTTGGTTGAAATAATTCGGCGTGAGCGGCTGCGGTGCCTGCATGACAGATGGTGAGTACTGTCTTGCCGCCTGTGGCTGGACTGGTAGCGGGTGTTGTTGGTTCGTAGTCCGGATGAGCGGCGACTGTGGTGTTGTTGAGTACTGCTGCTCGTTTGCTCGGAACGGTGGGATCTCGGGCAAGGTCAACGGGCCCAGCTTGGATGGCTGTCGTTGGATCTGGTGGTGCTGCATTGCTGAAGGAGGCATCATGCGCGGCCCGGAGACACGCCGTTCTGCGTTGATAGCCGCGCCCAGATTCAAGTGACCCATGTCCCGCTGGAGCTGCTCGTGTAATGACCTCTCATGTTCTGGAGACGAGTCGACAGGAGTGGGGAGGGGCTTCATCTGCGAGGCTCTAGGGGTCGCGTGGCCTTGGTCCTGTGGTCTCGTGCTGGGTTTCGCAGGCGATGGGGGCAAGGGCACCTTGGCGGGCGACGGCGGTGGCCCAGAAGTCGAGCCGACGGGCTTGCGCTGTGGTGATACCTGCCGTGCAGTGCCGGATGTCGACCCGCCCGTCCTGAATGTCTCTCGCTCCCTCTCCAACAAGGCCTTCGTGGGTGTCGTCTCCTTTCTTGAATCCCCATATTCACTCTCAAGTGGCCTTGAAGACCGTGCATTCGTAGCCGACTCGCCCATCGCATTCAAGCCCGGATTCCGTACAATCCCACCCTGGTTGCCGACCAGTCGTACTGTGCCAAAGTCCCACATGTCCTCGTTCACCGGCTCTCGATACGCAGGCTCGCCGACGTCGTCATAGGCGTCATCATCGTCCGCACTCTTGTGGGTGGCAGACCATCGAGTGTGCCTTTCGATCAACTCGGTCAGGTAGCTCGTCTTCTTGGCTTTCCTGACGAACGGGTGCTTCAAGAGGTCCTTTGCCGTCGGCCTGTCCTTGGGGTCCCTCTGTAAGCAGCAGGCAACAAAGTCCTGGAACGCCTTGCTGAAGGTGTCCTTGTCCAGCCTCGGGGGCGCGTTCTTGGGGATGAGGAAGAGGACCTTCATCGGGTGGATGTCCGCGTAGGGTGGTTCTCCGTTGGCAAGCTCGAGAGCAGTGATCCCCAGTGACCAAACGTCCGCCCTGTGGTCGTAGCCCGACTGCTTAATGACCTCGGGTGCCATCCAAAAGGGTGTGCCGACAAAGGTGTTCTTCTTGGTCATGGTCGCCGAGAGCTGGCCGGACACTCCAAAATCCGCAAGCTTGACCTGGCCATTGGAGCCCAGGAGCACGTTGGCGGCTGTGAATGGGTCAGCTTTTCTATCCACGGGGCAATTGCACGTCGTTGCTACGCCAGGAACAGCAGGATATCGACATACCCTTCACATCCCGGTGCAGCTTCTTGTCCGAGTGCAAATAGTCCAGCCCCAGCAGCAGTTCCCTGACGATGATGGCGATATATTCCTCCTCGATCTTGCCCGGCTTCATGAGGTCGGCACAACTGCCGCCGGAGCAGAACTCCATGACGATCCATAGCTCGGCCCCCTTGGCATAGGAACCGTAGTATTTCGTGACGTAGGGGGACTGCAGTTCGGACAGGATGGCGATCTCTTGTATGATGTCTTCGACCTCGTCCTCGGCGCTTTCAATATCGATAATCTTGATAGCTACTGCCTGGCCGGTTCGCTTGTCGACACTGACAGGAGGGAGGGAGCAATGTTAGCCAAGACCGCATGCAGGGCAACGAGTGAGAACATGGCGGGTGGGGGGGGGGGGATGCGAGCGAGGCAAGAATGGCGGCGCAGGAGGGAGCGTACCCTTTGAAGACCTTGCCAAAGCTGCCACCACCTACACAGTCAAGTCAATTCAGATGTTCACAGAGGTCCAATTGCTGTTCTCCCTCCCTGGGGGCGGGCGTGAAGCATGTGACGAACCAATGCAGTACTCCTTGGTATAGAGGGTCTCGGGGTCTGGAGACCCATTGGCGTTGTCGTCCCAGTCCCTCTCCCGGCCGGCCATGTTGCCCTCTGACTGTGAGTTCTTTTCTTCTTGTCAAGAAAGAGGAAGAGGGCGAGTCAATCGGGTCCCCCAAGAACCGGCGGCTCGCAAGGAAAAGGACCAGCACAAGTGGTGAGCAGTGTCCCTGCTGCTGCTGGCGGCTCGGTAGGTAGGTACCCAGGTCGGGAGGGTGGGGATCGATCGTCCAGTCGCGGCTGGGAGTGGATACCTCTCTGCCTGGTGCTGTGGTCGTCGAGGGATCGGGGGGAGGGGCTTATCGAGGGGCCGAGGAGCTGTGGTGGGTTTCGCGTCGGCGTGTTGGGCCCCAAAACCAGCGGGCTGGCCAGTGAAGCTGCAGCTCTGGCACAGCTATGCTGCGTGCGTGCCTGCAGCTGCTGTTGTTTCCGTGGAGACGAGGCGAGGCGAGACGAGACGAGAGACCCAGGAAGACGGGCAACAGGTCCAAGGCGAAACGAGTCGAGACGAGCTGCAAGTTCCCCACCGGGGAGGGGAAAGTTACCGTGCACGTTCTGCGCGTAGACGTCAGGGCCGCGGGATTTGCCGCGGATTGTGGAGTGTGCACGAGACACCAGTGATGGTTTTGGGACGACAAAGTCTCCAGCCGAAATGTTAATAAATGCCCCAGGTTGTCTGGGGAAAGGACCGTGGGAACGAGCGTCACAATCGCCCGGGGATGGCTTCCGCAGCAGGGCAGATCGCGGTTTCCAGGGATTCTCTAGCGATGCACAGTACACAAGCTCTCTGTTTTTTTCTTCTTCTCTTCTTCTTCTTAGGCTCTGCTTGGTGGTAGATGATTGATTGATTGCAGTTGCTGCTGCTGGAGAGACAGGCAGGGAAGGAAAGCTCCGAGACAAATGAAAACTAACGACCGAGGGGAACTAAGCGCAGAGACGGAGGGGTGTGATGGTGGAAATGAAATGAAATGGAAATGCACGAGAGCAACAGTACGAGAACCAAGTAATAAGAATAAGTGAGCGAACGCAAGGGGAGGGAAGGGCGACACGTCCACTCGCAGTTGCACTTCAGCTCAGCTCAGCTCAGTGCACACGAGCGTGCATTGAACAACAGCAGTGAACAACAACAGTGAACAGTCAACGGGCATGACGATCAGCTTGTGATCGCAACGAGGAGCAGCAGCTGAAGTGGGCACTGGCAGGGGTGGGTTCCAACCAACAACGTTGCGATGCCACGCCTGCACGCCTGCCTTTTTACCACAGAAGAACTACCCCACGTTTCTCTCTCTCTGTCTCGCTCTCAGAAGAGTCAGAGTGCCTGAGTGCGTTGTCCACCCCCCCCCCCCGCTGTCTGTGAAAAACGAGAGTTGCCCCCCCCCTTGTTTTATTACCCCTGTCTACCCCGCTGCACCTGAAAAGCGCTCCCTTCGCGCGCGCGCCTACGCTGCGTCTACACCGCTTCTTCGTCCTCCAATTCCTCCCCCTCAGCAATTATCTCCATAGCATTTGCAATCCGCTCAAACGCACTCACAGCACGCCTTATAAGTACTAGGTATTCATCCCCTCCAATGAAGACCTCTGGAGCTGGGTTTAAAGGCTAACGAAGGAGTCGTTATATGGCCTTAATTGCTTCTATGGCTTCTGGTTTGTTGTTTTCGCAAAGGCGAATTGCTTCCTAAAGGGGCTCAATTGCGGCAAAGGGAAGAGCTTTACACTTGCAGTTCCCATGCGCACAAGCAGAGCAACGTCCTCCAGCCCCTTTCTGGTCGTAACAACGGTGAGAATGGTCGCGAAAAAGGCGTGAAATACAAGCAGTACACCAAGTACGAAGAGGGCGTGAGAACGCTACGCGGGCGCGTTTGTTAGGGGGGCTGGCCATTTTAAGAGTTTTAAAGGACGAAGAAGCGATAAAGACGCTGCGTGGGCGCGCGCGCGAAGGGAGCGCTTTTCAGGTGCAGCGGGGTAGACAGGGGTAATAAAACAAGGGGGGGGGTAACTCTCGTTTTTCACAGACAGCGGAACCCAAACACAACATCCCCATCCCAGCCCAACCCAACCCCCCTCCCACCTGCACTATCATTGGCCAGGGGTACTCGTGCCTGGATTGCCAACAGGACGGCGCCGCCTCTAGTGGCAGAGTGGGAAATTCGCAACAGCAATGCGGCTAACAATGCTGGGAGACCCTAACAACTGGTGGGGGGTTGGGGGGGGGGTAGGGGTCTCAGCCTGCCGCCGTCCTGGACGGATCCATTGGCTGCCGCCATCCCAGCATGAGATGGGGGGGAGATTTCACATGATTTCACACACGAGAAGCACACCACTCACTCACACTAACTTTTGTGCTGTGCCAGCTTCGTATCATGATGTCAGTCCGTTATTTTGAATCATTTCCATCTCTGACTGAAGAGCGACGGGTCGATGGGCATCTAATCCCACCCCCCTCTCACTCGGGCGCAATGCTAAATAAAGGTCATATCTCTATGCTGATGGAGGCCGGCCGGGTCCTCTGGTTCAAACCTCCTCGCAAAAGTTCGTGTGTTGTCTACCTGAACCCGATTTCCCAACATCCATCCCTGACCGTGACGCCTTTCAAAAGATGAATAATAAAAATGATCGCGAGACTCATGGGCCATGGGCCTTGGGCCCGCCGTAATCTTGGGCACAACAGCCTCATGACAACCAGCAGCCGCGATCTGATTTGTGACCAGTGACCTGTGCTCTGTCCCGAGCGACCTGTGCCGCCTGCCTCTTAATTCGAAATCAGAGGATCCTCCCACCTGCCAACTGGCATGTTGCCTACCCACTCACCCACCCAGGAGGATGTGACACGGCTCAGGCCTCAATGTATTCAATCATCACCGTGGCCTGCTTGAGGCCGGCCTGCTCGATGGTCTGGTCCAACAGCTCGATCAGGTCCTTGCCCTCGGGCACCGTCTTGAGCTCAAACTCCCACCCTGCCTTGTCTGCCGTGATCGGCTCCGACTTGAGCCACTCGTAGATTCGCCGGATGGGCTCCGCCGTGTTGAACCGCCGGATCACTCGCCCCTCGGGATGGCGGAATTGGATTCTCGTGACCGTGGGGCCGTTGGCAGGCTCAGAATGGGGCCTGTCGGAGCCGATAGAGGCGAACAAGGACGACGAGGCCGATTCTGGCTCCGGTTCCTGCGCCTCGGCCTGCGGGGTTCCCCCCATGATCTCGTCCGCGCCGGACGTTGCAACGGCCTTACCCTTGCCCTTCTCCAGCTCCACGGACTTTGTCAGGTCGTCTGGGTCCTGCACCGCATTCAGATTGCTAGAGCTTCCATTCCCACAGTTCGTGTCCAGGCTGTTCCTCAACGCCATCTCTAGCATCTCCTCCTCCGTCATCCGGTTCACGTCAACAGGCGCCTGGGCCCGCTTCTGCTTCGACACGGGGTTTTTGCGATTCTGTTCCAGCGAGTACCTGTCGAGGAACTCCACGAGGTCCGCATGGAATGCCTGGGCGCTGGGGAATGGGATGCCTGTCCAGACCTTGACCTGCTCTCCCGTCCGGGGGTCAATGATCGACACGTGTGGGAAGTTGTCCTTGTTCTCCTGCGCGTGTGGGGGGAAGTAGAAGGTGTTGTATTCGTTGGCGCGGGGGTCGTCCTTAGCGTATTGGAGGAAGATGAAGTTCTCCTTCACGAGGGCCACGATGGCCGCATCTTTCCAGATGTCTCGGTTCAACGCCTGACAGTTGAAGTCGTTCATGTCCTGCACATTCACCAGGATCCACTTCTTGTCCTCTTTGCCTATGTCTCTGGCCTCGTCCCAGGCAATGTTTTCCATCAGCTCGTACGGCGGGCGGAACAGGTCCGCAAGACGTTGTGCTCGGCTCTGCTCCCCGCTGGAGCCGCCTGCCGCGGAGGCAAATGACATTGGCGGCGGCGGCGGGTTGTCTGAATCCTCCCAGATCGACTGGCCGAATGGGTTACCAGCGGCTGTTTGGTTAGAAGTTAGCCTGCGGTTCCTCAACAGCTGAGCAAGAATGCCGCAGTGAACTCACGTCGAGGCCTCGTGTGTCTACGGAGTTGCTCTAGCCCGCCAAACCCATCATCGTCGATCGGTGCGCCATACCCACTAGGCGCAACCAGCGTTTCCGTCGTCCTGGCAATAGGAGCTCGCACGTCATCTGCACCACGAGCGCCGCCACCCCCGTACATCTCTTCCTGCAAGCGTCGGGCCATGGCGGCGTCGTCGCTCTCCTGCGCAATACGCTGGAGGTGAGAGTGGTCTACTTCTTCTGAATCGTCGTCGTCAATCTGAATGGGCTCGTCATCGTCGTCATCGTCACTTATGTGAATGACGCCTCGCTCGTCCTGTCGGCCTAGGTTCCGACTCGAAGATGTGCCTTGTGCTCGGGATGCCGGCGCAGTCGAGGAGGACGCAGGCGCGGCGGCCGGGGCTTGGGCAGTGAAGGAGCTCGCGATCTCTGGGTTCTCGAAATACAGGTTGACGGCGGCCATCACGTCGTTGTCGGTCATGCCCAGGCAGCCAGCGGCGACGGTGTCGTTGGCGCCCGTAATGGACATGAACTGGGCGACTGTGTCGTCAGCCATCTTGACAGTTTGCAGCGTGAGTTGTGTGCTTCGCTCTTCTCGTCGAGGGTTCGTTTGCGGGCAAGTCGGAAGGGTACGAAGATGTTCGTTCGTTCTCGAAGCGGTCAAGCTGACGGAAGAACCGGCGAGCAGGTCGAGTGGATGGACCAACAGCTTGAGGATCGTGTGGACAGTGGGAGAGGGGAGTGAGGGAAGGGTAAAGGCCAGGTCCAAAAGTCGATCGCTTGGGCTGGCTTTGGGCCTGGTCCTCTGGTCGGGTTCCGTCCGGCCACACGAAGCTCGGCCCCTGTTTGATCGAGCTTTTGGTGGGGTTCCAGACGCGGGCGAAATGCAGCTGCGGGTGGGGTGGGTGGCGTCAATAGAGCTTCAAATCACTGGAGGTCGACTGCATATGCTCTCCGACGTATCTCTGGCATCTGCAGTGTTCACTTGCAGAGACTGGCTAGGTATGTGGGGAGGAATGGAAGATGTGACGGTCGGTGTTGAAGTTGAAGTTGCTTCAGAAGCTCCGATCCGCTCAGAGCAGGCGGCCAGGGGATGGCGTCACGGGAAGATACCTGGGTACATTAGTACATGACGAGTTAGGTACATAGGTACCTCCGCGCTGCCACCCCTGCCATTGGATGGATTACCAAGACGGTACCTTACCTAGGTATCTATCGACGGTCTCGTCCTCAACCCCGTCATTCGCAATAACCAGCACAAGAGTTTACAGGCCCTCAATACACGTGCACGCCTCTCTAGTAACCTTACAAAGCAGCGGTTGAATATAGAGCTTACCTTCAGATCATTTCAGTGACGAAAGAGTGGCTAACTTCCCAAGGCGGAACACACGCGTCGACCACTGTGACGTTGCTATCCGGGACCAAGTATCTTCTCCTCTTCTTCACTCCACCTCTCGCGTCACAGCGTCATCGTCAGGAAGTAGCGAGCCCAGAGCAGGTCTAAGGTGCAGCGCCTCTGCCGCACTGCTGTGCCGTTTCTCATCAGCACTTGAGTCACGTCGCTATCCGTCGTTGCAGAGCCGGGCCGAGATTCTGCCGCTTCGAACATCTTCTCATCGCTGAGATGCTGCAGTCCAGCCTGGAGATAGTAGAGCAAGCTCTGCTTCTTCTGACTTGAGTAACGAGGATACGTCTGCCAATGAACGGTTGCAAGAGGGCCACCAGGTCCTCGCGGCCTTGGGCCTCAGCATGAGATAGGTCTTCTGGTGTGGCGATCACCGGGAACCTACTTTCAAGTAGATAGCTGACTGCCTCCGGGGATGGACTGCTGACACAGGCGTTGAGTATCTTTTCCCTGTCCGCTGAGTTGAAAATGCTGGTACGAGTCCTGGATAATACATGTGGTTGAAGAAGAGACTTAATAACATCCAGGCTACCACGACCACAAGCAGCAGCGATACAAAGAGGAAGCTTCCGTGTGGCTTGATCTGTGCTCAACTCTGGTTGGCATAGGAGAAGATCGACAATTTCCAGATGCCCGCCAACGAGCGCAGTGCTGACGCAGCTTGTCGCGGTGCCCACAGCGCACGGAATCTTACCAAGTGGTTTCGGGTCTCCATATAGTATTCTCTTGCAGATTCCGAGTTGGCCATGCTCTGCTGCTAGTGAAATGGCTGTCGTAGATCGCAGGTCCTCGAGTTCTGGCCGAGAGTGCAGGAGAATCCAGGCTGACGCCGCATCGCCCCCAGTAACAGCCCAATGTTAAAAGCAGCTTGGATCTCTCGACAATATAGAAGCCTCTCTGCGCAGGTGAGCAACCCAGGATTTTTTCAGCGGCCTCAGGCTGAGCTGGTGGCAATTCCTGGGATTTTCGCACAGCAGCCCGTTCATATCTACCCTAGGGTAGCCTCCCAGCCTTTTAGCAACTTTACTTACCTGTCTGGTTTCGCTTCTAATCCGCATACGTCCGGGGACATACATGGCGCCTTCACACGGTGGTAAACAATCAAGGCCCAGCATTTAAAGAAAGGACACAACGATACCAATTGCCCGCATTGGTGTGGAACCCACACTGTGGACCTAGAGCTTAAGAAACCCTCAAATGTGCTAAATTCTGCTACTGCTTAGCCCTTTTCCCCGCTCATGATTACATAGCCCGTAATGGCACGGCAAGTTTTGGAAATAAACACGAGACTTGAGTAAGTCTGGGACTGGTCAGCTGAGTGAGATCATAGGTCCCATAAAGATGTGAATGTAAATGGCGGCAGGCACCGTGAGGTGACCAGTAGAGACCGAAGGTGTCGCGGCTGAGTAGCAGCGTTTATTAGGTCCAATGCCTATTGGGGCATATCGGTATACTAGTCGATTTGAGAACCCTCCATCAATCATTGGAGACCTGACGTGTTCTTCCACCGCGAAGGCTGGTGGTGTGACGCAGTGTGCGTGGCTTTCCCGGCGCGTCTTTGTTGGACTGTGCCCGGAAGAGGATGAGCAAGCAGCAATGAGGTCTTCGATGCAAGCAGAGCTGCTGTTTTGTGCTGCCCAAGTATTGGCAAAAACCTGATCCTGAATGCTACTAGGATCAATCATGCTGATTCATTATCTCCCCGTATGGCCGCTACATTGAACTCATGGGGCCGTAGACCAGCAACTAGATTTATCATCTTGGCATTCGCAGCCTGCTGATCAATTCATACCATTTTACATGCTCTCTGGCCTTACTGTTCCGAAAGTCTTGCTTCAAATCAGGCCCATGGACAAGACACAGTCTTTCAACAAGCTAACTCGGGAGTCAATGTTCCAAGGTTAGCACCCGGGGCAGACTGGGCAAGTACTAGTAGGACAAGCCAGCGCTGGCATGCTGTGAAGATATCAGCCAAGCCTTCAGGGAGGGAAATAAGCGCAGAACGCGGAGTATTTACTAGACATTTCCTTGGGGCCTTCATCCAAAGAAGCCCCCGCCAAGTAGTGGCCGTAGATAAAGCAGGCGAGCCCACGGGGGACAGCAACGGGTTCAGAGTTCCCCACACGCCCAGATAAGTGAGACTTACGATTTAATCCTTCATAGTATTCTACCCCGGATTACCCCCGGATTGAAAACTCGGGGGGTCGGGGGCCCTGGGAGCTCATTGGCCACAAGAATCGTGCCCATAACAGAACGGTGAGCAATCGGGACAAGCCATGCCCCAAAAAGAACCGTGAGCAAAAGAGTCTTGTAAAAAGAATAAAAAATAAGGCGCCGCGGGGAGCCACGGAACTAGGATTGGGCTGTGACCGGACATGACATTTTATCGGCTCGCGGACCGTCTGACTTGGGGAGGGCGTGGGGGCTGTTCCAGGGTTGTTGAACCGATCAGCCCTGCGGAGGTGAAACTGGGAATGCTCCCACGCCTCTGAACTGGTACGTTGTGTTGCATGCCACCGATGTGATTCAGAAACACATGGCCTGCTAGGATGGTCCGCCAGCAGACGACGAGTGTGCTCTTAAGCGAGGCGTGAGGCTCCCTGGCATTGAACGGCAACCAAGAGTCGGTCCCGACGCTCGCCGGAACCATGCAGGTATCTTGGCCTTACTAATATTGCTGTTGTCCTGTACTATACCCTTGCAGGCTTTTGAGCCCAAATAGCGTGCTACCTTTGAAACTGTAGTTCTTGCTGTTCGTTAATGCTCATCAGTCCAAAAACTGATTCATCAACTTGGGCGGGCGTCACAGTCACACAAGGTGAGCGTAAATCTCTGCTGATGCTCACCGACACTGCCAAGTATTTTTAGGACTGTAGAATACGCTTGTACGCCCATCAGGCCTGCGGTATCAAGCACACAACAGCCGTCTGTCTGGGTCTGGGAAAGAGACCGTCGCGCCACCAATTTGACAAAGTCTACAGGTCCCCATGACGACAACCTCTGTCGGCCGAAACCTGCCCTCTCTTCGAGGTGTCACCTGGGGCTATTGAGTAGTAGCTCCCCTCTAAAAAAGTACAATTCTAGTGATGGATCACCGGCAAAGTGTCATGCGAGCAGCCCTACCAGCTTTGAACAACCATGACCATGATCACCTCGTACGTAAATATTCCTTCATTCTGACCACCACACTTGAATAGCAACAAGAGCCCATCACACCGAGCACAGAACCCGTCACACTTACTCTGTATGCTTACAGAGCGCGCAACTTGTTCAAAATCAGCATGCGCACTTTGTGGCGTTTACTTGCGAGTATCTCCAAGTCCTCGTAAGACGTCAAGGGTTCCGGGCGCATTCCTGTTGGTGGAGATCCTGGTGATCCTAGTAGATAGAACCATACACCGGACCAACTATACCGTCCTGCGACACGCGGCGGCCAAGACCTGTAGACAGCTAGAGAATGACTGTGTACGCACCTCCGCTGGGTTGAAGCCTCGTCACGGGGCGCAGACTGAATAGCGGCCATCGCAGTGGCAATGAGAGTAGTTTCTTAGGTAAGACTTAGTGTAGATGGGGGCGTGTTGACACCAGGGAGCTGAGTACTTCTCCATGAGCTGGGTATAAAAAGGGGCTTCTATCCTGTCTTGAGAGACTCCATGTCTACTCTACTCCATCATCCTCATCCCTATCAGATCGATACCACCTCGCAGCTTCACCACAGAATCTCTCTTCTCAAGCCAATAGTTATAAAATGCAGCTCACCTCCACCCTCGCCTCCCTGCTCCTCGCCGCGGTCACCACCGGTGTCCAGGCCCTCCCCGGCTCCCCCGTCGAGGAGCGCCAAGCGGTCGGGACGATACACGTCAGGTATTGGAGTGACAACGGCTGTGGCGCGACACCAGGTAGTGTTGTGGTTGGGGAAGACATCTGGGTCCAGGATCCCGTCGGCAGGTGCATCGACATCAACGTCGGGCGAGACTTTGGCTCCACGCAGATTGTCACCAACCTCGCGACTCACACTGGTATGATACTTTTTCTCCCAACTCTGGCCTCCTGACAACCCTGAGAAAGACTGCCTTGCTGACCTGCTGCTTCCCGTAGCCCGCGCATACCGCCTGGACAACTGCGCCGAGACCGGTCCGAACGCCAACTATTTCGATGTCATTAATGCACCGAATCAGCCTCGCTGCTTCCATCAGCAGGATGTCGAGTCGGTGAAGTTTCTTTGAAATCCAAGTGAAGGGCCAAAGACAGAGGGAGAATGGAATATGATGACGCCTTAGGGGCATTTGTTTTCTTCAGTTATCTCTTGTCGTGTTCCTGTCTCATTCAAGACGCTCCTTATTATTATCCACAAAGTCTAAAAACAATCCAACCCCGGGGATTTGAATTTGCGACGTCACGTATCAGCGTGCATATCGATTCTCGTCAAATTTGATGCAACATTGAAAATTCAAGCTACATCTAAAGCACTAACCCTACCTAGGTAGCCATTCACAGGCTGCTTACAGTAGATTGTTAAGGTACTTACTTAGTCTTGGCCAGACAAGCAGAGAGCACGTTCAGCATATGCCCACAGCCTTGGTAGACAGACGAGGATGAGGTCCGCCCACCATGTCTTGCCTTGCCCACAGGCTCATCCTGGAATAGCGAAACAGGGCATCCAGTGTAGCTGCTGCGAGCACTGGACCCCCTCCTCCTTGTCAAGCTCCTTCGTCTCGGCCTCAAGCTACTTCTTCCAAATCTCCGGTGAGGCGACGGCCTGCAGAACAGCCTCCCAGAAAACAGAACCTCTTGCGGGGGATCTTCCATAAAGTATCGTCCTACAAAGTAAATCCTTGCACGCTGGTTCTTTGAGGGCGTTTAATCACCACCGCTTAAATGAACCGCACGCCTTCGAGATGGGATTTTTACGGAATAGAAACGAAACCCAGTCAAGAACAAAACCACGCGACCCCTTACAAGAAAGCCAGAGACTGCAAGCCCCTCGTTTAAAATGCAAGTACGGTCAAACATTATCCGACAATTGAAGGGCCGTTTCCACTTCTATCTAAATACACCGCAAAGACAAAAAAAAGAAACTCTATGCCCCCCATCAAAGCTCAGCCAACGCCTCGTCCATAACCCTCCTGACATCAACACTCCTCTCCGCCGCGCGAGCCTCGGTAATAACCCCCCTCATAGCCCCAACAACCCCCCCAGGGCCATCCTCCGCAGCAGCCAAGCCCCTCCCAAACACCCCCTTCTTCACAGCCCGGACAAGCGCAAGGACAGCCTCCGCCCGCGCGACCCGCTGCGTCTCGACCCCAAGGTCAGGCTCGTCGACGTCAAGGCTGTCAAAGCACCGCCTGGCAACATCACCACCATCCCCTGCCTCCTCCTCCTCCTCCCTCCCCGAGGCCACATCCCCATCCCCATCCCCACCAGCAGCATCCCTCATCATGTCCCCAGCGGCCTTGTACCACACCTCCCTCCGCACGGACCCAAACCGGCCCCCGGGGGCATCAAAGAACGGCCCCAGGACGTCCAGGACCCGCCCACACACAAACACAGGCCGCCGCCGCAGCAGGGGGCGGCCGTACCCCCGCGCGACGACCTCCACGGCCCGCAGCACGGTCGCGTACGCGAGCGCCTCCCTCTCCCGCGCCGCCGCAGTCCCACCCTTCCCATCCCCACCGTCAACATCCATCCGCTCCCCCTTGCCGTCGTCGTCACCGGCAAGATACCCCTCCAGAAACGGCCGCACGACGCCGACCGCCTCCTCCCACAGCACCATCTCCCCGCCGCCGTCCTGCCCCGCCGCCGACGACACCGCCGCGCAGCACCGCCACAGGCACCGGAACGCGTGCACGCGGTACGCATCATTGTTGCGCCGCGCCTCGCGCAGCACGACCTTGCGCAGCTGCGCCGCCACCCCCGCGTCCCCCTCCCAGAAGGCGCGCCCCTTGGTCGCGAGGTCCGCCAGCGCCTCGAGGAGCTTCTCTTTCCCCGCGAACGTCTTGAGCGCCAGGGCGCGGTCGAACGCCGGCCAGAGCCTGGCGAGCTGCGGCACGCCGGCCGTGCTGGTGCTGGGCGGCGGCGGCGAGGAAGAAGCAGAAGGGCCCGCGGGCAGGTGGTCCCCCGCGACGGCAGCCACGGCGCTCACGGCGCTCGCGACCGCCAGCGCGCCGCCGTGCTTGAGGCTCCACTGCGGCGTGTCCAGCGCGCGCGCCACGAGCGCCTCGACCTCGGGCACGAACCGCGTCGCCGTGCGGCTGCTGCCCGCGTGCGTGTCCCACACCTCCCGGAACGCCTTGGCCACGTACTCGTCCAGGTCGTGCATCCCCAGGTAGCTGAAGGGGAGCAGGCTGCCCTCGAGCGCGTTGAAGTGGTCCGGGCTGATCTTGGACAGCGAGAGCACCACGTCCGCCACCTTTTGCCGCCGCGCCTCGTCCTCGGCGCCAAAGTAGAGCGCCTCGAACTTGGAGATGAAGCGCTCTCTCGCCTGCGGCGGGGCGTGCCGCATGATGTACGCTGCTGCCTTGGCGTACCCTTGGCTGACCTCGTCGTTGCGGTCGAGGCACTGCTTCTCCAGCAGCCGTAGGAAGCGATCTGCATATGGCCGGAAGTCATTTGTGTGTCGGGTCGCCAGTGTTCCCAGGAGCCTCGCACATCCGACCTTGGTAGGCATGCCCAGAGCGGTCTTGATCGTTTCTTCGAGGCCTGAAGCGAGGTCGGGCATGACGCTCTCGTCAACATTGCGCAGGCAGTTCTCGATGGCCTGGGAAATCGGGCTCTGGTTGACCATCTGACTGCGGATCTTGTCGATCTTCTCGCGGTCGTCCTCACCGAAGCGCTGATAGTAGTAGTTGATTGCGTCTGGCTCGATAGTACTCAGCAGTCCCAGCAAGTGCGTCACAATGGTCGCAATATACGGCTTCAATGAAGCGCCACCGGTCTTGGTGACCTTGATGACAGTGTCAATAGCGAAACCCTTGACCTCGTTCACGTTACTCTCGATTCCCTTGTCAGATAGCAGGAAAGGGAGCGTGGAACTCATCATGTCCCTGGCAGAAGCCTTCGCACCGCCCTCCTCAAGCTGCCGAGTCAGAGTGTTTGCCATGCCCATACACAGCTTCAGCGCCTCGTTGCGAACGGTGGCTTTCACGTCATCAAGCACCTTGAGAGCCTTGGTCCAGATCTCGCCGTAGTATTTCTCATACTTCTGGAATGGTCGGCCGCTGATAAGATCAGCTATGGCGGAGCAACTGGCCTGCCGGACCCTCCACTCCTTGCCGTGGATGCTCTTGAGCAAGTCGTTGATAATAGCGTCAAAGTGCTCCTCGATGACGGCGTTCGAATCCTTGACCAGCGCCTTCCAGATATCGTTCATGGACCGCTGCACGTTCGTGTTCGGGTCGAACCTGTAACGGAAGAGCTTGGGGTAAAGCTTCGGGTCGACCTCGGATTCGGAGAGGATGTTGCTCAGCCCGAACCGCCCGAATGCCGAGCGGGTCGACCACGTTGCTGCGTTGGACGCGAGCGACATGAACTTATAGACAAGACTCTGGTCACCGACTTCATTGGCCAGGTTCATGATGTCCCTGTACGAAGTGACAGATTTGCCCTCGCCCGTAGGCAGTGCGCCGGCCTCGAACAGCTCGGTATCCTCCTCCACCTTGAGCTGCGTGCCAGTCCCCGTGAAGGCGCCGACGAGATCCTTGACGAGGCTCTCCTTGAGTGAAGGATCGCCCTTTTCATAGACCAAAGACAAACCTCTTGACGCGGTCTCCTGAACGAGCTCGTCGCGGGCGCTAAGCAGGCGCATGAACGCGACCTGACACTCGCGCAGGCGGGCCTGGATCTCGGGAAGGTGGGAGCAGTGCTGAATGATGGAAAACAGCCAGATGCCTGAGGCTTTCAGCAGAGATGGCTTGGTGGCTTTGCAATCATTGAGGATCTTGTCCAGCACCTCCTTAACCTTATCTGCTCGCTTCTCAACCCGGTAATTGTCGGTCTTTGACTCCACATCCACAGCGAGTTGAACGATATCTGAGTCCCAGCGCGCAATAGCAGCTGTGATGGCCTCGCCGATGGCGAAGTGGACCTCGGGTTGTTTGAGCTCGTGAAGCTCGTACAGTTTCGAGAGGACGGTATCGAGCGCGGAATCGCCCTCCTTGAGACCAAGCGCCAGGCGACCGAGGGCGGTGATGGCCCGCTCGTTGCCCTTCTTGCACTGCGGTACCAACACGTCGATGTATGGCGTGACGGAAGATTCCTCGGGCACGACCAAGGCTGTCCACAACTGTGTGAGTGTATCAAATATCACTTCTTGGAAAGACACCTGAGCGCCTCCCAGCTCTGCAACAGGAGGCAGCCACTCCTCTGCCGTAGGTTGCGCCGTGGGTGGTGGGTCGTTCCCTTTGAGGTATTTGTTTCTCAGTTCGTGCAGCAAGGCTTCTCCATCGATGGGGGAATCCTGGTGTCTATCAGCATCCTGTCTGTCTCCTGCGTTCTTTCACTTGAGCGAATCTTACCTCACCATTGCTGTCCGCAGCAAGAATGGGATGTGGGTAATACACCGCCCGAGACCACAAGTGGCCCAGCGCAACAAATGCTCCCTGCGCGGCGTTCATCTCAGCACCAACGGCAGTCCGCCACGATTGAGATTGCTGGCGTAGGACGTGGCTGATGACATTGAACAGCGAGGAGGGCACCGATGGGTGTGCGGCCAGGATGCCAAGAGCCCTTGCGGCCAGACTGCGAACCTCCTTCTTGTTTGAGGTGACCACGGCCAGAAGCCTGGGGATGCCTTCAATGATCAGCGGAGTCAGCTCCGACTTGGGCGCTAGAGATGCAACCTCCACAAAGCTGCGCGCACATTCCTCCGTGGTGGGCTTGTCCTCCTGGATGCCCTCGAGGGCAGCCTCCAAGAAGGATTCCAGGACATGACCGCTTAGGCTTCCCAGGTATTTGCGGATGGACTCCCTCGTCTGTTTGTCAGACTTGATAAGGGTGTCCAGCTGCTGCTCCCAGCCCGGCTCGATGTTGAACTCGTCCTTTAGCGCCGCGAGGAAGAGCATACGCTTGCAGTAGGTAACGGCAGTTGGGAAAGCGCCTGGAGCGAGGTCGACAAAGTTCTGGCTGATTGAAGGCCCATATGACATCATGGCAGAAGCGCCATATCCAATCGAGTCCTTGAAGAAGGTCTGGACCAGCTGCTGCCAGTCTGGAAGATCCCCCGTGACCGTCGCATCGTTGACCCTGTATGTCCAGGGGTCCAGGCCCTTGCGGCCCTCCTCGATGACTTCCATCCTTTCCTCGGTGCGTCCGTTGATAGCCAGGATATCAACCCATCTCGCTATGGGGTCTGAGAAGGCGAGGCACTGGTTTGCCCATTTTGTGGCTGCATGCCGTACACTCCTGACCGAGTCCCCGCCGTCGGCAAGTGTCATATATGTCAGGATTATAGTCCGTAACCTATCGACCTCTCCACCGCTGGGTTTGAAAACGGAGGTCATGACAGACAGAGCGCCTTCGATTGTGACGACAACCTCGGGTGTCGGATCCTCGGAGAGCGAGCGGAACAGCCAGGCGACCAGTTCAAGCAGGCTGGCCTGCTCCATAGACGAGCCCCTTGCCAGTACCCCAATGGTCTCATATGCCCTCGCTCGCAAGTTCCTGTCGTCAAGCGGGTCCAAGGACCGCCTCTCTTGGCTGGGCTTGGGCCACCCTTGCTCCTCTGTGATGAAACCTCGCAGTAACTCGATCAACGTGGGGCCGATGTCGAATTTGCCTTTGCCCGGGCCGATGCGCGCAACCCAGTTGATGTACTCGAAGAGGGCCTTGTGCAGCTTGGTCAGCTGCAGCCCATCCACAGCCTCGTCCGTGGGCTTGATGTCCCTGCGCACGACATTGAGGATGTCGCGGGTGAAGGTGGTCGACAGTGCCGACTTTGACAGCAGGCCGAGGATGCGGATTCGATACGTAGGCGGCAGCCGAGAGTGCGACTCGAAGAGTAACCTCGCCCTCCCTTCGTCCTCCAGCGACACCTGGTTCCTCATCAACATGGCGTTGCCGACCGAGTTGATGCGGTAGTCGTTGCTGGCGGCAGCATACAGGGCGGGCATGAAGCGCTCCTCGTCTGTGAAGGCACCGCTCTCGAGCAGCCTGGCAGCCTTGATCATGGTGCCGGGCCAGTCCGCCACCAGCGTCCCCTCTGGCTTGGGCTCGTCGGGCTTGGCCAGGGTGAGGAAGGCCATGTCCTCGTCGGTCAGGCCTGGGGGCTTCTTGTGCGGGCTGGGAGTCAGCAGGAGCTTGCCCAGCCATGTCGCGACGAACTCGGCGTCCTTGCCGTCCGTCAGGCCGACCTGTTGTCGGAACGCCTCATCCTCCTTGCTGCCCCTGGGTGGGATGTTAATGTCCTTGAGGGCGTGCAGGAACATGTTGAACCTGGCTGGGGTGGTGTGTGTTGTTGCATGGATGCCGTTCAAGATGGTGGGCACGAGGTTCCTCCTCTCGTCGGCGCTGATCCTCTCTATGCTGTGCTGGATGAAGGTGATGTCGAGCTGCCTGATGACGGGATTGCTGCTGGCGATGTACTGGTCCAGCAGGGCGGCGACGGGCAGGACGACGTCGGGTGATTTGATGAAGACCTTGAGGCGCTGGCAGATGGTGACGACCTTTGAGCGGACCGAGGCGTGCTCGCTGCCGGCCTTGAGCAGCAGGGCCGGGAGGTAGGGCTTCAGCAGCTGGGTGAGTTTGGGGGCGTCGTTTGCGACGTTGAGGATGCGCAGGTTGACCTTGTCGACGAGCTCGAGCTCCCTCTGCTCGCTTGACGCCATAGTGTTGTTGGTTTATCGGCGTGGTGGCCACGCAAGACAAGACGTATGCAGTCGCTGCGTCCCTGCACACGGCGGGTTGGGTGAAGGTGCAACGAGCGGGCGACTGACTGTGAGCTGGGGGAGCTCGACAGCTCGGCTATGGTACTGTTGCAGCTGCAGTGTGTCCTCCCATGCAGCTCGCACATGTAATAAATATTGCAGGTCACTGGGGTCCGGTGGAAGAGGATTCAATTCAATATATGGATCAAGTCACAGCAGCCTTCGTAATCAGATGGTTTGCCTTGAGTGGCACGTCCCCTGTTGGATGTTCGCCCCCGAGTCGGCCACGAGACGGCCGCGTAGAGTGGTTGTAGGCTGAATCTGCTTACGTCACGGCGGATCTGGTCCAGGTCCCGATCTGCCGTCGAATTTCAACGACCAAGCAGATAGATGCACTCGTTAGGCTGGGTACAATTTCTTGTTGGACTATGGAGAAATTGGACAAATTCTTTTGCAGCCAGGAGGAGGATGTCTACTGCTGTGGCCTTGCACAAGTTGCCAATGAGATGCAACCTAAGGTCTGTCTAACACGGCTCGGTCGGTGGCTTGGCCAGGCACAGAAGCAACAGGCTGGACCACCACCAGTCGCGCTGATCCCGTCCCCAAGAAAGATTCGGCAACAAGTGCAATGCATTGATATATGGACGTCCTAATTTATACACGGTATTCTTATCCTGGAAGGCGCAAAATACCACCCGACGCCCACCATATGCACCGTGTCATTCTACCTCCAAAGAGTCTCCTCGTCTTGTCTCGCCTCGCCCGCAGAATGCCTCGCGGCACCACCATCATCTTCCATCTTCCTCGAGACCCCCACCGCCTTGGCCCCTCCCCCTTCCCCAGTCCTGCTTCTTTTTGCTTTCCAATCTGTCTTTGTTGAGTTTTGGTTGTGGTTGTGGGTGATCATTGCAAAAGATCTCGTATAATAATTAAGGTGTTGTGTAACAACCCCCTTGTAGTGGCATTTGTGAGCAGCACGAGCCAGCCAGCTTACAGGGTCTCCATCTTGTCGAGGATGGCCTTGGTGAACTCCTGCGTCGTGGACTCGCCGCCCATGTCGCGGGTGCGGACCTTGCCGTCGGCGATGACGGCGTAGATGGCCTTGGAGATGCGGTTCGCGTGGTCGTCGAGGCCGAGGTGGCGCAGCAGCATGCTGCCCGACAGGATCAGCGCCGACGGGTTGGCCTGGTCCTTGCCCTGGATGTCGAGGCCGACGTGGCGGCAGCCCGGCTCGAAGACGGCCACGTCGCGGCCCATGTTGCAACCCGGGACGATACCCGGGCCGCCGACCAGCGCGGCGCCGATGTTGGACAGGATGCCGCCGTACAGGTTGGGCATGACCATGACGTCGAACTGCTGGGGCTTGGACACGCACTGCATCGAGGCGTTGTCGACGATCATGTCGTTGGCCTCGATAGTCGGGTACTCGGCGGCGGTGCGCTGGAAGGTGGAGCGGAACAGGCCGTCGGCCAGCTTCATGATGTTGGCCTTGTGGATGCACGTGACCTTCTTGCGGTTGTTGGCCAGGGCGAAGCTGAAGGCGAACTTGGCGATGCGCTCCGACTTGGCCCGCGTGATGATCTTGAGCGACTCGACCACGCCGTTGACCGACTGGTGCTCGAGGCCCGAGTACTCACCCTCGGTGTTCTCGCGGATGATGCACATGTCGACGCCCTTGTGGCGGGTCTCGTAGCCGGGCACGTTCTTGATGAGCGAGATGGAGGCGTAGATGTCGAGCTCCTGGCGCATGGCCACGTTGAAGGACTTGTGGCCGGAGCGCTCGAGCGGGGTGTGCAGGATGCCCTTGAGGCCGAGCTTGTTGCGGCGCAGCGAGGCCACCGACTCCTTGAACATGTCCTCGGCCGACCTGCCGCTCACGCTGTTGTCGAGGCCCGAGGCGTCGATCTGCTCCCACTCGATGGGCACGTTGTCCGCCTTGAAGAGCGTCTTGACGCTCTCTGCCACCTCGGATCCGATACCGTCGCCGGGGATCAGCGTCACCGTGTACTTGCCGCCATACTTGGCAGGCTTGAAGACATCGCTCTGGACCGTCGCGTAGGACCGCGCGGCGACTGAGGGCTGCGCCTGCTTGGAGGCTGCTCGCAGGAGGCTCTGGGTCAAGGAGGCTTGGGGTTAGCAACTGAACGTTCCCGCTTGCCAGCTGGCCACGAGCGCCGAGAGTGCCGTCTAAGCGCACGCACGAGTGGGGCCGCAGAGAAAGGGGAAGCAAGCTCACCTGGGCCGCTCGGGACGAGTTTCTGGAAAGCATCTTGGCTGTGATGGGGAGGGGAGGACGGGGTCGGCAGGAGGCTGGCTGTTGGTGACGTCGTTCAGAGCGCTAATCCAGCACTTGATGGTCACACAAAACGGGAGGCACACAAAGGAAACCGGTCAGGGAGAGGAGAGGGTCGAGTGGGGGTGAAAGTAGAGGCAGGCCTGGATGTAGTAGAGTAGTAGGAAGGAGAGAAGACAGGATTGCAACCTGCAAATGCCGCACAGAGAAAACAAATTGTCGATAGCTGTCGCGCTCGGTGGTGGTCGTCGGCTGGGCTGGCGCAGGGATCCACCAGATTCGGAGCTGCTCGGCTTACTGCCCTGCGCCGCTCGCTCCAGACTCGGCCCAAAGGCTCTGCACCACTTCTTCCGAGCTGCTGGAGAAAACGTTGTTCCCGCCAAGTCCATGGAGCCGCCTTACCCTGCTACCACGTCTCCCTGCAGCCGCCGCCCCTGGCCTGTTAGCAGCCTAGCGATCAGCCATGCGTCTAGAGCCGCATGTGAACCAGCCGTGTCAAGAATGACCTCGTCCTTGCTTTCAGGTGGTAATGTGAGCATGTAAGCATGGCTGCTTGCGTCTGTTTAGACCGACATCTATCTACTTAAATACCGTTTCTCTGCACGATCTTGGACGTTTCAACCGGGACCCTCGTCTTGATCGAATGTCTTCGAGAGATGGAAAGGCTGCACATGACCGCGACCACAACGAAGACCTCAGCACAAGAATTCAAAAGGTGTCAACTGTTTAAGAATGATGATGTGTTTGCGGATTCACATCTGCATACAGACAGTAAAACTGCACTTCCTCACTACTACATTAGTTCTCGGAAACGTGCATTATACCAATGCCAACATGATCTCCATCACCAACACTTACATGTACAGTCATTTACCCCAACCCAAAGCGTGATTAATACCTAAGCACACCTCATCTCGAGGTACCCGCCAGAGCCGCCCCACCAGCTCCCTCCAGCCTTGCCTGCCTCTGGCCTCTTACCTAGGAACCCCCAACGCCCCTGGCTGCCCACCAGATGATAAAAAACACACACGCCATGCATGCTACATACACACATTCTACTCCAGAAGCCCTCGCTCCCCGGGCAACAAACACAAACACAAACACCCAAGTCATCTGTTAGTCGCCAGCCTCTCCACATCAACAAAATAATGGGTTTTACAAGCCCATTCAAAATGTACATACAACCAGCTCGCTCGCTCGCTCGCTCGTTCGTTAGTTCGGTCTACACTCTGCCCCGTGTCCATGGGAGCAAGAAAAGAGAAGAAGGGCGGGAGGGCAGAAACAGAGAAAGACACTAGCTGGCTAGTAGGGAGGTACCGCACACAGTCTACATGACACATGCATACATACACACAACAAGTTAAAAGCGCCTGCGCCATGGTGAATTGGTGGGTGGAGATATAAAAAAACCGGGCCGGACAAGACTGCAGAGATGTCGAGACTGCAAAAACGCTGGGGTGAAGAGAGCTGGCAGCCACCAAAGCAAAGGACAGCAACATATCTGGGTCCAAACCATGCCGGGGAAGAAACGAAGAAGTTCCAGTATACCCAGTCTTTCAGCTTGATCCAAGTGTGCTAAAGACTGGTGATACAGCAGCATAGCTGGGCCTTCTGTGCTTTTTCCCCGGGCGTGGTTCCAGTATAAAGATGGAGGTGGCCTTTGCTTTGGGAGGTGCGCCGTTGTACACAAAACAGAATGCAGGTTCAAGCGCTCGCAATTCAGACTCGTGGGCAGCAAGCATGTGTAGGAAAAAGCAGAACTGATCAATTTTTGAGTCCACCGTCGAAGCTCAACGGAGGTGGAAATCAACGCCACAGAGAGCAGCTACGCCGCCGCACTCCACGCACTACCTGTTTGAATGTGAAGAATAATACAGATCCCCCTAGAATTTTCACCTGCAATGCCAGTCGCCAGGCCCAACCCCTGCCGAAATTGCGGCAAGATCCAAGCCGCATCAGGACAATGCTTCGGAAAGTAGAAAGATGTACGGGCAAGGAGAGTTCTTTTTCGAATTTTTGTTGTGTTTGTTTTTCTTTCCGCCGTCACTGATTAGCTGGAACGCCACGTCGCCAACACCCATATCCTCTACTCCGCCCCAAGTCGTTGAAAATTCGTGGCGTGGTGTTGTTCGTGATCAATCGTGAAGACTTTTCGAACCAGAGGTAATCGTGAGCACTCGTGTCGTCCAGAAGGGTGGGCAGATAACCATGAAAACGATCGTGACCGCAGGGGGTGAAACTGCTTAGAGAGAAGGAATGTCGAGAATGGTTCGAGCATGACCTGAACGGCAGAACACGGGAAGCATCCGGTGCGGTAATTTGCACGAACACAAGGGGGTATCTCGACGCGTGAAGCAGTGGACGACGAAAGCGGACCGCTACAAAAGAAAGGAAACCCGGTACAGGGAGCGTAAACTCCGGATATCATCGTGACTTTTTGTCAGCCGAAACGCCGCACGCCCAACGCCTCTGCGATGCATCAAGGCAATGTCACGGCTGAAGCAGGACGCGATTTACTGCGAGAGGAGGAGTCAGTCTGAAGTTCTGGGCCTGGGGGGAGATGGGGTGGCGGGGCAGAGGGAAGGTTCTCACCGCCATCGGGGGAGGAGGAGGGTTGCCACCACCAAAGTGGTGGGGACCGTAAGGGCCAGGACCACCGTGAGGCGCCATGCCGTAGTGGGGAGGAGGAGGAGCAGGACGGTAAGGAGTACCCACGCCAGAGTTGTTCTGCGAGCGGCCCCAAGAAAGGCGGACGCGAGAGTTCCCAATAGGATATCCCTGCATCTGGTTGATCGCCATCTCAGCGGCGTGACGGTGGACGAACTGGACAAAGCCACAGCCCTTTCCGGGAGGAATCTTGACGTAAGTTATCTCGCCGAATCCCTGGAAGAAGGAGCGAAGCTCATCCTCAGTCACGTAACCTGACAGGCCGCCGACGAACACGGTGGTGTTGTTGGGGTCAGTGAACTGGTTCATGGGAGCTTGGCCCATGCCAGCACCCGGATAACCGCCACCAGCTCCACCGTAGAAGGGGCCAGGCTGAGGCATGCCCCAACCCATGCCGGGCTGCATGGCGTTTGCCATCATCGGGCCGCCGTGGCCGCCGCCGTTGTAGGGGTTCTGGTTTCTACTGGGGGGGTGATATTAGCAGATGATCTCAGTAATCAAGAACAAATCAAGACTTACCGCTGCTTAGGAGTGGCAGTACTAATGCGCATGGGACGGTTGCCGCAGTACACGCCCTGCATCTCGTGCAAAGCTCGCTGCTGGTCGCCCTCGTCGGCAAAGCGAACAAATCCGTAACCACGCGACTGTCCAGTGGTAGCATCGGTCATGATCTTGGCGGACTTGCAAGAGGGGAAGCGGGCCTGGAAGAGAGACACGAGAACAAACTCATTAACCTCAGGGCCAAGGTCTCCAACGAAGATGGAGAACTCGGGGCCACGCTCGTCGCTGTAGAATCGAGTCAGTATATGGGGGCGCGGCAGCAAGAAACCAGGAAGGGTAACGAACCGTCGGTCGACCAGTCCACCGCCAGAAGCCCAGTTCAACTTGAAGTGTCGACCATTGGAGCCAGGAATCGGGGTGCCATTGAGAGTCAAGGCCTTGTTGGCGGACTCGGGGGAGGGGAATTCGACAAAGCAGTAGCCAGCATTACTGACACAGTTTGTTAGTTTTCCATCCAAGTGAGGAGCAGCTCGAAACTTTGGCAAGTGCCAGTTCGAGGAAGGGAGAATGTGAATGAAATCTCAAACGGGTGCAGGTGCCATTCCGGCTCCGACATGGAGAGCTAGGCGGCCATTGTGGTAGAACGTAGGATTGTGGGCAAAGTCACTGCGAACGCCGCTATGTGGGCGACACGGGCAGGAACGAGTCTGGGTAACGCTGGTGAAGAAAGTTAAAGCTTACCCAGTACCACGGTCGCGGATGATCTTGACGTTCACGTTGTCGCCGGTCTGGTTCTGGTAAAGGCTCTTGATGAACTGCTCGTCCATCCAAGAGTCAAGCTCACCCATCCTGGTGAATCGAGTTAGCAACCGTCCTCGACTGTCAATGATCACAGTGACTCACCATAGGGTGCGAGCAGACTCGTTGGCGGCGTTTTGTCCAGCAGGAGCACCCTGCATGGCAGGAGCAGGGGGAAACTGGCCGTCCATGCTGCCACCGTTGATGGGGGTGGAGCCGTCAGGCATTCCGTTGTTGTTCTGGGGGAAAGACATTGCTAAAGCGCGTTTTGTCAGCTTCTGAAGAGAAGGTTGTGGGGAGTATCTGGAAAAGATGACTGTAATTTGAACGGCGAGTGTGCTTGAGCGTGATGAGGCCCGATACGAGAACGATTAGGAAACTGGGAACTGAGGAAGGAGATGTGGAGGAAGGTGGGTATGGTTGGTGTGGGCTAAAAACAAAGCCCGAGGAGATGATGGTTGTATCAAAGCTGGTAGGCTCTGTAGGAAGCTGTGCAGAGGGAGAAGGGGAGAAGAAGGCTGTGTTGATCATCAGACTTTCAGCTTGAGGATTACCACTGCTGAGGTCTCCTCCGCGATGTGAATCAATGCTAGGTAGGGCAATACCTACTTCCCGGATCCGAGTGGCAGTACCTCTTAGTGCGTGGCATGGAGTCAGCCGGATGTTGGAGCAGGGGAGTGATGGTTGAGGAAGGCAGGAAGAGGGCAAGGAAGAGTATCAAGAAGAGAAGCTGCTGATGGGGGAAGAGAAGCTGGTGAAGGGAAGAAAAGCTGGTGGGGGGAAGAGAAGCTGGTGGAGGTTGTTTGCGAGAGCTTCAGAGTAGGCTTCCCACTAGGAAGGAATGCGAACTTGAGTAGAGGTTTGGAAAGTAAAGCTTTGAAGCCCAGACAGTTTGGTAGTGGTAGTCAGACAGCTAGCTTGCCAGCCGGCCTGGTCTAAGAAGGGCTGTGGTGCAAGCAGGATTCGTGCTGTCCCAGGGCAGGAGGCTGCTCGTCTACACCTGAACAACACTTGTTTTGAGAAGAGCACAAAGCACCTTCGATCCAGAACCAGAATGCGGAGACTGCGTGGACAGCAGGCATGTGGCTCTCTGCGCCTTCATGTGTCACAGTGACCCAGGCAACGACAACTTTAACAGATCCGGGCCGGGCTGGATGGAGACATGTGGTGTCTTCAAAGCAAACAGATGCGAGCACCAGAATGGATGTTACTTACTTGTAGAGGGTGAAAATGTGTCTTGTCAGGTGGGTTGGATGGTAGCCTACAACACCATTAGTTGAATACTCCAAAAGAGCATTGAAAGGGGGCCCAGAAGGACTTCCTTCATTGGAGAGCATGGACAGGAAAAATGCGGACACCTTGAATGGGCAGGGTTTGTGTTGGTTGGGTGTATCCAATCTGATGTTGTTGGAGCCTGAAGGAATCTGCAGCCTCGTAGCCGCGAGGCCGTCCGCAGCCTCGTAGCCGCGAGGCCGTCCGCAAGGTCGTAGCCGCGAGGCCATCCGCAAGGTCGTAGCCGCGAGGCCGTCCGCAAGGTCGTAGCCGCGAGGCCGTCCGCAAGGCGTCACAGCCTCGTCTTAAAAGGAGGGCAAGTGCCGACCTAACGATACTACCCCAGCTGTAGACATGGCCACCGGCAAAGCACCACTTGGGCGTCTGATTGACAGCTGACATCCCGAATGCACCCGCATCGCACTCAGAACCACCAGCGAAAAGACATAAATGAAGTACCACTCGGTACCACTCATCTCAAGAAAGCAGTGAGGAATCCACAGTAACATACCTGTGGGAACTCTGAAATTGAGTTGGTTGTAAGTGATGATCAAACTGCACAAAGATCAGACTGCAATGTCGTTCAGGGTGTGAAACCTAGCAGGAACTCAACAGTCAGCGCTTTGACTACCTTTTTTGTGTGTCGTTCAGCGGCCCCATTCAGACCCAAGGCACCAACAGAAATGTGCCGGAAGACAAAATTCAGGAAGCTTTGTGCGAGTTCGGAGCCGCAGCCCTGTCTCCCTCCAAAAACATGTGGGTGCCGTGCTGAGTGTAAGTGGGAGATGAGGGAAGAACAATGCCTACCAAGGTAACCAAGGACGTGATTTAATTCAAGTCCGCTATTGTCAAATGACTCCCGAGGTACGAAATCAGTGGCTTTTGAGTACCTTTACGCCACACGCCTAGAAATAGACAGAGTTTTGTGCGGAAAACTTGAAGCTAGACAACGCTGAGACTCGAAGTCGATAGGTGAGAGGCTGTGATCAAAGACGAGTAGAATTGCTCCAGAAGAATGGTTGAGATCGAGTATTGGCAGAGGATAACTGCAACGCGTTGTTAGTAAGCGCAAGATACGGAACATTGACAAGTGCACGCCGAAGGTGGGCGGACGTCTGTGTATTCAATGAATAAGGAGTCTCCAGCGAGAGAGGAGTCAGTGCACTTGCGAGACTCGAAAGACTGTTCGCCAGCGAGAGCCAGGGATTTAGCCCAAAGCCGAGGTTCCAGCACAGTCCAAGTTGGCACAGCAGACGTTTACGATGAGGGACTCCTGGAATGCTCAAGTTCTGCTCCTCCAGGGCTTGCCGCCTCTTTCCGCCAGAGCGTCCAGTCAGACTCGCCCTCGGGTTCGATACCACAGTTCTGGAGATATCAGTCAAGGCCTGACGGAAAAGAGGCCGGTGGACGACCTGTGCGCGCATCGCCAAGTTGACGGTCCACGCTCTGGGCTCAATGGGAAACCGGGCGGGTTCAATTGGAGCTCGAGATTGGGAGGCCGAACTCCACGGTGGCTGTGACCACTGCTGACGACGGTGCCTGTACAAGACCTGCCGAGGGGCTCCATTCCAGGCCGTCCGTCTTGATAGACGATATGGACATCGCAGGCTGATCGTCGCGTCAAAGCATGGCCTGTTTTCAGCCGACACGATTCGTCCAAGCAGAAGGGTCGCTAGTTTGCCGAGTGAAATCGTCCCGCCATAGTCCTCGTGAACACTCCCATCCGCTTCCGTCATCCCGACAATTGCAAGCGTGGGTTCGGGACGGCACTGGTTCGCGAGGCTGTCCCTCCCCCCCATAGAGTCGCATAGCTCGCCCCTGCACCTATCCCCCGTGCTGCCATTGCGCGATGCCTGGACTGAGTATTCGAAGTCGAAACCAGGGAGTTGTCTTGATTCCTCAGTCTCGGAAATGACCAATCTCGAGGTAATGCTTGCACCGTCTGTCTCGGTTTTTGTGACAGGCTTGAGCACTTTGCGAAGCTGCCGCTCTCCCACAGTGTGTTTTTCGCGTGCTCCTCCTACTCATGTCCAGACATTTTCGAAGGCCGCTAGCGACGCAGTATTGTCCCGCAAGCCACGGAATCCAGACATCGTCCTGGGAAGGAAATACGGGCGAAGGATCGGGGTGCTCGAAGTTCCACGTCGCAGCGACGCCGGGAGCGGGTTGCGCCAGAGACCATCGGTGTATATATAAGGCATAATATGGGCTCGCTCGGTGGGCGAAAGGTGAGTCTGGGTCGGATGGCGCCGGGGCGCGGAGTTTGGGCATCCGCTTATTCAGGGCCGAAGAGAAGAGAGGTCCATATATCCGGAAGTTTCGTCATGGCGCACACATATATGGCATGGGCAAAAGAACACAAAAAACAAGAACAAAATGCAGAAAAGCTCACCTTGGCTGCGAGACAGCAAATTCAAGTAGTCTGCTGCTTCAAGAACAGAGGATCCAGCTGTCACTGTGACGACAGATGAAGGGGTAAGAAAACGCCTCGGATGACGCTGCAGAGGAGACGGCGGGGCGCTTGTATTTGTAGCCCTTGTCGAGGGGCGCCGGGTTGCTTCTGAGGTATTGCGTAACTGGCGTTCGTATGCGCAGGCGCGGGTTCAAGGCGGGCTAGGACTAAGAAAAGCGCGGAGGGTGTTCGCGAAAGTAGTGCAGGCGATGGAATGCGCCGGGTCGGATACTACGGGTCGCGGTCGGTCGAAGCTCGGGACAGGCGCACACAACGGCGGGTCGTATCTTGGTGATACTGGGCAAAGGAATCTCGTAAGCGTCTCGGTCGCTGTGGGGTTTTACGTGTATTTGGGCCGGTGATGCTCGAGGTGGCGGCCGGATAAGATGACCAGGGCGAGGTGGGCAGAGGAGCCGAGCCTGTCGCACAGGTCGCAAATCAGGGCAGAGAAGAAGTGGATGATGACTTGATCTGAATTTTGCGCCGAGGAGGAATACGGTGGACAAAAGGCAACAAGAACACACAAGGCACAAAAAGGATGCTCGTACAAGCAACGCTCAGGTCGGAAGACGTATCGCGAAGACGAAAGATTGCACAACGAGAGGCGGTCGTGGATGGTGGTGAGGAGGAGGTGGAGGTGGGGGGGAAGAAGAGAGAAGGGAGAAGAAAGGGCGAGGGCAGGAGCAGGAGCAGGAGGATAGAACCCGGCCGGAAGGGGGGGGCTCGACCAATGTGTGTGAGGAGATGGTAGAGTACCTGGGAAGGCAGTAGTAGAGTGTGTGCGGGAGTGTGTACCTAGGATGAAGGTCCCGGACGGACTGGTCTGGTCGGGTCGTAGCCCAAGGGAGTGCGAAGACGACCTGGAGTGACTGAGCAGTGAGGGCACAATTAAGCGCACGACGGAGGCTTTTTTGCGCGTGCCAGGAGCAACCAAGCACGGCTAACTAAACGTAACGGAGGTGGCTAAGGGCCTGACGGACAAGGAAGGGAAGGCACAGCTCGGCAGATGCTACCTAGGTTGTGCTTGCAAGCGCGAAAAAAGACAGCCCAGTGCAGGAGCCAGAGCCAGAAAGGACCAACGAAACAGTGCAAGCAAGCAGGAAGGACGGGTTTCGCAGCACGAGCAGGAGCACGAACGCACAAGCAAGCAGCGCAAGCAAAGCAAAGCAGGCAAAGCAAGCAAAAGACGGACCGGTGGTGGGATGGTGGGAAGCCGGAGCGGAAGAGTAAGAAAATCTCTTGAGCTAAAAACTGGATGGGACGCCTCCAGGATCATGGATGATGGTTGGGGGACCTCCCCTGCAGGCTGAGGTACATGTACATGTACATCCTCCGTGCATACATACCTGCCTGGGAAGGTATCCCACCCTGCCCTGCCCTGCCCTGCCCTGCCCTGGGGCACCGACCTCAACCTACACAGTAGGCACGGCCATGTCTGGCATATACCTACACGGTACTGTGCAGCAGCAGCAGCAGCAGCAGCAGCATCACCCTTCGCCTGTCTGCACCCGGTAGGCAGGGCGCAGGGCAGAGCTCCTGCAGCAAGACTGTGCGCCAGGAGGTGCATCCGTAATTGCTGTAATGCAATGTATGTGCATTGTGGACTTACTACTGTGTGTGTGTGGTACATACACATGCTGAAGAATATGGCTTGAGAGCCTAGATCATCACAGCGACTGTCATCAACAATAAGAGGGGTCAGCCCGAATCCTACAAATTACAGCACATCCACAGTATACACACACAGTTCGTCGAAGTGCTGCCATGATGGTATGATTCCAGCAATACGGTTCCTGCAGCCTGCAGCATGGCACCGCACAGTATCGTACGGTGCATTCAGATGGTCATAAGGTCTGGGGGGGAGAGGTACGAGTACATACATACAGTCATTCAGTACATGGCTGACTGGCTGATTGGCACACTGGGAGTATTCGTAAGCTGGTGAGGCACCAAGGCACCAAGTTGCAAGGGGCACGAGAACGATGCACTTTTGCACAGCCGCACGGGTCCCAAGAAAAAGGTGGGGACGTCGACAGTGCGTAAGAACAAGACAAGGCCCGAGGGGGGGAGACTGGCAGAGGGGGGCCGAGGTGAATGAGACAAGACAAGACAATACAAGGGAAAAGAGTGAAGTCACTGCCAGGACTGCCCACTTCATTCCTACCGCATTCAGACTTTGAGGATCGTCGCTCGTGGGGCAGAGGCAGGAGGAAGCAGCAGCCCGACAGGGACCGGGATACCTGGCAGCCGGCATGGGGAAGAGAGCCCAGTCCTGCACTCTGCACAGTGACGCTGCCGTACACGGGTACACAGCCGGGAGGGGCAGCTGGCCCCGGCTTCTAACAGTCAGACTGCCACCCGTGGCAGTGCGTACGTTAGTGCGGACAGCAACCTAGCTTGTGTTCTGCAGTACCCGAGCTGGTCAGCTGCGTACCGACGTCCTACGCCCTGCTCCGTAGTACGTACTCCGTACCTGCCCAGCTACTCGACAGGAATGGAATGTGCTTGAACAGCAAGCAGATGGAGCTGTCCAGAATCTCAGATACCGTCCTCGGTTTCGACCACGGCGCGCCAGCAGGCCAGCCAACAACTTGGGGCCAACAAGACCAGCCAACAGCCGGGCTCATCTGACGATTAACTCTCAACCTAGAAGCATGCCATCAAAGCTTCTGAGCCGCCCCAACAGCCCAGCCCGCCAGCCCTGGCGCGTCAGTGGTCAGATTCGGATGCACGGTTGTTCAGCTTTACCACGATCATCCAAGTCTGCGCCGCGAAGCTACCGTCAGCGAGCGCCATCGCCAGTCAGGATAGTGGCCTGTGAAGACGATGCGTTGCGAGGAATCGATCTTCACTCGAGTCTCGCGTCTCGAGTCTGGAGTCTCGACGGCAGACCACATTCGTCGCAAGAGCTCATGGGCTAGCTGGCAAGTCCCGGCCATCATTTGGCCGTCCTGTGATGCCCAACACCGGCAGAATTGGCCGCAACTCTGCTGCCCTGCCGCCCTGCCGCCCTGCTGCCAGAGGCAAAGGCCCTACAGCCGTCGAGAGCACTCTGCCGAGATATTTCTCTCGACGCCGGCAATGACACCGAGAAACAAGACGGACATCTAGGCTTGGCCGTGCAGATACCGGGCGGCCAGCCTGCCAGCCTGCCAGACCACCGCAGCGGTGGTGAGCAGCCATGGCCCGGATGCTCTCTCGTTGCTCGCGCGGCAGGCAGCCTGCCAGCCTCCCAGCCTGCCACGCAACTCAGTCAGGGACTCAGGGCAGTCTGCAATACACGAAACGCGGTTCCTTGCACTCCCACCGAGGCGGACAGCTGTTGCGAAACAGCCTCGAGCAAGGCCGGATGGCCCCTTCTCGACATCCCGAACACCACTGCCAGTTTGCACCTCATCACCGTCTCCTGGCCGGCGAAACCAGCCAAACACCATGTCGAAATCAAAAGCGTGTGTGTGCCTCACATGCAAGTGACTGCCTTGCCGGCCCATGATTCAAAACCTGTCGGCCTAGCAAGATGCGGCCACCCTTGCTTCACTACCCCTGTTTTAGAAAAGCTCGCACTGGCCAAGCACAATCTTCCACTGAACAGTACGTGATGATGTGCACACTGCTCCGTACCCCGTGGCCCCGCCCTACACGGTATTCGGCCTGTCAAATCACAGCGAGATCTGGCTGGGCATCTGAAGGCGGGTCACGAATGGGGGATTTTCTCTCGTGCGCTTCGGCTTGCTGCCCTACGAATTGGCCCTGGCCGTGCGTCTGTCTGCTTTCTTTTCTCCCCTCCCAGCCTCTCGGACCCGGTGCCCGTCCCAGTCAAAATTTCAGGGGCCAGGGCCTGTCGTGCATCTGTGGCCATTGCATCATCATCCGATCGACAGCTGCCACAACTTTGCGCTTCTCGCAACCACCTCCCCCGGGTGCTCCGGCGCGCCTCCCCAGGGCGAGCACACCAACAAGCCGCTTCATCTGGTCAGCATCGATAATGTGCAACACTTCGCCCACGGTGGCTTCGCATGGCGCCAAATATCAGCCTCAAGGTGTCAATCTCCGTGGAATAATGCGCATCCTTGCTTATTGCATCAACAAGTCTGCGGGCGTTCATCCAATGCCATTCGGCAGCAACAATGCCAGCCACCGACCTGAGAGCTGCTGGTCCAGTTCAGCGGGGTCTTCTCTGGCTCTAGACCCCCCTGGTCCAGACCAACCAGAAGGGCAGCCTTTTCCTGTTCGGTGGTCACTGGTCAGGCCCTGCTAGCCTTGGCAGCTGCGAGAAATCACTGTACTACTACATAGTACACTCGTTTGCATTCCAAGGTATTAAAAGTACACTAGTAGCGTATAATTATCATATATACCTAAAGTTATATATATAAATAGTCAACTTTACTAATTTAAGTTTAATAAACTAATAAATAGTACTAAAGGAAAGAGGGTATTTTTAATACTTTAAAACTTCTTTCTATATTATTTTAAGAGATTTAATTATAGAGAAATTTAAGTTAAAAGTTCTATTTAGAATATTTTAAATATTTAAAAAGGGTAGTATAAATAGTATAAAGTCTATATATAAATAAGGTACTTTTAATTAAAATATTAATTATACCCACTTTAAGTTTAAGATATTATTAAAATATAACTTAAATATATATACTTAATAACTAGTAGTTATATATTAATAAAAATAATACTATTTAATAGTTATAATTAAAAGGAGTATTTTAATATATAGAATATATATTATAATATAATAGTTACTATATTATATAAATAAATATATAAATAATACTATTTAAACACTAATTACTTTATAAAAATAACTCTAATTTAAATATAGAAAATTTCTTTATAATATTAGGAATACCCTCTTTCTTTTAATACTATCCCTAACCTTATTAAACTTATATTTATAGAGTAAATATAATATATTATCCTAATAATAGTTATACAGGGAGTTTAATAGTGTGCGATATTTATGTGTTACTAGCGTACTTTTGATACCTTGGAATGCAAACGAGTGTATATATTTGCATTTGCAGACAGCAATTGGTAGCCCTCGCTCGCGCTGTCGGAAACAACGTGCACTGTATTTCGAATTCATGTTGGCACGTCGCCCGCCTTCTCCCATCATGGTAGCCAATATGCATCACCACATCATCAACCCGTACTTGAGAACTCAGCCTCCCCCAGAGCTTCTCGTGGTCGGCCTCCCTCGGCACGATGCAGCCGGACATCTCCAGGGGCTGCTTGTCGCGAAGGGTGCCACGTCCATCTCAAGACACAAATTTGAAAGTGTCCAATCAGCTTCTCGGACCACGATCTTTTCTCCGCCTGGTTTACACTCCTATACTGTGCACACATCCTGCCCATCTCGCTCAACACCCGGTGTTCCCTCGGACCCAGCAGAGGAATTTTTCCCACCGTCGTCACCCGTGACCGGCCAGAACCGAGTCAGCAAACTCTACGCTGCTTGGTGCACTGTTCCAACGCTTCATCACACCAACTAGAAGTCGGCTGCCAATATCGAGGTGACATGAGGACTGCAAGATGCCTAATAAGCTACGTGGTGAACACCAAAGACATGGTGGCGCACGAACGAATTGGTGCACATCCAACAATCACGAGCGGTTTAAGCAATGGAGGGGTACAGATCGCCCAAAAAAATCCCCGCGACGCCAAAAGACGCGACGCTCCCCGGTCGACGTGGATCCCAGTCAAGTGCTGCTTGGGCCGTCCAATGGCATCTGCTCCAATTTGCTGAAATGCACCAGTCTTCTCGTCCATGCAAGAGCCTGCTCATCAGCTAGGCGTGTCTAACGCTTCCAGGTGACCAGCTTTGATGCGAGTCATATTGCCGAAGGCTGCCCATGATTTGATCTAAAAAAGCATGGGGATGCGTCAAACTTTTCCTCGGTGCCTCTCCAACCGGTTTTTCTGTCACATCATCTCGGACCTGCAGGGCTTGAAGCTCCACGGACTAAGCACAAGTTGATCAAGCGCGACTCATCTCTATCCTCGCCGATTGCCGGGTAGCTTAAGGTTCCTGCAACGTCCACTCGTGGGCCGCCGGCCATAGACTGGATGGGGATCATTCAGACACACGGCTCACGAATGTCCAAATCCGACAGAGGTTTCAGCGTAACCTCCATTCGTGAAGACGGGCGTTCATGCCGTCACCTAGGCCGAACCTGCCGGAGGATCCGGCGGGTGAGCGGGCCAATGCGAGGGATCGACCTCGGTCCGGTCAGGTTGATCGCTCGGCTTACATGTAGTCTGGCAAATCCTCCAGGGACTGTCCCAGCGATGCTGCTGACGAGGGCGACTAAGCGACCATTTGTTTAATCAGGGTTGTTTGGACAATGGTGTTGGGCGCTGCAGCACATGCTCCTTGCTCCAAGACATCGTGAAACTTGTCCACCAGCGCGTCATCCCAGCCACACTGCGCGCATTTGGAAGTCTCCATACCAAAACAGCATCCTGAAAGCATTTGTCCAAAGACAGCGTCGTACTGAGAAAGGAGCCAACCTTCCCATGAGATCATTTGCCCCTGCATGTCTGCAGGCTGCAATCTGCACAGTGATCCTCCAGCTGCACGTGCGGCAAGTCGCACCGTGGATCTCAGCCCCTAGTCGGGGCTGCTGTGAGGCGGTTGTCGGCGAACCTTGGACTGCGGACTCCTACTTACCTACGTATCGTCTACGGTATAGACTTCTCGATTTGCTCCGAGCCTCATGGACGAACAAACCAATACGTTTCACATTGGGTTCCAATTGAAGATGATCGATATATCTCGCAATTAGCAGCAACAGTAACACGTGGCACTTTGAGGAACTCCGATAATTATCCTCTCCCCTCTTCTAGCCTGCGCTCGGCCGGTGCGCTGGCGCGTAATACTGAGGCTGTCGAGCGCGCGCGCAGGGTCATACCTCGCTCCACGCCCATCACCTCGGGGACAGCATGGCTTGCATGGGTTCATGGCCACATCACCGTCCCATTGATGTGCTGTCTAATGGGTTAGTTACGGCTTGCTCTCTAGCAGCTTCCTGCTGCCCAGGTCGCGCCAGCGGACATTGCGAGCTACCCGGATCGCCTCGGCGGCCTGGGCCCTTCGGACTGGCGATGTCACCACCTGGGCAATACAGTCACTCCCGGATACAAGGCTCGACAGCCCGGAGCACTCCAGGCACCCCGAACCGAGTCGGGGCGGGCGGTGCAGGCTGGTAGGCTGGCCAGTTTGAACACTGCCACCGTCGCATGCCCAAGGGTCAGTTTCACCCAATTCATCGCCCTGTCTACACTGGTAGCGGACGGCTGCCCGGCTGGTCTTTCTCTCAGCACCGAGCCCACCCCCCTGGTGAGGGACTGCTCGTTCTCCCGGGTCTCGCCCCCCCCCGCCCAAATGGCACCATCGTAGCGTTGCAGTCCAGTCATCATACACACATACAGTACCATCATAATTACGTGCCACTACTGTAGGGAACAGTTACCCGGATCCCACCGCGCGACTGAGCAGTCCCGTCCCAAAAAGGGTTGTCTCGGCCGGACCGGCGCTGAGCCCAGCAGCCACCAGGCATGCAACATGAATGGCCTTCTTTCATCCATTCTTGCCTGCACTGCAATGCAATGCGCCTACGCGATGCTTGCAGGAGGGGAGGGGGGAATAGCGGCAGCTGCTCAACATCCCCCCATCAATCCTATAGGGCAGCCAAAACTGGCACCTCTTGGTTCCAGGCCCGGCCTTGTCTAGCGTGGGCAGTCCGGCCGAAGCTTATTATTATCCCACCTGCCCACCACCCCTTGCGCGTCGCAACGCATGCAGCATGCGAGACATCCACTCTATCTGAGGCTGTCGCGTCGCCGACTAGTGTAGTCCTCCCCCCCCCCCCGGCCCCTCGTGAGGCTCACCTGGCAATACGCGAAATATGAATGCTAGACATGTGGAGTGGCGCCGCTGGCCAATGGGGTGCGTCGTGCGGCGCCGAACCCTCGGCGCGGGTTGAATAGTTAGTTGACCTGGGCAAGCAAGCAAGACTCGAGATGCCTGCAGATGAGATGGACGGATGGATGGATGGATGGGCCGACTCCTCAATTAAATGGGGTTCTTGACCTCAAGGGACACGCCAGCAGCCCATTGTAGCGTGGCGACAACAAGGTCCCGCCCGCACTCCGTGCTGTACTCCAGCTGTACTTGACAGGACGAACTCCTGCGAGGTTGAGGATCTGGGGAGGCCGTGCGCCCGCGGCTGGTTTCTTCTTCTTTTTTCTTTCGGGGTCCACGCACATACATGCATACATGCATGTGTTTTTTGTCTCGTCTCGGTAACTGCCGATGACAATGAGATCAACGCCCTCCTGCCTCCCCACGTCCGTCACACAGGTAAGGGTCCCATTCAGGACGGCGACATGGATGGGGATGGGATGGGGTGGTGGTGGTGCCAGCTCGGCTTATTATCAGATGGGGCTGGGCTGGGCCTGGCCTCGAGGTAGGTGGTCCGACAAGCGACGGGTCCTACCCGTTTTGCTCTCTTCGTATTATCTACCTAGCATGTGAGACAATTGCAAACAAGCGGGCAGAGATCGATCTCGGTTCTGTGGTTCTCGAATGGCCGCACAAGACATAGGGACTCCCGCGCACCGCATGCGTCTGTGGTCGGCGGCAAAACGCGAAGGATCCGGGCGGAGGTGTTCTTGTGTTTTTCTTTTCTGTCCAGAGGCGTGCGGCCGTTACCCGTGGAACGTGACTTTTCAGACTTACTATCGGGTGTGTTGTTGGATGTCGAACGTAACTCTAGTTGACTACGTGGTCTCTGCCGTGATTCAGGGCTTGTGTCGAGCCAAGTGTGCAGGTTTGACATTGATGCTTCTCCCCAGAGTCTATCAGTGTACGAGATATCTGCGTTGCGTGGGGGGTGGTCGGTCTCTATTGTACTCGAGAACGAGGAAATCGACTTGTCTCAAAGTGCCTAGATGACACTTGGTGGCATTGCCAGCCATGGGGATCATGTCCACACGTCTCAATATCAGACAACACATGTTCTGATAGGCATGCAATGCTCGCCTCAAGAACCACAACCGCAAGGACACTGGTTGTGATAGACAGCAGCCGGGGGCCAGATGTCGATTTGCCTTCCCTGGATCACCAAATGTGTGCTCTCCTGTTCTGCCGTGTCCAAGATCGACGTTCTGGACTGGCAAGAACCTAATAGTTATACAGATAGACACCGGTCCCGCGACTCGACTTGTTGGAAGTCCACAGGGCACTGAAGAATGATCATCTCTCTGTTCCCAACGCTGTCTGATCGCTGGCTTGATGAAGGTGATCCAAGACTCACGCCCGCAAAATGAGGGGGTGTACAGATGGGAGGTTATTCCATTACTGGATTTTTGTCGTATGGAACAACCTCCTACAGGGTGGACTCCTATATAATAGTACCCCATCACGGGAGAAGCTCATACGGGAGAAGCTCCCTCATATTTTGTGGATGTGGATCCAATCTATAATCAAACACGGCGCGATTACATTTTCAGCATCTGCCCTGCCAAGAACCCTCAAAGTCACATCTGTATCACGCACTACTTGGCAGAGAGTCTTGAACGATAACATCAGAGAGCATAAGAGACTCGAATCAACTATGAACGGTGAGGAGCACAAGAACCCGATGGAAGGATGGGCCTGGTGCCTCCTCACCTCGATTTGAGGCCGATAAAATATCGTAGTTACAAGAAGCAAAACCCGACGAGACTGTCATGCCCAATGATCATCATGACTTTTTGAGAAAAAAAAAAAAAAAAACTAAAAAAAAACTTGGAACCTGCCACACAAGCGCTGAGATTTGCAAAGGCTCCCAGCTTCGAGTTGCTTGAGCAGATTTTGATAATCACCCTCGTCTCAATGTTCGCACTCGCCGGCCTCGCTCTACAGCCTCACCAGCAGGAGTTCCAGACGGCTTGCCCATCTCCCCGCCCTTCCCAGACGTACCTTCACTCTGTACCTTCAAGATCATCGGATGATCCGTGACACGCCTTTGCGCGGTGGAGAGCGAGTCTGCGCCGCCCGACGGAGCCTCAGTCTGGCTGGGGACACCGAGAGACGTCAGATGAGCTGCTGGAAGTGAGTCCGCTTGACTAGTCGAAGTCTTGCGATGGTTCTCAAGCACAGTCTCAGACCCCTCGCTGCTTTCCGGCAGCTGCTCGATCCTCGTGCCTTTTCCCCGTACGTTGCCGACATCGGCCTTGCCAATGTCTTCTTCAAAGCGACATCCGATGCGCCGGAGTTTATCCCGCAGCTCCTGGCCGGAGGCCATCTCGGTAGAGGCTGGTGTTCGTTCAAACACACCATCGGCTTGCGGTTGTCCAGGGGTCTCGATGTTTCCACTGGAGGCGCCCACGTCAGCCTGATCGACGCCGTCTTCGATGCGACATCCAAGCCGCCGCAACTGATCCTGAATCTCCTGAAGCTCCTGGGCCCTTTTGGTCCTAGTCTCGAAAGGAAGGGGCAAAGGGCTCAGAGCCACAGCCGTGTCCTGCTTATCGAGAGGAACTGCGCGAGCCAGGTCAGCTGCGGGTTGATCGAGGTGCTGCTTGTCAGGACTGCTAGGCGGAGCGACGGAACTGAAATGGAGATTGGGCACTCGTGGATGCTTCTGAGGAAACTGCCTCTCTACTACCATGGATGGCTCAGCCTTCGAGACCTTCAGCCTCTTCGTCGCCTGGGTCTTCTCGTCAGCTGCCGGGAGAGGCCGCTTTCTATGGCAACGAAACGTAACGTTCTTCGGCTGCTCGTCAAGTATGATGCGATCACTGTTTTCGCCAATCTCAGAGAAATTGTCACCGGTACGGTCGTTGTCCGGGTCGGATGGCGGCACCTCTTCCTCCACATCATGTGCTTGAAATCGATGATCTATGATTCTTTCTTGCTGGCACTTGGGTGAAGGAGAGCGAACATCTTGTGGCTCTCCTCCCATTGCGAGCCAGCGACTGTGGGCCTGAGGATCATACCCATCACTGCGATCATCGTCACCGAGCTCCCTCAGGTCATTGCTAAGATGAAGCGTCCGCTGGAAAAGGGACGGCTGAGTTGGATCCAAGCTCTTTGGAACTGGTGTTCTCATCGCAGCAGAATCTTGATATAACTGCCCCGACTGTCCAGCCTTGGACATTTGAGGCACTGCCGCATTCTCCGAGCTGAGAACGTCGATAGAAATTGTAGCGTGGTCTGGTTTGATGCCTGGACCAACGCCCATTCGAATCGCTTGTTCCAAAGTACGACCAATATCTTGGAGCGTGACGGTTTCTTCAGTAATAACAATGTCTTCTATCAGATTAGTTAGTCTCCGAACGGCTCGCAATGACAAGAGGCTGAGAAACATGAGGCTAGGAAGGTAGGTGGGAGGAAGGATAAGAAGGAAGAGGGCAAGAAGGAAGAGGGCAAGAAGGAAGAGGGCAAGAAGGAAGAGGGCAAGAAGGAAGAGGGCAAGAATGAGGACAACTGTCCTGTTTCTTTGCTGCTACGTACCAGCGGAGACGCGACGCTTGCGAGAGATGTAGCCAGTGTCGAAGAACTCGGCCCCGATCACTCGCATTCCTTTGTGGTAAGGACGGGCTATCACCAATTTACGATTCAAGGGCACACCCTCTGTTCCGAGTGAAGCCTCTGGCAGTGATATGCAGCGCATCTGTCTCGAGCGCGAGGTTGAGGCGCCTCGGTACTGATGCAGCCTGTCGAGAAGCTCATTCAATGCTTTTCTGCTGACTTCCGACCAAGGGCCCCCGATCTTGGAGAGGAGATAGTCATTTCTATCCTTCAGTATACAGAATGCCTTCCAGAGAAGAAGCATGTTCTGGAGAGTCGGCTCAACTATGATGTCTTCAGGCTGGAACTCGGGGCTGTCCTCTTGCGTTTTACTTCCTAATGAGAGGTATGTGTAGTTTAGCGCGGAGTCTACAAGCCGGATAAAGATCCGCCCACACGAGGGTGATGATTTCAAGAACTTGGAGAACGCCTGGTCTTCAAGATCAAGATAAGGTGATCCCATCAAGAGCATAAGCTTGGAGCTTGGAGACACGAAGTCAGCCGCTGACCCTTTGATGTCTGTAATCCACTCCTGCAATGGAAGTCCAAGGGTGAGACCTGGTATAACGGCGGCCAAGGGAGTGGCATTGGCAGTCAGACTCGGCACTAAAACGGTGGAATCGGGATGGAAGGCTTGTCCAGCCTCGTGTGGGCCCTTCCACCTGAGACTGTCCCTCTCCTCGTTGTCTGGGTTGAAAGTGCCTTCATTCACGGCCATCCAGAGTTCCTTGGTGGTGTCTCGCCAGCTGCGGGTGTACTCTTCAAGCTCCACTAAGCGCTGATTATAACGCTGCTCCACCCTCTGCTGGTGCTCCTCGACGCGTGTTATGAATGCATCCTGGAACAGCCTTGAAACTGTCTGGTTATTCAGGAGAAGTGCAAGAGCCTGACTGTCGTTGAGCGTGTCCAGAGCAGCGGGCACACGTGACAACGGCTGCTGCGATGGTTGAGTAGCTTCGGCTTGACCCTGGGCATTGTTCGCTGCGGCTTCTGAAGCTCGAATCTTTGCAAAGGGAGACTGGGAGTCTGCTGAGCTGAAGACGGAAGAGGACATGCGGGGTCGTTTGTGGCTGACGCTGACGATGCAGTGTTAATAACAGATGGCGGGTGGGAGACGGTAGTAACGAGGCACGCGTACCTCTGTCGTTCTGATGGCTGCCCAAAGACTGGAGCATCCACCGACTTGCTCGAGGCCAACATCCGAGCTGGGAAGTGAGGCTGGGTTGGAGTTTGAAAAGCGGCTGAGCCAAAACCACTCTTCCTGGGATCTCGTTTGTCATCCATGATGAATAGCGGTCGAGGGCAACAGGACTAAGGCTGAAGCTGGTGCGGGTACAGAGGCAGTCAGTCGAAGCTGATGAAGTGGGGAGCAGAGGGTGTCGGTGTGGGTGTACAAGGTCAAACACACTGCACCTAGGTGGTGATTTGACTGATGTGGCCCAGGAAAGAGAGGGGGGATGTGCTGCTGGGTGCTGGATGGCAAGTGCAGCCCCAAGGTGGTTAAGGGAAACGGCGGCCAGTGTCGCTGCAAGACAAGACGGTCGGGCGGTCATCGCAGCTCACACCAACGTTTTGTTGACTGGATAAAGGCCGTCTGGTGCTTGCTACCGGGTGACAGAGGACTGGACTCGGTTTGCCGCTGGAGAACTCCACACACGCCTTCCAACCTGAACCTCTGGACCTTCCTTCGCTGTCTCTGCGCCACCTGGGCACAACTAGCAGCCCATACTTGGAGGGGGCACGCATTGAGGAAGCCCATTTGAACTCATTGGCTACAAAGTTTCTCATAGAGGACAACATCTTCCTCTGGAACTCGCTCCTCTGGGATGAACTCACAAGCTACCATGGGACACCCCCTTGCGGGACGGACAACCTCTCAGAGAACAATCTCCACCACGTTGAACTCAAGAGATCGGGGATGAGCACCCGCAAAAACGGAGGGTACACCCAAGGACAACCTCCCCTACGATAATCTTATATAAGTTAAGTATTATAACAAGTGTTAACTCAAGTTTTAAAAGCTCAAGTTATCCTATATCTTATCTACCTTGGTAGATAGCTGGCCTTGGTGTACCCTCTGTCTTTGTGGGTGTGATTCTCTGATCCCGAATCCAGACTGCAATCCACCTCGATACAAGTTCAACCGTGCCTTCATGATGCACCCTGACAACGGGATCAAGGTCGTCGCTTAGCGACCCGTCTCGGCTGGTCACGAGCTCTGAGGTGGCTACTATGATTTATAGCAAATGCAGCGCTGTTTCTTGATACGCTTTTCGAAATTGTGTTCCTAAAGTCCAGGAAAAGACAGACATCCACATCTACTTCAATGACGGACTTCTGAGCTCGTCCTATTCAAATCCTCTCAGCACTCTCTTCTGCATCGGGTCAACCACAGGCTTGCGATCCTGTCCCTGTTACCCAAAGATCACTAATTTTACAACAGGAAACCGCCAAACCGCGGCCCTTGCAAGTCACTTTCCAGAAGCTCTCTCTTCTACCGTGACTAACCACGACTCAACAGAGGAGACCTTTGACGACTTCACCCTGGGTCTGTTGGATGCGGCGGTTCCCTCACATCCCCTACGAAACACCGCCAACGAGACCAGACTCTCGCGACACAATCGAGGAGCACCTGGCCCTGCTCTCAAAAGCTGAGGCTTCTCCTGCGGCCCTCGGCCGCGAAGCCCATGTCGAGAACATCTCCTCGCCGCTTCTGCTCCATCCGGACCTACACAAGAGGAAGATTCTCGTAGACCAGGACGACCCTGCCAAGATCACGGCTATCATCGACTGGCGGTCGACCAGCCTCGACCCGGCGCTGCTTTATTCCAATAAAGTGCCAGACTTGTGTGAGCATCCTGGAGGCATTGCTCATGGCGCTCCGGGCTCGTACCACGTTGCCCAAGACCAGAGTGAGGAGGCATCAAAGGGAGCAAAGGCATGCTTAGGAAGGAGGCTGCGATCCTCACAAAGGCTCGGGAGCTTCGGCTGGAGGCTTCAAGCCCAACGTTACACGCATTGCAAAATCGGGACTCTGCCCTTCTTCGCCCTTTTAGACACTGATAGAGCGACTGATGGCAAGGCATATGTGGGCTCTGCAGTGACCTGATGGATCTCTCCCAAGACGTGGGCCGCAATCGGTCTGCCAGGGTCCTGTCCGTACCAGCCTACAGAAGAACAGCTGGCGAGGCATAATGCGCAGGGGAGGGTTTCGAGTTGGCACTTAAGCTTGCTTTAAAAAGGCTTCATGAATGTTCTTTCACCTTATGATCAGGGCTTTGTCTACGCAGATAGATGGGGTCGTCAAAGAGGCCGCGGATGATCTTTTCAAGCGTTGGTTGTCGCAGGCAGATATAGAAGCAGCTGTGGCGATACCACAATTGAGCTTGATGACAGGCGTCTTTCCTTCTACACAATCCGACCGTCTAGCAGTTTCTGGGCCAGGTCTTACACAGGCGGAAATTTGCGCCACCACTTGAAGAGTCTCTCGCCCCCTTCTCAGCCAAGTTCAGTGCGACTTTTGGATTTAAGCACTCAGAGAGTGACAGACCACGCACATGCGACCAGAGGTTACTGGCTGGTAACCGCTTCAGCGCACGCAAGAGTTTCTAGAAAACATCAATCCCATTCCAGTCTTTATCTAAGCTTTCTCTAAACACGTATGAGACCCATCGGGAGGCAGAAGCAAAGCCAGAGGCACAAACATGGGCTGTGGGATGCCACAATCTGTCCCATCCACCGCCACGGGAATGCAAGCCTCTAGTTCACCGCAAACCCCCGCAGCCTAGCCTCCATTGATTCCCTAATCCCGCGACGGAATCGTCTTTCCTGCACCGTCCCCAAGCTTCAGCATCGCAACAGGCCCCGCCCCGGAGGGAACCATCTAAACATTCCCTGGGGCTCCAGTACAGCCCACCCCGCCACCTCCAGGCGACAGGGAAAACAAATCATCGCTTGGTCCAACTGCCAACCTTGGTGCTTCCTGTCAGTGCCTACCGTAGCCAAAGACGCCGTCCTAGTCACGGCGGGTCTTCTTCTAAGGAGGCGTCGGCGCCTGCTGCGCCTCTGCGCCGCGGATGAATCGGCCCTCCTCCTGCATAGCGATCGAAAGGCTGGAGTTCGGATCATTGAGGGCGGCACGGATGATAGCCATGCGCTCTGCGTGATTGGGCTCTCTGTGGTTGGGCTCTCTCTTGTTGGGATTGCGAGCCGCCGCACCGGCGAAGCCCTGGCCGGCGAGGCTGGGCACGAGGCCATTGCCTCGAGGCGCGGGCGAGGTCTCAGGGCGTGCGGAATTGCCAGCGTCGTCGTCGTGGTGGTCGTCGTGGTGGTCGTCGTGCTTGTTGTACTTCATCATCACGCCGACGATATCCCTCGCAGCCTGCGCGGTTACCAGCTGTCGGTGGTAGATCACCGCGTCGGCGACGGCGCTCCTCACATTCCTGGGGAGCTTGTCGACGATGGCCTTCGGGATGAAGATGCCGGGCTGGCTGCTGGCGTTGTGGTCATCGGCAGTGGCAGCCTCCTGGGGCTTCTTGGCAGCGCCCTTGCGAGAGGACGGGTTGTTGGTACCACCTGCAGTGGGAGTCGCGTTGGCCGAGGAACCCTCGTTTGTGCCCTGGTAGTAGACAAATATCAGCCACAGTCACCTGATAAGGCCTGAACATCGGCGTAGGACGGAGTCTGGGAAAAGCTTACCATGGAGTCAATCTGTCGCTGCCGGCGCGGGGGAGTCGGCGGTCCATACAGCTCCCTGTCCCGCTTCTTCTCGTCCTCCTCAATCTCCTCGGTCTTGAACTTGCGCTTCGGGAGGTCGGTTGGCTTGTCCCTCTTGTTCCTCTCCTGGCTGGTCTTCACAAAAGGCACCAAGGGTCAGCATGAGCACTTGAGAGAATTTGTCCACGTGGCAAAGGCGGATTGCCGCCACAGATAGGACTTCGGTCAGTATAGCCCTGGGATGATCGACGAACCTCGAGACTCAGCTGTATGGCGGCTTGGAAAGACATTTCCTCCAGCCTGGCAAGGTTCTCGGGATCCTCATCCTCAAACGCGTTTCCGGTAAAGGGGTTGATTGCAGTGGGGTCCCAGTTCAGCTTGCCCATTTTGTAGTAATCTTGGACCAGTCTCTATACAGGGAGGGGAGCTGTTCCGGGTGTCAAGGAGCAATGGAGTCTTGCAAAGGGGGATTCAGAAGGGTGGCAGGAGTGAGACAGGAGAGTTGGAGTCTTTCGTGGGCAAAGAACAAACGCAAATGGTGAAAGGCTTGACGTATGCTCTCTCAGTGACTGAGGGAAACAAACGCGGCAGATGCATTGCCATCCAAACGTTTCAAACACCTCGACTGTGCAAAACACCCTGAGTCTTAATAGGAAACGCCTGCAACAGTATATACATTCACTTCGTCTGGAGTAATTTTGAAGTCTGTCCTGCTTCCATGACCGATTGTAGGATGGGAGTGTGTTAAAAATAGTTGTTTTTTGCAGAAGCTCCATAGTGTACTGCATACTACGTAGACTGACAACTGAATGGCAGGCCAAGGCACATCGCAGGACTGTCCTACGTGAATCTTCAAGAGACGGAAAATCATGGAATCCATAAACTGATCCAATATCTAATCCTCGACAGCCATGGTTATTCATGGTCTCAAGTCAGGATTCGTGAATTGAAGCAGAGGTGGTCCAGATATAGTTATGGTACAACTTTGGAATGGATATAGGGTCAAGACTGTCTGAGCCTTCACAGGGACAAGGGCTATAAATGATGAACTGAGGGCAGAAAGTAGATGACGAGACACAGACAACTTATCGGTGATTCCGAAACAAACAGTTTACCGGCAACCAAGTATTAATCTGTCCAGGTTTGAAGGATGGGTCACCATTTTCGTTGGAAACTTGGTTCCTGGTCGGGATCATGAAAGACCAGAGTGTGGAGACAGGTCATAGGAAGCACGGGTGAAACACTGGATCAAGAGAATGACTGAGGGTATCTTTAACATTAAAGGAAGCAATATAAGACCATCTGAACGCCATACCATGCAGAAGAAACAAAGCGCCGTGAGGTCGCACAAGGAGATTTGGGATCGCAAGAAACACTCAGAATTGTGCCCGCCGTTTCCTGCCCGTATACTTGGAGGTGGCCTTGACGATCTTCCCCTTGCGCTCCATCTGCTCCTTCTTCTTGATAATCCAAGCCTTGCTGCCCTTCTTGATGTCCCCCTTGCCGTTCTTGCCCTGCCTCCTCGAGTCGTGCACGTCCACGCCGTCCATGCCCTTGACCACCCCCGTGATGTCGCCACCCGTGCCGCCCACGGTGAGCACCAGGTACAGCTTGACGTTCTTGGTCTCCGGGTCGTCCTCGAGGATACCCGCGCCGAAGCCCGCCTTGACGGCGGCCTGGGTGATCATGTGCTTCTGCTTGTCGTTCTTGGGGTAGAACTGGCACACGGCCTTGCCGCCCCTCTTGAGGCTGGCGTAGAGGCCGTTGAAGAACCTCGACAGCCTGCCCTCGGGGCTCGTCTCGCTGCTCTCGGCGTTGCAGAGCCACTGGATCGCGCTGATGCTGATGGCCGCGTCGAAGGTGCCCGCGCGGAACGGCACGCCCTGGCCTATGTCGGCCAGCAGCAGGTCGCCCTCGACGTCCCGCTGCAGGGCGACGTCCAGCATCGACGGCGAGACGTCCATGCCGACCCAGATGTGTGGGCCGCCCTGCTCCTCGGGCTCCGCGCTCAGGATCTCGCCGGACAGGCCGCTGCCGCAGCCGACGTCCAGGATGAAGGATGGTTCTTGGAGGTCGAGGAGCTCTAGGGCCCGGCGGGTCATGGACGCTTGGATGTTCTGGATACGGCTGCTTGTCGTGTACTTCCGCGCCTCGGTGTCATTGTAGTGGACATCGGCCGCGCTGCAGAGAAATTGAGTGTCAGTGGCGTTCTGCGCCGTGGAGACGGGCTGCGAGAGAGGGCTTACAGTGTGTCCTCGGGCCGAGACATGTTGGGCAGATGGTTGTGGAAGTGAGCCGAGTTGGCAGAAGAGTGGGCTGTGAGGGTGGCAGGTTCAACAGGAGACGTTGTCGGCTTCAATGCCTCTAGAGCTTCCCGACACCATGAATCTGCCCTGCGACGGCTTCGCTCCTGTCGTTGAAATTTCAGTGGGCTGTTGCTTATCGCGCTATCGATAAGCCCCTATCGCTCGGCCGACCGTTCTGGCGTCCGTTTCCGTCGTCATCGAAGCTCGGGCCACCTTTCCCCGGCAGGGAAGGGAGCAGTTGAGCTCGACTCGACGCGATTTGCCAGCCTGCAGGTTGAGAACACGGTTGTAATGAGGCGGGTGGCCAACGTCACTCGACTTCCTCCTCGAAACAACGGACACCGTCACAGCCAATGATTGTTTCAACCAGCCGTTCAAGATGTGGATTCTACCTCTAGTCGGCATACTTGGCTCCATCGTGGGCTTCTGCTTCCTGACGCTGGCCATCGGCAAGTCCCCTCCCTTTCCCCTGAGCTGGGTGCCAGGAGCTGGGTGCCACTGCTTGGAGCTCTGTTTATGCTAACGTCCGTGTGCAGCGTCGGGACTATACTACCTGTCCGAGCTCGTCGAGGAACACACCGTCATATCTAAACGCCTCCTGACACAGCTGATCTACGGAATCATCGGGCTCCAATTACTGCTATGCGTCGTGGACAGATTCCCCTTCTGGTTGACGCTGTTTGGGGTCGTCTCCCATGTTGTCTATCTGGGTAACATGCGGAGGTTCCCCTTCGTCACCCTGACGGACCCTTTGTTTCTCACCTCCTGCGGTAGGTTCCCTCCAACACCTGAGCATCTGTGGTTCAGGCGCTGACCGTCGCCGTCGTCTTTAGTTCTCGTCCTCATCAATCACTTCGTCTGGTACAAGCACTTCTCTTCCCGGCAAAAGGACGCATATCAAAACATGACCTCGTACTACGAAACACCCGACAACATGCCCACATTCACCGAGATCGCCTCTTACTTCGGCATCTGTGTGTGGCTCGTTCCCTTTGCGCTCTTCGTCAGCTTGAGCGCCAGCGACAATGTCCTTCCTTTCGAGAACCCGGCCGCGGCAGCAAGTGGCGATGGTAGCAAGAGAAAGGCACAGGGCATGGCAAAAGCCCTCGTAGATGGCGTACGCAATGGGCTGAGCCGGGCGGGGGCCGTGGCCGGCTACAAGAAATCAGACGACGGGTTCTGACGCTCAGGAACTATCGGCCCCATCCTACCTCTTCTGCAATACACTTCATTGCCCGGCAGCTGGTTCCTGGCCTCAGCGGCAGGTAAAATGGTGAGTGTTGGGATTTGTGCCTTTTCTTTGTTGCTTCCGATTTTCTGCTATGATGCTAGCATTTGTTGCTATGATAGTATTGGAAGAGCATTTTGCTCCAATGTCAACACACTACACACTGATTGCCTTGTTTTCCACCTATACTCTTCTCTTCGATTGTAAAAACTGCCCAGGAATTCGCTAACATCGAACCAGATACCCTCTTGTCATCAATACAATTGAGCGTTCCATGATTACCCACGTAACCTTCTCCACCCTCCTCGCGTGCATATTTCATCGAACCTCGGCCCTTGACGTCTTTCCGTAGGCTCACAGAGCGGAGACGCGTCGGCCTTGTCTGCTGTGTGATCCCGGCGCTGCTCTTGCCAGTCAGTAGTATCGATTGAACAGGCAGAGCTGAAGAGCCCGTGGTATAAACTTCTTCTCAGCCGAGCAATGCCGATTCGTATCCCAACCAAGAATGACCTTGATCTCCTCGCTGGTACACCACTCAGCATCCTCATTTGCGCTCGCAGTGTGACCGACCTGGGATATTACCATTGTCTCTTGATCACGGACATCTCTAAGGAGACTCTTGGGATGTTTAGTTCGACATGCCGCCGGGTCAAGATGCAGGCAATCGCTCCGAACGCATCTCGACATCAGGCAGCCATGCGGGCTTGGAACACCAGTCTTTCCTGTGCCCGAGCGGATGATGAATGGATTCTTGACCTCATGCAGAATCGATCAGCAGGCATTGCGCTTAGTGCAGTCTTGACTAGGACTCATCTAACCTTCTGCATCGCGGCGATGTGAAGCAGGCGATTTCAGTGTGTTAATGGACTAAACATAATCAGAGGTCCGAACAATCCGGCCCAAGAATCCCAAGTCTGGGAGCATCGAGGGCTTTAACCTACGAAACCCGCACTCCTTCTTGGGACCTGCGCTTTCCACGGTCTGCATGGGAAGTTTAGGCGAAGCAAGCTCTCGGAAGTGGGCGGCAACTCGCATCATCGCATTGCGAACAATCACCGTCGTGGCTACACGTAAATGGCCTCGGTCTTAGTAGCATGAAGCTACGGCGAGCAAGACCAATGAGGAAACCTATTGGGTGGTGGCTCGAAAACAAGCTTATCGGCCACCTGCAGGATCTCTGCTACAACTCTCGTGCCGGCATACGCGTTTGACAGCGTGGTAGGGCCACGGCGAATCTGCATCAGCGGAGAAGCTGTTCCCACCTACACCGCTCCTTACCTGCTTAGCGAATCGGCGGTTCTACGAAGCCGACAGAGTTCATGCACTCACCAGTCGCGGTGAGACGTTGCCATCCACTAGCAACAACCTCATAAATGCTCGCAGCACCCATTGCCGGCTCCGAGCTCGCTTGGCACTTCACTTTACATGTGCGTCCAATTGGTCGGCAGAGATGCCCTGAACAACCACTGCTTTCCAGTTCGGAACACGTTATTAACAAGTGCGGGTGATGCACACCATTCATTCTCCTGGCGACTCGAAAATGACGAATGTGTGTGTATTGCCGGCGCTTAACTAGCTCTGAGCTGTGACACGTTTGTTACCCACACTGCCTCCAAAGCTAGATTCTGACAATGGCATTGCCAATTTGTCGACAGTCATCTGCATTATTATCAATCATATGCATGGTCTAGACCTCGCCAGCAAACTACTGCAACCTCAAGAGGGTGTCTTCCGGCAATGCTACGTACCTGCAGACAAGGGACGGCACGGCGCACCCCAACGATCCGTGCATATTTGAGACTCACCATACCGCTTCAATCGAGCAATATTTTGGACTTTGACGTCGCTTTCCTTGGCATTTTTTGCCAACTGCCCGAACTTGCCCATGATTCATCAAAACTCCCTGGACCCAGCGAATAAGCGCGCGAAGAGATCAGTTCCACTGATTTGTACGGAGCAGGACAAGAGTTGTACATATGCCTGCCAGCTCGAATCATATGCCCGTGCAGCAATGATTGCACGTGCCCTCCACATTGAGACCCGGCTCGTGTCTTGAGAGCATGGCCATGGTGCTATGGTAGAGGTGTTGTACGAGTGGACGTTTAAGGCTTCCTGTTCGTCTCGTAGGCTATATGGGGACCTGCCAGTCCCAAACGTCTGCTCCATTGCGTCAAGCCGCTTGGCTATTGACTTTGATCGAGGAGGCGACGTCGTCTACTTGGCAGACTGTCGAGTTCACCTTGTCTGGCTGATTGTCACCAGCAGTAGTGGGGCCTTGGTCACGAGCAGCGAGTGGCCATTTCTATCTACTTCACTAGGCGACGGGCCTTTGAACGATCACCAAGGAATGCGGCAAGCCGAAGGAAGGAGAACAGCATCGGACTGAGGCAACTGGGCCCGTCACGCAGACGTCGGGCTATTTCGTGAGCTGCTCTGAAAGGTCCCAGTGTCTTGTGCCACTCAGAGCATACAATGATCCAATTAATTTACGTGCTCTTGCCGCATGAGCCCGATTGTAGCCGCAGTCGAGGTCCGATCGCACCCACATCCGGCAATCAGCAGTGGAGCGAGCAGACTTCATGTTGTGTCTCCATCTGGCAGGAAATAGATCTTGCTCAAATGGGCGAGCCCTCCTCTGCTGATGCATCTAGCTACCAAATGCTGTTGCATGGGCCCTAGTTTATGATGATAAGAAGTCCAAATATCGACGGTTCGACTTTGGCCAGCACCTGCTAATCGTCCCTAGTCCGCGAAGAAAGGGCCTTTCTGGATATCATTGAGCCAACGGTCGCACGCTACACGGCTGGCTGCTGCCCTGAAATGATGCTGGTCGGCTGGTGGCTGGTGCTGGCAAACAACTAAATATCTGATCGCTGGCACTGCTCGAGTGGCAGTCGCTGTGGAATCACAGGAGGGTCATGAGTACTGAGTGTTATTGAATGCCGCTGAGACTGCCTCATGCATCTCGCTTCTGAATCAACAAGACAACTAGGCTCGGAGATCGGATTGATTGATTCCTGAGACGGGAATTACCAAGAAGCAAAGCGATGTACCGATTCAAGCACTGTCAACGTCGAAGGCACATTAAAAACAAGCTTCTTCGAAGCGGCATACCCAGCCTTCGCCATTGGGGGGATTTGCTGCAGATGCACTCTGACCCGGGGACCGAAACAAACCTCAACACCATGGCCGGACGTAACGTTGCAAGCCTCTCGGCCTCGGGCACCGCCAGCGTTACCCTCGCATTGCTTTCGCCGATTCCAACTCTCTCGACAAACAAACATTCTGCCAAAGAAACCACAAGTAGCAATGCATCGAACCGTTCCTAACTTACTTGACACTTCTCTGATCATACAACAGCATCCGAACAGGGCCCCGCAGATTTGGGTACCACGGTGTTATCGAAACGTGGGCCCGAGGACCTCGGCTCTCATCCCACCGTTGCCCCGGTGTCACTCAATGTGGCAGGCCTATTTTCCGAGTATGACAAGGTTTTTTGACCCGAGTACGTCGACTTGTCCAGGCCGTGCCATGGCTCCGTCCGAGGGGGCTCACTGACCCAGCGGGTCATTGGATCCGTGCTCGGCGCCGGCTGACCTGAACCTTGACCGCAGCGCAGTGCGGTGAGCTGCGGAGGTTTGAGGGAGGCCTGGTTGCTGGCTCTCTTGTCTATCGGGATGTCTGGTAGGGCGCACATTGCAGAGCGTTCTGCCGTGCTGATCTGCAATCGACTTGGAGCAAAGACGGTAATTGAAGGAACAGACCTAAACCTTCAAAGGGGTCATTCTAGGCAGGGCTGTTGTGCTCTGGGGAAGACGACCTTCTTGGTATTTATCGTCTTTACGAATGACGAAAAGCCCACGGAGACCTGGCCTTTTATGCTTGGAGGAGTCGTCTTCGACTACGGTAGTCTTGACTGGCGAGACCATCACATTTCCACGGCTTCGGAACTTCTCCGTCAGTACAAGAGATCCTCTGAGACCGGTCCCAAGAACGGTTTAAGCACACAAGACAAGATACGTCCACACAAAATCACAGCTGCCGTGTTGGAGTGCACCGGTTGGCGAGATACATTCTACCGTGCATCCTCCGTTGGCCATAGCGAGGCAAACAAAGCCACCTGTACAACAGCAGCTTCGAGATGTTGAGCGACCCGAGTTCTCATTATTCACATTTTCAACCGCCCCCTATCGCTGTGTCCATAAAGACAACAAGCGAACAGTCGCATACAGTGCTGGTGACGTCGACACGCTCCTAGCACTATTTTCACCTTGCCAAGTCGCAACACTGCTATACATAGACCAATCCTATCACGAGTCAAGTCTTAATGAAGCGTCCAATTCAAGCGGGGAGCCAAGAACCATAGTCGATCATGTGAGCAAAATATTTCCAAGGGAAGCGAGACGTGGACTTCACAATCCAGCAGTACCGAGTCTCATTGGCCAGTTGTGCTAATTGCGTCGTTCCCCCAAATGTGCACTACGATCCACGAGTGAACAAAGTGACGGGCCGTCTGACGGGCCCAGCGATGACAGCGGTCAGCTTAACAATTGAAAGCCGTCCGTCAGGAACAAGCCGGGGGAAAGGGCCTTCAGCATCCGGAAACGCAAAGGACCGTCCCGGCCGGCAATTCCTATGACATAGCCGAACATGCTCGCGTTGTGCAGGCGTCGCCACTCACGTGAGGGTATACACGGATGGGGATAGGAAGTTGGCCGAGCCACGCCTCCCATGGGCGTGTAACACGGCACGTGGGCTATGGGGGCTGCGGCTTCCCGTGCCCGGGATATGTGTATTTCCAGGCTTTGGGCTCCATGGGGCAAATATCACCGTGTGTAGCAACGCACTGGGGAACGGGATACGGGACTGTTAGAGCACACCGAGTCCGAGGAGAGGCGATCCCGATCCCGGGCACTCGGGCAGAACACTTATCCACAACACTCAGGACGCACATCGCCGGATGCCTCAGCCACCAGCCGGGAGAACTCGTCATCGTTGGTACAACACTGGTAAGACTTCACATGTCACTCACTCAGGGGACGTCCTCGTTCTCGGCCGAGGCATAGTGGACCTTGTGGGTGGAAAGCTTGCACACAATACAACTGTCTTCCTTTATGTCTTCAACTAATAACAAGATATTTACACTGAAAAGACGTTTCCTCGTCTCGGATTCCACGCTATGCAAGACCCAAATCGTACACAGAAACATATGAGCGACCACGCGCGCTTCACCTCACCACCCCCGTGTCCTTGTCTGACGAGACCAGGCGGAGCCGCTTACAGCTTCCTGGCGGCACGCCTGCGCTTGCAGCCGGTGGAGCTGCCGGACGAAGAGGCGGAGCTGCTGCTGCCGGACGAGGCAGAGGAGCCGGCGCTGGCGTTGGTCGAGGTCGAGGCGCCGGTGGTGTCGGCCAGGATGGCCTTGGCGGCGTGCTCGGCGGCGACCATGACGATGGCCTGGGTGTTGCCGGTGGGCAGGTCGGGGTGCATGGAGGCGTCGACGACGTAGATGTTGTCGGTGCCCCAGACCTTGGTGTTGGTGTCGACGACGGAGGAGCCGTCGTTGGTGGCGCCCATGCGGGCGGTGCCGACAAAGTGCGAGCCGGTGGTCATGTTGTCCTCGGCGATCAGGGAGTCGGCGGTCGAGTTCATCGGGTTGAAGGGGGAGTCGGGGCCGTTGACCATCTCGATGAGGTTGGCCATGAAGGTCTTGATGGCGTTCTTGTCGCCCGCGTCGATCAGGTAGGGCTGCTTGGTGATCTCGGTCGCGCCGGAGGCCGTGATGCCCAGGGCGCCGGTGGAGGTGATGCCGTGGGTCAGGTAGATCTTGACCTTGATGGTGTTGGCGGAGGGGGCGTTGATGGTTCCCTGGACGTAGTGGGTCAGGCCGTCGTCGGACTTGACGGAGTCCCAGATGTTGATGCGCTGGCCGGCCTGGGCGAGCAGACCAGCAGACTTGGTGTTGAACTCGCTGGCGACGGTCTCGTTGGGGGCGGTGAAGGCGGTCTCGGGCAGGGCGGCCAGGCCGTCCTTGACCTTCAGGCTGACGGTGAAGATGGGGTGGTCCATCAGGTGCTCACCGACAGGGAGCTCGATCCAGTCAGCCTCGTCGGGCAGGGTGACCTTGACGGAGCCGCTCTTGACGGTCTGGATCTGCTCCTTGGGGCCGATACCAGAGTTGATCAGCATACGGGGGGTAGACAGAGCACCGCCGGCCAGGACGACCTTGCCGCCGGAGGTGAGGTTGATGATCTGGCGGTTGCCGTTGGACAGCTCAACCTCGACACCGGTGGCGGTGGCGCCCTCGCGGATGACACGGACGAGCTTGGTGTTGAGCGACAGCTTGAAGTTGTCCTTGGCCTGGGCGAGGGGAAGGTAAGAGCGGATGGGGCCGCCACGGAGACCGTCCTCGATCAACCAAGGGGGGTGGGTGTAGACCTTCTCCTTGGCGTCGGGGTTCTCGAGAGCGTTGACCTGCGACCAGCCCTGCTTCTCGAAGAAGCCGGACATGAGGTGGAAGGCGTCCTGGTCGACACCGGTGCCGTTCTGGAGGATGAAGCCAGGGCTGCGCTCGTAGAAGGAATCGGCGGAAGCGGAGACGTCAGACCACTTCCAGCCCGTGGGCCACTTGTCGTCGAAGTCGTGAGCCGCGGGCTTGACGAACATCAGAGCGTTGACCATGGTGGAACCACCGAGGATGCAGCCGGCCATGGAGGCGGTGTCAAGACAGTACTCAGAAGTGTCACCGGCCTTGCTGAGGTAGTAGGCCATGCCGGGAACATCGTACTGGGTGATGGTGTCGTTGTAGGGGACGGTAGCGTCACCACCAGTGGAGTAGGTGGAGGGTCCACCACGCTCGAGGAGGAGCACGGAGGCGCCAGACTCGACCAGACGCTGGGAGACAATCAGACCGGCAGCACCGGCACCGGCGACGATGTAGTCGTAGGTGTCCTTGCTGGTGGTGGTGGTGATGTTCTGAGCGCTGCCGCCCACGGTGGAGTTGCTCGCGCCGCCGGAAACGCTGCCAGCCGCGGTCTTGGAAGCCAGAGCAGCCCAGGTGTCGTAGTCGGCAGACTTGGCGGCAGCCAGGCTGTGGCTGTACTCACCGAACGCAGCGCCGTGGTAGTTGAGGACAGCGGAAGCGTCGCTGGTGTCAGTCAGGGCAGTCTTGGACAGAGCGTATCCGAAGACATCGGCCTCAGCATCGACGGTGAAAGACTCGCTGTCGTCCGTGATACAGCCCTTGCAGAGGAAAGTGTATTGCCAGCCGGTCGAGTTGATGGCAGTACCCTTGGAGATCTCGTACATGCCCATGGAGGCGTCGGTGACCGGGGCGGGGTTGGTGTAGCCGGAGGCCTTGCGCAGGGAACCGACCATCTTGTCGCCGTCAGCCCAGGCGGTGACGAGCAGGGAGTTGGCCATGGGGCCACCCAGGGAGACGGCAGCGTAACCATCTACGGTGTTGGACTGCAGGATACCGATGAAGTCGCCGCCCGCCTTGGGTGCCTCAGGAAGAGCCAGACCGAAACCCCAGCCGGACTTCTCGTAGTACGAGAACTTGATGCCGGACTTGTCGTCGGTGAATGTGGTGGATTGCTGACCCAGAACGCCAGCGGCCATGGCGGCCGCGGCGAAGAGTGTTCGGGAGATCATTGTCGTTGTGTGTTTCTGTGGAAGGTTGGATCCTAAACTTCAGGTGTTTTGGTTCCTGCTTTTGTTTTTCTCGATTCCGAGGCTTCAAGCTTCTCGGATATCTGTTGGATGAACGGGTTGTGGAAGGAAAGGAGGGTCTCAAGGAATGAATGTGGCACAGCCACTGGAAAGAACGTCTTCGAAGTAAAGAAAGACTTCGAGGGAAAAGAACGTGGAGGTTCAACCAAGCAAAAAGAGCCTGAGAAGAAGAATGAGAAGATGGACGGGAGGTTCGGGCTTGGCGGATTCTCGAGGACGGCTTCCCTTGCCTTTATTCTTCTTCCATCACACCCCTTATCCGAGCAGTCGGGCCCGACACCCGGTACTGGACGGGGGAGGAGGAGCAGAGCCGCAGAGACACTCCAAACGCCGGCATCCTACACGCTGCGATGGGTCACGATGGCCCACTGCTCCAGCCCTTCATCACACATGACGGCGGCTGAATTTTCCCACGAGGGACCCTTGACCATGAGGCTCCAGCCGTCAGGGCCAACTTCATGCCCTTGCCTTCGAGCATCATCCCGATATGTGGAGGGATCGACGAAGGGGAAAACAAACACGGCCTCGCCCTCGATGGGCCAATAGGGTATTGTACATTGGTGGGAGGGTGGCCCAATGCGGCAAGAGGAGGCTGAGGACGATCCACAAGTGATCTTGGCCTACCCCTCTTGGGACACAATTAGCCCGCCATGGCCTGATGGTCCACCGGCAGGCCTGAGAGCACTGGGCAGTGGGTAGACTGCGCAGTGGAAGAGCCGAAGGTGATTTTGAAGGCGCCGAGGGAGCTCCGCCGAGTTATGGGTCCCGCGAGCCCCTGGAAACAACCTGCCAACATGACTCGTCGGCTAAGCTCCGAATAGTAATTCGGGATTCCTCAATTGGCCGCCTGGCGCTTGGTGAACCCACTGCAGCGTCCACGCGGACGGCCGCCTGGTCGCGTTTAAATTGAGCACTAGTCGTTTGTTTCAGGCGACGGTAGCTGGGGGGCCCCCTATCAGCTCTGCTCGCTTATTGGCACCGCCGCACTCCTCCCGCCCCGGATGAGCATTCTTGCATGCATGAACCGTTTCGAAACCTCGTCTAGAGGGTGTGGGGGAGTGGAGTATCAGAAAACATCGATCAAATGGAAAGGCCTGGAAAGGCTGTCCGCAAGGTCAAAAAGGGGCAAAGGGCCGGGAGACGTTTCCTCTTGAGAGCAGCTGGAGGGTTCTGTCCCCTTGGCTGCTTGTCCGTCCATATTGAACAGACGTCAGCATCTCCGGGAGGCCCTCGTGGTCTACCCTAGGGTAATTAGCCGAAGGCCCATTCCGACCCGACGCTATCATAACGCCCCCATCGTGATTCGCCTCGCGCTGTCAAGTGTGGAAGCGGAGGCCCCTCCTGTCGATCAGCCGCGGCGTTGCTCTTTAATAGTATGGTCGCTTAAAACCAAGATTGAGGGAGAGGGAGAGTTGGCCTCGGTGATGAAGACTCGGCGCTTACCGAATCACCTCCCGGGCCGACCACGTTCTTCAAGGGATGAGGCTTACGTACCCTAGCCGTGGGGACATGATACATGCGACACTTTGCGATAGGTCTCTTTGGAAGCTTTGGAATGTGCCAACTGTCCCAATGGCTGCCGCCCGTGCGCTTCTAAGGCTCGCTGTCGGTTCCAGAATCGCGGGTCGAATGGAACCCTTAGGAGATGCTTTTAATTTCGGGCAGCTCCCCTGTTCCTCGACCCCCCCCCGAGGTGAAGCCGTCTCGCTTGCGATGCGGTGCAACGTTTAAAGGAGCGCCACGCCTGTCTTACAGACTCAAGGAGGGACGCACCCAACTGACTTGCTATATGTCTCGACCAGCTCAACTCACAGCCCACCGTAGCGCCGAAGCCCGATGGCCAGCCAGGTGCCCCGCGCCGGCTTTAGGTCTTTAGCTGGATCAGGTAACGCCCGCCACGGCATTCGCGGTACCGGTATCCTGCAGCTTCGTTCATGGAGTAGCAGAACTAATGCAAGAGCTTTCTGGCCCGATGGACGCCCAGAAACGATGACGATATTATATAAGAAAACAGAGAGTGAGAGATCACTGGTCTCAACTCCCTTTGTTGCAGACTTGACCTGAGCTTCGTCAGACGTAGCACATCAATCTGTCACAATGCAGGCGTTCAAAGTAGATCTTCCCAATGGCTCGACCCTATCTGGCCACAATTACGTCCCAAACACCTCGAGTCCTGTCTACACGGCTCTAGACGACAGCAGACGGCCTCTTCTCGTCGCAATTCATGGTGGTACTTACAGCTCGATATATTTCGACGCTGATGAGAAACACTCCGCCGTCCTATGCAGTGAGGGAGTCGGCGTGCCCGTGGTCGCCATTGACCGTCCTTTCTATAAAGAGACATCTCCATTTACAATCCCGGAGGGCAAGACTTACCACGAGGAACTAGCCGTCCAACTGCACAACCACATCCTCCCCGCCCTGTGGGAAAAGTTCGGCCGCGGCTGCGGGAGCATGGTCCTCCACTGCCACAGCCTGGCGACTCCCAGCGCCGTAATACTGTCAGGGTGGCTTGCCCAGGAGCGGGCCCAGGGGAAATCACCAGCGTACCCGCTGTGCGGGCTGACCCTATCCGGGTTCGGCGGCAACCAGTACCACCCAAACTATGTCCCGCAGAGCAGACAAGCCCCGCCTGACCCAGTCCCGGAGTGGAACGACTGGCCCCTGGACGTGAAGGATGAGCTCATGATAGTGAAGGGGACCGTCGACCCAGCCATCTACAGGCAGACCAGAAGGCTTCACAACATTACGCCGCGCCGCGAGGTGGGAGACTACGAGCTGATCTGGAATGATGGCAAGTGGCGGGCCCACTGCGGCGCCGTCGAGCTCCCTGTCATGATTGGGATAGCGGAGAAGGATGCCCTGTGGCTGGGCTCCGAGGAGCATGTCAAGGAATTTGCGAGCGGGTTCAGTAAGAGCGAGAGGGTTGATGCGAGCCTGGTCAAGGGTGCGCCACATTGCATCGAGTTAAGCTACTGGGCACAGGGCTGGTATGCGCGGTACTTTGGTTGGGCCCTGGAGTGTGCTACTGCGTATGCAGTAAGGGAGGCTGCAGCTCAAAGCGCATGATGAAATGTCTATGATTATGGGTCCTTGTGTCGTATATTGGGAGTCACACTCGGCCGTTAACAATGCCCTTCCAGACCACGCGGCACGCCATCAGTCGCGAGAGCTCTGATGCGATGTCTTCACAAACAAAGGAGTGCTTTCTATATTCGTGACAGCTGGGACTGGGACGCTCCCCGGAAGCACCTACTCGGCGGGCCTTTGATATCACAACATAATTGCGCTCTGCAAGCTGAAATTCTCAGGATTGTTCAACCAACAGTAAGGTCTTTAGTAGAACATGATCTCCCTGTGTTGATATACCGAGAAATTATGCGACTGTGTTATTTTTACGCGGCTGCTCAGCTACCAACAGACGAACAACTCTTTGTCACACATCATCTTGACTAAGTGGCAGACGGCACCGTTCTTTGTCACTGCCCAGCCCCCCAGCAGCCCAGGAGGGACATTGTCAGACCTGCCATAATACCTTTGTGTGACTTTGTTGCTGCTGATCCTACAGACCTTGATGAAGTCTTCCTGCCGTATACAAATTGGCCGTTGCCTCCCATCCATCCATGAGCGAAACTACCTCCCACCACGCACCCACATCCAAACGCTTACGAACGCGCCAAAACCACACGCTCGTTACATTCTACGGCACTGCTTACTAGAGCGCAGATAACGATCAATCCATCTTCGGCTCTCAGTAGCCCTCAAGTTCCGCCGACTCAAAATAATGCCAACAGTCTACGAACAACTGCTGAACTGCAGCGGCTGCAATGACGCTGTCCTCATCAAAGACCCATCTGCCAGCTATTCCATGGTCGCACACACCGGCCCGGTGGGGATAGTGATACGGCATCAGTCAGAAGAGACTATGGCAGGTGTCTCGTGGCTAGATATTTTCCCGTTCACCGCCAAGCATCCGCTCAGCAACTCGCCGCATGTATCGGGTGTGGAGCAGCAGGACATATCCAGGCATTCGATATGCATGGAGAACTGCACCACCCCGGAGAGCAGGCGCGATATCGCGAAGGCATGGGGCTTGCACTGGTGGGGCTTCGAGCAGCACTTCGAGACCATCGCCGCGTGGACGGGCTCGACGCTCGGGGTCTGCCCCTGCGAATGCCACAGCCACAAGCGGCCCGTCGAGGAACTCGAACCCAAACACGCAGATGCCGGCTGCGAAGGCGGCGGGGTTTCCTTTGAGGACGACGACTGCGGCTCGGTAATCACCACCGCCCCGCTGGTGTGTGGCCAGGAAAGCGGACGGTGCCCCCGGAAGCCAAGAGCTCGGGTCCCCCGGCGAGGTGGTGACTTTCCCCCAGGGTGGCCCGAGGAGGGGCGTGACCGGGCGAGGAGTGAGGAGGTCCGGTACACGGATTTGTTCATTCTGGAGTGGCGGGAACGGTGCTTCCGAGAGGAGATCCGACGAGAGACCGTCCGCTGAGCTGAGTGCGTGCATGCCTTTGCCTCAGTGCTGCCGGCTTTGTCTGTTCCCACACCGCTACTGGGAGTATCAGAGGTCTGAAACGCAGTGGTGGTTCGCGGACTGTACATTCCTCTTGAGCGCTTGATGTGTTTCAACCACACAGTCTTCTATTAAACCCAAGCTCTGTGAGCACGCGTTAAAACGCGCAGGTTACCTCAAAAAGAGATTTCTTTGGTCTCCCAGCCAGCTCATAGCCATCGTCGTGTGACATACTAATGTATTAATGATGTTCTCCATCCTGAACCGTATCGACATTGAAGTGAATTAACTGCCACCCGTCCCAGGTAGAACGTAACACGGGCGCATAAACTATCTAAGCCGCTTTATAACACCCACTACCTACTGCCTTAGTCTTTGCAGGTCCCACATATATATTAATGAACGCCTGCCACTGCTTTGTAGTGTCACCCCCCGTAGCCTTGGGAATATTGACATCACACCCCAGAGCCTTGTAACCCGGCGCAACCAGCCCCGACACCGCGTTTACCACCGACTCGAGCAAGGCGACCGAGTTATACAACTCAGAAGGGAAGTTGGCATATATAGCATTGTAAAGGAAGCACGACAGCGCCTGGACATTATTCGGCAGGCTGAGCGGGCCCGCAACCCAGCTCTGGTCCGCCCCGGCCCCGCCCAGCGCGGGCTTCGCGTACAGGTAGACGTCGAGGATCCCGCCCACGGCCTCGGCGACGGTCATGGGCGTGGCGCGGCGGTACCACCCGGCCTCGGGGATGCGCTCCGGCACGCGCGTGTAGGTGAGCTCCGGGTCGTTCCACGCGCCGGCGCGGTCGGGCCTCGCGCCGTAGAAGGAGGTGACGGACGCCTCGTTCGCGATGCCGCCCGCGCCGATGGTCCCGTTGGAGAAGAAGCCCGGGATGAAGTAGTAGGCGCCCATCACCACGGCGGCGCTGGGGACGTTGAAGTAGAACTTCTTGTTGGCGGCCCTCGAGGCCGCGTAGCGGTTCTTGAAGTGCTCCTTGACGGCGGCCGTGTTGTACGTGCCGCCGCCCCGGGCGAGGGCCTGCTGGTGCAGCTGTTTGAAGAGCTCGGGCCGGAAGGACATGTTGTCGCCGCCGCCTAGGTAGAAGTCGTTGCGCGTGGGAGAGGCATCGCCCTCGTTGAATTTTCCTTTGTTGCTGTCAGCTACTAGAGTCCTCAAAACCGATACCCATAGGGTCATGTTTCCTACCGTGACCTGCGATGCCAGAAGGTGTGCCAAAGATGCCGTTGAGGGCACCACTCAGCAAGCCCACGCGGTTATCTGGCCCACCGATGCTCATCTTCTGTGAGAGGATGTCGCCGCCATCCACGGCACCACCGACAGCCAACAGGGTGGACAATTCAGCTCCCATGTTGAATACTTCTGCAGTGGCAGCATTGATCTGACCAATGGTGGCGATGCCATTGCGGGGAATGTACCCATGATTTGCGAGAGTATTCAGCCCGGGACAAGGACCCCGCTGGTCAGTAGGGCCGGGTGCCTGAAACGGATATTTGGCTGAGACTGGATTAGCACAGAGCATGACATATCGTCAGGAGTGGTTGTAGATTTACCCTCGGGGAACCTTTTCAAGCCTTGGACGCACTTAGCCGTAGGAATGAGGCCGAGAACGTTGTCGACAATCGCATCAAGAGTACCACCAACCAGGTCAGCGACGCCCCCTAGGAGTCCGGTGCCCCCGAGGAGTCCGGTGCCCAGCAGACGGGCCTCGTGATGCTGAGGCTCTTTAGGAACTCGGCTGTCAAGTTCATGCAACCGCCGGTTGATTTCTTGGCGGGCCTCTGGGTGGTTGAGAAGATTGTCCATCCCTTCGGGAGTCATCCAAGGGAAGGCCAGCACAGAGGATGCGCTCAGCGCGAAGAACAGAATAGAGAAGCGCATGTTCAACACGTTTGATATGGTAGAAGTGGAATTTGAGAAATCCAAGCGCTGGGATCTTGGAGAGACTCTGACCAGTGTTGACTGGTCCCGGCCATGCCAATATGATGGCGACTCTCAGCGACGTATTTATACAAGCCCTCCAGATGTATCGGCGTCCTCTTCATTTCTTTTCATGCCATCGTCACATGCACAGTCTCCTAGACTGGATGTGTCGATATCAGGATGGAGCTTTCAGCCGCGACAGAACTTCCTTAGTGTGGTCTTCCACTTCTTTGAGACATCAATATGTATCGTTAATCCTTTTCGTCTATTGGTTCCTCGCAAGCCGGAGGGTCTCACTCCCGCTGTTAGTCTATTGCGGCCCGCATGCTGATCGACCTGACAAAGACTAGGGCGGACCCGGGGCTCTGGGGGCGGGATGGGATCTGCATCATTCGCCTTGTTCATCCAGCCACATACCTCATTGTCGGGTACAAGGTGTAATGTATGTCTTGAAATTATATCCGTTCTTTCAACTTGGCTGCGCTCGGTCTTATTACTCTTGATCATATTCAACCTACTAGCATGTGGTGATGCTCGACGTTCCATACTGTTTCTGGATCATATGGTCCTACGTTAGGGTATGTCAACCTCGCGGACCTGAACTTCCATCGGCAGAGGCAACGGTTCTTGAGCTTAGGGGACTAGCTTTGTACACGTTAGTGCCTACACTCAAATGAGGGATGATCAGCACATCCCCTCCATGGGCGAGGGAAACCTGTCGTTGGGGTTGGGAGCAGATCACCACAAGCCTGAGCATAAAGCTCGAGACCATCAAGTTTCGATTGGCTGGAATCGGAATGAATAGCTATGTCCTTGCGAATTCACTGTTCACACCAGACTAGCACTGGCTGTGGGCCCTGCTGAACACCAGGGCTTAGTTCCGCCAAGAGCCGCCTCATTTCTTTGACTGCTCTGAAGCTATGACACAGCAACCGACTTCTTAGGCACCTCAGGCTTGTCCGAGTACTGCAGCTTCGCCCTCAGCTTCCTGTAGTCGTCTTGCAGGACCGGCGGGTACTTGGCGGGGTTCTGGCCGCTGGCGCAGGCCGGGAGGCACTCGATGATGGATTCCGGGTCGGGGCTGACAAAGTACGGGATCGAGTAGCGGGCTCTTGTCAGGCCTCTGCCTCCTTCGGGCTGCTCTTTTGCAACTGGCGGCAGTGTGACGCGGTGGAGTGTCGACTTGAGGTAATCTGACGTGAGGGGTTTCAGTCAATCTGACAAGGAGATCTCTCAGTCTGCCGAACTCAGGACCGACTCACCGTTGCTCCACCGCATGAGCAGGTCACCAACGTTCATGACCAGCGCCCCTTTCATAGGCGTCGCGTCCACGAACTCCCCCGGCTTCCTGGGGTGCTCGACCTGTAGCCCACCACAGTCATCCTGGAACAACATCGTGATGGAGCCCCAGTCCGAATGCGCCGGCATCCTCGCGATCGCATTACTCAAGAGCTTCTCGGTCTCGACGGGCGGGTAGTGCAGGAGCCGCAGCTGGTTGTTCTCGCCGCTGTGGAACCTCAGGAGGTAGTCCGGGTCGTCCAGCCCTATCCCTATGGCGATGGCGCGCAGGAGCTCCTTGGCGGTGTCGAAACACGACCAGTAGAAGCTCGTCGTGAACTCGCGGAAGCCCGGGAGCACCTCCTCCGGCAGCCACTGGTTGGGCTGCTGTGCAAAGGTCTCGCTCCCGATCTCATATGACTCCTTGCAGTCCTGGACCTTGCGGAGCTCGGCATCCTCGTCGTCGGAGTCTGCGTCGTCCTTGTGGATGTACTGCGACACCTTCTCGAGGCCTGGCCAGGAGTAGCCTCGGTGGACGTTGGGTCCTGGGGATGGGTCAGCAGACAAGCATCAACATCATGAGAAATGAACCTCTGGTCCCGAGTCGTGTTGGATCGTTTACCTGGAGGGTGGGGTGCGAGCATCTTTTTCTCCTCTGGCAGGTCAAACAGCCTTTTCGACCAGCTGAAAGCCTCGTCGAGGAGCTCGGGGGTGACTCCATGATTAATCACATAGACAAAGCCCACACTCCGGCAGGCTTCTGCGAGATCCTTTGCGACTGCCTTCTGCTCCTCCGGCGAGCCGTGCAGCCACCTGCTGAAATCTATCACAGGGAGCGATGCAGCCATATTGTAAGTATTAATGAGACTGTTAGGGGCCTTTCGTGTCGTTTATTTTTATCCGGTGGCGATATGCCCTCCTGTAGTGTTGCTGGGCACCTGAGGCTGCTTCCTTTCCTTTTCTGTTACCGAGCCGATGCATCTATAGGTCGATGTCATGCCACATGCTGAGTGACGTGGAGGGAGGGGATTTAAACTATCTTAGGTGATGCCGGACTGGAGCTTGGCACCAATAGGGCGCCTGGGGGTGCAGTGCAGATGGAGATTCCACATACAGTTTGCCGCCGTCTCTGCATTGCCGATCTTGAGAGGTTATCGGACGTCGCCGAGTGAGGAGGATGCATGCATGTTATCTATTAGGGGCAACACGCTCAGAACAGAGAATGCCGCCGCCACATCGCTCGAATAGTCCCGAGCTTATCAGGCCGAACCCGAGACTGCGGCCCTTTTTCTTTTGGAATTAAGCCGGACCTGTGAGGACGGAAATACTCGAGGCACCGGGGGGGCTCAGGGGCTCCAAGACGGGCGTATCGGCGTTGATCTTTGCTGCCTGCCTACATAAGCGGACTGCCGGGGCTCTCGCATTCGATCTCTGATCTTCTGTTACATCAGGGAGACAATGGCCTGACACATTTCCCCCAACCTCTCTGTTCTTCAACTGTCGATGGTGCTTTTCTCTGCGCCAGCAAGACATCCCGACATGGCCGGCGAGCCCAAGTCCCGCGTGTCGTACTGGGCGAAGCGGCTCGAATGCCCTGTTGACGAGAACGCAAACTACCGCAACACGTTCTGGTGCAACCGCGATCTGATCCCGATCCCCGAGGACAGGAGGACCTGGACTTGGCAAGGTTTCGCTGGGTACTGGGTCATCTGTGGGTACGTGCTTGCATACACATAAGCTCGAGCAATGTCTCAAGCCGCCGCGGTGCGGCGCCCCCCAAGTTTAGGTACTCATTAATCGTGCACAGCATCAACACAACTGCATGGACCGCCGGGTCGACCTTGTTATCTCTGGGCCTGAGTGCCCCCCAGGCCATAGGCTGCATGGTCGGCGTTGCCCTCATCTCCGCCCTCGTCGCCGTGCTTGCAGGATGGCCGGGGAGTCACCTCTACCTGGGCTTCACGGTGCTGTCCCGAGCCTCATGGGGCATGCGAGGTGGCTTTTGGCCAGTCCTTAACCGTATCGTGACTGCGTGCGTATGGATGGGGATACAGGCGTACTGGGGTGGGCAGTGTAAGTGATTATTACCCCACAACACCGCCAACAACATTTGAACTCGGCCTTTGGGCTGACCGTGATGCAGCTGTCAAAATAATCCTCAGGGCCATCATCGGCCCCAAATTCCGTGACCTGCCAAACACCCTCCCGGTCTCAGCCAACGTCGACACAGCCAGCCTCATATCCTTCTTCGTCTTCATCATAATCTTCCTCCCCCTCCCCATGATCCCACCAGAGAAGCTCCAGCTCCCCTTCCGGATCGTCTTCGTCATGATAACAGCGACCATGTTCGGCATGGTAGGCTGGTCCGTCCACGCGGCCGGCGGGCCGGGCGCCCTGATGTCGACGCCCGCGACGGGGACGGGGTCCTCGCTCAGCTGGGCCGCCGTGTTCGGGCTGCAGTCCATCGTCGGGTCGCAGGCGAGCGGGTGCCTGGGCCAGTCGGACTGGACGCGGTACGCGCGGACGCCCAACGCCGCGCTGTTCGGGCAGCTCATCTGCGCGCCCATCTTCATCGTGGTGACCTCCGTGTGCGGCATCATCATCACGAGCGCCGCGGCGTCCGTCTACGGCGAGTACATCTGGAACCCGTTCGAGCTGCTGCTGACGGTCCAGGCGCACTCGATGAGCCCCGCGGCGAGGGCGGGCACGTTCTTCGCCGGGTTGGGGTTCCTGGTCGACCAGCTTGCGTTGTGCCAGATGCTGAATGGCATCTCGACGGGGATGGACATGGCGGCGCTCTGTCCTAAGTGGATCAATATTCGGAGGGGGTGCTATATCCTCACGGTGATCGCCATCGCGATTTGCCCTTGGAACTATGTGACCAACCCGGGGACCTTCATTACCGTGCTGAGCGGCTGGAGCGTCTTCCTCAGCCCAATGACTGGCATTGTCGTCTCTGATTACTTTCTCGTTCGAAGAGGTCAGTATCACATTGGCGATATGTATATGGGAAACAGCAAGAGTGCATACTGGTATACCTCTGGGTTCAACTGGAGATGCTTCTTGGCGTGGGGTTTGGGAATGGCACCGCTCCTTCGTAAGTATATTTCAGACATCGTCTCCGCTGCATGTCGATCGTCACTGCTCTTTCCGCCATACTGACCCCAGTTTACAGCTGGCTTTGCCCGCGCCATAAAAGAGATCTCGTCGGGAGATGGATGGGATCATTTGTACCAGATCTCTTATTTCTACGGGTTCTTTGCCGCCTTGACGATGCACTGGCTTCTTCACATAGCATTTCCCACTGCAAGACAACATGGCAGCTCGCCATTCGTGCTTGAAGCACACGCGGAGATGTTGGACAGGCCTGGGAGCGACGAGGGCACGGTGGATAGTTTAGAAGAGGAGAAAAGCGCACCAGGCACAGGTCGACAAAACGACCTGGAGTCACAGCATATTTGATGAGATGCCGATAATCGCTGAAGAGAAAGGGAGGCTGAAAAGTGAGCGTTGAAGGAGCGTGGGGGCCTACCTAGATATGGGTAGGTAGACAAAGTAATTCCGAAATGGCAGCGCATAGATGCTGCAGTCAATGTTCCAACTTGAAGCTCGCGAGAGTTTGCTAGCATCCTTGAAATGCTACGACTGGTTCCAGTCACTCTCGTGGGTAGCTGCCATCGTTCGCAGAAATGGAATGCGGATTTCGAGTGCGAGATTCGGGACGCAGAAAAGGTCAATCGGCGTGTTGATTTGTAGGACATGGTTGCTGCCATTCCCTGATGCCAGTCGCACGAGATCCGGGTTCTCTGCCCTGCCCCAACCCCTTGCATTTGGGCTTCGGAAGAGCGGCAGGGCGCCCATGATTCGGCCCAAATGGGACACGATACATCAAACTCGATTCGAAATGAGACGGGTTGCCGATGTTGGCCTGGGACACCGCAATGCCATGTAGTCAAGCATCATTCCCCATGGGCAAGATCAACGGTTGCACTCGCCTAATGTCGGTGCTGCGTCATTTTTACCCCGAGCTCACCGATAATCAGTGCATATCTGCGCAGTGATTCGCGCCCGTGAGGTTCTCGAGCCGCACAATGTGGATACTGACGCAAGGATTGCAAAACCTGGCTGCATCAACAAGAACTGGCCAGCAACCTGATTCAAACCAAGCACCAGCACCGTCATGTGGCATCCGGGTCATGAGTCTCGTCGCTCTTCTCGACAACTAAATCGAACACAGCAAATCAGCTGCATTCCACCAATACAACCTACCTGAATAAACAGAAAACACAGCAGCAAATCCTCATCTGCCTGCAGCCACAATGCCTGGGCGCATAGGGCCATACCAGTACCTTGCCGACCTGGTAATCATGCACTACCAGAACTCAGCCAGCAACTACGGCGGCGACAAGCAACAGCAGCGCAGGTGTCTGGTGGCCGTGGGCGGCGGGCTGGGCAGCGGCAAGACGACCATCTCGGGACACGTGCGCGACCGGCTGGACGAGCAAGGGTACAGGTGCCAAGTCGTCAACGTCGAGGGCTTCCTGCGGCCGCGGGCGGAGCTGTCGGAGGAGCAGCTCAAGCAGCGCGGGGCCATCGACACGATGGACGGCGAGGCGGTGCTGCACATGGTGGAGGAGGTGCGCGACAGCCGGCCGGGCGAGGACGTCAGGCTGCCCGGGTTCGACGAGCACTCGCGCGAGGCGGTGCCGGGCGGCCAGGTGATCCGGCCCGAGACGCAGGTGGTCATCATCGAGGGGACGTACGTGCTGGCCAACGCGCAGCCGTGGAGGCGGATCGGGGCCCTCGTCGACCAGAGGTGGTTCGTCTTCGTGATGCCCGATGTGGCGCGCGAGCGGGGGGCCAGGAACTACATTGACAAGGGGATCGTGGGGAGCGAGGAGGAGGCGCTCAGGAGGTACGACGAGATCGGGGTCTACACCAACAAATATGTCAACAAGCACTCGTGCCGGGTGGATGTGGTTGTCGAGAACAACGACGATACCGTGCCGCTCACGGGCTAATTGGTTTCCGCCCGAGTTTTCCTCGACGCCGATGGCCGGATTCTGGGCATGGGCGTGCAGTCAGTATCAGTGGTTCACCTCCGCCATGCTAACGGCGTATCTGGGCAACGTTCCGTCCTGGAGGCTGACATTCCGTGGTCTTGTGGGGCTTGAAAGCCCTACAATCGACAGGCCGACACGAGTCTTTCGGAAGACCCTGTGGCGGAGGACTACTAGTAGGAAGTCTACGAGGCGTTCTGGGGCTAACCGAGATTTTGGGAAATTGTAGCTGTCGATGCAGGTCGCGCTGTGCCTCACTGGCTCCGGTGCGTACCCATTGACGCGAGAGAAGGCGGAAGATGCAGATTTCGGACGGTCAAAGCGATAGGATTTAGGATGGAAATGGTTATGGCGTTAGGGCGTTGAGGAGAGATAGAGGCCATGTTTAGAAGCAAGAATTGCCAGGCGAGGCTGCTTTGGAAAGAGCCTGAGGGGGGGGGGGGGGATCGAGGAAGCTTGACAATGGGCCACAGAAGGGCGAGCTCTGGATCGCTGAACATGAGGCAACAGAGCCTCCTGGTCCAGCTCGCGGTCTTCTGCACGGCAATCACGTACTCATTCAGCTGCTGGATTTGACATTTCTTCTGAGTGGCTGCCCACCAGCTGGACCCGTGGAGTTTCCCATCCCGTGAGCACCTTCCTTCGCCCAAGCCCAAGTTGGCTCCTCAGCTTCACAATCCATAAAGGAAGGAATCACTACCATTCAGAAGCCTGTGCTCTGCTGCCCCCTGCGGTACGGGAGAGGTCGAAGGACGGTTAAGGCGGAGTCAGGTGAACGTGTTGCTGATAGTGAAGAACAACCTGCGAGCGAGACATCAAAAGGAAGAGTTTAAAGATCATGAAGGAGAAATATATGTGACTCATCTGCAGAATGCTCAAGTATATAGCTATTTGCACTATTCGATGTCTTCTATTAAGCAGCAACAACCGTGAGCTACTTGGGACAGGGTGCAATGTATCTTTCAAGATAAACGCAGAAAGCTTCCCCATGTATGGATTTCACGGTGAATTCCCAACCTTCTGCGAACCACTGTATCCTAGCCGTAGAATTAGACCGTGCCTGTTCGCGCCGGTGCTATCAGCTGTGATAGGGCTGAAGTATAATGTGAGAAGCGACGTACTTGCCGGTCTACAGGTGGGAGGTGGGCACACTGCCGTGCTGTCTCTTGCCTTGTTGTGACCATGTTCAAGTCAAAAGATGGCAGGCTCACTGTGTCGAGGCTGGAAGATGAAAATTACCCTAATTGGAGCCGAATTCACCCTGAGGCTCAATTGTCCGGTGCTCGCTTATTACTCAAGCCTAATTCTCCCAAGCCCATGGGACCTGGGGCATGCCCGCAACTTGAGAGGGGGTTTGAAATCGATGGCGTATTTCACACACCTGTTGGTCCATTTCAAAGAATGGCAAACAACTTAGAACGTAATCGGTTCAGATTTCTGCCAGAAACTTGTCTCTTTCAGCTAGACCAGTACTCAAGTTATTAATCGTTTCAAGGGGCCGGACAAAGGCAAGAGCGAGGTCTTGTCTTCAATCAAGACAGCGGACTTCCCAAGGCCGCGCTGCAGCCAAGAAATCGCCATAGAGTCCTCCCAAGAAACCCCAAGACTCGATTCAGCGCGATAGGCTGTGGCGTCCCTATCTCGTGGGCCTAGTGAAACGCGCCTAGTTATTGGCATCACCTTGCGGCCGCCTATCCGGCTCAGCCTCATGTTTAAACCTGCCCAGAGCCATGGCGAATTAAGCTGCTGCGCACCGGGAAAGAATCTTAGCTACGTCTTCGTCCGGTGACAAGGCTCGGAGGCCGCAATACTGGACCTCGGGACCATCGTCCCATATACTAGTTAGTAGGGCATTGCTGGTCTTAAGATGCATGGCTGCCGCCCAGCACGAATGCTGCAAAAGGTTGATATGAGATTGGTTGACGTAATTTTTCGAATCTCGGACGTAGGAGCGACAGAAAACTTCCTGCTCAGTGGTGGGAAGGTGACTTTTGTTGCGGCTCCCCGGAGCATTTTAAGACAAATCTCAGCACGGCCCGCAGCCCCCCAAGGTAAGGTTAGATACGATTCCGGCGCGGCACCCAGCATCGGCAGCCGGGGCCACGCACCATACCACGGCTGCCGGGCCTGATCGACGAGCTGCATTGCTCATCATCTCCCGCGAGCCGCCGGCATGAGCCGCATGTTGAGCAGGGATGCAGCTAGCTGCCATTGCACCCGAGAGGTTGAACGTCAATCATGCTGCTGCAGAGGTAGTCTACCAAGCATGTGGTTAGCTATGCGTCCTGGAATAGTAGCTGACCAGCGAGCACGCAAGCAAGCACGCATGTGTGCATGCGTGTCAATCCTTGGTAGTTTCATATGGGCCCTACGTAATTCCGCACCCAGGCAGGCACGCACACATTCGTATTGCTTCTGTGCTTCCACGCCCCTGGAACCTGGAAACGACTGCAAGTGGGGTGGGTGCCTTGCACCCCTCCCTCTACACGGAGCGTGGTCCTGCCCAGAGCAGGCCCTGATGCAATTCGTTCGTCGCCTGCGACACGGATTTCTGACGGGGGTCGAGTTTGTCATGCCCGGGGACCCGGCCGAACCTGTGCCGCCTCTGCCGTGGCCGCCGTCCCTTGCTCAATAATCTGCCCATTGTGCCACGGGGTGAAAGTGAGGCCAAACCAAGGGGCCACGTACGGGTGTCACGAACATGGCGAGATGCACAGCAGGATATCGGGCCAGCCCGGGGGGTGGGGGGTTATGCGACGTGGGGGCAGCAGGCCCGGGGTAGGTGCTGTGTAGGCGCGCGTGTGTGTAATTATATGCTGTGGGTGCACTTTTCGGCGCGTACCTAGGTATGTGCCGAGGATCAATATGATAGTTGGACAGGTTTGGTAAGTAGGTGACCAAAAGGGCGGCTTAGTATTGGGGGCCCTGGTCCTTTTTGTGGCAGTCCGGTGGGGCTGCAGGATGCAGGGCATGAAACATAATACACATGAGCAACATGAAACCTGGGATGGGTTGATATGGCTTCATTCCTGGGCGCCCGCCCGCCCACGTCAGACCTCGGGAAACAGCCTCCGACACTGGCTGCTTGGCCGTCAGCTGATCATGAGTCGAGCCCGCCCGCCGACGGGGGGCGCGCTTCAAAATGTTTCTTGGGGAAACTCCTGAGGGCTTGAGGGCCCGCCAGGCGCCTGGCTACAGGTCTTGTCCTTGGTATTGATTGATCCTGTGGTTGATGGTGCAATTTTACCCCCCGATTTCTCCGAAAGCATAAGGGTTTTGTTTAATATTTGATCGGCGGTGAACCCATTCTTTTTGGCCTGCCTGTTGTTCTTCGCTGGTCGTGCACTTGCATATGCTCGGAACTTTGCGGCTGAATCTACTTACCCACTTCACCACGTTCATTCACACCCTTTTTGTGATAGTATGCCAAGCCAGCTAGCATCATCATCTTACACCAAATAATCAATCATAATGCCTGCCATTCCCCTCGACGCCCGTGCGATCAGCCAGGAGCTGGGTGAGCACCTCAATTACTACGTGGCGAAGTCAACACAGGAGTTGGGAGAGCACCTCAACTACTACGTGACAAGATCAATAGATCACCGCGCCCTCGAGGTGATTGCAGTGTGTAAGTTGCCTTTTCCAACTGCGTCTCTCCGTCCTGCCTGAATACCTAGTTAATTAACTTGCGCCAGTGGCTACCATCATCTTCGGCGTGGGCGGCTACATGTACTACGCGATCAAGGTCCAAAGCAAATGAGCAAAGCAATCCTGTGCGACCTATGTACAGGTCGTCTGGAACACGCACACGCACACGCACAAACAGGCGTTATCAACACCCGGAACATTTGAACAATACCAGTGCCAGATCTATGATCAACAGCCACAACACCCCGTGTAAGAAGTGGAAACCCCGACACAAAAGTGTGCACCGCCAAAGCCAAAATGGTTGCGAGCTGCAGGGCGTCAATGGGCCGCGGGATCTCGACGGACGAGAGAACGAGCGGCATGCAGAGGATGCACGGGTGCACTCTCACCCATACTATACAGGTCCCAGGTTGATCATTTCAGACACGTGATTACAGCAGCTTTAGACGAGATACCCCCGGATCAATCGGATTCCATGGCGCACAGGACAGGCATATACATCTGAGCACGCAATTCTATCTGCAGAAGCAGCAGAGAGAGATATATATCTATCCTCGATTCGATCATTCTGCCATCAGAGAGTATGGATGGCATAGACGAAGCCGAAGAGATTAGATTACAGCTCGAGACATGTTCCCCACACGGATGCGGCACTGTCATAAGCTAGCCTGGGAAGACGGCTGAAGCAGAAGAGAACTGGAATTATCCAGAATGTGCGTCGGCTTTTTCAGGAGGCAACTCTTCAATGGCAGACCTGGGGTTGAAGGCGTCCCAGACTCAACTTGAGAAAAGAGATCTGGCAGTCATTCTAACTATCAGCCCTGGAGACTTATTAGAAGGGGCTGGCCCAAAGTCAGCCAATTATAAATACATGTTGCTTAGCAAAGCTGTGATCTGTTACGCTGCTTCATACAGTGGTAAACGCTCAAGACACAGCGTTTAAAAAAGTGCACTGCCAATAACAGCGTAGTAGAGGGTACAGTACGTCTGTGGGCACGTTAAATCGGTTCTATGCGCGAGATCTGATTCCTTTCCGCCATCCTCTGAGATCAACATCTATGAAACCATTGAATTGCATGGTTACAAATCACAGCATCCACGGGAACTTTAGTGAGGTCCAATTAAAGGTTCATGTAGAAGTCAATATCCTGTGCAAGGTTAGATTTTGATTTATTAGAGTAATTATTTTCCTAGTAATTTCTCCCTCGTCCTCCCTCCTCCCTCGTCCTCCCTCCTCCCTCCTCCTCCTCCTCCTCCCTCGTCCTCCCTCGTCCTCCCTCCTCCCTCGTCCTCCTCCTCGTCCCTCGTCCTCCCTCATCCTCCCTCGTCCTCCCTCGTCCTCCCTCGTCCTCCCTCGTCCCTCCTCCTCCTCCTCCTCCCTCCTCCTCCCTCCTCCTCCCTCCTCCTCCCTCCTCCTCCCTCCTCCTCCCTCCTCCCCCCCTATTTACACCCAAACCTACCACACTACACACACTAAGACCTTCAGTATGGTGTCATATAGTTCAAAATACCCTCAGTGTAATGAGGTATACCGGGCGCAATAAACTACATCATTACACTGAGTGCAGTCAATGGCAACCTTGTGTATCTGGTGTAGGTAGTCGCTAGCCTCTCACACCTGTTGGGTCTCTCTGCGTCGCACCTTCCCGCTCCCATATCACAGCTCGACTAATGGGCAGTAGTCCCAGAAAGCAGTCACATCTGTGCGAGTTGCCTTCTAATGCAGAAAACAAAAAGAATTGGGAACCTTCCCGGTTCCCGCACTTTACACCATCACCCTCCGACCCATCACCGCAAGCCCCATTCAACCCCATCATCATCATCGAGGCTCAACATGTCTCACTTTCCTGACGACTGGCTTGAACGCCCCGAGTGGAGTCACACAATGCTGGCACCCATCATGTCAGACCTCTCAGACATCAGAGATAGACTCCAGGGGCCCGTTCACGAAAGCCTGACCGCTGGCGACGCGTTGGTACGTCTGAGAAGGATCCGCGCATCAATCACCCCGAGTGACTACCTACTCCACGACCTGCGAAGAGCAATGTACCCAATGCGAAGGCTCGAGGCCTTTCGTGTGCCCAAGCGGGTCGCGTGCTACGAGATGTTCCGCGCAAATCCCGATCGGTGGTTCAGAACGAGCAACAATATGATGGACAACAGATTGAGCGATCTTGTTTTCAACACCAGAGCTGTTCCTTGGTTCAAGCCCCTGACTGGGCCAATCTCTTTCCTGAAACATGTTGTAAGCAACATTGAAGCGTCTCAGCACCTCGGGATGGCTAGTGGTGAACCAAAACTGACCTCAGATCCAGCAACATCGGCGCACCGGCCAGTTATTGTCGACTGAGGTAGGCAGGCCCCTCCTTGGCCCCGTCTTCCTCAGTGTTCCTGTTGTTACTCACGATCATATCTCCAGAGGTGGACTGCGCAAAACGATTTGCGTCTTCGTGGAATGGTCATTGAGTTCGGCGCTGAATCGAGAGGCTGCCAGCCCCAGTGGGTCGGAGACAGCCACCCCGTCCACGAACCAAGAGGTGCCTTGAGGTACATGATGCGTAGGTACCTAGGTATTCTTGCTATTTCTCCTTGGCTTACGCCTACTGACCAACCCTGTCCCATCATAGTCAACGTCGACGTCGCAATCAACGAAAACAACGCGCCGGACGTCATGTGGGGCATCTTCGCAGCCGACCCCTCCAAGGCTCTATTGCTGGCCGAACCCTCGCAGAGGCCCCCCTCGGAGAGCCCCCCCTCGGAGAGGCCCCCCCCATTTACCCCTTGGGATGTCATGATCCTGCGTGACGTCGTCACCAACTCCGCTCACCAAGAGCTCAATGGCTTCGAGCACATCGTTTCTCGCCAGTTTGACATGCTCCTCATGAAGTTGGATGATGATCCGGCACGTAAGCTCTAGCATTACCCGATCTAGCTGTTTGTTGGATTAGATACTGACAAGGCCACTTGTACAGGCCCCTATGTTGTTGTCGCGATCAGCGATGCTGGACCCAAGCCTCCGCAGAACCCGTGATGCAGCTCCGATGGACAATGCGACAACACCATCAATGGCCTTCACAGGCTTATCTTATCGGCGACGCCTGGCTCGGTTTCTGAGCAATTTCTCCTGCGACCGACCAATGGCAGGAAACCTTGGCGTTGTTATCATGGGCCAGCCTTTCGGTTTCATTGTAAAGTACAATAAGCAAACACATGGGAATAGCCTCACTCTTACCTGGAGTTTCATCTTGTAGACTGGTTGTTGAAGTCAGGCCGCGTAACATTCCAGAGGTACCATTGAGTTAGTAGGAGTAAGATAGGATCTCAAAGTCCTTGCCCCTAAAGCTCTAGTACAATAACACTTGTGTTTGACTATACAGAGAATTGTACCTGGCCGAGGGTCTTGGAGGAGAATGGATTCGCGCGATGGTGTGGCTCGTTTCCCCTAAATCGACAAAACTGTGAACGCCTACAGAACCTGGCTGAATAGAATCATGTCAAAGACAACACAGCCATAGAATCTTGTCAGGCCATTGTTTGCACTGCGACAACTCATGAACCACTCGCAATTCATCATCTGAACCCGAGAAGGGTGAAAGATAGGCGGGCCGGTGACATGGGAACTCGGCAGTTGAAGTCTGTCGGATCATGTGTTGACCCTGACCGCCAAAATGGTTTCCTGTCATGGTTTCACAGTCCACTGGACGTACGAGCCTCAACCTGGACGGTAAGACGACATTTTCAAAAAAGCGGTGGGGCCTCACAACAACTGCGTCACGGCCAGTATGTAGCATGAAGAAGAATCCGTATCTCCGTTTCCCTAAAAGGGACATATGATACCTGCGGAGTGCCTCATGACGTGGATGTCTATAAATACGGCGCCCCAGCACGGAGAAGGCCCCGTATACGGATAGGTCGGAGAATTTTGCCACTTGACAGTCGTCCCCGAATCGATGGTACACTAGGGAGTAGAACTCAATTGACTCTTGGGACCGATACTGGTGCTCGATCGAGAGAAGATGCTCGCGGAGGACATGAACAGCCCAAGCAGCCTTGACACTGTCTCATGCAGCCTGCGTGGCAATGACGCGGATCTCTCAAGAGCCCTCGGACGAACGACCCATGCAGTGCGAAGCGATTGGGCCCTCCGGAACCCTGGCTATAACTGAGCTCTGGAGGTCTTATGATGGGCGGCCGGTAATGCCGAAAAATCTAGAGAACGCATTGGGTGGGATTCAACTGATGCACAACAAGCCCGAGTGCGCAAGGCGCAAGAGGGTAATGCACACGTGCCCTGGGGTGGAGCAAGTATGTTCGCTTTCGGCCGGCAGTATGCTGATCTTAAGCTCTAGCGACAGCAATGCGCACACGTACACGGTCAAGATCACCACCACCGCCTTGTGAGACTGGGCTGCTGCCGGTTTCAAAGTTTCAGCCGCCAAGACGAGGCAGAGAGACGTGCAGAATCCTGTGTGCGGTGATCCGTCTGAAGGCATTCACGGCTGCGAGTGCCGGGAACGTGCTCACTTCAGGCAGACTAGATGCCAGTCTGAGAGGGAGGCCGTGGCAGCTACTGCATCCCAAGGTTTGACCAGAGGTCCAGAGGTCTGGGCTTTTGCAGTGTACGGATGATCTCGTCCGAGAGCGTCTGGCTCTTGAGACGAACGATGGTTGCAATCACTGCTTATCAGGTTCGGCGGCAGTAGCTGTAATCCGTACCTAGGTAGGCACACGTCTGGATAGTCGGCACCAGATCGGCCCAGCTGCGAAAGAGAATGTAGGCCTCCACTGGCTTACCACGTGTGTTGGGGGGATGGTTCCCACTTTGAGGTTATGATCAGACGTCAGACGTGGGATTATGTGGTGTTTCAGAGTCAGCCCAACCCCTGGGCTCAAGGTTTCGGGACGGCCAAGAGCCGCACTTTATTGGCCTCCTTGGCGGGATGATCCACGCCATCCGGGCTTTTGATACCGACCCCGAGGTGTCAAAACAAGCTTGAATTCTTGGCCCCTTTGCCCTATCGAGAGTGCGGGCTGCGGGTCCAGCAGGGCCAGCACCAAGCAGCTGACGTCTGCCCTAGGGAGTTGACAGGTTTTGTTTTTGCTGGGACGGGGCCTCCAGCTTGCCGGTGCCATCCTGTTCACTGCAGGGACGTGGTGTCCCCCACATTGTGTCCAACACCGCTGCCAGATAAGGACGGGCAGAGCTACGTGGTGTTGCAAGGCTGGAGCTTAACGTGAGTCGGTGCTGCCCCTGACGATCAGCCTCCAGCCTCTCACACACACAACGGTTCTAAATCCGGGGCCGGGGACGCCCTCTTCTCCTGCCAAGTTCCAGCCCTGCCTCCAGACAGACAGACATGGGGAATGGAAGACACGGCCACGCTGCTGCTGTGCTGTGCATGTCGGGTGGCGGAAATGCGGCACGGACTGGCACAGACTGGCACTGTGTATTTTTGGGATCCCCACGGGCTCCTGTGGCTCTCGTGTGCGGCGTTCATGTGTCAGAATACGCAGGCAAGCGCCCCCCAGAAATGCGTTGCAAGCTCCTGCAGACGAGCTAAACTGTGTTGAGCCGCTGTCACTGCACACTGTCGACGGTGTCCATCAATGACCCGAACGGGCGACGTGCAGGGGTCCGGATCGACGGCTAAGAATATCAAGGGCCCTCCCTTCCTTTAACATGCCATCCTGCGCCAGTTCCCTAGTGCAAGATGAGCCTCACCTTAATTATATCGGCTTTTCTTTTCGATCTGTTTTTCCGTTCATTTCTCTTCACTGTCATTTATGCAGCTGGTCTGTCTTTTCCTATATCCGTTTTAAAAAAAAACCCACTTACAAGAACGAGTCTCCTGGAGAGTACCTAATCAACAACAACAACAAACATGTCTGACACCAACGGAGGACTGCTGGGTGGGCTGGTGAACGGGGTCGGCGGTCTCTTGGGAGGCGGCCAGAACGCGCGGCCAGCACCGCCGGCGCCAGATTCACCAGATGATAACAACGACACCAATGAGAACAATGACAACAACAGCGGAAACAATACCAACCAAGGAGAGGCCACAAACAACGCTGCGGATCCGGAAGAGAACGACGGCCGAGGACAGGGCCAGGGCAACCGGGCCCAAGGACAGGACGCCAACGGTGATAATGGGAGGCAAGGAGGCCAGGACAGCCAGGGAGGCGGCAACGCCAACAACGCCGGCGCCGCCGAGCCCACGCCCTCAACACCAGCCTCGCCATCGCCGACCTCGATAACGCCCACCTCCGCCGTGGCAGAGACAGCCGCGACGGCAAGCAGCAGCAGCACCAGCCTCCCCGGCGCGGCCCAGCAGCAGCAGCCGTCGTCGTCCAGCAGCACCTCCGCCCCGGCCCCGGCGACCTCGGCAGCGGGCGCGGCCAACACGCCCACGACGCCGGCGGTATCCACCCCGACGCCGCCCGCGTCCACGCCGCTGCTCGAGTCCGTCTCCTCGCTCATCGCGTCCACGGGCACCGCCCCGCTCCCGGTGCCCACGGGGCCCCCCTCGTCACCACCGCCGGCCCCGGGCCCCATCCAGCCGACGACGACGACGACCCCGCTCCTCAACCCCGCCGCGCCGCTGCTGCCGCTGCCCACCACGCTGATCTCGTCGACCCTCGTGGCGGCGCCCTCCCCGCCGGCGGTCGACCCGGCGCAGGCGTCGGCGGCCTCGCTGCAGCAGACGGCGCAGGACACCAGCGACGGCGGCATCCAGAAGACGGAGAGCCGGTCCAACGTGATGACGACGACGATCGCTATCGCGGCGCCGGTGGGCGGCGTGGTCGTGCTGGGGATCCTGTTTGTGATCTTCAAGAAGAACCGGGGCTGCTTCCGGCGCAAGAAGAAGGAGGCCAACGGGAGCATCCTCGACGACGAGGAGATCTCGAGCTGGAGGAGCGTCCAGCACCATGAAAAGTTTGACCCGGCTAGGAATTACTAGGTTAAGATGGCGAGGGTGTCTTCTTTTTGCCAGTGCCAGTGCCACTCACCTACGAGCATTGCCGTGCTGCAAGGGAGCATGCCTGGCGGTGGGCTTTGAGGAACCTGGCTTTATCCAGGGGGGATATAGAAAGGGGGCCGCACTAGCAAGCGGGCCCACGAAAACGAGGAAACCCTCTCTCGTTGAATCTGCGCGCAAGTTGTCATCCTACATAACACACATATATAACAAACAAAACCCCACGAGGATAATGATAGTTCATAGTCATGTATCCTCCGCCGCCGCCGCCGCCGCGTGGTGTCCCTGTCCCTGTCCCTGTCCCTGTCCCGCAGCGGGCGGCAACCCCTCCAGGTGCCCATCCCCCTTCCTCACCATGACCGTCCTCTTCAGCGCCGCGCGGGGCGGGAACGGGGCCTCGAAGACGGCGTCCAGCTCCTCGAGGGTGCGGCCGCGCGTCTCGACGCCGAGCAGGAACCACACGGCGGCGTAGGCCAGGTTTAGCCCCACGAAGACGAGGTAGTAGTGCCAGCCGGTGGCCTCGACCGCCACCGCGGTGACGTAGGTGTTGTAGAGGTTTGCGCAGTTGGAGAGGATTACGTGCTGTGTGTGTGTGTGTGTGTGCTGTTAGTCAGAGACGACGGACCAAGCCAGGGCGGCACTGCGTGTAGTCCGCCCACTAAACCAGCTGGGGGGGGGGGGGCGGTGGGAGCAAAAAAATACTTACGATGCCCATCCCCTTGGCCCTCATGGGGTTGCTCAACACCTCGGCGCAGTACGTCGCCGTCAGCGGGGTGTACACGAACGAGTAAGCACACCCAAACAAGAAGATGAAGGCGATGCCGGCGTTGGTGACCGCAGCGCCCGGGTCACCGTCCGCAACCCCCTTCCCCGAGAACCGGCTCGAAACCCCCGTGACGCCGGCAAACAGCCCCGCGAGCACGACGCTGCCGGCCCAGAGCTTGGTGCGGCGCCCGACGGCGTCGTTGGTGGCCGACCCGGCCAGGGCGCCGGCGCACGAGACGATCGAGTTCATAAACGTCAGCAGGAGGCGGCGCTCGGTCGAGGTCACGCCGACGAGGGTCAGCATGCTGGGCAGGTAGTACGTGAGCACCGAGTTGCCCGACAGCTGCGCGAGGACGGACATGAGCGCCATCATGAGGAAGCGCCAGCGCGCGGCGTGCGTGCTCACGAGGGGCCGGAAGTCGAGGATCCCTCGGACCGACGACCGCTGCGTCTCGATGCCGCGCTCGAACTCGCGCAGCTCCAGCCTCACGAGGGGGTGCGCCGCGTCGCCGCCGCCGTGGTACCGCGCCAGGACCGCCGCCGCCTCGTCGCGCCGGCCCCACATCGCCAGCCAGCGGGGGGACTCGGGGATGAGGAAGCAGCCGGCCACGATGAGGAGGGGCGGGGCGAGCTGCAGGGCCAGGGGGAGGCGGAAGGCCAGCTCGCCGCGGGCCTTGTTGCTGGCGTACGCGACGCCTGTTGCGAGGATGGAGCCGGTGTAGAAGACTGTCTTGCTGTCAGGAGTGCACCAACGGGCATAAAGAGAGACAAACAGGTGTTGTAGTAGCCGACGATCCTGGCGCGCCACTGCGGAGGGGCCAGCTCGAGGGCGTAGGTCGGGGCTGCGCTGGTGCCGATGGAGACGCCGAAGCCCAGGACGAAGCGGCCGGCGAGGAGGTAGCCGTCGTCCCTTGCTGCGGTCTGCACCGCGGCCCCGGCCATGATCAGGCACGATCCGATGGCCATGCCCGCCCGCCTGCCGAACCAGTCGCAGATGGGGCCGGTGAAGAGCGAGCCGACCATGTTTCCGATGGTGTAGATCATGAAGATGCTGTGGGAGAAGGGCAGTCAGCATTTTTTTTTTTTTTTTCAAGAGGCAGACCACCTGCCAAACCCACATTCCAGTGCTCCCACCCAGCTCGGTGTGGTTGAAGTATTTCTTGTACTGGTCCATGGCGTTGATGGAGCTGAATATGGACTAAGTAAGTACAGCCACAGAGTCAGCCACCCGTTTGTTGGCCACTTCAGGATAATAGATTCGATCAGACTTACCCCGTCGAAACCAGAGGAGGTGGCATTGAGGGCGGCGACGAGCAGGATCAGGTACAGCTGCAGGCTGGTCTTGGACCACGGGTCCAGGGGCGAGGCGGTGATGGTCTCGTAGAAGTGCGAGTCGCCTTGGACCTCCTTGATCTCGCCCGCGGACGGCTTGATGTCCTCCATGTCGTCGTGCTGGCGGCTGTTGGCCTGGGCCATCTCGATCCCACCCAACCCCTTCATTTCTGCCATGTTTGTATCCTGGCTAACAACTTTGGAGACTGTTCAAAAGGCAGTAGAGCTGGTGATCAGACCGAGAGTGGTGTTGCGACATGGACGGGTTGACAGTTGACAGGCGACACAAGTTGTGGGACTTCAAAGTTGTGTCCCAAATGGAAGACAAAACCACGGCGAGAAGCATCAGGGCAAGACGGCGCAGACTCACTGATGAGCCACATGGCAGTTACGGGCTGCTGCTGTTGACATTCGTTGCTAGGTCAAGCAGTCAAAAAGTGCCCCTCCCTTCTTACTCCGCACTCCTTCCAAGTTCGATAAGCACGATGTTCAGGAAGCAGCCTGGCAGCTTTGCCATGTCTTCCAACCTTGGAAGGCGGGCAGCAGAGCTTATCATGCAGTGACGATCTGCATGGAACGTTCCCTCGCCCGTCACTACCGAGCAAGCAGTTGGGGTGCACGAATCCCACCAGGTCAGGCAGGTGCAGGTGCACAGCATCTAATAAGCCGGCAGCCACCCGCGCCCGTACCCGGCCAACCCTCGCCCGGTCGGCTGCAGGAAGCCGGCCTCGGCTCCGTCCCGGCCAAGAAATGTGAGGTCGCAAACTCGCTCGACTCGGGCCGCATGCAAAGGCGGGCGACAGCCAAAATGGCCAGCCAGGGACTAACCAACATCATGCTGCAGAAAGGCGCCATCACATCACGAAAGAGGCCTCTCCCATGGCCAAGACACATCGGCCGAGGACCTGCGCCAAGTTCCGCAAGCAGGCCCTGCTGGCTCGAGAGGTTCCCTGATGGGCTTCAGGCGAGATGAGCCGGCCGACGTGGACTTCAGAACACTCTGCCTCCCTCACCGCGTAACGTCAGACAAAGCCCCGTTTCCTCGACCCTTTGAAGTTATACAGACGTGTGTGTGCTAACGGACCAGCGCAGAGTGTGGGCTCTACCACATCCCGTACTCGACTAGGCCAAGAAGAGTTTATGTGGAACATCAGCTTGCGAGTCGACAAGTGCGTGGTCTACTCAACGGCGCAACATTCGACCATGACAGAAACAAGGAAAACTAGCCCAAGATCCCAGAGGCCTTGTTCGCCCAGCCCTGGGGCACCAACGACCCCATCGCCAGCTTCGACGGCATCAACGTCACCCTGCACATCAACGAGGAGACAGGGGGTTAGGACAGACATCTGTCTACCCAACAGGTGCCTGGCCACGTAAGCGCACACTTCAAATCAACCATGCCGGGACCTAGTGTAGACGCAACCAACAAAGCAACCACAACCACACACACAAAAAAAAAGAAGACATGGACCGACGAGCCGCGAGCCCCGTGGGGCGCCGGCGGCGGGTCAGGCTTGCTACTCATGTCTGATGATACCTGCCCCCGGGACCCGATGGGCGAGCCCCGCGGGGTGGGGGGGGGGGGGGGCGGGCCACGGCGGAAGTCGAGAGGCTTCCAGGGGACGCAGAGGAGCACACAACGCATTTCCCGGTGGGGGGTCTCGTCTCGTCTTCTACAGTGTTCCTTTCTACACCGGCGGGCAGTCAGGGATGGACCATGGTGGATGGTGAGGAGCCCTGGAAGCCGACCCGGCCGAGCGGCGCTGACCCGCAAATCATCTCGACGAGCAACGAACCGAGGTCCCCCGTCGGCCGCGGCAGATGCGTGCTCAGTGCCCCCCGGCCGGCCGGCCGGTCCCCCGGGCCAGGCGAGCCGGAACCGGGCGCGCGCCGCTCGGGGAGCTGGTGGGGATGCCGGCTGGCTGGCTGATCTGCGGCCCGTGGGCGTCGGGGGCCTGAGATTCGATTTTTTTGAACTGACGGCGATCCTTGTTTCTGGGCCGGCCGTATTTGATGTCTACAGTACAGCATATATATGAAGCCGAGAGGTTTGCGATAGAATAGACTGGTTATTAGAAGGCAGGCAGGCAGGCAGGCAAGGAAACGGGACGGCGCAATCTGGCAGAAGGGGGGAGATGCTACATTGTCGTTGCCCCCCGAGCGGAGCCGGTCTCAATACCTAACTGCCCCTGTGTTTGTGTGTGTGTGTATGTATGTGTAGTCACGCCCCGCCCCGCGTGGTCGAGGTCGTAGTCGGGTGGTGTCTCAGGCGGTGTCCCGATGTAACTGCATCGTTAATCGGTGGTACGTGTGTGACTTGTTGTGGGGACCGAGGGTGAGTGTGTGTGTGGGCAACAGGAAGCGCCAGATGGATGTCGAGCACCTCACCAGTCTAGTCAGTCACGACACCCAGGTTCCAAGCCGTTAGGTTCAAGACATGTTCGCAGTCACGCCAGTCCTTAAGTTTCCTCGGCTACCTCATCCGCGATGAGACATGTCGCCTGTCGATCGGCAAGGAAGGCGAGAGCGTGTGTGTTCAGATGAACCGGTTCGTTCTCCTTGGTGTGCGGTCGGCTTGGAGGTCATGTGGCTGCTCAAGTGCTGCTGCACCTGGCATGTTTGGTTGGTTGGTTTTGTGCAACGCGAGCAGCTCGTTGGAGGCGTCGTCGACCAACCCCTCCAGTAGCGCCATTCCTTGTTTCCCCGGATTGTTGGCACTTTACTTATTAACGGTCTGACGGTGTGCGGGAGTTGGAACAATACATAAGGAATAAGCCCAGCCATGTTTATGCCGGCAGAGGGCGAGCGCCACGCCTCGGGATTGCTCGGCAGGAACTAGCTCTACAGCAGGGTAGGGCCACCTGGGGGCTTGGTGGCGCCCCGCGGGGCCGAGAGTGGGTAGCTTGCTGGGCGTGGCGCCGTGGCCTGGGCTTTATTATGTGTGGGGTCAGATGGAGGGGAGGACGGCGAGGGGTGTTATAAGGTTGTATTGTGTAATCAGACGACCTCGCTCCTTTATTAACCACTGACTGGAACAGACAGCAACCAGCAGCAGGCAGGCCAGCTGAGATTGAATCTGGAAATAAGATTCAGGGCGCCCTCTTTACCCTCCAAGGTAGAATGAATCAAGGTGTCGCCGCGGGGCAACCTTGGCCCAGCGAGGGTGGCTTAAATCTTAATAATAAATATAGAAAACGTGCGTCAGTCTTGATGCAGACGGATCTTGGTGCGGACCTCCGGACTGCAGTGCATGATTCGCATGCGCCAGGCCGGCCAGGTCGCCGCGGTGCAACTGCTGCACTGCTGCGGTGGTTCTATGGTTTCTGTTTTTTTTTTCTTGGAAGCCGTCCTGTTGACCTGATCTCGAGGGCAGATCGATGTTGCATTTAATCTCGGAGATCTTGTCCGCATGGGTCACGAGAGGGGGGGGGTCCTGGGCTGGCCGGCCAGTAGGTACGGAGTACGGAGTACCTCACTTACTTATTAACATGCACTCAACATGAATGACACCCCCTGCCCTGCTGTCAACGGTCGACCGTCGAGGCACGGGCTGCGACCACAGCAGTCAAGAGTCAAGACGCGATCCTGCGAGGGCTTTGACTCGTTCCATCGTGGCATGCGCGTTCAGGCCTGCCATGCTCCCCTTAATCTCAGGCTGGTCGGTGCCAGGGGATAAAAAACACGAAAGGAACATTAGACCTACCCTACCACCCCGCACTGGGGTCAAGAGGCACAGCGCGTTGGAGTAACTGGGCCTGCTGGCCTGCAATGGTGCGGAACGTTGCAGTCCAAGGGAGCACATCATTTCTTGGCTGCAGCCTGCCCCAGCACCCCCCAGGTCCCTACGAGGATGACTGCATAAGCCGGCCATTTAACTGACATCATCCATGCGCTTTGTTTCTCGCGGGGCATCTGGGAAGGAAACAAGAGAATGTCCCGCCGGCTCGCCTCGCGTCTCAATAATTGTCAATATATCTCCGAAGCGATATTATGATATGCTCTGAATTATCCTAGGTCGAGGCACCATGTCTCTTGTGTTTTTGGAAGGTGGAAATAAGAAAGAGAAAAAAAACCTCTCCTAGGATATTGGCACACGCGATTCCTGCCCGATGGGAGATGAAGATGCCCGCCCTATATCTTGCTACCGCACAAGCTCGGCCAAGGGTGACGGGGCGCAGGGGTGTCCCGCATTTTCCATGGGCCGTTGGTGGCTTCAAGGCCCGCTTGGCGGCTGGGTCAGGCCCGGTAGATACCCGTGGCTTACGGCTGGGGCTACCCCAGGATTTGGGCGGGAAGCCAAGTGGATTGGTGGGGCGGGAGGGGGGCGAGATGATGGGAGTTCGTTGTTCGTTGTTCGATGGTGGATGGGAATTATTATGTGTGTGGCTGGTTAGACAGTACGAGGCTGGGAGGCTGCCCTCTTTTATTCTGCCTCGGTTTAGATGGACTACAATTTACTTAGGTATTTACTGTAATCCGGCAAGCAAGAATAATACTACTTACTGTCTATAGATAGGTCGGGAAACTCTGTTCCCTCGGATATGCACATGCAAGGAGAACGAACCCTCTCCAACAGCGGCCATCCCGCCATCCTGCCACGCCGCCATCCAGGTCCCAACCGTCCGATTGTGCGCGCTGACCTGCCCTTGCTTGCCCTCCCGCCTACAAGGGCCGTTCGTCGGATCGGTTGTTTCCCCTGCAACGATGTCGCACCCACACGAGGTGATCAGCACCTCCCCTCCCCCCCCCCAAAAGAAAACCCACACATCACCGGATGCAGCGTCACTGCAGGTAATCACTAGACCAGCAGGTTCCTGTCCATCGTGGCCTGGGAGGATGCTGCCCTTCGTGCCCTGCTGACCGTGACCTGCCATGTCCAGCATCCAGACGAACAAGACCAAGCTCCAACCTGTGCTTCTATGCTGCCTGATTGGAGCCCTCACCAGATTTGTCCGCTTGGCCCAGGGCTTGCCGTCGTCTGCAAGTACCGGGGCTTACTAGTTGTCACCTCATGCCCGAATAGGAAAACAGTGATGCTCATCTTGACGTTGCTCCAACATATGCCACCGTGACAACACCGCCTTTCTTTCTCCCATTGCCCAGCAGGAGGCCGGCGCCGTGTTCTCCTGCTCATGCAGGCCGTGCGCATATATGGTGACTGCGTGCTAGCTACCTATTGCCTAGAACCCCCATCAGATATTTCCCCGGCTGCTGATTTGCCGCCTGCCCACCAGCTCAAGCTCCAGCTCGGCCCCAGGGTCACAGGCCTCATGCCAGCGTGATGCAGTCCGACCATGCGGGCATTGGCATTGCAGGCCAAGGGCGGACACGGTTCATCATGGTCTCTTTTTTTTTCTGGGCGCAGCAATCTACCAGCGCACAACCACCCGGGGGAAAAAGCTTCTTGCTGTCACGATGATCCCGGCCAAGATCCCCCAAGCTCCAGATGTCCCCGGCTCTGCCCCTTGGCAGGCCTGGTTCCTGCACGCGGGGCGCATCCTGGTAGTCAGGCGCAGCGGTCAGACTGGCACTTGAGTTCCCCTCTGGGTCTTGGTTGTGTACCCGCCAGCTGCCAGCCCCTCCTCTCTCTCCCATCTCCAACGACCGGGGTCGGGAACCGGAGCACATACACTACATGCGCAGCGCACATATACGCAGCGGGCTAAGCGGTACACGACATCCCTGGCCTGCAGGTGGGATATGCCAACGTGCATCATCCCTAAGGTAATGTAAACACACTTGTTCGGTACCCAGGGGAAGGAGAGAGCTCCATCACGGCCTGCGTGCCCGCCACCATGGCTCGGCACGAAATATAGTTCCCATATAATAAGCCGTAAACCACCCGGCCGACCCGCCCCCTTCCTCGAGCTTGTTTCTAGAGCAGACCGGCCTCAGGCTCTCCTCCTCCAGTCCCTCCGTCTGCTGCGAGTGCCTTGTCGCGTTGCTGCCCCTCCCCCCCCCTTCCCACACTCTCTAAATACCACGAGCGGTTGTTGAGAGTGTAGATATATATCCCGTTGCGAAGGCAGCCAGCCCTTGCTCCAAGTATCCCCCCCCCCCAAGGCCTGACGTGAAGATGCGATCCCGAGCCCTCCACCTCCTCTGGCCCCTGGCCGCGGCCGCACAGAGCCCGCCGTTCGGCAATGGCAGCTGCACGGGCTCGCCGTCGACGCCGGTGCCGTACCAGCTGCAGACGCCGCCCCTCGACACGCCCTGGACGGACCAGGTCGGGCTGAACCCGTGGCCGGAGCACCCGCGGCCGCAGCTCAGGCGCGACGACTGGGTGACGCTCAACGGCATCTGGACGTACCAGGGCGCGGGCAACGCCACGGGGCCCGGCGACGGGGCGCCGCCCTGCGCGCCGCTGCAGTACGAGACGCTGATCCCCAGCTGCATCGAGAGCGCCATCTCGGGCCTGCAGGTGCTCGACACGGCGGCCATGTGGTTCGCGACCACGTTCGACGTGCCCCGGGGGTGGGACAGCGGCCGCAGCGTGCTGCTCAACTTCGAGGCCGTCGACTACGAGGCCACCGTCTACGTCAACGGCCAGCAGGTCAGCTTCCACCGCGGGGGTTACTTCAGGAACACCATCGACGTGACGTCGTACCTGAACCCGAACGGGACCAATGAGCTGTGAGTAGTGACTTTTCGAGAAGGCCACACACGCAGGCACACACAAGACAGGGCTGACCACGACGTGAAACCGTGCAGCAAGGTCTTTGTCTTCGACCCGACGGACCTGGACGGCTACGTGATCCCGATCGGCAAGCAGACCAAGCGGCCCGAGCACATCTTCTACCGGCCCTGCAGCGGCATCTGGCAGACGGTGTGGCTGGAGAGCGCGCCGACGACGCGCATCACGCAGCTGGACGTCAAGGCGGGCGCGGACGGGACCGCCAGGGTCAAGGTGCACGCGTCGGGCAACGCGACGGGCCAGCCGGTCGAGGTGACGGTGCTGGACCAGGACGGCAGCGTGCTGGGGTCGGGCGCGGGTTCCAGCGGCGCCGAGTTTGAGTTCACCGTCGACGGCGTCGACCCCTGGAGCCCGGACTCGCCCACGCTGTACAACCTGACCGTCACGCTGGGCGACGACCGCGTCCAGAGCTACACGGGGTTCCGCACCGTCGGCCGGGGGGTCGTCGACGGCGTCCAGCGGCCGCTGCTCAACGGCGAGTGGGTGTTCCAGTGGGCCACGCTCGACCAGGGCTTCTGGCCCGACGGCATCCACCTGGCGCCCAACTACGAGGCGCTCATCTTTGACCTGCAGGAGCTCAAGAAGCTCGGCTTCAATGCGGTCCGCAAGCATGTGAGTGAGATGGGGGTTGCCCTGTGAGGTGTGAGAGTGAAGGTGTCGAAAGACTGGCGGTTGAACACAAACGAGTGAGAGGTGGGGTGTGAGATGAGAGATGAGATGAGATGAGATGAGATGCTGACCAACTACAAACCACCAACCAGATCAAGATCGAGCCGGACCTGTTCTACTACGCCACAGACTCCCTCGGCCTCATGGTCATCCAGGACATGCCGGGCATCTCGCCCCGCGTGCCACTGCCCAACGGCGAGCAGCAGGCCGAGTTTGAGCGCCAGCTCGACATCATGATCAACGAGCACATGAGCTACACCTCGATCGTGACCTGGGTGAGTAGCCAGCTTACTTCATTCATCTCACTGCTATCAAGTGCAGGTTGTTAACGGCGTGTTCCAGGTCATCTACAACGAGGGCTGGGGCCAGATCAGGACGCCGCCCTACCCCGAGTACGCCATCGCCGACCGCATCCGGGCCACCGACGGCAGCAGGCTCATCGACGCCACCTCAGGCTGGTACGACCACGGCGCGGGCGACTTCTCCGACAACCACCACTACGCCAACCCGCAGTGCGGGTCACCCTTCTACTCGATCCAGTCGTCGCCCTACGACAGCGAGCGCATCGGCATCCAGGGCGAGTTTGGCGGGATCGGCCATAACGTGTCCATCGAGAAGTGAGCCTGTCTCCTTTTTGCCCTCTATTTAGCCCCCTTTCCCCCCAACACACACACACACACACCAGCCAGAAAAAGGGCTAACCACACCCCCCAAACAAAACCAGCCTCTGGAACGTCCAGCAGGCCATCGACACCATCAACCAGACGTACGAGGTCAACATCGACCTCGAGGCGTACAACTACCGCGCGCACGTCATCTTCGAGGAGTACCGGCAGCAGATCGAGATGTTTGCCTGCAGCGCGGGCGTCTGGACGCAGACCACCGACGTCGAGGGCGAGGTCAACGGCCTCGTCACCTACGACCGCCGCGTCGAGCGCGTCGACGTCGCGCAGTGGCAGGCCGACATCCAGGCGCTGTTCGACGCCGCCGCCAGCCGCGGGGGCGCGGGCAACGCGACCGCGTCGATGGGCAAGATGCGGCTGCAGGTGTAGGCCTCGCGTTGCGTTGGCTGTCTTGTTGGATGTTTTGTGTGGGAGGAGGGGATAATTTTTATGGGTGGTATTTTTTTGTGTATATACCTTTTTAGGATTCAATTCATTCTTGTCCGAGATGGTTGTTTTTGAGTTCACGAGGGCCAAACCTGGACATGACGAAATGGGTCTCACCACCTGCGTACATTCCGTGACCAGCTTGAACTCATATTCCGAAGTAATTTGCAAGTCTGGCAAGTCCACAAGGTGCTACGGTTGCGAAATTTGGGAACACTTTGACCGGACTGGCAATGAAAACCTCCGCACCTACTTCAGTAGGAGTCTAGTTGCCTTGACAATGATGAGTTTCTGGATAGAAGGGCAAGCCGAGACAAAACTCTCGTGCGGCCCACTTGAGCAGCTCAGACTCTAAGTCGTGTGGTAGAGAACACTACCAAGACAGCCAAGGTACTGGTGCCGGTGTTGCAAGTATTCTGTATCAGTCCTCGACTCTGGCACAATACGGCTTCCTTGAGTGATGCCCACGATCAATTGGCTCTGTTCAGCGTTCGGGCTCGAGCAGGAGCTCTCTGTGTGTGGCAAGCACTCAAGACCCAGCGAGGAGCTCTGTGTAAAACGCAAACGCCCAAACCTTGGAAGATGCCACTGCCACTGACAAGGTGAAGGTGCATTTGGATCACCTCTCACTTTCACCCTGAGATCAACAAGCCATGGAAAACAACCCCCACAGCGACTGAATTCCCACAACCCTACTTCAGTCGGCTTTTCCGTCAGAACTAGGCAATTCATTTCAAAAAGCCATTTCGACCCTTGATTGAAAATCTCAGACAACCTCGCCCCAACCTCAACCTCAACTCCACCTCCTTTCAATTCAACAAGCAATCAACTTGCCAACAACCATCCTGCCATCCCCATTCAAACCCCCATCTGTCAAAGCCCTTTCAGGCAGCCATTCCACCATGGACGATGACATCATGATGCTCGACCAGGCCATGGACGTGGACAGCAATGTGCCTGCTGTCCCCGTCACCACCAGCGCCGATCCAGCCACGACCACGACCATGACAATGACCACGACCACCGCCGCCACCACCAACCGAAACCCGCTCCGAGCCCGTCGCAACATCTCCAACCCGAGGCAGAGCCGAGGCAGGCCCCACGAGCCCCTCAAGATCAACACAAGCGCCAGGATCCACAAGTCCCACGCCCCAACCTCCAAGACAGCCCCCTCCTCCTCCCACAACCGCCAGCCCTTCAACGTCAGGGCAGACGAGCTCTTCAAGGCCCACAGCCGCGCCGTCAGGAAGCAGAAGGTCGCGCGCGCCATCGCAGACGGCACCTTCCAGATCCCCCGCGACACAGACATCGTCTCCCCGGGCCCGGCCCCCGACGAGTACCACCGCGCGGAGGAGCAGGAGCAGGAGCAGGCGCAGGAGCAGGAGCAGGTGCGGCGGCTCGACGCCGCCCTCGTCGCCGAGGCCCTGCTCGACCCCGTCCCGGGCATGGCCTTCGACCGCGCCGCCCAGCCCAGCAGCGCCCTCGCCACCGGCAGCGCCGGGATGGCGGACCTCGTCCGGGCGCTCGAGGCGTTCCAGGTCCACCTCGCGCGCAAGGGCATGGCCGTGCCGTCCGAGAGGGCCGGCGCGCTGGTGCGCGGGCTCGCGCGCGACGTGCTGCGCACGATGATGCTGCGGCCCGACAGGCCCCCTCCGGGCCCTGATGGCGGCGCAGACGCGTTCTGGGCCGGCGTGGCGCGCGACTACCCCGCGGGCAAGAAGCTGCGGTGGCTGGCGTTCAGGGTCGGCTTCGCGGACCCGGAGGGGAGGCTCAGGCCTGGGCTGTCGCGGGATGAGTACGTCCAGACGGTGCTGGAGGCCCTGGAGCGCCCCGGGTCGCATCCTGATCTTGTGAGGGTGAGTTGGCTGTGCTGCTGCCCCTGTTGTTGTCTTTTTTTGGTATCCTCTCAACTGACCAAATGCTGCATAATCATTAGGCCCTCCGCTCCGTGATCTCGCACATGCCATCTTTCATCGTGGCCAAGCCGTCCACCCTGCAGGCTCTCATGGGCCACTTCGAGACCGCCCGCGCGCGATACCTGGCCAGCCTCAAGGATGATGCCCATCATGGCGCTACTACGCCTTCAGGTAACGCTGCGCCCTACCAAGCTGATGCGATGGACTGCGGAGAGATGCCACGGGGTGGCCGCGGTTATGATTCCTCAGACGACGAGGAAGATGGCCATCCGCGGGTCGGCATCGTCGACGGCCGGCCCGAGGACGGCGGCCAGGTCGACGAGGGCGTCCCTTCCGAGCTCGGCCAGTGGTTCCTGGTGAACCTCGACAGGTTCACGGCGTCCAAGGGCGGACAGCAGCAGGGTGGGGGTCTTGACGCCGACATGCTTTCTGCCCTGGATCTGGGAGGCGCCAAGGCGAACTTGTAGAAGGAAGGGATCATGAGAGGAACGAGACAAGAGGAAAAGAATTGTTTTTTTTTCTGTGGAATGGGCAAGGGCAGACTGGATGAGAGGAGAGAATTTGATTCAGGTGGCTCGCCCCATTCTCTGGTCATTGCAGAAGAATGAGTAGGGTCGGCAGCCGTGGGAGCCTGGAAGCTTCTCATCTGCTCAACTGCTGGTAGGAGACAGTTCACCAGCGGCTTGGCCGAACTGCAGTTGCTTAAGGTCTAGATCGAGCAGAGCAGAGACAGAATGAACAGTCAGGGTAGCAGCCAAGCTTCTGACCAAGATCAGCCACATTCTCAATCTAAAGCCGCGCATTCTGTCTCGAGCTGCCACAAATGGTGTGCTTGGGTCCGATCTTTTGACCGGCGTTGTCTCCTGCAATGGAACACACCTGAGAACGCAACTGTCCTTCCAAGGCCCGGGATGCTTTAATCCGGATCCAAATCTTCTAGCCTCTGCACTGGGAGCTGGGATTGCGAGCATGCCAGGACGCCACCCCCGCGACCTAATTTTCATGATCCCCGTGGGCTGGCGAGACCCTAGATAGTGATAGTTCCTCTGTGTGTGAACCGAATTGTTGCTAGGAGATTTATATTCCATTCACTGTCAGAACGGGGCCTGTGGAGCAGGAACAACTTTGTCTCCTGGCACCATGGGCCTGACATGTTGTGCTGCGCCTGAAGCCTGCTGTGACCGACCCGCAGTCCATGTTGATGCCTTCCCTCTAGTTTAACACAGACGAGGAGAGCTTAAAGTCTACGTGGAGAGTCTGCGCTCCAACATGCATGCTCATGTAGTATGTTTGTATGGGGTCTGGCCGTGTTCCTTAGTTCATGCTGCACTGCAAGACATCGGCAGCTCGCCTCGAAATGGAACCTTATCCGTTGGTGATTAATCTATTTTGACCGACGACCCTGGGGAGGTGGTGAGTTCGTGGAGAATATCGACGTCCAGCTGAAGCGGCTACCATCTACCAATTGCGATTCGACAGAAGGGTTGGACGTTGTTGTAGCCAACGCGGAGCCAAAATAGCCCGCCAAGGATGATAGAGCGGTTGAGGTGACATCGCCATAGTCACCATTATTAAACGTGCGGAGTTCCTCCGCCGGCGTGATCGGGAGGCTGGTCTGGATCGCCAGAGGCCACCTAGACAGGCGGACTGCATAATAAACCGCCGCTGGTTATGTACCAGAATCAAGACCACGGAAGTTGTCCACCTATTTCACACCCACAACCACAGATTATTAAGTATATTTTAACATAATCAGAATCAGAGACCTATTCGCAAGATATCAGTGTGATTATAATTAGGCACATATGATATGGTTGTGGAATGATCGTGACGTTAACATGAAGGGTTTTGGTGGTACTTGGACTTAGCGGCGGTTTTTTTTGCAGCCTGCCTGCTAGAGAGGCCAGATAAATAAAAGAAAAAACACCAGTTGACCCCTCCCACCCACCCGCCTCCAGAATCGTCACCCTGCTTCTAGATCTGGGCCGGAGACCGCCCATGTCAGGTGGCGAGGCCCTTCCATTTGGTGAGCGCCAGGGACAACTTCCTGATGCGGAGACACGATGCTGCAGCAGGTCAGCCACACCTCATCTATCCCAAATGAGACCCTCTGGGCCTCCTGGACCCTGAGACTAACTGCCAGTGGATAGCTTAAATCAATTAAGGTTGAGCCGGTTCCGGCCGTTGGCCGTGGGGCAATGGCGGGTGAACCGGCGCGCAAGACAATAGGCTGCGGTCTGGGCCTGGAATAGCTTGGGTCCCAGAGCGCCGGAGTTGCGGGTAGCAATATGGATAAATACAACCCAAGCTCGATGGCCTCTCAGACTATCGCAGCAGTGGCGACAACCTCTCGAAAGTGGAGCCATGTGATCGACCAGCGTTAATTGTTGCCGATGCCGTTGCCTGTCTATATAAGAGGAGGCTCCACTTCTTGTAATTACTCCTTGTTGTTTCCCCTAAGGTGTTGTCAGACAAGCCAGACGAGGATATTCCTGAACCATAATAAGCCGCAGATAACTGCCTCCTTCGAATAACCACTTATCAACCCCCTGCTAATTAACAATCATCCATCCGCTGCAAATACCACCACCCCGGAGATGCTGTCCAAGCTCCTCGCAACCGCCATCCTCCCCCTCACCGCCCTGTCCTCCCCCTTCCACCCGGGCGTCCTCAGCCCCCGCGAGCTGCCCTCCTCCGCCGGCAGCGTGACGCAGTTCAAGTACTCGGGCAACGGGTGCACGCAGGGGTCCAACTCGGTGACCCGCTCCGGCGGCTGGGCCACCCAGACGTACAGGTTCTCGCAGTTCGAGGCCGACACCGTCACCGCGGGGACCCCGACGACCGAGAACTGCGAGCTGCACTTCCAGGGCGCGGGGCTGACCCCGGGCTGGCAGGTCAGCCTGGCCGACGCCGACGTCACGGGCAAGCTGGTGCTGGCGCCCGACTCCAGGGTCAACTACTACTGGCAGGTGTACTGGAGCGACGATGCTGCCGACACGGTGAGTCTATCTATCTTGCGTGGGTGGGATGATGATGTTATGTATGTATATCCTGGGACGACGGCGCTGACGGGCGGACCAGCTCACCCTGCAGGGCGCCATCGATAATACCGGGGGCAAGAGCAAGATCACCAACAACAACTACACTATCAAGGCCAACGTCACGGACTCGCTGTGGTCCCAGTGCATCGGCTCGGACGGCAACCCGGGCATCCTGAATGTCAACTTCAGGGTGGCGGTTGTTGGGGACGGCAGCTCATTCGACGTTGATACGGAGACGCTGAACTACAAGTTTAGGAAGTGCTGACAGCAATGGCCGGGTTAGTGGAGATTTTGTTTTTCGAGCGTGTGCCCTTTTCTTGAATGTTTATGCGAGCCATGTGTTATAATTATGAAAAGTCCAATCCAAAGTACATACCAGCTTACGTTGTACTCTGCTTTGACTTTCTATAAGCCCAGCCACTCAAGCAGCCCAGAGCTATGAGTATTGGTGAGGTGAAACTGTTTAGAACCGCTGCATAGTCTTTCAAATTCTTAGCCGCGGTCCACATAGGCCCCCCCCTCGGAGCCCGTTTGACACGGCAACGAAGGTGGACGCGGCCATTGGAAGCGGACATCCTTATGGCGGAAGCGAGGACGGGGGTAAGCGGTCCGTTGTCGATATTTCTTGCCCAGCGGCCCGCCGGAAGGGCGTTGAGAAGAGACTTGTGATACCTGGGCTCTTCTACCGCGCGCTTGACACCGTGCCCAGTCCTCCTTGTTGGCCTGCAAGACAATAACTTCCCAGCTGGCAACAGCGCCCGACTCGGGGTGGGTCGAGGGGCTGTGGCAGTTGGTGGACTGTTATGCCACTTGTGTTCTCGGTCGGGACATTGCCCGCTCCTGGCGCTCTTGAGGCGGCGATCACTGCGAAGCAAGGATTTGATTGTTCCAGTGTGCCCACTGATCATATGTGGTCATGTTGGTGCCTGCTGCAGCGACAATATGCGCCTGCTTAAAACGCGGCTCCGAAGGCTGCTCGACAACTTGCTCCATGAATACAAAAGGGTCTGTTACCTTTGAATGGGACCGGCATGTGGCTGAAGAACAGCCAATCTCGGTGATTATCATCTGCTCAGAAGTGAGAAGTGAGTTGTATGGGTTTATCAAACGATACTGCCTGCGCATTGAACTGGCCGGGCTGCCATGGACGCAGAAACTTCAAGTTTCACCCAACGAGGGAAAAAAAAAAAAGGCTCTGTGCAGTATTCCGTAGAAATTGTTCAAGTTGATTGTCATACTCAGGAAGGGATAATCGGTGCGTAAAGGAATGTTGTGACGATGAGGTTGATGGTGAGATGAGTCTTTGCTGAGATATGAGCACCACAAGGATGTTTCTGTGGGTTGGTTTCTGGTCTCTCATCATGCAATAGCTTTGTGGCCTTGATTCTCTGTGTTGATGGCAATGGAAGGAGAATAAACGGTAGTTACGTCCTCATTTATATTCATATCACATATGAAACGACCATGGCCAGCTGTAGATGCTTTGTCAAAATGAACATTGACCACGTTGTAAGAAAAGAATTGTCCACTCAACCAGATAGTAAGTTCCAAAGAGCGCAGGTCAGAAATGACTTTCTCAACTAGGCCCCCATAGGGTGTGATCAATAAACAGCCATCCTAATCTGTGCGTCATGAGTTTGACCATGTTCGGAAATCTTGGATACGAGAACCAGTCTTCTCTTCAAGAGCTCCCACATAGGTCGTCACGGGCGTGAATTGCAACGTATATCGTGGACTTTTATGAAGTATTTCTGTAAGGCGACATGTCCTCGCAATGTAATCGACAAGATGGGCAACCTCAATCGTGGCCATATGTAGGCTGCCAGTCGCAGTGAATGCTTGTTACGTGCTCAGTTAATTCCGAGCATCGGAGAAACGAAGACCGGCTGCCGCTCGCCATGTTGAGGGCAGTGATAGGACCGGCAATGCCGCCACAGCACTTGCCGCATGCAGGCGGCCCAATCTCTGCAACTCCAAACTGTCTTTGCCCTGGCAATATCAGAGCAAACATCATAGATCAGGATTCCACCGCCACCATGAGGCAAGTCCATGCAGCATCGGCCAGTGGAGTGACCACCGCAGAGTCACCCGCAGTCCTCAACGTGAGCGATCATGCTTTCCCAGATGTGGAAGGCAACTGGACGGGGTTTCCGAAGCAGAGCGGCCAGTCGTTGTCGTATTGGCTGCAGGGTGTCCGATGCGACCCTCTGCTCGACCACAGGTCGACGATGGAGCTGCCAAAGTCGGCAGACATCGTCATCATCGGATCCGGGGTAAGTTCCTATATGACGGGGGCAGCAGGCGCGATGAAGGGGGCGCTTTTCCGGAGGCATATTATGACCTCGACGCATTATTGATAAACACCAGATTACGGGAACTCTGGTAGCCAAGCATTGTTTAGAGACGTGGCCGGAGAAAAGCATCGTCGTGCTCGAGGCTCGCGAGTTCTGCAGTGGGGCTACCGGCAGGAATGCTGGCCATTGCAAACCAGACCAGTGTGAGCTCCACACGCAACCTCTCTCTCTTCATGTGGCTGACACAAGAAATAGGGCGAGGTTACTCAAAATACGAGGAGGCCTTTGGTGCGAAGCAGGCGCTGCAGGTATAACGCCAACTTCCTCGCGGCCTAAACTGGCAAGAGCCTTCTTTAACAGTCGAGTAGATATTGCAAAACGAGCAAGATACATGGGAAAGCCTTGTGAAATATGTCCGCGAGGACAACGTCGACTGCGACCTTTGGGTGGGCGATACACTCGACGTGGCCATGACACCGGAAGTCGCAACACTGGCCAGAGACGTATTCGAGAGCTGTAAATCTGCAGGTGGCAGGGTCGACCATGTCAAGGTAACCCTTGATCCAGCAGAGGCACGCCGAATCACCCGCCTCAAGGGAGCCCAGGCCTGCTTCGCATGGCCGGCATCAACCCTCCAGCCGTGGAAGCTGGTGGCCCATATCATGAGGGGCAACGTCGCACAAGAACCGCGATTTAACTTGCAAACGTACACCACCGTCCGGAGGGTCACAGAGAGCGGCCAGCCTGGGAGGTGGCTCGTCCACTCCGACAGGGGATCAGTCGAGTGCTCCCAGGTGGTCCACGCCACTAATGCTTACAGCGCCGCCGTCGAGCCGTCGCTGCTTGGCTTGGTCACCCCGACACCGCACATGTGCAACAAGGTCGTTCCCTCGCCGAGATTCTCAGGCTCGAAGGCCTTGGGGAACTCCTATGGGGTGTTATTGCCTGATGGTGCTCTCTTCAGTGTGAACCCGCGGCCAACATCTGACGGCGTGATCATGTTTGGAGGCTCCAACCCCGGGCAGAAGAAGTTCAAGGAGTGGCTGGAGAAGAACCCCGAGCACTGGACGGACGATGTCCTTTCGGAGTTCCCAGAAATTAATGCGGCTGTCAAGGCACTGGCGGAGGAGCAGCTTGAGGGCTGGGCTGCGGCAGTGCCTGCACCGGGTGTTTTATATGACTACAGCTGGAGCGGTATTATCGGCAATACAACGGATGGTGTGCCTTTTATTGGGGAGGTCCCGGGCCTCCCTGGGCAGTGGATATGTGCAGGGCATAATGGGCATGGGATGGCGAGGACTTTCACTGCGGCCCCTGGGCTTGTGAAGTTGATGAGTGGTGTTTCCTGGGAGCGGGTTGGGTTACCCGACGCATATGAGCTCACATCTGAGCGACTGTCAAGGCTCAGAGGCGTTAGGAGATAGGGCATCGTTTAAGAATGACTACAGTAAAAATAAGGCATGAATCAGGCTTTGTGGTTGTCATTGGACCATACTGAATGGGTGAGAGGTGGACAGTCACAGTCTGGACGCTCTGTGCAAGAGACTATCAAACTTTCGGGAAATTTTAAAGATCGTTACAGTTTAACCTGAGAACATGGGACTCTGGAATCTCCGTCCAATACATCTACAAAGATATCAGTCCTGTCACGTGCTGGCTGATGATCGTGGCCTTCATTTAAGGAAAGACAGCTCAGCCAAAGTCTTTGCTTGATCCACTGTACAGTCACTTTGAAAGGACCAGGTTCACATTTAGGGGAGAGTCTGCTGAAGAGGTGTTTGAGCCAGCCTGCAAACGATGCCAAACGCCTTTCAAGGAACTGCCATCCGAACGGGCCCGCCACATTCACCTCTCTACGAGCCATGCCACTCCCAAACTCAGCCATCCAACAGTGAAAGTAATCAGTCACCATAAACCATTCACACGTATTCTGCCGGATCTGCAGACGATTGCAGACCGCCCACACATCTACTTAAATCCTGACTTGCAGCACACCTTGTCCCGACCTCCCATCCTACAACTACTAGTACAGACACCCTCCCCAAGGCAAGGGTCGAAGTACCAAGACCAACTCGGTCAATATGCAGAATACTAGTCTGTACAAGTCGATCGTTAGGTCCATTTTCCTAAATCTGGGCATGGGTTCGAGCGATGACGAGTCCTCCGCTCCGGACATCAGCGACGACAGCGGCGACGACAGCGGCGACGACAGCGGCGACGACAGCGGCGACGACAGCAGCGACAGCGGCCCAAACGCAACAGTAAGTTCCACGGCAATCAAAGGTCTTTGTGCATGTCAAACGTATGATTGACCTTAAGAATAGCCTGCAACCGAGACCCTGTCTTCTGGCCAGTCGAAACTCCCGAACACATCGCGCCAGATCTTGTCAGCACAGCACCCAACCTCTACGCGTGGGGCAGATTGGGGAGATGAGAGCAACATTGGATTTGGAGGTGAGCCTGACCGCAAGTCACATCAGAGCTTGGGACATTCAGACTGATTATATGTCGGAAGCAGCCTCCCTGACGCACGGAATACCAACCTATCCGATCCCTGACATGTCTAGGGTGCAGGATGATATGGACCGGCAACCGCTTTACCAAGGATCGAGCGACCCTTTCATGGTAGAGAACGATGATCTCCGATCTCAGCGTGCCACTCAAAACCCATGGCGCACTCTTGCCAGATTCCGCAACCCTCTCGATAAGAAACATCTCGGCTTAGGTGCTCGGTTTCCACTCTTGAGCTTGCCATTTGAGATTCTGTTGATCGTCGTCGGACACTTGCCCATTGAATCGGCCGCCTGCCTCGTACTGGCCTGCAAGACGACATACTTGAAATTGGGAACCGCATCTTTCAAGATGTCCAAGCCCGATCTCTGGAAGTTCCTTCTTCTCATCGAACACGAGCGGCAGAACTCATACGCTTGCAGCCGCTGCCTCACACTCCACCGACCGCCAGACTCACAGTTACACGGCCGATATAGGTGCTGCCGTGGTTGGAGCTGGCTGTCACCTGGAGTGCTGCCGGACACCATTACGCCGGGCTTAGTCAAGATGATTGGCAGGAAATGGCTCGAGGATCCCAGGTCTTGTCAGGAGTACCTATCTTGGGGCATCATGAGCGAAAAGAAGACGACTCGTTACATCAAGCTCGCCACACATGTGATCCCACGGATGCTAGGTGGCAGCCTGGTGCTCCGGACCGAGACCTACATTCACCCATTCTTCGATGGTCATTTAACTCAGCGGACACTCATGGAGCTGGTAGAACAAGTCAATTCTAATACACAACTCCCTGACGTGTGCAGTCATCAGAAGTGGGCATCCCATCTCACAAATCTCCCCAGGCTCAAGAAGGATGTGAAACCAACCAAGTGCGTCGAAGCTGAAGATGATCACGACCACTGGACGCCTTGCTACTCCAATGAGAGGATAATGAGAGTGAGCCACGGCCATGAATATCCTATCGAGATGTGCGACCTCATCCACCAGCAACCTTGCCGAACCTGGAAGATACAAACGCCCAAGTCAACAGCTGGGACTCTCGAGCTCAGGGAGGCTCGCGAAGACACCAGGCCAAAGCTGGAGGAGACGTACAGTGGTGAAATCATGGGCTGCAGGAAGTGCATCACCGACTATTCCGTCTCGGCCCGCGAGGTGCCCGGCCTCGGCTATTGCATGGTACTCACCACCTGGAAGGATTTGGGCGGCGTTGGGGTAGGCTTTTCCGACAAGTGGAACCATCACATCGCGAGCTTTGGGTTTTTAGATGTCCTGGACGACGTTCGATCTGAAGATCAGGTGGGCCAGGCTTACGAGGCGTTCGAGAACTTGGAGCGCAGCTACCTTGGAACCCCTCAGCGATACCACCCGCAGCCTGACCGCAAGATGATTCGTGACCTGACCCGACGCGTGCAGAAGTTGGGACACAGCATCGACAGCGATGATACCACGGACAGCGATGCCGACACTGACTCGGGGGATGACACCGAGGTAGACCTCTGAAAATGAGGACAATTCGGACTGAAAGAGGTGTAATACTCCCTGGAGTACATTCGATAATAGGTTGCATGAGACGATTCACGAATTTTGGAAGCTGATGGAAGCTGGGAGGCTAGATTTGCTTAGATTGTATTTCGGGCAATGGCAACACCGAAAAGGAAACGGTCCGTTATTTTTGCCTGCGTGCCCCCTTGAGCTGACTCTGGAGCTCATGGCACACTCCTTTTTGTGGCTACAAAACAAGTCCTGTTTTATTCCCCTCGAGGATAATACACCCATTGGTCTTTCTCCTCCCTCTGCTGCGCATTGCATTGAATCATGCCTTAGTTGGTAACTACAAAACTTCGTCAACGACACCACACACCCCTGTAAGTGTTGCGAGGTTTTAGCCGTTGTGGGTTTGTGGCGCCCACTGCGCCACTGCAGGCAGCAGTGGGTAAGTGGAAACCGAAGCCCATCGGTACTTGGACGAGATTTTCAAGTAACCCTCAACGATAGACAGACCAGTGTCATACACTTACAGAAACCTTGCCAGCTTCCGCAAGTTTTGATGAAATTTTAAGCTCTGCAAGCGGACCAAATCACCGCGAGAATCAGACACTGTTCTTCTTATTTCTTTTACAGTACCTCTTAACTCACACTTTTTATTGGCCTAAGTCTTTGAGTGGTTGACGCAGTACGAAGAGAACGCATGCGCCCTCGGATGTGTACGGATTAAGAACAAAACCACCGCAGACCATTGTACCTGTCCTCCTTCATCATGTCGATGTCATTTTGGGATAGTTGGGAAGAGCCCGAGGACGGCCTCAAGCGCCCCAGTCCCTATGTTGAGGATTTTAGAGCCACGATTGAGACACATGTCGCCCCACCACCTTTTGGCCATTCAGGTTACAACTGCCGGGATAAGCCGAGGGAACGAGTCTCCATGTACAAGCTCATGGATTCTTTCACCACGCAGAGCGAACATGTGCTGCGGAACCCGCCCATTAATACGATTCAACGTCACGGAAAGGCAATCGAGACTGCGGAGCTCGTGATCATGGAGCCACTTGCAATCGGGGACAACCGGGGGGCACAGGTTGTCTCGGTTTCAGTCACACCGTCTGGCGGAAAAGACTCTTTCTGTGCCGTCGCCAAGATCTTCGACGCCATGTACTACCCATTCCGGAATCAGGAATGGGGACATGCCCAGGACGTCGTCTATCTCGCTGATGTCGACTACAGCCGCGAGGCATCCGCAATGGCGCTTGCCGAGGAGATTGGCGAGGCGGGACGATCTGCGCCCAAGTTCTACGGCTCATGGACATTTTCTTTGCGTGTGCCTGGGCGCAGCTCAGATGTGAGGACGAGGCCTGTGCGGTTGGTGCTCTCCGAGCTGCTTGAGGGGCCTAGCATGTATAAACTGTTCCGCAGAACACGAGTTGGGTCTGCTGTGCAGATGGACGCCTATCACCTGCCTCTTGAGTACCGGTTGGAAGTTGTGGCACGTGTGCTTGAAGGTAGGGTCAGGCAGCTTCACGGAGGGCTCGATCAGAACGATTTGGCGCCGCGCAATATCATCATTGTTCCACACCCCGACACCCAGCCCCCTGGCCGTGAGGGCTTGTTGGAGTCAGTGGACCGGTTGCGCGTTGTGCTCGTGGACTATCGCATGTCTATTGTATACCGCCTGTCCAAGTGGCGGTCGCACCCATTCGAGAAACTGGAGCTCCCGCCCAATCCGATGGAGAACTTCTGGGATCAATCACTTTATCAATTCAGGGGCTGGATCCCTCCGGAATGGGACCAAAAGCCGTCACTCCAGCAGCAGTGGCTGGTGCAGAGGTTCGGCGGAAATGAAATGATCAACAAATATGCGCCCATCGCAGAAGAGCTTAAATTTGCCATCATAACCACAAAGTCCGTTGCTACCGCTCCAGCTGCGGGGGCCAGGCCCGAAGCCGCATCCAATACAGCCAAGACTAGCACTTCTCATGCCAATGCGACGACGTCTGCGGCCAATAATGCTGCAGCTGAGCCAGTGACAACGACCCGTTCAGCCGCTCAGAGCAATTCCTCAGCAACCAAGAATATAGACCTGTCAACTATTCAACCTCTACCGCCGATGCCTGACAGTAAATATGGCTTTAAGAAATCGCCACTCAAGGTTGACCTCGTCTAAACTCGACAAGGATGGACTAGGGAGGTGCCTGGCATTACTGGATGTGTTCGCGGGAAACGGTTCCACATTTCTCACAGAATAACGAGAGAAGGCTGTGTGTATAGCCACCGAGACTAAATCATGACTCAGGAATTAGCTTTTAGTTCCTATTCAATAACATTCTTTTTATCATCCACAAATCGTCAATCACTTAGTGACAATTATAGCTACCTACTAGTAGTGTCATTAGTTACGGTTTGTGGGCAGATTACAAGGCACACTTACTTAAATACCTGGGTACCTAGGTAGTAGCTATTGCGATGTTTAGCTTTTTGTACATCATATAAATAGCCATAAATGTGGCATGACTTTGAAGGCTTACCACTAATATTGGAGCTCTTTAATTATCTAGTCGCAAATGCGGTGTCAAAAGCTGAGGTCGGTAGCCAGGGTGAGCATTTACACTATAAAAGACTAGTTGCACACCTTGTCATATAAATATTCATAAAAGCCTGTGCTTGAAAGAGATTTCAGAATTGTACATAGTATCCGTCAGTAAGCTACTAGTACCTCAGGTGCTCGTAGCGTCAGCTGGATCTCATAGATATTGATGGTTATTACTTATCTCTGAGAAAATTTGGCTATCTATTTACTAGCTCACTTCGCTGCCCAGCCGAAATGTGCAGAAAAGAAAGTCTGAAGGCCTAGCGTGAAGCGTGGACCTGTAACTACATCCTTAGGTTGACCGCCGGCCCACAGGTACAGTTCAACACCGACCACAAATTTTATAAGAGTGGTGAGGCTCCCAATTCCTGAACCTTTTTCAACTTACCTACTTGAAGTTCACACAGGCACACTCGCACACACACAAGCACTTACCAACGCCTACAACCTACTTCAACCAAGACAGACTACATTTAATTAAAGAAACAACCATAAAGGAGCGGAGACAACGCTTGGATTCCTCAGCTTCATTCGATTCTACTACTACCTTTTTGGCACTCGTACTGACTCAGCAGCCTGCCTGTAAAATCAATAAGAAATGTCGAAAGGCCAAGGAGATGGGGGCGCTGCTGGGCCGAACTGGCGGGACAAGTTAGCCATGTTGGACCAACGATATGGATGTGATGAGGATGACTGCTCGGAATCGTCCAATACTTGCGGTTCAGACAGCGAAGAAGTATCTAGGGAAGACCGGCCTTCCCCAAACGAACAAAACAGTCACAACGACACCGATGACGCGCAGTCCACGGGCAGCGTGATCAAGAACCCAGCCCAAGACTTGCCAGATGTCTTTTATGATGACGACGAGGATTGGGAAACTGAGAGTGAGGAGGATCACGACGACGAGAGTGACGAAGACGACAACCAGCCGAAGTCCTCACTGTTGACCTATCTCTACCATCGCTTCGGCCCGTCCCTCCGCTGGGAGAACCGCTGCACTTGCTGCGAGTTCCTAGTCGACCGCAGAGAAGCGCGAAGGAAAGTAGAGAGAGAATACTTCGCCCAGGCGGGAGGGAGCTGCCTCATAAAGGACCCATGCGTTCTTCTTCCCTACAGAATGGCTGACCTGCCCGGCACGGAGAACGTCGACAAGCCGGTGCTGACGGTGACGACACCGGAGGGGGAGGAACTCTACCCACACGACTTGGAGGAATACCCGGAGCCGCCGGAAGATTCGCGAGCTGGCGGGCCACTCGCCAGTCCCAACTCAAGGAGATATGCGGTGCCGTATGAGGAGGAGGACGGGCCGGACCTTTGAGAGAGAGATTTGGGATAGCGGGTATATGTCTTACCGCGGAAAGCACTTGGATATATGGAAGGCATAGCATCGTCGGAATTTTGGAGTGGGTCAGGTATGGTTACTTTTTTTTGGTGGTCTACGAAATGCAAAATATAATTTTCGTCGGAGGCCAACATGGCGGTGCCTGAATTTCAGGTCGAGTTTCCTGGCTTCCTTGGATATCTTGGCACTAACATGGCACTAAGCATGCCGATACATGGCACTTGTACAAGTAGCAGCGGTTAGCGTTGGAGACATGCCTCAAGTTGGGTCACATGGGAGCGCGATGGGGAGACTTGATGCTGGTATACCTGTGTTGTCTACCTAATGAAACGATTGAATTTCTGTTGGGAGTTGGGTTTGTGCTCAATCACTGAGCAATCCGAATCAATAAATGAATAGAATTTTGATCCTCCAATGTGTCCATGTCTGTCTGTCCAACCATCCACGTTTCCGCCGTTTCAGGGTCCTCTCCTCCACTTTATCCTAGTGATTGTCTCGTTCTTTTATAGGTCGGAGTCGTCCTCAGGTAGCGGGGTCTTGACGGCGCTCTTGAAGGTGCGAGCGAAAGACAGCCACCAGTTGAGGTCTTTGTCCTGGTAATAATTGTCGTTTGGCTTCTGCAGCGCCAAGTTCAAGTTGTCGCTGGGGCGGTTTGGTGCCCCAGTTGTCAAAGCTAGCGTGGCCGGCTTGTCTGTCTGTGGAGTGGAGCCACCAAAAAGACCTGCAGCTGAAGATGTCGACATGATGCCTTTGTCGATATAATGAATGAATGATTCTGTATGCGTGTTGCAGTCGGGTGGAACGAAAGTCGCAACGGGCCGGGGACTTCAGGATGAGATGCGGGATCCGTATAATGTGGCCGGATGAAGGTTAGCGTCACAACAATAAGAGGGTTGAAGATACGGTCAAAATACCAATTACTGAGATCAAAAATCATTCGAAACACCTCGGGGATGCATGAGAGTATCCTACTTGGATTTCTTTGTGCCGATGGGAAATGCTGTGGTGCTTAAAAGCTCGGAACCCGGAACAGCAGGCAACAGCCAAAAGGGGGGCTAAAGTGGCTGCCTGAGGTGGATGTCCGCATGCGGATAGTCACCCGCGAATAGAAACCACTTAGAATACACTTCAAATTCGTTTTTACACCGCCAAAGCATTCAAACCTTGGAATCCAACTGTGGTTCCTATGGTCGTGAGCAGGAGCGGCAATGATGACGGCTCTAGGCAGCGTCCTGAAGTCATAGTGTTATCGCCTAATTAATTTACTGTATTGACTCCGCAATCACAGCAGGGACGCACAAAAGTATGACCCACTCCTCTCTGACCACCGGCGATACCCAATCTACAAACGAGCATGCATTGCAGTCAAGGCAACTTCATTGTGGCATATGCGCTAAACAATTTGATTCTACTGACTCAACAGATAATTCGGATGCCTGAATTGTCGCTACTCGGGGTCCTCGTGCCAACACTTGTCTTGCGGAGGAACAGAGCCAATGTCCTCGGCCATTGCACATTCTGACTTTCCCACATTCATCACATCACCTGCTACAAGAGACAGGTGCTCTAATTAATCCGTCTTGTATACCAGCTCAGTTCTCTTCCCTGGCGCTTGTCATCAGGAGCTTAAAGTTGAGGCCCTGGCTCAAGTTCAGCAGGGACCTTGCGAAGCCAGTCGAGCACGCCCATGAGCTCCTCAACCCAACCCACGTACTTTGTCTCATAGTCCGCGACATTGTCCAAGATAAATATCACCGCCTTCACATTCAAAACTCGCTTTAGTAGCTCGATAAACAGTCAGCACGGGCATCGATGTGACCATAGGCAAGATCTTGCACTGCCAGTGCTTGCTCAGGGAAGCTGTGTTGGCCGGCGAGGAGGTGGAAGATTGTGATGACCGGATTCAGTGCCAGTGTCGCGGCGAGGGAGTCACAAAAGACCGGGATGGGCGAGTGATATTAGAAACGCTACATTTGGAACCCCTGGCTTGGCCAACTGTACATATATAGCATGAACCAACACATTGTTTCAGCAGTTTCCGCGGCACGGTGAGGCTACCAACAAGATGCACTGCCTCTGAAGCCATGCTGGAGAATGCCAGCGGAATTACATAAGCGATTGCCCAGCAAATGACTCCAGGCTTCAGCCATATACAACGGGGATTCATGAACTCGACCTCTCAAACCGTGAAGACCCATCTAGCATTCTCGCATCAACTACATGAAGGGTATCTCGATCTTTCAACCCAAAGTTAATTCCAAAATGCCTACGGAAAATTCTACACCACCACCGGCCCAGATGAATTCGAATGGCCCCAAAGCATCACCGCCGACCCCACCTCCCGCCCCAGCCCCTCGAGCTCCTCTGCCTCAGACACCTAGTGTCATGCCTCAAAGCAGCAAACCAGCAGTCGAAACACCTTCTGAGTATCTCAAAAGCCTCGCATCGATGCCAGCGGATTATTTGACACGCCCTGTGGAGGTGGAGCCGATCCTGAAGCAACCCTACAAACCAGTCTACTACTTCTTTTACGGCACCCTTACTCAACCTAAGATCTTGTCACATATCCTCGATCTCAAACAGCCGCCTGTTCTACGACCTGCAAAAGTCGTTGGCTATACGCTTACAAACTGGGGCCAGTACCGTGCCCTTATAGATGGCAAACCCGGTGAAGAAGTAACAGGATATGCGTACCTCGTGGGCTCGATTGATGACGAGCTGAAGCTGGCTAAATATGAGACCAATGCTTACGAGCCGGTAGATTGCCGGATTCAATTTACAGACAATCGGACTCCAGAAAACCTGTATGGTATGACGTTTAAGTATGCTGGCGACGCCGAGAGCTTGAAGGCCGGAAAGTTTGATCGGAAATTATGGGAGCTGCAAATGGGCACGAGGCTATCGGAGAAGTGGAGGGCCAAGGGTACACATTTGAACAGTTGAGATGTAGTTACACAGTGTCCCAGGCAGATGTCAAGTCGTTTGACTGCTGCTCGATTACAGTCTCTTCATGGCGCAAGCTTCGCTCAGGTGCCCGCTCCACGGTCACGGTATCTATTCATAGGTACAACTCACCCTTCTATACCTGAATAGGTCGACTGGAGGGCAGCCTACTACCTATCTAGGTACTTAAGTAGGCATGTATCGGTCTGAGGCAGTTTCGTTTCTAATCCCCATACAAATAAAACGTACGAGGCACCTTTATACAGTGGTAAACGCTCAAGGCCCAGCGTTTAAAAAGCAAAGCGGTGCTAACAATAGTGCAGAGAGAATACAGTACGTGGGGCGGTGGTCTCAGCCTCGTGCCGCATGTATCGGTCTCAAGTACTATAACATCCTATAAATAACCTCCGACAGGATAACATCCTGTTGGAGAATAGATGCAAGCTACAGAGGCTCCTTAAAAGCTGCGGCTTTTGAAACTGTAACAATGCTACGGTCGGTATTAATATGATACCGCTTGTAATCGAAGGCCCTACTTGACACCCGCTTCAAGAAATCGGCTCCTATTTTGAGAGATGCCTTTGCACAAAGACATTTCTGCGCAGCGAAGATGCTAGACGCCAAGGTCACATGGCACTTCACGTCAGGTCATTCAGTAGCAAAAGCACCTGCTGCGGCATCGTCTAGTTGCTCATGTCATGAAAGCCGAACAAAACCTCCTAGGCCAGTACGCTCCAATAACAATCCGAGAGTGTTGCGCTCGCATGCTGATGTACTTGCCTGGGGTTCTGTACCCTTCTAAACTATCAGAATACAAATAAACTGAATTCAATACTATACAAAACTAAGCATTAAAGCAAAAATAGCAAACATCTGTGGGAAGTCGCAGTCGGTCCTTCTCTTGACTGACACAAGATTGCAGTCGAATTAACCTGACAGGAAAAGGAACCAATTGAACCTCACAAGCTGGGACTGCATGACGGATTGTTGCTGCCTGGCGTAAGACTTTCCTATTAACGGCGGGGCTGGGAGGTCGCTCAAGGTACTCATCGGCGGTAATTTGGACAACTACCTGTTCCGTGCGGCCCTCCGTCTTCTCCGCCTGGCTGATACGACAAGCGCAAAAATCCTCTTCAGAAGCTCCTGCTTGCCCCATGCGACGCCCTCCCTGGTGCCGCACACTGGGTCCCTGGCGAATGCGTTGGTAACGTCGATGTGCCACTCCTTGATCGTCATCTCTGCGTTCCTTTGCCTACCCTGGACATCCGTCACCGCCATGGTGACTTGCCTGTTGATCAACCCGTCGCCTCGGGCGGAACTTAGCTTCCCGAACTCGCGCGAGTCTCGCCAGTCCTGAGTATGCCGACGTTGTCGGATGAGCTGCTCAAGGAGGCGCCAGTGCAAGATCGTCCAATGTTGGGACCCATTGGGTGCTTGCTGGCCTAGCCACTCTTTCTGTCGAACGATCCAGGAATCTTGCTCGGCTATTGTCAAATCAGATCTCTGTTCTGTTCTTCGTCGTTTCTTCACTCTGCCTCCAATGGTCGAGTCGTCAGGGTCGTCATCGCCCGCCTTTCGTTTTGGACCCCTGCTTCCTGGGGGAAGATGTGCACCCCGAGTATCTGCGCATCGGCAGAGAATAAAATTTTCCTTGTCACCAAAGTAATCCGGCCCGTAGTCAATGAACAACTGCTCTCCTTGAGGTATATTCCTCAATGCCCGAAACGTGATGGTCCTCCTACCCCCGCAGATGGCGCTTACCGCCTCGACATTGTATGTCCGACAGCGGTGGTTCACAAAACGTGTCCAGTTCCCGTATTCCTTGGCGGTCGAACTAGCTCGAGTACCCCTTATATTGAATAAGTAGGCGTCGTCGTCTCTAGTTTCTGCCAACGTTGTCGGAATCAGCTCGCCTAAATACTGGTCAAGCATAGCGCCCTCCAAGAGTTCCGTGGCTGCGAAGACCCCGAGACCCATGTTGCCTGCCTGCTTTACTGCGAAATGGAGAATAAGTACAAATCATTGCAAATGCGGGTTGACAGAAGAAGCATGGGGACCTTTCCCCGGGGGCCCTCGCACTCTCTCAAGACTGGAATATGCTACCACCTGGGAATACGTACTTTCGAATCTTGCTACCTGTGCCGGCGCCCGGCGCCAGGAAAGAGTCCTATTAACACAATCCAATCCAGGACAACCGCCAGACCTCTGTTCGCATACATAACAAGCGCCAGGCCAGACCATGCTAAGTGGTCCCAGAATGCCGCGGACGTTTTTTCGGGTATCCCGATTGATAATCCCATTCCATTTTTGTGAATCTACGACAAAGTCGAAAATTTCACATGGAAAAGAGTTTGCATCTTGAGGAACGGTGCCGCCGTTAGGGGCGATCTGGAATGCGGGCTGATTGGCGGCATTTGGGAGTGTAGAGGGCTGATTGGGGTCATTTGGGAGTAAAGAGGGCTGATTGGCGGGGGGCTGATTTGGGTTATTTGGGACTGAAGAGGACATGGTGCATTTCGAGTTGTGCAATAGCCGGCATACGAGTGTTGTCCAGAAACAGTCGGATTAAATGTAATATGTGTTAATCACGTTTCCTTTACGTTGGATATGTGACTGCGGTCTTTGTCCAAACCCTGTGATGGCCCTTCCTTTCAACTGCTTGTCACTCCCGTGAGTACGAATAGAGAGAAAAAGGCAGTGGTGGAGAGTGGTCAAATCCGGATTTGAAGGACAATGGGGACATGCCTTCAATCCTTTTCTCATTTTAGCTGCCCGTATTCCACTGCCGTAGTTTCGCCGGAATAGGCAACTTGCAATCAAGCACATTCACTACCTGGGTGGTCTTTCTTATTCCGAAAGACATGTCTGGACGTAGGCCGGAGATTATGACTGACGTCCGTTGCGGATTCATTCCATTCACAACATAGCGAACTTAAAAGAAACACCATTTGCCGAATCTAGCACCAGAGGTACAAGGAAAGGTGAGAGGGAAGCGCCTTCTACTACCCAAAACCATACCTAGGTATTGGCAGCTGAGAGCTAGAGGACCAAGTCGCCTCCAGGGCTGTTTCACACGGTTTGCGGCTTATTGTATGGAAGTATAGTCAGTCCAATAACAGCGTTTACTAAGGCTGCAAGTGTCGCAGATGAGGTTCCTGGATATAAATACTGGTATTATTCAGGCAGTCAGACGTACTGGCAGTAATTCCACTCCGTCTGGACTTACGAACTACCCCAAGGGAAACAGAATCGTATTTAGTACTATTTGGCTATATTAGTGTGCTCAACACATCAAAACGGCTACGGAAACCTCTTACCAACGACTTGGTTCGGATGTTTTCTGGCTGGTTTGAACTTAGGGGGTCAGTTGATTGTTTGTCGATCTATGCTTCCAAGTCGAGAAGCCTCTGGCATGTTGGACAAAGTTTAGAGTATTTTTGACCTCCCATTGTATGCAAGAGTACCTCGGGCGCTGTTCAATCCAGAAAGATATTTTGGCATAAGTAGCTTTCTGGGGCAAGTCTCGAGTCTCGGCGAGTCAGTGTCGTGATCACCGCGTAAATAGTCATCTGGACACTTGTCTCCTCGAGTCCATCAAGTCTAGCGTCATTCTTCAACAGAAAAACATTATATACACCCAGAACGATGCAAAGATTGCTGCATAGTAAACTTGATGTGAGATACAATAACCGCTACCTCTACATTTTGAACGATAGGCCGGTGTGTTTGTGGATGGTTTTAAAAGATACACGATAATTAGGACCACGACTGATCAGGCAACGCGAAGTTCTCTTTAAATGGTGCTATAACTTAGTTCATTCGTCAAACATATACAGCCCGAAGATACACGCGGTCTCTCAATACAATGAAACGGAGGAACCTGTGGGGGAGTCATCTTCAAGGGCCCCGGGCAGACGCGCTTCTCTCGCTGGCGGATCGGCAAGTAACTACGATCAGCTCGTCTTACGCACACCTTTGAAGATTTTTGCACCTTCCGGCACGAATCATAAGTCTCTTATTTTTCAGCTTCAACAAGAATGTGCATGTAGTCGTACAGTGTCTCAGGGGAGAGGGCGGCACTTGACTGAGGCTGCATGTCTTGCTGACTGTGTTCAGCAGTCATGCGCTAAATCAAGCTTTTCCCAAAATAATCCCGGGAGTGTTACCAACCCGTGGCTTACCTCTACCCTCAAGCAGCTAAATACCTAGATATCCTCGCACCCTTCGCTTCTGTCCCTTGAGGATGGGCTTTTCTCTGATTCCCCGTCACTAGACACTCGCGAGATCTGGAAGTGCGTAGACCCAGGTATGCTCAGCCGATAAACTATCACATCGTCATCATGATTGGCACCGTGCCCTCTTTCACCAACACCCTAGGGCCTCTGACGACAGAATGGGCCCAACCAGCTTCTTGCACAACCGGCTTCGCAGCCAACGACCGCGAGGCATGGCTCAATCAACGTTGCACAGATGACTCATTTGGAGCCAACCCGGACTGCTGGCCGCCTCGGACTGAAGGGGCGGCCTCGCGGTCGGGCGCGCTTTCGACATGGGGCATATATTCCCCTGGAACTGTTTGCCCCAGCGGCAAGGTGGCCGCATGCTCCTTTGACGGATCTGAAAGCACCGGGGGCTTCCAGTTCTACTTTCATCCCGGGTCCTCTCAGACTGCAATCGGTTGCTGTCCCTCGTCAGTGCCAACCAGTTTCCCAGATTCACTCGGTCTATCCCCCTCTGTCTGTCACACTTTCATGGCCGGGGATAAGCTAACCAGTTGAGAGTGGTTTCCCAGAGGCTACTTCTGTTATGGTGACCAGAAATGCGCACTATCAATATCCTCATCCACCATTGTCACAGCACAATGTTCTCGTACTTCAGCCGTTGACGTAGCTACTGTCACAATTCCGTATACCACGACTGAGAACTCATCGGTTGCGACGATAACGATGTTCACTGGCTACGCGCCATTATTGCAACTTATGTACGAAAGCTCAGATATTTCGACATCAACACCGTCTGCCTCCACAGCGTCCCCTTCGAGCGGCCAAGGGGCATCGGGAAATCAGGGGTTGTCAACTGGTGCATCGGCGGGTATCGGGGTTGGCGTCGGATCAGGCATCATACTGGTCGCCATGGCTGCACTCTGGATTTGGCGGACGAGGCGGAAGAATGCAAGAGCGACGGTATCAAACTATGGCTCGTATACGGAGAACCTCCGGGACAGCAGGCATGGCGGGTCAGGGGCCAAAAGCCCCCTTGAGTTACAAGGGCACGTTACAGTACCAGAAATTGGCTCTAGCGCAACATCGCAGGGAATGGCCGTAGGAGAGATGGATGGGTCACAACCGAATACTGCACGCGTATCGCCCATAGAGCTAGCATGATCTAACTTGCAGGATCTCTGTCGTCCCCAATGACGGAACTTTTCAACTCCGAAGATACCTAACATTGAAGACATGGGTTCAATAGATCTCACCTGGGCCATATCTCAGAAACTCTACAGCTGGGTTACTTTGGGGTTAAGAAAAGCAGCATGGATTCAGAAGCTTACTGAAATCAGTACAGCGATGGTGCACATGTGTATTACCTCTACCTAGGTATGTATTCTGGGTACCCGCTTACCCGGACACGATGAAGTTGCCTTTGACAAGCTGAACTTGTATTGCTCAATTCTCCCCAGTCTTGACAAAGCAGGGTTAACCTGATCTGAAGATTTTACTGTCCCCGGAATGAAATATGCAATTTGAGATATGAATTATCTCAGGGGGCAACCGAAGGTCTGACCCCCGGGTAGCCCCACTACGTGTGGCACAGCTTCTCACCAACAGCTGCTTTGAGCAAATCCTACTGGTGCCCGCCACTGATCTATCGTTATTAAAGGCCAATCTGCGCCGGTCTCAGTGCTGGCAGATTCACCTCACCCTGATTCATTTCATCAAATCCAAGCTACGTGCGACGCTGTTATAGTTATACGCTTGAATCAATGACCCGAGAATAACAATCAACAGCAGCACCAGGCATATCATCATCACACTGCCATCGGTTTTATCTCACTTTCAACAATCCTCCAGCCAAGATGGTGAAGCTTGACTTCGATCTACAACGGGACGTGCCCGAGCTAACCGGGAAAGTCTTGCTCATCACGGGTGGTAAGCAAGCTGGTCCCAAACAATATAGCGATGCGACGGCCTCTCATGTCCAACTCAGGCACAAAGGGCCTCGGAGCTGCGGCGGCAAAGATGCTTGCGAGCCGCAATCCCGCCAAGATCTACATCACCGGCCGGGGCCAGGGCGCGGCTCAGCAGGTGATTTCGGAAATCAAGTCTGCGGGATCAACCGCAAAGGTGGAATGGATAAGTTGTGACCACGCCGACCTGTACTCCGTCAGGGAGACAGCGGAAAAGATCATAGCCCGGGAATCCCGCCTGGACATGCTCATGGCAAATGCCGGCATCAGTAAGCTGTTCAAATTGTTGCCAAACACGTTCATGGTCATGTCCTCAAAAAACACCCTCCTCAACAGTAGTGTCAGGCCCATTGTGACTGCGATCGTCTGTAAGACCATCGATAGGAGCTGTGACTGATCATGAACTGCAGTGGCTCTCCCACCCGGACTCACCACTGATGGCTACGAGCTTCACTTCGGGATCAACCACGTGGCCCATGCTTTGTTGATTAGACTGCTTCTCCCATTGCTACAAAAGACGGTTAAGAGTCACGGCGAGGCACGAGTGATCACTGTCTCAAGCCTGGCGCTCGTGCTAGCACCCAAGGGCGGGATAGTCTTTGATGATCTCAAGACCGCTCAGGCATACTGGGTTCTTGGTAAATGGCAGCGATATGCCCAGAGCAAGCTAGCCAACTTGCTGTATGGGCGCGAGCTCGCGAGGCGGTACCCCGAGATCTTGACGCTGGTGGCCGATCCAGGACCAAGTAATACAGGACTAGTGACAAGTTTGGGGTGGTTGGATAAGATGATCGTGTACTTGGGCAATTGGAACAAGTTCCTTGATGATGACCAGGGTCACTGGAACCAGGTGTGGCTGGTCGGCATGTCCAAGGATGAGGCTAAATCAGGAGAGATGTATGAACCCATTGGTATCCCTAGCAAGTCTTACACCGAGTACTGTCTCGATGAGAAGTTGGCATCCAGGTTATGGGATTGGACAGAGGAAGAGCTCGGGCCATGGTTGAGCTAAGGGGTTCGACATTGAATCTGTTTAGGAGGAACGGACTAAACAGACTGGAAAACCCTATGTCGGCGGTCCCAAAGCTCATCCCACATTGATCGATCTACATCAACTAGCATCTAGACTCATTATTGAAATATGCTAGCACTGGGGGATGGTGTAGTGGCATTTTACAGGTTTAAATCTTCAAAATTGCATCTGCACAAGGCCGCTCTGGTGGGCCCCCTTGAACAAGGGAAGGACCATCGCCGGAGTTGGTATCTTCCAGGTCGGATGCCCTCGTTCTCCCTCCGCGCTTTCTCCATCGTCAGCTTCCTAATTCACAGAGCCGAGAAAAGTCCGAACTCAGGGACTTTATTCTTTCTTCTTCTCGACACGTACAGGGAGGGCGCCAGCATTTTCCGTGTGAAGGACACCAGGCATCTTGAACAGACAAGCCGGCACACGTACGTGCCCCAACTCCAAGGATCGGTGATTTCAGTATTCAAGCCGCAGTGGCTCGCATCTTGACCTTTCAACTGCTCTTCGACAGTAAAAACCTTCCGACTGAATCCCGCCTTATGACGCGAAGCGTTTTGAAGTCCTACAGAGTCTTTAGCACTTAGAGATGGCCCCGGGGGTGTTAGGACCATCTCGACATAGGGACCCTAGCGATGCACCCTGAGTAACATTTACATTTCCATAAGCCATATTCAAACCGTCCAATGAGGTACACACTCCAGGAGCGGAAGTGCAACACCGAAATGATGCATCGCGATCATTCTGCTCCACATGGCAGCAAAATGGTCTTCGTCGAGCATGACTCACTCACTCATACGCATGATGCGGATAAGTGATAAAACCTAGACACAGATGAAGTGATATCAATGGCTACAAAACTGAGCCCATATTCCTGAGGTCCTCAATAGAACCAGCATTGATGGACTCGGAGACCATACGATGACAGTCTATGATGTAATTATTCATAGATTAATGGTTTGGTGTTGACGTGGAAATTGATTACTCGTTTGCTCTATTCTGCTCAAAAGTGTCAATGTTTTCTCTACCTAGGTACCTATCGGCATTCCCGTGTCTAACAGGATATCCGTCAAGTTTGCTGTTGTTAGGCTTGCTCTTGCCCGCCCGCATCGAGACATTTCTGCACTTGACTGTCTACACCTCTGGATATTTTCTCTGCCTTGCTCCAGATTCTGTAGCAAGCATACTAGTGTGCGTGTATCGGGATGGGAGAGCAATAGGTCAAGTTTCACCGGGTCCGAAGCATCAGATCGGCAAGCCCGGAAGCCTAGAACCAGGAGGGTTGCGACAAACTAAAGAAATGATCCATTCATTGGGCTATACCGAGCTCATGTTTCCCTTTCCCTCAGGTGCTAGTGCAGGGTGCCATACAAGCGCGCGATGACAAATTGAATCCATGGATTGTACCTGCTCGGGCCCTCCCTTGCTTGCTTTAACCGGCAGTCTGTTTCGCGACACTTTCGCTCGTTCTCTAATACGCCACCTGGAATCACCAACATTTATAAAAAATCAAGGTTTCTCCTGGGCTGAATTCGACGGAGCCTTTGCTCTCCATCTCTTTTGTCAATCTCAACTCCTCCCATCGACCTCACCTCAATCTTCAACTACGTCTCAAGTCCTCCTATTCTCAATATATATATGAAATACCTTTACAAAAGCTTGGGTACATTGTCACGACAATGAAACATCCATGCCGATCTGGCAATGATCTGGCAAACTGTCCGGCAGGAATACGCGTGCACCAAGGACAGAGACATTGCCCTCGCTCTCTTTGCGGTGGTACTGCGTGTGTGAGTTCTCTAATTTCCATCAATGGCACTTTCTGACTTGAAAATAGCTCATACGTCAATCACCCGACTCACCGGGCGATATCCTGCCTCATGGCTGAGGGGCACCTCGAGGCAGCATTCGAGTTCTGGAAGAACTATGGCCACAAGAAGCAGATGGCGTACCGGAACGACCCCTCACGACCTGTTCTTGAGCATCGTCGACTGCCACGATGTATGATCACCTAGATTTGACCTGCGGGTCAAATCACCGTCATCAAACATCACCAACCTCTCTTCCTCCACGCATGAAAGTCCATCCCAGAGCATCTGATTACGACCTTGAAGATCCTCCTCAGGTATTCAGGGACCCCGAAGCGACACTGTTGACTGAAGACGCTCACAAGTGCGACCGGATGCTCAGCGTCTCTCCTTCCTCTTACTCGGATAATGGCTGGGGAAATGGAAGAGCAACGGGACGCCCACCAGATGACGGAGTGTTTTAAGAGACAGGAAGCCGGCACATTTTCCACGGAGAGAAAAGCTATTACCGTCTCCGTTCTGGCAGCTAGTGGCGCCAACTGTGGCACACTGTCTGGCACTTTCACTCCGGACCCGTGGACGTCAGGACGTCTGGTCCCATGCGGTCAACATGTGGAGACAACGTCGCTTCCACGTCGTATTGTTTCTCCACGACAACATCCACCTTTGCAGGCATCATTGGCGAGCAGCGCCCAGAACACGGTCGTGCCTACCAAGCGCAAGCAAGGGAAGAACAACAATGAGCGGCGACGTAAGCTTGTTGAGGGATTGATGAAGGAGACGGACAGGCAGCGTAATGAGTGCTGGGGGCTCCTGGCTGAACGAACAGCGGCCACTGACCGATGGATGCGCCCTGTACCAGATGGGAATCTGCAGCGACAAGGATGCGCTGCGTTGGGCTCTGATGAGTGGGTAACACAACATACGAACCCTCGACTTCTTGGCTAGAGCTTCAAGCCTTGACTTTGATGGCTCTGTGTGTTTCGCGTTAGCTTCGCAGTCGGCCACACCTCAGTAACAACAGCCAGATGGCTGAACCAATGGTCCTTCCCGTGGGGACTGAAAGCCGTCAGTGCCTGTGGAAGATTATCAGCAACATAGCGGAGAATGCAAGGTGCATCGCATGACGAGGCAGAGACAAGTCACATACTTCCAAGAACACTTCAGCCCAGCCATTCATCAGACACACATGAAGGCTGACAGAGAGGTTGAGTAAGAGGACGCCGAGTTATACTGTCCTGAATGCGACCAGGCCCCGCAGACGAAGGAGCAATGAGACGCCCACCTGGCCAGCGACGCCCACAAGATACCCCGCCGCAACTGCTTGGCCGTGATGGCCCCGGGCGATGTGCCTATTGGGGCCTCACACACCCTATCAAATTTCCGCCATCCGTCAAGAGCCTCAATTATTCTGATCAATATGGGAGAAGACTGATGGATTCATTATTCCCTGCCGGGGCTACTTCGCCCGACAATGACCACGAGAAGCAGGGCACCACCCACAAGAATCTAGTCACCACCCACAAGAATCTAGTCACCACCCACAAGAAGCTATACACCAACTATAAGAACCTGGTCAGTGAAAACAATAAGCTGGCCGAGGATGTAAAGCAGGCCACACAAAATGGTGCTGCTGCTGTAGAAGAACTCGGGAAGTTGGAGGAAGAAATGGTGGTCGTCAACAAGACAAAGGCGATGTATCTTAAGAATTACCTCTCCATCCGAGGAACCATATGAGCTTCAAGCCAGCGTGACGTCTTCACGGCCGACGCTGGCAGCCCCTAGACACATTCCCCGCAGATCTCGCAATCATTGCGGAGCTGTCGAGGGTCCTCAAGGACCAGACGATGCATGTGTCCTGGCAGGAGCGCAAGTCCAGGCGCGGGAGTGGGCGTCTCACCAACGAGATGGCCATTATGGTCGGGTTACGCCCGGGCCGGAGGAACATACGGAGACAACGGGCGGATCACCTCGCGCGGCGGGCAGGGTGGATACCACGAGCAGCGAGCATGAGGCGGACAACATCAGGCAGTGTACCTGGCTTGCCGCAGCCCTCGATAACATGACCGTCATCCGGGAGAGGGCCAGCTCGAACACTAGCATGCCTCTGGGCGGAACTCCCAAACCAAACAAGCATCGCTGCAATGATAATTGTACGAGATCGCAGATCGCCCCCAACGAACAAGCCAGTCCCCACCCCTTCGGAGAGGTCTCTCTATCACTGGATGGACTCGGTGGTCCGAACCATACAGCAACCAGTGGGCATCAACTTCCGCGTTGAACAGCAGCCTCTGTGGGTGCATCTCTCGGCCCTCTTGGGACTCACAACATCTCACTATCCTCAACAAAGCGTCTTTCGGCGACGCACTGGAAAGACTCGGAACACCGCCCGATCAAGGCCTAAGCAGTCGTGAGATCGTGGCTAGAAATACACAGACTGTTCCTTTTTGAGCACAAGTATCTCCTCCCTACCATCACCATAGACGCTCGTTTCTGTGACATTCGAGTCGCCCTACGAGGTCCCCCTCAGGATCCTGCAACACCTACCCCCGGCCAAACACACATTCCTCGCAAACAAGCATCAAGTCACATCAAGACATACCATATCCACAACATACAGTTTAAAACAAGCTCCCGTATGAGGGATTTGGCGGAGAGCTCGACGGGGCCGACAAGTCCGGGCGCGCGGACCGCACCAACCTTGGAATCCTCGAACACTTTGGAGGTCAGCTTGCGGACGTGACGGGCGACAACACCGATATGTTCTCTATCCACTTCCTGTTGATCCGCGTATGCCAGATATCAATGCTGTGTCTGTCCTGGATTCATGAGGTTGGATCTTTCAGATATTGTATGCATAGGATTAACCGAAGACGGAAGATGCATGTACTTAGGTATTTTTTGGGCTGGATAGACATAGACGGAACATATACACTTTAAGCTTCGCATACCTACCTGAATACCATTAACTGTAAGAGTCATCAAGATCTCTGCAGTGCTGATCTATTCACTGGTAGTACTAGGCAAACTTAGGTATACCTGTTCGGACCCGCCTGGGGTAGACGTTTCTGCACTCCAAGGCTATGCATATGCTCTCAATTAAATAATACGATACTGTAGTCTCGTCTCATGACTGCTTCGCCATCGTGCCGTCGCAGATTAGCCCTTGGGCTACTTGTGTCGACGACTCTAGTCAATGGCGCCGTCGGGAGCGATGCCTCCTAGCCTTGTCTGTACGGCACGAGGCTGAGGCCACATGCCCAGTCTTCTCACACCGCTGTGAGCAACCCCTTTCTTGAACGCTGGGTCTTGAAGGCTCACCACTGTATGGAGGCGCGATATATGTCTTCGCAACTTATGCGGAAGCGAACCCAGTCAGTGACCTGGCTCATTCCGAGCATCTGGAAGACTGCGGATGCGCCGAGATATCTTCCAAGGTTATCGATTACAACTCGGGTACCATCGTCCTGGACTTGTACATGCTAGGAATGTTGTTCGGTCTAGTGTCATTCAGAATGGTGAGAACGAAGCTACTTGTGATTAGCATGAATGGCGTTGGCACTTGCATGCTGGTGGTGACAGTGGCAACCTGCCCGGCCCTGCTGGACGCACCAGCCGGCAGACTTCTAAACAGCAGATGACCAGAGTTCCTCAGAATCGCACAAATTAGAACGTTTGCAGGTGCTAAAGGTGGGGTGATTCCCAGGGAAATTCATTCGTGTTCATGTTGCGCAACAGTCTTCTGCATCTCTCACTCTTGCGTTGCTGCTGCATTTTACCCTCATGTAAGCCAGGTCAACAGGTAATGGCATATCACCCCGCGCTCCGATTCACCCTAGAGCACACCTTGAACGAGACAGGTGAATAGCATCCTTCGGTAGCTCGACGTTGTTTATCTGGGCCCTGCTTCCGTCACAGCCTGCGTCCTTGCCAGCCCCCAACTCCACCACCTCGCGAAGTTCCCGATCAAGACTGTCCGGAAACGGCATTCAGCATCCCCTCCTCCTCAGTACAACAACCGTTCCTGGTGGTGCTCCACTGCCTTCGGCGTGGCGTTTTCACATCATCGCCCGAATTTTCAGGCCATCTTGCATCTCAATCGGGCCCGCGGGAAACAAACGTGCTGCTCCGGTGTCAAGAGTTTCACGGTAAACACGACCGACGACATAACTGCCAATTTGAACAGGACTGCGATCCCGCGCCCTGCTGTACTTCCAAATCAGCTCAAGCCGATGAATTTCTGGTAGAACGAATCAATCTGGCCCCCTCCCCGACCCAACATCCGATCGCAAGCATCACCTCCAAAAGGAACACTGCCGACCATCACAACACCAATCCAACGCAGTGATACCTGCTTTCGGCTGACAGCATCCTGCGACCAGAATACTCAGGACGCCGCGGCTTCCACCATGGATTCGTTCGATCACTCTTATACATTACCTCCCACCCCACCGAGGGCTAGCAGCCAAGGCAGAAGAAATGCGTCTCCCGTCTGGTGGAAGTTGTCGTGCGAGAACAGCCAATCCACCAGCCGCACCGGCGAGTGTCCCGAGGACAGGCCGAGTACTCAGTATACAACACCGCAGAAGATGACACAACAATCACAGCCACCTGTTCAATTCGAAGCCCCCGGTCCAGTCGATCCCGCCGACACGACCGAGCACGACCCAGCAAAGTCCGGATCCCGCCTGCGACGTCGACCCGCCGTGGTCGCCCTCTCCAAGCAGTATCTGCAATCAGACAACTGCACTACCGTCGAGCACCACGAGACCTACACTGCTCAACGACAAACTATACTGCCACCTGTCTCGGCCCAGGCTAGTCGGAACTGGGCTAAATATCGCGCGTCTCGCCGCTTTCCGCTGTCCACAGGCACGACGGACCAGCCTGCCAAGAATAAGATTTACAGCGGCAGCCGATGGCCCAGCGCACAGACGGAGGGAACCACCTCGGAGGCCTGCCTATCCGATGACGACGTCGACAGCACAGGCCAGCGGTATGGCCATCAAACCAACTTTACAATCAGATCGGGCGCGGAGGGAACATGGGCCAGACCCCCCATCGCCTCCGAGGACACCGCGAGCGTCAGGGTAGTCGGGGGTGTGACTGCGCACACTCGCATCGTGCAGCACTCTGAGACACCAGAGTTGCCGCCACAACGGGCGGAGTTTCTCAACGCCCACTCGAGTGGTGCGCGTTACGAATCACCCCTCCTGCCGTCGAGGCGAGATCTCAGCAGCGCACAGGATCATGCGGGAGAGGAGAGGAGGCCTCGTGGCATTCAACCCTCCACAGCAGGACTCGACAACATGCTGTCAGTTTCAGCGATCCCAAAACACCAGATTCGGGGACAAGCAGCAATGCGTGTCGAGACAAGCCCGCGTCGGGAATGGAGTGGCCATGGAGATGGCTTGGTCAAGCTCGCAGCCACAGGCCACGGGGATGACCAGTCGAACCCCAAGAAGGGGCTGCTCGATGCTGACAACATGCTGTCACAACGACCAGAAGCTTCCGCCCGCGTGCCACGGCAAGACAGTGGTGCCATTGAACTCCCGCGCCTTTCCCAAAAACTACCCTTTGTCCCTGGTCTCCCAGCAGACCCACGACCTAGAGGTGGCTTCGTGCTAGGCCGGGCACAAGCAGTCAGGATGTCCAAGCCAGGAGAGGCAAGACTGGTCAAGCTGCCCGCAAAGCAGCCATCCCCTTTCAACATCAACTGCCTCAGTTCTGAGGAGGCAGATCTGATGGCTTCAATGGGTGCTGTTGCCAGATCCTCACGCAACAACAGTGCGTGGGCCGATGATGACAAATGCGGTGAGAGGGGCAGCTCGAACATCGATGCTACCGCAGAGACGCTGTTACCAAAACAAGGTCTTCGGCCGTCCGGTAATCCCCGGGTAATGCCCCGAGGAAAAGCAGGCGCAGCTTGTTCATCCAAGCAGCCGGTGGACGAGGACTCCGGGGATGGGCATGAAGATGGGATGTTCCATCAACGTGTACAGCGACTCAAGACGAATGGCCACATGGCCAGCCGAGACGTCCGCCATCCTCCCTCTCAAGAAAAGCCCCGAAACGGCGGCAACCAAAGAGGTGTGACAGAGGAGCAATCAGAGATGCCTTCCAATCTCAACAGCCCGCCATCGGGAATCCCTGGGAACGAAAACCCCGATCCCAGAGATAGTGGCTGCCCGTCTCTGATTAGTGACGATGGGCGAGAGTCGACTTCTTCTCCACGCGACATGGCCTACGAGCTTGCTCGAGCGCAGATATTCCAGGAGCCGCATGGCATCTCTGGGTGGGAGACAGACGAGACAGCCTCGACGGTGGCTCCACATGAGGCTCTCTCAAAGAGCAGCCTCGACCTCTTCGACATCAGCACAGATGAAAAAGAGCTGGTGTCTGGGGCAGATAGCAGTGAGGAGGACGACAATGACGAGACTGCCAGCGGCGGCAACGGCGGTGGGCGGTGGCACCGGGAACCGCAGGCACCAACCTCACCTTTCTCTCACCATCATGACAACGACCTCCTCCAAAGTCACCTTCAAGAGCGATTTCCAGGCGGCAGCACACCTGTAATACAGGCCTACGAGCTCGGTCTGTATGCCAGGTGCGCACTCCTCCGGTGGATGCACTCCACGGCAGACGCGCCCGGCAGCCCCGGGATGCACGACGAGTCCGGCCTCTGGTGGGAGCTGCTGAGGCTCGAGGATAGCTACCGGCTGCGGTACAGTGACGAGACGAGGGCCGAGAAGGCACGGCCTGATCTGTCCCCCGATGTACGTGCTTTCCTTAGGGGGGTATTCCCGCCGTCGGATGCATAGGGGATAGGAGACGATGCCCTCGTGGGACAGCCGCTGAGGTTTCTTGGGGGCTACTGACTGGGCTCCGTGTTTGGGTGCGCTGCGTGTTGTCCACGGACACGAGGGGTGTGGAAAGAAGCGGCAAAGCTGTCTTTATTGAGGTGTCGGGAAGGACTTGAGAGACTGGCGTACGAATGGTCAAGGAAGGTGCCGTCAGGTGACACATCGTCCTTCGAGAGAATAAACTCAGGAACGATGTTGTAGACCGACTGCTAGACTCTGAATATATCATACTAGAAGAAAAGACATCTGCGCCTCTGTTGTGAAATTACCCTACCTGTCATCATGGTCGAAGAAGAGTCGAAGGTCTTGTTAAGGTTTTGAGCCTCTCTCTCCAGGCGCTCCACAAGCCTGAGGATCGGCGGAATGGCCAGGTGCAGCAAGTACCTAGGTACCTGCAGTAGCCACGCAGCGGCCCAGATCGAGGAGCTTGGGCCTGGCGGGGCAACTGCTCCGGCCCTGACGTCCCCTGACGTCACTTGGTCGTCTCGATATTAGCAGGTAGGACAGACCTCTCAACAAAGCAAGAGCCGCTGTGTGTCGCCTCGGCCGTCGAGGTCGTGTTTTCAGACATGCTTCTCCTCATCATCCAGATGGCCATCCACATTTGAAGCCGACAAGATGGGCCGAATTGAAGCAATCGCACGTTCGATCGTGCGGACGATCCTCAACGGTGCCAAGAAGAGGTCGCGTTCGCCCATCGCGTACATCCTGGCCCTCGTCTCCACCATCTTCTCGTTCTACCAGCTGCCTCTCCACAAGCACCGCCCCGAGGTCTTTGCCAATCTCCGCCAGCAACACTGGAAAGTTGACGACGAGGAATATCTGGCCTCTTTCCGTGTAGAAGATGGTGGCAAGCCAGAAGATGCGCTGAAGCCCCTGGCAGACCTTGGCTTCTCTGGCTCAGTAAGACCTCCTCCGTTATCATGTCTCCCCCTTGTGGGGTGGCTCAACTGACTTCTCCGTGCTACAGTCCTTCTTCTCAACAGCTGACCAGAAATACCTGGTCAAGTCTGTACCGCGCCACCACGAACACACCTTCTTCCGCAATGACCTCCTGGACATGTACGCAGCCTACATGGGGTCCCACCCCCGGACCCTCGTCATCCGCATCTGCGACTTCCTGGCCAGCTCCGGCCTGGCCATCGGCCACCAGCTCGGTACAGCGCCGAACCACCACATCGTCATGGAGAATATAATGTACGGCCAGGACGAGGCAACAAGGAACGGCGCCCCCAAGTGGGAGAACTGGGACCTGAAGCCCACGAGCTACTTCTACCCAGAGCGGGACATCGCCGACGGCAGGCTCACGAGCGAGGCCACCAAGGACCAGCTCGCCGACGAGTTCAACGACAAGATCATCCTCACCGCCGACCAGGCGCACGAGTTCTGGCGCAACCTGGAGGAGGACACCCGCATGCTGGCACACTACAACGCCGTCGACTACTCGCTCTTCCTCGTGCGCATGAACGCACGGCAGGCCGAGAACGCCATCGGCGACGGCCCGTCCTCGTCCGGATCCGCAGCTGAGAACGTGGTGGACGCGCTGCCCCGCGACCCGCCCGCCGTGCCTCCCGAGCCGCCCTCCTGGAGGACCGGGGTGGCAAGCGCGGATGGGAAGTATGTCTACCGCGCGGCCATCCTCGACTTCTTCTGGGCCAAGCACAAGGTCCAGCCCAGGGTCATGACCTTCCTGGTCAACACGTACAACAAGCTCATCCACCACCATGGCCCGATGAGCATCACCACCACGCCGGACGAGTACAGGGAGAGGTTCCTGAAGCTCTGTCATGATATAGTGGAGGTCCGGGACGCTGGGTCCGGGTCGTGATTGGTGATTTACTGGATTGTATGATACCCCTTAGCGTAACGGGCTGCTCCTTAATGAATACCCTCGATTTTATCAGATCCCCATGAAGGCGAAATGTATGTCCTCGGACATATACGGAATAGAAGCGAAACCACTTATCAGATCCCTGGCCCATCTGGGATTGCTCATCAACCTCAAGTGATTGTGACACTCGTGTTCGGGCTACCTTGCTTCCTTCTATGTCGGATCCTCTCTCGATCCCATGACGACCGCACGGCTTGGAGGCAACGATTGAGACTACCCTAGGGTACGGCGATCTACGCCAGCCCATTATACCCAGCCCCTCCTTGCCCACATATTGTGAAGTGATCGTGACTGGCATTATAGCCCAGGGACAACAAGAATTATAGAACATCATCCTGGGTCAAACCCGCTGGTCGGCGCCGGTCCCGCGGTTACCTGATGTAACCCAGCCTGGTCTTTAGGCCCGAGGTCTTTAGGCCCCAGATAGGCCAGGGCAGCCGGGCCGCCGGAAATGCATGCCCACGGCGTCATTACTGAAGTGGTAAATGTGTTCTAATACGCGCAGCACCCCCATGACCCACGAGCTGGAACACCTACCCGGAGGCAGGGGTAAAGATAGCAATAAACCTCGGCGGCAAAGTTCCTCGCGGCCACGGAGTCGAAACATGCGAGGCTGATCGTGTCGTCTGCGGCGTCGTAGCCGCCGTCGATACAGGTGCGTAACGGGGCCTTCCAAGGTAGATGGCGCCGATGTATGTGGTTTCGCTTCTACTCCGTATACGCCTGAGGACATACATAGCGCTTGAAAAAGACACAGTGTCGATACCTAGGTAACTATAGTTATAATACAATATGTTCTTGAATGTCAAAAAAAGCCCATTTCCAGTATAATATTTGACCATTAAGAACCGATCTACACACGCCTGATGCTACAAAAGACTTACAACTACCTTGGTTGCTATGAATTTGTGTGGAACTTTATCAAAGCCCCCCGGGGGGGGGCTCTCCGCACATCATCCACGTATTTCCCACGATCGACACGCCTTACTATGATACCGCCGCTTGCTCGAAAGGTAGGTTAATCGATTGGGACTGTGCCCAGCTCGGTCCAATCGGTGCCATTCAACGCAACTTCGATCACATTTCCCTCTCGTTGGAAGTAACACCTGTTGGCTTGGACCGAAGCCACTTCGAGGTCCAGATCGTACCCATAGGAATCCCTCTGCGTCATGGGCATGGTCACGCACGCGATGCTTGTCCCGTTGTCTGCGATGCTGAGAGCCGCGGGCTGTGTCGTGACCCACTGAGAGTGGTTGTCAAGATGAACCGTACTAATTCGTGACGAGGGCTCTTGGTAGAGCACATAGGTGTTGACGAGGCCTTCGCTGCTCTCCGGCCTGGCCGTAGTGAAGGCCGCGAAGGAGCCGCCGGGCGCGAGGGAGATCAACGGGAACCTTGCGTCTGCATGTGGGCCCAGCCGGGCACGTTAGTTCGGTATGCAAGCGAAGGGGCTTGCTGGAACTTACCACTGCGCCAGCTATCTATGAATGTGTTATTTTCTTCGGCATAGCCCTTGTGGGGCTGTATAAACGCTAGTTCCCCAGTGATGGCTTGATAGAACAGGCCGTAATTTCGCCACCAGGACAGGCTCGTCATGTTTGTACCCGTTGGTACCACTGCCAACTTGCTTCCGGCCATAGAATTGGCGTCAGGCACAAGCCAACCGCTCCAGTTGCCCGTCTGAGAGTATTCAATGTCAGAGGCTGGGTTATCGTGCCACATGGCCACTGCATGGTCCGTATCGAGGTGGGCATAGAACGGCCAGTATCCTGCCAGGGATGTACCCGTACTATCGTCCTTGAATGCATCATTGAAGCCCTGATATTGATGGTACCTGCCCCCGTTGTTCGTGTTATACTTTGCGCGCAAGAATGCACCCGACCGGACATAGAAGAGATCTGGCTGGGGCTATCATAATGTGGCCGTTGTCAGGATTATCCCTTCCCACAAGTCTGGGTGTCGTCAAGCACAATGGACTCTGCTCACCTGATACTTGGCACCCCACAGAACCATTGTAGCTGCCAAACCTGTGTCATTGGCCGCATTATCTGATTCTGGGCTTCCCACCTCCCTGCTTTTCGCCCAGTTGGAATTCTTGTATGTGGATGCGTTCAGGGGATCGTCGTACGTCGACCATCGAAGTGTGCCGTCAGGACTTTGGTAATACAACAAGATTTGCACACCTCCTTGGCTCTTCCTCCATGCAGTCACAGATAGACTGGACCCTTGCTTGATAAGAGACGGTTTGTCGGGATCAGGGGTTGTCGTGTTTGGAATGCCTGAAGTGCTCGGAGAGGAGCTCGAGCTGCCGCCAACTGCCCTAGATCCCAAGACACCACCTACAACTGCTGCAGTAATGCCTAGAATGAGAGCGATAGCCACAAGAATGAGCTTCTTGCTGGATCTGGGTTTGCCAGGAGGACTTGAAGAAGGGGTAAATTCCTTCCCCGTCTTGGGTGCACTCCCCGAGCCTGGGACATCTGGGAACGTGCCTCCGGAACTGGAGTTGGAACCGTCGACTTGTAAGCCTTCATGGTTAGGTCTGATCGCTATCTTGCCTATACGACCATCCAGCATCCTGTCGTTGCGATCTGTGCCGACTTGGAGGTCTTGGGCGAGCACGGGCAGGCCCTGATCGTGAGCAGGAACATGTCCGGCGAGTACAGGCTCAGGATCCGGCTGGCCGTCTCTCTCTGCCGGAATCATGATGTCAGATAATAAATTGATATGTTCTGATCTGTGAATGTTCGCCGCCTGGATGTCGGTGCTGGGATTGCCGGTAATGAACCTTGATCGTTCGCCTCAAGTGCTCGATAATGTCAAGTGCCTCACCAGATGGCAAACTTGCAAAATGTTGGCTATACAGAACTATAAATGTGATGCCCTTGGTTCGAGGACGTGAGGGACTTCCAAAGTACAGGGGAGACCTGGATTACCAGCAACTTTCCTCGATCAATGCTGACAAGATCATTTATGTGTGAGACCTCGTCTCGGATCGCACAAGACACATCGCGTAGTCCCGAGCCGTGAGTCACGACGTAAAGTTCTGATTCAACTGTGCTGAGCGATCGAATCGTCATTAGGAGCTGGTCGCCAAGAGGAGAAGGAGATGTCTCTCAGATGCGTTGGGGTGTGGCACAGCATCAGCTGTAGGCTCATGTGCGACCGGCAAAATGAATGCAAAGCAGAATACACGTTATTACACACGTCAGCACCAGCCGGACTCCAATCCGTTTGGGAATGAAGATACTGGCAAAGAGGCAGATCAGGCTGCGAGGGGCCAAAACTTGCTTCTTGATAGTTACTGTCGCCCTGAACAAGATACTGCGAATAGGAGACAAATGTCTTAAACCACATATTAAATGGCATTCAGGTGACTTTCCCATCACGTCTTCCTTCCCCCATTGAATGGCAATCATCTGGCGCTGCAATTTCCACTGCTTGGATTTAGCACTCCTGTAATCTTTCTTCAGCCCACATACTTCTGTTCCCTGCCACGTCAGTCTCTGAGGCATCTTTTGAATTGAGACCAGAATACCCCGGTGGAAGGAGCAGTGCTCATACTCAGGCAACATGCGGACACCAAGCTGCACCAGAGTCCTCATCATGGTCATCCTCTTAGTCTTAATTGTCTGGCTACTTGTGTTCCGCGGGGGGTTGGAGAAGGTGAGTGACGGGAAGATGCAGTGCCCCTTTTGCAGTGGATGCCACAGCGCGCTTACTAAAGATGCTCTCCCTGCCAGATTTTGGGCCTGCGATATGCCGCACCAAGGGACCGGTCGGGCCATCACTTCCCAGTCGATCAGTCTGAAGCGACTTAAAACAGCCTCACCATAACATTGCGAACTGCTGTGCCGACAACTTCCAACACACTTTGAGTCGTTTCATAGTGTACTCTTGGCCCTACACGACCTCAACTCGACAGCCTGAGTCTACGAACGCTACAAAAAGCTTGACGTGTAGCTCCGACCCCAGAACGGCCCACGCGTTACGTTGCCGGGTGCTATGAGGCCTGATCCTCTTCTTTGCGAGGGCATGAACCCGAGTCTGTTCTATACTAGTTGATCAAAATCTCGGGATACCTTTGCAGAAATGTGTCAAGCTTCTGCCATTGTGCTCTAGGTGTTGTTGAAAGAGATGGGACTCGAAGCAATACAGGGTGCTATTGACAGCAAATGAACCAGGTGCAATCCTTCGGGTGCGTCCAAACCAAATAAACCTTGCAGCAGGTCTGGTAGGGCTGCTCAGTCTATTGAGATAGTTCTGGCACATTGACAACAAGCTGTAGTCGCCGCAATAAGTATCAATGATACCAGCACGTGCAGCTTAATAACATTGAATACTCGATGACTTGTCATAGCCGTTTCCGACGCAATGAGTAAGAAACCGAGCAGAAAGCCTTGCTTGGATTTGCTAGACTACTTCGCTAGGCTACTTCGGCCATACCTTGAGCTTTGTTGGTTCTTATGCCAAGCATAGGAAGCCTTTGGCAATCCGCATCTGAGCTCAAAGAGGAAAGATGCCCCAAGCTCACATTCCCAAGTACGCTCTGAGTTGAATTTTTTTCTTTCATTCTTTTATATTATACCTACTTTTTCCATTCCCGGAGCTTGTTTTCGTGAGCAATCGTTAGAAACGTGTTCGGGTTTTTAAATGCTTTTTTTTGTGAATCCGACAAGGAAAGAACAACTAGCAGCGGCTTAGTTGGCCGGGAACAATATCTGCGCCCATTAATTCCGCCTGGGTGGTTGATTCGCTGATTGTGTTGGAAGGAAGAAGCCTGTACCTGGCTGGGTAGCTAAGAGCTTGTCATATAACCCACGTCCATGTCCTCGTCTTATAAGATCTCCTATCGTGGATATACCACGGTGAGTATGCCTACCGATCCAGATCGTGATAATTCAACACACATAGGTAGCCAGACTGTGAGAGGGTAGAGCCAATGTGTCGAGGATCGTCAATGTATGCAAGCTCTTATGCGAGCCGTGAGATTTGTCCGGCACATATGCAATTGTTTGTGGTTTATCTGCAATCACGATCCTATATATGGGGCTACAGCAGTTTGGGTCCACCTGTAGTTATAAACGAACAATTATCTGGGTCTCGCTTAAGGATGGCGAATTCTAGGGTCCCCGCCCCCAGGCCCAACCCCAGGCTACAATTCAGACATTATGTAAAACCAATTAGTGCACGCAACTAAGCTTTTCGGTTATCCCAGGTACAACAAGCTCACATCTCAAGCTCCGCCTGGTGTCTTTACGGAAGGCCCAGGCGGCTTAACGATGCTGCTATTGTACTAGGAAGTCTTGACGTTCATGCGGCATGTCCAGCCCAGGCAGACAAGAAGCTTATTATGCTTTGGATGTGATTTTCGCATATTCCCCTAACGGACATCTTCCCGCCTTCTCGCCGTTGCGAATGCGACATCTGACGGTACGGCACAATTACCCGCCTTGCAATGCATATAAGGCTGCAAGGACGCCTGGCCAGAGTTCTAGGTGCATCCGAAGTCTTGGGCAACCACAGATCGATCGGCACGGATATGCCTTGTTGCCTGCATTTGCGACATGTTATGCTCCTGCAGCCCACCTGGGCAGTTCTTTCGAAACCGGACAAGATGCAGTCCATTGGTCCGCATCCGAGGAGACGGAAGAGCCGCCGACTGGTGTGGTGTCACAACGATATCGCAACACCCTGACGAGGTTGCCACCTGATAAATCGGCGTGTGGGTGGCTCGCTCGGCGGTGGCCAATGCTGCTTACTACAGGTCGACATTCCCACAAGATAAACAGATACCGTAGATGGCCTGACAGAGGCAGAGGGCGGACGATTCGAGTAGTCAGTCTGGTATAAAGTGTCCCGATAATTAAAATCCAATGACCGAGCTAGACAAGTCACTATCTCCAGACCCTTGACCTGTGGAATGTAGCCAAGGCTCGGCAGCGTTGGGGTCGGCCTTGGCGCATCCTCTTAGCATCTCACGATTCGCCCACCTCACGAGGCCCGACGTTCTGGATCCAATTGTCTCAATCCCTCGGCCGCGGGTGGCTCGAGGAGGCGTCGGGCAGGCGCCGTGCAGGAGAACAAAAGGGCAACAATCCAATAGTCCGGGCTGGCTGGCTGGGTGGTCATTCGCCGGCTGCCATGCTGCCATGCTGCCTGCTCGGCTGCCAGCGGGCGTCCCGGGCGGACAAACGCCAAGTAAGGGAGCTAGGTTGAGCTTCCTCTTCTGGCGGATGACAAGGCGAGCCGTTCATTCAAAGGACGCTGCCCAGCCTTTGCCCAGGCCCAGTCAAGGCTGGGTAATTCAAGTCTTTGCATGGCATTGCAACCGTTATCTCTTGTCCATGCCGCCTATCGTCCTCCGGGGACCAACCAGCGCCTCTCCCCTGGTGACAAGGCGGGTCTTCTTCGGTCTAGCCTGCCTCCACTTTTCCACGCCCACATGCCCTCCTGTTGGCCCTGCCCGACGGGGGGCAAACATCCACATCAGCGTGTCAGCAGTTTGATCAGCTCCTGTCGGGCCTGTCTTCCCCAGGCCAGCCGGTGGGTTTGCGGTGGGTCTCCCCACGCGTGCGGAGCCTGCTGATATTCCTCCAAGTGCCCTGCCTCGTCAGTCCAGTACGCGATATCTCGCCCAGCACGACCGAGTCTGGTCACTGAGTGGGCAGATCGCCGGGGACAGCCACGCGGGCTGAAAATTTGGATTCTTGGAAGCTTCCGCTCTCACGTTTAGACGCCGCCCCGGCTCTCCGCCAAGCGCGAGGAGCAGGCAAGCGGGGTGAGAATGAGGAAGGTCCTCCCAAAGCCTATACGAGGCGCACCCAGCTAACTCTATCACCGCTGGCGCGAACATGTCTGGGCGCGCCACATCCTGGCCGCAGAAGCCATGGAAGCTCGGCAGAAGGAGACTAGAAGCTCTCGCCCAGTCGCCCTGGGCTTGCTGTGCATAAATGCACGACGGTCCCCGCCGGCGAGACCTCTGCATGCCCTCGTCCCCTTCGCCTGCTTCTTGTCTCAGATCTTTTTCTGTTCCAGTCTTCGACCGGCCACACCCTCCTCTGTGAGCCCGCGCTATCTGTCGTGTTTGTCTCGGTCTTGAAGGTCCATACTCCCCCCCTTCGAGCTTAAACAAGACCCAAGACACGACCGCCCGTCATGTCGGAGGTAGAAAAGGGTGCGGCGGCACCGCCAACCGTGCTCCATCACAAGGACTCATCATCCGATGGCGAGGTCGGCCGGATCGAGGAGAATGAGAGCTGGGCGACCCGCAATGGCTTCAACCTGCGGTCCTTCCAGAAGAAGGACTCTGGTTCCAACATCACTCTTGAGCGGCCCATGAAGACTCGCCATCTGCACATGATCTCCATCGGTAGGATCTCCAGCTGTCCGAAAGTCGAAGACATATTCGAAACTGACATGAGAATCCACAGGTGGCTCCATTGGTGCTGGTTTCTTCGTCGGCTCCGGTGCCGCCCTGGAAAGGGGTGGCCCTGCTACTCTGCTTATCGACTTTGCCATTATCGGTATCATGATGTTCAACGTCGGTAAGTTTTTGATGCTCTCTTTTACTATTCAGCCATATTCTTATCCCAGGCTAACGCGTGTCCTATCCCAGTGTACGCTCTCGGTGAAATGGCTGTCATGTTCCCTGTCTCTGGTGGCTTCTACACTCTGTCAACTCGCTTTATCGACCCGTCCTGGGGCTTCGCCATGGGCTGGAACTATGTCTTCCAATGGGCTATCGTGCTTCCTCTCGAATTAACGGTCTGTGGTCTCGTCATGGCCTATTGGACTCCAAACACGAATGTCGGGGTCTGGATTGCCGTCTTCCTCGTCCTCATCACTCTTGTCATGATGTTTGGCGCCATTGGATTCGCAGAAGAAGAATTCTGGGCCGCGCTTCTTAAGCTCTGTGCTATTATCATATTCATGATTATCGCCCTCGTCCTTGTCCTCGGTGGTGGTCCTGAGGGGGGTCGCTATGACGAGTACCAGGGATCGAAGACATGGCAGGACCCAGGCGCGTTCCGGAACGGTTTCCGAGGCTTCTGCGCCGTCTTCGTCACGGCTGCCTTCTCCTTCTCCGGTACTGAGCTCGTTGGTCTGGCCGCTGCTGAGGCCAAGAACCCCATCAAGGCCCTTCCTGGTGCTATCAAGCAGGTCTTCTGGCGAATCACCCTGTGAGTTGGCGCCCCCCCCCCTGCCCGTTTGCGCCTTTGATGTCCCAGTGACTGACTCCTATCTGAAGCTTCTACATCCTTGGCCTCATGTTTATTGGCCTGCTCATCCGCTCAGATGACGAACGTCTTCTCGGCGCCAATGGCGACTACGTCTCGGCTTCGCCATTCGTCCTTGTCGGCGAGTATGCTGGTCTGAATGGATTCAACCACTTCCTTAACGTCGTCATCGTTGTTTCGGTCATGTCTATCGGCGTGTCTGGCGTCTATGGAGGCTCACGTACCTTGACTGCCCTCGCTCAGCATGGCTACGCTCCCAAGATCTTCACCTACATGGACCGTGCCGGCCGTCCGACATTCTCCCTTGCGGTCGTCCTCGCTTGCGGTCTCCTTGGCTTCATCAACCTGGACGCCCAGGGAGAGGTTGTCTTTGACTGGCTTGTTGCCCTGTCTGGTCTCGCTGCCCTCTTCACCTGGGGCTCCATCTGCTTGGCTCACATCCGATTCCGCAAGGCCTGGGCATACCACGGCCACACGCTTGACGAGATTCCTTTCCAGGCAATTGGTGGCGTCTACGGCTCGTGGCTGGGTCTCATTCTCTGCATCCTCGTCCTGATAGCTTCGTTCTACAGCGCTATCTGCCCTCCTGGCATGTCAGGAGTTGGTACCGCAGAAGACTTCTTCATGGCCATGCTTGCGCTGCCTGTGGTTATTGTCTTCTGGATCTGTGGATATTTCTGGAAGAAGGAGGGTTGGCTGCGAACCTCGCAGATGGATGTTGACACCGGCCGCAAGGAGCACGATTGGGACTACATCAACGCTGAAAAGGCCAGAATCGCTGCTTTCCCCCTGTGGAAGCGTCTGGTCTGGAAGTGGTTCGTCTAGAGAGGCAGTGATTCCCTACGTGTTGTTCACGCTTGTACAAAAGCTATGGGCATGCGGGTGTGTACACGATGCGCGAGGTGCCTGGTGCCACATTACACAGCCTCATAGCTGTAATTAAGTTTCAGAATAACTACCCAACTCTGTCCACCAAACCGCGATATTGTGCCTATTCCACAATTATAACACACAGCAGAGACTGTACTTAAGTGGCCGCCCAAGGAGTGCAAATCTATGTGGGTTCACTTACTCAAAGAGCACAGCACAGGACACATAACAGCCAAAGTCATGCTCGATCTTCCCAGTCCTCATGCGCGTCATTCGCAGACTTCCAAGGGTTGGTACAAACAGGTCGCGAGTCACGACATTTCTTGTACTGTTGGTCATTCCCTTGGTTCTCGGACCGAGCTAGCCATTCCCAGGACGTTCCCACTGTCAGGTTGACATTCGTGGTCTTGGCAGCCCACCAACATTGTCCTCGTGCACAGGACCAACGACTCTGCGGTCGCTGCTTACCAAATTTCCTCAATGGGACAGGTTCCCGCCAATGGCAATGATCCCTGACACTTAGAACCCTCGGTATATGTGCCCGTGTGGCTTGAGAGGCCCTTCTTCTGCAGGACCCTCCCCATCTCAACGTGGAAGGAAGCAACCGTTCCTAATTTCTTACCTGGCATATGATCCAATATTTGGGGGTCCACACACCCGGGGAAAATCTGACCGCCGTTCAAGAATACTACCACACACGCACGCTTCAATACTACTTGACAGGTCCTCTGGCTTCCGGATTCCGTGCCACAACCTCGCCGGAAGAGGAAGCTCTATCTTGCTGGACCGCCTCACAAGGACACCCGCGGCAAGGACCTGACGTTACAATCTGACAAACTCAGTCGCCGGTGTGCTGGCACCGCACCGCACCCGCACGGCCGTCAGCCAGCGAGAAGAGGTTTGCCGAATCGAGGGCCCCGGCAATGCGGCATCCACGCGCACCCTGCATGCATGCATATGTGGTGTACTGCCGGGGCTGACTGACTACGTATCTATCTGCAGCAAAAACAGGTGGGAGAGCGAGCACCACGAGTGTTCAGGCTTTCTGCCCAATGGCAAACGGCCCTCGATATCTAGGCAGGACCCTGCGGTCTCGCCCACATGTACAACGCACTCACGTGGCCACGACATCGAGGTGACATTCTGGATATCACACCCTGGAAATGCGACTGGGGAACGCCGAAAAGGGTGACGGCACCACAACGCAACCGACGTTGCGGTCCATGATAGTGGGCTGGATGCAACATTGATCTTGGAAAGATATAGCACTGTCATGTATCGTAAATTGAAGGGACGTCGAGGTACAAAGAGCGCCGGATGTCCTGCAGAAAGTAATTTAGAACCGACCCAGTCTTACCCGACCGGTTCGTAGATCCCGCATAGATTGCCATCAATATGAGAATATCAGTCCTTTCCACTATCGTGACACTCCTCCTGGCCAGCTCCGGCTCAGCCCTGCCCGTCCAAGATGCCACCCGTGCCTCCGCCGCTGTCAACCCAGAGCTGCCACGCCTGGTGATCTACTTCCAGACGACCCACGACAGCGCCACGGGGGAACCAATCTCCATGCTCCCCCTGATCACAGAGCTAGACATCGCCCTCACCCACCTCATCGTCTGCTCCTTCCACATCAACGCCGGCAGCGAGATCCACCTCAACGACTACTCGCCAGACTACCCCCTGTTCGCAACGCTATGGAACGAGACCCTCGTGATGAAGGCCGCCGGCGTCAAGGTGATGGGCATGATAGGCGGCGCCGCGCCCGGCTCGTTCGACCCCGACACCCTGGACAGCGCCGACGCGGCCACCTTTGAGCACTACTACGGGCAGCTGCGCGACGTGATCGTGCAGTACGGCCTGCAGGGCATGGACCTGGACGTGGAGCAGTACATGTCGCAGGCGGGGATCACGAGGCTCGTTTCCCGGCTGCACGCCGACTTTGGCGACGGTTTTATCATCACCCTGGCGCCGGTGGCCTCGGCGCTGTCGAACCAGGGGAATCTGTCCGGCTTTGACTATGAGACCTTGGAGTCTCAGGCCAAGACTGCGGATGGGCAGGACATGATTGATTTCTATAATGCTCAGTTCTAGTGAGTCGCACTTCTTCAAACGCGCCCCTTCAAGCCCCTCAAATATGCCTGGAGCGGAAGTTAGCAGTGAATCCTGGGTTGGGGAGTTGGAACTTCTCCTCCCAAGCCGAGAGACCACACCACTAACCATCAAACCCCCCCGAAAACAGCAGCGGCTTCGGCACAATGTCAAGCCCCCTCTCCTACGAGAGGGTGATCCGGAACGGCTGGGACCCAAGGGACATCGTCGCGGGGCAGCTGACCAACCCGTCCAACGGCGGCGGCTTCACCGACACCGCGAGCCTGAACACGACGGTCGCCGCGCTGACGGCCGAGTACGGCACGATCGGCGGCATCATGGGCTGGGAGTACTTCAACAGCGTGCCCGGCGGCACCGCCGAGCCGTGGAGGTGGGCGCAGGACATGACCGAGATACTGAGGCCCGGGTATTCGGTGCAGCTCACGGTGACGAGTGATACCGCGGAGGCCCTGGATGCGGCTTGGAGGGAGAGCGTCAACGGCGGTGGCAGCGGGACATCGAGCTTTGCGGAGGTGACGCCGAGCGTGGACTACTTTGCGATGGTCAATGCATGATGTCGGCATAAGAAGAGGAGCAGCGATGGATGAGGTTATGTATATTTCATTATGGTCATTACATATCGACATTAGCCAGCCTAGATACCGGACCATATAAGTCTATGTCTATAAATATTTCCCGCAAAAGTGGTATCGAAGTATATAGCCGAAAAGAGAGTAAGAGACCAAAGACACTTGCAGTATGTATCCTCATAACTCATAAGGCTGCAGGTCCCTCAGGGCTTGAATAGCTGCTCCTTCCTGAAGAAAATGAAGAAGCCGACGCAGACGAGGATCTGCAGCAACAACGGGACCCAGAACCACACATTATTCAGGCCCTCCCACAGATTCATCGCCAGGTTGGGGAAGACGGGGCCGGGGCCGATCTTATCGGGCGCACTGGCCCGCGCAGCAATGGTCCCAATCGACCCGATCACCTGTGCGCCAAACACGGTCCAGCTGACGTGGAACCGGCCGAGCGTCTGCAGCAGGATCATGCCGAAGCCCACGCCCTGGAGGGCATCCAGCACGCCGAGCCAGAGCCACAGGCTGCGGCCGAGCAGCGCGCCGGCCAGGTCGCTCCCCACCCACGGGAGGTAGAGCCCGATGCCGCTGGTGCCCCACAGGAGCTGGGCCCAGCGCGGGGCGCCGAGGCCGATGGCGAAGAGCGGGAGCGCCCAGGAGTGCTCGTTGGACAGGTAGGCCATGGCGCCGAGGACGGCGGCCCAGACGACGACGAAGAAAAAGACCGCCAGGACGACGATGGCCCACGCGGGCGCGACGGCGCTGGACCAGAGGTAGCTCCAGCTGCGGCCGTAGGGGGCCGAGAGGAAGTAGTTCTGGATGGCGGCGACGACCAGGAACCAGACCACGATCCTGCGGCGCAGGACGGAGCGGTAGAAGGCGGAGACGTAGCCCGGCCTGCTGCGGTACGCCTCGGGCAGGCCCGCGAAGAGCACGGCGGCCACGACCCAGAGCAGGACCGCGATGGGCAGCGTCACGTACGTCACGGTGCGAGAGGACGACGAGATAAGCGTGTAGCCGCTGTTGCGCAGCTTGGTGGCGTACGAGCCCCAGTACCACAGCGCCGCGATGTAGATCTGCTGCGTGCCCTGGATGGTGCAGGCTCGGAACATCCACGACCGGACTGGATTACCGCCCTCGGTGAGGAAGTTCTGCGTGAAGAAGAGGAATCCGCTTGCCGAGCCGACAGCGTAGAGACCGGTTGCAGTGTACTGCAAGGCCACAATGTTGAGCGGCAAGGTCGCGAAAGGGATCAGACCTAGAACGAGGAATGCCGCACCGTAGAAGACAAATGCCAGTGACAATGAGATGTAGAGCTTCAGGTTGCGGAACAGGATCCACCAGAAGATTGAGCCGCCAAGGTATATGCCCGAGGTAATATACACCTGCTGGGCACTCTGTCCATTCTGCCCAGTGAGCAGGGTGATTTGGTAGGAGTTGGCGGCGATGATCTGTCCGAGGGCCAAAAGGAACGCATAGAGAGGCCAGTCTCCAATCTTGGCTAGCATGAGCTTCCTCAGACCGGTTGGTGGCTTGTAGTCGGGGCTCAGGTTGAACTCATTAATCGGGAGACTCGCGTCGTCACGGCTGCTGGCGGCCGAGGTTGACCTCGAGGATACGCTGACAACAGGCTTCGGCATCTTGCCCAGCTTGGCGTCGTGGAAGCGGGCGAACCAGTTTTTCTCAGAGGAGCGGATGTAGTCCTCCACGCAGAGCTTGTCCGAGGACAAGTTGCCCTTGTGCGAATCGATGAGCTTTGAGAAAGAGCTGTAGTATTCACCCTTGGGGTCGTTAAAGAAAGGCTCCACGTTCTGCAGCTTGAAATCATTCCGTCCGCCGACGACAGTGTCGAGTGTCAGGACGAATTGGTTGGCAGTTGGCAGGCTGTGGGTCAGTGACTCGTCATGCTCATTGCCCGACGATGACCTGTTTGAGCCCTGCCCCTCTTCGGGGAACTCATTGGCCTCCATCTGTGACTGCGTCCTGTCAAGCTCTGCCAGCGCGTCCAGCCTCTTGGACAAGAGCTTGCCCAAGGCGGAGAATGACTTGTTCCGAGGGGCAAAAGTAGCAGTGGGTGTTCTAGGAGTCACCGCCCCCGAATTGGGCTCAGATGCTGTTGAAATAGAGAGCATCGATGGAGTATGAGTGAGTGTTCGCCTCGCAGAGCTGCTGAAGCCGCGAGTGGGACTCGGTGCTCGGCTGCCGGCCCTGCTTGGAAAAGCTGTTGAAGCCGCGGTCTGTGGGGTGCTGATAGTGGGCGAGTTGGGCAGTGTTGGGGCAGGTTGCGGGGGATGCAACGCGAGTGAGGTGACCGAAGACGACCGCGTTCCGGGAATGAGAAGGTTGAAGGCCGAGCCTCGTCCAATATTGTCATGGGCTTCGATAGACCGGGTTTGCAGAGTATCAAGATCTTGCACCCACTGCATCACCGGGAAACGTTGAACCAGCGACCTCGCCCGCATCAATCGCCTCGTCTCCTCGGAAGAAGCAAGGGCAGATTTGATGGTAGACTTGAACTGTCGCAACAAGTGCTTGGTCTCAGTCGACTCAATGGTGAACCACCACCCGGGCATCTGGCCCAGGCCGCCAACTCGAGACCCCACACAAAGCGCACCCTTTCTGCCGAACTCAACGGCGACAAGCCCGAATGGCTCGTCTCGTGAGGGCATGAGGGCAAATTCGGCTCCGCTGAAGACATAAGGAGGAATCGAAACGAACTCAGGCTTGGAGTAAACCCGACCTGGGTATCGCTCCATAGTCTTTTGGAGTTTGAGCGCGGCGAATTTGCCGTGGTTGTCGATCGTGGGACCGAGGCAGATGAGCTGCACATCCTTGTGTTTATCCAAGATGGCAGGGAAGACGTCCGCGATAAGATCAATCCCCTTTTGCAGGGACCAACGGCCGACGAAGACGAAGAGCTGGGCCTTTTCGTGGGTTAGCGTCAGTATTCAGGACAGGGAAATACAATCACTCACGTTTGGGTTCTCCTCCAAGCCAGCCCATCTCTGGGCCTGCACCCTCAACTCGCCCCGCTTCTCCTCCGCTTCCTCATCGACGGCGACATCCATGTTCCCAATTTCCTTGGCCATGCCAGCGTGCCAGGCAGCCATGTCATCGGGATCTGGGTTTGGTAAAGAGCCGATTTCGTGCAGTCCCCAGAAGATGGGATACCGCTTGTAGGCCCTGGCACCGTACTTCTTGGAGACACCAACGGCGCCGAATCCGCCCTGGAACTGGCGGATATAACTGGCCGCCGCGTAGAGCATATTGAAAACCTTGTCGAACTGGATGTATGTCTTGACTGTCTCTTTGGGCAAGTTGAAGACCTCTGTGATCTCATCCATCTCCCCTTTCGTGCGAAGAGACCACATCCCCTGAAACTCCGCATTATGGAGTGACAGAGAAACCGGCACCGTCTTGGGGAGTAGATAGAGCGGTGCAAGTGTGCCGTGATAGTCGTTGATGTGGTACAGGTCGATGGGGAAGCGACGCAGAGTCTCCGCGATACACGCGTTCCAAGCGCTGTAGTAAATAGCAGACTCGATGTCATCCATGCGAGCAGGGTAAGGATCGGCCTTGGTCTGGGCTCTGAAAACAGGTGCGTCTAGCAGGACAAATGTGATGTTGCGGACCTGGTGGTATTGGACGTTGATGATGTACCGGGCTTTGTTGATTGTGACCACCATGGGCTCGGCGACAGTGTCGACGGGATACTCGATGCCTCCAACGCATGGGACTACCCAGACAAGGTTTTGATGGGCAAGAGCAGAACTGCCCATTAGGGAAGCCATCTTTCCAAGACCACCGATCTTGATTTTGATGTTCCAGTCCTCAATTTCGTACTCCATGGTGGCGATGAGAGTAGTACGGCGAGGGGCCTGAGAGGCTTCAGCCAAGGCTGTTGTCGCAGCACCTGATGATTCAAGCGCTGTTGATTTCCCCTTCTGGGTCATCTCTCGAAGACGTTCGGGCCGCTTCAACTTGGATGCCGTTTCCTTCCAGAAGCCATCGCTCGTGTTGACACCTGTCTGATTGAGCTTGACCTGATAGTACGATCGCTTGAAAGTCCACAGGGCAAGGCAGGCGCATAGGAGTGGTACTACTCCCAGCAGAAGGGAGAGCACAAACTGATACCACCCAGACCCAGTGGGCACTAGCCGGTAATTCCAGTTTCCATCGTTGACCAGAAGACGCCAGCCAACATACGGCATCCCAGGGCCTTTGGTGATGTTGATGACATTGTCTGCCAGGGTATCAGGCTTTAGCCAGTCAAGGACATTATCGCCATCGACATCGCCGAACTGCGCAGTCTTGTCTGGCAACCCGTTCGGGTTCACGCCCCAAACGTTGACTTGAAAATGAGTTGGCCACTCAGCCTCGAGGTCGAAGGACCAGTTGCTACCAGTAGAGTTTCCGTCATCGGTGGTGGGATGGGTTAGGCGCATGCTGTTGGCGAGGCCATCATCATATCCCCACTCGTTCCATGACCCGAGGATGAAAGCATGTGGCCATCGACGTGGCTTATGCGAGGCTGAGTCGCCCTGTACCAGGTCGCCGTGCTGCACGTGATCACTGCTGCCAGCCAAGCTGCTCCAGTATTGGATCATCACGTGCTCGCCATCCCAAGCTTGCTTCGAAGTCCCCGACCAAGCTTGACCATCGAGGGTGACATTATCACTAGTGTAGTCGAGCCATTTGCTCCAGCTTGACCCCCAAGTGGTCGAGTATCGGAATTTGTCTGCACCGGCGGCATGCTGTGAGACATAGAGCTGGTTGGTGGACTCGTCGCGGTGCAGAAGGCTGTTGGAGTAGTTCCCTGTCTGGGGAAAGACGACGGGATTGTCGCTGGTGCCGATCCGGAACATGAAACGATCGATCACATTAGTGTAGATCCCCTCGGCGGTGGAGGCGTTGGTGATCGTGAGGGAGTGGATCCCATGCGACACATCCTCAAGATCAGCAGTGATCTTCCAGAGACCGGCAGGCTGACCCACATATAGCGTGCCTTCAGCCGCGTCAAGGCTAGTGCACAAAATAGTGTCTCTGCTGATCCGGGCTACGGTCCCATCCGACGACGTGGAATTGACCGAAAGAGCGCTAGCAACAGAGTCGCAATCCATAACTTGGGAGAAGTGGATCTCAATCGGAACACTCTGCTTCTCGCCGACCTCGACAGATGCCGTAAGCCTTTCATCGTGTGAAGGAACAACGCGCGTGATTGTCGGAGCCGGGTTGATGAAGCTTGCCTGGGGCACGTAAGCTCTGTAACCCCAGGACTCCATGGTGAGGTTGGAAAGACATCCCCGCGGGCCTGAAAGGCCATCCACAGTGGCTGATGAATTTCCCAGCACATGCTCGTCGTAAGGATAGAAGAGATTCTTGACCGTGGTCCCAACCGCGAAAGGAGAGACCAGCGCACTCGCCTCGTCTTGACAATCGAATGTGAAATCTTCAGTCCTGTTCAGGTTGGAGTAAACCAGCCAGACTCCGTGATTTCCGTCAACGTCGGCAGTGTCCAAGTTCTGGGCACCCTCCAACTGGTGGCGCCAGACGCTCCAGATACCAAAGGTGCTGGGAATGTTTGCGCTTGCTGGGAGGTAGACATCACTGGTTTGATTCGACAAGGTCTTGAGCATGTACCCATCGTTGAGCACAGGGTACTGCTGTCTCATCTCAAACATCCTCTTGATGACGTTCCTTGTGGGGTGCGATGGATCTTTGTGGTCAAGACTGACGGCGTCGTCGTGGCAGCCAGTCCTCGCTGGGCCATCCGGGAAGCTTTCGTCGTAGGTCACATCGCCCAGATGATAACAGCCGTGAAGCTGCCAGCCCGGACTGCTGCTCATCGGCTGGCGCCCGTAGAGGAAATTAGATGAGGTGCTGTCAAGAAGGTAAAGGCTTTGTTCTTCGCCCCAGTAAAGGGCTGGTGTACCAGGGACCTCCAGGGTGGTGATGAACTGTCCGAGCAGCTGTCTTTGAGTACCGTTTTTGATTGCTGGCCAGCGGAAAACGTCTTGGCTGGTCATTCCGAGAACTGCTCGCGGGTCAAACTTGCCCGTGTTGGCGTTCACGAAGTCGTTCTGTACGAGCATCTGGTTCCAGAACTCCACGAAGTCTGTCCCGTCCAAACCAGTGTAGCCATCAAGTCTGCCCTCGAGGATTAGCTTTTGGGATTGTAATGATAAACATCCTGTGTTTTGAGCTTACCCAAGGAATCTGGTCATGCCACCGTAGACGATGTAGCTGAATGCGGTGCCGTCCAAAGCAGACATCCCAGGGTCGCGAATAAAGTTGTCAGGATCTGTTGAGTTTGTTGACAAAGCAGCGGCGGTGGCATTGTTGGTGTAATGGTTGGGTTGCTTGCCACGGCCTGTGTACACTGAAGATTGGGCAGCTGTTCCCACGACCTCGCCAATAATGTAGAAGTTCTCCTTGCCGTATCGCTTCGCACACTGACGCTGATAGTCAGAAAATTCAGCCAGCGAGTCTACGGTCGTTTGGAGTGCCTTGTCCATTCGGAACCCGTCAATATCGAGCATGGCGATCTGCATGCATGACAGGTGCTTGATCTTCTCAAGAACATCGCTGCGCCAGTCGCGAAGCCTGTCTTGCACCGAACCATACTTTGCCAGCTGGTTCTCGTACACGATGACGTGGCCAGTGTTGGCAGAATCGCCATACTGGTCGAACTCGCTATCACGGCAAGTGGTCTGATTGATGGTGATTTGCCAACCGTCATCGTCCCACATGCGCGGGTAGGTGCAGTCGACAATCTCGTTTCCGGGCGCAAAGTCAACATAGCGTCGGTCGTGCTTCCACACGTACTCATACTCGCCCCACTGGAAAGCAGCAGTTTGATTCAAGCTGCCCTTGAACCCCACAAGATCGCCCAGTCTGAGACATGCCACATTAGCTTGGTATCAGAGTCCCGGAGTGCAGACGAACTTACGTTCCCATGGTATTGTCGAGCATGACATACATGCCTCGCTCATGGATGGCATCAATGAGATCTCTCCAGTCCTGGATCCGGCCATGATGTTGGTCAAGTAAGGTGAGGTCCAACGGGCTGTAACTGTCGGCTGTCCAAGGCAGGTTGATGAAAGGACTCCCCATGAGATAGACAGTCTTGATGCCCATGCCATGGAGGTAGTCTAGGTTATCGATCACGCCTCTGAGGTCTCCACCGAACCGGAGCTGGTTGGCCATCCAGTTATGCTCGAATTGAGTTCCGTTGGCGTCATCGTTGGATGGATCACCGTTTGCGAATCGATCCAAGGCAAGCGTGTAGGTCGGCATGCGCCAGTTGTCTGGCGACGGAGTATAGGTATGGCCCTCCCATTCTCCCCAGTATTCAAGGGGATGGGTTGCCTCTGGGTTCTGGTTCAGGTTCCAGTCGGCCAGCGAGGCTTCGAAGGGAAATGCGACCGTCCCGACGAGCCACAGAGCGAAAATGAAACATGACAGAACAGAAGGGAGCATTGTCGACGCCATTGTGGAAGAGGAAGAGTGCCACAGGACGAAGATTGGTGCTCATCGAAGAAAGGAAGGGTGGGATAGGGAAGAAGAGGACCCCGTGGGGCAGGCTGGTCGCCATGGCGCACACATGGGGTCTATTTGAATCTTTCTCCTTTTCTGCCGATCACTATCAATGACATTGTCCTCCTCCCTACATGAGCCGATGCTACCGGACGGGCCTTGGAGGGCGTCGAATAGTGAGTTTCCACTGAGAATGACTCTCAGACAAGGAAAAGCAGCGGCTCTTTCGCTGAAATCACACATCTCATCCCGTGCGGGAGCTTGGGCCATACGGGACGACCTCCGGCCAGATTTCGAAGTGTGGTCGCACTCAACGATTTGATATCGGCGAGGGAGGCTCCCGGCTCTGCCCTATGGCGATGCTGTGGCCGCGCGCTATCTGGCAAGAGTCTGTCTAGCCTAGAAGATCCTGCAGCCAAGGGTGGGAGCGTTGTGGAACCGTTGGCAGCAGATTGCGACGCATTGTACAAGATCTGAAGGTGCGCCGTGCCTGTCAATCACAAGTACATGAAGGCCTTCCTGCCAGCCTGTGAGGCCTGTCGGTACCTCTCTGGGGCAAAAGCAGGCAGGGGTTCCACCGGGACCGCTTTCGTGCATACATGTGCTCCATAGTTCCTAAAAGGGAATGGTGAAGAAGTTCCGACTGCGTTCCTGCATTGACGTATGGTCGCTCAAACCTCTCACACCTGCGCTGCGCTGGCCAGAGGCAAACCGAGAGTTGTCGCGATGATGCAACGCGCGGTTGCAGCCCTTGAGATGTTGGATGTAACCCAAAGTGGTGGCCGACGCAGCCCTGGCAGCCTATTTGTTGGTTGTCACCCCCTCCCTCATCGACAAAAATGCTACACTGAGCACGGCAACGCAGATCTAGCAGTCTAGGCAAGCGAGAGGCAAGCGAGGTTCAAGCGGCGCCCACAGTGGTGGCCAGTGGCTTCGATGTCACCGTGCATTAGGAGATGGAACTGCCGGGGAAGTACCGTGTTCTAGATGCAACGGGCGTTCGGTCGGACAGCCAGAGCGGGATTTCTAGAGGTGGAATCGGCGGGCTTGTAGCTTGGTGGCTTGGTGGCTTGTCGGGTACCTGACGGTCCTCAGGCTAGGGCCGTCGCCACAACGGCACAGAGCCGGGAGCTATAATGCGTGACAGCGCGGGTGGGGGCGGCCTCTGAATACTCCCGAAGATACGACCACGATCTTGATTGCGACGTGGGTATCAGGCGCCACTTGCAGGGACATGGGAGATCAAGGATCGGATGGCCCGTCAAGACCGCTCTGCCACTCCGGCACTGCCAACGTGCATTCTCTGGGCATGGTGAATGGTTGCGAATTCCATTTGGCTATGGCGAGCACGATGCGGCTCCACCAGAATATTTGTTGATATCCTAGCCCCTACCCACGACAGATTGCCGGGCCGTATCTGTGCCCCCCCACAGCAGAAGGTGCACCGACTGCGACTGAGGGTATCATCACTGACGTGGGCCTGCCGTTTTCAACGAGTTGCAGCTGCAGTGCCGTCGCAATGGGCGAGAGTAAATGCGGTGGTGGTATGCACTTCGCTGACTACCGTGGATGGGCAGGATTGTTGGTGATGGTCGAGCGAGGCCGCCTCAGCAAAGCGGACCATGATCCTCTCACGGATGTCGCGGCTTATTGACAGCATCGTAACAGGGCAGCCGGGCTGAAGCTGAAGCTCGAAATCGAGCTGGAAGTGGGACTTGAGAGGGCTGTAGGCGCGTCGAGAGCTGACATGAATCGGAGGGCTAGGTGTGCCAGGCGTGCCAGGCGTGCCAAGTTGTGCAAGATGAAGGCTCGATTCGAAACATCCTTGGCGGAGCACTCTGCGGAGCAACAGCTTGTGGCATGCCAGATTGGTGGGTGTGACTCGGTATGACGAAAAACACGGTTGGGAACCGGGGCGTCCTCGGCGAGACGGCAGTCCCTAGGTCGCAAAACCTTAGCCTGTCAGCATGCCGCCAGGCCCAATCTCAACCAGCTGGAAGAAGGTCCAGAAAGGCTCCACCTGATTCTGTCATCGTCATGGTTGGGTCATGCTGTGTAAGTGAGCGTCGCGACTGGAGCTCGTGGTGGAGTTTGTCGTTGCGGGCGAAATTCTGGCCCTGACATGGGAAATCATCGGACGAACTGCGGAGCTCAGGGTTCGGGTTCCCGCACCTTTGGGCCTGGTCTTGACAAGCTGCATCTGCCAAACTCAATTGGTGGCAATTAGAGTTTGTCATCCGTCTCCTCGGTTCTTGATCCTGCAGTTTCCTGCAGACCACCACAGCGCCTCATCAGACATCTCAGCCACACAAGCTTATCCATTACTGCTTCTGATCCCTTTGTGCCTTCAAAAAAGCAGAGCCCAAGACATGCAGTAGTCTGGTGCATGAGCTGGGCCACCAAACAAGCCCACCTTGCTGCTGTGCCTGCTGTGCATGTCTGACCACCGCCGCACAGATGTTCGCCGCCCGCTGTCAAATCCGCGTGGCATTCTCGCATTCTCGCATCCGCTTGGGCCCCGGGGCCCTCTGGGAGCCAGCCTGCCTACCATTGCCGTGGCATCCGTCAGCTGCATCCACATTGTGGCACAGTGACAGCACTTGGGAGTGGGAGTCTCCTCTCTCTGCCTCTACATGCGCCCCAGGAAAGGCTGAGACGCCCTTCATTATCACTCTGCAGTAGTCACGGTTACGCCTGGAGGGGCCGGGAGCCCACAACTTTTCAACGACTCGGCTCCTTCGTGTGGGTCCGCGATCGGCACTCGCAGCAAGGACAGTGCCCGCAGGGAACCACGCCCGGGAGATTTGAGGCCAGGGCGAGACAGGGATCACGGGCGTTAATGGTCGGGGGTGTGTGCCAACGCCCTGGGCAATCGACGTCTTCCTATTCGACACTGCGAATCACCACCTGGGCATCATGGCGAAATAAAGCAGGTTTGGAGAGATGGAAAAATTGCCGTGTCTGAGGCAAAACATCAGAGCGTTTTTCTTCTTGGCTCCCTTCCTGGCTCGAGTTGTGCTCATCATGAGGGTTGCGGTAACTAATTTGTTGTGTCTCGCGTCATGTCGAGGTTCCACACGACGGCAAGTTCCCTTGATCTCCTATGTCGCCTCGAATTGCGGGCAACAGGCCAGCAGGCATGCAGGCATGTTGGCCTCGCAATGCCGGGCCTGGTTGGCGAATCCCTTGCTCACACGGCACCCACGGTCGACGTCCCGCAACCCTAGGAACCTAAACCCCATGCTCTGATAAGACAGAGGCCACACTGCGACAGTAGTATCAGGCCGAGATAGTCTCGTCTGAGACCCACAACTATCCTCACTTGTACCAAATTGCTGGATCTCTCCTACCACAGCTTGCCTGGTCTCACCGGCTTTGAGACCAGGTCAAAGCCGTCTGGTCGCTCAACGCGAGTAAGTGGTGGTTTATGGTTTCGTTGCCGATCTCGATATACACAAAATGTCTGCAGCGCTTTCATCAACGCGATTCAACACCTGCATGTGTGCCGACTTGTCGACTCTCCTCGAAGGCGGTTCAGACGTAAACAGTTTCTCACTCACGACTGTTGTTGGGCTGGATTTAGGGCAGTGTCGTTTTGACTGGGCCTTCGAAACATACTATGCGACAGGCACCAACATCTGCGAACAGATGTTGTCGTCTTTGTCCGTGCAATTCTATCGTAGAATTTGATAAGTGCTGAGTCGCATTCGAATCCAGAAAAAACACTATCGAACCTAAACCCTAGCATCCAGGGCCACGCACCGCGCATCATGGAAAGAGAATATCATGGTATTGGGCTTTTTACTTGCATAAGTTCACTCAACAGTTTTTCACATGCCAGTAAAATGCCGCTTCGAGGCAGAGGTTGCACTCATCGGTCGGAATAGGAAATCTCTGCCTCAGTAGCGCCAAGGTATCTGCAATGCAACCAAGCATATCGGTGACCTAACCCACTTGCCTACCTCTGAGTGGTCACTTTGACCAAGCTGCCCGAGCCGCACTATCAACTACCTTCATATGTAATAGAGGTTGCGCGGTCACAAAAGTACAAAGGAGAGCGTCGTGGCCTCCCGGCCAGCCAGCTCAACACCGCATGTGGGGGCTGCCTCGCTGCCACCCAAGAATGGTCATCTTGGTCAACTATCGCGCTTCTTGCGGCACACAGCAACAGTCGTCCACACGCAGCAGTCACCCGAAAGGTTATGCACCAGTTATCAGTCCGAAGAGATAGCGTGAATTCCTCCGAGCTGCCGGGGTCCTCCTCCAGTGTGCTTCACCTGGTGGCAACTAGGTCAGGGTATGTCCTTAGCGGTTCGGATATTCCGCCAATACTGGTTGGTGTGCTCTTGGGTCACCCGCCGACAGCAAGATGTGAGATTTGTTGAGAGTGAAAGAAATGTAATTTCTCCAGGACATGATTCACGAGGCTGCATTAGAGAGCATGTCTCCGCGTAGCAGTCTGGGGTTACATATAGCCACATTTTACCACGAAGGGGAGACCTCTAGGCTGGCTGTGATCAGTCGTATCCTGTGAATCTTGGGCACCAACATTCCATATGGATGCCAATCAAGCGCAAGCACAATCTGGAATGTCTTCAGTACCTATCCACCCACAACACATTCTGTACTGGATCTTGGCAAGTTTCAAGCCGTAATGTAGTACTCAACAACTTCAATAGAACCCACGGCCAATTCCAATCCCCGACATTGCTGACCGTCGGCTTCGGCAAGTTGTAGTTATCCACTGCCGTAAATTCAAAGTCGCGTGAATGCATGAGTGTGCACAACATCACTCTGGCCTTGTGGGTAACACACAATCTCTATCGTAGAAGGCTGGTCCCAGGGGGCGCGGCGTTCGTTGCCAAAGAAGACCCAGAGTTGTATATGAGGGAGAGGGTTCACCCACGGATATTGCATGCAGCTTCAACGTTCTTATTTGAAATACAGTTTTGAGAAAATACACTCATGAATAGCAGCATTGTTAGTGTAGAATCAAGCTGTATTATCATGGCGGAGTGAATGTAGCGATTTGTTCCGCGCCGTCCCTCGTTCAGCCAGATTCGAATGACTTAATGGCCCCAGCCTCTTTCCCCAGAGGTAATATCCCATGGATTGTCACGATGCGATCTTTTGGAGCCAGACTAGCAATTCGATTACGAGACCCAATACAGAGGTTGGGACCAAGGCTTGATACACAACTAAGATGTCTGAAAGTTGGAGGCGCTGTAACCGCCAAATGATGGACATTCAAGTCCGAAGTTGTTACACATCCCGTTATCGACAGTGCTCATGCTGTTCTTGCTTTTCTGTTCTTCTGAGAATGTGCCTAGCGATGCCGGATGTCTGCGTCGATCATTCCCCTGACCTGAGTCGGCGTCACGGACGGACCAGTTGCATGAGTTCCAAGGTTGCTCCATCTGTTCATGTCTACCCAGGAGTTGTATGATATTCAGATGCCCCACTTAAGTTGACGAGCCGAGATAGAGACACGTGTCAGGTAGTTATTGCGAGGCGTACAGAGACACGGAATTTGTGTATTGAAGACTGGTATCTACCGGAACAGATAGGAGTGGAAGAAATATATACAGTCGAAAGACTTATGTGCACTCCTTTTTCAGAAACCGTACTATATGCATGCAATTGGTGATACAAAGGTGGTTCGAGACACTGTCTAATACCTCAGCTGATTCTGCCTGATCTAGGCGGAGGACGACTTGGGGAGGGTGGAGCCAATTTCTCCCCACTTGATGTTGCTGAACACCACGTGCGTGCCGGGCTCGTTGGCCTGGATGTTGGCCGGGTTGCCCTCGGTCTCGCTGCACGGGCCGGCGTTGCCAGCATCGAGCCAGTTCCTATTCACGCGTTATTAGTGATCTGCCCACAGGTCCCAAGGAAGTATAGTAGAGGAAGAGCCAGCGTGCTTACATGAACTGCGTGTTGTCATTCCAGATGCTGAACGCCAGCACCATGCCGCGGCCGAGGGCCTTGCCCATGGTGTCGAGGTTGCCAAACTTGGCCGCGTCGCCGTCGTTGGCCGCGCACCAGGTCGAGTTGATGGAGTCGCCGCTCGGCGCGGAGATGGCGGTGGGCACGGTGACGCCGCCCTGCTGGTAGACGCGGCGGATCTCGCTGAGGGTGCCGGCCGTGGTGCCGTCGTCGGTGACGAACTGCGTGGTGACGGTGAACGGCTTGCTCGTGTCCAGCGTTCCCCCCGGCGCCCAGTAGTTCTTGTAGCCCTGGCTGTACGGGTTGAAGCCGCAGCCGCCCTTGTCGCAGTCCGTGACGTCGTCGTTGCAGGGGTGGGGGGTGAAGGACGCGGCGGCGCGGTTCGACTCGAGGATGTCCATCTCGTTGCAGCAGTAGGCCGACTTGTCCGTGTTGAGGGTGCCGTTCTTCCACGTCTGCACGGGGCACTGCGCGTCGCAGTAGCCTGAGCCGTAGTTGGCGGCGCCGGTGTTCACGTCGCTGCGCCCGCCGGTGATGTCCATCTCGGAGAGGTAGAGTGCGCCGTTCTGGCCGCAGGGCAGCGTCGAAAGGTCCACGTCGAAGGTGAGCTCCTGGCCGAGCAGCTGGAAGGAGACGTAGTTGCTGGTGTCCTCGTCAAGGAGGTAGACTCGGGGGGAGACACTCTGGAGCCCGCTCTCGGTGGGCATGTATTGGGACAGGGTCATAGTTGCGCCGTCGGTGTTGACGCCCAAGGCCGTGTAGTTGGCGCCCTCGATGAGACAGTTCTGGCTGCATGTTGCCTGGTCTGGGCAGAGTGTCGAGTTGACGCCGCTCGATGTTGTGCATGGTGCCTGGTCGGCTGTGTGGATCCAGCGGGCGCCCCAGTCGAGCACCACGGATGTGTTCTGCTCTACACAACCTCCTGCAGTAGTGCACTTCTGCGTCTTCAGCTGTGGGTGCACCTCGGGCGTTAGGGTGCTGGGCTGCTGGGCGGCTGTAAGCTGGAGCAATATCAAGCATGCCGCCACCGCGGCAGTCGGTCTTAGTGTGGATGGCATCTTGGTTGAGATCTTGACGGTTGATTAGTCTGTCGATGGTAAACAAGAACTTGGCAAAAGCTTGTGCACAATGGACATATTAAATACTCCATGTCTGGGCAGCGCCTCACCTTTTAATCCCACCACAAAAATGCCCTTCGGAGGCAACACGCCGCAATTACCCCCATAGTATCGAAGTCGAATGCCTCACGATTCACCCCTGATCTAAGTGATACACTGCGGGCCGTTGGTCCTGGAGAAAATGGAGCCGTGCTAGGCTGAATCGGGGTTGCGGAGGGAGACGGACACGACATAAGCCCGGTAGTCTTGCTCATGGGAGGAGGAAACTTTTAGGGGATCCCTCCACCTCGTGGCCGATCAGCAGTTATGCGGGGTTGCGAGTGGCATCCAGCGCCTGATGGACCTCCCCTGGCATTAAGCCTAAATGAACCTTTGCGCGAGATCCGCAGCCTGTCCGTTTTCACCGGGCTTCCTCGGTGCTCAGGGGCGAAGTCTAATTCCACCACGTGCCCTTCTTTCAATGCGATCTTGGTGATATTCGAAAGTGCCTGTAAGGCGTATGGTCGGATTGCTGAGTAAACTAAGTAGACATCGACGCCGTCATGATGGGTATCTATTTTTACAACATGGCGAAGTGCAAATGCTTCTGTATCTAAACGGCTATATGGACTTCTCGCAATAATTTCGGGTTGGTGCAGGTCGGCTTGAGTCAGAAAACGGCTGTATGTCGTGAATATGAGACACACACAATATGTTACCGCAGGTCGACGGCCGCATAAAATTTAGACGTCGATTGAAGGGTGTAAACAATGTGGGCCCGGCTAAACTCTTACCAGTCCACGGGCTCCTCAAGTGCTGAGCGCGGGGACTGTGAAACTCCAATCACGCTATGTACTTAACCTCTTTAGTAAATGCAGTTACGGCGACAATCCTTGGCGGGTTGATCCAAATACGGCTAATCCGGGCGTTGTGGGGTATGGCTTTTTCGAATCAGGACATCATCGGATCAAAGTAAGGGGCATTGAAGTTCACTGGATCTTCTCATAGTTCGAATTCAACCAATTGGGCACAGGAAGTATCGTTTCATCCCAGGGAGAAGCTGAAAACGAGGGTACATAAGGAGGAAAAGCTTGTTGAGAGTCGAGACTGGCGGACTTGAGCATTGACTTGCAATTTGCGTCCCTGGCTTACCAAATCTGCGTGGCAAATGCGCGGCACAGATGGTACTTCGGTATATCCTCGGCCCTCTTGCCAAATCCCGGATTACTATACACATCGAGGCACTCGATCTCAGCGCGGACGTCAACAACCTCCATGACTCTCGGTACGACGGCAGCGGGAGGATCCGAGCACCACGGAGGACGGAGTTCTAAGTTTCCCAACGCAGGTCGCCTTCTAGGGCTATGTTATGTGCTTCAAGATTGATCTCCCTACAACGCTGCGATCTCATAATTGCCTCATTAGGCGAGAACATGTTCAAACATCGGGTGGTATGACACAGGAGCGGGCAAGGATCTATGTGGTGAGAACACTTCCGTCGCATGTATTGACTTTCTCATCCTGGCCCATTGCATTCTAGGCTTTTTTGCCAAGATAGGGCAAGCCAGAATGGGGATTCCGGGCGAGCCGTGCCGAACGGCGGGCGATTCGTGTTCCTGGTCTCATCGTGTAGAGAGCCAAGAATGGGACGGCAGTTGTGATGGGAGATGGTTACACAGTTGTCGTTACTTGTACGACGGCACCGGCAATACGCTCGTCGGAAATAAGCTGCTAGGCGCCTATGATGCGAAGACTCGAGGCAGCGCTTTGTATAGAATAAGAGGATTGTGCTACACGACTGGATGATATAGGACGCCTGTGCCTAAGAGCATGCACGGTAGCAGGTGTCGTGATGGCCCAAGTAGGGGTCGTAACAGCACCACCAGGTAGAGCCCGAAGACGACGCCGCGGCAAGTGAAGCATTTCAGTGTCGGGCTGACACTACACTAAAGAATTAAGTTGAGGTCAAGCGACGCTGCAAACGAATAGAATGCGTCCTGGTCGTAACCTCTTGACTCGACAATGCGCGATTGATTCCCGGGAGTTGGGATCACGCCAATCGCACCGGAAATAAGAACAGCACGATCCTATCACAGCGAAGAGCAGCTGCCCAGGTGCGGTGCTCGGATCTGACCGGGCTTTGACGGACGGCAGGCCAACGACAGCCGACAGCTGCGGATGGGGCACGCGGGAGTCCCTGAGCACTGGGGACACCGTGCCCCTATTTAGATACCTAGGTATTAAGTAACCGACCTCGGGAGCCCCATAACATCCTGCAGCATGTACGTGGCTGCACAACGTCACATGCATAGATGGTGCGCCTTCCTGACCGCACCCGCCGAAGACGGTGAAAAGTTCCGGTCGCATCGATCATGCGGCCGAATGCCTCTAGAAAGAATTTGCAGCCTTCGAGGAACTAGCCCGTTTATCACGTCCCGTTGCTACATGGTATCTGCACTAAGCCCTGCCTTTTTTCATTTCGGGCACGCCTATTGGTGAGGCGTTCCGCGGGATTAGACTTTGGACCCCGTCGTAGCCGGATGTTTGAGGACCAGCATCTGGGCTGCAGGGTCTAGCGTTGGGCAGCCAGACGGTCTAGCTCTCTTGTCTCGACGTGCAAAGCTCTTGCGGCTACATGATTTGATGTGCAGCGAGCAGGAGAATGTACTGCAGTGGATGTAGGAACCATCAGGACGGAGACAATCCCACTCAAAATACGACTTTGAGAGCTCACCGTCAATCGAAGTTCATGTATGTATGCATGGACAGCAGGTCGGTGGCTTGATCAGCGTTCTCCACATTAGCATCGCTACGACTGCGCCTGTGTCGAGTCATGTACATGAGAAAACAAACTCGGCGGCTACAATGTCACCTGGGTGTTAAATGTCCATCCCAGCCCATTCCCGGCCTTTAGAGTTTTAATAAGCTAGAACGCCTGGTCCCCGAGAGCCCTCAGCGACCCAGATCAGACAAAAGCCTCGTCCGAGTTCTAAGCTACGTAGCTCAGCTCTATTTTTCCTTTCCTCTCGCTCTCAGCTACGGGCGTTGCGGATCCGCATGTTCAGGTGTGAAGCCGCCCAAACGCTCCTGGAGTCGAGTGCTGCTCATGGATGGCCTGATTGACACGGCTTGAGCACCTGAGAGAGCCCGGTTCCACTGCTAATGAAGACGTTTCTATCCCCGAATTTCGTCCAAGAGGAGGTGACAAGCGATGACTTCGTCATTGCCTCGATTGCGTGGGGCTTCACGCTGGGGTTCGGCTGGTTGACCGTGTCCTCGGCTATCGCCCAAACCGCTAAGACCTGGAGACGCTATGGGTCTCGATCGATACACAACACCTACATATGGATGATTTGGCTGGAGGTCATCGTGTGTATCATATTTTCGGTCATTTGCTGGTTGTATCTGAGAGGCAACATTGCACCAAGGTAAGTCTATGTGTCCCACATGAGTCCCACATGTGAACCGAGGCCGGATCTCATCTGGTGCTGACAGGATCGTGCTATCGCAGCTTCGCCTTCTACTTCACCATCCTCACAACATGGGCTTTACAGGTCCAATTCTTGCTACAAATAATCATCAACCGATGTTCGATACTGCTCCCTGACAAGCGTGCTGCTCGACGGTTGAAGTTCTACGTGGCGCTCCTCATCACAGCAATCAACATCTCGGTGTACTGCATCTGGGTACCAGCCCGGTTACAAATCTCAGAAAGATACATCCACATAAATGAGTTCTGGGATCGGACAGAGAAAGTCATTTACTTGCTGGTCGATGCAGCCCTTAACCTGTACTTCATAATTATTGTAAAACGCGTAAGTGTACACGACGTTACCTCGCCCCCCTTTGAGCTCTCGTTGACCATTATCATAGAATCTCGTGGCGAATGGCCTGAAGAAGTACAAAAGACTCACAAACTTCAATATCTTCATCATCGGCTTCTCACTGTCTATGGACATCTTAATTATCAGCATGATGAGTCTGAAGAACACATTTGTGTAAGTACCCCTGGTCCACAAGATCCGAGGCTTCCGCATGGCCGCTGCTGAGGGCTTAACGCTGACAACACGCACAGTTATATGCAGTTCCATCCTCTAGCGTACATGGTGAAATTGAATATTGAGATGACCATGGCCGATCTCATTGGAAAGATAGCCAAGAAACAAGAGCGCCTGCCGACATACCACTCGAGCTTCAACCGACGACCAGCTGTCGGCTCGAGGATGCCTAGCTTCGGCAACAGCTTCGGCAACAGCTTTGGCAGCCGCAACAACACGGTGCAGCCCCTGCCACCGTCACGAAACGCCGTCCCATTCCGGGTATGGCAGAGCAGCGTATCAGCGGGCATGGACAGCGCCGCCGTCTCACGCAGGGCCAGCATGAATCCCCCAGCGAACGAGTTGACATTTGTAACGGTCCCCGACGATCCTGTGTGGAACACTGCTGGCATGACGAGTCCAGACGGGCCCAACACATCCGACACGCCTATGGAGCTGTATATGGTGAAGGAGGTGACGGTGGAATCGGATGTTGTCCGTAGGTCGACCTTTGCGCCAAATGGAAGCGAGGGCAGTGTAGGGAATAACTGGGGCAGAGCGTCACCAGCGTCGGTGTCCGGAAGGGATCGAGTGGATGACAGAGCCACCGGCCGGGAGACTCCTCCACCCGTGATATGGGACGGCTCTCCACAAGTCTCCACTACAATCGCCATCGGAAGGAAAATCGACTGATAGATACAGAAAATGAACTTTTAATGTGCTTAAACCAATCGTTTTGGCCACAAAACGGCTGGGACTCTCCATCTTTAAGAACATATAACGCCTTTCCATTCAATTTGAAGTGAGGTTCTCTGAATTGGTTATGAGAACGATGTTTATTGACTTCAGAGACAAAAAAGCCAACCCAACATCTAGAATATGGTCCGTCAAAGATGAAATAGTCTTCAAGTCTGTCTGACAAACCAGGTTGGATCCTCGACACTCCTCCTAGGCCGATTCGCATGTTCCGCGGCATCTGGGGATCTAGCAACTTCCAACACCGTCGGTTCTGGGCTTTTCGATGGCTTGATGCACTACATGATGAATTGACTCTGCTACAGTGCAGTCCGTCGACCATTAATGCGATATTACTAGTCTAAGAAGTCATCAACCAACTGGTTCAGTCTCGCGGTTTCCATCAAGGAGGTATTAGTAATGTGCTCGATTCTAAACTAAAAATATGCCATAACTCGCTTTTTGATACCCAATTCACGTGGTCGTTCCGTCGAAAATCATTTCATCACAACAGGACTAGGCTCACTAACTTGCTGCGTCGTCCACTGGACCTCGATGGTCTGGGTGCGGGTGATGCCATGCGCCGCGAGCAGAGACTCGTCGCTCTCATTGCCCACAGTGACATGAAGCTGTGTTGTAGAAGCACGGGAGGCCGAATTTCCCTTAGACTTCTCGTCAAGGTCGTGATTGGTGACGACGATGCCGGTAATCTCCCCTCTCGGCTGCATCTCAATATCTCCATCGACGTCGAAGTCATTCACGTCTTCAGGCTCTCGCCTCGCGGAGCCCCCTAGCCTGCTCCAATGCCCACTGCTTTTGCGAGCGCCGCCTCCTCCGATTGTCACGAGGCCCGACCGGCTTCCAGCTCCTTGGTTTCTTTCGTAACCCCTGCGTGTACTGTCTTTATTCCCGGACAGTCCCGCTGACGAAGGCATGACTGACTTAATGACAGGCCGGATAATCGGTCCCTGAGTGATTCGGTGTCAGTTCTATGATTTCTTTTCGAGCAAGGAGGAAAGGTTACATACTAATGTTGGCAGACAAGAGGATACGATCCCGCTGCTTATTTCAATGACATTCCACGCCACCGGTACGGCCAATGTGTAAGGAATATCCCTTGGGCTGTATCCCAGGTAAACAGTGAATCGGTAGATGCTCGTAAACACGACGTACGACCCAAGCATAAACATGATGACGAGAAAGACCTTTTGCGTCAAGTTCGTCTTAAGTCGAAGGACATGCGGGAGTGGCAAGCACAATATCGCGATGTCACACAAGATGCTAGGAACCGAGACAAGGAGCTGCACCAGAAAGATGTTGATGCAGTATCCGTCAACCCAAGGTTCCCAGATCTTGACCCGCGGAGTGCATTGGAACGCAGCGGCGAAGACTCCTGCGATGTTCCAGCAGGTGGACAGGCCCCCAAAGACATAGGACCACGTTCGGACTGATTTGATCGGGAATATCCGGTAATAGAGGAACAGCAAAGATATTTTGTAAGCGTTGACACCCGTCAAGTAAATGATCTCGGCTCCGACAATAGTCTACTGCCCTCCATTAGATACTGGCAATTTGAGGCAGCGCGGAAAAGCTCTCACCTTGTTCAGGGCTTGCAGCTCCGGGAGAGTCAGACGGCCTGAATGCAAGCCAACACCCTGGTCTACCATCACAAAGTTGAACGCTGCATTTCCAAAAAGAAGGACGAGAGCAGCCAGAATCAACCAGTCATCCACCCAGAATGGTGCTTTGATCTTCTGTCTTGACACAAATCGCAGGCCCACGACGCAGACCGCAATGACTGTGAAAACAATGGTTAGGGTTCGGACCTGTTCTCTGGAATCCTCCTCTAATGGCTGTTCGGCGGCGAAGTCAGTGAGCTCTTGAAGGTACGCTCTTTCAGCTAAAGAGCGGCTGGTGTCGTTCACAGGATAGTATGCTGCGGAAGCCATGGCGACAATGCGGACGCCGGGCGCCTGGGCTCCAAGCAACGCATATGCTGCTGAGGATGGAGAGGGCTACCCTTAAAAACAGAAACCAAAGATCTGTTCTTCGCCCCCCGAGTATGGCCCAGCACTGAAACTCGCAAAGTGGGGTGCATGCAGCTGTAACATAGCATGATCCCGCACCGGATGCTGCACTTACGACGAGATATTGCCCCTGGCTTCCATTATGACGGGATCAGCGGAGACTCCGGGGTACGTTGAAAGCTTCAGAGCAGCAGCAAAAGTGTGTAGGTGACATTTCCGGCGTCTGTGCGATTAGGCAGGTTCATCCTGGCGGGGAAGCTCGGATACGAAAAGCATCCGAGATGACCAAGTCCTCTTCACGCCTTGCCACTGGCTGAACCACTCAAATGGATCCCCTGGTCGTTCATGAGGGACAGGGTTTCACATACAGCCCATGTTAGTAGACAACGGTCGCCGCCCATAACAACATCCTCCTGTTTGGGTCCCAGCTGAGAACCTAGATAGTCCACGATTCTGGCACCCACAGATCGCTTCTGAATCAGCAGAGTGCAAGGATGTCATTTTTTGACGGTAGCATCGAGTCCATAAGACGATGGTTCTATTATGCTATAACAGTCTGTGCTGTGATATGCCGTAGAGACCCTGGGGAAAAATGGTTTTTATGCTGATTACCGTAACACTCGGCCGAAGATTCGAAATGCCTTGGCCAAGCTCAACTGCAACCCGACTACTGTGGTACTGTGTAAGGAAGAAATTAGTCCCTTCTGGACGAGATGACCGAGTAACACTTTGTTCGCTACCACCTAGAAGAAAATGAGGCAACGATTCCTCAGCACCCATCACAGAGTGGGACAACACATTGTTTTCCATCGCAGTAGTAGATCTCCATTATGCCTTCCTTTTCCATCTTTCCCAGCGGATCTCCCCGGGCTTGACTGCCATTCCTTGCTGTGCCTGACTCGGATGCGACTCAGCTGTGGATGTTTGGTCGGCTATTATACACCCCGCAAGCGTCATATTCCTACTTGTGTGCTGTTCCTGTGCGGGTAGTACCCAAAAATGACAGCCACCGATCCCGAAAATGCAGTAACCTCCCCACTCTCGTGATCCTATTCAAGGGGCAGCCCACACGACCTTGCATCATCCACCCCGGACCACGTATTCCGGCAACAGAGAGCCTGCCAAGGCGTCTTTGGTCAACCAACCGCGAGGCGTTCTGCGCTAGAGAGGAGCCTACAGCGGATAGCCACCGGCGTTTCTGCGGATCGGTTGTCCGTGCGCAGCGATCGCTTGATGGCCCGGTAGTCCTGAAAGCGTCCCTGAATCTCATTGCATGGACACTGCGGCCCAAACTCGCCCTCCTGTGACCGCGCGGTAACGTTGTGCCTTGCGTACTTGTATCGCCGAGGCACCAGGGGAAAGCTCCACCGGCACTCGCAACAACTTCGCTGTAAAGGACATGTGGCATCAAGATTGTCCTTGAGAAGAACCGATTGCATGTGGCAGGTTTCAGACTCGTTTCCAAGATATCTCCAGCACTTGTCAACATAACGTATATTCCCGTCCGATACGGCCAGACACCGCACACCGTGTGAAACCCATCCCGTCCACCAGGTCTAAGATGTCCAAACCCACGATTATCATTGTTCCAGGCGCCTGGCAAAAGCCTTCAGCCTTCGTCAACATAGTCAAGGTCTTGCAGGACGCAGGCTATCCTACAGTTCACGTGCCTCTGCCCAGCGTTGGTGGCACTGTGCTGCCTCTGGCAGGGTTGTCAGACGATATTGATGCTGTTCGCAAGGTGTTGGTACCCATCGTCGAGGACGGAAAGGAGGTCGTGGTCATTGGGCACTCGGCCGGAGGGATCTCGATGAGCGGTGCCGTGGAAGGGTACGATGTCGGAAGCAGGAAGGCTGCTGGGAAGAATGGAGGTGTAGCTCGATGCATCTTCCTGGCTGCGTTCGCTTTGCCAAAAGGTCAGAGCCTGCTAGGCATGCTAGGAGGTCAGCCATTGCCATGGATGGTGGTCGAGGTAAGTTGTGAACACAATATTCCGTGGGGTATCCTCGGATGTTGGTCCGGACTGACAGGATACCAGGGTGACCGTGTAACTGGGAATCCCGAAATGATTCCCCAGGTGGCCCTCAACGATCTTTCCCCGGAGGAGCAGACAAAGTGGGCAGCCGAAATGACCCATACCTCCGCAGCACTCTTTGGTGCTCCAGCGGTGTACGAGCCGTGGGCAAACGGCATACCCTGCTCATACGTCTTCCATACTGAGGATAATGCTCTGCCTTTGCCATACCAGCAAGGGATGGCGCAACTACTTGGCACAGATGCCAAGACAACAACACTCAAAGCTGGCCACTGCTCGTTCTTGAGTATCCCAGACCAGTTTGTGAAGGCCATAGAGACTATGATGTAAAATGCTGGTTTCCTTTGGGTACAGACAGACTGGACTGGACGGGTTGACTCCTCTGTGAGGCATGCACATTGAGCACAGGATCAAACTCCCATAGATGTAAAAGAGGCAGAAGATTCAGCAGGACACTTCTCGTTATGACAGGAACCAACTGTTGTGGAATAGAAGGGAAGAGCAGAATCAGATTCTGTTAAACGAACGTCTTAGCACCTGGGTAGGCTGCCTGCTGTGGCGAATCACGATACATGTGTACAAAGCCACTGTCACCGATGCCCTCGCACTACTTGCCCTCGCACTACTGTGCTTAGATAGCAGTGAAATCCTTTGGCGCTCACACAACTCACGCATCGTCCAGCATAACACCATGCAGCTCTGAACTCTACAAACATAGAATTGCAGTTTCAGAAGAAACAGCTGCCTTAGAATTTAAACAGGGGGCTGGCCGTTGTATCACACAAAGACATTCACCTGACGCATTAGAGGCAGGGCAGGTTGGGCATGTCAGATGACTCGACAGAGGTGACTGCATACTGGTAATCTATGCAAGAATCTGGGCTGCTGTGAATTGAAAGTCAGTGAAAGTGATTTTGGGTTTCTCCCCAACAACTGCACCATAGACTGTTTTACCATCAGGTTAGTGGCTTTCCATTTTCATCGGTGACATTCAGCCACCCCTCACCTTCAACCATTCCACACCCTTGGAAGTCAACAAACATACAGACGTCCAATGACTAAGAACCAATGTTGATGATTTCAACTTTGTCCTACCAAACAACCCTGAATACCTCCATGTCTCTTGGGCTCTGTCACCAGTAGTGGCTTCAAGGTATGTCATCCTTGGTTTCCAGGTTTTACGAGTCAACCGCACCCAGCATTCCTCCCCGTCTCCCTGTCAAATATCCTAGACATGTCTGACCAGAACAGCAATCGGAACGCTGCCATGGGAAACTGTCTACAAGGGAACCGGGGTTCTGGCCGTGGCTGTCATGATGGCCATGATGGAGCTCAAGAACTCAGACGAATCATCTCAGAGGCCATTGGCCCTCCTCTTGTTCAATACCCAATCGATGACACCATGCCTGTAAAGGCTTGGGTGTACGAGAAGAAGCACAGTTCCACAAACAACTACAAGCCTCTCCGACCACAAGATCAGCGCAAGGCACTCGAAGTGCTCAACCGCCACCTGCCCTTCTGGGACCAAATCGCAATCCCGCAGCCGCCCGTCACCCTTCCCGAGACACCTGCCCGCTTGAGGCCCAGACTGTACCCCGAGGCCCACCTTCCCCTTCCGCCTCGATCCTCGACCCGGCGACAGCGACGAGAGGCAGCCAGGCCTTACGGCTCGCCGCAGAAAACCAACACAACCAAGTTTAAGGTAGTTGAGTCTACTGGGCGCAAGAAGTCACGAAACTGGATTCAGACAGATGGCAAGGAAGAAGAGAACGCGAGAATGGATTGGATGGAGGACGACCTACCCGTTCTCGTCGTCCCGGACCTCGTCGTCACCCGCCCTGGTGGAGAGACGAGGCGCCTGCCAGACCCGAATCAGTACGTCAGCAGCGAGTAGGGATGGAGGTAACAGCGGTCACTTATGGTAACGGAGTCTGCAATGGTCTGGCGCAGTCAGCCACATTCCCCCAAGTTTTGCCAGATCAATGCGATACACAAATAGGCACTGATTATAGTTCCCGCTGCCCTCGTGCGACTTGAATATTGACTGCGATTGGATGAAAAGGTAAGATGTGACTGCCCCCAAGACAAAACCTATGGAATGTGGGATACCATCAAATAGCATGGCCCCGTCGCTGTCCGGTCCCCAAGCCTCATATCGCTCCAGACGCGATCGGGTATTCGGGCAATCAACATAGAACGAGATCCTGTCTAGGCCAATCTGTGATAGATTTTCCTCTTGCCGCCCAAACACAGTATCGAATTCCGTGCTCCCAGAAAAAACGTCTACCGGGTTAGATACAGCACTGGAGAACGTCGCTGCCGAAGTACGTCCGGACCCTTAGCATATACCTGCATAGATACCTAGGTACCTCAATAGGTCGGTTTACAACCTATCAGCTGCCGCTCTCATGTCCTGATCTGTTCTGGAACACGGAATGGTTAGGGCCAATCACATGTTATGCGCCATGCATGGTAATCCCATTGCGGTCAGCCACAACGAGGGAGAATACGAGGGTCTAAGCAGGAATTGGAAGAGAAATGGCTCATGTGGTCTAAGTGAAAAGGGACAACAAAGAATCTCAATGGCAGTTGAATGTTTCCAAATTCAGCGTTTCCATGGAGTTTGGGTGGCTGATCCATTGGCTCTTGCGCTGGAATGCCGAAGGCTTGCGCCGGACGAGACATGCATTGGTAGCTACTTATGTAGGTAGTTGGAGTGCTTCATGAGTATCTACCTAAGTAGGTATCCAGCTAGGTGGCCAGAAAGAGTTAACTGATGTGGATGTATTTTCGCGCCGCCACATCTCCGAGGTTGGGAGGAGCTGAATGGTCTGTATTCCTTAGGCGCTTACGCTTTGCCTGGTTCACTGGGTGAAGGCATCGCGCCACGATCTTGCTCATCGCCATGGAGAAGTTGTTATTTAGAATCAACAGCCTGGTAAACAAAAAAACCCGTCCTGAATATGTGACTGTTCTAAGGTTGATAAGCTTGATCTTCGCATCATGGCCCCATGGCTTAAGCTGAAAGTTCGCACCTTTTCCCTCTCTCTGTGAAAAGCCGGACGTGTACGGAATAGAAGCGAAACGGATTGTGAGAAGCCGCCGTCATGTGTGTCATGACAATTTTCTCATCCCCGTTGCAGCGATTCCCAGTTGCATTGTGGACCTGAACTCACACTCGTTTAAAATGCCGCATAAGCCGGGATCATCTCTTTTTCTTTTGTTGATATTTCTCCTTAGTTCCAAGACTCTAGCACAGACAAGTTGCTGCGCCGACGCCTGCAAAGACGCAGCAATGGGGTTCTTCGCCCTTAACTGCCCACTTTATAATCTTGGCAATTTCATAGGTCTCACGCCGATGCAGCTCGCTCAAGCATGTACCCGGGGCGCCCCTCAGATATCCAGCGCCTGTACTTGCCTTACAGCAGCAGCTTCATACTGCGGCCGTCTGTCTACGACAACAACTACGTCGTCCAGTTCAACCTCAACAACTTCGACGTCGTCTGCCCAAACCCGAAGCAGTGGATCTTCTCTGCCCTCCAGTACCAGCAGTTCGCAGTCCAGCTCCAGCTCAACATCATCGAGTTCAACGTCTTCTAGTTCGACGTCGTCCAGCTCGACATCCAGTTCGACGTCCAGTTCGACATCTTCGAGTCCAGCGTCTTCAGCCTCTGTCTCATCGAGTCCAAGCACAAGCACACCAGCTCCCAGTCAAAGTCAGTCAAGTTCCGGCCCCCTCTCTGCCACCCGCTGGGGGTCAACCGGGAGTTCAACAGGGCTTACAGCCCCTTCAATTCAAAGTCCATCAAATCCAAGTTCCGACTCTGCTCCCTCGATTTCAATGAGTAGTTTGCCAAGTTCCAGTACCAGTCCAACGGCATACGGTACGAGTCCAAGTAGTTCCCAGAAAACCACATCAGATGCTGGTAGCTCACCCGACGCCAAGGCCACGAGCCTTTCCAATACACCGGCCTTGTCGAGGTCAACTGCTCATGACACCCCAAGCGAGGGAGCCGCACCCGAAACCACCGCGTCTCAGATACTGACCACAGCAAGCGCTGTGGCTGTTTCTAGAAGCGGAGGAACGGCCGAAAGTGACTCCTCCAACATTTCGGATAGGACATTGACATCCTCGACATGGTCGGCGTCGATAAAATCACAAGGAGGAGGTGGAGTGCTAAGCACAGAGGATGGGCAGCTGAGTTCCGGCAGCGGAAGTATCCCAGCAGCAACTGCGATGCTGGAAAGCTCCTCAAGTCAAGAAGCAAGCACCTCATCAGGCACAGTTGCAGAGTATAGCACTGGCACATCAATGCCCGCGCCACTCTCGGACGATTCCGGACAGAGTCTTAAGAGAACTTCGGCAAGCCAATCCTCGGCAACCGGATCTTCAGAAGCTAGTGGGCCGACAGGAAGTACATTTTTGACAACACTTGCCATGGAATCCAGTGCAGGTGATGCAACATCGTCAGAGGGTAGTTCCCGAAGAGGGGCCGAAGAGTCCTCGACAGGCGATGGATTATATTCGACCTCCCTAAGCCACGCTGCTTCTTCAGAGGGTGAACTTGGGTCGATGCCAAGCAGTAGCACTTTGTCATCGATCCAATCGGGTTCAAATGGCGACGGCGAGGCACAATCGTCGACAACAGCCGAATTCCACCATCCAACACCCAGTACGGCCTCGGTGTCTGTTTCATTCACAAGCATTTCCAGTCTCAGTCAGGAGTCCAACCTTGAGTCATCTTCTAATGAGGGCACAATGAGCACAATATCCGCTGTCACCCCAACGTCCGGCGATCCGAAGGATTCTTCTGCCACCTCGGACCCTTCTTCAGAAGCCCAAGGGGCGGGAACGTCGGCCACCACGTTGAATCCAGCAAGTGACACATGGCAGGGAATAGGCACAGAATCAAGCTTCGGTCAAACTGCCAGTTCGTCACAGCTGTTCCGAGACTCCAGTGCCTTGCAATTAAGCCCTGGTGCGGTGTCACAACAAACGAATTCCCAGTCCATGAATCTTAGCCCCACAGAACTATCACTGCCAGCGACCGGCACTACGCCAGTCTCGAACTTGAGCGAAAGCCAAGACCATTTCTCAACATCTGTGGCCACTTCGGGATCGGAGACACAGTCAAGCAACGGCGGGAGGCCCACCTCAGGAGAATCCAACTCGAATTGGGCGTCTCTGTCGAAGCCTCAGGGGTCGGATGGCTCTACTCCCTCTTACAACGTGGCAAGTGGAAGCCAAACAATTCAAGCATTCTCAGCCTCAAGCGTATCTCCAATGGGCGTGGCAACCCAGCAGACCACAGAATTCGGCACCTCCGAGACCATGGACAGTTCTACAGTCACCATATCGACGCTTGCAAGTCCCATACTCGGTATTTCAACGCCTGCCAGTTCAATATCGCAGCAGAGCAGCCCGACCCCTGGTGATTTCAATTCAATTGGGCTTTCACCTAAAGACACCAGTGCCACATTGGTGATAAGCTCCAGCGAAACCCAAGACCGTTCTTCGACGGCTGATTTGGGTTCGCCATCTGACACCGCTCCGAGCGGCAGCAGAAGCCTTGAATCAGGGGCCGCCATGAGCATTGTCTCCAAAGAATCGTCTGTCACGAGCGACTCTTACTTTTCCACTTTCCACAGTTCCATTGCTTCAGGAACAGCATTTGGTGAAGTAGCTCCAGTCTCTAGTGGAGTGTCCTCGGTCATACCCTCTGCGACCAACTATGAGAGTGTGATGTCTGGGGGCCACGAGTCTTCTAGTAGCTCCACCGAATCGGTCCAAACAGGTTTTGGCTCGAATTCACCTGCTGGCGCTGCCTCTTTAGCTTCGCCATCAACCAATAGCGAAGTTACAGGGAGTTCGACTGGCACGGGGAGCATCGAATTCGGTTCTGGGCCGGAGTCTACCTCTGGCTTCGGCGGATCTCAGAGCTCTGGGTTTAGCGAACTGAGTACCAGCATCAAGAGCAATAATGGTGAAGCAGGCTCGACGACAATGCAGCCGGCGACTAGCGAAGCTGGAGAAGCTGGGCCCGGCAGCGAGACAAGTTATCTGAGCACTTCTGATGGCACGCCGACACTGCATGCAGGCCAGACCACTAGTATTATAGCGGACCCTACATCCCCGGCCACGAGCCATGAACCAGCGGCGCCGTGGAGCTCAGGCAGCCATTACCCCCAAACGATCATGTCACCTGGACTCTCTACAATGACACATCTGTCGTCTTCGACCATCCCAAACTCTTCTTTAAAGGGAGATGGAACAGTTGAGCCTGCCACCAGCGATTCCAGTGGTCTTCAGGCTGGACCGCCGCCATCGGGACTATCTCCCGGCAATAGCCAGCACCCATCTTCCACAAGCCTTGGGACATACCCCGCTGGCCCAATCGTGTCAAGTCGAACAGACTTGGCCACTGCAGATGCTGAATCCTTTTCGGCTTCCGGGCCCAATATTGCATCTCTTGGCAGTAGCTTCGACCAAGCGGCATCCCTTAAATCAGTTTTCACAAGCTTCAATGAGGCTAGTTCTGGTACTCAGGCGGCGTCATATGAGCCCGCTACCAGCAATATGGTATCGCACCAGTCGTCATATACCACCCTACCGCAGAGCCTGAGCCGACCTATGTCAGCAACATCCAGTAATTCAGTGAACTTTGAAGGGCAAGGCTCATTGCTTGGAAGTTTCGAGGCATCAGAGTCAACAATTACAACTTCTTTTGATTTGTTTGGAGTTAGCATTGTGTCAGGTGGCACAACTCCTCCAGCTGAAGGATTATCGACATCCCAGGACCGACATGATAGTGTGACTATTGGAAGCCTTGGAAGCATAAATGTAACAGAGGATCTGGATACAGGCAGCTTATCGACTGTGAAAAATTCTGGGGAGCTATCACCTCCCTCGTCAACAACCCCCGATGAGTCTGCAACATCTGTCATCGGCACCCAGAAAGTAGTCTCACCACTTTCCGGCACTGTCGTTTCGCCAGTAAACAATTATCGGGAATCTTCACTCGCCACATCGACGAGAAGGATCCCAAGCAGTACGGAGCGGCGTGTCATGACATCGGAAGGTAGCGTCAAGGTCAGCGTCGTCGTCTCATACACCTCAACAGTCACAGTATCAGTAACATCCTATGGGCTCGAGCCGTCGAATCTGGAAGGGCCGACACCGGGGCTGTCGGCGGCGCCAAATTTACCAGAGCCAACAGCAAGTGATATTTCAATGTCTCAAGAAACAGCGGAGTTTCAAACTACAGCCTCACTCCAGCCGCAGGTGTCGGAAGACGATCCGTCAGCAAAACTACCTACCACGCCCACAAGCTCACATGCATCATGCCAGACTACCATGATGGTGTACCTTGTTAGGGAGACTACCACAGTCTCGTGGGGGGTAGCGCAGACAACGGTCACCAAGGTAGAAACCGATGAATCGGGCGAATATGATTGTCTGTCGTACAGTACCATGGTCATGGACGATCGAAGCACGACATTGTCTGCAGGCGAGATCGCGACAGTGACCTGGTGGAAACCTGCTCCTGGTCAGAAATGGTAAGAAATATGCGAGCCTTGATGACCAAAGGACAGGCAGGAGCAGTAGTCGCTCCGACAATGCTGTCTTTGCACGGGGTCCAATATAGAGGCTATAAGTAGATAATCAAGAAGGCAGGGCTCGGGGATTTTGACAACAATGAGAACAACAAAAAGGATCAAGGAATGAAATGTTTTTTCAGACTAATCAGATGAGCGGCCAATGGAAAGCTGTTTCTTTTGTTGCCTAGGCGGTCGCCAGGGGGGGGGGGCCGCCCAGAGGAGCCAAGTATCCATGGCGCGTCAACTTCCTGGGATTGAGGTTACGTGTTGAAAAATGGCAAGCTGCATGCAGGGATTTCTAGGGATGCTTGAAGGGGCTCTGGGGTTGTAATTAGAGTTGAGTCATCTGTGTGGGTGTATCAAATATATTCAAGAAGGTAGGCTTCATCAAATCCTGCTCTCTGGGATTGATCTCCCTAAGCCTCAGTCCTGGCCATGGGGATACCTAACACCCTCGGCACAATGCTGGTCGCCTTGCCATGGACGGTGGTGACCAGGAATTCATCCAAGCCCACTCCGCCATATGTGAGTCCATCTACACTGAACCACGAGTCGCAGATAGGTGACAACGGCCCGGGTCCGTTCCTTCTCGTCAGAGTCTGGTAAATAGCCCTCCATGAGCTGACTGTGCCGTTCGGTGTCTCGTTTTCCAGACCGGAGTAATACAGCCGTGCAGTGATATTGCCACGTTTGATCTGCCCGAGAAGCGACAGCACATCCTTTCCACCGAGTGACCATTCCTCGACAAGGAGACCGGGCTCGGTATCATTCTGCACCAGTGTGATACTCGACCCGGTCTTCTTGTCAGAGAATGTCCCAGCATATACATCACCCGCCTCGTCCGCGGTGGTAGCTAGCACGGCTGGCACGAACGTGTCGACCAGAATATTGCCCAGCATGCGAGAGTTTTCGCTCGCGAAGACACCAGCAGCGATAACAGTGAAACCAATATGGAGCTCCGGGATGAGGACCATGTATGAAGAGTATTTCCCTAGGTCGCCCGATTTGGTCATCATCATGATCGACGGGTCGCCCGGCGCGCGGTATATCTCCCAAGGAGCGCCCACCGCGGCGTCCCGGTTCGACAAGAAGGAGTGCGGCTTCATCCAGCGCCTCGTCGCGGCCGGGTCCAGTTGGGTCGAGCCCAGAATCGCTTTACCGATCTTGCGCATGTCGTTGATGCTGCTGAAGTAGCCACCTGCTGGGGTCAGATCAAGGAGGTCGGCGAACCACCAGCTGTACGTCGTGTTGTAAGGGATTATGGACGTATCGGGGCTGTCTGGGAGATGGTAGGAGGTAGAGGTTAGGTTGAGGCCCTTGACCAGGTACTCGTCAAAGATATCGCTCATCGATTGGCCGGTGATGTTCTCGAGGGCGTAGCCTAGGATCTGGAACGCAGCGTTGGAGTAGACTGGCGTCTTGTAGGAGGCCACAATGGGGTGTTGGGCTGGAAACTCGGTGAAGAATTCTGTATCCCGGTTGAAGGTTAGAGAAATGAGAAGTAAGAGCTTGACTGGACGGGATGCTCACGAGAACGGTTGCAAGGCAACGTGACCAGTGACGGCTCACCGCACGAGGAGCTTGAGCCATCGCTCTGGCTGGGGATTCCAAGGTCTCCAAAAACCTTTTCCAAAGCTGCTGCTCGTGTCGGGTCCCTTCCAACTCCGGCGAGGTGACTGGCAAGCGCCCCAACTGTGATGGACTCCCAGTCAACATTGCTGGTAGGGTCAAGGTCCTGCATCTCGGAGATCTCCAGGAGCTCAGGGATGAAATCCGTGATTGGCTCATTCCAGGAATCGTCGCCCGCGGCCAGCAGATACAGATACACGGTCAATAGCTTGGACACGCTTCCCACGCGGTAGACGGTATCCGAGTCGACCTGCTCCACACCGGATGTGCGCTGGCTCGCTAGATTGACTGGCGTGTAGTGATAGTTGAAGAGAGGATCTTCGTCATCCAGAGAGTAGAAGTCCAGAGAGAATGCCGTGGTATCGGTATCTAGTGGACCATACGCCGTGGCCGCGTTCCTGGCTTTGAGAAGCTGCTCCAGGACTGATTTCGTTGCCGCCTCAACATGGGTGCTGGTGGCCAGACTTGTAGGTGCCGGGTAGTTCTGGCCATATAGTGGGCATGGCTCGGTGTAGATGTTGGCCGCCGCCGCAGATGCTGCTACGAATAGCACCATGGTGGTTCTGGCAGAGGACGACATGTTAGAGGAGTCGAGTTCCGATACTGTATGGCAGCAGCAGGCAATATTGAGGTAGACCAACCGTCGCCCGGGCAGTCGTACTTAAGTAAGATGGCCCTTTTAAACAGCGCATTTCGAGTTTAATGGTGACCGTCATCAGCGCTCGGTCGTGTAATCCTCGTCTGAGCCACATGGTAGTTACTGGTAGGCTGGAGATCGCGTTCCTTTTCCACAAATGTCACGGTCCGCTTTGGTGGCTTCGTCGCGCCTAAGACCGGTCTCTCAGCCAGTCTCTGAGCGGTCCCTCATGGCAATGCTTGCAAAGGAACAAGCTGAAGGAATATCGTGGCTTGCGTTCAAGTCCGAGCAAGACATTTCACGAAGTCCGAGGAGGAAGAAGCTTAGAATGGCGGAGCGTTGTGGCTTGCGCTGGGGCCTCAAATACTTGGCATCGTAATGAGTGGGTCCAGTGCGAGTGATCAGGACGCTATCACCACTTTCGGCTTGGTAGACAGCTTACGTACTCTGGATAGCTGGCCCCGCGAGACTTCCGATTGGTGAATTATGCATCTGCCTGATTCTTCATTGCCGGACCAGCGCCAAGTGCTGCGGGAGGCTGCGAACAACTCACAGCACTCCCCCTGCGCAAAGATACAACAGGGGTCTATCTACTTCGAATCTCACCGGAAATAGTTTTCCATAAATCTAACATGAAATGGTTACAAGTCCCTCGCGCCGGGCACTCAACCAGTACCTATTTCAGGGGCTGATGCTGGACTGAACAACTGTGTTTTGTACTCCGTACTCCGTAATGGCCCAGTGTCGACTCCGAGTTGGCGATCCTCCTGCGATGGAATTAGGTCAATTCAGGACCTAGGTAATTACAGCCTATGCTGCCAGATGACTGAATAGGAGCCGTACGCGGTCCGACTTGCACAAAAATGAAAATTACTGACTGACACCATTGCCGGTATACATAGCATCCAGAAGAAATTCAATGTTGTGGCTGAGCGATGTTATGGCTGACCGACTACGAGCGCGCAGATAAGATGGCAGCGCTTGGGGCCGGTATCTGTCATTTGAGCATCCTTCAAATTTTGCCCTCTTACGTGTGGGTGGTTTCGCTTCTATTCCGTATACGTCCGAGGACATACATGGCGCCTTCATACGGTGGTAAGCGCTCAAGACCAAGGCAACACAAATACCAGCAAAGTTCCCGGTGGTTCGGATTTTATCTTGTGAGTTAAGAATGTTCGTCCTCAGAACGATTGCGGGGAGCTGGCATAATCTCTTAGTGGGCAATATTCTGAAGGGCTTCGGAATACTTTATATCATGGAAGTGAATGTAGAGGCCAGCTAACTTAGGTACCTAGGTAGCTAAGGCCGTTAGGCTACCACGGACCCGGTCATCGACAGATTCCACGAAGAACCCTGGAAGCCATTCGCATCCCATTGGACGAGGTCGGCCCGTTTTATCCATATTACAATCGACCAGAAATGACCAAGAACAGTGCGTTGCTGGGCGATGCCAAGACACCAGACCACGGGTCATGCATCCCCGAATCGCCTCTTTTCGGGGGTGCGGTCGAGGCAATTCCGGAAGATTCAATCAAAAGGGCCATAAAGGCTCAAAAGAAAAGACTAAATGTCTTCTATCTCGCTAGTTACGCTGCATAGCGATGCGATTGGAACGCCTTTCAGCATTGGCATGTCCATGTGCCCCCACGATGCAGAGGTGGTACGGCGGCTATCTAGGTATCAACCTATCGAGCGATGTTGGCAGACCTTGATAATAAATAAATGAAATCCTATTTCTCTTTCCGAATGGAAAACAAGCTTCTTGTGTCGATTTGACGGCCGTTTTCCAGCTTTCACCGGTACCACTGCCACAGCAATGCTCGCTCCGGTTGCCCTCTTGGCGAGTGGCCTCGCCGCCACCGTGCTTGGCCATGGCATGGTGACAACATTCAAGACAGACGGTGTCCAGAACCAGGGCTTCATTTTGGACTACTACTACGCCAAGAAGAATGGCCAGAAGGTACCTGACATCGCCGCGTGGTACGCCGAGAACCTCGACAGCGGCTTCGTCGCACCCAACAACTACGGCACACAGGACATTAACTGCCATATCAACGCTACGCCAGGCACTCTCTCCACGACAGTATCAGCCGGTGGAAAGGTCGATTTCCAGTGGCCTGCTAACTGGCCACACCCATACGGCCCGATCCTGACCTACGTCGTGAAGTGCCCCGGCGACTGCACTAAGGCCGACAAGTCACAGCTGAAATGGGTCAAGATCGAGGCAGTTGGAAGTACGTTGCCCATGTTCAGAACTCGCCCACAATATGAAAGCCACTCTGCTAATCCGCGGACCAACAGTCAACTACAGCACTCAGAAGTGGGCGTCTCAGACGTTGATCGACCAGGGCGGCAAGTGGACCACCACCGTGCCCAAGTCATTGGCCGCCGGTAACTACGTTTTCCGGCACGAGATTATCGCCTTGCACGGTGCCGGCTCGCTCAACGGTGCGCAGAACTACCCGCAGTGTTTTAATATCAAGATCACCGGATCTGGAACCGCCAATCCCTCGGGCACAGCCGGCACAGCGCTTTACAAGAACACCGACGCTGGTATCTACTTCAACCCCTACACCACGATTACGAACTACGCCATGCCCGGTCCAGCGCTGTGGACTGGTTGATCGTGTTATTTACCTCGATATGGGAGTCTTGTATACCTATATTCATGGAATCGGGAAGAGGAAAATATGAAATGGCAAGACGTGGGTTCCGCTCGAGTTTCATCTCGCTGTCGTGATACTGCGCCGCCCTTGCCAGAGTCACTCGAATGCCGAAATACACTAGTCAATGAACAAATACTTCTCCAATCCTTTTATTCCTAGCAGCTTTCACTTCTCCGTCACCCGCCTGAGGGAGTCGTAGGATTGTTGGCGTTGCATGGGAACCTAGACATCTGGCGCAAGAGTTTCTTTCGGAAACAACAATGAAGATCCGGCCCAAAGTGCCTGCAGGATCATCACACCGCACGTGGCCTAAAGGATAAACTTAGCGCGTAAGCACTTCACATCTGAGCTTTGGCTTCGTTTGACGGGATTCTGTTGCCTGCAAGGTCCCCTGCACACGGTCAAAGGGACCTCGGGGACTAGAAACAGGTCAAAAATCTCACACATGAGCCACTCGAAACTTGTGGACGAATGGCTACTGAGCTTCGTTGGAGAACCCATCGCGCGCACGAGTTGGCGACTACAAGCACTTGAGGACGCCCGAAGGCGGGCGGACGTGCCTGTTTCAGATACCTATCATGTAGGGGCCAAGGGGGCGTCTTGGGTGAGATCGAGGGCCAGGACGCTCCTGGGACACCTGTGAGTTTGAAAGATGTCGTGACAGTCCGAAAGCGAATAAAAGAGGCCGTTCTCGATGGCCGTTGGAGGTGGAGAATGTTTCGGCATGGCCCGAACTGGCCCCCACAAGCTAAGACGGGTTACACTGGGGGCCTTTCCGCCGAGTCTCCATGCTGTCGGTGCTCGCTTCCAGTGAGCATCGTGCCACGTCCGGGACATTCCCGTGGGTCGGCGGCCGGTGACCAAGGCCTGCGCCACCTGCGCCCATCCCGTGGCCCCGGCCGGTGTCGTGCATTGGGGGACCTCGATTGAGCCAATGACGCTCGAGCATCGTATTCTTCGTTTTTGATGCCCTTGAATAGCCGGCCTTGTCAGCGTTCCTTGAGGGACCCCTTTGAAAAATCATTGGACCTGCACGGCCGCTCCCTCTTTCGGTGGTCTGTTCAACGGCAGATATGGGCAGCTCGAGATGGCCGAGCCGATGGGCATCGTAACCCCTGAAAGCGCCGCAGACCTGCTGACAGCCACATGTGGTACCAGGCGCGCTGTGCCGAAATTCCGACGACACACCTTGAACGCGGTCTTCGATGCATGGCCGAATGGTATATAGAGGAGGCAGCTCGTCATAAACCAGCCTGTTGTTTTCGGCTCTACCACACCCATCACAGCATCTCATCCCTTCGCTTTACATTCTTTCTTTCTACATCTCTTGACGAGATCCTGGCTCCTGGAGAGTTAGATCCATTCTTTTTGAATTCACACAGTCTTTACAATTGTCATTTCGAACAACTCATCTACGATCATTTATTTACTTGTCCTTCAGACGCAGGCCGCCATCGACCACATACATATTCACTAATTAATAATGAGACTCCAGACTGTCGCTACAATCTCCGCCGCTGTGGGTGCGGTGAACGCTGCTCCCTACGCTTCGCAGCGTGCCCAGCGCACAGTCAAGCGAGCCAGTGAGGTTGGAGATGGCACAAGTGTCATGACCTTCTTTGGCCAGAGCACCGAGAAGACGAACCTATCTGAGGTCTGCGAGAATGACAACTTCGACATCGTCATCCTGGCCTTCATCACCAGCTTGAATCCGCCCAAGCTTAACATGGGCAAGGATACCGGTAGTCCGAGTGATGCCCAGAAGGAACAGGAGGGCTTCGAGCTGTTTGATGGCACTGTCGCGCCTGTCGGGGGCCAGAGCATTGCGGATCAAATCTCCGGGTGCCAGGAAAAGGGCAAGAAGGTCATGATTTCATTTGGTGGCGACGAGAGGTTCTCAAACGCCACCTTTAAGAGCGCGGACGAGGCCACGAAGGCTGCTGATCAAGTTTGGTACGTTTAAATACCGAGCAAGATCCCCAGCTTATGCTAACTTGACATTTGACAGGAACCTGTACCTCGGCGGCACAGACTCGGCAGACATCAGGCCTTTCGGCAGCAAGGTCACCCTTGACGGCCTGGACCTCGACAACGAGTCCGGAAACGGCGCGTTCTATAAGGAATTTGTCACCGAAATGAGGAGTAAGATGGACTCGGACTCCTCGCGGAAGTACCTCATGAGTGCGGAGCCAATGTGCGCGGTGGTCGGTGATACCGAGTCCTCAATTCCTGACAGTGTCCTGTCCATGCTGGACTTTGTCAACGTTCAGTTCTATAACAACCCGGACCAGGGCATCGGCGGCAAAGACTTCGAGACCAACATCAAGGACTGGGCTAAGAAGTTCGCTGATGCTAAACCTAGCCCGAAGCTCTACCTCGGTGTCCCCGGTGGAAAAGGCGCGGCCGGAAGCAACATTCAATCGGCTGACGAGATCAAGAAGACTATTGAGTCTGTCAAGAACATGAACCTCAGTGGATTTGGTGGCGTTGGTATCTGGGATGCTGGCTTCGCCATGGCTGACGAGGCATTCCCAGAGGCTGTCAAGGGCTCGCTTGCCTAGATTTCATCGCAGCAGAGGCCCCTCCCCTCAGGTGGCATGGCCACATGCAAGGAGACAGACTCCATCACCAAGCTTCGGAGTCACGACACAGTAACTGCCGAAATATTGGCTGTCCATTCTTTGTCTCTATTTCCCACCAACTACCACGGCTCAACGCCTTATTGAACCCACCCTCGCTTGAATCACATTCTTTAAAGAACCTCCGATTACGGAATCCGATTCACATTCGTTGCAACACGCCACAAAATATATCAAACAACCACCACCCTCGCTATTACGACCTTCGTTCCATCAACAAAGACACCGAGTCTACAGTCTCGGCACTGAACCCTCATTATTACCCTCTTTACGTATGAAAATGGGAGCATTGTACATTGAGTCAACTGTATATACCATTTGGAGCTCACCCTCATTGAGAAGTTAACCTAGGCCTCCGAGCCAGAAGCACGTTCGTTCAGATAGCCAAAAATAAATATCCAATATATCATCAGGCCAAAATAACCATTATCGTCTTCTGTGCCCAACTTAACTTTACATTAATGTTGATTTGTTCTGACTATATCATCCCAAAGGCCAGGTGTTGCGAGCTGACAAGTTATTACTGCTTGAATCAAGGCAAGCATGACAGGATGGGCTGCAGCTTGGCCAGAACCACAGCCTGCACAGCAGCAGAGGCATCATTCTTATTGCTCGCAACCCCGACGCTAATACTGGCATAGCATCCGGACGTGCCAACAACCGCGCTCTCAGTTGGCAGCCGAGTCGATCCGCAAGTGCGGACATCGGCCGCCGCTCCCGAGGAAGCCGAGTTGATGCGCGAGAGCACGAACTTGAACCGCGAGGCGGACGAGCACGTGCTGCTGCTCACCGTTGGGTAGTTGACATTGAGCCAGATGCCATCTGGGAGGTAGGGTTTTCCGGAGCCGACGAGCGTGGTGGTCACGTTGGTTGAGAGCTGGGCATAGACAGTTTGGTACGTCTGCGTGGCAGTTGTGTAGGACACCTGCGAGCCCGAGGTGCCGCTGAAGGCGATGGCCGGGATGCCCTCGAGCGCGGCCTCGGTGGCCGCGCCGACCGTCCCGGAGACGAGGGTGGTCGAGCCGAGGTTTGCTGGCGGTTCGTTAGCATCAGGGTTGGCCTTGATGGGGTGCGCAGGCGACCTTACCCCCGACATTGTACCCTGCGACGGCGATGTCCGGAGCGCCGCCGACGAACTTTGGCGACAGAGTCTGGATCCCGTATCGCATGGCCGTGACGGGGTACGAGTTCACATAGTTGAAGCGCGGATTGGTGCTGCTTGAGCCGTAGGGTGGGCTCCCGGCTGGGCAGCTGCTGAACTGGCAGCCCGAGGTAACCGTGCCGGGCGTGGCATCGGATGAGCCTGTGCCGGACTTGTTGTCGGCCGGGGCCGAGATAATTACGCTCTCGCCTGCGCTGGTAAGTGTATCGTAGAACACACGGATGTTCTTCTCCGCCCAGCCATCGTCGTTTGAAAGGACGACGTTGACGGCCTGGACAGCCAACGGAGCTACGAGGAGTGATAAAGGGATTTGCATTTTGACCAGGAATATGAGACAAAGTTTCTTGGGCTAGGTATGGTTTCGAGGCTGGCAATGATCGGAGAGAGAGGGGACTGTAACAACATATATGAACATGATTGTCAAGTATTTGCTTTATCTCCCCTAGCTCCGTGTTTCTCTGGAAAGCCTCGGTGTGAGAAAAGGATGGTGCTTAGCACCCTTCGGCTTGAAGCGGGTGCAAGACAATGCGGGAAGTTATAATGTAACGCTGCATCATGGAGTCCGCGAAGGTGCATTGCATGTCGATCCACCAACCCCAACAGTTCATCCCACGTGCGGTTGCGATGGCAGGGATTATCGGCTGCGACATTATTTGGCCTGGAGCTGGACTTGTGTGCTGTTTCTCAGGGGACATCCGGAACGGCAGATGAAAAGACACAATTTTCATACATTTCCATTCCCATATATCCCACCTGGGATCTTGTTACAAACAAGAATGAAAGACATTATGATTATACGCCAAACACTTGATATGCTGCAACTTGGCTACCCTGTTGCATATTTCCACGCCGGTGTGTGCATGATTCTTTCATTAAGTTGCCTTCCCTTCCTGGTCTGGCGTCTACGGAGAGAATGAGCCAATGAGCGAGTGCTGCTGAGGGCGTGGCCTAGGGCGTAGCAGCCAAATGTCAGTCTAAAAGTTTCATCACATGGGGGCACGGTGAAAGTCTCGTCTTACACGTGACAGAATTGACGAGCGCAAATAACTCGACAATGTATTAGAAACAAAATAGATAGGTCTTCATGCTGGTGTCTGGCAATATCAAGACTACTTCGAGACGATATACGGCCTACCGTTACTCTGAGAAGATCCAGGATTATAGTCTCATAGTAGAAATAGAATGCTTTTTCAGTACCAGTTAAAATATGTCTGCAGCTGACTGCCCTGGAGACTAGTGAGAACAGTGCAACAATGTGGTAACTTACATGACACCTTGACCTGTCCCCGGAAGGCAACACGTCCCACTTCCATATGTTCTGATGCCCCTTGGTTCCCTTGGTCTTTTTCGTTGGGGAAAAGGGCACAGTAAAAGTCCAAAGAGGCAGACCTGGTGGTTGTCTGATGAATACTGCAGTTGAGACCAGTGATAGCCTTGAGAGTCCAGAAGCAGAAGCCAGTGTTGCTTGAGAGGCACATATGATAGAAGAGCGGGTAACTATTTCTCAAGTGCTCACAGCCCTGGTTTCTCATTGTAGCTGTAGCCGTAGGCAGTCATCATCTGGAGTTTGTCCTGTATGAACAGTCCACTTCTGGAACTTGGCATCCGGAAGCTCCATTTAAAGACGGTATTTATATCAATTCCACCAGGCTGTTTCTTGAGTGTTGCCTCAATATACATGTAGGCATTTCCTCCCAAAAAGGCTCTCTATTATGTGTCCTGGAGAAATTTCAAGACCTTCTGCTGCTGCTTCTTGCTCTTTCTGCCCTTGAACCGGACCTTGAGCCATGCAGAAGAGGGCCTTATGCCTGGAAACTTGAGCGATTGGAGTAAGAGACCATAGACCGGAATATGTCGTAGACTGATATGATCACAGAAGGAGATGACCTCAACTACAGCCAGGAAGTCAGCAATGGATTTGTTGAGGAGCACCCTTCAAAGGAGGCATGAATGACCCGAGACAGCTTTTGCCTCAGCCGTGATTGCAGGTATGACATATCTAGGGTTGCAGACTAGACGTTCAGACAAGGAATACTCTGCTGGAATGTGGCATTGGGGCAGTTCTAAGGGCTAGTCACACTCACGCTCCACTCTGGAGATTAGGAAACGTTGTCCATCATCATTGCAGAAGTACTAGCAACGCTGGCCTATCTTCTGTCTGCACCTTTGGCAAGCGTAGTGATAATACACATCTTGGCTGGGGGTGCTTGTACCTCCTGAAAAAGAATGTAAATAGGAGTTGCGCTCCTTGGCATACAATATTGGTTTTACTTTGGATTGCTAGACACACTATTAAGACCGGGTCCAGTCCACCCTGAAATGTTCAATCTAATTGAGCTGCATAATCCAGGGACTACAAACTCATCTAATTACATGGTGCATGGTGATACTCATTATTAACAGGATTGACAGGATAGGGACGATACAGGTAGAACATTTGTGACTCTAATATATATAAGGTTGCCACCTGGATGGAGTTGGAACAGTTCAGCGTGAATGTGAGCCAGTCTGGCCAGCTTACTTTCATAGAAACTGGAACCGGCACCTCGAACAGGACTGTGTGAGACTCTTGGCCGACCATTTTATGTGGTTTCACTTCTATTCCGTATACGTCCGAGGACATACATGGCGCCTTCATACGGTGGTAAGCACTCAAGACCCAGCGCTTGGAAAGAACACGATGCCAATAACAATAGTTATAATACGATAGGTGCTTGTGGCCTCAGCCTTGTGACGCACAACCATTTTATATATAAGTACATCTGTCTGACTACTCTATCACTGGATTAAAGGGAGTTGTGAGTGAGACATGCAGTTTTACGAAACTACCTCTACATAGCATCATGCAAGAACATATCCACAAACAATTTTGAGTGCCTGGAATTATATCTTTTTTCAATGTTGCAAGCCTGCAAGACAAGTATTTCCAGTATGGCTCACAACCAAGGTTGCTTGAAGTCATGTGACCATGAACAATTATTCATAACAAGGCATACTACACGAGCTGAGCCTCCAGCATGCTTCTAAGAGAGAGGTGGGGATAGAGAGAAAGAGAGAGTGTGTGTGCTGTCCGGGTTATCGATAACTAGATTCCAGGGGCTGGTCGGGACTAGTCTGCTCCAGTACACACTTCGCTTTTGTTTTCCTCAGACAAGAAATCAGATGACCCTCAGAGCGTCGGCAAAGTACGTACTTCCAGTGAACCGATAAGTCTGTTATCAATGGGCGCTACTGGGAAAACAAATGACAACAAACGACGTTCCCCCTCTCAGCTGCGAAGTCAACAGTCACCCATCGACCCCGCTAACAACCTTTGAACAATCCATCACCCTTCCTCTCCTCCCTCTTTTCCACTTTATCACCAAACCTGCAAACCTCATAGTCATCGCACGAGAGAACCAGTCGATCGACCATGCCTACCGACAAGCCTGCAAGAAAGCCCCTGCCTAGTGGTCGTCCTGCGTCTGGCAGCATTGCCTCTGGCAGAAACAACCAACCCAGTATGGAAGATTCATTTCCGAAAAAACCTTTTCCTGATTAGAGGCTAACCGGGAGATATTTCAAAGCCATGCCTGTGTCCGCAGGCACACCTCCCCGGCCTGGCAGAGGCAACACTGGAGATCTAGTGCAGCAGATCTCGACCTCCCGTCGGCGATCAACCTCAACTTCCACTGATGGCAGCGGTCAGGCCTCTGACGATGACCTTGTTGCCATTTCTCCTGCCCAAGCAAGTTCATCGGACCTTACGGCCGATGCCCGCAACAAGTCCCAGGTTCCCCAGCTAAAGGGAGCCTCTGCTCTAACTGCCAGCCGCAAACGCGACCATGACACCATGGCCAACCCATCTGCTCATGCCAACCATGTGGGAGCAAACACCGCTGTACAGACATTCAGTGCCAGCCGCACTGGCGATGTGTCCTTCCAAGCCAACAAGTACCAGAGAACCCTGCAAGAGGGAGCAGATGATGGTGCCCCTCAGCCGCTACTTGCCCCAGGTCCTCCACCCCCTCTAGGCTATTCCCAGGCGTGGATTGACAAATACCAACCAATGAAGCAAATGGCTGAGTTTCATCAATGGATGGTGGACGGTGGGCCCGAAAAGCTGTCTAGGCAGGGCTACCCTGCACTGCCACACCAGCGCCAGGGACCTGGCCAGCCCACAGCAGGACCTAGGGATGTCAACATCCCAGCCCCTGTGGGCAACTTGGGACAGAGGCAGACAGGGGATGCGTCCAATGTATGTTTGCACGTCTCATAAACTCTTCGTCCACATAACTGCAGAATTGACTTTGTTAATATGATACACAGCCAGCCATTGTCCCAGCCGACAATGCAGCCACGAACCCCGGGGACGAGCAGCAGAGCGGCAGATATGTTCCTCTGTCTGGGTCAGTCATCTATTCACAGGCTCGAGATCTGCCTCAGGAGTTGTCCGCACAGATCAGTGCACTGATGGCCCTGTCAAACCGCAACGAGAAGTCCCGCCAAGAGCGAAGCCAGCAGGACTACCTCTTGGTCAAGAGCCAGATCGATGCCCACAGCCGCCAGATCGACAGCTTCCAGCAGACTTTTAAGGCCCTGCAGGATGCTCACGTCAGAGATGAGGCTGCCCGCAACGAGGAGATGGAGAACATCCAGGCCCTGTTTGCCAAGAAGCAACAGAAGCTTGCCGAGAAGCAGGACCAGCGAACTCGACAGAACCAGAACAAGCCTTGAGCACTAAGCCGTGTGTGAGGGAAGCGAGCCATGAGTCACTTGAATACCGGCTGGCTGAAATTTGGAGGGCTCTATGAGGTACTGAAGACACTTGAAGATGGAAACACAGCCGCCACTTACCAGTGTATATTCAATTCTGTACAAAACCACCACCCCTCCTCACTCTCACATAGCTACTGAGAATCAAAACACCCGGCTTGGTGGGCATGGATGGCCGGAGCAGTCATCTTCACGCTTAGCAGCCCAGTCTAGGCTGTTATACCTAGGCCACCAGAGAACCAGATACTTGTTCTTTGACCAGAATCAGGGAAATATCCATAGGGGAATCCGGAGAAATTCACGTCCTGTCCAGTTTTCAAAGGGTCGTAGGCAGTTTATAGCACACAATTCATTGTAAGAATTCATCAAATCTTGTGTAGAGGGGTGTTTATGGACTTGACAGCTGCATGCCTCCCATCTGGGCAGATCAAGTTCTTCAAATTTGTCTTACAAGAGAGAATGTTCTTTATTCTTGTGCCTGGTGATTCCTTTTGCAATATTGCAAGCCAAAAACGCTGGCCACACAGCAGGCTTGGGGCATGGAGACCACCGCCTGCCAAAGGTTATCGATAGATCTCAGGGCCTGGTCTGTGTCAAGAAGACTCATTCACTGTCTGCTTTCCCACCTGGGGCAGACGACAGGACCCAGATTAACTCCTATCGGTACGTACCTGGGTACTTCCAGCCTGCCGATAAGAGTCTGTTTCCAATTCACTTGGGCACCTTTCCACCAACCTTGTACAAGCCTCTGAACTCCTTTGCCACAACTCAATCACCCAACTGGCAAGGATGGATGTCCCGTAAGCTCTGCGACAACGAGAACCTGATATCATCTTGAAGAGTAGAAATTCCTGAACCTAACAACATGCAGGGTTGTGATCCAGCTTACCTGCCATGCAGCCGAGAGTGTGCTTCGCTTTCGGGCGGTGAGCCTCACCGAAAGGTGAGTAATTAGACTGGCCTCCATTCACCTTGTCTCATCACTGACAAACTTAAACAGGCCCGCGGTTGATGTCCAGGCTTTCAGAGCCACAATCACCACCCAGATCGAGGAGATGGCCAAACGCAGCCACCACGACCCGGCCGCAGTGCCTGTGGCGCAGGTGGAAACCTACGCAGGCATCAGTGCTGCTTCAGCAGCACTCCAGTGGAACAACACCAACAGCCCCGAGTCAGTGGCTTTCATATCTGAGGCTGTCACGAGCATTGCTGACGTGTAGTTTATAGGAACCATGTGCCAATCGAGTGGTTCCGAAACTGTGTCTTGGGCCTTGTCAGCGGTGTTGTCACAGACATGGCATCCGCCGCCCCTGACACCGCCAATCGCTCGGGCAGCCAACCTGAGCACACCAGTGGCAGCGCGTCCCTGAACCCGCCGTCCGACCGACCTGCCAAGAGAACTCGCCTGCCGGACTCTGCGCCGGCGAGACCGTCCGGCTCGCGGAGCTCCGGGGGCAGCAACGAGTCCGCGATCGGGCGCCACTGGAACACGATGAACACGCCGCGGAACATGCGCTGGACCGAGAACGAGGTCAAGATCATGACGGAGGCGAGGGAGGCCGGTGAAGACTGGGCCACGATACAAAGCGTAAGCAGTTCTGCAAGCATGGGCCGAGAGCGGTAATATAAATGATAATGTGGCAGGCTGGCTGACTAACTCAACTATAGATGGTCCCACGCCACAGCAAGGAGGCCTGCCAGTCAAAGTACCAAGTCATCATTGGTAACAGAGCCAGGTCCAGGTCCGAGCTGGCTGCCAGGGTCGCCAGGGGCGGACGCCAACAGTATGGTAGGGCCCACGGCAAGTCATTTGCACCCCAGGAGTTCGAGGAAGATGTCGAGCCCGGCGAGGGCGAGTAGGTAGATCCTGTTGCGGCTTTGACGAGAACTTCCCCTACCCCCGGCACCGTACCTAGGTAGTCAAGCTCGAGATAATTGAGGAATAAGGACATGGTGGATACCTGGATCGCGCCAACTCAGTATAAGCAGTTGTATTCGGAAGATTGTACGCACATACTTTGAAGAAGGAACCGCAACTGATGGCATGGGAATTCTGCACCATGCGGCCGGAGAATGTTCGTTGTTTGCGGTACTACACAATAAACTGTATGATATAATAGTGTGTGCCGTTCCCGGGGCTTGAGGATAAAGAGACCATTGCAGTCGTATTCTCGGCCAGCCTTGGAGTCCTCGAATGGATCAGCAAGGCATTGTCCCCTTCTGAAGCCATAAAATGGCTGATGTTGCTCCCCTGAATGGTGTTTGAGATCCCCAGGTGGTATGGGGACAGGCAGGCTGGCAGGCTTCCTGCCCCACACCGACCTCCGATATGGTAGGCGCCTATAGGCCAGTCCGTCCCATGTCCAGCCTTGGAAGGCTCCTTTCAATGACGTAAAAATACGTGTTTACCAGTCACAGTCCAGAACAAATGGCAGTGAATGAATGGTGTGAAAGTCGGTCGTCCGATCTGCCTGCCTGGCAGCTGTCTGCCCCGCCACAGCTGCGCTACTGCAGGTTCAAGGCCCAAACATAAAAGACCAAGCTCCTCGACTTGTTGACCTCTCCTTTGTGCATCTTCCTGACAACTTCCCACCCAGACCAAGGGAACAGAGGTTCCTGGCCGCCATCTCTGGGGCAAAGAGGACACCCTCAAGAGAACAGAGGTTCTGTAAGTTGTTGACTCCGCCGGTGAGATTCTGTTTCAAAAAACCTCCTTTCCCAGATCTGCCCCGGATGCCGTCTGTTGAAGCCTTCCCCTTCACTCCAAGGCCTTGGTTCATCTTCAACAAGATGAAGTCTGCCCACAAACAACCACGCGCCATCCTGACAACAGCTGACACCGAGGGATTCCAAGCTTCTCAGCAGGCTTGGAACCCAACGAACTGCGCAGGTGCTTCGCATGACATTCGAACACATGCGCATGCGGGTCTGCTGGCCACCGACAAGCCAGCCTGAGGGGCCGAGGCAGGGCGGAGAAATACCAAAGCCCGTGCCGATTTCGAGGCGAAGAAGTGTTTGAATACTCTGGTTTTCTGAGACTGGCTCAAGAAGACCCCGCTTCGGTCAAGGAGGTGGTTCTTGATTGACCATGTCAACCGATTTCACTCCGCCGAGGAGGGGCTGCTCAACATAGAGTGGTCAGCGAAGTTGACATGGGATATGGAGGTAAGAACTCACTGCTGATGATAACTGAAGACTAGTCCCTGATTTACTAAGAAGATATCATCTGGGCCCAGCAGATGGACTTGCAGACAGCCTCATCCTCATTGAAGGCTTACTGCGACAAGTGGATCCACGATGGAACCTGTGCGTTCACCCAGCAAGGCTGCAAGTTCAAGCACGAGATGCCACATGATCGTGACAATCCAGCGGTCACCAAGATGGTTGGGGGCCATCGCAACATGTCCACAATACAACAACCCCGACCCCGACACGATGGGGGTGTACCCCCGGTGAGGACAGAGGCCCTCCCTCTCTCACACCCTCGTCCCGGGCTAGTCGAGCAGGTGGGCCCATTGGTCTTGGGCAGGGCGGTGCTGCTTGGGCTGTGTGGCAGTCTTTTTAAAAAGGTGCGAGCTCGTCACCCAGCCAGCCATTGGCACCACCAGCCTGCAACCTACACAGACTGACCTTTTGTCGTCCAGCCAGCCACAACCCATCACCAAGCAGCACCACCACCAATCATCCTTTGACGCAGAGACCAGACAATGGATGCCGGACGCAGCGACGACGGCGGCGGCGACGACCAGCAGCAACGAGCCAAGCTGGCTGCGGAGATGGACGAGGTAAGCACTGTCAACACAAGCAAGACTTGGTGTGACTCGCCTTGACTGACCTCTCACCACAGCTGATCCGGGAGAACTACTGGTACCAGATGGAGGTCAACTGGCACCACAGCCAGGCCAACCAGAACAACCACATCAACAACTGGTCTGGCCAAAGCGAAGACAACAACAGCCAGTTCTTTGGCCCTGTGCTGGCACCAGCCATCATGCCGATGGGCCCGCTGTGGTGTGAGAATCCTGCCCCCATGGCAGTGGACCACCAGCCTGGTGGCCCAATCCAGCAGCAGGCAGCTGAGCAGCAGAGAGTGTCGCAGCAGGCTGGGGTTTGGCACCAAGCAGCCCGGCAGCCAGCCGCCCATCACCAGCCGCGTCCTCAACCGCCTCGCCACCAGCCGCGTCCTCAACCGCCTCGCCACCAGCCGCGTCCTCAACCGCCTCGCCAACAGCCGTCCCAACAGCCTCCCCAACAGCCGTCCCAACAGCCGTCCCAACAGCCTCTCCAGCAGCAGCCCAGGGGGGCCAAAGTACCATGCCCCGTCCACGATTGCCAATTCCTCCTACAGCCCAGAATGGACCACCTCTACGACCATCTGGCAGAGAACCACGGGTACGAAAGAGCGGCCAGGGAGTACACAGTGGACCTGAAGCACATCAAGAGAAAGACCGTCCCAACCCTGCGGGCCCTCTTCATCCGCGACACGAGGAAGCTGGCCTGGGCCAAGGCACGCCTCCTGGCCGCAGAGGAAGCCATCGGGCAAGCTGACCCCTCCTACGTCAGCGGCCACGGCCTCGGGCTCACCATGGACGCATACTCCATCCCAGAGGCGACCGCCTGCGCCGGCAGCAAGAAGAAGGAGCCGCTCAAGGCGATGCTGATTGCCGCCCGCGGCGAGATGGCTCAGAGGGGCCGCCTTCGCAACCAGGTGGGCGTGGCGCAGAGCAGCTGGGCCCAGGTTCTCGACGACCTGGTCTCGACCTTCCACCTCGCCCGCAACGCGGTGGACCAGCGCGCCGAGCAGTATTTCCAGCAGCTGCGGGTGGCCGTGGGCGACGACATGGCGCAGGGCGTCACCCCCGCGCAGGTCGAGCTTACCCACCAGCTCCAGTTGAAGGCGGGTGCGTCCCTTCCCCCGAAGTGAGGCGGTTGCCAAGGAGGAGCAGGCTGCCCGACTTCCTTTGCCGTGCCCATCGATACTTTACACAGGATGGGGAGGAGGCCGGAGCAGCTACGCGTCAGGTTGTCGAGCGTCCGCATCCTAGCAAGTTGCCCTGGCTCTCCCGGTCGAGCTACGCCTGCTGGTTTACAACTGTGTTATGAGAGCTGGTGGATACGACCACATTATTGATCTTGAGGGGTGGAGGTGGCAGTGAGTTGAGAGGAAGTGCCTCAGGACTACAAGCAGGCCCATAGAACTGCCGTTTTGATGAAAGAAAGGAATGGTTCTTGTCGGTGCCGTGTCACACCTGGGCGGTCTCAGCACAGATCTCTCGTTGATATGCCAGTTTCGTTTACCGTGATCACCAATGCAAGATGTATTCATTCAAAAGCGTCGTGACCCAACTCACCAGACAGCTACCCCCATACCCTTCGCCGACAGTAACGCCCTTGTCAGGAGCGAGACCCTCTCCGTCCCAAGACAAAGCATTCGCCATGCGAGGATACATCCAGCGGTGCGCCCTGCCAGGAGTGACGGAGTGGTTCGCAAGCCTCTCCTCAGTCACCAAGAACGACCGAGGGAACCACTCAGGCACGCCCAAGGCCTCCTGCTCCCGTCCCTCCGGAGCCCCACTGGCGGCCATCATCATCCCGCTGAGCGCCCGCCCGCAGAGCCACGCAAAGCACATGCCCTCGCCGTCAAAGGCCGCCGACACCCACTCGCCGCCACCCCCAGCCCAGACATCCCCGACCGGCCGCGCCGTGGCAGACCGAGGCAGCCGCCCGACAAACGGCCGCCCGTCGCGCGCGCTCCCCTCGATGCCCACCCAGACGCGCTTCGAGCGGCCGGGGTAAACACCAGCAGCCCCCGCCGCGCCGCCGCCGTCCTGCCGCGGGAAGTCCGTCCTCTCGGCGCCCCAGTTCTCGTAGCCAAAGTAGCTCGGCAGCGCCCCGTTGAGGTACGACGCCGTGATGTGGCTGGGCGGGCCCGCGTCGCTCATCACCGGTGCCGTCGCCGTCGCCGCCCCCTTGGTGTTTCTCCCCTCGCCAACACCGCCGCCGACGCCGACCATGTCCCCGCCAAACATGTACTCGCCGTCCCGCGGCATCTGCACGGCATAGTCCAGCCCGTTGCGGTACAGCGACCACGCGCGGCCGCCGGGCAGGCTCCCGTCGCCCGATGAGTACGAGGGCCACGCCCCCGCCCTGGGGAGACCGCCGCCGCCCAGATGCGCGCTCATGTGCAGGCGGGCGCCGCGGATGGCGCCCCGCAGCCCCGGGACGAGGTGCGGCGTCCACGCGTTGGAGGCGTGTACCACGTGCTTGGCCTGGATCGTGCCGCGGGCCGTGAGGACCTCGTAGTTGGGCGAGGGGGGCGAGGCGGCGTCGCTTGTGCTTGTTATTGCTATCACCTCCAGCGCGGCGGTGTTGGTGTCGAGGGAGAAGCTGGGGTGCGTGTCTAGCAGCGACTTGAGGGAGTGTGTCACGAAGCGGTAGGGCCAGATCGCCGCCGCCATCTTTGCGGTTCCGGTCATTATGCCGGTGACCTCGGGCATGAGGGAGATCTGCAGCATTGGTTGTTATTAGTCCACGACGGCGCCGACCTCTGGCTGGGCTCGTTGGCTTACATTTCGAGCCTCGTCCTTCTCAAAGACAGACCACTCGCTACCAATATCTGGCATCTCCTTCTTGAGGACCTCCATCTGCCGCACAGCAGTCTCCCACCGCGCATCATCGAAGAAGGCATCGATGCTGTCCACAACGCGCGCCTCGGCAGCCAGCCGCCCCTGCTCGGGCAGCGAGTCCGCGGCCGAGATCAGGGCCTCGACATGGGCGGACCGCAGCCGGGTGATCCGGGCCGCCTCCTCGCGCGCCACGATCTGCTTGGCCCCGGCGTACTCGGCGTACTCGGCGTACGACGACGGCCTGATGTGGCCGCCGTTCCGGCCCGTGGCGCCGGAGCACGCCTGGCGGGCCTCGAGCATGGCTATCCTGAGCGGCGGGGTTTTGCTGCTGCTGGTGGTCCCCTTGAGGAGGTGCCATGCGATGCTGGTGCCCGAGATGCCGGAGCCGATGATGACCACGTCGGCTTCGGCGGGCAGCTGCGCGGACTGGTGGTCTGCCACGCCCTCCGTGGGGGGTATCTGTCAGTATGATATGCTTGGGTTGGCGTTGGGCAGACCGGGGTCCTGTGCCAACACACGAAGGCTGAAGAGTAGAAGTGGGGAATGGCGTCTCATGGTGGGAGGTACCTGCAGGTGTGCGGCTGATTCGAAAGAGTGGTGGGCGTGCAAAAGAGTGTCTGGCGTAGGATGACCAGGAGCCTGGCAGCCTCTCGTCGGGCGGGAGATGGAGGAGGTAGCCGTTTTCCACCCAAAGCAGTCAGGAAAACGCAGCTTCCCAAACACATTCCAGTCAACGACTTTCCCTGCGACTTGCTCTGTCATAGCTCATCCATTGGTTCACACCAGACGGAGTCGATATTGCGCCTCTCACCCCGCGGCCTTAGTGACACTGGTAAAATTGATTGGCTACCTAGGTATCATTAAACCTGGATTGTCGTCACGTCCAGAGGGAAGCGGCTGTACACGTCAGAAAGGCAACACTGCACTGCACAAGCAGAAGCAGCGCCTGCTCTTATGAGGTTCCGCGAATTCTACAATCATTGATTGCATGAGACTTTCTTGTACGGAAAGTCCAGCCGAAGAGGAATTCTGATATCTGAATTCTTGTCACCCTTTTTATTTAATCAGGGTAGGTTGCATGCAATATGGATGCAAATCTGACTGTGAGGGCGTGCCCGAATGCCAAGGTCATTTTTCCCTAATGAAATGCTTTGTTGCGTATAAATTTCCTGCAGTTGTCAACTAGCTGAAGACATTCTGCACTCACCGTGCTACGGGGCTCAAAGAAAAGTAAAGGGGCCAAGTATTCAGCTCACCGTGAGTATCATTCTGCAGGGGTGAGGTCGTCTTGCCACTCCCGCAGACCTTCCACTGAGGTTACGATAAGCTTCACGGCTTTACACGAGGCGCGGAACAATCATTCTTTGAACACTGTAATAATATTTGTTGATAAATTTCTAACTACCCGGACTTGTTCTTGAATGCATTATGCATACGCAGAAGCACCAGCCCATCAGTTGGGTTGCCTGCGAAGCTTCAGCTGCAAAATAAAGTACGAGACCACGCCCGTGAAGCACAGGCCGCTGATGACACCGAAACCCATGAGATATTTCGGGGCGTCGTCATCAGGGAACAAGTACGCGCCGTATATCTGCGCCAGGTTCCCCATGGCGTTGACAATAGCCAAGCTGATGCCCCTGACCTCCTGGTTCATCGACCCAAACGTGGTAGAAGCATACGCCAGCGACAGCGCGTTCGAGGCCCACAGCGCGCTCGCCATGAGGACGAGCAGCGCATACCGCGCGTGGAAGTTGTACACGCCGCAGGTGACGATGCTGCAGACCATGGCGACGGACATCCACACCGTCAGGGAGAGGCCGCGGTACTGCGGCACGCGGTCCATGAAGATGCTGTTGAAGAAGGTGCAGATGAAGGCGGCGATGTAGATCGGGACCGTCATGTACTGCGTCACGGACCCCGCGTAGCCCAGGCCCCGGACGAGCGTCGGGTAGAAGTAGGACAGCGTCGAGGAGCCCACGATGGCCATGTACCCGACGACAAAGACCCACGTGCGCCAGTCGGCGACGGACCGCCTCAGCGCCGCGACGTGGCCGAGCTTCTCCTCGGGCGTCTGGTTGTTGGGGCGCGAGTACTCCATGCGCTGCATCGCGAGCTGGCGCTCGCGGTCTGTGAGGCGCTTGGTGTTCTCGGGGAAGTCTAGGAGGAGGAACGAGGCTACGATGGAGAAGCCTGCTGTTGCTGCGCCTTCGACCTGTGTGTGTGACAATGTTGTTAGAGTGTGGAGTGAACAAGAAGATGTGTGACTCCCCGAGGGTCTACTCACGATGAAGAGCCACTTCCATCCTGGAAGGCCGTGGGCACCGTCAAGGCCGTCCTCAATAGCTCCAGCAATGAGTCCTCCAAAGGCTCCGGACAGAATAGCAGCCGAGATGTACACTCCGAACCTCTTGGCTTGCTCATTGGGCTTGTACCAACTCGAAAGCGTCAGGAGAACACCAGGGGCAAATCCAGCCTCGAGGACACCGACGACGATCCGAAGCCCGATAAGCGCCTTGTAGTTGGGGACCCATGCCATGGCGATGGTCACACAGCCCCAGAGAAACATGATCGTCGGGAGGAAGACGGACGGTTTCGTACGGGCGAGGATCATGTTGGAGGGGACTTCGAACACGACGTAGCCCACGAAGAACACCGTGAGTGCAATGCTGTATTTTGTCGAGTCCATGTTCAAGTCCTCTGCCATTCCGGCTGTTTTGGCATTGCCGATGCTGTTGGGTAGACACAAGGTCAGTTGCTGTCATGATGTGGGTGTCGTCCCAGGGGAGAACGCACTTTGTACGGTCCATGTATGACAGGAGGTACATCCCCCATATCGCCGGAAGCAGGTAAAGATCGATCTTTCGAACAAGCTTGCGCTCCTCTGGTGTGTCGGGGACGTAGTCATCGAGGCTGATCTGGGGAGCCTTGGGCAAATCGCCGTAGGCGTCCTCATCATGTTGTGTTTGTACCTTGCCCGAGTTGGGATCCATTGCGAATGGTAGTTGGCGACACGGGAAGCCTCGCAGGAAATTAGAATCAAAACAGTGATTTCTGTATTGTCAGGAAGCAAAGAGAGGAAAACGAAACCCAGAAACACAAAACCCAACTGAAAAGGGGCCACAGTTGCAAAGAAGACGGGCGAGGCTTGACGTTTTAAGACGACGTTGACCCACACAAGGCTCCTGGTGCTCCTTTTGAGTTTACGAGAACAGAATCAAATGTTCAAAAAGTGAAATAGATATAATTGTCCGTCAAAAGTATGGATCTACACAGCAAAGGGAACAAGCACGCCCGGGTTCAAGCAATACCAAGCCTTCCCGGTTTTCTGGGCCACCCACACAAGCTTCCACCTTGTGCCAGGTGGTGTGATCGCACCACACTACTGCATGCACCCTATGCGTCTTTTCCCAGTGCCTTGCATGCATGAGGGATCCCCCCCTGCTCGACTCGTCGTCATGAACCTGCAATACTGGCGCCTGCCCCGGACAATCCCGGGGAAGGCAGCCTCGGTCAGAGACCGCCCCAACCCTCCCAAGTCTGGGGCCCCGCGTCCCCACAGGACGCCTGCTGAGTGGCCCCGTTGCTTAACGAACCCCGGGTCAGCCCAAAGCGGACATCCCATTCGCAACGGGGGGCCAGCCCCGGGCAACTCCGGGGCTACCCCTGGCGCTGCCTAAGGAGGGAGCTCCGGGTGGTGGCCTCGAGACGCGGGCCACTGGCAGTTGGCACCGAATGGCCACACATCAACGGCGAATGCGATACGTAGGTAAACTGCAAATGGCGAGCCGAGGGGTTGAAGGAAGATCTCATATTTGGAACGGAGAACATAAGTGAAGAGTTGAGGTTGATGACTACTCCTTTACATAAAAAAGCAAGGCTGGTTAGTCCAGGATATTTACGCAGGATATCTTGGCTGTTCTCCCAATAAGTCCTTCTTTAGATGTGTAGACTACCCAGGCGTTTATATCATTGGTGATACAAAAGCTTTTTGTCAATCAAAATCTCAAAAGTAAGCCTAGTAAGTCGTATTGCATGTGGAGAGTGCCCTCAACTACCGCTGTATCGAACCAGGTGGCCATAGTATCGCACATGATGTGTCAATAATTTGGAGTCTTAGAACTCTGGTCAACGGAACGCTGTTTAGGATTCGATTCATCTAGAAGGACTTGATAGCCCTCGACATCCCGTCCAACCACTCATATAGTGCCCACGCCCCGGGATCAGGCAACTCCTGGCCCTGCGCCTCAGCAACATATGTGGCCCGTCCAAACTTGGCCTTGAGGAACTTGGTGGCCTCAGCCTTCTCCTTCGCGACGCCCACGGCTCGGTGGAAATCTTTGGTCCGAGCAAACTCGTCGGCAAAGGGCAGCAAGACGTCCATCACCGTGCGGTCCCCCTCCCTGGCACCGGTGTGGGTCTTCAGGGCCTCGACAGCCTGCTCCAGGGCTGCCGCGAACTTGTCGGAGTTCTGCGAGGACGACGATTTAGTGGACTGCTCTCGGAGGGCGGATGCAAAGGCGGAGAGCAGGATTCCCAAAATGGCGCCTAGGGTCCCGCCCATGTTATCCACTGCATCGGTAGTTGCGTCGAGGAACTCCAGGACCGAGCCCTTGCCGGCTCCATTGTTGTTGAGGATTTTTATCACGGCTATTGTGGATTGTCAGCTGATAATCAAGTAGTTATTGAGCGGTGTTATGGAGTAGACTTACATTCAGAGACATCCTTGACGGCTTCGCCACAATCGCCGTCTCCCACTGCGCACAAGAATGTCAGTAAATGGCCGAGTAATCCAGTGATCCAAAGGTCAAATTCTTACTGATCATGTCCCACTTCGTCAGATTAGGCTCGGCTGCAATTGCAGCCTCGCAAGCGGACCTAATCACAGTGTCTAGTAATTTTGGATCCACTGCACGACGAATTAGCCATATTCCGGTACCAAGCAAATTGTTCAGCCTCAAAGCCTACCAATAATGTCTGCGCCATGATTTGAGCTGATTTTGGCCTTCTTTTGTGAATTCTGCTGCTGGTTTCCTCTGTTCTGGTATGTTTTAGGCGAAGTCAGATTCGGCCATCCAACGGCAGTTGTTGGTGAATCGAAAAGTTCCAGCAGCTCATCTACGGAAGTGTCTGATTCTCTCGATGCGGCAGAGAGGTTGCATAATGAGATGGAAAATCCGGGTGCGTTGAGCGAAGTCTCAAAAACGCCCGTGAGTGTCCTGACAGGCTTGATATTCCACTTGGAGGCTAATGAGAATTCTATTGTTAGTTTACATATCGAATAAAGACATCGGCGCTTTTGTTCTTGCTGGTGGACTTACCGAGCTGCGTCAATGTCTCATCGGTCAATGCTCCGAGCTCCAAGTTTGACATGCCGCCATAATTGTTAATCACGAGCACGGTTGAATCATCTTTCTCGAAATTCACAAAATAGCGCTCCTTGTCTTCTGGGTCACAAAGAAGTTTGAGGCAGTACTGGATCAGCTCTTCCACAGGCGGGAATGGAGAGAGCCTCTGGGCGCCCTGTATAAAAATGTTTCCGTCAGCGGCGCCCGCTTTGAGGGCCGGTGTGAATTTCAACCTACAGGCTCATTGTGAATTCCGGCACCGACGATGGCGACGTCCTTGGGGATCGCCTCGTTGCCCTGACGGCCTGGGACGTGGCAATGATCCAGAGCGGATCCAATCGAGACCACCTGAGAGTTGACGCTCCTCCCCAACTTTACGGTCCTCTCAAAGTCGTACTTCCTCGCCGCTGCAGCACCAGTGATTTTCATAGCTTTTAGACAGGCCTGTCAGCAAATGCGCCCATGTCCTTTTGTGGTTCCACGTCGTACTTACGAACGATATGTCCCGGCATTCCCCTCCTTCCAACAGCACCACACTTGCTTCTCCCGATGCTGACATCATCTGCAAGGTGGATCATGGCGACCTTGGGCGATAGTCCCTGCGCCTTGGCTCTCTCGGCCGCGAGTCCGAAATGAAGCTTGTCGCCTGTGTAGTTGGTGATCATCAATATGTGCCCCTGCTCCGACGGCGTGGCCGCGATTGCTGCGAGCACCTGCTTGGTGCTCGGCGAGGCGAAGATATCACCGCACGCGGCACCTGACAGTGCGCCGCTGCCTACGTATCCCGACCATCCTGGCTCATGACCGGAGCCGCCACCGCTGATAATGGATACGGCGGCTGCGTCATGATGAGGGTCGTAGACTACGCGCTCCGAGTCGATTAAGGCGAGATGGGGGTTAGACGCCGTCAGTGCGCGGAGATACCGTGGGACCAGCGTGTTTGCCGCGGTCTCGGGAAAGAAGTGTTTGTCCGACATGGTGAGGTGATGTTGAAGTCGTGCAGTTTCGGGGAGAGTGGAGTAAACGCCGTTCTGACTAGACGAGCGGTGCCGGCGGGAAGAACAAGACTTCAAATTTATTGTAGAAAGGAGCTTCTAGAGGAAACCGCCACGTTCCCGCCAGTGACAGCCAAAACTTGTATGATGACTGATCGGACTGTGTCACCCTAATTCGATGATCGTGACGCAGTTACGCTGCAACAGCGGCCCGGAGGTGGAGAGCATAACACAACCGATACATAATATGCAGGTTCCCGCACGTTTACTTGGCTGGTGGGGGTAGCTTTCAAGCTGCCTAACTGCTTCAGGCCCGATATCGTGCGTACCAGTCCTGGTGCTCGGGAACGTCGGCCGCGTCTCGTGGTCAAAATCACCTCAATTTGCTCCACAGGGTCATGTTTCCAAGTGGTTTAGCCACCGTGAAAGCCAACATTGTAAAGGATATGGGTGCTATGCGCAGATTGGGCCATGCAAATAATAAGTAAATCATACAATAAGCTCGGGCCATGCATGTAGACGGTTATTTGGGACTATATTCGGTGACTGTGCCATGCCAAACTCAACCATATTTCAGCCTCCGTGTACATCGACGTCACCTCTAGCTTCCCCACTCGTTCAACCTGCAACCCCAACTTCAAGCACGGCAGGATAATTTCGAAGTGAACTACCAACAAGATTCACTGCCGATTCCCCTCAGAAGCCAAAAACCCGCAGAATCATGGCTGGATTTCGGATTGCCATCGGCGGAGACGATGCCGGCTTTGCCTACAAGGAGACGCTTACCAAGGACCTGAATGCGGATGACCGAGTGAGCGAAGTCATCGACGTCGGACCTAACTCAGCGTCAGACAAGACCGCATATCCCCACTTCGCAATCGCGGCTGCCGAGCTGGTGGCGCAAGGGAAAGCAGACCGCGCTCGTAAGCACTTTCCAATTTCTTTATCTTGATCTGTGTCGGTCATAGTTTTGAGCTCTTGGCTGATGCGTCGTTGACTGACAGTCCTGATCTGTGGAACGGGCCTGGGCGTTGCAATCTCTGCCAACAAGGTCCAGGGCATCCGGGCCGTCACGGCTCATGACAGCTTCAGCGTCGAGCGAGCGATTCTGAGCAACGACTCGCAGGTGCTGTGCCTTGGTGCCAGGGTCATCGGGATCGAGCTGGCCAGGAGGCTTGTTAAGGAGTGGCTTGGCTATAAATTTGACCCTGTGAGTGCACCCCTCGCTGCTTGATCCTGTCCGGTAAGCACACAGTATACTGACTGCATCCAGACTTCTGCTTCTGCTGCCAAGGTCCAATGCATCACAGATTACGACAATAAGCACCACACACCAGCCGCTACAACGACCTAGTCGGCTGGGGTCGGCTTTAAGCGTTTAGACTACGCCGCAAGGGGCAGCCAACTTGGACAACACAAACATATTTAATGCCTTGGTTGAAGAAGCATGTAATTTATCGACTCCTTTGCAAAGACGTTGGCATTATGAGCGATGCCATATGAACCCAGCCGTTGCGCTACCATGTCCAGGCTCCGGCTTCCAAGGTTCCATGTCTTCTCGTTGATTCCGAGATCGCTCGCTCCTGTCTGCACATGTGAGCTCGACAGACGCATTTTGGCGTATCGAAATGTGGGAGGTGACTGATAAACTCAAATTCGAAACAAAATTCTCTAGTTGATTCCACACTTTCATGGTCGTATGACTCTGCTGTTATTGTCTTGGGCCAGAGCCAGAGTCTCTTCACAGATATTGCTGAGGTGGCCACGAGTCGCGGCCCGAACTTGACAGCGATGCTCCCTGCTTTGTCGTGGACAGGGGTGAGTTGAGGGGAAGTGGAGCCAACCCCATGCGTCTCCAGACTTTTCCAACCCGCGAAAGCAGACCCGCTGAACCCCGCAGCCGTCTATGCCTTTACGAGATGCGTGAGAAGGACGTAAGTAGCGAGGGACGCGAGCCGAGTCAAGTTTTTCCCACCGGCTCTCCCCTCGAGCCGCGCCTGTTCTCGCTCACCCGCGTCCCGACTGTGCTGCCCGCGCTACCGGGTCGCAATTATCACGGAGTGTATCTCCCACGGCCAGTGCGTGCAACACAATGCAACGATCCGAAAATCCGGGGGTAAGGAAAAGGACCCGCAAGCCTCGTGGCAGAGGTTTACGGACGGTCACTGGCTGGTGAGTGGAGTACGACATCAACAACTTTCCATGTGCTGTTTTGACACATCTCATTCACGCAAGATCTTTAAGCGAACATCCACTGCGTCTATTCCGTGTGATTGCCCTGCAGATCAAAGTGCTGAGCTGACTTGCAAAGTCTCACATGTCGGAAGAGGCACAAGAAATGTGACGAAACGCGGCCCATGTGTGGACCATGTTCCAAATCCAACAGGGAGTGCATGTATCCAAGTGTTGGTACCAGCTCTATCACAAGCTCCAATGAATGCTCTGAGCCGGTCCAGGTAGAGGCTGGGCCCGGAGCAAGTGATCAGCCAGATCTGCCCAGTGAGCAAGGAGCCATAGAGACGAATGATGCCTCTCCTGGCTCTCCTGGCTCAACGCAGGCGTTAGATCCACTGCATGAAGTGCCTGGCCCGGTACTACATACTTCACCAGACCGCCCACATGTCCGGCTCGAAGAGCCTGAGACTGGCCCGATCCCTAATGGACCTCAAGAAGTTGGACCACAGGTGGCCTTCGACGATAGTAACCACATTCAAACCGTTTACAACACTCCAGATACCATCCTCTCGGAGTATCTCACCACTGACCTCGCCTCCACACGATGGCTCGACCTCTTAGCAGCAGACGCCGCCCAGGCAGACAAGGCATTCTCTCTGCCCCCAACCCGGTATCCAAGTCCAGCACTTGGTGACCTCGGCTTTGAACACAGTGCTTCTCAACCTGACCCGCAGAGCTTAAGCGCTGCTGTCTCCCAGGCCCAGGCTGGGCTTGGAAGTAACGACTACTCGCGGCTTAACCAACCAATACCTGATACCAATGATCTTCCCGCGTATGAGCGGCACGCGTGGCAGCTCGACCAAAATATTAGCCTCCAAGACCACGAGGTTGACTTGTTTCGGACATTTGCTGAACGGGCTGCACTGTGGCTGGATGTGTTCGACCCCTTTAAGCATTTCTCCACGCACGCAACAAGGCTGGCAGTGCGTCTACAAACACCCTCCTTCGGGCTCCGACTTGTCTTATTCTGACCGTCATGTCTTGAGTGAATAGCTACGAAACCTCGGCCTCATGAAGGCCATCCTGGCTTTATCATCCCGCCACGCAATAGCACAAGCTACTCAAGTTGTAACATCCCCAGGCAGCACCCAGCTAGGAGCCAACCTCCCCATCCAGTATTACTACGAAGCCCTCCACTATCTCCAACAAGCCCTTCAGTACACCTCCTACACCCGCTCGGAGGAGCTTCTTGCAACTGCTATAATAATATCGACGTACGAGATGCTTGATGACTCCAACAGCAACTGGAAGCGCCACCTCAGGGGCGTGTTCTGGATACAGCGCTCTCAAGATGTCAATGGCGCCTCAGGGGGCCTACGGCAGGCCGTCTGGTGGGCGTGGCTGAGACAAGACCTGTGGGCGGCTTTCAGAGAGCGGAGGGCTTGTTTCAGCTTCTACAAGCCCGAAAAGGATGTGAGCGAGCTGGGGCAGGATGAACTGGCCGACAGGGCCGTGTACCTGCTGTCGCAGTGCGTGAACTACTGCGCGCACGCCACATCAACGGCGCTCCCCGTCACCGACAAGATAGAACTAGGCGAGGCGCTCCTGGTGGCCCTGGAGCGCTGGAAGGGCTTCCTCGGCCCGGAGTACCTGCCCTTCCCCAGCAGGTCGGCCGGCTCCGGGGCCGTCTTCAAGCCCATCTGGATCCACCCGCCGCGCTTCGCAGTCGCCATGCAGGTCTACCACTTTGCCCGCATCCTCGTCACGCTGCACCTGCCGGCCGTCGAGGCTGCTGGGTTCCAGGGCTACCTGAAGACGCAGCGGGTGCTCTCCGAGGCTGTCGATAGCATCTGTGGCATCGCCTTGGAGCTGAAGGACGAGGGCTGCCAGATCATCTCGGCGCAGTGTCTTTTTGGCGCTGGGCTGTGTACGCAGGATGAGGGCAAGAGGGATTTCATCCTGGAGCTGATCAGGCGATGTGAGGGGCGGACTGGGTGGCCCATGGCGAGTATGATTGAGGACTTGAGAGGAGAATGGGCGAAAGTTGGCTGATGTCCTTCTAAAATGGGGTGTTATTACGCAAGGCACACAATTATTGTACCTAGATATTTACGTCCATGTGGAAGCAAGTGCCTCTTCACCTCTGGCGGGGCCATCTCATCAACAACGCCACATTTAACACCTTATTTTGATCGTACTTGCGTTCGGTGCCATTGCGTTCATCAGCAATTTAACAGAGATGGGAGGACACTCAATTGTTGATTCAAGTGCTGGCTAGCTACGGACACATATTGTTGCTCGTACATGAAAGAAACCCACTGCAACCCTCCGGCAGTTTGGTGCGTAACTTCGAGAAATAATTTGATGACAGGCAAAGGGAAAAATCAGAATAATTCGACATGTGGTTGCTTGTCCGAAGAACTACTGGGCAGTCAACGTGCCCCGGCTCCACACCTACACGCCTTGGAACGAACGGCGCGTCCACGCTTCTTGGCTGGTGCTACTTATTGTGAGGTCAGGCTTCGTGCGGGGACTGGCGGAAGACACTTACGCTCGTACTCATCATCATCATCATCATCGTCATCATCATCCCGATCATCCTTGCGTCTGCGCTGGGTATACCATTAACACACTTCTCCAAACTGAGGAGATCGTAGACAAACCTTAGGACCGGCCGGAGGCTGTGGACTCGGAGGACTCGGAAGGTTACGAAGAGGCTTTCCCTTGACTGCTTTAGTATGGATCAAATTTCCGGGTCGAGCAAGTCGCTCTGCACACTGACCCGTCGTCGAGCGAACTTGTTGCCATACCGGGCAACGTCAAAGTTCTCATCAGTTTTCCTATGCGAAGTCAGTCAACATCGAGTGTGTAACCTTTGCGAGTTCACGTACGCAAGCTGCTCCAGCCACAATGCGATCTTGCCAACCGGGGTTTCATCGGCATTCCTGGCAAAGTATCAGTCTGAAGCTGTTGCGAACTCTTTTGACAGCGAGATGTCTACTCAGGCTCAGTCACGAAGATCGCGTTCTTCCAAACTCCGTCTAATACAAACTTGTATAAGCCACTAATCACTTGTTAGCAACCCACTTCTCTAATTGAGAATTTAATAAGAAGACTTGCCGCTCAGACAGATAGAAAACTTCATCGCCAAGTGGCCCATGCTTCCCGGTGGTGTAAGGGACGACTATTTCCGCATGTTAACAAGGGCATACATGAGGGGCTTAAAATGTCAAAACTCACTCTGCCCTGTGTGTTGATGGTACATGTGTCGATTCATCTTAGACAACGTTAGAGCTTAGTATCTACCAATTGCAGGGTTTGCACCACTAGCAATCAAGGAAGACAAAACCTACCGTCGGAGGATGTTGGAAAACCTTGCCACAAAGTGTGCCGTTACCATCGTCAAGAAAGCACCTAATCTAACTCAGTTCAAATTCGATCGTTTCTTATTTCTGAGACTTACACTCCACCCGTCGGCGCAACGAGGAAGGGCTGACTGAGCTTGTATTCCTCGACGATAGCTATTTGATATTAGTCTAGTAGGTTTTATCCCAGTAAAAGCTACTTACCAGCCACTTTTTCGTGAGTGCCTATTGTCGACTTCTTGATTCCAGCTAATTCGTACTCAGTCAGCTGGGTATGCCTTGCAGCCAGTCGTACAGATCCCACAGGGAAGTTTAAACGCGAGGTCCCTTAATGTTTACCATGGTATGCAAAGACGGCATGTGCCTTCAGATGAATCAAGACTGAGAATGAAACTACCATAGATACTTACGAGGAAGCACGAAGCGAGGATTTGCCTTTGGCCATGTTCCTAACCCGAGTTTAGCTAGAGGAGAGCGAGATGATAAAGCTTAGCTTACCTCCCATGATGCCGTAAATAGGGTGCGACTGGCGATCCTAAACTCGAGTTAGTTCGTCAAAGGAATAAAATGACTCCATGATGAACCATCCATACTGATGATTTCAGGCCCATGACCCATTCAGTTGGCCGATAATCAAACTTCATCTTTTATCCAAACCTCGGTAAAACTGTTAGAGATGGAGTCAGAGAAAATGCAAAGTCGGAACCTAAGAAATCTTTTTACCATCTTGCTCATTACCCCGCATTTTAAATTAGGCTCATTGCACCCTTACCTTGCATAGTGGTGCTTATTGGCCGTACATTTTAGTTACTAGCACGTTCCGGGTAAGTTCGGCTATAACTAGGCTGACATGTGATAGGTGATTACTCACCTAGGTAAGTAACTAGGTAAGACGGTCCTCTTGACTGATAGTAAAACATGCTCAAATTAGCTAGGAAGAATTATTGATTTAAAACTAGAGTTGCCTAAGGAATAGTATGGAGGAAGTAGCGAAGCTGCAATCCCGTGTCGTGGAGGTATGGAGGCCACTTGGGCTGACAAGATAAGCAGGGTATGCAGACCCACTGGTTGGTCCTGCGGGCGATCAGCCTATGGCCCTGACACTAAGAGCTTGGCATCAATGTCTGAACCGAGTTTGCACTCCGTTCAGACGTTGGGGTTCACACATTGGAGTTCAGACATTGGAGTCGAAACATTGTTCGCACTGAGTGCAAACCCCAAGCAAATATCGAGACACAGGACACAAATTGCATTTCTCAGCCGATGACTAACTGGGAAGAGAGCATGACTAGTATGACAGTATTTAGGGACCTTTTCTGCCCCTCCCGCCCTGCAGACTGGTAGGTAGTGTGACTACCTACCTGGGTTAAGTGGACTACTGAATGAAGGTGCAAAGGGGGGACTCGAGTCTTGTGTCACCGGAGTTAAACGTCCAACAATTATATTTCTAGAACAGCGAGGACCGTTGGCAAGCCGAAATTGTGTAGGGGCCAAAGGCATGGGCCGACTGGAGGCCGACATGGAAACAACGGTCGATCGACGTCGAGCGTTCCGGGTACATCTGGGCGATCTGGACTGAGCCATCAGTTGCCTGAGGTTCAGGGGACGTGACTGCAAGTTAAAAAAGGATATATACTGTTCCATGCGGACGGATGTCGTCGTCCTCGGCAAAGGTCAAGGCAAAGGCAAAGCATTTAAGTGCGATATATCCCAACCTTCCAGAGGATGTTAACCTCCCATGGCACTCCATCCTATGGGAGGAGCTCTTGAACTATCATGAGTTACTTTCATACAGGGAACCCTCTTTGAGATGATATTCTTAAGATAACCTTCTCATGACCTAGGAGTGAGTCTCTTTTGGTATGCTGCTCATCGTTTCATTTCTAGTTCTACATCATATGCTGAGAAGGCTGACAATGCACGCAGGACCTACAGGCAGCAAGCTTCTTGTCTAATAATACGATAACAGAAAGTCTTCACCCCCCCCTCGTGCCATCCTCATCCAACCTTGAACCATTACAATCTCTCTGCTTCCAGAAGCATGTCGGTGTACACCAGTTGTGTGCCCCTGTTGCTCGCTTGAAATCCAGAAGCGATTCCGCCAGTTCATGCGCCCGTTTCCTTGGCTTGCTTGTATCGCCGAGTGGCAACACTGAAGCTCCGTCTCATTCGAGCACTCGGGGAAGCACTGCCCCCGGTGTTCACCTTGGCCCTATCTGGGACCTCACGCCGGGATGCTAGAACACCAAGATGACTCTGTAGGAACCTCCGACTCGTTATCATTCTCGGGGCAGGTCGACTTCTCGCTCTCCCAGTCGAATCGGGGGTGTCTGAAATATCCGACCGGCGGCAGAACCGTGCCAGTCCCGAGCTCTTCTTGCGCCTGAGCGGGCGTGGGATCCTCTGGTTTCTGACCCGGCGTCTCCTCCCAGGGCGGGGGCAGCGTCGTGTCGTCTCCAGGCTCGGCCTCATTCTGGACATGATCCAGCCAGGTCTCGATGCCCACATGGTGAGGGGTACGTGTGCTGGGCCAAGGGGCCCAGCGACCATGGTAGGACCAAAGAGCCTTGGGAGGCTTGGGCTCTACTGGACCGCTGCTTGTGGGAGAGAACAGCCGATTGGCGTGCTTCTGTACCCGCGGCGTCATCTTCATGGTCACCAGACCCGGCCGGAGCTGCTGGCGCTGGGTAGCAAGAGCCTCCTCCTTCTCCTTCTCGAGTATTCGCACGCGGCGCCTGAGGTCGAGGACTTCGCAGGCGAGGTCCTTGTGTGTGGCTTTCATCGCCCAGGCCTTGTCCTCCCACTCGTGCTTCCGGGCTACGTACTTCTCATGCTCCCTGTCGTACCAGGCCTCTCTGGCCTCCGGGCCTGCACGTGCCGCATCGAAGATGTTGTCGTGCTCAAGTTTCTTCTGTCTTAGGGCCGGGCGAGAAGCCCTTGCCTCGTTAATATCAGCCCTGCCTCTGGGGTGCTTGCCAAGAACGCTGGTGGGACATGGCTTCGTGTTTGGCATCGATCTCTTCTCAGGCGTTTTTGTCTTTGGAGACGCTGTGGCTTTGGGGATGTTGAGGGGATCATCTGAAATCTTTTGCTGGCGACTGGGCTTGGGCCCCCCTCTAGCTTGGGGCATGGGCTGGAGTGCAGTGCGGCCGTCAGGACTGTGACTGCGAGTGGTCGTTGCTGAGGTTAGGTTTTGTGGAGCCACCACCGTATTGCCTGCAGCACCAGTTGCATCGGGTGAGGAAGGCAGTTCACCCGCGTAAGTTGGCGAATTCGATTCATGCTGGTTCTGGCTCTGTACAGCAGGTGGATGAGGAGTGGACGGGCCAGCAGCAATAGGCGGGCCAGCAGCAGGCGGGCTGGAAGCAGGTGGCGGAGAAGCAGGAGGACCAGAAGCGGAAAAGAAATTTGGCTCAGGGATCGTTGCCCAATCCTTGGTCAGCATTGCCTTGAAATGCTTGACAGCCTCCCAAGCCTCTCGAGCCAGGTCTCTCGCAGTGTGGTCACCCTTTGCCGAGGGCCCCAAGGTTCGCGCGTGGTCCATAACGTTCGCGGTGAATACCTGCAGGCACCTCTTGATTGCCATGGCCGAGAACTTTGAGAAGTGCGAGTCAGACCGGACAAGCGCGGCCTTTATCTCTTCAAAGACCTCGTCATGAAGATTGTCGATGCCCTTGTCACGCAAAATCTTCTCGCCGGAGGGTAGGCGCCATCGGAAGAACATGATAACCGCCTTGAAGACGAAACGCAGGCGGCGCGAGCTGTTGCGCGAGTCGGTGTTTGGAGTCGCCTTGTTCAGGCTCCTCGTGACGACCACGGGCTCCAGCATCATGTAGAGCTCGGGGTCTCGATCCATGTCGACCGTAGTGTTGCAGTGGAGCAGCCTGAAGCCGGGGATGCGAAGGTTCCCGTTGGCGTAACGGACAGCGATGCTGCCGGAGTCCTTCAGGATCTGCACGTCTACGGCGGCCATCTTATCTGTTGTTTGTAAGAAATCGCTGGGGAAAGCATTAGTAAAGTTCCACCCGTCGAATGTAAGAGTGCCAGAAGGGGAGGCAGGGGGTAGAGAAACAGAAAGCTGGCGCTGGGATCAAAGCAAAGATAAGCACCTCCCAAGGTGGGATGAATGAGGAGGGGCTCCTGTGGACCTTGGAAGGAACTATGGGGTGCCTGAATTGAAAGACATGGGTTACATACCTGGTGATGGAATGGCGAAAGCTTGTTTGCCGATCAGAGGATTGACGACCGCTTTTGGGGCCAAAAGTATCGGTTAAGCGTTGGAAAGTGGCCCACGCATTAATCTCAAGCTCCGAAGACCGAACTGCTGGGCGAGCAGGATGGTGTCGGCTGGGTGGGAGGTAAGCACTTCTGGATAAAGTGGTTGTCGGACAACATGCTGTGTTAGTTGAGGTTGAGCCAGCAATGGGGTCGGCGGTTTTACTTACGAGCTTCCCGTGGAAGAGAGTTGTTTATCGCACATAAGTGAGTTTGGCGAAAGTGAAGGCATCGCGACTTCCTTTCTGGTGAATGCTGGCTGCAGGTTGGCAGGGTGATGCTTGTGGACCTCACTTTGTCCAGATGACAGTGTCTGCTCAAGTCGTGCGGCTATAATCATTTTGAGTATTTTAGAGGAGAAATTTAATCGCACATCCCGAATTATGTTGCTACACAAAAAAGTAATTATCATGAAGATATGCGGGAAAGAACCTCGGCCTCACGCTAACACGCATAGTGTGAAATGGCGGCGCCGCTTGGAGAGCACTGGCCCGCACAAATTCGTTGAGAGATTGCTTCCGGACGCCTTGCTGAGGAAAATAAAATGGATACATCTGCATGAAAAGTTCCTTCTCTTTTTGGGAACACTCAGCGCGTTTCTATCTCGGCCGAGGAATTTTAAGAATACATACGTTGTCGATGTCCCTCCAGCTGTTTCGAGCGACCTTGGAAGAAATAAGACGAGCAGACTCGACATCGTACTCAAGAGGTGATATAGGAAGGAAAAGCTCCCCAGATAGAAGCGCCAACCATCTTTGATTGAGAAGAAAAGAAGGATATTTTCAATAGCAAGAAGATCGAAAGCCTGTTGACTTTCTGGTCGCATGTAACTCCTGGTCTCTGAAAGATAACAACTTAAGTAGCTTGGCAACAAAGTAGCGGCCATGAAAGCATCTGGTTGACTCCCTTGATGTTGCCCCTGCTGAGCCACCCAAACTTTGCCGACTAATTCTCCAGGTGACCTTCTTCAGCCAGTTATTGGCAAGCAACGCCGTGACGGCAAGCACAAGCAGCATGGGACGCTCTCTCAACCACTGTGTCCTCCAAAGCCTGGCATTCCCGGAAGCTTTCCCCAGCCCATGCGCAGATCCAAGCCATCCCAAACGGTGTAATACTTGTCAAGCAGTGGCGAGCCAACAACCCAAAGCCCAGTCGCATTGTAACGCAACTGGCTGTGCCTTGTTGGGCTATTGAACAGCGTCTGACATGTTCCCGGCAGACCTAGGAACTCGCCGAGGTTGAAATATTCCTTTGGGATGGTGAGGTTCAGAGCCTGGGCACCAGTCCCAAGAGTAAACGTCAGCTCAGGCGCCATGCTTGCAATCTGATCGCAGGGAGCGCCCCAGGCCCCAGTGTGATCTATCTGGGTGATGTTGGGAGAGATGTGGGCGTAGATGCTCTTCGAGACGATATGGCGAGGTGTCTGAATGAACGGTACAGCTGTGTCCAAAATTGCGTAGCTGAACGGGGCGGAGGCTGGAGAAAGGTCGGAGAGGTTGCCACTCAGAATCCTGCCGTTGGCATAGATGTTGGATAGGTCGATGACGTATGAAAAGAGGTCCCTGCTGGCAACAGCATTGAGGCTGGTCCAGGAGATGTTGCCCTCCACTTTGGACTCGTCCACTCCGCCGAGTGTGACCTGGCCACCGGCGAGATCGTGAGGCGGAGTGTACAAGGAGAATAGCGGAGACTCGAGCTGGTCATCCTCGAAGAGGTTCCAAAACCACGGGGTCTCATTGGTAAATGGGTTCCGGATTCCCATTCCCATGATGCCCGAGATTGGAGATCTGGCTGGTTGGTCCGGAAACCCCAGGTACTTATCGCACAAGGCAAAGTGCTGGCCATCAACCTTCAATTTGCCATAGCCGAGCGAGACGGTATCGTGCACAGACTTGCAGGTCACCTCCTCCGGCCGAAGCAACGGGATGGAGTCCGCACCTATGACAAAGGGGAAGGTTGCTTCCACTCCAGGGAGGCCAGAGAATGTGTTGGACTTGTCGGGGTCGAAGAGCGTGAGGTTGGGGCAGGTGGTGCAATTACTCCGCGGAAGGAAAAGCAGATTCGTTCCGGTGTCCAACAGCGCAGTTCTAGCGGGATCGACAAGTTGACTGTTAGCTCTTTGAACACGGCAGTTCGGCAGCCTCGTTTTTTGGGGAGCAGAAGACGCACAGTTCCTGGGGAGGGGTGCCGATGGAGAAGGTCGTGTACCACTAGCCAGGAGATCAGCCAGCTGCTATCGCGGCAAGAAAGGAATGCTTCAGCTGCGAGGCTTACCTGGTTGTCTGTTCGGCTGAACCAGTCCGTAACGGGCACGTCGACGCCGGCGGTGTCAGGCGCACGTGAGTGGAGTTTGAGAGTGATGGAAGATGCTGACACCGAGGCAACCACCGAGGCAAACACCGCCATAAATGCCGGTAGCGACAACAACATCGTTTCAACCTGCTGTGCACTTTTGTGTCTTCAATTTTGGCGATTATGTGCCGGTCGTAAGTGGGAGAGTGGTTTTGACACTGAAGCGGACTGTGTCAAAACCAAGCATGGAAGCAGCAGCTAGAGCACCACTTCCGAGTTAGGCAAACATTCGTCAGGGTGGTCCAACGGGCAACCGTTGCAATGTTTGCGACCTCCCATCTAAGTACCAGGGGCATTCACTGACCACACAGGACTCCAGCCAGCGACAATGATGTAATGGACCGACGGCTCGGCTGATGCCTTCCTCTTGTTATCCTGGAAGACTGCCCAAATGGCATCCGTTCGCTGCAACTGCGGTCCTGGACTTGTCCGGGAAACCGTGCCCCAGGTTGCACAGACTGAGCCCATGATTGCATGGCACCGATTGTTCGCCATTGGTTCGTAGCTCTCTTCTCCTCATTGCCTCATGTTTTGCCGAGCTCGACCACTTGAGGCTTTCCAACGAGATACAGGAGAGCGGCGGCAAGTTGGGAGGAACCTTGGAAGTAGAGCGCTTTACAGCGGACCGAAGAAGGTCATTGGAGCTAATTCTGTATGATATTCGGCAACGCAGTATTTGAATCATGCCCAGCCCGAGCCGTCAAACTCGCGTTCGTCTTCATGCAGTCAGCTCATAAAAACAAACGTCCTTCAAGCCTACCCTGGGGCCAACCACAAATGTCAGAACAACTTCTGTCTCCCGATCGTGTCTGCCTGGAACTTTAATCGTGTTAGGCTCTAGCTTAATCATCATTCATTCTGGTATTTCCAAGCGTAGATAGCTACTCACTCAACCCCGGGCCCGTTTAGATCTGCCGAGGTTTGCACAAGTCGTGCGTCAGCATCCTGGCCTTGGCGCCGGCGAACCGTCGGGAGTAGACACCGGTGACGGCTGACAGGTTACATGAGAGCAGAAATGTTGCTGGACTAACACGCATAATGATCCCCAGCAACAGTGACATTGTGACATCACGCTGCAGGCCAAGATGTCGAAAAATAAACCCAGGGTCACGGTCCAGTGGGGAGATGTGAGATGTGAGAAGGCGGAGGCCACAGAGAGTGCCGCCTTTCCCGGGTATAAAGTTGAGTTCCCCATGGCACTGAGACTAGCATTCAAAGCGTGCGTGCCGTACATTAGACATATCCATAGATATAGTCAAGCGAAACTCGAGGCCACCATGGCATTTCTCTCTGCCACTGCGCTGCTTTACGCCACCGCAGCATTGATTATTTATCATGTGGTCTCATCCTATCTCACCCATCGTCAACTTCAACGCTTCGCAAAGACCAATAATGCGTCTTTCGCTAAGCATGTTCCCACAAAGCTACCGTTCGGGATCGACTTTGTTTGGCGCACAGTCTCGACTGTCAGTAATGGCGGCGACCTTCTGGATGATGTCTACGGGCCATTGTATGCGGCCAACGGCACGACCTTCTCAATGCCAAGCATTGGTAGCACTGCGGAGATGTTTACCATCGACCCAGCCAATATTCAAGCCATTCTTGCCACGAAGTTCCAAGATTTCCCCATCGGTGAGAAGCGGAACAGCGCGTTCAGGTTGTTGTTGGGAGATAGCATTCTTACCACGGACGGAGCCTTTTGGGAACACTCGCGGGCGCTGTTCCGGCCGCAGTTCTCACGAGAACAGATAAGCGATCTGGGAAAGACCGAGGCTTCTGTTCAAGCCTTGTTCGAGGCCCTGCCGCTAGTCGGCACCGAACACAACGGCTCGGTCGAAGTCGATATCATGCCGATCATTTTCCGCTTTACCCTTGATACTTCTACCGATTTCCTGTTCGGCGAGAGCGTTGATTCGCAGAGGACTGCAGCCGTGGGTGTGACATCGATGACGAGCGCAACAGCTGCGATGGCAGCTGATCAGGGCAGCAATGAGATGACATTTGCTGAAGCGTTTCACGAGGCACCGCTTTGGATCTTGACGCGTGTAAGACTTCAGGGATTGTACTGGCTTGCGCCAAGCAAGAAAGGAAAGAAGGCCGCGGAATACTTGAGGCGATATACAGACCACTACGTGCGGTTGGCTAAAGCGGAGGTAGGGAAGGATAAGCATGGCCTGCTAAACACACTCGTAGAACAAACGAGGGACGAAGTCGAACTGCGAGACCAGATCCTCGCAATGCTGGTTGCAGGAAGAGATACCACGGCTACGCTGCTATCCTGGGTCATTTTGCTTCTCGCTCAGCATCCCGAGGCCTTCAGGCGGCTGCGTCAGGAGGTCATTCGGGACTTCGGCGAGTACACGACAGACCCTTGGAACATCAACTTCAGCACGCTCAAGGCGTGCAAGTACCTCCAGTTCGTGCTCCGCGAGACGCTCCGAGTCTACGATTCCGTCCCGATCAATGCTCGCGTCGCGGCAAGAGACACGGTGCTTCCACGAGGCGGCGGCGCGGACGGGTCGCTGCCGATCGTTGTGCAGAAAGGGCAGACGGTCAATTTTGTGCCTTACCTGCTCCACCGGCGAGAGGACATGTGGGATGCTGCCACGGAATTCCGGCCCGAAAGATGGGAAGGGGTGAAGTTGGACTGGACCTACATCCCGTTCAGTGGGGGCCCCAGGATCTGCCTTGGGCGTAAGCTACTGCCCTCGACAGTTGAAAGGGATTACAGAACTCGTCTAACTTTTACAGAACAATTTGCACTTACCGAGGCAGGATACCTCCTTGCCAGGCTCACACAGAAGTTCGAACGGATAGACTGGTTGGGGCCACCAGGGAAGCCAAAGAAAGATGTGCTGTTTACACTGTCGCCAAGGGACGGTGTTCATATCAGACTACACTATGCTCATTCGTAGAGCCCGAGGTTCTCATATCCGTCAATACTGTCTGCTTGTATAAATGGATCTATACCCTCATCAGCAATCTTAGAGAATCAGCTTGGGAGTAGTTATCTCTATAGAAGGGAACGCAACTTGGCTGGCAATTTGAGAGTCATCCCAGCCTGATCTATACTATCAGCTGATCTGGTCACAAAGTCTCCTAGAATGATGACTAGCTGTCCTTACTTTTTCAGACTTAAATACAAGAGCTTGAGATATCAGAACAGAGAGCCCTATTTGCAGTAGACTTGTCGGGGGCCCATAAAGGGCTGAAAGTGCTTTGATCCTTACACCCCAGTTGAGTCTTTCGAGTAAACATCACCAACAAGAAGGGAGGTTGCCATGAGGCCACACAGGCCGAAAGGTTTGAATCATGACGTAATAGCCTGCTCACTCACTGAAGAGCTGCACGCCTAGGTGCTTGCACCGTGCACCTTGTCTGATATCAGGAGGCAGGCAGTGATCCCATTCACCCATCGCATGCATTTCCAGGCAGGCGGTCGAAAATCGGACGCGGCTTGTAGAGGCGGCAGAAAATACTGTCCACAAGTACTTAAACCCCGACCGCAGAGCCAGTTTCTCCCTCTCTTCCTTCCATCATCCAGCATCTCATCTCATTCTCTCTTCCAAGATCTGCCATGAATCTTCTCAACCAGCCTTCAGATGTCCTTCAATAATACAACTTTACAAAACAAATCTCAACAACCAAGAACATCCAATCCTTCTTGGACATCAAGCACCACAACTCTTTCAGTCCTTCCTCATAACACACACCACAATGAAGCCCCCTCTAGGTGGTGTTGACCTGTGTCAACTGGCGCCATAAACAAACACACACAGACATCATCGCGCCCTCACAGAGCTTGAACCATGCGGACCATCATCCACCAAGAACAACATCAAACACCCCACACTACACTCCCACCTGAGCACCAGCTTCTCCAATGCCAACCGACCAATGCAAGCTGGCAACATCAACATCCTCAAGAACTTCACCAAAATCCTACCTGTCAACAGAAAGGTCAGCTCACCCCTCCTTACCCCGCAATAGAGCTCTTGCTAACATGTGACAGCAGCCCACCCAAGCCCGATGCACCCAGCTAGGACCGATGACTTACACAGCTGCTCCAGGGCTGTCATCGGCCTCTAAAGACGAGCCACAACCAACCATCCTCTCCCCATGGGTCTTCTATTTACACAAAACTTCAGCACACCACACTCGGCGACCAGAGGGCCGCCCAATAATTCCCACCGCTCTCCACATCCAGGATCAGTGAGATCCGTACAGAGGTCACACATTGCCCTCCAGAACCAGTTGTCACAGAGATCTTAGAGAAGTTCATGCAATTCCAGCAATTCCAGCAATTCCAGCAATTCCACCAGTGTCCACACACCAGAAGCGTAAGCGCAACCAGAGGGCTGCCTTCTTCTCTTCTCTTGTGAGAAAGGCTGATCCACATCAACATCGACATCGGCCAGGACTTGGGTGTGACGAACCACTTTGCGGAAACGGCGGGGACCATCACTGTTCCGGGCCTAGAGAGGCCCCACAACAACGCTGGACACCCGCTGGGACGGCGAAGAGGGAGACATGGGACCCTTCTCTGCCGTGGCTTGGTAGTACCGCTGGGACGGTGGGGAGGGAGACATCGGATCTTTCTCTGCCGTTGCTGAGGTGATACCACTAGGGCGGTGAAGAGGGAGACATCGGATGTTTCTCTCCCGTGGCTGGGACGGTGAAGAGGGAGACATCGGATGTTTCTCTCCCGCGGCTGGGACGGTGAAGAGGGAGACATCGGATGTTTCTCTCCCGCGGCTGGGACGGTGAAGAGGGAGACATCGGATCCTTTCTCAATTTCAGCTTTCCACACTCTACTGGTGGTTTCCTCTTCCCCCAGGCCTAGAGAGGCCTCAAAAGTTTGGACACCCCAGCAGTGTTTGGCTTGCGGTACCGGCGGGGCGGTGAGGAGGGAGACATCCGGATGACCCTGTCCTCCTTGGCTACGTGCTTCCTGTCTTCCGAGCAACAACACCCAGGCAAGCGCGAGTCCGCGAGAGTGAACAGGCGTTCCCTACCAGGGAGCAGGAGAAGGAGGAGTACCCGAGGCGTGGAGCGGCAACAACAACAACCACAACAACGACGCCGCCGGCTAGCGACTGGCCCTTCAAGCTACCTGTGGGCCCGCCGCCGCCGCAGATGCTGCCGCCACCAACGCTGCCCCAGCTTCTGCCCCAGCTTCTGGTGCCCCTGCTCTTGCTGGAGACCCTACACGTCCAGTACCTGCTCCTGCTGGAGACCCTACACGTCCAGTACCTGCTCCTGCTGGAGACCCTGCACGCCCAGTACCTGCTGCTCCTGGTCCTTCTCCTGTTCCAGCCCTTGCTGCTCCAGTCACACCGCAGCATGTAGCTGATGTTCCGACAAGACTCCTGGCTCACTTCGACCTCCGTCTCGCCTTGCTTCAAACCCCTTCTGTCCGATCAAGACCTGCCTTCCGTGGTCAATAATCGACGACAGGGATATCCTGAGCCAGTCTGGTATGCACAGAGGCGCATACTGCAATGACTCCCTTGGGTTGTCCCTGGTGAGATAGAGACGACAGATGAGCTCGGCCACGCCCCTTCCTACTCACATCACCACATCCAGGCCTTGTTCTGGGTCGTGGTGGCATGCAAGACCTTGGGCGCTCGCAGCTGGGTCCCCAGGCGCTTTCGGCGCTCTGGGATCACCCTCCAGGGCTACACCAGCGGAAGAGGGCACGGAGAACATTGCCCTTGCCCTCGCTAAGACATCATTGTCTGCCCCCCTCGAGAGAGCGGCCTCCGAAGAGTCTGAGTCGTCTGAGTACCAGCCACGCCGAGGACGCAAGTCTGGTTCTCAACTCGTGGTCCGGAAGCGCGCCGTCGGCACTCAGAGGACTCGTGTCCAGGCCAAACCCAGAGAGAAGCCGGCACGTCCTTCTCACGTCGTGGTGCTAGGAGCGCCGCCCCAGGCGGCCCTTGCGACAACATAGGAGAAAAATGGAAATATTACCTGAAACTTCACACTTCTGGTGACTCTATGACGTGACACGCAGTAGTTTGCCCATCGGCCATGACACACATGGACCACAGTAGACATGACCTGACCTGCCAGCGGCCCAAGATTGATTTCGCCCATCAAGTAGTCCGTAATCTCCCGACTAATCCGAGGCATCCTAGCACAGTCCATAATGAATGATCCGAAAGGCCACGACCACGATCACTCCCACTACGACAGCCACCAGTCCGAGGTTGACGCGCTGTCGGTCGAGCTCGCCAGCCTCAGGGCTCGAGCATTAACGCGACAGCGCGGTAGAAGCTCCCGAGGACGAGATCCTAGCTCTGGCCAACGGAGCTTGGTCACCCTTTGCACGTGTCAGCATTGATGGATGAACGAGTACCACTCCGTAAAGGGCCGTCTTGGTTCCTGTAAGCACACTTGAACGGAATGCAGCCCAACTTGAGAATGCCTCGTTCGGCTCAGGTGGCAACCATAGCCTGACGAAGTGATGGTATGCTCCTAGGTCCGCTGGAAGAACCAGATGTGTCAGTCGCACCCGCCTGGCCACCTCGCTGGTGCCTAAGTACCTCCTGTAGCGAACTTTGCTAGTGACCCTCCGAGGGATCATACATATCAGCAGCAGTTTCAGTTGTATTACAACCTTCGATCTCCTCCTGCTGTAGAACTGCCGGCCCGAGATCAGCAACGGCTAGAAACAAAATCAAGATGGAGTTGAAGGCCGCCCGGATTGCAGCTCCTAACCAGGGGCCACTTGTCTCCCGAGGTCGGCCACATGTGCCATCCTCGAGCGGAAGCTGGTGACCCCCCACAAAACCACCGCTGTCAGCATCCCGTGCCGCCCCAAATCAAAGTGTCTGGAGACCGCCACATTTTCAGACGAGCCCTTCACCACTTCAGATTAGATACGGATAGATCGGGTCAGGTGCTGCTCCAGGAGTTGCTTTCTATGTACCGCAACCCGAAGGCGTCGGAGGCTGGGAGCGGGGGGGGGGGGCGATAACCTGGCCAACATCTCCCACATCATCGAGGGAAGAGTTCACTGGGATATCAACTCGCCACCGACCGCATGATGCAGCTGTTCTTCAATCTACCGGCTTAACTCGCGCAGCAATCCTGAGATGCTAGCAAAGCTGCCAGAGGGGTCGAGCAGGTCATCAGAGAAAGGGCCGGAGGGAGGGGAAGAATTTGAATCTGTAGATGATCTCGCCGGCGGAAGGATTTCGTTTGCAGGCACGAGAGAAGATCTAAATTGACGGAAAGAGGGCTTCAATCCAGTTTTGTCAGACGTATTGCTTCAAATAAACTAAATGATAAATTTGAGCCACTTATCAAGGCTCCAGGTATCTCAAAAAATAAACATGCAGGGCAGTGTAGAATCCACGATCTTGACCTGCCAAAGACCATTTTGGTGTATGATGATGAGTTTAAAACCAAAGCTGTTATTTTGTGCAAGGCATATATATCATATACATTTGGAATCATGAGTATGTACACATGAAGTTAAAAATATGGGGCAGCTGTACATCTGCCGAAGCTGTTGACCAGGATCAAGTCATCCCTACTAGACGGCTCACCACCGCTCTCCCGCTCCACAACCGCGCCTGCCCACTCCACCCTCCCAGCGTGCGACCGTCGCCCGGTCTACTTGTGGACGCCCTGTCCGTTGCAGAAGGGCACGGGGTACTCGGTGCTGTTGCAAAGCAGGATGGGCCCCCGGACCCAGGACATGCCGTTGTAATCTTGGCTGTCGTACGAGTCGGCGGTGAAGGGCTCGTACTTGGGGGAGTCGGTGCAGCCCGTGACGTAGTTACCCGTGATGCGGCGGACCAGGGGCTGGCTGACGACGAGGCCGTTCTGTCCTGGGGGAACCCAGAAGTTGAAGGTCTCGGAGTCGGTTGTCGTCCAGGTGGTGGTGTAGGTGATGGAGAAGGACATCTTCAGGACGGCTGGGATGATCGTGTATGAGACACTCTCCGTGATCTGTTGGCAGGGGTGGTTAGCCTTACTCCCTGGGGGCGCTTCAATGTTGGTGAGCATGAGTGGAACTTACGGAGATACTGTTGCCAATCTCGTAGCCCTTGGAGACGGAGACGAGGGCCGTTTCTGAGCCGGTGTTGGCGATAACCGGCGACATGGCAACATCCCAGTTGTTGAAGCTGGTGTCGGAGGTCACCTGGACCTCGGTGGTCTCATCGCAGCGCCTGTCGAGGGCGCCCGCGGCTGGAAGGGATGGAGGTGCATATCCTGCCCTCTTGTTGAGCATCTCCCGCTTCGACTCCTGGATGCCATACTCCCAGGTCTTCATGACCGAAAACGATTTGCCATCATCGCTTGGCACAATAACGTCGTCGAAAGAGAGGATCTTTGGCGTTGCTGCAGCCTGGGCGGCGCCCAGGAGGGACAGAAGAGCAAGTGGCGTGAAGTGCATATTGAGGACGGCTTGTTTGGTGTTTTAATTCTCAGTCAAGGCGATGGGGGCGGAAAGTATCAGGGGGCTCCCGGCCGGAAGAAAAGCTTCGAGAGCGATTGGGTTCGAGCAAAAAATGAGTGACGGAAGAGCACACAGCACACACAGACTTCGCACGGAAGGAAAAAGAATGAAAGGTATCCGAAAATGGCAGTTGGCTTACGAAACAGATTAGCTGCCATCCGAGCTCAGCCCTGGAGGGCTGAACATAGAGTATTTAAGCTTGGTTATTATCGCGGGCCACCGCTGGGCCGGCGTTCTCCAAGAGGCCGGTTCGCAGCATCACGCGCATGACGGGACTGATAGAGATCTAAATCCGGAGATGAGGTGGGCTGCCCGGCGAGCCTTGCTTCTCCGCCGCTGCGGTGCGGCTCCGAGTCATGACCCTGTGCTGTTGACGGCTGTGCAGTGGGAGCACTCCTGTTTCAGACGGTGGGAATACCGGCCGTCTGGGGAAACATGGACCAGGTGTGGATACGATAAGATGAACATGGATCGAGCTGCTGGATACCACGGCCTCTTGGCCAGGGCCATTAGATATAAAGCTTGACTCGCCCGTGGGCGATCCTGTAAACACCGGCACCACAGGGATGCCTGCGGTCAGCCGCCGCAGCTGGCGCATGACTATTTTGGACGTTAAGCTCAGGAACTCCCAAGCAAAACGTTTCGAGCGCATTGAGTTCGCTCGCCCCTCGGTTCGTCCCGAACTGCGGCGCTGATAGGCCGTGGCCAGGGCCAGCGTCATGCAGAGAGCTGTACCTTGCAGCTGACAGCTAGCTGTGCCCAACATGAATGGGATGATCGCGAGGTGGTTCTGACAACTTCTCGAAGGCAGCTGCAGCTGGGCAACCCTGCAGCCGTGCTATCCGCCGGTTGGTCTGAACAAGGAAAGGTGAACATGGCCTCGTGGCACCTTGAAGGACTGGCGATCGTGTCTACCTTCTAAATTATTCGATGCGTGCAATAGTGGTGACATGAGACAAGTGTAGTGCAACGTGTATGCCCGGCAGAGACGGGTTCCCACTTGGGCACATTCCTGCATGTGAGGCCCTCCAATCGTAGCCGGGCATCTAGAAATAGAACATCGTGCAAAGCTCTTTGTGCCTTGCCAAATCGCTGCGTCGATTTATTTCGATGCCATAGTCTGGATGGCCGCTGCCGCTGGACCCAGCAAGAGCATCTGAGTTCGTTATGGCTCCGGGGGGTGGGGCAAGGTCCATGACTGGCGTAGTAGCGACGGAATGCATCATGTGCTGGGCCAACGACTCATATGCACGCGTGGCAGCGGGGACTGATCCCTGGGTCGTTAACAAGCCGAGATAGCCCTGACCTGAGGGCTGTGGTGATGCGCTGCCCATCTTGCCCAATCCATGAAGACAGCCTGACTCGAGGTTGAGCGGTGACTGGCCTGCAACCCTGCTCGTCCATCCTCCCGTGCAGCGATAAGCAAGATGGGAGTTCTGGACTTCCAAGCTCTCCACGGTCAGCGAGCGCTCCCTGCAATTTAATCAGCCAAGCTTCATTGAACAATTACGGCCGATGCTTGAGATGGATTGTAGCCGGGCTGAATGGCCCAGCCACGCCGCGACAAAAGTGACGGTTGTAGACACCTCTTACTGCAACAGACATGGGACACAGCCTTTCCAGTCTGATTCATTGCCTGAAGCCGAAGCCGCGGGCGAGACTTCTCGCCGCCACTGCTCTCCTACTCGAACCAACTGCTGGACAAAAGCTAGCTGAGAGATGTGGAAAGTTCGAATGTGGTCCGCCCAAGACTGTGCAGTTGCCGCTGAGGTTCTTGCGGCCCACGATGACGGCGTTGAAACCAACAAATAGCCTCGGGTTTAAGCATATTGTCGTTCGGCCATGCCATTGAAGTGCGGCGTCTCAGTGGACCCGGCCGGTCTGTCATCGCAAAAGGGCCGCGCGAATCATGCAGCCGTCGCCGAAGTGGAGAGGACGATGCTCGGCCCAATCTCGGGACGGCTCCAGTGTCGTGAGCTCCGTTGCCTGCTAGACTTCTGCAGTCCGCGGCGTAAAGTAGAAGCTCACGATTCCTGCGCACCAGGCATACTTGGCACAAACCTTGGACGACACGCCAGTTCGTCCGCTCCGTCGGACGGGACTTGACTTGCGGCTGACTTGGCCGGCGTCGAACGGCGTGTCGGCAGCCGTGGCTGCTGAATGTTCGCCATGGATTCCGGTCCTCAGATCGACTGAGCCTCGCACGGGTGGTGAACTTGTGACGCGTGTAGGTAATCAGAGTCCGCGGCGAGTTGCGTGGTCGCGGCATTGCCTCTGGAGAATTCGAACCAGTTAGCAAATATAAAATCTTCGGGAGCCGCACATCTCTGGTGGGGACATTGGAAAGGGCGGCAAGAAAGAACTGCTCTTCGGGCCAGCTAAGTGTGAGAATGGCCCTTGGCTGACAGTCCAGCACGTCTGCCGCCCGGCACGTGATCAGAAGATCCGTCTTTTAGCCCGGAACATGGCACCTCCTTTCGGGTCTCCATCTTTCGACGGGCTTGATCCGGCGGCAGTCCCGTTCCCATATTTCCCGTCTCATCCTTGATTCTTCTTAAGAATGCCATTTGTTTACTGGAGTTGCTCGGGAGCCCATGGCTGGACCGGTCTTCCAATTGTGTGTTCTTCGGGCTCGGCAGATGGGCATTCAAGTGTTGCTCTTTCTCGGCTGCCGGTGTGGTCTTTCGGCTCGGCTCTCGTTGTGGGTGTGTAGCATGACCGCTAAGTTGCAGTCCCTTCCATAGTTCCTCCTGTTTCCTGCACATAGTCTTCATTGCTTGCACATATAGTCCCCTTATAGTCTTCATGCCTTAGTTGCATCCTCCTCTTTGTAGTGTCTCGCCCTTTCTTGGGTCCTTCTCTCACTTGAAGTATCCGTCTCTTGCTTGTAGTATCCTTCTCTTGCTTGTAGTATCCTTCTCTTGCTTGTAGTATCCTTCTCTTGCTTGTAGTATCCTTCTCTCACTTGAAGTATCCGTCTCTTGCTTGTAGTGTCCTTCTCTTGCTTGTAGTATCCTTCTCTTGCTTGTAGTATCCTTCTCTCACTTGTAGTATCCGTCTCTTGCTTGTAGTATCCTTCTCTTGCTTATAGTATCCTTCTCTTGCTTGTAGTGTCCTTCTCTTGCTTACATCCGCTCTTTGTTGTGTATGTGTCTTCAGTGTACCCCCTCTGGCATGCTTCCCAAGGTCTGCTCTCGACTCGCTCCGTTCGGTGGTTGTATTCTTCCTTGTCCCTTCAGTCTCAGTCTGCTGTCTGACTCTGGGTCTTGCTTATATCCTTCTCTTACTTTTTGTATCCTCCTCTTTTTTTGTATCCTCTGCTTTTTTATGTCCGCCTCTTTCTGAAAACTTCATCTGCCGGAAGCTTGAGAGTTCCGGCTTGCCGTGGCAACATCCCTGACCAATGACACAAGGCTGGAGAACCTCATCGATCTCATTGCAGTGCCCCTTCTTTCAGCCGGTTTCTCTCATCGGCTCGGATAGCCTTTCAGTCCATGTCCCGGGATGACGGGGTTGGATATTCTCGAAATGGCATCGGGCCAGCCGCGAATGGTGCCACCTGGTTACCGAGGTAACCCATATGGACTTGAATGAGTATTCTTGACGAGAGAAAGGCCTATCTCACTAGTAGTCCATCTTGACGACAAAGTATGTGTTGTGGTGGAGAAACTCGGTGTCTCAAGCGGATGCCATCCTGTTGGATGTCAGATAATTGCCAATCTTGATAGTAAATGGACCTGGGCAGGCCAGATGACAACGATTCTCTCTCTGGAGTCTTTCTGCTGACCTGATTTCTTGTCGGGACCGGTCCATAGTTGTCACACATCCTGTGAGATCGCCCCGACGACCTGCATCTGCGTGATTGCCGGCTGCCACACCAGGCCTGGCCTTGTGCCTTGTGGGAATAGTTCTGAACTGGGCGGGATAGAAAGAAAGAAACAGAAACCAGAAAGGAAGAAGAAGTTGGTAAAGGAATGAACTCTACCAGCGAGTGCCTCCTGGGTGGGAACACAGAATGGACGGCCTGTTGCCAGTCGATGGAGACCCGCTTGCAGGCGAGCATGCCTGCCGACAAGGCTACCGACCCAGGTACCTAGGTACACTTCCCCGACTAACAAGGCTGCCCCGCTATTCCGCTTATCGACGATAACGATAAGCTTGTTGTTGCCGATAAGGCTGAGGGGCAGCACTCCACCAATGCATTTTCCAACCACAGACACATCTCGACAGTGATCCTCCATGCACGCACAATGTGCTTGTCAGTTCTACGACTTTTTGTCCCCCACCAATCCCAGGGTGAAGATTACAAGTTGAGCTCTGGCCAGAATAACATTGAATACATAGAGACACATCTGATGGATTTCTCCACTTGCCAAGATTATCACGTGTGGGTCAGGGGCCATGGGTATCACTTTGTCATAATGTTCCTATCACACTTTGCACGATGAGGGTCATAGAGTCATATGCATGAGGCTTTGTTTTGGACTGGTATGCTATCCCATTGCTTCTCCTCCCCCTCCTTGCTCTCCGTGATAGCGGGGCATCCTGTCCGGCCGTGGCAGCCACATGCTTGTCTGGCTCACCCCATAGTTTCGATCGTCGCTAAGATTGTAGGTGCTGTTCCAGGCAGAGTTAGCAAATCTGGACGATGGCTGCAGAGATCACTGATGGTCTTACCTTGCGATGATCGAGACGAGCTTGCCTACTCCCGGGGAGAGCGGCCGTCCTTGTCCTCCTCGGACTTCTTCACCTTGGCCTGAAGGAATTGCCACTGGCTGGTGACGTTGCTTCCAATGCGAGAGGCCTCAGCCTCAGCAGCTTGGTTGGCTTGATCTTTGGCCGCCTTCTCTTTGGCGTTGATGGTGTCGTAGTCTCGCTTGGCCATTGAGACATATTTCTCCACGTTAGGGTTTGCCCTAGCCTTGTTGGGGATCTCCGGTAGGCCCTCAATGAAGAGAGGGCAAGAAGGGTTGTTGCAGTCCATTCCCAATTTCTTCATGTCCACGACGGTGGCAAGAATGAATGCTTCGGTTGTGCCCACGGTGTTGTGGACGGTCAGCTCCGTCGAACAGCCCGGGCAGATGATGCGCGGACGAGGCGGGGTGATGGGGTTCTCCTCCATGGGAGGGCCATCCTTCTTAGGAGTCTTGTTGGCAGAAGACATCGTGATTTCTTCTTGAGATTGGGTGTGATGGAGTCAGAGAAGCTTGGTAAAGAGACCTCAGGAGTGAAGGTGGTGTGGTTGAGGTTGTGGGTTGAGCGATGGTTGTTCAGAACGATTTGACTTGGGTTTAAGTACTTGGGTAGGCAGTTGAATTCGGCTGCAGCTGGCAGGGTGAATGGGAGCTCTGAAGTGTGGTCCAACTTGCCAGCGTATTGTTGCTGCCAAAAACCGGACTCAATTCAAAAACAGAACATCAGCCGACCCAGTCAGCGCTGTGAAAAATTTGCACCAGAAGACCGGACGGAGAATGTGAATAAGAGTACAAGGTACAAAGAGTCGTCGTTTGTGGAGTTTGGAATTGCTGGAATCTATCACTGGACATCAATCACACACTGTCGCTATTGTGCCCTGGGTGAGAATCCTCTTGAATGTAGATACTCTACAGTAAACAGAGAAACGGTCGAATGATCGCTAGATACCATACGCATCCATAGTTCTGAATAGCTCGCAAAAGGTTCAGCGCGAATTGCAAGTTCTCTACTCATCCATTAAACGTATCGCGCCGCTCGATAAGCCCAAACACCAGAGTGTCACTCGCAGAAACGTCCGCAACCCAAATCATGCGAGCCGGACAGAAGAGAAAAAGTCCAGACAAAAGTCGAAATGAGCCACAAGCACAAGAAGCCCGCGAAGCCCTCAGTCGCCAACGGCGGCCGCCATCGCTGGTATGCCGGGAATACATCGTGATACCACCAGCCGCAGTTCTATGCTGACAGAACTTGACATCCAGTCCCGACTGCAGGAAAATACCCATCGCGTCCTGCTTCGGCCACCATCTCTTCATGTGCAAAAGTCATCCTTCAATCTGCTACACCAAGTTCAATCCCTGCCAGCTTTGCGAGGGAGAGAGCCGCCGACGGGCCAGAGCCGAGAAGATCCAGGCAGCCGAGGCCAAGGCGGAACTAGAAAGGCGAAAGGCGCAGCAGAAGGAGGAGGCGCGCCAGAAGCTGGACCGCAAGCTGAAGTGGACGGACTCTCAGAGGGCGGCAAGGCTGACGGCCATGGGTGAAAAGTCGGGTTAGCGGGTGGGAGGATATGACAGAGCTTCTCTGCTAGAATCAAGCTGGCTACAGGAGGGTCTCCGCCCAACAAACGCTCAAGTGCTCCCAGTGATCTTCGTTTCCAAGGCTTCTTCCCTGTCCGTGCGATTCAGTGGCCATGGGGGCCAGAAGATTGAATGAATCTGAAAGTCTGTTGTAAAATTGGCTTAATCCGTTTCCCATGGTCTTCACCCCGTAAACATCTTTGGTGGTCTGCCTTCGCTTTTTTTGTGTGTAATTACACAGTCGTAGCTCCCTGAGATTGGAGTTCCGGACTCTGTTTACCTTCCGCCATTCTCCGACAGACGCCATGTTACGGCGAAATGCACATTCCGTTCATGTACCCCATCAAGTCTCCCGAGAAGCGTGCTGTTTTACTGGATTCTGCCCGAGGCTGCCTGTGGGCTGCTCAACTTTGACCGATTTTGCATCAGAAAATCCCGTATCCTCACTTCCACGCCTTCCCCTTCCACCGCTCTTCGAACACAAACGCTGCCCATTGGGATCTCTTCGCGAGCAACGACGCAAGCCTTCCTCGTTGTACTCCCGTCCTATCTGCTTCGCCGTGGCTCTCCTTCCAGGTTCTGCTCGCATGCTAACCACCGCGTTGACTGCTTCATCGTGAGATGCTTCTGTTCGCGATCTCAAGTGCTGTCCCTCGGTTCTTCGGGCCATATTCAAACAGCTCTGTGGACACCAGCATGCCTTTCTGCAAACCTCTTATCATTGTGTCGACTGCTAAGTCGAGCCTCATTCTGTCCGCGCCCTCCTCTTGGACTCCTTCGCCCACTCCCATCGTCAACAGAGCGAAATTCACCTCAAGTGATCTGCTCCTATGTTTATTTCCTCCCTCTGCACTCACATGGCGTTCCCGACACGCTGCTCAAACACCATCGTTTGCTCTCCGTCATCCGCTCGCAATCTTCCGCCGTCGTTCTCCCATTCGATACTTTCCGGGCCTCTACTACTGCTTTGCTCCTCTCTGTATTAACTGCCCCAAACCGCCTGCCCTACGCTCGGTGGGGAGATTCGTCCGATTGGGATCTCCACCCATTCGTCCGGTCGGGATCTCGATCCAAAGCCCTGTCCCCCTTCCCACCCGTCCCGCTGCCGGCGTCTGTGTTCTTTCTTGGCCCTTAACATGGCCAGGGAGGGGCCTGCTGAGTAGTAAGTGGTCATCGAGGGCCGCAAGATTGTGGCTGCGAGGGAAGCAATGGCAAGGAGAAGGCCTCTGTGGGCTTCTAAACCACCGCTGTACGCAGAACGAGCTTCGGACTCAACAAAAGGGTGTCCATCGAGATTCCCATTTACTGGTTCTGGATGCGCCGCTTCGCCAGTGGAGGTGGCTCCCCTTTATCCCCCAGCAATGCCTCGCCATGGACGGCCTGAGCCTTCGGTGGTGTTGGGCGTCCCGTCTCCGTGACGGGATTCGATAGCCAGGAACTCTGTCAAATGCGGAGTTCATCCCCCCGTCGGGCTCGGCGGACCTTCAATCCGTTCACATCATGGAGGCTCGGGTGATGAGTGGCAAGTCAAGAGTACGAAGCCCGCCAAAGGATCAAAGCCATGTATCCGAGGCCCAATCCAGCCAGAGGAAAATGGACCATTCCACTCCGGACCCCAACTTTCGCGGTGTGCCATCGCAGACTGGCCTGCGGGCTACTTGTGTCCACGATTCGAGTCGATGCCGCCGTCAAGACGTGCCCCTTAGCCTTGTCTCTGCATCTCAAGACCGAGGCCACAAACACCGGTCGTATTTCAGCCACTTTTATCGACGCCGCATGTTTTTTAAGCGCTTGGGTCTTGAGCGTTTACCACCGTATGAAGGCGCCACGTATGTCCTCGGACGTATGAGGAATAGGAGGGAAACCAGGAGAGATACACATTAGGAGCCGACCCTGTCTGTCTTCCTCCCCTTGCATGCAAGCCGTAAATTGGGTCATTTTAGGAGCGCTTTCTTGCCAGCGACTGGGGTGGCTGTACGGTTACACAACGGAAGCTCGGCACCCAGATGCTTCCGTCCCCATTTGAGAGCTGATTCTACCAACAGTTGTACTTGAGTGACAAGTACCATTTAATCAAGACAGCAATCTCCTTCCCTGACCGCCTGGGAAGTGTTGGTGCCCGTCCGGCAGAAAGCTGCTCTAGATTTATTTGAATGGCAGAATGACAAAGTTGGAACGCTCCACCCATCAACCGCCCTCTCGCCCATGCAGTAATTATTTCACGACTGTACCAGCGATTGCAGGCTAGTAACCCCCTCTCTGCTTCGCGTCCTTGTTCACGATCATGCTGTCCGCTGTGAATCTGATCTACCACTTCTCTCATCCCCAGGAACTGCTGGCCATCATCTACTGGAAAGGATGGCGCCGGCCCGTGCACCCGCGCGACAAGAGCCGGGAGTCGCCCAACATCCAGGAATGCTACCGCCTCTTGGCACTGACGTCCCGCTCATTTGTAGCCGTGATCCAGGAGCTTGACCCTGAGCTCCTCATGCCGGTCGTCGTGTTCTACCTCGTCCTCCGTGCTCTCGACACCATCGAGGACGACATGACCCTACCCCTCGAACAGAAGGAGCCCTTGTTGCGCAAATTCCACTCCCACATGGACGACGAGACCTGGACATTCGATGGCAGCGGCCCCAACGAAAAGGACAGAGAGGTGCTTGTTAAATTTGACACCGTGTCCAGGGAGTTCAACAGGCTGAAGGACCAATACAGGGTCATCATCAGAGACATTGCCAGAAGCATGGGCAACGGCATGGCCGACTACGCAGCAAAGGCGGCCGCCAACCCCAACGGAGTCAGCGTCAAGACCGTCACGGACTACAAACTGTACTGTCACTATGTCGCAGGCCTCGTTGGCGAGGGCCTTACTCGGCTGTTTGTCGAGGCCAAGTTTGCGGACCCGGCGCTTCTCGAGGAGAAGCCCCACCTGATGGAGTCGATGGGCCAGCTTCTGCAACAAGTCAACATTACCCGCGACGTCCGGGAGGATTACGACCAGAAGCGCTACTTCTGGCCCAAGGAAGTATGGTCAAAGTACGTCGACACATTTGGCGAGCTCTTCCTGCCGCAGAACCGAGAGAGGGCGCTGCAGTGCAGCAGCGAGATGGTCTGCATGGGCCTCAGCCGCGCCGAGGACTGCCTCGCCTACATGTCGCGCGTCGAGGAGCAGTCGACCTTCAACTTCGTCGCCATCCCGCAGGCGATGGCCATAGCGACGTTCGAGCTCTGTTTCCAGAACCCCGAGCTCTTCGACCGGAACATAAAAATGTCGAGGGGGTCGGCGTGCCGGATCATGATCGACTCGACACAGGGCTTCCCGCGCCTCTGTGAGGTGTTCAGGCACCACGCCAAGAGGATTCGGCAGAAGAACAGGCCCGGGGACCCCCACTTCACAGAGATCGATGCTGCTTGCTCCAGGATCGAGCGGTTCGTGGAGGCCCGCTACCCGTCGGGAGCCAGGAGGAGGGCGCACGCATCGGAACAATGGACGCGTCTGGCATACCTGGCTTGTGCATTCTTTGCTTTTCTTGTGGCGTACATGGCAAGTCAACAGCTACTTCATGACCTTTTCGTCGCAAACAAGCCATTTATTAACGAAGAGAAGGTTGCCATCGCCTGGACCAATTATTCGGCCGCGCCTTGATGTTGGCCTCGGCCCGTCTGTAGAAACGGAACGTGGGGACTCGCCCCGAGCATGTCTCCTGTCCACGAGGAAGCAAAGGTGACAAATTGGATGTTTGACTGGTCAGCGGAGCAGAGGAATCAATAGGTGTCGACGTAGCGATAGGCCCGGGGGGCGTGGGTTCTGGCTTCTAGAGTAACACAAATTTACTAGGCTGTGTCCCAGGACAGCAGGCTCCCGACTTCCATGTATCTGCTCTTTTAGAAGCGCAATAATTAGACCCTTAAGGGGTTTTACTCCATGTCATCATCCTGGTACCAGGTCAGTATCTTGCATTCTATCTTGATAGGGCCGGACCAAGGCGTCCAACTCGGGCGTCGCAAGCGCAAGCGCCGGCCCTTTCGTTCTTTGCCGCCCTCCGGCCGAGCCATTCCCGGTATGCAATCCAAGGCTGGCACCACCACAAGCACACACACGACTGCCGTGATCGTCGCCGCCCAGCCGATCCCTAACGACTTATCGAGCGGGCTGGTGACGGCCACCGCGCCCGCGCTGAGCAGCAATCGGACTACATTCATGGCCGCCCCGACCGCCGCCGCGTTCTCGCAGAACAGGTCCGTCAGTAGTGCCGCATTAGATATCATGACGCCCATCGAGAGGTTTGCGATGAGAAATATTGTGACGAGAACCGCCGCGAGAGGCGCGTAGTTCTGCATCTGCCAGCCGTAGCCCGCCAGGAGGCAACTCACCGAGGGAGTCAGCGGGAGCACAAAGGCGAGGCGAGACCTGTCGAGGTTGAAGTTTGTGCTGTCCGTCTGGCGCTTCCTTTCGACCACGAGACCTGTGCACAGGTGACATCAGCTGCTGTGATGTCTGGACGTGCTGCGCAGTTTCAAGGTCTAGCCCTGGTGCTGTAGCACTTGAGGTGACTTGGGTAAAGGTTGGGCAGATTAGGCGTACCTTGTTTCTTGGCTCCCGGCCAAAGTTCCAGTGAATCGCTTTGCTGTGGTTCGATACGCCAGAAGCCTAACAAGGCCGACGGGGAGATAGCAGAGCCTAAATTGTATGTTGAGACAAAGCAAGTACGTGTCTCATCTAGGATAAAACAAGACCTTTGCGACATAATTACTGCGTCAAGTCTATAGCTCTGCTGGAGCTGGGCCGCGATAACACTGGTTACTTGGAGGATAGGCGGTACAGGAGGCCACCCGAGACCGCTACAATAAAATCCTAACGGCCCAGAAGCAGGGCCGGGGAAGGGAGAGTGCCTCCCTGCTTAGGTCTCCGCCCCAAGCTGTCAAGGTTGGGGTCCCGGAACCCAGCCTGCGCAGAGTGCTTCTGCAGCAACGACCTGTTCCACCTCTGCGGTGGGATCGATCCATCCCCAACCACAGAAGGGGCCGTCCAGCGGAAAACGGCCAGGATCACGACTGACAAGGCTGCTCTTGGGACAAACAGAAACCAGAAGATGAACCGCCCACCTTTGTATTCTGCGAGGAGGCCACCACTTGTCTGGCCCGACTACTACAGTAAGCACAAATCCGACCCCATCATGCTGTGTAGAAAAACACTTGCCCGTCCGAAGCGATCCGTTGGAATACTCCTAGGCTGTGGCCTCGCTGCCTAGAAGTATTCTGAAGCGCAAGCATCATCCAACCGAGCCCTATTCTCGTCTCGTGCTCAACTACCTAACAATCACACAAGCTGTTTACGCATCAAGAACGGCTCCCCCCTGGGCACAATGGAGCCCCTACCCATGGTAAGTTATCTCGTTCTAAAATTTGAACTCTTACTTCAAAGTCAACAAGAGTTGGGCCCGAGACGTTGACTCGCACCCGCTTCACGACTCTACAGCGGGAACATCCACAACGACAGCGCCAAGCTGGCCCAGCTGAGTTGTCAGTCTGCTGACCTTGTAGCAAGCAGACAAACTAAAATCACGAATTCTGGCAAGGCATCAAGCAAGATGGCATCACCTTCGAACCACGAATCGTGGAGGATCAACTCCACAAGGTGCGGTGCCTGTCCCACGGATGGAATCCTGGTGACTGCTCTTGACTGTAAGCTCTTCCGTTTGACTTTTTCCACATTCCTGACCATCCAGCCCCATCTTGTGGGCGAAAAGACGCTCCCCTGTCCAGCCCAATCTTGCCCTGCCCGACCCAACCCCTAAAACCGCGGCCCTCCTTCCTTCGAAGACTTTCTGCGGTTTCCCAGTCCAAAATCCTTTTTGTCGCCCCATACGTTGTTTTTAACACCTTCCCAATCCCTTCCAAGCTCAAACTTCCCTCTTCTCTGTTATGCTTCGTGCCACTCTCCACACTCTCTTGCGAAACTCTCCATTCCTTTCTTGCTTCCGTCAAGTCCACCCTCCTGTTCATCGTTAGGTTGACAGCCTCAAGCGATCAGAGTACAGGCGATATTCTCGCGGACCAGGAGTGATCAGGTACGTCTAGTAGCAGTCCTTTTGCGTCAACTGAAGCACGGCGCCTCGAGCGTCAACCATCACCCCCGACACCCTATCCTCTCGTCTTCCCCGGCTCCCGTTTGTCTACTCAGCCCTGTCCTTCTTGTCCCCTTGGTTCGCGATTCACAAAACACCAATCCTTCTGATACAATGTCCTTCTTTCCGCTTCCCGCTGCCCTGGTCGCCTTACCTGAGCATACTGTCTGCTTGTCCCTGAGTCGGAAGCCCGATGGAATCGAGCCCGTACGAATGTGTCCCAGAATGCCATAAGGGATCGCGGTACACTCGTTCCCTCTACTGAGTCGATCGATGGGCCAGCAGGCTCTGAGTATTCCTCCTCCTTGGTGGCTGGTGCTTCTTGGTATTCTATCAACTGAAAACAGCCATGCGCAGTTGGCGACGTCATGATCTCCATTTGCAAAGAGGCAGCGCATTTTCAGCCTTAGCTGAGACGCCGCTGACACAGGTTGCTGGAAGTCATTCTGGGCCGGTGGAAGCCTGCCGTGCTGTCAGATCCAGTTGATCGAACAGGCCAGCCAGAGATCGCATATCTCGAAGACCCATAACCCCCGTCCTCTGCAGATCTTGCATACATTCCTACAAAATTACCCAGTCAGTTGGCTGATATGTTCTATCTTCCATTGCAGTCGCAGATCGATTCGATTATCAACGGGTCCCCTGGCCTCGGGCCGGCTTGCTCGTCCTCACCGCTTGCGGGTTTGGTCCAGGCACCCTGGCAAGCGCAATGACTTCCAACCAGCCCCGCAGCGCCGGCGGAAGCAGTCGTCGTGAGAAGGTCTATTGTGACAAATGGATCAGGACGTGGCCGTGCTAGGCGCACAGAGGCGCGCCGAACGCAAGCACGAGCCGCGGAACAAGGCTGTAGCGGCAGCTCCGACTCTCCTCGCCAGACGGTGTCGGAGCGTCGGTTGGAATGGAGGCGCTCGCCATCCGTGCCTCTGCATCGGTTGACGATGTGCTGGAGCAGTCATCGCGTTCTTGACACAGGTGAAGAGAATGGCGGATCAAGCCAATTCGGCCAGCGACGCGCTTTTGGACTCCCAAGGGGGCCCTCCAAGAGGCCTCTATGCGATCTTCGTGAGAATCCAAATGCGATGATCAGAATCGCTAAATTGGGCGGCGCGAAAGACCTGCCTGGAGAGGAGGTGGACGAATGCAATGTTGTTGTCGGAATAGTCCACTCCAGAGGGGTAAGTAATATCTCTGACTCTGCCATCTCCTTGAGGTTAAGTAGCCTCGGTACTACAGCGTTCAAAATCGCTGACCGAAGAATCTTGAAACAGAGTGCGCTGTTACGTCACGGCCGGACGACGTCTCAGAGGCGAGGCGAGGAGCCACCAGACCTTGAAGATACCTCTGACGAAGACTACGAGCATGTCTATGGCCCATTCATCGAAGCACAGACAAGAGCAAGAGCCAAGCCGCGTTGGCCAAGCCTGCCATGGCATCGAACCCGGCCCGCGGCCTGGAACATGCGAAGCACCAGCCGAGTAGACCACTCCACAAGAGAAGCAAGACTTCTTTCCCAGGGAGACTCAGAAAAGGCGTAAGTTGATCAGTCCAATATCCCCGTGGATGCTTGCCGCTCACAATAGTGCAGACACCTGGTTACAGGCGCGGAGGCAGACGTTGCGGCTGTCGATTTTTTCATCGCAGGGGCGTCTTGCCTGGGCCTCTCTATGATATCGGACATCTCCAGGTACGAGTTTGTGGCCATGGAAGTGGCATCCCGAGTCCTGAAGGGGTTCCAGTCCACAGAGGTGGGCAAGGTGTATTCCACCTTCCAGGAGACCGAGAGGCTCCGGCGGACTTCCCACAGCCTCGATGATTGAAAGAAGTCGAGGAAAGCCCATGGTGACAAGCTCTCATACGACTCTGGGTCGATACTTCGGCAAGGCGAGACCAGGGGGGAACAGAGGTTCCCAAATGGTGGAGAATGCGGGAGAGGACATCCAGCAACGCGCAATCAATCGCGGGCATTTGGGCCAGCCCAACGGTCTCTCTGTCCTGCAGAAGACCCCGGCCAACGGCCCGCATGACATGGGCGGCCCACTCCTGTGTCGACTTCTCCACGCTGAACACCAACAAGACCAACGGGCTCGCTGAAGGCCCGGGCCAAGGTTGTCTATGGCCGGGACACTCGACCTTCGGGGCACACCCTGGTGACTGCCGTCGCTGCTGCCGTCGCTGCTGCTCTCCAGGCCACAGGCACCGAGTTTGTGGATTTCAAGATCGTGACAACCCCCCAGCTTCACTATCTGACCAGAGCCATCAACACGGAGGACACTCCGCCGGCCAGCAGCATTGGCTCAAACAAAAGGCAATGCAGTTTGAGGACGCCATTGCTGAGCTTCGAAGAGAAGTCGAGTCAATGTCCACGAGGACACCGACGATCATCCTCATCGACAGGGCCGTGGTCACCGGCACGCGGTACCTGAAATTCGAAGTCCAGCTGCCCCAGGCCGTACTCAATGCCATGCAAGGACCGAGCCATCCTTCACAGGCTCATAGGAGCCAACATCAAAGCCTTGCGAACTTTGGGCTTCGACGAGCTTTCCTCCAGGCGGCCGACACTGACCACTCCAACCGAGTGGCGAACGACGTGGCGGCACAGAAGCTCGTGCGCGAGTACCTCGAAGATTCCAACCATCCCACTATGAAGCAGGTGGTCCCGAGCGTCCACGCCTGGGCGCCCGCCAGAACTACCAACCCTGCCGATGAGAACCGATTTGGTTGGATCATATCGGAGTTCCGCAGCGGCATGGACCCAGGCATGTCTTGGCTTGAGAACAACAGCGACCAGGGGGCCGCAATATTTTCGAGCACCATGACATTCCTGTCCTCACACTCGAGGCACGGCCCATCATCGGGGCAGAGTCCCTGGGGCTTCAGGGCCTACCGGTTGAGAATTTCGACATGAGCGTCGAGACCCAGGCGCAGCTCCAAGATCTCGCCGGCAATGCGATGACAACAATTGTTGTGGGCGCTGTCATCCTCGCCGCCCCCTTGACATCAATCCCGTCATGCTGAAGCCTCAGAACGAAAAGATCGTCGCGGTTCCTGGGCGCGTCCTGCTGCCACGAGCGTGGCGGAGGCGAGTTCACCCGCCTGATCCCCGTCGACATGCTCCCAATTGCGGGTACAGATTAGTTGTCGCCAAATCTAGCTCCGGTCAAGTTTCAACACCATGAAGAAAGATGGCAGGATCGCTCTGATGAGAAGACCTGACAGTCGTGTTCGGCTCAGAGGAGCCCGCTCTACGACCCCGGGACCAACATTGCTGGGGTGTCAGCAGTTTAGGCCAGAGATGAGACGGCACGCTGCGCTCGTTCTGCCTTCGCCTGGGCCAGACGGGACCTCGCCAGCCCCGACTACATCGCTGCCGCGGCCGTGCCCGCTGCCGGTCATCGTTTCCGATCATCCTTGATCAGGAGGTACACAAAACCTCATTTCACCCCTCTCCTCTCATCCTCTCCCTCTAACGGCTTCCAAGGCCATACAGGCAAGGGTTATCATGCGTTTTTACGTTCCCTACTCCCGCCGTGGGCCTTGTGCCATGTGGCAGACTGTCAAGACCCAATTTCCGGCCCCTTACTCGCGCCGTGCTAAAACTGATCTGCAGCCCATCAATAACACCTGGGTTGGCCTCAGCGAGGAGCAGGAGTTCGAGGCATGCGGAATGTCGAGGTGGGGGACGAATACGACAAGAACAGCCAGCACAACCTGTTTTCGAGCCGCCGAACGGGACTGCCCGACCGTCGGCGACGCGAGAGCCTGAGGCTTGCTGCTGTGAATGCAGCTGCACAGTTTCTTTCTGCCGCCTGGCCGTTTCTCGACACCTTCAAGATGACCAAGACTGAGCGATTGAGGTTCGTCAGGGAGCATATGCCCCATATAATTGCTCTCAGAGTCAACTGTGTCCCGCTCGAGCGCATTGGGTTCGTGCCGGACTTGAAGATCTGTGCCCTCCTTCATGAGAGCAACTGAGACTCTCGTAGGCCGCGGGCCGGGGCACTCCGACCAAGAAGCAGAAGCCCACTCCCAAGAAGGGCGGCAAGAAGGATTCTGCCCCCAAGGGCGAGTCTGCCCAGGGTGGCGAGGATGACTCTGCTGCCTTTGTCTGACTGGCCGACCGAGGCACCCGCTCTCTGCTCAATGCCACGCACAAAGAGGTATTGCCATTCGGACCCGGGAACAGGGCGCTTGCCCTGGGCGCAAGCGACCTCCTCATGACCGTCGAGGTTCCCTCTTCGAGACACCTGCTGCCGGCACTTCGAAATGACACGCAGATGTGGTTCATGGTTCCCAATTCCTACCGTGGGACATTCCTCACCGAAATGTGAGAGAGGGTCAAGCTCATCCCCTGAAAGTGGCACCCTTCGACGTGCTTCTTGACTAGAATGACATCTCATGGTGCTTTTGAGACTGGGCTCGGCTGCTTTCTCTTCCATCGAATCGCAATGGGGACAAAGGCCTAGACACCTGCCTGCCCAAATAAAGCAACGAATGAGCAGGAAACTTAGCAGCCAGGCCATCGGAGTCATGGCCACGGCTAGTCACAAGGTGTCGGCGTTTTGGCCCGGGCAGCGATGGAAGTGGGTGAAGTCCAACGGATGGCTGTGAACTCTTGCGGCAGTGTCGAGCTCCGTGACTGCTGTACGATCAACTTGGTCGCGCGCAAGCGTGCCCGTCGGCGTTGCCCATTCTCCACGCACCACGTCCTCGTTTACAGCAGCGTGGAGCTGTATGTCTGCACCACTGTGGCGTTGGTCTCTGCCAGACTTGAAGCTGCAAGGGTAACCCCGAACACGAGTTTGTGGGGTCTGAAGCACCAGCAGCAATGGCCTCGGGCACGAAGGCGAGGACGAATTGCCCCCTCTCAATTCGTTCTTCTGTCGCGTCCCTCTGGATCTGGACAACCTCCTCCCCCCGAGCTCCCGCCTCCAGCTTGAATTGCAGCCAACGCAGCTCCGCCAGACGGCGCCCCTTAGCCTTGTCTGTGCATCGCAAGGCTGAGGCCACAAGCACCTATCGTATTATGAACATCGTTATCGACACCGTGTTCTTTTCAAGTGCTGGGTATTGAGTGCTTACCACCGTATGAAGGCGCCATGTATGTCCTCGGACGTATACGGAATAGAAGCGAAACCACACAGCTCTGCCAGGCACGCAACCCCTTTCGACATGACATGGCTGCGGTCACTACCCGGGCAGAGGCGATCTCCAAAAGCCCTCCGAGTGGGGCCCTGTGAGCAATGGCTGGCCACACCCGAAATATGCCATGCCCACAAAACTGTTGGAGACCTCTTCATTTAGGGTTTTCGAACGGTCTGGGTCGGGAAAGAACACACTAGGGCAGGCAAGAACATCGTGACCACCAAGAAAGCTGCTCGCGCCGCGACTTCCCGGCGTTGCCGTTTGCGGTCGGCAGTCGCATTTCGATGGCGATCTCAAGAAGGCAGTACGCAATGGCAACGGTGTTGAAGACAGTCGAGTAGTCGCCAAGTGTCCACTGCCAGTGTTTGAGTCTGGGCTTTCTCGGTGCCTAGGCGACCTCGTGGGCGCCGGCAACAGTCCCTCGGTCTGCCCCCGACAATGGAAGAAGTTGCCACTGAAATGGCAACCACTCTCGTGACTGCCTTGTGTCATGCGGTGCCTCGGAGCAGACTGGCGTGTCCCTACCAGCTTGCCACAGCAGCATGGCTTGGACAGACGCCGATCAGCTCGTCAAGGCTGGGGCCTGGCTGGTCTCTCCTGGGAACAGAGGTTCCCCCGCCCAGTTCTATGGCACACCTGGCAGTGCTCCGAGTGATTCTTGATTCATGTTAGAATTCCAAGAAGGCCAACGTGAAATACTTTGGCATTTTCAGGAACTGGATCACCAAGACGCCACTCCACACGCGGAGGTAGTTCTTGTATCAACCAATTTGATCCCGCGGAGGAGGACCTTCTCCATTTGGAATGGTCCCAGAACTTGACATGGGATCGAGGGTGCGATGACTCGGAGTGAGGCCATTCGGGCTTCGTACTCCCGCACAAGCTCAAGGAACCTCCAAGCCTTGGTCCAAACCCTGACCAGTTCGACCTCGCGCATTTGAAGTCCCTCGACATCTCGCCAGGACCAGCTTTCTTCTGACGTAGAAAGCGAGAAGAATAATGTTCAGGAGCTACTGGTGAATTCGGAGAAACTCTGGCACAAATCCTGCCTGGCGGCATGCTTTGCGGTGGCCGATTTGGTGCTTCTGGCCGCAGTGCGAAGGCGAGGCATGTCTTTCCCCCAAAATAACAACGGAAAGACGGTTGCTGGGCTTCACTCTCCTTCCAGTATTGGGGGCAAGGGCCCGTTACCTTTCGTTTCTGTAATGTTGGGTTCTGTTCAGTGACTGGTGAATGTGCTGGTCTCAGTGAACTGGGGAGAGCAATGTCTTTCCCCCAAAAGAACAACGGGGCTCCACCCCCATCATTGGTGGTGGTTGGGGCCACTTCCACCCCTTCTTAGGTGTCCTGCTGGTGTCGCTGTCGGCACTGGTTAGTCCGCTGGTGCCGGTTGAGCTAAAGAGCAATGTCTTTCCCCCAGGACAACAACGGGGCTCCACCCCCATCAGCGGTGGTGGTTGGGGCCAGTTCCACCCCTGCTCAGGGGTCTTGCTGGTGTTGGTGTTGGTGTTGGTGTTGGCTCTGGTTAGTCTGCTGGTGCCGGCGGAAGTGAAGAGCAATGTCTTTCCCCCAGAACAACAACGTACTGCCTGGCGGCTCCATCACCATCAACGGTGGTAGCATGGACGGCCAGTTCCCCCCTGCACCTGCCATGCAGGGCCCTCTTGCTGGACAAAATGCCGCCAACGAGATCTGCTCGTACTCTCGGGACTGAAGACTTTGGTAAGCTCTCAAGTCCCAATTCCATCCTCTGGCACTCATGACTTACCAACTTGAAAGCAGATCGAGTGGTGAACTGGAGGGGGCGGTCATGCTCTGGCCTCTGGCGAAGCCCGGGATTAGAGGATCTTGAACTTGACTGTCTCTACACTGAGGTAAGAAACAGCCACAAATTTCTTTATGGAACAGTCTCTTCTTTGAGACAGATCGCCAATACTTGAGACGCATGCTGACGGGCTCGGACAGCTTTGATCGTGCCCACTACCTTTGGTCGTCGCGACGTGCCGGGGACGACAGTCTTGCTACCAGTCTCGGACTTTCTCAAGATGCCGAACAACCCAGCGACGTACTGGCGAGGCACGGCGACCTCCTGTCAGACCGAAAAGATGTCTCGTGGCGGTACAACTTGTTCCGGTTGCTGTGGTGCCCGACTGTGGTTAGAACCGCGTCTGTTCGATCTGAAGGAAGACAGGTGTGGTTTCGCTTCTATTCCGCATACGTCCGAGGACATACATGGCGCCTTCATACAGTGATAAGCACTCAAGACCTGAAGGAAGACAAGGCGCGAGTGGTGCTCATGCCTGTCCGCATCCGAGTTCAGACCCCGACAACGCCATTGGTAGACCTGATCATGGTCAGCTTTTTGCAGCACAAGTGCAGCCGGGAATTCGCAACCTGGTCGAGACGGGATTATCTCAGGGCGACATTGATCAAACGATCTGGGAGACCGGGTAGAAGGAGTTCGAAATCGAATACAGGTGCAGGGGTCCTCACAACGGGTAAGGCGGCCGAGCCAGTCCTGAGACGGCTTCCATGGCCACATCGGAGCGGGCCCTGGATCACAGATTGAACGTCGAGATCGTCGGCTGGAGGCGCAACATCTCGGTCGTGTAGCGCATCGGCGACGTCCTAGCTCAATGCTCCGTGGCGCCGATGACCACCTCGCAGTTTGGGAAGGCTTCAATGTTCGACCGAGCTCAAGGGCGTCCTAAAGCGAAGGACCAGCCGCAGGAGAAAGGATAGACCGAAACCACTGGCCGGATGGCGTGCCCAGAGGGGCACTTCTAGAATAGTGGCGCGCAGTCAATACAGCCGAGTCATCCAATGGAATGCCTGTTGGCATGTTACAATAATCGTGATAACATGTCACGCCGTTTCGAAACCGACGCGGACATGATCGTGCTCCCAACTCCCCGCCAGCAGCGTCGTGCCTTCGAGTCCGGAAACCCGATTGCCTCCGATGGGTGACTTTCAGCAGGCTTCTCCCGCCATGACGACGGCGGCAGCAACCTGGTGTCGGTTGCTGGCCAGCCCCATTAGCATTACACCCCAATGCCCAGTTCTCGCATCGCAACATCGCCGGCGGATCCACTGGCGCGGGCAGAGGCCCGTTCCACGGCGCCACCTACTCACCCGCGGATTCGACGGCGTCATGCCCACACGAGCTATCGAGGCCAGAGGGCCTGCCTCCCACTCGAATGGGTGCGCCACCAGAGACACCTCTGCCGTAGATAGATGGCACTTTTGGCTCGAAAGCCACGGGCCAGTTGCTCGGCGTGTTTCCTTTGATAACAGGACTGTGAAGACATTGGCACAGAGGCGGGTGTATGGCAACAGACCATCGTACTACTAGTACACCATCATCGCTGTCGTCCTAACGATACGATCTCGAGGCCCGGAATTCAGGCGCAATGGAAACCCTTTACGAAATAGATATGCTCTCTGAAGGACAATAATTACAATGAACAGGAGATTTCGACGTACTTCTGTCGGGCAATATTCACAAAGATCGGGGCAGGGTAACGATCCTTCTTGTCTGCCTTTAGCGGCAGGATCATTAATCAAAGTGTCTGTGATCATTCTTGGAAACACTCAGCTACAATGAGCCTCTCCATGCTGCCTAAATTGCTCATAGCTTGATAGATTCCGTAAATACGACTGAGAAGACGCTCCGGCTTCATCCTTGGGTGCCCCGTCCGGTGGAAGCAGCTGGCATTAGCGCGGCGGTCGCCATTCTGTGAACATCCACTGCGACAAGTGGATCCACGAAGGCTCTTGAGCCTTCCACCAAAACGAGTTTCAAATACAAGCAGAAGATACCTCGCGACCGCGTGAGCCCGGAGAGGTTCCGTCTTGGTCCCGCCGCCCTCAATTCGAAAGGGACCACACCCGCTCGTTCCAGCAGTGCTCGCTAGAGAGCGGCGCTGCGGCGCAAACTGTTCCAACCTGTGACGCGGGCACCTTTTACCAATGATTCCAACGTGGCTGTGCGCGGCTGCCACGACGACTTCAACGTGGCCGAGAGCGAGCTCATCTTGGCCCTGCCCGCCGTTTCGCTGACAACCTGTGCCCGTGCGTGGTCCTCCCCCGGCCGTCGGCTTAACTGGTGACGAGGCGCAGCCGCTGCGTCCCAGGGGCTCGGAACGCCCAGTGGGCACTGCTCAAGAGCTCCCGTCGTCGTTTTTGCCAATGGCCCAAAAGAACGACGTGCCAGTGGCTCGCCGCAGCGGCGGCCGCCAGCCGCAGCAGTCTGAGACCGCCATCGACGACAACAACATGAAGCGGTTCGCCGCCGGCGTGGCCAATGACATGAAACAGCGCGACGTACGCCTCCCTCGTCTGCGCCGCGCCCAAAGTGCCAAAGGGGATAGTTTCGACAGCGGCAGCTTGAAAACCTTGGAGATCCATTGATGCTCATCGTAGCCCTCACGGGCGACGGAATCCAAGAGTTTGACGGTTGCTTGGAGCGGAGCCTTCCCCCGGGGCTAGAGCTATGCATTCTAGATTAAGAAGTAATGCAGTGAGTTTTGGGGGGAATCACGTACCTAAGGAAGAAGTTGTCACAAAGAGGTAGTCATGAGAGGCACCTGAGCAATCACGAAGAGGGAGTTACGAAGAGACAGTCACGAAGAGAGAGTCATAAAAAAGGAGTCATAAAGAGGGAGTCCGCCAAACCTCAGCCAGAAATTAAATCAGCTCTCAACTATATAAGACTTCAGTACAAATGATAGGCCTCTAAGCCCCGGTACAGAACGTGGGCGAATGAGTTGAAAAAGGGGGTCGCCCTCAAGCCCTAATTATTCGTTGGCAATCTGGAAAGATGAGATACATCTGCAGGCAATTGGCTCTCTCTGCACGGTACAAGTCTTTTATTGACAGGACCTACCGCAAATTCTGAACCATCTTCTGGGCTTTAACATTTGAAGCATGCCTATAGCACTCCCAGATGCCGCGCGAAGCTCTCTTTGGGCACCGGCTTGTCCAACCCCGATCCTTGACCACGAGGGGCATCGAAACTTCCAGACGATGCGCCCCGCAGGCGGCTATGAATGCTGCAGAAGGACTCCGTGTAGATCGATTAATGAGTCGGTACTGGTTGCCAAGGTATTTGCGGCTGCAAATTCTGGCTGCTGTGTGGCTATTCCTTGGTGTCAGCTTGACCAATATTTATAGTTGAAGTTTAGAAATCTTCAACGATGGTGATTAAACGGGGCGAAGGGTAGGCTTATCTGGGCACGACTGAATCGGAGGATGTAGAAATAGGTGTATGCCGACCGTGTTTACGGCAAGGTTATCACTGAGAGGAGCCGCCCACCAGGAGGGCAAGGAGGGAAAACAGGAAGGGGACAGAAGAGATCCACCAAAAGAGATCCGGCCCGGATGGAGCAGCTGTAATTGTCCCATTCACTGTCAACTTGGACTAAGAAGTAACTCGGGCAATTGTCCGACCAAGACAGGGCTGCTACAGGGGAGCCGTCTGGACCTCACGTTGACGCGTTTGGCAAAGCATGCACCCAACGCCCTCCATCACTCAACTCATTGCAAAATTACCCAAAGCACCAATCCGACCATCCCATTTCGCATCTTGGTCTTCAACCAACTGCTTTGTCGACATAAACATCCAGTCTCGTCACTACATCCCATTCATTCCCCTTCCTCTACCAGAAACCCACAACCGTCAACAAGTCAAGATGGACCACCTCCGCGTCAAGCACGTCACCAACGAGCTTCGGGCAATCTTCTCCGAGAGGGCCGAGGCCGGGGCGGCTCCCCGAGACTTTGCCCAGATTGTTCGGAGCTTCTGCCACACCGTGGCAGTTCTCCTGATCTGTGGCCTGGAGGGATATAGACAACTCAACTTCCAGGTTGCCAACAACTACCACTTGTTCCATGAACCTGCCGACTTTGTCTACCACGCTGTCCTGTTTGCCTCGAGACGTTGGAATTTGAGGTTGAGCACCCGTCGCGACCTTATAAAGTAAGTCATTGACCAACGCAGAGACTGCTTAAATATGCTTTTACTTCTTTGGCGGGGGATTGCGAGCTGATAGAAGAGTCTAGCTGGTCAATCAATTCCCACACCGTGTCCAACTTTGTCGCCAACCGCATGAGAACCTACGACGTCTACTTCCGTGACCATCCAGAGAGAGTAAAGGCGTATGGCCGCAGGTACAGGACTGTCAGTTCAATTCTCGACGCCAAAGTGGACGTGGAGGCCATGGGAGAGTAAGTTACCGCCCCTCTTCTTTCACATACTGCTAGTACCACCAATTCTCATACCGACCAATATTCTAATGCCCCTCCCTAACAGGCCATACGAGATAGCACCTCTCCCCCTGTCCAACGGCCGCATCGGCTGCCTCTATTGTAACCTCTCCATGAGCAACATGGACGTCCTCACCACCCACCACGAGGCAGTCCACCAGGACGACGGCATGGTGGCCTGCACAGACTGCACCTGGACCAGCGCCGCCAAGCCGGGCGCCTTGGACCACCACCTGAAGACGGCCCACGACATCTACCCGGCCGGTCACCCGCACTTCTTCTCCACCAGCGTAGACCACCTCTGCGCCCTGCCGAGGGAGACACTCGTGCAGCTGGTGGCCGATGACCTGGCCGCCCTCGCTCGGCTCTGTGGCGAGCCAGTGCAGCCTCCTGCCCCCACGGCCGTGCCGGCCTCTTGGGGCGTGTTCCGCATTGCCTTTGTTGTCTCTCATATCAGGGTTAAGGTCAGACTGGTTCCTGGCTGGGAGCGGGAGGTTGAGCAGGCGTGGAATAGGCGTGTTGTTGCCAACTTCCTCCCCAGGTCCTTTTAAACCCAGGTCAAATCCTTCAGGACAAGCCTCTTTCAACTACAACCACAACCACGACACACTTTTTGCCCTAACCTTCTTTGATCACACCTCACCCACTCTCTAGACCAGATCAAAATGTCTGCTTCCAACAAGACTCAGGACAGCCATCTTTCAACCACACAACCACAACTACACGACCTGCACTCTGTTCACGGATTGTTCTGGGGATGGCCTGTGAAGTTCATCCTATCAAAGTGGTGGTGCTTGTCAAGACTTTGAGGAGGTCTCTGGGTTGGCAGTCTTGTTATGGGAGGGAAGACTTGGCACGTTAGATCGCTGGTGCTCTCAAATAGGAACTTGGAAGGGTGCCGGCTGTTGATTCAGGCAATGGGTTCCGCCTAAATAGAATGAGCACAATACAAAGTACTTGAGCCACTTGAGCCCGTTCTTGGAGGGCATTTTAATTAGCCAAAACATGCAGCTGCATGATAATGTGACAACTGGGCCTGGGCACTCAAAGACATGACACTGGACACTGGCTGGGTATTTAGTACTGGACACATCCTCATTGCCATCCTCTTCGTAAGGAATTCCCAACCTCTAAACTGATACCGCCAAAAGATGCTCATGTCCAGATTATACCCAGCCGCCCTGGCCTGTTCCCTCGTCAGCCTGGCCCCTCTCACAGCTGCACAAGAGGCAGCGCCGTGCGACACTTCTACCCAGGCCTGCCTGAATGTCATGATGGCCAATGCTTGCCTTGCAGCTTACATCCGAGGCGGCAATGCCACTGAGATTTTGAGATGCGTCAATATGGACAGCCAGGCTGTGGCCCGGGATGAAGTAAGCTGACTCACTGGCGGTGCTGCTGCTGCAGACACTTGCATTGCTGGTTCACTGCTATCCATGGGTCACTAACAAAGGCAACGAGCAGCTTTGTGCGTGTTATGGATGCACCGAGCGCCTCATTCGGCAGTGGGCCACGAGCAGTGGCGTATGCCAGTGACGGCAGAGCGCAGAGCAGCACAGAGTTGTGTGTGAGCCAATCACAGAGCATCTTGGAGGGGAGCTCCCCGCATTTAATTGAGGTCGGGTCTGGTGGGGGCGGGGCAGGGGAGGTCGGCCGGGGCACAACGGCAAGGCTGCCATGGAAACACACGACTGAGCAATCGATTGTTCCACAATGAAGCTACCCAGATACCTAGGTACCCAAGTACCGTTCCCGCAGGAACAAGGATTCTCAAGTCGAGATTTGAGAAGTTGCATGTCTTCTTGTGCCACCACTACCATGTCAGCATCACGAGACAAGAAGGGCTGGGTTGCCGGATTCAGTCTCAAGCTATGTCTCATACCATATCAGCCGAGAGCCTGTTTACTTCAGTTGCTAGGGGCAATATCTTAACAGCTCAATACCAGCCGAGCAGTCTCTACTTCGCTTCCGTCTTGCTCACTGGTCTGGCACATGTGCGAAGAAGGGATCAGTACCGTCTGGGGCCCCGTCCAGGTTGACGCCGTCACGGCAAGGAGTATGTCAACTGGTGCAGGTGCAACCGTGGTGGGATGCAACCTATTCAAAATGCTCCAGAAAGTACTACCGGTACAGGCAACGAGCCGCCTCGGCTGGGAAGAGGGCCCGTCAGGCTCCAACATGAATGGTATATCGACTTGGAGGTTCACCATGCGGGTTACTTCATTCAAAGTGGCTTCTGTCCCGGATGATAGGCAAGCGGCAAGGGGGCACTCGTGGATGCTTCGAAGTGGCATTTACGACTTCAGGAGGGCCGCATTGGAAAAAGCAATCCGAAGCTGGTCATTGGCTTGCAGACTAACATTCGGTCTCTCATCGATGGCTTGGTGTGGGTCGTCTGTCTTGATGTGACTGACTTTCCCATTCATCCAAATCGCCCCGGGATCGAGTCATCACCCGCAGCCCTGAGAAGTCGCCCTGGAGCGGAGCGGGAGGGCAACGACGACCGGAGCTTCCTCTATTGGAATTATTCTTGACGTCACGATGTCCTGGTGTTGAACTCCTCCCTGAGGCTGTATATTGCCTATATTCCGCTCTGCTTCCGGACAACTCGCCGTCAAGCTTATCCCTTGGCCTTCGGCCATACTGTATTTTACGACTCCACGTCTTGGACTCAAAAACTATCCCATCATTTAACTACGAATTCCGAAGACCCGACACAAAATTCCACGACGACACACAACAGTCGGCGTTTGCTCGAGTGCCAACCCCCACCGAATCCCGGTTCTTCTCGTTGCAACATCCAGGAGGCCTTTCATCCTGGTCGGCACTACAAAAACGGACGTTACCTTCTCGCACCAGTGAAGACACAGCCCCGGCCCCTCCCCAAGGCAGATCGGTCCGTTGCTTCAACCTGCATGTCCAACACGAGGATGTCATTTCCCATACTCCTTCTCACTAGATCATGAGCATTCTCCTAGGCCAAGGGGCACGGGATTGAAAGGCAGGAGGCATGAAGAGGAATCCTGAATTTCGTGGGGAACCCAGCAGCCCAAAGCGCTGGAACTACATCCTCGGGGACGTCGAGGTGATGTTGAAATGCCTGAGCTACATCTACAATGAAGAGCAGCAGCCGGATGCCGCGCGCGTGTACACGGCCGCCCTCAAGACCCCGTACACCTCCCCCTTCGCCGCTTTCGAGAAGGCCGCGATGGCGTCCCCCCGCGCGCGGCAGCTGGACGCCCGCCACCTCGGCAGGGGCGGCCTCTACCACTACCTGGAGCGCAGGCTGGAGTTGGAAGGTTTTGACTTCGAACGGTCCTCGGATGACCTCAGGCGGGACTTTGGCGACGCGAAGGCGGCGCGCAAGGTGCGGGAGATCAAGATGCTCATGGCGGCCGGCTGCGCGGGGGACGATGCTGGCCCGGCTGAAACAGAGGCCGTGGCCGGCCAGCTGGGAGAGGTGGAGGGGCAGGCCAAGCATGACGCCTAGAATGAAGTCAAGGATGGGGTCAAGGGCGAGGTCAAGAAACAGAGGAGATCCAAGTTTACGGATCCGTTCCCGATGAGGCTCGATCCCATATACGAGGTCGAGGAGGAGGACGAGGATAAGGTCAAGGACAGGGTCAAAGACAAGGTCAAGATCAAGAAGAAATCCAAATTTCAGGAGGCGCTCGCGATCAGGCTCGTGATCAAGGACGAGGTCAAGGACGAGGTCAAGGACGAGCCCGTGAACTAGATGTGCCTCAAGTTATGTGCTGACTTCAGTAGACATATGAGCGACAACTGGGCTGTTGTCAAACAAGGAGGATGCCGACACTCCGGAGCCTGGCCAAGGACCTTGGCGTACAGGAGAAGCAGCGTCGTCGTCGTCGTTGTTCAAGTCATTACGAGCGTTGCCATGCATCGCTATGGATAATCCGGGCGGACTAGCGTGCCAGACAGGCAGAAAAATTTCATCCGTAGATCCCATCAATTCTGATCACGATACAGAGACGTCCATCTTGACTCAGGTGCATCTTCTGCCTTGCCCAGCGCGCCCGAATTCTCTTCCTGGTGGCTATGTGTGCTAAATATGACAGCCCAGAAGCAAGGCATACAGCGGCCGCTTGGGGATTCCTGGTACAGTAGTTTTCCCCCAGTCGATACAGGGATGAACCATGAAGCGTCACGTAAAACAGCACAGCTATGCGACAAGATGCCGAGGCAGACCAGACCCCAGCACATGCGCTCAAAGCGGGCCAGATGGCAGAGTCTGTAAAGGAAGATCGCAGGCGTGTGGTACACAGGAGCTACAGTGGGATTGCATCGGACAGGCGAGGTGAGCAACGGCGGGGAGGCTTCTCGTGGTTAACAGCAGCAGCAACAAGAACCCGAGTCGCTGGGAGACTTCCTCTTAGCGTCGTTGAGACCCAAAATACCCACACCAAAAGGGGCCGCTCTACCAAGCAAAACAAGCCGTCAAGACCCTGCGAGGTGGGCCACGCACCGCGCCGTGGCCGAGGCACTCGGAGATTTCCCGTCTAGCAAATCTATGCGAGTCAACACATATCCATCTCAACAACTGCCCGCTGCGTTCCATACCGCTCTTGAGCCTACCAAACCACCATCACCACGACTGAAAAATCCCACAACACAACAACCAAACGTCAAAATGTCCTCCCAAGGCTCCCCCAGGCCCGTCAGGATCACCACCTTCCCCCTCCGCGACCAGCCGGGCCGCATAGCAGCCTACGCCGCCGCCGCCGCCCTCATCACCCTGGTCTCGCGGCGCGCCCTCGTCGAGCCGGGCTCCGTCCTCTACGAGACCCTCCTCAGGACCCCCGAGGCGGCCGCGACGGCCGCGCGGGTCCAGAACTACGCCTTCGTCTTCATCTTTGGCGCCCACGCCGTCGAGGCGCCGCTCTTCGCCGCGACCAAGCTGCGCAAGCACGGCGTGCCGTTCCTCAGCCTGCTGTGGTGGAAGTGGGTGGCGGCCTGCTGCCTCGGGGGTGTCGCTGCGTGGAAGCACTTCGCGCTGACTGTCGCTGCGGCGGAGGGGAAGCGGGCTTAGGCTCGGTCTGGTGCGGGATCGCCGGGAGTGCCGGGATTTTGAAATGGATGGCTTGAGGCCGACGAGGTTTCCGGGCTGGTCGAGGGAGAGGCGTTTCGGCCAGCTCTCGCGGGCGGCGTTTGAAGGATGGGCCTATATGGCAAAGGGGACGAGTTAGCAGGTCTGTATATGCTTTTTAGGTTTACTCATGGGAGAACAGCTTCTCGAGGTTCTCAGGCGAGACCAGTTGCGCGGGCTCCCAACATTGTCGGCCTGTGTCTCCTGGCCAAAAGTCAAGCCAGTAATGGGGCAACATAGAGGCACTTGGGCACCTACATTTCAGCATCATGTTATGGCGAGAGATCCTTGGGAATTGCAAGGCACGCGCAGATTAGGGCAGGCCAAGTCAGGAGACTTGCACTTTACTCCAAGGCACCTGTGATTAAGTGCTGTATGTCTATCACTGTGTGCTCCTAACATGCCATCTTCCGTGAACAGCAGAACCTGCTCCTCATGGGCAACATGTCTAGTTTGCTCTACTTGGGCCCATACATGGCTTGAGAGCAAAGCCACTTACTAGCAGTGTGCGTTCAAGTCTCCAACACCATTCAGAAGTCACGATTGTTTGGCCATGCCCAGGTGGATATTGTTTCCAATGCCCATGAGCCACATTTTGCTGCCCTTTGACATTGTCACTCATCTCTGTTTGTCAAGGGTAGAACCAAACAAAGGAAACGGTCAGCCAGAGGGTTGCTTCTCGTCAGCGAGCTCACCTTGCCCAAAGCTCCCAGACAGATCGCTAGAATGACAGCTCCAACAATGAGAAAAACAGGCCGGCGGATGCCTAGATACTTACGAGCCCAAGTAGCCGGGGAGCCTGGGTCAACGGCGCGGACGGAAGTGGCTCACACCCTGGCCGGCGACGAACGTCATGAAGATGAGTCAGGGCCTCTCCCAAGACCCCGAACAGTGGACACATGCCTTCGACCTTGGCAGCTGATATCTCAAAGGTTCCATCATAAGAACCGACACACTGCTGCGGCCCTAGCTTCTGGAGCCACAGTGGAGGTTGTGCCCCAGCCCGACGAAGCCCATTGCATGGCAGGCAAATGTGAGAAATGACGGATGCATGGCTGGCTGCGACTCATCAAGGAGATCCTCTTTCTCAGCCGAAAGTTCCAGGACGCAATCTTGGATTCCGTCATCTTTGACATGGTAGACTCGAAGTCTGAGCCCAGCTCCAGATGTAGTCAGTCGTGTCTTGCTGCACACTTGAATTTTGAGCGCCTGTTGGTCTAGAGAGGTATACGCTACTCACTTGTTGGCAAATACTCACCCGCAAAAGTGACACATGACGGACCTCCTTTGTCCACCTCCAACGTTTCATGGGGTTTGTCCAGACACGACCCGGTGGTCGAGCACAAAACAACAAGCAACAAATTCTTTGACGAGAATTTTCGTGACAAAGGGACAGGTCTCGCCAGTCTGCTCACAGGATCTCCAGGGGTTCGAAACGCCTCTCACACCATTTACATTGGGGGAGTAGACACTCACGGCTGAGGCGACCGCCGAGACCAGCCGCTGCCCCTTGTACATGAGTTCATCGGGTGGGCTGGGCCACGAGCCCACCGAGATCCACGAAAAGCTCACCATAATCCTCGACCTGGGCGAGACGTGGGTGGCAGTAGTCCTGCTGGACGAAGCGGACGTCTTCCTGGCGAAGAGGTCTGACCATGACTTGACGCGCAACGTCATTCTCTTCATATTCTTCAGGGAGCTTGAATATTACCCGGGCATCATCATTTCCATAACCGATATGGCATCCAATCTTGACCCAGCCTTCAAGACCCGGCTTGACTTCTCGTTGCAGTATCCCGAACTAGGGGCTGCCGACGAATATTGCAGGACTTCATCGACAGGGCTGCAGCGCGGAACGACCTCCTAAAGATTGACATAGACGAGGAGAGTATGAAGATTTTAGAGTGCTTCCAGCTTAATGGAAGGGAGACCAAGAATACGACGAGAGTGGCGCGCTCAGAAGCGCAACCAAGTCCTTGACGGTGAGAATGATTGAACTGCCATGTCGTTTCACGATCACAAATTTCTATCATAGAATGGGTAGAGTAACGTGAGGAACCCCTGAGCCCGCAGAATATGTGACTGCGACAGTCTTGGCCTCTATGAGTCCATTCGTATCCCTGGTGTAATAAGACTGGAATTAACATACAGACCTGGGATTTCGCATTCATCTTTAACATCCCTACCATGATGGGGAGGCCGGATTTGATACAACCAAACAGAGTCTCTACACACTATTAAGGTGCTTTTGTACGAATTTTGTCGTACATAAAATGACCACAGGTGTAATACTTGGACGAAACCTCGACCAAAATACATCCCGGGCTGTGTACCTCTTGGCTTTTGATGCAATTAGAAATGTTTGAGTAACAGAGCGAGTACTCATTCACTCCAGCCCTTAGCAGATAAATACCCAGCGATGCTTGATGAGGTTTCGCGCCCTTCAGTCTTGAGGGTTGTTGAAATCTAGTTAGCCCGCAGAAAATCCGGTTCAATGTTATAGGTTTCAACCACAAGGATAGGAGACGTATGAACGACAGTGACGTGGGATCTAAGCCCAGTAACCTCTCGTCTCGGATCCATGGCTGGTAATAATCACTTGTCGTCAGTGCCAGTGGTCAACTGATCGAGGAAAATCATCCAACACATCACCATTATAAAATCAGCACGAGTTTTGCAAGATTACCAACTACCTCCTGAAATCAACACAGACAATGAACCATATCGAGCCAAGAAACAACTGGCATTGGATCATTCTCGACTACCAACAGGATCCTTACTCTCAGAAGAATTGCGCGAGGTGGGTTGCAGTAGGTATGGCAATGCTTGCGTATATATGTAGGTTGAGAGCATCTTGAACTAAAATACACAAGTGACCAGATATCATTTACATCTCCATCAGCATGGGTTGCGGTTCCTCAAAACCCAGCAATAGCCATGCGAATCCCGGTCATGACAACAGGCGAAAGATCATGCCAATTAAGGACCTGGGGTACGAATATACCCATGGGGTCCCTGACCGACGCGATCCTAGTCTATTGTTTTATACTGTCCAAGAGCCTCGGGTCTTAAGACCCATCGCCACCTTGGCCGCATCTGCTTCTGGTGGCCGTTTGTAAATAAAACCTTGCCCTTCCCTTATGTCTTGAAAACCACTCACACAAAGTCGGCTGAAGTCCCTGACAAATATATCACGGCTAATGACCAAACTATGATAATTACAACTAATACAAGCTACTCAGAGTCGTCGAACAGGTCAAGACTCATAGTGATTCTCGTCCGAGAGGCGAAAGACCTCTGGCCAGTGACATTCTTCTGTCTTTCTGGAAATACAAGTCTCAACAACCCGTCAGATCGCTACGGAAAGTCTGGTTTAGGACCGTCGAGAACACAGATACGAGAGCTATGAAGAGAGAGGTGTACAGAGACCTTGGCCAGCCGCCCGCAGAACCTCTGCTTCTCGAGCTGGACTCCGACAACGATGCAGTGGCGGATGCGTTTCTCAGAGTACGTGACGGTTGCAAACTGGGAAGATGCGTGAGAATGCTGGCCAACGACTACATCGAGACGAAGAATCGCCTTGAAATAGGAAGCTTCGAGTTTATTCCCCGCGGAGGGGAGGACGCAGGCTTGGATTTGATGGTGAGGCTTCGTCGGCGACAGAGCCAGCAGAGCAGTAGCAGGAGGTAAGGAAATACCTGGTCGTCGTCACGTCGGATGTGCACGTAATCGTGCACAGTTTGCTTTACACACCCTGGGGGACGCAAGAAGCCTACAAGGGCGTAGGACTTCTTGTTCATTGGAGTAATCTTTTTTGGGGCGACTCATTGCGAGTTAATGCATTGCTTATTTTTTGGGCTTTTTAGATTCTTCGTCGCATTGAACTGGTTTTGACATGATCAACGTTTCGTGCTTCTTTGATCGTCCAAATAAGGTGGACTAAGGGATATATATTGTACAATTGATTCTCATGCCATTAAGTAGCACTTCAGCGTGCGATGTTCTCAGGCCATAAAAATGTAGAGGGATTTACACAATTGACGAGCCTGGATCTAGATTACAAATATACAATTATGTAGCTCTAAGGAAGAAAAAAGTAGGGCCGAAGCCAGATTAACTATGAATTTGCAAGTTGTCTTGCCTCATGAGCACATCACATCCATGATGCCGCTGGCACCAGCTTGCATTGCTACGCCAGTCAAAATGAACACGGAGGCAATGATAAGTGAACAACGTCGACCGGCTTGGTTTGCCAGCCACATGGCAGTCATGGCGCCGAGGAACACACCACTGGCAGCCTGCAGTACGGAGACGATCTTCTAGGATAGATTGGCTTTCTTGGTGTCGCTTGTTCCAAGGATGTCATTCTCTCCGTCTTAGTTGTAAGTCTTGGGATGTGCTCCCACCAAGGGCGTGGAGAGTTGGGTTCCGTAACACGCTCCTCGCGGGTGCGCATGACAAGAACGCCCCCTATAATCCCCATGTCCCTGCCGAAGATTAGTGCACCGCCGCATGCCTGCAATAGACAAGCTTTTAGACTAATTGTGCGGATGTCTTAGTTCGTACTATGACGCTGATTGCCAGGACCTCGGGACTCGTCTGTTGTACTCCTCGGGAGGGTCATTCATTGCGGCCACGAACCGGATGAACCTTTCCATAAACGACATGCTCGGGTGGATGGTGGACGCATAAAATCCATCGACGCCATGGGTATGAGCTGCTGATCAGTCCATTGATTGGGCAGCCTAGCACGAACGCGAGGAATGGTTTCTTTTAATCATGGCTTCGGCGTCACTCAGTGTCTACCAATCCGACGTTTTACGGTCGGCAGTACATGGGTTGTAAGGCTTCGCGTCTGGGGAATATGTGTGGATGGGACAAGTAGCACCACGGCACAACCGATGGGGTGACAGGGTCGGGAAGGTCTAATTCCTCGTGATTCT